TGATGGGGATCACGGAATTGCTCTGCATGCACTGCAGGGGAATCGGGCCACATCTGTCATCTAGGGGGAAGTCTCATGGTTTTTCTCGAGTTGCGGCGGGGACCTTTGCTATGTTATCGATTTAAGGCGGGGATGGCCCTTCAAAACACCTGTTTATTCAGTGAGGTCGGGACTCCTGTCTAGTAACGAGGGACAACTCAGGAATCTCTTCGAGGCTTGGCAGGCAACAAGGAACACTTCTCGAGGTGAGGCAGGGCACCCAAGGACCCTTTCCAGTAGCCACAGGGATTTTGGGATTCCTATCAATATTCAAGAGGAGTCAGGCATCGTCACCTTTTGAAGCAGTCAACTCTGCGTGCCTCTCGAGGTGTCAACGGGATGTGAGGCATTCCGTCAAAAGGAGGCAGGTACCTAGGGCTTTCTCTAAGGTCTCCACAGGGGATTCAGACATCCCTTCATGTTGTGAGATGAAAGACGAGCCTGTATTCAAGCCACTGCAAGGAAAGCCCTTCTCCTTTCTAGTTAGGGCTTCTAGCTGTATATTCCACTTGAGGCAGCAAACTCGGGGTCCCTCTGACATACCTAATCCTGAGAGAAGCCTCCCCTTGAGGTGCTTCTGTAAAGTTGGCATACGTCTTGAGCTTAAGCCAGGGAATCAGCTCTCATCTCGAGACGATTTCGGGTACACGGAGCATTCCTCGAGTTGCTGTGATGACGTTAGTGTTCCTCTAGACTTGAGACAGTGTTCTCGGGGCATCTCTGGAGTTTCCTGAAGGAAGTCAAGCCACTGGACGTATTTAATGGGGAACGGGGGATGGCTCTGGAGTCCATGCAGGGGAATCGGGCTTCATCTCGAGTTGACTTGAGGCACATGGGGCTGCTTTGCGATGCTGGGTTGACCTCAGGGTTCGTCTAGACTTGTGACAGTGTTCTTCGGGACTGTGTCGAGATCCATTAAGCAAGTCAGAGCTTCTGACTTGTTTGATGGGGATCCCGGAATTGCTCTGCATGCACTGCAGGAGAATCGGGCCTCATCTCGCATCTAGGGGGAAGTCTCATGGTTTTTCTCGAGTTGCGGCGGGGACCTGGGGTATGTTCTCGAGTTAGGGCGGGGATGGCCCTTCAAAACACGTGTTTATTCAGTGACGTCAGGACTCCTGTCTAGTAAAGAGGGACACCTCAGGAATCTCTTCGAGGTTTGGCACGGCACAAGAGACGCCTCTCGGGGAGAGGCAGGGCACCCAAGGACCCCTTCAAGTAGCCACAGTGATTTTGGGATTAATATCAATATTCAAGAGGAGTCAGGCATCGTCACCTTTTGAAGCAGTGAACTCCGCGTGCCTGTGGAAGTGTCAACGGGATGTGAGGCTTTAGGTCAAAATGAGGCAGGGACCTCGGGCTTTCTCTAAGGACTCCACAGGGGATTCAGACATCCCTTCATGTTGTGAGATGAAAGACGAGCCTGTATTCAACTCAATGCAAGGAAACCCGGCCTCATTTCAAGTTAGGGCTTCTCGCTGTATATTCCACTTGAGGCAGCAAACTCGGGGTCCCTCCCACATACCTATTGCTGAGAGAAGCCTCCCCTTGAGGTGCTTCTGGAAAGTTGGCATACATCTTGAGCCTAAGCCAGGAAATCAGCTCTCATCTCGAGACGATTTGGGGTACACGGAGCATTCCTCGAGTTGCTGTGCTGAAGCTGGTCTTCCTATAGACTTGGGACAGTGATCCCAGGGCATCTCTGAAGTTTCCTGAAGGAAGTCAAGCCACTGGTCGTGTTTAATGGGGAATGGGGGTTGGCTCTGGAGTCAATGCAGGGGTATCAGGCCTCATCTCGAATTGATTTTGGGCACATGGAGCTGCTTTGCGTTCCTGGGGTGACCTCAGGGTACCTCTACACTTGTGACAGTGTTCTTGGTGACTCTCTCGAGATCTGTTAAGCAAGTCGAAGCTACTGACTTGTTTGATGGCGATCATGGAATTGCTCTGCATGCACTGCAGGGGAATCGGGCCATACCTCACATCTAGGGAGAAGTCTCATGGTTTTTCTCGAGTTGCGGCGGGGATCTGGGGTATGTTCTCGAGTTACGGCGGGGAAGGCCCTTCAAAACACGTGTTTATTCAGTGACGTCAGGACTCCAGTCTATTAACGAGGGACACCTCAGGAATCTGTTCGAGGCTTGGCAGGCCACAAGGGACACTTATCGAGGTGAGTCAGGGCACCCAAAGACCCTTTCCATTAGCCACAGGGATTTTGGGATTCCTATCAATATTCAAGAGGAGTCAGGCATCGTCACCTTTTGAAGCAGTGAACTCCGCGTGCCTGTCGAAGTGTCAATGGGATATGAGGCATTCCGTCAAAAGGAGGCAGGTACCTAGGGCTTTCTCTAAGGTCTCCACAGGGGATTCAGACATCCCTTCATGTTGTGAGATGAAAGACGAGCCTGTATTCAAGCCACTGCAAAGAAACCCCGCCTCCTTTCTAGTTAGGGCTTCTAGCTGTATATTCCACTTGAGGCAGCAAACTCGGGGTCCCTACCACATACCTATTGCTTAAAGAATCGTCCCCTTGACGTGCTTCTGGAAAGTTGGCATACGTCTTGAGCCTATGCCAGGGAATCAGCTCTCATCTCGAGACGATTTGGGGTACTCGGAGCATTCCTCGAGTTCCTGTGCTGAAGTTGGTGTTCCTCTAGACTTGGGACAGTGTTCTCGGGGCATCTCTGGAGTTGCCTGAAGGAAGTCAAGCCACTGGTCGTGTTTAATGCGGAATGGCGGATGGCTCTGGAGTCAACGCAGGGGAATCGGGCCTCATCTCGAGTTGATTTGGGGCACATGGAGCTGCTTTGCGTTGCAGGGTTGACCTCAAGGTCCGTCTAGACTTGAGACAGTGTTCTTGGGCACTGTCTCGAGATTCATTAAGCAAGTCGAAGCTCCTGACTTCTTTGATGGGGATCACGGAATTGCTCTGCGTGCACTGCAGGGGAATCGGGCCTCATCTCACATCTAGGGGGAAGTCTCATGGTTTTCCTCGATTTGCAGCGGGGACCTGCAGTATGTTCTCGAGTTACGGTGGGGATTGCCCTTCAAAACTCGTATTTATTCAGTGACGTCACGACTCCTGTCTAGTAACGACGGACATCTCAGTAATCTCTTTGAATACTGGCAGGGCACGAGGGACACTTCTCGAGGTGACGCAGTGCACCCAAGGACCCTTTCCAGTAGCCACAGAGATTTTGGGATTTCTACCAATATTCACGATGAGTCAGGCTACGTTACCTTTTGAAGCAGTGAACTCCGCGTGCCTCTCGAGGTGTCAACGTGATGTGAGGCATTCCGTCATAATGAGGCAGGGACCTAGGCCTTTCTGTAAGGTCTGCACAGGGGATTGAGACATCCCTTCATGTGGGGAGATGCAAGACTTGCTGTATTCAAGCCACTGCAAGGAAACCCGGCCTCCTTTCAAGTTAGGGCTTCTCGCTGTATATCCCACTTGAGGCAGCAAACTCGGGGTCCCTACCACATACTTATTGCTTAAAGAAGCCTCCCCTTGACGTGCTTCTGGAAAGTTGGCATACGTCTTGAGCCTAAGCCAGGGAATCAGCTCTCATCTTGAGACGATTGGGGTACATGGAGCATTCCTCGAGTTGCTGTGCTGAAATCGGTGTTCCTCTAGAGTTGGAAGAGTGTTTTCGGGGCATCTCTAGAGGTACCTGAAGGAAGTCAAGCCACTGGTCGTGTTGAATGTGGAACGGCGGATGGCTCTGGAGTCAATGCAGTGGAATCGGGCCTCACCTCGAGTTGATTTGTGGCACATGGAGCTACTTTGCGTTGCTGTGGTAACCTCAGGGTCCGTCTAGACTTGTGACAGTGTTCTTGGGAACTGTCTCGAGATCCATTAAGCAAGTCGAAGCTTCTGACTTGTTTGATGGGGATCACGGAATTGCTCTGCATGCCCTGCAGGTGAATCGGGCCTCGTCTCACATCGTGGGGGAAGTCTCATGATTTTTCTCGAGTTGCGGCGTGGACCTGTGGTACGTTATCGAGTTATGGGGGGATGGCCCTTCAAAACACGTGTTTATTCAGTGACGTCAGGACTCCTATCTAGTAACGAGGGACACCTCAGGAATCTCTTCGAGGATGGCAGGTCACAAGGGACACTTTTCGAAGTAAGTCAGGCCACCCAAGGACCCTTTCCAGTAGCCACAGGGATTTTTGGATTCCTATCAATATTCAAGAAGAGTCAGGCATCGTCACCTTTGAAGCAGTGAACTCTGCGTGCCTCCCGAGGTGTCAACTTGATGTGAGGCATTCCGTCATAATGAGGCAGGGACCTAGGGCTATCTGTAAGGTCTCCGCAGGGGATTCAGACATCCCTTCATGTTGGGAGATGAAAGACGAGCCTGTATTCAAGCGACTGCAAGGAAACCTGGCCTCCTTTCAAGTTAGGGCTTCTCGCTGTATATCCCACTTGTGGCAGCAAACTCGGGGTCCCTACCACATACCTATTGCTTAAAGAAGCCTCCCCTTGAGGTGCTTCTGGAAAGTTGGCATACGTCTTGAGCCTAAACCAGGGAATCAGCTCTCATCTCGAGTCGATTTGGGGTACATGGAGCATTCCTCATGTTGCTGTGCTGAAGATGGTGTTCCTCTAGACTTGGGACAGTGTTCTCGGGGCATCTCTGGAGTTGCCTAAAGGAAGTCAAGCCACTGGTCTTGTTTAATGAGGAATGGGGGAAGGCTCTGGGGTCAAGGCAGGGGAATCGGGCCTCATCTCCAGTTGATTTGTGGCACATGGAGCTGCTTTGCGTTGCAGGGGTGACCTCAGGGTCCGTCTAGACTTGTGACAGTGTTCTTGGGCACTCGCTCGAGATCCATTAAGCAAGTGGAAGCTCCGGACTTGATTGGTGGGGATCACGGAATTGCTCTGCGTGCACTTCAGGGGAATCGGACCTCATCTCACATCTAGGGGGAAGTCTCATGTTTTTTTTCGATTTGAGGCGGGGACCTGCGGTATGTTCTCGAGTTACGGCGGGGATTGCCCTTCAAAACTCGTGTTTATTCAGTGACGTCAGGACTCCTGTCTAGTAATGAGGGACACCTCAGTAATCTCTTCGAGGACTGGCAGGGCACGAGGGACGCTTCTCGAGGTGAGCCAGTGTACCCAAGGACCTTTTCCAGGAGCCACAGAGATTTTGGGATTTCTACCAATATTCACGATGAGTCAGGCTATGTTACCTTTTGAAGCAGTGAACTCCGCGTGCCTCTCGAGGTGTCAATGGAATGTGAGGAATTCCGTCATAATGAGGCAGGTACCTAGGGCTTTCTCTAAGGTCTCCCCAGGGGATTCAGACATCCCTTCATGTTGGGAGATGAAAGACGAGCTGTATTCAAGCCACTTCAAGGAAACCCGGCCTCCTTTCAAGTTAGGGCTTCTCGCTGTATATCCCACATGGGGCAGCAAACTCGGCGTCCCTACCACATAGCTTTTGCTTAAAGAAGCCTCCCCTTGAGGTGCTTCTGGAAAGTTGGCATACGTCTTTACCCAAAGCCACGGAATCAGCTCTCAACTCTAGATGATTTGGGGTACACGGAGCATTCCTCGAGTTGCTGTGCTGAAGTTGATGTTCCTCTAGTCTTGTTACAGTGTTCTCGGGGCATCTCTGGAGGTGCCTGAAGGAAGTCAAGCCACTGGTCGTGTTGAATGGGGAATGGCGGTTGGCTCTGGAGTCAATGCAGTGGAATCGGGCCTCACCTCGAGTTGATTTGTGGCACATGGATCTACTTTGCGTTGCTGTGGTGACCTCAGGGTCCATCTAGACTTGTGACAGTGTTCTTGGGGACTCTCTCGAAATCCATTAAAGAATTCGAATCTCCAGACTTGTTTGATGGGGATCACGGAATTGCTCTGCATGCACTGCAGGAGAATCGAGCCTCATCTCGCATCTATGGGGAAGTCTCATGGTTTTTCTCGAGTTGCAGCGGGGATATGCGGTATGTTCTCGATTTAGGGCGGGGATGGCCCTTCAAATCACATGTTTATTCAGTGACGTCAGGACTCCTTTCTAGAAACGTGGGACAACTCAGGAAACTCTTCGAGGCTTGGCAGGGCACAAGGGACGCTTCTCGAGGTGAGGAAGGGCTCTCAAGGACCCTTTCCAATAGCCACAGGGATTTTTGGATTCCTATCAATATTCAAGAGGAGACAGGCATCATCACCTTTTGAAGCAGTGAACTCTGCGTGCCTCCCGAGGTGTCAACTTGATGTGAGGCATTCCGTCATAATGAGGCAGGGACCTAGGGCTATCTGTAAGTTCTCCACAGGAGATTCAGACATCCCTTCATGTTGGGAGATGAAAGACGAGCCTGTATTCAAGCCACTGCAAGGAAACCCGGCCTCCTTTGAAGTTAGGGCTTCTCGCTGTATATCCCAGTTGAGGCAGCAAACTCGGGACCCGTACCACATATCTATTGCTTAAAGAAGCCTCCCCTTGAGGTGCGTCTGGAAAGTTGGCATACGTCTTGAGCCTAAGCCAGGGAATCAGTTCTCATCTCGAGACGATTTGGGGTACATGGAGCATTCCTCGAGTTGCTGTGCTGAAGTTGGTGTTCCTCTAGACTTGGGACAGTGTTCTCGGGGCATCTCTGGAGTTGCCTGAAGGAAGTCAAGCCACTGGTCGTGTTTAATGGGGAACGGGGGAAGGCTCTGGGGTCAATGCAGTGGAACCGGGCCTCACCTCGAGTTGATTTGTGGCACATGGAGCTACTTTGCGTTGCTGTGGTAACCTCAGGGTCCATCTAGACTTGTGACAGTGTTCTTGGGGACTCTCTCGAAATCCATTAAGGAATTCGAATCTCCAGACTTGTTTGATGGGGTTCATGGAATTGCTCTGCATGCACTGCAGGGGAATCGAGCCTCATCTCGCATCTCTGGGGAAGTCTCATGGTTTTTCTCGAGTTGCGGCGGGGATATGCGGTATGTTCTCGAGTGAGGGCGGGGATGGCCCTTCAAATCACATGTTTATTCAGTGACGTCAGGACTCCTTTCTAGTAACGTGGGACAACTCAGGAATCTCTTCGAGGCTTGGCAGGGCACAAGGGACTCTTCTCGAGGTGAGGAAGGGCTCCCAAGGACACTTTCCAGTAGCCACAGGGATTTTGGGATTCCTATCAATATTCAAGCGGAGTCAGGCATCGTCACCTTTTGAAGCAGTGAACTCTGCGTGCCTCCCGAGGTGTCAACTTGATGTGAGGCATTCCGTCATAATGAGGCAGTGACCTTGGGCTATCTGTAAGGTCTCCACAGGGAATTCAGACATCCCTTCATGTTGGGAGATGAAAGACGAGCCTGTATTCAAGCGACTGCAAGGAAACCCGGCCTCCTTTCAAGTTAGGGATTCTCGCTGTATATCCCACTTGAGGCAGCAAACTCGGGGTCCCTACCACATACCTATTGCTTTAAGAAGCCTCCCATTGAGGGGCTTCTGGAAAGTTGGCATACGTCTTGATTCTAAGCCAGGGAATCAGCTCTCATCTCGAGACGATTTGGGGTACATGGAGCATTCCTCGAGTTGCTGTGCTGAAGTTGGTGTTCCTCTAGACTTGGGACAGTGTTCTCGGGGCATCTCTGGAGTTGCCTGAAGGAAGTCAAGCCACTGGTCTTGTTTAATGGGGAACGGCGGATGGCTCTGGAGTCAACACAGGGGAATCGGGCCTCATCTCGAGTTGATTTGGGGCACATGGAGCTGCTTTGCGTTGCAGGGGTGAACTCAGGGTGCGTCTAGACTTGTGACAGTGTTCTTGGGGACTCTCTCGAGATCCATTAAGCAAGTCGAAGCTCCTGACTTGTTTGATGGGGATCACGGAATTGCTCTGCGTGCACTGCAGGGGAATCGGGCCTCATCTCACATCTAGGGGGAAGTCTCATGGTTTTCCTCGATTTGCAGCGGGGACCTGCAATATGTTCTCGAGTTACGGTGGGGATTGCCCTTCAAAACTCGTATTTATTCAGTGACGTCAGGACTCCTGTCTAGTAAAGAGGGACATCTCAGTAATCTCTTTGAGTACTGGCAGGGCACGAGGGACACTTCTCGAGGTGACGCAGTGCACCCAATGACCCTTTCCAGTAGCCACAGAGATTTTGGGATTTCTACCAATATTCACGATGAGTCAGGCTACGTTACCTTTTGAAGCAGTGAACTCCGCGTGCCTCTCGAGGTGTCAACGGGATCTGAGGCATTCCGTCATAATGAGGCAGGGACCTAGGGCTTACTCTAAGGTCTCCACAGGGGATTCAGACATCCCTTCATGTTGGGAGATGCAAGACGAGCATTATTCAAGCCACTGCAAGTAAACGCCGCCTCCTTTAAGTTAGGGCTTCTCGCTGTATAATCCACTTGAGGCAGCAAACTCGGGGTCCCTACCACATACTTATTGCTTAAAGAAGCCTCCCCTTGAGGTGCTTCTGGAAAGTTGGCATACGTCTTGAGCCTAAGCCAGGGAATCAGCTCTCATCTCGAGACGATTTGGGGTACATGGAGCATTCCTCGAGTTGCTGTGCTGAAGTTGGTGTTCCTCTAGACTTGGGACAGTGTTCTCGGGGCATCTCTGGAATTGCCTGAAGGAAGTCAAGCCACTGGTCATGTTTAATGGGGAACGGCAGATGGCTCTGGAGTCAACGCAGGGGAATCGGGCCTCATCTCGAGTTGATTTGGGGCACATGGAGCTGCTTTGCGTTGCAGGGGTGACCTCAGGTTGCGTCTAGACTTGTGACAGTGTTCTTGGGGACTGTCTCGAGATCCATTAAGCAAGTCGAAGCTCCTGACTTTTTTGATGGGGATCAGGGAATTGCTCTGCGTGCACTGCAGGGGAATCGGGCCTCATCTCACATCTAGGGGGAAGTCTCATGGTTTTCCTCGATTTGCAGCGGGGACCTGCAATATGTTCTCGAGTTACGGTGGGGATTGCCCTTCAAAACTCGTATTTATTCAGTGACGTCAGGACTCCTGTCTAGTAACGAGGGACATCTCAGTAATCTCTTTGAGTACTGGCAGGGCACGAGGGACACTTCTCGAGGTGACGCAGTGCACCCAATGACCCTTTCCAGTAGCCACAGAGATTTTGGGATTTCTACCAATATTCACGATGAGTCAGGCTACGTTCCCTTTGAAGCAGTGAACTCCGCGTGCCTCTCGAGGTGTCAACGGGATCTGAGGCATTCCGTAATAATGAGGCAGGGACCTAGGGCTTACTCTAAGGTCTCCACAGGGGATTCAGACATCCCTTCATGTTGGGAGATGCAAGACGAGCAGTATTCAAGCCACTGCAAGGAAACGCCGCCTCCTTTAAGTTAGGGCTTCTCGCTGTATAATCCACTTGAGGCAGCAAACTCGGGGTCCCTACCACATACTTATTGCTTAAAGAGGCCTCCCCTTGAGGTGCTTCTGGGAAGTTGGCATACGTCTTGAGCCTAAGCTAGGGAATCAGCTCTCATCTCGAGACGATTTGGGGTACATGGAGCATTCCTCGAGTTGCTGTGCTGAAGTTAGTGTTCCTCTAGACTTGGGACAGTGTTCTCGGGGCATCTCTGGAGGTGCCTGAAGGAAGTCAAGCCACTGGTCGTTTTGAATGGGGAACGGCGGATGGCTCTGGAGTCAATGCAGTGGAATCAGGCCTCACCTCGAGTTGATTTGTGGCACATGGAGCTAGTTTGCGTTGCTGTAGTAACCTCAGGGTCCGTCTATACTTGTGACAGTGTTCTTGGGGACTCTCTCGAGATCCATTAAGCAAGTCGAAGCTTCTGACTTGTTTGATGGGGATCACGAAATTGCTCTGCATGCCCTGCAGGGGAATCGGGCCTCATCTCACATCTAGGGGGAAGTCTCATGGTTTTTCTCGAGTTGCGGCGGGGACCTGTGGTATGTTATCGAGTTACAGGCGGATGGCCCTTCAAAACACCTGTTTATTCAGTGACGTAAGGACTCCTATCTAGTAACGAGGGACACTTCAGGAATCTCTTTGAGGCTTGGCAGGCCACAAGGGACACTTTTCGAGGTGAGTCAGGCCACCCAAGGACCCTTTCCAGTAGCCACATGGATTTTGGGATTCCTATCAATATTCAAGAGTAGTCAGGCATCGTCACCTTTTGAAGCAGTGAACTCTGCGTGCCTCTCGAGGTGTCAACGGGATGTGAGGCTTTCCGTCAAATGAGGCAGGGACCTAGGGCTTTCTCTAAGGTCTCCACAGGGGATTCAGACATCCCTTCATGTTGTGAGATGAAAGACGAGCCTGTATTCAAGCCACTGCAAGGAAAGCCCTTCTCCTTTCTAGTTAGGGCTTCTAGCTGTATATTCCACTTGAGGCAGCAAACTCGGGGTCCCTCTGACATACCTAATCCTGAGAGAAGCCTCCCCTTGAGGTGCTTCTGTAAAGTTGGCATATGTCTTGTGCTTAAGCCAGGGAATCAGCTCTCATCTCGAGACGATTTCGGGTACACGGAGCATTCCTCGAGTTGCTGTGATGAAGTTAGTGTTCCTCTAGACTTGGGACAGTGTTCTCGGGGCATCTCTGGAGTTTCCTGAAGGAAGTCAAGACACTGGACGTGTTTAATGGGGAATGGGGGATGGCTCTGGAGTCCATGTAGGGGAATCGGGCTTCATCTCGAGTTGACTTGAGGCACATGGGGCTGCTTTGCGATGCTGGGTTGACCTCAGGGTTCGTCTAGACTTGTGACAGTGTTCTTCGGGACTGTGTCGAGATCCATTAAGCAAGTCAGAGCTTCTGACTTGTTTGATGGGGATCCCGGAATTGCTCTGCATGCACTGCAGGAGAATCGGGCCTCATCTCGCATCTAGGGGGAAGTCTCATGGTTTTTCTCGAGTTGCGGTGGGGACCTGGGGTACGTTCTCGAGTTAGGGCGGGGATGGCCCTTCAAAACACGTGTTTATTCAGTGACGTCAGGACTCCTGTCTAGTAACGAGGGACACCTCAGGAATCTCTTCGAGGTTTGGCACGGCACAAGAGACGCCTCTCGGGGAGAGGCAGGGCACCCAAGGACCCCTTCAAGTAGCCACAGTGATTTTGGGATTAATATCAATATTCAAGAGGAGTCAGGCATCGTCACCTTTTGAAGCAGTGAACTCCGCGTGCCTGTGGAAGTGTCAACGGGATGTGAGGCTTTAGGTCAAAATGAGGCAGGGACCTCGGGCTTTCTCTAAGGACTCCACAGGGGATTCAGACATCCCTTCATGTTGTGAGATGAAAGACGAGCCTGTATTCAACTCAATGCAAGGAAACCCGGCCTCCTTTCAAATTAGGGCTTCTCGCTGTATATCCCACTTGGGGCAGCAAACTCGGGGTCCCTCCCACATACCTTTTGCTGAGACAAGCCTCCTCCTGGGGTGCTTCTAGAAAGTTGAAATACGACTTGAGCCTAATCGAGGGAATCAGCTCTCATCTCGAGACGATTTGGGGTACATGGAGCTGCTTTGCATTGCTGGGTTGACATCAGGGATCGTCTAGACTTGTGACAGTGTTCTTCGGGACTGTCTCAAGATCCATTAAGCATTTTGAACCTCCTGACTTGTTTGATGGGGATCACGGAATTGCTCTGCATGCACTGCAGGGGAATCGGGCCACATCTGTCATCTAGGGGGAAGTCTCATGGTTTTTCTCGAGTTGCGGCGGGGACCTTTGCTATGTTATCGATTTAAGGCGGGGATGGCCCTTCAAAACACCTGTTTATTCAGTGAGGTCGGGACTCCTGTCTAGTAACAAGGGACAACTCAGGAATCTCTTCGAGGCTTGGCAGGCAACAAGGAACACTTCTCGAGGTGAGGCAGGGCACCCAAGGACCCCTTCAAGTAGCCACAGTGATTTTGGGATTAATATCAATATTCAAGAGGAGTCAGGCATCGTCACCTTTTGAAGCAGTGAACTCCGCGTGCCTGTGGAAGTGTCAACGGGATGTGAGGCTTTAGGTCAAAATGAGGCAGGGACCTCGGGCTTTCTCTAAGGACTCCACAGGGGATTCAGACATCCCTTCATGTTGTGAGATGAAAGACGAGCCTGTATTCAACTCAATGCAAGGAAACCCGGCCTCATTTCAAGTTAGGGCTTCTCGCTGTATATTCCACTTGAGGCAGCAAACTCGGGGTCCCTCCCACATACCTATTGCTGAGAGAAGCCTCCCCTTGAGGTGCTTCTGGAAAGTTGGCATACATCTTGAGCCTAAGCCAGGAAATCAGCTCTCATCTCGAGACGATTTGGGGTACACGGAGCATTCCTCGAGTTGCTGTGCTGAAGCTGGTCTTCCTATAGACTTGGGACAGTGATCCCAGGGCATCTCTGAAGTTTCCTGAAGGAAGTCAAGCCACTGGTCGTGTTTAATGGGGAATGGCGGTTGGCTCTGGAGTCAATGCAGTGGAATCGGGCCTCACCTCGAGTTGATTTGTGGCACATGGATCTACTTTGCGTTGCTGTGGTGACCTCAGGGTCCATCTAGACTTGTGACAGTGTTCTTGGGGACTCTCTCGAAATCCATTAAAGAATTCGAATCTCCAGACTTGTTTGATGGGGATCACGGAATTGCTCTGCATGCACTGCAGGGGAATCGAGCCTCATCTCGCATATCTGGGGAAGTCTCATGGTTTTTCTCGAGTTGCGGCGGGGATATGCGGTATGTTCTCGAGTGAGGGGGGGGATGGCCCTTCAAATCACATGTTTATTCAGTGACGTCAGGACTCCTTTCTAGTAACGTGGGACAACTCAGGAATCTCTTCGAGGCTTGGCAGGGCACAAGGGACTCTTCTCGAGGGGAGGAAGGGCTCCCAAGGACACTTTCCAGTAGCCACAGGGATTTTGGGATTCCTATCAATATTCAAGAGGAGTCAGGCATCGTCACCTTTTGAAGCAGTGAACTCTGCGTGCCTCCCGAGGTGTCAACTTGATGTGAGGCATTCCGTCATAATGAGGCAGTGACCTAGGGCTATCTGTAAGGTCTCCACAGGGGATTCAGACATCCCTTCATGTTGGGAGATGAAAGACGAGCCTGTATTCAAGCGACTGCAAGGAAACCCGGCCTCCTTTCAAGTTAGGGATTCTCGCTGTATATCCCACTTGAGGCAGAAAACTCGGGGTCCCTACCACATACCTATTGCTTAAAGAAGCCTCCCATTGTGGGGCTTCTGGAAAGTTGGCATACGTCTTGATCCTAAGCCAGGGAATCAGCTCTCATCTCGAGACGATTTGGTCTACATGGAGCATTCCTCGAGTTGCTGTGCTGAAGTTGGTGTTCCTCTAGACTTGGGACAGTGTTCTCGGGGCATCTCTGGAGTTGCCTGAAGGAAGTCAAGCCACTGGTCGTGTTTAATGGGGAACGGCGGATGGCTCTGGAGTCAACGCAGGGGAATCGGGCCTCATCTCGAGTTGATTTGGGGCACATGGAGCTGCTTTGCGTTGCAGGGGTGAACTCAGGGTGCGTCTAGACTTGTGACAGTGTTCTTGGGGACTGTCTCGAGATCCATTAAGCAAGTCGAAGCTCCTGACGTGTTTGATGGGGATCACGGAATTGCTCTGCGTACACTGCAGGGGAATCGGGCCTCATCTCACATCTAGGGGGAAGTCTCATGGTTTTCCTCGATTTGCAGCGGGGACCTGCAGTATGTTCTCGAGTTACGGTGGGGATTGCCCTTCAAAACTCGTGTTTATTCAGTGACGTCAGGACTCCTGTCTAATAACGAGGGATACCTCAGTAATCTCTTTGAGTACTGGCAGGGCACGAGGGACACTTCTCGAGGTGATGCAGTGCACGCAAGGACCCTTTCCAGTAGCTACAGGTATTTTGGGATTTCTACCAATATTCACGATGAGTCAGGCTACGTTACCTTTTGAAGCAGTGAACTCCGCGTGCCTCTCGAGGTGTCAACGGGATGTGAGGCATTCCGTCATAATGAGGAAGGGACATAGGGCTTACTCTAAGGTCTCCACAGGGGATTCAGACATCCCTTCCTGTTGGGAGATGCCAGACGAGCTCTATTCAAGCCACTTCAAGGAAACCCGGCCTCCTTTCAAGTTAGGGCTTCTCCCTGTATATCCCACTTGAGGCAGCAAACTCGGGGTCCCTACCACATACTTATTGCTTAAAGAAGCCTCCCCTTGAGGTGCTTCTGGAAAGTTGGCATACGTCTTGAGCCTAAGCCAGGGAATCAGCTCTCATCTCGAGACGATTTGGGGTACATGGAGAATTCCTCGAGTTGCTGTGCTGAAGTTGGTGTTCCTCTAGACTTGGGACAGTGTTCTCGGGGCATCTCTGGAGTTGCCTGAAGGAAGTCAAGCCACTGGTCGTGTTTAATGGGGAACGGCGGATGGCTCTGGAGTCAACGCAGGGGAATCAGGCCTCACCTCGAGTTGATTTATGGCACATGGAGCTACTTTGCGTTGCTGTGGTAACCTCAGGGTCCGTCTAGACTTGTGACAGTGTTCTTGGGGACTGTCTCGAGATCCGTTAAGCAAGTCGAAGCTTCTGACTTGTTTGATGGGGATCACAGAATTGCTCTGCATGCCCTGCAGGGGAATCGGGCCTCATCTCACAACTAGGGGGAAGTCTCATGGTTTTTCTCGAGTTGCGGCGGGGACCTGTAGTAGGTTATCGAGTTATGGGGGGATGGCCCTTCAAAACACGTGTTTATTCAGTGACGTAAGGACTCCTATCTAGTAACGAGGGACACCTCAGGAATGTCTTCGAACCTTGGCAGGCCACAGGACCCTTTTCGAGGTGAGTCAGGCCACCCAAGGACCCTTTCCAGTAGCCACAGGTATTTTGGGATTCCTATCAATATTCAAGAGTAGTCAGGCATCCTCACCTTTTGAAGCAGTGAACTCTGCGTGCCTCTCGAGGTGTAAACGGGATGTGAGGCTTTCCGTCAAAATGAGGCAGGGACCTAGGGCTTTCTGTAAGGTCTCCACAGGGGATTCAGAAATCCCTTCATGTTGGGAGATGAAAGATGAGCCTGTATTCAAGCCACTGCAAGGAAACCCGGCCTCCTTTCAAGTTAGGGCTTCTCGCTGTATATTCCACTTGAGTCAGCAAACTCGGGGTCCCTCCCACATACATATTGCTGAGAGAAGCCTCCCCTTGAGGTGCTTCCGGAAAGTTGGCATACGTCTTGACCCAAAGCCATGGAATCAGCTCTCATATTGAGACGATTTGGGTTACACAGAGCATTCCTCGAGTTGCTGTGCTGAAGTTGGTGTTCCTCTAGACTTGGGACAGTGTTCTCGGGGCATCTCTGGAGTTGCCTAAAGGAAGTCAAGACACTGGTCTTGTATAATGAGGAACGGGGGAAGGCTTTGGGGTCAACGCAGAGGAATCGGGCCTCATCTAGAGTTGATTTGGGGCACATGGAGCTGCTCTGCGTTGCAGGGGTGACCTCAGTGTCCGTCTAGACTTGTGACAGTGTTCTTGGGGACTCTCTCGAGATCCATTAAGCAAGTCTAAGCTCGTGACTCGATTGATGGGGATCACGGAATTGCTCTGCCTGCACTGCAGGGTAATCGGGCCTCATCTCACATCTAGGGGGAAGTCTCATGGTTTTTTTCGATTTGTGGCGGGGACCTGCGGTATGTTCTCGAGTTACTGCGGGGATTGCCCTTCAAAACTCGTGTTTATTCAGTGACGTCAGGACTCCTGTCTAGTAACGAGGGACACCTCAGTAATCTCTTTGAGGACTGGCAGGGCACGAGGGACGCTTCTCGAGGTGAGCAGTGCACGCAAGGGCCTTTCCCAGTAGCCACAGAGATTTTGGGATTTCTACCAATATTCACCATGAGTCAGGCTACGTTAACTTTTGAAGCAGTGAACTCTGCGTGCCTCTCGAGGTGTCAACGGAATGTGAGGCATTCCGTCATAATGAGGCAGGTACCTAGGGCTTTCTCTAAGGTCTCCACAGGGGATTCAGACATCCCTTCATGTTGGGAGATGAAAGACGAGCTGTATTCAAGCCAATTCAAGGAAACCCGGCCTCCTTTCAAGTTAGGGCTTCTCGCTGTATATCCCACTTGGGGCAGCAAACTCGGGTTCCCTACCACATACCTTTTGCTTAAAGAAGCCTCCCCTTGAGGTGCTTCTGGAAAGTTTGCATACGTCTTGAGCCTAAGCCATGGAATCAGCTCTCATCTCGAGACGATTTGGGGTACATGGAGCATTCCTCGAGTTGCTGTGCTGAAGTTGGTGTTCCTCTAGACTTGGGACAGTGTTCCCGGGGCATCTCTGGAGGTGCCTGAAGGGATTCAAGCCACTGGTCGTGTTGAATGGGGAACGGGGGATAGCTCTGGAGTCAATGCAGTGGAATCGGGCCTCACCTCAAGTTGATTTGTGGCACATGGAGCTACTTTTCGTTGCTGTTGTAACCTCAGGGTCCATCTAAACTTGTGACAGTGTTCTTGGGGACTCTGTCGAAATCCATTAAGGAATTCGAATCTCCAGACTTGTTTGATGGGGATCACGGAATTGCTCTGCATGCACTGCAGGGGAATCGAGCCTCATCTCGCATCTATGGGGAAGTCTCATGGTTTTTCTCGAGTTGCAGCGGGGATATGCGGTATGTTCTCGAGTTAGGGCGGGGATGACCCTTCAAATCACATGTTTATTCAGTGACGTCAGGACTCCTGTCTAGTAACGTGGGACAACTCAGGAATCTCTTTGAGGCTTGGCAGGGCACAAGGTACGCTTCTCCAGGTGAGGTAGTGCTCCCAAGGACCCTTTCCAGTAGCCACAGGGATTTTTGGATTCCTATCAACATTCAAGAGGAGTCAGGCATCGTCACATTTTGTAGCAGTGAACTCTGCGTGCCTCCCGAGGTGTCAACTTGATGTGAGGCATTCCATCATAATGAGGCAGGGACCTAGGGCTATCTGTAAGGTCTCCGCAGGGGATTAAGACATCCCTTCATGTTGGGAGATGAAAGACGAGCCTGTATTCAAGCCACTGCAAGGAAACCCGGCCTCCTTTCAAGTTAGGGCTTCTCGCTGTATATCCCACTTGAGGCAGCAAAATCGGGGTCCCTACCACATACCTATTGCTTAAAGAAGCCTCCCCTTGAGGTGCTTCTGGAAAGTTGGCATACGTCTTGAGCCTAAGCAAGGGAATCAGCTCTCATCTCGAGACGATTTGGGGTACATGGAGCATTCCTCGAGTTGCTGTGCTGAAGTTGGTGTTCCTCTAGACATGGGACAGTGTTCTCGGGGCATCTCTGGAGTTGCCTGAAGGAAGTCAAGCCACTGGTCATGTTTAATGGGGAACGGCGGATGGCTCTGGAGTCAACGCAGGGGAATCAGGCCTCATCTCGAGTGGATTTGGGGCACATGGAGCTGCTTTGCGTTGCAGGGGTGACCTCAGGTTGCATCTAGACTTGTGACAGTGTTCTTGGGGACTGTCTCGAGATCCATTAAGCAAGTCGAAGCTCCTGATTTGTTTGATGGGGATCACGGAATTGCTCTGCGTGCACTGCAGGGGAATCGGGCCTCATCTCACATCTAGGGGGAAGTCTCATGGTTTTCCTCGATTTGCAGCGGGGACCTGCAATATGTTCTCGAGTTAAGGTGGGGATTGCCCTTCAAAACTCGTATTTATTCAGTGACGTCAGGACTCCTGTCTAGTAAAGAGGGACATCTCAGTAATCTCTTTGAGTACTGGCAGGGCACGAGGGACACTTCTCGAGGTGACGAAGTGCACCCAATGACCCTTTCCAGTAGCCACAGAGATTTTGGGATTTCTACCAATATTCACGATGAGTCAGGCTACGTTACCTTTTGAAGCAGTGAACTCCGCGTGCCTCTCGAGGTGTCAACGGGATCTGAGGCATTCCGTCATAATGAGGCAGGGACCTAGGGCTTACTCTAAGGTCTCCACAGGGGATTCAGACATCCCTTCATGTTGGGAGATGCAAGACGAGCAGTATTCAAGCCACTGCAAGGAAACGCCGCCTCCTTTAAGTTAGGGCTTCTCGCTGTATAATCCACTTGAGGCAGCAAACTCGGAGTCCCTACCACATACTTATTGCTTAAAGAAGCCTCCCCTTGAGGTGCTTCTAGAAAGTTGGCATACGTCTTGAGCCTAAGCCAGGGAATCAGCTCTCATCTCGAGACGATTTGGGGTACATGGAGCATTCCTCGAGTTGCTGTGCTGAAGTTGGTGTTCCTCTAGACTTGGGACAGTGTTCTCGGGGCATCTCTGGAGTTGCCTGAAGGAAGTCAAGCCACTGGTCATGTTTAATGGGGAACAGCAGATGGCTCTGGAGTCAACGCAGGGGAATCGGGCCTCATCTCGAGTTGATTTGGGGCACATGGAGCTGCTTTGCGTTGCAGGGGTGACCTCAGGTTGCGTCTAGACTTGTGACAGTGTTCTTGGGGACTGTCTCGAGATCCATTAAGCAAGTCGAAGCTCCTGTCTTGTTTGATGGGGATCACGGAATTGCTCTGCGTGCACTGCAGGGGAATCGGGCCTCATCTCACATCTAGGGGGAAGTCTCATGGTTTTCCTCGATTTGCAGCGGGGACCTGCAATATGTTCTCGAGTTACGGTGGGGATTGCCCTTCAAAACTCGTATTTATTCAGTGACGTCAGGACTCCTGTCTAGTAACATGGGACACCTCAGGAATCTCTTCGAGGGTGGGCAGGGCACAAGGGACTCTTCTCGAAGGGAGGAACTGCACCCAAGGACCCTTTCCAGTAGCCACAGAGATTTTGGGATTTCTACCAATATTCACGATGAGTCAGGCTACGTTACCTTTTGAAGCAGTGAACTCCGCGTGCCTCTCGAGGTGTCAACTGGATCTGAGGCATTCCGTCATAATGAGGCAGGGACCTAGTGCTTACTCTAAGGTCTCCACAGGGGATTCAGACATCCCTTCATGTTGGGAGATGCAAGACGAGCAGTATTCAAGCCACTGCAAGGAAACGCCGCCTCCTTTAAGTTAGGGCTTCTCGCTGTATAATCCACTTGAGGCAGCAAACTCGGGGTCCCTACCACATACTTATTGCTTAAAGAAGCCTCCCCTTGAGGTGCTTCTGGAAAGTTGGCATACGTCTTGAGCCTAAGCCAGGGAATCAGCTCTCATCTCGAGACGATTTGGGGTACATGGAGCATTCCTCGAGTTGCTGTGCTGAAGTTGGTGTTCCTCTAGACTTGGGACAGTGTTCTCGGGGCATCTCTGGAGTTGCCTGAAGGAAGTCAAGCCACTGGTCATGTTTAATGGGGAACGGCGGATGGCTCTGGAGTCAACGCAGGGGAATCGGGCCTCATCTCGAGTTGATTTGGGGCACATGGAGCTGCTTTGCGTTGCAGGGGTGACCTCAGGTTGCGTCTAGACTTGTGACAGTGTTCTTGGGGACTGTCTCGAGATCCATTAAGCAAGTCGAAGCTTCTGACTTGTTTGATGGGGATCACGGAATTGCTCTGCATGCCCTGCAGGTGAATCGGGCCTCGTCTCGCATCGAGGGGGAAGTCTCATGATTTTTCTCGAGTTGCGGCGGCGACCTGTGGTACGTTATCGAGTTATGGGGGGTGGCCCTTCAAAACACGTGTTTATTCAGTGACGTCAGGACTCCTATCTAGTAACGAGGGACACCTCAGGAATCTCTTCGAGGATGGCAGGCCACAAGGGACACTTTTTGAGGTAAGTCAGGCCACCCAAGGACCCTTTCCAGTAGCCACAATGATTTTTGGATTCCTATCAATATTCAAGAGGAGTCAGGCATCGTCACCTTTGAAGCAGTGAACTCTGCGTGCCTCCCGAGGTGTCAACTTGATGTGAGGCATTCCGTCATAAGGAGGCAGGGACCTAGGGCTATCTGTAAGGTCTCCGCAGGGGATTCAGACATCCCTTCATGTTGGGAGCTGAAAGACGAGCCTGTATTCAAGCCAATGCAAGGAAACCCGGCCTCCTTTCAAGTTAGGGCTTCACGCTGTATATCCCACTTGTGGCAGCAAACTCGGGGTCCCTACCACATACCTATTGCTTAAAGAAGCCTCCCCTTGAGGTGCTTCTGGAAAGTTGGCATACGTCTTGAGCGTAAACCAGGGAATCAGCTCTCATCTCGAGTCGATTTGGGGTACATGGAGCATTCCTCAAGTTGCTGTGCTGAAGATGGTGTTCCTCTAGACTTGGGACAGTGTTCTCGGGGCATCTCTGGAGTTGCCTAAAGGAAGTCAAGCCACTGGTCTTGTTTAATGCGGAATGGGGGAAGGCTCTGGGGTCAAGGCAGGGGAATCGGGCCTCATCTCCAGTTGATTTGTGGCACATGGAGCTGCTTTGCGTTGCAGGGGTGACCTCAGGGTCCGTCTAGACTTGTGACAGTGTTCTTGGGCACTCTCTCGAGATCCATTAAGCAAGTCGAAGCTCCGGACTTGATTGGTGGGGATCACGGAATTGCTCTGCGTGCACTGCAGGGGAATCGGACCTCATCTCACATCTAGGGGGAAGTCTCATGTTTTTTTTTCGATTTGAGGCGGGGACCTGCGGTATGTTCTCGAGTTACGGCGGGGATTGCCCTTCAAAACTCGTGTTTATTCAGTGACGTCAGGACTCCTGTCTAGTAACGAGGGACACCTCAGGAATCTCTTCGAGGCTTGGCAGGGCCAAAGGGACGCTTCTCGAGGTGAGGCAGGGCACCCAAGGACCCTTTCCAGTAGCCACAGGGATTTTGGGATTCCTATCAGTATTCAAGAGGAGTCAGGCATCGTCACCTTTTGAAGCAATGAACTCCGCGTGCCTCTCGAGGTGTCAGCGGGATGTGAGGCATTCCGTCAAAATGAGGCAGGGACCTAGGGCTTTCTCTAAGGTCTCCACAGGGGATTCAGACATCCCTTCATGTTGTGAGATGAAAGACGAGCCTGTATTCAAGCCACTGCAAGGAAATCCGGCCTCCTTTCAAGTTAGGGCTTCTCGCTGTATATTCCCCTTGAGGCAGCAAACTCGGGGTCCCTCCCACATACCTATTGCTGAGCGAAGCCTCCTCCTGAGGTGCTTCTGGGAAGTTGGCATACGTCTTGAGCCTAAGCCAGGGAATCAGCTCGCATCTCGAGACGATTTGGGGTAGACGGAGCATTCCTCGAGTTGCTGTGCTGAAGTTGGTGTTCCTCTAGACTTGGGACAGTGTTCTCGGGCATCTCTGGAGTTGCCTGAAGGAAGTCGAGCCACCGGTCGTGTTGAATGGGGAACGGGGAATGGCTCTGGAGTCAATGCAGGGGAATCGGGCCTCATCTCGCGTTGATTTGGGGCACATGGAGCTGCTTTGCGTTGCTGGGGTGACCTCAGGGTCCGTCTAGACTGGTGACAGTGTTCTTGGGGACTGTCTCGAGATCCATTAAGCAAGTCGAAGCTCCTGACTTGTTTGAATGGGATCACGGAATAGCTCTGCATGCACTGCAGGGGAATGGGGCCTCATCTCGCCTCGAGGGGGAAGTCTCATGGTTTTTCTCGAGTTGCGGCGGGGACCTGGGGTATGTTCTCGACTTACGGCGGGGATGGCCCTTCAAAACACGAGTTTCTTCAGTGACGTCAGGACTCCTGTCTAGTAACGAGGGACACCTCAGGAATCTCTTCGAGGCTTGGCAGGGCCAAAGGGACGCTTCTCGAGGTGAGGCAGGGCACCCAAGGACCCTTTCCAGTAGCCACAGGGATTTTGGGATTCCTATCAGTATTCAAGAGGAGTCAGGCATCGTCACCTTTTGAAGCAATGAACTCCGCGTGCCTCTCGAGGTGTCAGCGGGATGTGAGGCATTCCGTCAAAATGAGGCAGGGACCTAGAGCTTTCTCTAAGGTCTCCACAGGGGATTCAGACATCCCTTCATGTTGTGAGATGAAAGACGAGCCTGTATTCAAGCCACTGCAAGGAAATCCGGCCTCCTTTCAAGTTAGGGCTTCTCGCTGTATATTCCCCTTGAGGCAGCAAACTCGGGGTCCCTCGGACATACCTATTGCTGAGAGAAGCCTCCTCCTGAGGTGCTTCTGGGAAGTTGGCATACGTCTTGAGCCTAACCCAGGGAATCAGCTCGCATCTCGAGACGATTTGGGGTACACGGAGCATTCCTCGAGTTGCTGTGCTGAAGTTGGTGTACCTCTAGTCTTGGGACAGTGTTCTCGGGGCATCTCTGGAGTTGCCTGAAGGAAGTCGAGCCACCGGTCGTGTTGAATGGGGAACGGGGAATGGCTCTGGAGTCAACGCAGGGGAATCGGGCCTCATCTCGAGTTGATTTGGGGCACATGGAGCTGCTTTGCGTTGCTGGGGTGACCTCAGGGTCCGTCTAGACTGGTGACAGTGTTCTTGGGGACTGTCTCGAGATCCATTAAGCAAGCCGAAGCTCCTGACTTGTTTGAATGGGATCACGGAATAGCTCTGCATGCACTGCAGGGGAATGGGGCCTCATCTCGCCTCTAGGGGGAAGTCTCATGGTTTTTCTCGAGTTGCGGCGGGGACCTGGGGTATGTTCTCGACTTACGGCGGGGATGGCCCTTCAAAACACGAGTTTCTTCAGTGACGTCAGGACTCCTGTCTAGTAACGAGGGACACCTCAGGAATCTCTTCGAGGCTTGGCAGGGCCAAAGGGACACTTCACGAGGTGAGGCAGGGCACCCAAGGACCCTTTCCAGTAGCCACAGGGATTTTGGGATTCCTATCAGTATTCAAGAGGAGTCAGGCATCGTCACCTTTTGAAGCAATGAACTCCGCGTGCCTCTCGAGGTGTCAGCGGGATGTGAGGCATTCCGTCAAAATGAGGCAGGGACCTAGGGCTTTCTCTAAGGTCTCCACAGGGGATTCAGACATCCCTTCATGTTGTGAGATGAAAGACGAGCCTGTATTCAAGCCACTGCAAGGAAATCCGGCCTCCTTTCAAGTTAGGGCTTCTCGCTGTATATTCCCCTTGAGGCAGCAAACTCGGGGTCCCTCCCACATACCTATTGCTGAGAGAAGCCTCCTCCTGAGGTGCTTCTGGGAAGTTGGCATACGTCTTGAGCCTAAGCCAGGGAATCAGCTCGCATCTCGAGACGATTTGGGGTACACGGAGCATTCCTCGAGTTGCTGTGCTGAAGTTGGTGTTCCTCTAGTCTTGGGACAGTGTTCTCGGGGCATCTCTGGAGTTGCCTGAAGGAAGTCGAGTCACCGGTCGTGTTGAATGGGGAACGGGGAATGGCTCTGGAGTCAATGCAGGGGAATCGGGCCTCATCTCGAGTTGATTTGGGGCACATGGAGCTGCTTTGCGTTGCTGGGGTGACCTCAGGGTCCGTCTAGACTGGTGACAGTGTTCTTGGGGACTGTCTCGAGATCCATTAAGCAAGCCGAAGCTCCTGACTTGTTTGAATGGGATCACGGAATAGCTCTGCATGCACTGCAGGGGAATGGGGCCTCATCTCGCCTCTAGGGGGAAGTCTCATGGTTTTTCTCGAGTTGCGGCGGGGACCTGGGGTATGTTCTCGACTTACGGCGGGGATGGCCCTTCAAAACACGAGTTTCTTCAGTGACGTCAGGACTCCTGTCTAGTAACGAGGGACACCTCAGGAATCTCTTCGAGGCTTGGCAGGGCCAAAGGGACGCTTCTCGAGGTGAGGCAGGGCACCCAAGGACCCTTTCCAGTAGCCACAGGGATTTTGGGATTCCTATCAGTATTCAAGAGGAGTCAGGCATCGTCACCTTTTGAAGCAATGAACTCCGCGTGCCTCTCGAGGTGTCAGCGGGATGTGAGGCATTCCGTCAAAATGAGGCAGGGACCTAGGGCTTTCTCTAAGGTCTCCACAGGGGATTCAGACATCCCTTCATGTTTTGAGATGAAAGACGAGCCTGTATTCAAGCCACTGCAAGGAAATCCGGCCTCCTTTCAAGTTAGGGCTTCTCGCTGTATATTCCCCTTGAGGCAGCAAACTCGGGGTCCCTCCCACATACCTATTGCTGAGAGAAGCCTCCTCCTGAGGTGCTTCTGGGAAGTTGGCATACGTCTTGAGCCTAAGCCAGGGAATCAGCTCGCATCTCGAGACGATTTGGGGTAGACGGAGCATTCCTCGAGTTGCTGTGCTGAAGTTGGTGTTCCTCTAGACTTGCGACAGTGTTCTCGGGGCATCTCTGTAGTTGCCTGAAGGAAGTCGAGCCACCGGTCGTGTTGAATGGGGAACGGGGAATGGCTCTGGAGTCAATGCAGGGGAATCGGGCCTCATCTCGCGTTGATTTGGGGCACATGGAGCTGCTTTGCGTTGCTGGGGTGACCTCAGGGTCCATCTAGACTGGTGACAGTGTTCTTGGGGACTGTCTCGAGATCCATTAAGCAAGTCGAAGCTCCTGACTTGTTTGAATGGGATCACGGAATAGCTCTGCATGCACTGCAGGGGAATGGGGCCTCATCTCGCCTCTAGGGGGAAGTCTCATGGTTTTTGTCGAGTTGCGGCGGGGACCTGGGGTATGTTCTCGACTTACGGCGGGGATGGCCCTTCAAAACACGAGTTTCTTCAGTGACGTCAGGACTCCTGTCTAGTAACGAGGGACACCTCAGGAATCTCTTCGAGGCTTGGCAGGGCCAAAGGGACGCTTCTCGAGGTGAGGCAGGGCACCCAAGGACCCTTTCCAGTAGCCACAGGGATTTTGGGATTCCTATCAGTATTCAAGAGGAGTCAGGCATCGTCACCTTTTGAAGCAATGAACTCCGCGTGCCTCTCGAGGTGTCAGCGGGATGTGAGGCATTCCGTCAAAATGAGGCAGGGACCTAGGGCTTTCTCTAAGTTCTCCACAGGGGATTCAGACATCCCTTCATGTTGTGAGATGAAAGACGAGCCTGTATTCAAGCCACTGCAAGGAAATCCGGCCTCCTTTCAAGTTAGGGCTTCTCGCTGTATATTCCCCTTGAGGCAGCAAACTCGGGGTCCCTCCCACATACCTATTGCTGAGAGAAGCCTCCTCCTGAGGTGCTTCTGGGAAGTTGGCATACGTCTTGAGCCTAAGCCAGGGAATCAGCTCGCATCTCGAGACGATTTGGGATACACGGAGCATTCCTCCAGTTGCTGTGCTGAAGTTGGTGTTCCTCTAGACTTGGGACAGTGTTCTCGGGGCATCTCTGGAGTTGCCTGAAGGAAGTCGAGCCACCGGTCGTGTTGAATGGGGAACGGGGAATGGCTCTGGAGTCAATGCAGGGGAATCGGGCCTCATCTCGAGTTGATTTGGGGCACATGGAGCTGCTTTGCGTTGCTGGGGTGACCTCAGGGTCCGTCTAGACTGGTGACAGTGTTCTTGGGGACTGTCTCGAGATCCATTAAGCAAGTCGAAGCTCCTGACTTGTTTGAATGGGATCACGGAATAGCTCTGCATGCACTGCAGGGGAATGGGGCCTCATCTCGCCTCTAGGGGGAAGTCTCATGGTTTTTCTCGAGTTGCGGCGGGGACCTGGGGTATGTTCCCGACTTACGGCGGGGATGGCCCTTCAAAACACGAGTTTCTTCAGTGACGTCAGGACTCCTGTCTAGTAACGAGGGACACCTCAGGAATCTCTTCGAGGCTTGGCAGGGCCAAAGGGACGCTTCTCGAGGTGAGGCAGGGCACCCAAGGACCCTTTCCAGTAGCCACAGGGATTTTGGGATTCCTATCAGTATTCAAGAGGAGTCAGGCATCGTCACCTTTTGAAGCAATGAACTCCGCGTGCCTCTCGAGGTGTCAGCGGGATGTGAGGCATTCCGTCAAAATGAGGCAGGGACCTAGGGCTTTCTCTAAGGTCTCCACAGGGGATTCAGACATCCCTTCATGTTGTGAGATGAAAGACGAGCCTGTATTCAAGCCACTGCAAGGAAATCCGGCCTCCTTTCAAGTTAGGGCTTCTCGCTGTATATTCCCCTTGAGGCAGCAAACTCGGGGTCCCTCCCACATACCTATTGCTGAGAGAAGCCTCCTCCTGAGGTGCTTCTGGGAAGTTGGCATACGTCTTGAGCCTAAGCCAGGGAATCAGCTCGCATCTCGAGACGATTTGGGGTACACGGAGCATTCCTCGAGTTGCTGTGCTGAAGTTGGTGTTCCTCTAGTCTTGGGACAGTGTTCTCGGGGCATCTCTGGAGTTGCCTGAAGGAAGTCGAGTCACCGGTCGTGTTGAATGGGGAACGGGGAATGGCTCTGGAGTCAATGCAGGGGAATCGGGCCTCATCTCGAGTTGATTTGGGGCACATGGAGCTGCTTTGCGTTGCTGGGGTGACCTCAGGGTCCGTCTAGACTGGTGACAGTGTTCTTGGGGACTGTCTCGAGATCCATTAAGCAAGCCGAAGCTCCTGACTTGTTTGAATGGGATCACGGAATAGCTCTGCATGCACTGCAGGGGAATGGGGCCTCATCTCGCCTCTAGGGGGAAGTCTCATGGTTTTTCTCGAGTTGCGGCGGGGACCTGGGGTATGTTCTCGACTTACGGCGGGGATGGCCCTTCAAAACACGAGTTTCTTCAGTGACGTCAGGACTCCTGTCTAGTAACGAGGGACACCTCAGGAATCTCTTCGAGGCTTGGCAGGGCCAAAGGGACGCTTCTCGAGGTGAGGCAGGGCACCCAAGGACCCTTTCCAGTAGCCACAGGGATTTTGGGATTCCTATCAGTATTCAAGAGGAGTCAGGCATCGTCACCTTTTGAAGCAATGAACTCCGCGTGCCTCTCGAGGTGTCAGCGGGATGTGAGGCATTCCGTCAAAATGAGGCAGGGACCTAGGGCTTTCTCTAAGGTCTCCACAGGGGATTCAGACATCCCTTCATGTTTTGAGATGAAAGACGAGCCTGTATTCAAGCCACTGCAAGGAAATCCGGCCTCCTTTCAAGTTAGGGCTTCTCGCTGTATATTCCCCTTGAGGCAGCAAACTCGTGGTCCCTCCCACATACCTATTGCTGAGAGAAGCCTCCTCCTGAGGTGCTTCTGGGAAGTTGGCATACGTCTTGAGCCTAAGCCAGGGAATCAGCTCGCATCTCGAGACGATTTGGGGTAGACGGAGCATTCCTCGAGTTGCTGTGCTGAAGTTGGTGTTCCTCTAGACTTGCGACAGTGTTCTCGGGGCATCTCTGGAGTTGCCTGAAGGAAGTCGAGCCACCGGTCGTGTTGAATGGGGAACGGGGAATGGCTCTGGAGTCAATGCAGGGGAATCGGGCCTCATCTCGCGTTGATTTGGGGCACATGGAGCTGCTTTGCGTTGCTGGGGTGACCTCAGGGTCCATCTAGACTGGTGACAGTGTTCTTGGGGACTGTCTCGAGATCCATTAAGCAAGTCGAAGCTCCTGACTTGTTTGAATGGGATCACGGAATAGCTCTGCATGCACTGCAGGGGAATGGGGCCTCATCTCGCCTCTAGGGGGAAGTCTCATGGTTTTTCTCGAGTTGCGGCGGGGACCTGGGGTATGTTCTCGACTTACGGCGGGGATGGCCCTTCAAAACACGAGTTTCTTCAGTGACGTCAGGACTCCTGTCTAGTAACGAGGGACACCTCAGGAATCTCTTCGAGGCTTGGCAGGGCCAAAGGGACGCTTCTCGAGGTGAGGCAGGGCACCCAAGGACCCTTTCCAGTAGCCACAGGGATTTTGGGATTCCTATCAGTATTCAAGAGGAGTCAGGCATCGTCACCTTTTGAAGCAATGAACTCCGCGTGCCTCTCGAGGTGTCAGCGGGATGTGAGGCATTCCGTCAAAATGAGGCAGGGACCTAGGGCTTTCTCTAAGGTCTCCACAGGGGATTCAGACATCCCTTCATGTTGTGAGATGAAAGACGAGCCTGTATTCAAGCCACTGCAAGGAAATCCGGCCTCCTTTCAAGTTAGGGCTTCTCGCTGTATATTCCCCTTGAGGCAGCAAACTCGGGGTCCCTCCCACATACCTATTGCTGAGAGAAGCCTCCTCCTGAGGTGCTTCTGGGAAGTTGGCATACGTCTTGAGCCTAAGCCAGGGAATCAGCTCGCATCTCGAGACGATTTGGGATACACGGATCATTCCTCGAGTTGCTGTGCTGAAGTTGGTGTTCCTCTAGACTTGGGACAGTGTTCTCGGGGCATCTCTGGAGTTGCCGGAAGGAAGTCGAGCCACCGGTCGTGTTGAATGGGGAACTGGGAATGGCTCTGGAGTCAATGCAGGGGAATCGGGCCTCATCTCGAGTTGATTTGGGGCACATGGAGCTGCTTTGCGTTGCTGGGGTGACCTCAGGGTCCGTCTAGACTGGTGACAGTGTTCTTGGGGACTGTCTCGAGATCCATTAAGCAAGTCGAAGCTCCTGACTTGTTTGAATGGGATCACGGAATAGCTCTGCATGCACTGCAGGGGAATGGGGCCTCATCTCGCCTCTAGGGGGAAGTCTCATGGTTTTTCTCGAGTTGCGGCGGGGACCTGGGGTATGTTCTCGACTTACGGCGGGGATGGCCCTTCAAAACACGAGTTTCTTCAGTGACGTCAGGACTCCTGTCTAGTAACGAGGGACACCTCAGGAATCTCTTCGAAGCTTGGCAGGGCCAAAGGGACGCTTCTCGAGGTGAGGCAGGGCACCCAAGGACCCTTTCCAGTAGCCACAGGGATTTTGGGATTCCTATCAGTATTCAAGAGGAGTCAGGCATCGTCACCTTTTGAAGCAATGAACTCCGCCTGCCTCTCGAGGTGTCAGCGGGATGTGAGGCATTCCGTCAAAATGAGGCAGGGACCTAGGGCTTTCTCTAAGGTCTCCACAGGGGATTCAGACATCCCTTCATGTTGTGAGATGAAAGACGAGCCTGTATTCAAGCCACTGCAAGGAAATCCGGCCTCCTTTCAAGTTAGGGCTTCTCGCTGTATATTCCCCTTGAGGCAGCAAACTCGGGGTCCCTCCTACATACCTATTGCTGAGAGAAGCCTCCTCCTGAGGTGCTTCTGGGAAGTTGGCATACGTCTTGAGCCTAACCCAGGGAATCAGCTCGCATCTCGAGACGATTTGGGGTACACGGAGCATTCCTCGAGTTGCTGTGCTGAAGTTGGTGTTCCTCTAGACTTGGGACAGTGTTCTCGGGGCATCTCTGGAGTTGCCTGAAGGAAGTCGAGCCACCGGTCGTGTTGAATGGGGAACGGGGAATGGCTCTGGAGTCAATGCAGGGGAATCGGGCCTCATCTCGAGTTGATTTGGGGCACATGGAGCTGCTTTGCGTTGCTGGGGTGACCTCAGGGTCCGTCTAGACTGGTGACAGTGTTCTTGGGGACTGTCTCGAGATCCATTAAGCAAGTCGAAGCTCCTGACTTGTTTGAATGGGATCACGGAATAGCTCTGCATGCACTGCAGGGGAATGGGGCCTCATCTCGCCTCTAGGGGGAAGTCTCATGGTTTTTCTCGAGTTGCGGCAGGGACCTGGGGTATGTTCTCGACTTACGGCGGGGATGGCCCTTCAAAACACGAGTTTCTTCGGTGACGTCAGGACTCCTGTCTAGTAACGAGGGACACCTCAGGAATCTCTTCGAGGCTTGGCAGGGCCAAAGGGACGCTTCTCGAGGTGAGGCAGGGCACCCAAGGACCCTTTCCAGTAGCCACAGGGATTTTGGGATTCCTATCAGTATTCAAGAGGAGTCAGGCATCGTCACCTTTTGAAGCAATGAACTCCGCGTGCCTCTCGAGGTGTCAGCGGGATGTGAGGCATTCCGTCAAAATGAGGCAGGGACCTAGGGCTTTCTCTAAGGTCTCCACAGGGGATTCAGACATCCCTTCATGTTGTGAGATGAAAGACGAGCCTGTATTCAAGCCACTGCAAGGAAATCCGGCCTCCTTTCAAGTTAGGGCTTCTCGCTGTATATTCCCCTTGAGGCAGCAAACTCGGGGTCCCTCCCACATACCTATTGCTGAGAGAAGCCTCCTCCGGAGGTGCTTCTGGGAAGTTGGCATACGTCTTGAGCCTAAGCCAGGGAATCAGCTCGCATCTCGAGACGATTTGGGGTAGACGGAGCATTCCTCGAGTTGCTGTGCTGAAGTTGGTGTTCCTCTAGACTTGGGACAGTGTTCTCGGGGCATCTCTGGAGTTGCCTGAAGGAAGTCGAGCCACCGGTCGTGTTGAATGGGGAACGGGGAATGGCTCTGGAGTCAATGCAGGGGAATCGGGCCTCATCTCGAGTTGATTTGGGGCACATGGAGCTGCTTTGCGTTGCTGGGGTGACCTCAGGGTCCGTCTAGACTGGTGACAGTGTTCTTGGGGACTGTCTCGAGATCCATTAAGCAAGTCGAAGCTCCTGACTTGTTTGAATGGGATCACGGAATAGCTCTGCATGCACTGCAGGGGAATGGGGCCTCATCTCGCCTCTAGGGGGAAGTCTCATGGTTTTTGTCGAGTTGCGGCGGGGACCTGGGGTATGTTCTCGACTTACGGCGGGGATGGCCCTTCAAAACACGAGTTTCTTCAGTGACGTCAGGACTCCTGTCTAGTAACGAGGGACACCTCAGGAATCTCTTCGAGGCTTGGCAGGGCCAAAGGGACGCTTCTCGAGGTGAGGCAGGGCACCCAAGGACCCTTTCCAGTAGCCACAGGGATTTTGGGATTCCTATCAGTATTCAAGAGGAGTCAGGCATCGTCACCTTTTGAAGCAATGAACTCCGCGTGCCTCTCGAGGTGTCAGCGGGATGTGAGGCATTCCGTCAAAATGAGGCAGGGACCTAGGGCTTTCTCTAAGGTCTCCACAGGGGATTCAGACATCCCTTCATGTTGTGAGATGAAAGACGAGCCTGTATTCAAGCCACTGCAAGGAAATCCGGCCTCCTTTCAAGTTAGGGCTTCTCGCTGTATATTCCCCTTGAGGCAGCAAACTCGGGGTCCCTCCCACATACCTATTGCTGAGAGAAGCCTCTTCCTGAGGTGCTTCTGGGAAGTTGGCATACGTCTTGAGCCTAAGCCAGGGAATCAGCTCGCATCTCGAGACGATTTGGGGTACACGGAGCATTCCTCGAGTTGCTGTGCTGAAGTTGGTGTTCCTCTAGACTTGGGACAGTGTTCTCGGGGCATCTCTGGAGTTGCCTGAAGGAAGTCGAGCCACCGGTCGTGTTGAATGGGGAACGGGGAATGGCTCTGGAGTCAATGCAGGGGAATCGGGCCTCATCTTGAGTTGATTTGGGGCACATGGAGCTGCTTTGCGTTGCTGGGGTGACCTCAGGGTCCGTCTAGACTGGTGACAGTGTTCTTGGGGACTGTCTCGAGATCCATTAAGCAAGTCGAAGCTCCTGACTTGTTTGAATGGGATCACGGAATAGCTCTGCATGCACTGCAGGGGAATGGGGCCTCATCTCGCCTCTAGGGGGAAGTCTCATGGTTTTTCTCGAGTTGCGGCGGGGACCTGGGGTATGTTCTCGACTTACGGCGGGGATGGCCCTTCAAAACACGAGTTTCTTCAGTGACGTCAGGACTCCTGTCTAGTAACGAGGGACACCTCAGGAATCTCTTCGAGGCTTGGCAGGGCCAAAGGGACGCTTCTCGAGGTGAGGCAGGGCACCCAAGGACCCTTTCCAGTAGCCACAGGGATTTTGGGATTCCTATCAGTATTCAAGAGGAGTCAGGCATCGTCACCTTTTGAAGCAATGAACTCCGCGTGCCTCTCGAGGTGTCAGCGGGATGTGAGGCATTCCGTCAAAATGAGGCAGGGACCTAGGGCTTTCTCTAAGGTCTCCACAGGGGATTCAGACATCCCTTCATGTTGTGAGATGAAAGACGAGCCTGTATTCAAGCCACTGCAAGGAAATCCGGCCTCCTTTCAAGTTAGGGCTTCTCGCTGTATATTCCCCTTGAGGCAGCAAACTCGGGGTCCCTCCCACATACCTATTGCTGAGAGAAGCCTCCTCCTGAGGTGCTTCTGGGAAGTTGGCATACGTCTTGAGCCTAAGCCAGGGAATCAGCTCGCATCTCGAGACGATTTGGGGTAGACGGAGCATTCCTCGAGTTGCTGTGCTGAAGTTGGTGTTCCTCTAGACTTGGGACAGTGTTCTCGGGGCATCTCTGGAGTTGCCTGAAGGAAGTCGAGCCACCGGTCGTGTTGAATGGGGAATGGGGAATGGCTCTGGAGTCAATGCAGGGGAATCGGGCCTCATCTCGAGTTGATTTGGGGCACATGGAGCTGCTTTGCGTTGCTGGGGTGACCTCAGGGTCCGTCTAGACTGGTGACAGTGTTCTTGGGGACTGTCTCGAGATCCATTAAGCAAGTCGAAGCTCCTGACTTGTTTGAATGGGATCACGGAATAGCTCTGCATGCACTGCAGGGGAATGGGGCCTCATCTCGCCTCTAGGGGGAAGTCTCATGGTTTTTCTCGAGTTGCGGCAGGGACCTGGGGTATGTTCTCGACTTACGGCGGGGATGGCCCTTCAAAACACGAGTTTCTTCGGTGACGTCAGGACTCCTGTCTAGTAACGAGGGACACCTCAGGAATCTCTTCGAGGCTTGGCAGGGCCAAAGGGACGCTTCTCGAGGTGAGGCAGGGCACCCAAGGACCCTTTCCAGTAGCCACAGGGATTTTGGGATTCCTATCAGTATTCAAGAGGAGTCAGGCATCGTCACCTTTTGAAGCAATGAACTCCGCGTGCCTCTCGAGGTGTCAGCGGGATGTGAGGCATTCCGTCAAAATGAGGCAGGGACCTAGGGCTTTCTCTAAGGTCTCCACAGGGGATTCAGACATCCCTTCATGTTGTGAGATGAAAGACGAGCCTGTATTCAAGCCACTGCAAGGAAATCCGGCCTCCTTTCAAGTTAGGGCTTCTCGCTGTATATTCCCCTTGAGGCAGCAAACTCGGGGTCCCTCCCACATACCTATTGCTGAGCGAAGCCTCCTCCGGAGGTGCTTCTGGGAAGTTGGCATACGTCTTGAGCCTAAGCCAGGGAATCAGCTCGCATCTCGAGACGATTTGGGGTAGACGGAGCATTCCTCGAGTTGCTGTGCTGAAGTTGGTGTTCCTCTAGACTTGGGACAGTGTTCTCGGGGCATCTCTGGAGTTGCCTGAAGGAAGTCGAGCCACCGGTCGTGTTGAATGGGGAACGGGGAATGGCTCTGGAGTCAATGCAGGGGAATCGGGCCTCATCTCGCGTTGATTTGGGGCACATGGAGCTGCTTTGCGTTGCTGGGGTGACCTCAGGGTCCGTCTAGACTGGTGACAGTGTTCTTGGGGACTGTCTCGAGATCCATTAAGCAAGTCGAAGCTCCTGACTTGTTTGAATGGGATCACGGAATAGCTCTGCATGCACTGCAGGGGAATGGGGCCTCATCTCGCCTCGAGGGGGAAGTCTCATGGTTTTTCTCGAGTTGCGGCGGGGACCTGGGGTCTGTTCCCGACTTACGGCGGGGATGGCCCTTCAAAACACGAGTTTCTTCAGTGACGTCAGGACTCCTGTCTAGTAACGAGGGACACCTCAGGAATCTCTTCGAGGCTTGGCAGGGCCAAAGGGACGCTTCTCGAGGTGAGGCAGGGCACCCAAGGACCCTTTCCAGTAGCCACAGGGATTTTGGGATTCCTATCAGTATTCAAGAGGAGTCAGGCATCGTCACCTTTTGAAGCAATGAACTCCGCCTGCCTCTCGAGGTGTCAGCGGGATGTGAGGCATTCCGTCAAAATGAGGCAGGGACCTAGGGCTTTCTCTAAGGTCTCCACAGGGGATTCAGACATCCCTTCATGTTGTGAGATGAAAGACGAGCCTGTATTCAAGCCACTGCAAGGAAATCCGGCCTCCTTTCAAGTTAGGGCTTCTCGCTGTATATTCCCCTTGAGGCAGCAAACTCGGGGTCCCTCCTACATACCTATTGCTGAGAGAAGCCTCCTCCGGAGGTGCTTCTGGGAAGTTGGCATACGTCTTGAGCCTAAGCCAGGGAATCAGCTCGCATCTCGAGACGATTTGGGGTAGACGGAGCATTCCTCGAGTTGCTGTGCTGAAGTTGGTGTTCCTCTAGACTTGGGACAGTGTTCTCGGGGCATCTCTGGAGTTGCCGGAAGGAAGTCGAGCCACCGGTCGTGTTGAATGGGGAACGGGGAATGGCTCTGGAGTCAATGCAGGGGAATCGGGCCTCATCTCGAGTTGATTTGGGGCACATGGAGCTGCTTTGCGTTGCTGGGGTGACCTCAGGGTCCGTCTAGACTGGTGACAGTGTTCTTGGGGACTGTCTCGAGATCCATTAAGCAAGTCGAAGCTCCTGACTTGTTTGAATGGGATCACGGAATAGCTCTGCATGCACTGCAGGGGAATGGGGCCTCATCTCGCCTCTAGGGGGAAGTCTCATGGTTTTTCTCGAGTTGCGGCGGGGACCTGGGGTATGTTCTCGACTTACGGCGGGGATGGCCCTTCAAAACACGAGTTTCTTCAGTGACGTCAGGACTCCTGTCTAGTAACGAGGGACACCTCAGGAATCTCTTCGAGGCTTGGCAGGGCCAAAGGGACGCTTCTCGAGGTGAGGAAGGGCACCCAAGGACCCTTTCCAGTAGCCACAGGGATTTTGGGATTCCTATCAGTATTCAAGAGGAGTCAGGCATCGTCACCTTTTGAAGCAATGAACTCCGCGTGCCTCTCGAGGTGTCAGCGGGATGTGAGGCATTCCGTCAAAATGAGGCAGGGACCTAGGGCTTTCTCTAAGGTCTCCACAGGGGATTCAGACATCCCTTCATGTTGTGAGATGAAAGACGAGCCTGTATTCAAGCCACTGCAAGGAAATCCGGCCTCCTTTCAAGTTAGGGCTTCTCGCTGTATATTCCCCTTGAGGCAGCAAACTCGGGGTCCCTCCCACATACCTATTGCTGAGAGAAGCCTTCTCCTGAGGTGCTTCTGGGAAGTTGGCATACGTCTTGAGCCTAAGCCAGGGAATCAGCTCGCATCTCGAGACGATTTGGGGTACACGGAGCATTCCTCGAGTTGCTGTGCTGAAGTTGGTGTTCCTCTAGACTTGGGACAGTGTTCTCGGGGCATCTCTGGAGTTGCCTGAAGGAAGTCGAGCCACCGGTCGTGTTGAATGGGGAACGGGGAATGGCTCTGGAGTCAATGCAGGGGAATCGGGCCTCATCTCGAGTTGATTTGGGGCACACGGAGCTGCTTTGCGTTGCTGGGGTGACCTCAGGGTCCGTCTAGACTGGTGACAGTGTTCTTGGGGACTGTCTCGAGATCCATTAAGCAAGTCGAAGCTCCTGACTTGTTTGAATGGGATCACGGAATAGCTCTGCATGCACTGCAGGGGAATGGGGCCTCATCTCGCCTCTAGGGGGAAGTCTCATGGTTTTTCTCGAGTTGCGGCGGGGACCTGGGGTATGTTCTCGACTTACGGCGGGGATGGCCCTTCAAAACACGAGTTTCTTCAGTGACGTCAGGACTCCTGTCTAGTAACGAGGGACACCTCAGGAATCTCTTCGAGGCTTGGCAGGGCCAAAGGGACGCTTCTCGAGGTGAGGCAGGGCACCCAAGGACCCTTTCCAGTAGCCACAGGGATTTTGGGATTCCTATCAGTATTCAAGAGGAGTCAGGCATCGTCACCTTTTGAAGCAATGAACTCCGCGTGCCTCTCGAGGTGTCAGCGGGATGTGAGGCATTCCGTCAAAATGAGGCAGGGACCTAGGGCTTTCTCTAAGGTCTCCACAGGGGATTCAGACATCCCTTCATGTTGTGAGATGAAAGACGAGCCTGTATTCAAGCCACTGCAAGGAAATCCGGCCTCCTTTCAAGTTAGGGCTTCTCGCTGTATATTCCCCTTGAGGCAGCAAACTCGGGGTCCCTCCCACATACCTATTGCTGAGAGAAGCCTCTTCCTGAGGTGCTTCTGGGAAGTTGGCATACGTCTTGAGCCTAAGCCAGGGAATCAGCTCGCATCTCGAGACGATTTGGGGTACACGGAGCATTCCTCGAGTTGCTGTGCTGAAGTTGGTGTTCCTCTAGACTTGGGACAGTGTTCTCGGGGCATCTCTGGAGTTGCCTGAAGGAAGTCGAGCCACCGGTCGTGTTGAATGGGGAACGGGGAATGGCTCTGGAGTCAATGCAGGGGAATCGGGCCTCATCTTGAGTTGATTTGGGGCACATGGAGCTGCTTTGCGTTGCTGGGGTGACCTCAGGGTCCGTCTAGACTGGTGACAGTGTTCTTGGGGACTGTCTCGAGATCCATTAAGCAAGTCGAAGCTCCTGACTTGTTTGAATGGGATCACGGAATAGCTCTGCATGCACTGCAGGGGAATGGGGCCTCATCTCGCCTCTAGGGGGAAGTCTCATGGTTTTTCTCGAGTTGCGGCGGGGACCTGGGGTATGTTCTCGACTTACGGCGGGGATGGCCCTTCAAAACACGAGTTTCTTCAGTGACGTCAGGACTCCTGTCTAGTAACGAGGGACACCTCAGGAATCTCTTCGAGGCTTGGCAGGGCCAAAGGGACGCTTCTCGAGGTGAGGCAGGGCACCCAAGGACCCTTTCCAGTAGCCACAGGGATTTTGGGATTCCTATCAGTATTCAAGAGGAGTCAGGCATCGTCACCTTTTGAAGCAATGAACTCCGCGTGCCTCTCGAGGTGTCAGCGGGATGTGAGGCATTCCGTCAAAATGAGGCAGGGACCTAGGGCTTTCTCTAAGGTCTCCACAGGGGATTCAGACATCCCTTCATGTTGTGAGATGAAAGACGAGCCTGTATTCAAGCCACTGCAAGGAAATCCGGCCTCCTTTCAAGTTAGGGCTTCTCGCTGTATATTCCCCTTGAGGCAGCAAACTCGGGGTCCCTCCCACATACCTATTGCTGAGAGAAGCCTCCTCCTGAGGTGCTTCTGGGAAGTTGGCATACGTCTTGAGCCTAAGCCAGGGAATCAGCTCGCATCTCGAGACGATTTGGGGTAGACGGAGCATTCCTCGAGTTGCTGTGCTGAAGTTGGTGTTCCTCTAGACTTGGGACAGTGTTCTCGGGGCATCTCTGGAGTTGCCTGAAGGAAGTCGAGCCACCGGTCGTGTTGAATGGGGAATGGGGAATGGCTCTGGAGTCAATGCAGGGGAATCGGGCCTCATCTCGAGTTGATTTGGGGCACATGGAGCTGCTTTGCGTTGCTGGGGTGACCTCAGGGTCCGTCTAGACTGGTGACAGTGTTCTTGGGGACTGTCTCGAGATCCATTAAGCAAGTCGAAGCTCCTGACTTGTTTGAATGGGATCACGGAATAGCTCTGCATGCACTGCAGGGGAATGGGGCCTCATCTCGCCTCGAGGGGGAAGTCTCATGGTTTTTCTCGAGTTGCGGCGGGGACCTGGGGTCTGTTCCCGACTTACGGCGGGGATGGCCCTTCAAAACACGAGTTTCTTCAGTGACGTCAGGACTCCTGTCTAGTAACGAGGGACACCTCAGGAATCTCTTCGAGGCTTGGCAGGGCCAAAGGGACGCTTCTCGAGGTGAGGCAGGGCACCCAAGGACCCTTTCCAGTAGCCACAGGGATTTTGGGATTCCTATCAGTATTCAAGAGGAGTCAGGCATCGTCACCTTTTGAAGCAATGAACTCCGCCTGCCTCTCGAGGTGTCAGCGGGATGTGAGGCATTCCGTCAAAATGAGGCAGGGACCTAGGGCTTTCTCTAAGGTCTCCACAGGGGATTCAGACATCCCTTCATGTTGTGAGATGAAAGACGAGCCTGTATTCAAGCCACTGCAAGGAAATCCGGCCTCCTTTCAAGTTAGGGCTTCTCGCTGTATATTCCCCTTGAGGCAGCAAACTCGGGGTCCCTCCTACATACCTATTGCTGAGAGAAGCCTCCTCCTGAGGTGCTTCTGGGAACTTGGCATACGTCTTGAGCCTAACCCAGGGAATCAGCTCGCATCTCGAGACGATTTGGGGTACACGGAGCATTCCTCGAGTTGCTGTGCTGAAGTTGGTGTTCCTCTAGACTTGGGACAGTGTTCTCGGGGCATCTCTGGAGTTGCCTGAAGGAAGTCGAGCCACCGGTCGTGTTGAATGGGGAACGGGGAATGGCTCTGGAGTCAATGCAGGGGAATCGGGCCTCATCTCGAGTTGATTTGGGGCACATGGAGCTGCTTTGCGTTGCTGGGGTGACCTCAGGGTCCGTCTAGACTGGTGACAGTGTTCTTGGGGACTGTCTCGAGATCCATTAAGCAAGTCGAAGCTCCTGACTTGTTTGAATGGGATCACGGAATAGCTCTGCATGCACTGCAGGGGAATGGGGCCTCATCTCGCCTCTAGGGGGAAGTCTCATGGTTTTTCTCGAGTTGCGGCAGGGACCTGGGGTATGTTCTCGACTTACGGCGGGGATGGCCCTTCAAAACACGAGTTTCTTCGGTGACGTCAGGACTCCTGTCTAGTAACGAGGGACACCTCAGGAATCTCTTCGAGGCTTGGCAGGGCCAAAGGGACGCTTCTCGAGGTGAGGCAGGGCACCCAAGGACCCTTTCCAGTAGCCACAGGGATTTTGGGATTCCTATCAGTATTCAAGAGGAGTCAGGCATCGTCACCTTTTGAAGCAATGAACTCCGCGTGCCTCTCGAGGTGTCAGCGGGATGTGAGGCATTCCGTCAAAATGAGGCAGGGACCTAGGGCTTTCTCTCAGGTCTCCACAGGGGATTCAGACATCCCTTCATGTTGTGAGATGAAAGACGAGCCTGTATTCAAGCCACTGCAAGGAAATCCGGCCTCCTTTCAAGTTAGGGCTTCTCGCTGTATATTCCCCTTGAGGCAGCAAACTCGGGGTCCCTCCCACATACCTATTGCTGAGCGAAGCCTCCTCCGGAGGTGCTTCTGGGAAGTTGGCATACGTCTTGAGCCTAAGCCAGGGAATCAGCTCGCATCTCGAGACGATTTGGGGTAGACGGAGCATTCCTCGAGTTGCTGTGCTGAAGTTGGTGTTCCTCTAGACTTGGGACAGTGTTCTCGGGGCATCTCTGGAGTTGCCTGAAGGAAGTCGAGCCACCGGTCGTGTTGAATGGGGAACGGGGAATGGCTCTGGAGTCAATGCAGGGGAATCGGGCCTCATCTCGCGTTGATTTGGGGCACATGGAGCTGCTTTGCGTTGCTGGGGTGACCTCAGGGTCCGTCTAGACTGGTGACAGTGTTCTTGGGGACTGTCTCGAGATCCATTAAGCAAGTCGAAGCTCCTGACTTGTTTGAATGGGATCACGGAATAGCTCTGCATGCACTGCAGGGGAATGGGGCCTCATCTCGCCTCGAGGGGGAAGTCTCATGGTTTTTCTCGAGTTGCGGCGGGGACCTGGGGTATGTTCTCGACTTACGGCGGGGATGGCCCTTCAAAACACGAGTTTCTTCAGTGACGTCAGGACTCCTGTCTAGTAACGAGGGACACCTCAGGAATCTCTTCGAGGCTTGGCAGGGCCAAAGGGACGCTTCTCGAGGTGAGGCAGGGCACCCAAGGACCCTTTCCAGTAGCCACAGGGATTTTGGGATTCCTATCAGTATTCAAGAGGAGTCAGGCATCGTCACCTTTTGAAGCAATGAACTCCGCGTGCCTCTCGAGGTGTCAGCGGGATGTGAGGCATTCCGTCAAAATGAGGCAGGGACCTAGAGCTTTCTCTAAGGTCTCCACAGGGGATTCAGACATCCCTTCATGTTGTGAGATGAAAGACGAGCCTGTATTCAAGCCACTGCAAGGAAATCCGGCCTCCTTTCAAGTTAGGGCTTCTCGCTGTATATTCCCCTTGAGGCAGCATCCCTCCCACATACCTATTGCTGAGAGAAGCCTCCTCCGGAGGTGCTTCTGGGAAGTTGGCATACGTCTTGAGCCTAAGCCAGGGAATCAGCTCGCATCTCGAGACGATTTGGGGTAGACGGAGCATTCCTCGAGTTGCTGTGCTGAAGTTGGTGTTCCTCTAGACTTGGGACAGTGTTCTCGGGGCATCTCTGGAGTTGCCGGAAGGAAGTCGAGCCACCGGTCGTGTTGAATGGGGAACGGGGAATGGCTCTGGAGTCAATGCAGGGGAATCGGGCCTCATCTCGAGTTGATTTGGGGCACATGGAGCTGCTTTGCGTTGCTGGGGTGACCTCAGGGTCCGTCTAGACTGGTGACAGTGTTCTTGGGGACTGTCTCGAGATCCATTAAGCAAGTCGAAGCTCCTGACTTGTTTGAATGGGATCACGGAATAGCTCTGCATGCACTGCAGGGGAATGGGGCCTCATCTCGCCTCTAGGGGGAAGTCTCATGGTTTTTCTCGAGTTGCGGCGGGGACCTGGGGTATGTTCTCGACTTACGGCGGGGATGGCCCTTCAAAACACGAGTTTCTTCAGTGACGTCAGGACTCCTGTCTAGTAACGAGGGACACCTCAGGAATCTCTTCGAGGCTTGGCAGGGCCAAAGGGACGCTTCTCGAGGTGAGGAAGGGCACCCAAGGACCCTTTCCAGTAGCCACAGGGATTTTGGGATTCCTATCAGTATTCAAGAGGAGTCAGGCATCGTCACCTTTTGAAGCAATGAACTCCGCGTGCCTCTCGAGGTGTCAGCGGGATGTGAGGCATTCCGTCAAAATGAGGCAGGGACCTAGGGCTTTCTCTAAGGTCTCCACAGGGGATTCAGACATCCCTTCATGTTGTGAGATGAAAGACGAGAATGTATTCAAGCCACTGCAAGGAAATCCGGCCTCCTTTCAAGTTAGGGCTTCTCGCTGTATATTCCCCTTGAGGCAGCAAACTCGGGGTCCCTCCCACATACCTATTGCTGAGAGAAGCCTTCTCCTGAGGTGCTTCTGGGAAGTTGGCATACGTCTTGAGCCTAAGCCAGGGAATCAGCTCGCATCTCGAGACGATTTGGGGTACACGGAGCATTCCTCGAGTTGCTGTGCTGAAGTTGGTGTTCCTCTAGACTTGGGACAGTGTTCTCGGGGCATCTCTGGAGTTGCCTGAAGGAAGTCGAGCCACCGGTCGTGTTGAATGGGGAACGGGGAATGGCTCTGGAGTCAATGCAGGGGAATCGGGCCTCATCTCGAGTTGATTTGGGGCACACGGAGCTGCTTTGCGTTGCTGGGGTGACCTCAGGGTCCGTCTAGACTGGTGACAGTGTTCTTGGGGACTGTCTCGAGATCCATTAAGCAAGTCGAAGCTCCTGACTTGTTTGAATGGGATCACGGAATAGCTCTGCATGCACTGCAGGGGAATGGGGCCTCATCTCGCCTCTAGGGGGAAGTCTCATGGTTTTTCTCGAGTTGCGGCGGGGACCTGGGGTATGTTCTCGACTTACGGCGGGGATGGCCCTTCAAAACACGAGTTTCTTCAGTGACGTCAGGACTCCTGTCGAGTAACGAGGGACACCTCAGGAATCTCTTCGAGGCTTGGCAGGGCCAAAGGGACGCTTCTCGAGGTGAGGCAGGGCACCCAAGGACCCTTTCCAGTAGCCACAGGGATTTTGGGATTCCTATCAGTATTCAAGAGGAGTCAGGTATCGTCACCTTTTGAAGCAATGAACTCCGCGTGCCTCTCGAGGTGTCAGCGGGATGTGAGGCATTCCGTCAAAATGAGGCAGCGACCTAGAGCTTTCTCTAAGGTCTCCACAGGGGATTCAGACATCCCTTCATGTTGTGAGATGAAAGACGAGCCTGTATTCAAGCCACTGCAAGGAAATCCGGCCTCCTTTCAAGTTAGGGCTTCTCGCTGTATATTCCCCTTGAGGCAGCAAACTGGGGGTCCCTCGGACATACCTATTGCTGAGAGAAGCCTCCTCCTGAGGTGCTTCTGGGAAGTTGGCATACGTCTTGAGCCTAACCCAGGGAATCAGCTCGCATCTCGAGACGATTTGGGGTACACGGAGCATTCCTCGAGTTGCTGTGCTGAAGTTGGTGTACCTCTAGTCTTGGGACAGTGTTCTCCGGGCATCTCTGGAGTTGCCTGAAGGAAGTCGAGCCACCGGTCGTGTTGAATGGGGAACGGGGAATGGCTCTGGAGTCAATGCAGGGGAATCGGGCCTCATCTCGAGTTGATTTGGGGCACATGGAGCTGCTTTGCGTTGCTGGGGTGACCTCAGGGTCCGTCTAGACTGGTGACAGTGTTCTTGGGGACTGTCTCGAGATCCATTAAGCAAGCCGAAGCTCCTGACTTGTTTGAATGGGATCACGGAATAGCTCTGCATGCACTGCAGGGGAATGGGGCCTCATCTCGCCTCTAGGGGGAAGTCTCATGGTTTTTCTCGAGTTGCGGCGGGGACCTGGGGTATGTTCTCGACTTACGGCGGGGATGGCCCTTCAAAACACGAGTTTCTTCAGTGACGTCAGGACTCCTGTCTAGTAACGAGGGACACCTCAGGAATCTCTTCGAGGCTTGGCAGGGCCAAAGGGACACTTCTCGAGGTGAGGCAGGGCACCCAAGGACCCTTTCCAGTAGCCACAGGGATTTTGGGATTCCTATCAGTATTCAAGAGGAGTCAGGCATCGTCACCTTTTGAAGCAATGAACTCCGCGTGCCTCTCGAGGTGTCAGCGGGATGTGAGGCATTCCGTCAAATGAGGCAGGGACCTAGGGCTTTCTCTAAGGTCTCCACAGGGGATTCAGACATCCCTTCATGTTGTGAGATGAAAGACGAGCCTGTATTCAAGCCACTGCAAGGAAATCCGGCCTCCTTTCAAGTTAGGGCTTCTCGCTGTATATTCCCCTTGAGGCAGCAAACTCGGGGTCCCTCGGACATACCTATTGCTGAGAGAAGCCTCCTCCTGAGGTGCTTCTGGGAAGTTGGCATACGTCTTGAGCCTAACCCAGGGAATCAGCTCGCATCTCGAGACGATTTGGGGTACACGGAGCATTCCTCGAGTTGCTGTGCTGAAGTTGGTGTACCTCTAGTCTTGGGACAGTGTTCTCCGGGCATCTCTGGAGTTGCCTGAAGGAAGTCGAGACACCGGTCGTGTTGAATGGGGAACGGGGAATGGCTCTGGAGTCAATGCAGGGGAATCGGGCCTCATCTCGAGTTGATTTGGGGCACATGGAGCTGCTTTGCGTTGCTGGGGTGACCTCAGGGTCCGTCTAGACTGGTGACAGTGTTCTTGGGGACTGTCTCGAGATCCATTAAGCAAGCCGAAGCTCCTGACTTGTTTGAATGGGATCACGGAATAGCTCTGCATGCACTGCAGGGGAATGGGGCCTCATCTCGCCTCTAGGGGGAAGTCTCATGGTTTTTCTCGAGTTGCGGCGGGGACCTGGGGTATGTTCTCGACTTCCGGCGGGGATGGCCCTTCAAAACACGAGTTTCTTCAGTGACGTCAGGACTCCTGTCTAGTAACGAGGGACACCTCAGGAATCTCTTCGAGGCTTGGCAGGGCCAAAGGGACACTTCTCGAGGTGAGGCAGGGCACCCAAGGACCCTTTCCAGTAGCCACAGGGATTTTGGGATTCCTATCAGTATTCAAGAGGAGTCAGGCATCGTCACCTTTTGAAGCAATGAACTCCGCGTGCCTCTCGAGGTGTCAGCGGGATGTGAGGCATTCCGTCAAATGAGGCAGGGACCTAGGGCTTTCTCTAAGGTCTCCACAGGGGATTCAGACATCCCTTCATGTTGTGAGATGAAAGACGAGCCTGTATTCAAGCCACTGCAAGGAAATCCGGCCTCCTTTCAAGTTAGGGCTTCTCGCTGTATATTCCCCTTGAGGCAGCAAACTCGGGGTCCCTCCCACATACCTATTGCTGAGAGAAGCCTCCTCCTGAGGTGCTTCTGGGAAGTTGGCATACGTCTTGAGCCTAAGCCAGGGAATCAGCTCGCATCTCGAGACGATTTGGGGTACACGGAGCATTCCTCGAGTTGCTGTGCTGAAGTTGGTGTTCCTCTAGTCTTGGGACAGTGTTCTCGGGGCATCTCTGGAGTTGCCTGAAGGAAGTCGAGCCACCGGTCGTGTTGAATGGGGAACGGGGAATGGCTCTGGAGTCAATGCAGGGGAATCGGGCCTCATCTCGAGTTGATTTGGGGCACATGGAGCTGCTTTGCGTTGCTGGGGTGACCTCAGGGTCCGTCTAGACTGGTGACAGTGTTCTTGGGGACTGTCTCGAGATCCATTAAGCAAGCCGAAGCTCCTGACTTGTTTGAATGGGATCACGGAATAGCTCTGCATGCACTGCAGGGGAATGGGGCCTCATCTCGCCTCTAGGGGGAAGTCTCATGGTTTTTCTCGAGTTGCGGCGGGGACCTGGGGTATGTTCTCGACTTACGGCGGGGATGGCCCTTCAAGACACGAGTTTCTTCAGTGACGTCAGGACTCCTGTCTAGTAACGAGGGACACCTCAGGAATCTCTTCGAGGCTTGGCAGGGCCAAAGGGACGCTTCTCGAGTTGAGGCAGGGCACCCAAGGACCCTTTCCAGTAGCCACAGGGATTTTGGGATTCCTATCAGTATTCAAGAGGAGTCAGGCATCGTCACCTTTTGAAGCAATGAACTCCGCGTGCCTCTCGAGGTGTCAGCGGGATGTGAGGCATTCCGTCAAAATGAGGCAGGGACCTAGGGCTTTCTCTAAGGTCTCCACAGGGGATTCAGACATCCCTTCATGTTGTGAGATGAAAGACGAGCCTGTATTCAAGCCACTGCAAGGAAATCCGGCCTCCTTTCAAGTTAGGGCTTCTCGCTGTATATTCCCCTTGAGGCAGCAAACTCGGGGTCCCTCCCACATACCTATTGCTGAGAGAAGCCTCCTCCTGAGGTGCTTCTGGGAAGTTGGCATAAGTCTTGAGCCTAAGCCAGGGAATCAGCTCGCATCTCGAGACGATTTGGGGTACACGGAGCGTTCCTCGAGTTGCTGTGCTGAAGTTGGTGTTCCTCTAGACTTGGGACAGTGTTCTCGGGGCATCTCTGGAGTTGCCTGAAGGAAGTCGAGCCACCGGTCGTGTTGAATGGGGAACGGGGAATGGCTCTGGAGTCAATGCAGGGGAATCGGGCCTCATCTCGTGTTGATTTGGGGCACATGGAGCTGCTTTGCGTTGCTGGGGTGACCTCAGGGTCCGTCTAGACTGGTGACAGTGTTCTTGGGGACTGTCTCGAGATCCATTAAGCAAGTCGAAGCTCCTGACTTGTTTGAATGGGATCACGGAATAGCTCTGCATGCACTGCAGGGGAATGGGGCCTCATCTCGCCTCTAGGGGGAAGTCTCATGTTTTTTCTCGAGTTGCGGCGGGGACCTGGGGTATGTTCTCGACTTACGGCGGGGATGGCCCTTCAAGACACGAGTTTCTTCAGTGACGTCAGGACTCCTGTCTAGTAACGAGGGACACCTCAGGAATCTCTTCGAGGCTTGGCAGGGCCAAAGGGACGCTTCTCGAGGTGAGGCAGGGCACCCAAGGACCCTTTCCAGTAGCCACAGGGATTTTGGGATTCCTATCAGTATTCAAGAGGAGTCAGGCATCGTCACCTTTTGAAGCAATGAACTCCGCGTGCCTCTCGAGGTGTCAGCGGGATGTGAGGCATTCCGTCAAAATGAGGCAGGGACCTAGGGCTTTCTCTAAGGTCTCCACAGGGGATTCAGACATCCCTTCATGTTGTGAGATGAAAGACGAGCCTGTATTCAAGCCACTGCAAGGAAATCCGGCCTCCTTTCAAGTTAGGGCTTCTCGCTGTATATTCCCCTTGAGGCAGCAAACTCGGGGTCCCTCCCACATACCTATTGCTGAGAGAAGCCTCCTCCTGAGGTGCTTCTGGGAAGTTGGCATACGTCTTGAGCCTAAGCCAGGGAATCAGCTCGCATCTCGAGACGATTTGGGGTAGACGGAGCGTTCCTCGAGGTGCTGTGCTGAAGTTGGTGTTCCTCTAGACTTGGGACAGTGTTCTCGGGGCATCTCTGGAGTTGCCTGAAGGAAGTCGAGCCACCGGTCGTGTTGAATGGGGAACGGGGAATGGCTCTGGAGTCAATGCAGGGGAATCGGGCCTCATCTCGAGTTGATTTGGGGCACATGGAGCTGCTTTGCGTTGCTGGGGTGACCTCAGGGTCCGTCTAGACTGGTGACAGTGTTCTTGGGGACTGCCTCGAGATCCATTAAGCAAGTCGAAGCTCCTGACTTGTTTGAATGGGATCACGGAATAGCTCTGCATGCACTGCAGGGGAATGGGGCCTCATCTCGCCTCTAGGGGGAAGTCTCATGGTTTTTCTCGAGTTGCGGCGGGGACCTGGGGTATGTTCTCGACTTACGGCGGGGATGGCCCTTCAAGACACGAGTTTCTTCAGTGACGTCAGGACTCCTGTCTAGTAACGAGGGACACCTCAGGAATCTCTTCGAGGCTTGGCAGGGCCAAAGGGACGCTTCTCGAGGTGAGGCAGGGCACCCAAGGACCCTTTCCAGTAGCCACAGGGATTTTGGGATTCCTATCAGTATTCAAGAGGAGTCAGGCATCGTCACCTTTTGAAGCAATGAACTCCGCGTGCCTCTCGAGGTGTCAGCGGGCTGTGAGGCATTCCGTCAAAATGAGGCAGCGACCTAGGGCTTTCTCTAAGGTCTCCACAGGGGATTCAGACATCCCTTCATGTTGTGAGATGAAAGACGAGCCTGTATTCAAGCCACTGCAAGGAAATCCGGCCTCCTTTCAAGTTAGGGCTTCTCGCTGTATATTCCCCTTGAGGCAGCAAACTCGGGGTCCCTCCCACATACCTATTGCTGAGAGAAGCCTCCTCCTGAGGTGCTTCTGGGAAGTTGGCATACGTCTTGAGCCTAAGCCAGGGAATCAGCTCTCATCTCGAGACGATTTGGGGTACACGGAGCATTCCTCGAGTTGCTGTGCTGAAGTTGGTGTTCCTCTAGACTTGGGACAGTGTTCTCGGGGCATCTCTGGAGTTGCCTGAAGGAAGTCGAGCCACCGGTCGTGTTGAATGGGGAACGGGGAATGGCTCTGGAGTCAATGCAGGGGAATCGGGCCTCATCTCGCGTTGATTTGGGGCACATGGAGCTGCTTTGCGTTGCTGGGGTGACCTCAGGGTCCGTCTAGACTGGTGACAGTGTTCTTGGGGACTGTCTCGAGATCCATTAAGCAAGTCGAAGCTCCTGACTTGTTTGAATGGGATCACGGAATAGCTCTGCATGCACTGCAGGGGAATGGGGCCTCGTCTCGCCTCTAGGGGGAAGTCTCATGGTTTTTCTCGAGTTGCGGCGGGGACCTGGGGTATGTTCTCGACTTACGGCGGGGATGGCCCTTCAAAACACGAGTTTCTTCAGTGACGTCAGGACTCCTGTCTAGTAACGAGGGACACCTCAGGAATCTCTTCGAGGCTTGGCAGGGCCAAAGGGACGCTTCTCGAGGTGAGGTAGGGCACCCAAGGACCTTTTCCAGTAGCCACAGGGATTTTGGGATTCCTATCAGTATTCAAGAGGAGTCAGGCATCGTCACCTTTTGAAGCAATGAACTCCGCGTGCCTCTCGAGGTGTCAGCGGGATGTGAGGCATTCCGTCAAAATGAGGCAGGGACCTAGGGCTTTCTCTAAGGTCTCCACAGGGGATTCAGACACCCCTTCATGTTGTGAGATGAAAGACGAGCCTGTATTCAAGCCACTGCAAGGAAATCCGGCCTCCTTTCAAGTTAGGGCTTCTCGCTGTATATTCCCCTTGAGGCAGCAAACTCGGGGTCCCTCCCACATACCTATTGCTGAGAGAAGCCTCCTCCTGAGGTGCTTCTGGGAAGTTGGCATACGTCTTGAGCCTAAGCCAGGGAATCAGCTCGCATCTCGAGACGATTTGGGGTACACGGAGCATTCCTCGAGTTGCTGTGCTGAAGTTGGTGTTCCTCTAGACTTGGGACAGTGTTCTCGGGGCATCTCTGGAGTTGCCTGAAGGAAGTCGAGCCACCGGTCGTGTTGAATGGGGAACGGGGTATGGCTCTGGAGTCAATGCAGGGGAATCGGGCCTCATCTCGAGTTGATTTGGGGCACACGGAGCTGCTTTGCGTTGCTGGGGTGACCTCAGGGTCCGTCTAGACTGGTGACAGTGTTCTTGGGGACTGTCTCGAGATCCATTAAGCAAGTCGAAGCTCCTGACTTGTTTGAATGGGATCACGGAATAGCTCTGCATGCACTGCAGGGGAATGGGGCCTCATCTCGCCTCTAGGGGGAAGTCTCATGGTTTTTCTCGAGTTGCGGCGGGGACCTGGGGTATGTTCTCGACTTACGGCGGGGATGGCCCTTCAAAACACGAGTTTCTTCAGTGACGTCAGGACTCCTGTCTAGTAACGAGGGACACCTCAGGAATCTCTTCGAGGCTTGGCAGGGCCAAAGGGACGCTTCTCGAGGTGAGGCAGGGCACCCAAGGACCCTTTCCAGTAGCCACAGGGATTTTGGGATTCCTATCAGTATTCAAGAGGAGTCAGGCATCGTCACCTTTTGAAGCAATGAACTCTGCGTGCCTCTCGAGGTGTCAGCGGGATGTGAGGCATTCCGTCAAAATGAGGCAGCGACCTAGGGCTTTCTCTAAGGTCTCCACAGGGGATTCAGACATCCCTTCATGTTGTGAGATGAAAGACGAGCCTGTATTCAAGCCACTGCAAGGAAATCCGGCCTCCTTTCAAGTTAGGGCTTCTCGCTGTATATTCCCCTTGAGGCAGCAAACTCGGGGTCCCTCCCACATACCTATTGCTGAGAGAAGCCTCCTCCTGAGGTGCTTCTGGGAAGTTGGCATACGTCTTGAGCCTAAGCCAGGGAATCAGCTCTCATCTCGAGACGATTTGGGGTACACGGAGCATTCCTCGAGTTGCTGTGCTGAAGTTGGTGTTCCTCTAGACTTGGGACAGTGTTCTCGGGGCATCTCTGGAGTTGCCTGAAGGAAGTCGAGCCACCGGTCGTGTTGAATGGGGAACGGGGAATGGCTCTGGAGTCAATGCAGGGGAATCGGGCCTCATCTCGAGTTGATTTGGGGCACACGGAGCTGCTTTGCATTGCTGGGGTGACCTCAGGGTCCGTCTAGACTGGTGACAGTGTTCTTGGGGACTGTCTCGAGATCCATTAAGCAAGTCGAAGCTCCTGACTTGTTTGAATGGGATCACAGAATAGCTCTGCATGCACTGCAGGGGAATGGGGCCTCATCTCGCCTCTAGGGGGAAGTCTCATGGTTTTTCTCGAGTTGCGGCGGGGACCTGGGGTATGTTCTCGACTTACGGCGGGGATGGCCCTTCAAAACACGAGTTTCTTCAGTGACGTCAGGACTCCTGTCTAGTAACGAGGGACACCTCAGGAATCTCTTCGAGGCTTGGCAGGGCCAAAGGGACGCTTCTCGAGGTGAGGCAGGGCACCCAAGGACCCTTTCCAGTAGCCACAGGGATTTTGGGATTCCTATCAGTATTCAAGAGGAGTCAGGCATCGTCACCTTTTGAAGCAATGAACTCCGTGTGCCTCTCGAGGTGTCAGCGGGATGTGAGGCATTCCGTCAAAATGAGGCAGGGACCTAGGGCTTTCTCTAAGGTCTCCACAGGGGATTCAGACATCCCTTCATGTTGTGAGATGAAAGACGAGCCTGTATTCAAGCCACTCCAAGGAAATCCGGCCTCCTTTCAAGTTAGGGCTTCTCGCTGTATATTCCCCTTGAGGCAGGAAACTCGGGGTCCCTCCCACATACCTATTGCTGAGAGAAGCCTCCTCCTGAGGTGCTTCTGGGAAGTTGGCATACGTCTTGAGCCTAAGCCAGGGAATCAGCTCTCATCTCGAGACGATTTGGGGTACACGGAGCATTCCTCGAGTTGCTGTGCTGAAGTTGGTGTTCCTCTAGACTTGGGACAGTGTTCTCGGGGCATCTCTGGAGTTGCCTGAAGGAAGTCGAGCCACCGGTCGTGTTGAATGGGGAACGGGGAATGGCTCTGGAGTCAATGCAGGGGAATCGGGCCTCATCTCGAGTTGATTTGGGGCACACGGAGCTGCTTTGCGTTGCTGGGGTGACCTCAGGGTCCGTCTAGACTGGTGACAGTGTTCTTGGGGACTGTCTCGAGATCCATTAAGCAAGTCGAAGCTCCTGACTTGTTTGAATGGGATCACAGAATAGCTCTGCATGCACTGCAGGGGAATGGGGCCTCATCTCGCCTCTAGGGGGAATTCTCATGGTTTTTCTCGAGTTGCGGCGGGGACCTGGGGTATGTTCTCGACTTACGGCGGGGATGGCCCTTCAAAACACGAGTTTCTTCAGTGACGTCAGGACTCCTGTCTAGTAACGAGGGACACCTCAGGAATCTCTTCGAGGCTTGGCAGGGCCAAAGGGACGCTTCTCGAGGTGAGGCAGGGCACCCAAGGACCCTTTCCAGTAGCCACAGGGATTTTGGGATTCCTATCAGTATTCAAGAGGAGTCAGGCATCGTCACCTTTTGAAGCAATGAACTCCGCGTGCCTCTCGAGGTGTCAGCGGGATGTGAGGCATTCCGTCAAAATGAGGCAGGGACCTAGGGCTTTCTCTAAGGTCTCCACAGGGGATTCAGACATCCCTTCATGTTGTGAGATGAAAGACGAGCCTGTATTCAAGCCACTGCAAGGAAATCCGGCCTCCTTTCAAGTTAGGGCTTCTCGCTGTATATTCCCCTTAGGCAGCAAACTCGGGGTCCCTCCCACATACCTATTGCTGAGAGAAGCCTCCTCCTGAGGTGCTTCTGGGAAGTTGGCATACATCTTGAGCCTAAGCCAGGGAATCAGCTCTCATCTCGAGACGATTTGGGGTACACGGAGCATTCCTCGAGTTGCTGTGCTGAAGTTGGTGTTCCTCTAGACTTGGGACAGTGTTCTCGGGGCATCTCTGGAGTTGCCTGAAGGAAGTCGAGCCACCGGTCGTGTTGAATGGGGAACGGGGAATGGCTCTGGAGTCAACGCAGGGGAATCGGGCCTCATCTCGAGTTGATTTGGGGCACACGGAGCTGCTTTGCGTTGCTGGGGTGACCTCAGGGTCCGTCTAGACTGGTGACAGTGTTCTTGGGGACTGCCTCGAGATCCATTAAGCAAGTCGAACCTCCTGACTTGTTTGAATGGGATCACGGAATAGCTCTGCATGCACTGCAGGGGAATGGGGCCTCATCTCGCCTCTAGGGGGAAGTCTCATGGTTTTTCTCGAGTTGTGGCGGGGACCTGGGGTATGTTCTCGACTTACGGCGGGGATGGCCCTTCAAGACACGAGTTTCTTCAGTGACGTCAGGACTCCTGTCTAGTAACGAGGGACACCTCAGGAATCTCTTCGAGGCTTGGCAGGGCCAAAGGGACGCTTCTCGAGGTGAGGCAGGGCACCCAAGGACCCTTTCCAGTAGCCACAGGGATTTTGGGATTCCTATCAGTATTCAAGAGGAGTCAGGCATCGTCACCTTTTGAAGCAATGAACTCCGCGTGCCTCTCGAGGTTTCAGCGGGATGTGAGGCATTCCGTCAAAATGAGGCAGGGACCTAGGGCTTTCTCTAAGGTCTCCACAGGGGATTCAGACATCCCTTCATGTTGTGAGATGAAAGACGAGCCTGTATTCAAGCCACTGCAAGGAAATCCGGCCTCCTTTCAAGTTAGGGCTTCTCGCTGTATATTCCCCTTGAGGCAGCAAACTCGGGGTCCCTCCCACATACCTATTGCTAAGGGAAGCCTCCTCCTGAGGTGCTTCTGGGAAGTTGGCATACGTCTTGAGCCTAAGCCAGGGAATCAGCTCGCATCTCGAGACGATTTGGGGTACACGGAGCATTCCTCGAGTTGCTGTGCTGAAGTTGGTGTTCCTCTAGACTTGGGACAGTGTTCTCGGGGCATCTCTGGAGTTGCCTGAAGGAAGTCGAGCCACCGGTCGTGTTGAATGGGGAACGGGGAATGGCTCTGGAGTCAACGCAGGGGAATCGGGCCTCATCTCGAGTTGATTTGGGGCACATGGAGCTGCTTTGCGTTGCTGGGGTGACCTCAGGGTCCGTCTAGACTGGTGACAGTGTTCTTGGGGACTGTCTCGAGATCCATTAAGCAAGTCAAAGCTCCTGACTTGTTTGAATGGGATCACGGAATAGCTCTGCATGCACTGCAGGGGAATGGGGCCTCATCTCGCCTCTAGGGGGAAGTCTCATGGTTTTTCTCGAGTTGCGTCGGGGACCTGGGGTATGTTCTCGACTTACGGCGGGGATGGCCCGTCAAAACACGAGTTTCTTCAGTGACGTCAGGACTCCTGTCTAGTAACGAGGGACACCTCAGGAATCTCTTCGAGGCTTGGCAGGGCCAAAGGGACGCTTCTCGAGGTGAGGCAGTGCACCCAAGGACCCTTTCCAGTAGCCACAGGGATTTTGGGATTCCTATCAGTATTCAAGAGGAGTCAGGCATCGTCACCTTTTGAAGCAATGAACTCCGCGTGCCTCTCGAGGTGTCAGCGGGATGTGAGGCATTCCGTCAAAATGAGGCAGGGACCTAGGGCTTTCTCTAAGGTCTCCACAGGGGATTCAGACATCCCTTCATGTTGTGAGATGAAAGACGAGCCTGTATTCAAGCCACTGCAAGGAAATCCGGCCTCCTTTCAAGTTAGGGCGTCTCGCTGTATATTCCCCTTGAGGCAGCAAACTCGGGGTCCCTCCCACATACCTATTGCTGAGAGAAGCCTCCTCCTGAGGTGCTTCTGGGAAGTTGGCATACGTCTTGAGCCTAAGCCAGGGAATCAGCTCTCATCTCGAGACGATTTGGGGTACACGGAGCATTCCTCGAGTTGCTGTGCTGAAGTTGGTGTTCCTCTAGACTGGGGACAGTGTTCTCGGGGCATCTCTGGAGTTGCCTGAAGGAAGTCGAGCCACCGGTCGTGTTGAATGGGGAACGGGGAATGGCTCTGGAGTCAATGCAGGGGAATCGGGCCTCATCTCGAGTTGATTTGGGGCACATGGAGCTGCTTTGCGTTGCTGGGGTGACCTCAGGGTCCGTCTAGACTGGTGACAGTGTTCTTGGGGACTGCCTCGAGATCCATTAAGCAAGTCGAAGCTCCTGACTTGTTTGAATGGGATCACGGAACAGCTCTGCATGCACTGCAGGGGAATGGGGCCTCATCTCGCCTCTAGGGGGAAGTCTCATGGTTTTTCTCGAGTTGTGGCGGGGACCTGGGGTATGTTCTCGACTTACGGCGGGGATGGCCCTTCAAGACACGAGTTTCTTCAGTGACGTCAGGACTCCTGTCTAGTAACGAGGGACACCTCAGGAATCTCTTCGAGGCTTGGCAGGGCCAAAGGGACGCTTCTCGAGGTGAGGCAGGGCACCCAAGGACCCTTTCCAGTAGCCACAGGGATTTTGGGATTCCTATCAGTATTCAAGAGGAGTCAGGCATCGTCACCTTTTGAAGCAATGAACTCCGCGTGCCTCTCGAGGTGTCAGCGGGATGTGAGGCATTCCGTCAAAATGAGGCAGGGACCTAGGGCTTTCTCTAAGGTCTCCACAGGGGATTCAGACATCCCTTCATGTTGTGAGATGAAAGACGAGCCTGTATTCAAGCCACTGCAAGGAAATCCGGCCTCCTTTCAAGTTAGGGCTTCTCGCTGTATATTCCCCTTGAGGCAGCAAACTCGGGGTCCCTCCCACATTCCTATGGCTGAGAGAAGCCTCCTCCTGAGGTGCTTCTGGGAAGTTGGCATACGTCTTGAGCCTAAGCCAGGGAATCAGCTCTCATCTCGAGACGATTTGGGGTACACGGAGCATTCCTCGAGTTGCTGTGCTGAAGTTGGTGTTCCTCTAGACTTGGGACAGTGTTCTCGGGGCATCTCTGGAGTTGCCTGAAGGAAGTCGAGCCACCGGTCGTGTTGAATGGGGAACGGGGAATGGCTCTGGAGTCAATGCAGGGGAATCGGGCCTCATCTCGAGTTGATTTGGGGCACATGGAGCTGCTTTGCGTTGCTGGGGTGACCTCAGGGTCCGTCTAGACTGGTGACAGTGTTCTTGGGGACTGTCTCGAGATCCATTAAGCAAGTCGAAGCTCCTGACTTGTTTGAATGGGATCACGGAATAGCTCTGCATGCACTGCAGGGGAATGGGGCCTCATCTCGCCTCTAGGGGGAAGTCTCATGGTTTTTCTCGAGTTGCAGCGGGGACCTGGGGTATGTTCTCGACTTACGGCGGGGATGGCCCTTCAAAACACGAGTTTCTTCAGTGACGTCAGGACTCCTGTCTAGTAACGAGGGACACCTCAGGAATCTCTTCGAGGCTTGGCAGGGCCAAAGGGACGCTTCTCGATGTGAGGCAGGGCACCCAAGGACCCTTTCCAGTAGCCACAGGGATTTTGGGATTCCTATCAGTATTCAAGAGGAGTCAGGCATCGTCACCTTTTGAAGCAATGAACTCTGCGTGCCTCTCGAGGTGTCAGCGGGATGTGAGGCATTCCGTCAAAATGAGGCAGCGACCTAGGGCTTTCTCTAAGGTCTCCACAGGGGATTCAGACATCCCTTCATGTTGTGAGATGAAAGACGAGCCTGTATTCAAGCCACTGCAAGGAAATCCGGCCTCCTTTCAAGTTAGGGCTTCTCGCTGTATATTCCCCTTGAGGCAGCAAACTCGGGGTCCCTCCCACATACCTATTGCTGAGAGAAGCCTCCTCCTGAGGTGCTTCTGGGAAGTTGGCATACGTCTTGAGCCTAAGCCAGGGAATCAGCTCGCATCTCGAGACGATTTGGGGTACACGGAGCATTCCTCGAGTTGCTGTGCTGAAGTTGGTGTTCCTCTAGACTTGGGACAGTGTTCTCGGGGCATCTCTGGAGTTGCCTGAAGGAAGTCGAGCCACCGGTCGTGTTGAATGGGGAACGGGGAATGGCTCTGGAGTCAATGCAGGGGAATCGGGCCTCATCTCGAGTTGATTTGGGGCACACGGAGCTGCTTTGCGTTGCTGGGGTGACCTCAGGGTCCGTCTAGACTGGTGACAGTGTTCTTGGGGACTGTCTCGAGATCCATTAAGCAAGTCGAAGCTCCTGACTTGTTTGAATGGGATCACAGAATAGCTCTGCATGCACTGTAGGGGAATGGGGCCTCATCTCGCCTCTAGGGGGAAGTCTCATGGTTTTTCTCGAGTTGCGGCGGGGACCTGGGGTATGTTCTCGACTTACGGCGGGGATGGCCCTTCAAAACACGAGTTTCTTCAGTGACGTCAGGACTCCTGTCTAGTAACGAGGGACACCTCAGGAATCTCTTCGAGGCTTGGCAGGGCCAAAGGGACGCTTCTCGAGGTGAGGCAGGGCACCCAAGGACCCTTTCCAGTAGCCACAGGGATTTTGGGATTCCTATCAGTATTCAAGAGGAGTCAGGCATCGTCACCTTTTGAAGCAATGAACTCCGCGTGCCTCTCGAGGTGTCAGCGGGATGTGAGGCATTCCGTCAAAATGAGGCAGGGACCTAGGGCTTTCTCTAAGGTCTCCACAGGGGATTCAGACATCCCTTCATGTTGTGAGATGAAAGACGAGCCTGTATTCAAGCCACTGCAAGGAAATCCGGCCTCCTTTCAAGTTAGGGCTTCTCGCTGTATATTCCCCTTGAGGCAGCAAACTCGGGGTCCCTCCCACATACCTATTGCTGAGAGAAGCCTCCTCCTGAGGTGCTTCTGGGAAGTTGGCATACGTCTTGAGCCTAAGCCAGGGAATCAGCTCTCATCTCGAGACGATTTGGGGTACACGGAGCATTCCTCGAGTTGCTGTGCTGAAGTTGGTGTTCCTCTAGACTTGGGACAGTGTTCTCGGGGCATCTCTGGAGTTGCCTGAAGGAAGTCGAGCCACCGGTCGTGTTGAATGGGGAACGGGGAATGGCTCTGGAGTCAATGCAGGGGAATCGGGCCTCATCTCGAGTTGATTTGGGGCACACGGAGCTGCTTTGCGTTGCTGGGGTGACCTCAGGGTCCGTCTAGACTGGTGACAGTGTTCTTGGGGACTGTCTCGAGATCCATTAAGCAAGTCGAAGCTCCTGACTTGTTTGAATGGGATCACAGAATAGCTCTGCATGCACTGCAGGGGAATGGGGCCTCATCTCGCCTCTAGGGGGAAGTCTCATGGTTTTTCTCGAGTTGCGGCGGGGACCTGGGGTATGTTCTCGACTTACGGCGGGGATGGCCCTTCAAAACACGAGTTTCTTCAGTGACGTCAGGACTCCTGTCTAGTAACGAGGGACACCTCAGGAATCTCTTCGAGGCTTGGCAGGGCCAAAGGGACGCTTCTCGAGGTGAGGCAGGGCACCCAAGGACCCTTTCCAGTAGCCACAGGGATTTTGGGATTCCTATCAGTATTCAAGAGGAGTCAGGCATCGTCACCTTTTGAAGCAATGAACTCCGCGTGCCTCTCGAGGTGTCAGCGGGATGTGAGGCATTCCGTCAAAATGAGGCAGGGACCTAGGTCTTTCTCTAAGGTCTCCACAGGGGATTCAGACATCCCTTCATGTTGTGAGATGAAAGACGAGCCTGTATTCAAGCCACTGCAAGGAAATCCGGCCTCCTTTCAAGTTAGGGCTTCTCGCTGTATATTCCCCTTGAGGCAGCAAACTCGGGGTCCCTCCCACATACCTATTGCTGAGAGAAGCCTCCTCCTGAGGTGCTTCTGGGAAGTTGGCATACGTCTTGAGCCTAAGCCAGGGAATCAGCTCTCATCTCGAGACGATTTGGGGTACACGGAGCATTCCTCGAGTTGCTGTGCTGAAGTTGGTGTTCCTCTAGACTTGGGACAGTGTTCTCGGGGCATCTCTGGAGTTGCCTGAAGGAAGTCGAGCCACCGGTCGTGTTGAATGGGGAACGGGGAATGGCTCTGGAGTCAATGCAGGGGAATCGGGCCTCATCTCGAGTTGATTTGGGGCACACGGAGCTGCTTTGCGTTGCTGGGGTGACCTCAGGGTCCGTCTAGACTGGTGACAGTGTTCTTGGGGACTGTCTCGAGATCCATTAAGCAAGTCGAAGCTCCTGACTTGTTTGAATGGGATCACGGAATAGCTCTGCATGCACTGCAGGGGAATGGGGCCTCGTCTCGCCTCTAGGGGGAAGTCTCATGGTTTTTCTCGAGTTGCGGCGGGGACCTGGGGTATGTTCTCGACTTACGGCGGGGATGGCCCTTCAAAACACGAGTTTCTTCAGTGACGTCAGGACTCCTGTCTAGTAACGAGGGACACCTCAGGAATCTCTTCGAGGCTTGGCAGGGCCAAAGGGACGCTTCTCGAGGTGAGGCAGGGCACCCAAGGACCCTTTCCAGTAGCCACAGGGATTTAGGGATTCCTATCAGTATTCAAGAGGAGTCAGGCATCGTCACCTTTTGAAGCAATGAACTCCGCGTGCCTCTCGAGGTGTCAGCGGGATGTGAGGCCTTCCGTCAAAATGAGGCAGGGACCTAGGGCTTTCTCTAAGGTCTCCACAGGGGATTCAGACATCCCTTCATGTTGTGAGATCAAAGACGAGCCTGTATTCAAGCCACTGCAAGGAAATCCGGCCTCCTTTCAAGTTAGGGCTTCTCGCTGTATATTCCCCTTGAGGCAGCAAACTCGGGGTCCCTCCCACATACCTATTGCTGAGAGAAGCCTCCTCCTGAGGTGCTTCTGGGAAGTTGGCATACGTCTTGAGCCTAAGCCAGGGAATCAGCTCGCATCTCGAGACGATTTGGGGTACACGGAGCATTCCTCGAGTTGCTGTGCTGAAGTTGGTGTTCCTCTAGACTTGGGACAGTGTTCTCGGGGCATCTCTGGAGTTGCCTGAAGGAAGTCGAGCCACCGGTCGTGTTGAATGGGGAACGGGGAATGGCTCTGGAGTCAATGCAGGGGAATCGGGCCTCATCTCGAGTTGATTTGGGGCACACGGAGCTGCTTTGCGTTGCTGGGGTGACCTCAGGGTCCGTCTAGACTGGTGACAGTGTTCTTGGGGACTGTCTCGAGATCCATTAAGCAAGTCGAAGCTCCTGACTTGTTTGAATGGGATCACGGAATAGCTCTGCATGCACTGCAGGGGAATGGGGCCTCATCTCGCCTCTAGGGGGAAGTCTCATGGTTTTTCTCGAGTTGCGGCGGGGACCTGGGGTATGTTCTCGACTTACGGCGGGGATGGCCCTTCAAAACACGAGTTTCTTCAGTGACGTCAGGACTCCTGTCTAGTAACGAGGGACACTTCAGGAATCTCTTCGAGGCTTGGCAGGGCCAAAGGGACGCTTCTCGAGGTGAGGCAGGGCACACAAGGACCCTTTCCAGTAGCCACAGGGATTTTGGGATTCCTATCAGTATTCAAGAGGAGTCAGGCATCGTCACCTTTTGAAGCAATGAACTCCGCGTGCCTCTCGAGGTGTCAGCGGGATGTGAGGCATTCCGTCAAAATGAGGCAGGGACCTAGGGCTTTCTCTAAGGTCTCCACAGGGGATTCAGACATCCCTTCATGTTGTGAGATGAAAGACGAGCCTGTATTCAAGCCACTGCAAGGAAATCCGGCCTCCTTTCAAGTTAGGGCTTCTCGCTGTATATTCCCCTTGAGGCAGCAAACTCGGGGTCCCTCCCACATACCTATTGCTGAGAGAAGCCTCCTCCTGAGGTGCTTCTGGGAAGTTGGCATACGTCTTGAGCCTAAGCCAGGGAATCAGCTCTCATCTCGAGACGATTTGGGGTACACGGAGCATTCCTCGAGTTGCTGTGCTGAAGTTGGTGTTCCTCTAGACTTGGGACAGTGTTCTCGGGGCATCTCTGGAGTTGCCTGAAGGAAGTCGAGCCACCGGTCGTGTTGAATAGGGAACGGGGAATGGCTCTGGAGTCAATGCAGGGGAATCGGGCCTCATCTCGAGTTGATTTGGGGCACATGGAGCTGCTTTGCGTTGCTGGGGTGACCTCAGGGTCCGTCTAGACTGGTGACAGTGTTCTTGGGGACTGTCTCGAGATCCATTAAGCAAGTCGAAGCTCCTGACTTGTTTGAATGGGATCACGGAATAGCTCTGCATGCACTGCAGGGGAATGGGGCCTCATCTCGCCTCTAGGGGGAAGTCTCATGGTTTTTCTCGAGTTGTGGCGGGGACCTGGGGTATGTTCTCGACTTAAGGCGGGGATGGCCCTTCAAGACACGAGTTTCTTCAGTGACGTCAGGACTCCTGTCTAGTAACGAGGGACACCTCAGGAATCTCTTCGAGGCTTGGCAGGGCCAAAGGGACGCTTCTCGAGGTGAGGCAGGGCACACAAGGACCCTTTCCAGTAGCCACAGGGATTTTGGGATTCCTATCAGTATTCAAGAGGAGTCAGGCATCGTCACCTTTTGAAGCAATGAACTCCGCGTGCCTCTCGAGGTGTCAGCGGAATGTGAGGCATTCCGTCAAAATGAGGCAGGGACCTAGGGCTTTCTCTAAGGTCTCCACAGGGGATTCAGACATCCCTTCATGTTGTGAGATGAAAAACGAGCCTGTATTCAAGCCACTGCAAGGAAATCCGGCCTCTTTTCAAGTTAGGGCTTCTCGCTGTATATTCCCCTTGAGGCAGGAAACTCGGGGTCCCTCCCACATACCTATTGCTGAGAGAAGCCTCCTCCTGAGGTGCTTCTGGGAAGTTGGCATACGTCTTGAGCCTAAGCCAGGGAATCAGCTCTCATCTCAAGACGATTTCGGGTACACGGAGCATTCCTCGAGTTGCTGTGCTGAAGTTGGTGTTCCTCTAGACTTGGGACAGTGTTCTCGGGGCATCTCTGGAGTTGCATGAAGGAAGTCGAGCCACCGGTCGTGTTGAATGGGGAACGGGGAATGGCTCTGGAGTCAATGCAGGGGAATCGGGCCTCATCTCGAGTTGATTTGGGGCACACGGAGCTGCTTTGCGTTGCTGGGGTGACCTCAGGGTCCGTCTAGACTGGTGACAGTGTTCTTGGGGACTGTCTCGAGATCCATTAAGCAAGTCGAAGCTCCTGACTTGTTTGAATGGGATCACAGAATAGCTCTGCATGCACTGCAGGGGAATGGGGCCTCATCTCGCCTCTAGGGGGAAGTCTCATGGTTTTTCTCGAGTTGCGGCGGGGACCTGGGTTATGTTCTCGACTTACGGCGGGGATGGCCCTTCAAAACACGAGTTTCTTCAGTGACGTCAGGACTCCTGTCTAGTAACGAGGGACACCTCAGGAATCTCTTCGAGGCTTGGCAGGGCCAAAGGGACGCTTCTCGAGGTGAGGCAGGGCACCCAAGGACCCTTTCCAGTAGCCACAGGGATTTTGGGATTCCTATCAGTATTCAAGAGGAGTCAGGCATCGTCACCTTTTGAAGCAATGAACTCCGCGTGCCTCTCGAGGTGTCAGCGGGATGTGAGGCATTCCGTCAAAATGAGGCAGGGACCTAGGGCTTTCTCTAAGGTCTCCACAGGGGATTCAGACATCCCTTCATGTTGTGAGATGAAAGACGAGCCTGTATTCAAGCCACTGCAAGGAAATCCGGCCTCCTTTCAAGTTAGGGCTTCTCGCTGTATATTCCCCTTGAGGCAGCAAACTCGGGGTCCCTCCCACATACCTATTGCTGAGAGAAGCCTCCTCCTGAGGTGCTTCTGGGAAGCTGGCATACGTCTTGAGCCTATTCCAGGGAATCAGCTCTCATCTCGAGACGATTTGGGGTACACGGAGCATTCCTCGAGTTGCTGTGCTGAAGTTGGTGTTCCTCTAGACTTGGGACAGTGTTCTCGGGGCATCTCTGGAGTTGCCTGAAGGAAGTCGAGCCACCGGTCGTGTTGAATGGGGAACGGGGAATGGCTCTGGAGTCAACTCAGGGGAATCGGGCCTCATCTCGAGTTGATTTGGGGCACATGGAGCTGCTTTGCGTTGCTGGGGTGACCTCAGGGTCGTCTAGACTGGTGACAGTGTTCTTGGGGACTGCCTCGAGATCCATTAAGCAAGTCGAACCTCCTGACTTGTTTGAATGGGATCACGGAATAGCTCTGCATGCACTGCAGGGGAATGGGGCCTCATCTCGCCTCTAGGGGGAAGTCTCATGGTTTTTCTCGAGTTGTGGCGGGGACCTGGGGTATGTTCTCGACTTACGGCGGGGATGGCCCTTCAAGACACGAGTTTCTTCAGTGACGTCAGGACTCCTGTCTAGTAACGAGGGACACCTCAGGAATCTCTTCGAGGCTTGGCAGGGCCAAAGGGACGCTTCTCGAGGTGAGGCAGGGCACCCAAGGACCCTTTCCAGTAGCCACAGGGATTTTGGGATTCCTATCAGTATTCAAGAGGAGTCAGGCATCGTCACCTTTTGAAGCAATGAACTCCGCGTGCCTCTCGAGGTGTCAGCGGGATGTGAGGCATTCCGTCAAAATGAGGCAGGGACCTAGGGCTTTCTCTAAGGTCTCCACAGGGGATTCAGACATCCCTTCATGTTGTGAAATGAAAGACGAGCCTGTATTCAAGCCACTGCAAGGAAATCCGGCCTCCTTTCAAGTTAGGGCTTCTCGCTGTATATTCCCCTTGAGGCAGCAAACTCGTGGTCCCTCCCACATACCTATTGCTGAGAGAAGCCTCCTCCTGAGGTGCTTCTGGGAAGTTGGCATACGTCTTGAGCCTAAGCCAGGGAATCAGCTCTCATCTCGAGACGATTTGGGGTACACGGAGCATTCCTCGAGTTGCTGTGCTGAAGTTGGTGTTCCTCTAGACTTGGGACAGTGTTCTCGGGGCATCTCTGGAGTTGCCTGAAGGAAGTCGAGCCACCGGTCGTGTTGAATGGGGAACGGGGAATGGCTCTGGAGTCAATGCAGGGGAATCGGGCCTCATCTCGAGTTGATTTGGGGCACATGGAGCTGCTTTGCGTTGCTGGGGTGACCTCAGGGTCCGTCTAGACTGGTGACAGTGTTCTTGGGGACTGTCTCGAGATCCATTAAGCAAGTCGAAGCTCCTGACTTGTTTGAATGGGATCACGGAATAGCTCTGCATGCACTGCAGGGGAATGGGGCCTCATCTCGCCTCTAGGGGGAAGTCTCATGGTTTTTCTCGAGTTGCGGCGGGGACCTGGGGTATGTTCTCGACTTACGGCGGGGATGGCCCTTCAAAACACGAGTTTCTTCAGTGACGTCAGGACTCCTGTCTAGTAACGAGGGACACCTCAGGAATCTCTTCGAGGCTTGGCAGGGCCAAAGGGACGCTTCTCGAGGTGAGGCAGGGCACCCAAGGACCCTTTCCAGTAGCCACAGGGATTTTGGGATTCCTATCAGTATTCAAGAGGAGTCAGGCATCGTCACCTTTTGAAGCAATGAACTCCGCGTGCCTCTCGAGGTGTCAGCGGGATGTGAGGCATTCCGTCAAAATGAGGCAGGGACCTAGGGCTTTCTCTAAGGTCTCCACAGGGGATTCAGACATCCCTTCATGTTGTGAGATGAAAGACGAGCCTGTATTCAAGCCACTGCAAGGAAATCCGGCCTCCTTTCAAGTTAGGGCTTCTCGCTGTATATTCCCCTTGAGGCAGCAAACTCGGGGTCCCTCCCACATTCCTATGGCTGAGAGAAGCCTCCTCCTGAGGTGCTTCTGGGAAGTTGGCATACGTCTTGAGCCTAAGCCAGGGAATCAGCTCGCATCTCGAGACGATTTGGGGTACACGGAGCATTCCTCGAGTTGCTGTGCTGAAGTTGGTGTTCCTCTAGACTTGGGACAGTGTTCTCGGGGCATCTCTGGAGTTGCCTGAAGGAAGTCGAGCCACCGGTCGTGTTGAATGGGGAACGGGGAATGGCTCTGGAGTCAATGCAGGGGAATCGGGCCTCATCTCGAGTTGATTTGGGGCACATGGAGCTGCTTTGCGTTGCTGGGGTGACCTCAGGGTCCGTCTAGACTGGTGACAGTGTTCTTGGGGACTGCCTCGAGATCCATTAAGCAAGTCGAAGCTCCTGACTTGTTTGAATGGGATCACGGAATAGCTCTGCATGCACTGCAGGGGAATGGGGCCTCATCTCGCCTCTAGGGGGAAGTCTCATGGTTTTTCTCGAGTTGTGGCAGGGACCTGGGGTATGTTCTCGACTTACGGCGGGGATGGCCCTTCAAGACACGAGTTTCTTCAGTGACGTCAGGACTCCTGTCTAGTAACGAGGGACACCTCAGGAATCTCTTCGAGGCTTGGCAGGGCCAAAGGGACGCTTCTCGAGGTGAGGCAGGGCACCCAAGGACCCTTTCCAGTAGCCACAGGGATTTTGGGATTCCTATCAGTATTCAAGAGGAGTCAGGCATCGTCACCTTTTGAAGCAATGAACTCCGCGTGCCTCTCGAGGTGTCAGCGGGATGTGAGGCATTCCGTCAAAATGAGGCAGGGACCTAGGGCTTTCTCTAAGGTCTCCACAGGGGATTCAGACATCCCTTCATGTTGTGAGATGAAAGACGAGCCTGTATTCAAGCCACTGCAAGGAAATCAGGCCTCCTTTAAAGTTAGGGCTTCTCGCTGTATATTCCCCTTGAGGCAGCAAACTCGGGGTCCCTCCCACATTCCTATGGCTGAGAGAAGCCTCCTCCTGAGGTGCTTCTGGGAAGTTGGCATACGTCTTGAGCCTAAGCCAGGGAATCAGCTCGCATCTCGAGACGATTTGGGGTACACGGAGCATTCCTCGAGTTGCTGTGCTGAAGTTGGTGTTCCTCTAGACTTGGGACAGTGTTCTCGGGGCATCTCTGGAGTTGCCTGAAGGAAGTCGAGCCACCGGTCGTGTTGAATGGGGAACGGGGAATGGCTCTGGAGTCAATGCAGGGGAATCGGGCCTCATCTCGAGTTGATTTGGGGCACATGGAGCTGCTTTGCGTTGCTGGGGTGACCTCAGGGTCCGTCTAGACTGGTGACAGTGTTCTTGGGGACTGTCTCGAGATCCATTAAGCAAGTCGAAGCTCCTGACTTGTTTGAATGGGATCACGGAATAGCTCTGCATGCACTGCAGGGGAATGGGGCCTCATCTCGCCTCTAGGGGGAAGTCTCATGGTTTTTCTCGAGTTGCGGCGGGGACCTGGGGTATGTTCTCGACTTACGGCGGGGATGGCCCTTCAAAACACGAGTTTCTTCAGTGACGTCAGGACTCCTGTCTAGTAACGAGGGACACCTCAGGAATCTCTTCGAGGCTTGGCAGGGCCAAAGGGACGCTTCTCGAGGTGAGGCAGGGCACCCAAGGACCCTTTCCAGTAGCCACAGGGATTTTGGGATTCCTATCAGTATTCAAGAGGAGTCAGGCATCGTCACCTTTTGAAGCAATGAACTCCGCGTGCCTCTCGAGGTGTCAGCGGGATGTGAGGCATTCCGTCAAAATGAGGCAGGGACCTAGGGCTTTCTCTAAGGTCTCCACAGGGGATTCAGACATCCCTTCATGTTGTGAGATGAAAGACGAGCCTGTATTCAAGCCACTGCAAGGAAATCCGGCCTCCTTTCAAGTTAGGGCTTCTCGCTGTATATTCCCCTTGAGGCAGCAAACTCGGGGTCCCTCCCACATACCTATTGCTGAGAGAAGCCTCCTCCTGAGGTGCTTCTGGGAAGTTGGCATACGTCTTGAGCCTAAGCCAGGGAATCAGCTCGCATCTCGAGACGATTTGGGGTACACGGAGCATTCCTCGAGTTGCTGTGCTGAAGTTGGTGTTCCTCTAGACTTGGGACAGTGTTCTCGGGGCATCTCTGGAGTTGCCTGAAGGAAGTCGAGCCACCGGTCGTGTTGAATGGGGAACGGGGAATGGCTCTGGAGTCAATGCAGGGGAATCGGGCCTCATCTCGAGTTGATTTGGGGCACATGGAGCTGCTTTGCGTTGCTGGGGTGACCTCAGGGTCCGTCTAGACTGGTGACAGTGTTCTTGGGGACTGCCTCGAGATCCATTAAGCAAGTCGAAGCTCCTGACTTGTTTGAATGGGATCACGGAATAGCTCTGCATGCACTGCAGGGGAATGGGGCCTCATCTCGCCTCTAGGGGGAAGTCTCATGGTTTTTCTCGAGTTGTGGCGGGGACCTGGGGTATGTTCTCGACTTACGGCGGGGATGGCCCTTCAAGACACGAGTTTCTTCAGTGACGTCAGGACTCCTGTCTAGTAACGAGGGACACCTCAGGAATCTCTTCGAGGCTTGGCAGGGCCAAAGGGACGCTTCTCGAGGTGAGGCAGGGCACCCAAGGACCCTTTCCAGTAGCCACAGGGATTTTGGGATTCCTATCAGTATTCAAGAGGAGTCAGGCATCGTCACCTTTTGAAGCAATGAAGTCCGCGTGCCTCTCGAGGTGTCAGCGGGATGTGAGGCATTCCGTCAAAATGAGGCAGGGACCTAGGGCTTTCTCTAAGGTCTCCACAGGGGATTCAGACATCCCTTCATGTTGTGAGATGAAAGACGAGCCTGTATTCAAGCCACTGCAAGGAAATCCGGCCTCCTTTCAAGTTAGGGCTTCTCGCTGTATATTCCCCTTGAGGCAGCAAACTCGGGGTACCTCCCACATACCTATTGCTGAGAGAAGCCTCCTCCTGAGGTGCTTCTGGGAAGTTGGCATACGTCTTGAGCCTAAGCCAGGGAATCAGCTCTCATCTCGAGACGATTTGGGGTACACGGAGCATTCCTCGAGTTGCTGTGCTGAAGTTGGTGTTCCTCTAGACTTGGGACAGTGTTCTCGGGGCATCTCTGGAGTTGCCTGAAGGAAGTCGAGCCACCGGTCGTGTTGAATGGGGAACGGGGAATGGCTCTGGAGTCAATGCAGGGGAATCGGGCCTCATCTCGAGTTGATTTGGGGCACATGGAGCTGCTTTGCGTTGCTGGGGTGACCTCAGGGTCCGTCTAGACTGGTGACAGTGTTCTTGGGGACTGTCTCGAGATCCATTAAGCAAGTCGAAGCTCCTGACTTGTTTGAATGGGATCACGGAATAGCTCTGCATGCACTGCAGGGGAATGGGGCCTCATCTCGCCTCTAGGGAGAAGTCTCATGGTTTTTCTCGAGTTGCGGCGGGGACCTGGGGTATGTTCTCGACTTTCGGCGGGGATGGCCCTTCAAAACACGAGTTTCTGCACTGACGTCAGGACTCCTGTCTAGTAACGAGGGACACCTCAGGAATCTCTTCGAGGCTTGGCAGGGCCAAAGGGACGCTTCTCGAGGTGAGGCAGGGCACCCAAGGACCCTTTCCAGTAGCCACAGGGATTTTGGGATTCCTATCAGTATTCAAGAGGAGTCAGGCATCGTCACCTTTTGAAGCAATGAACTCCGCGTGCCTCTCGAGGTGTCAGCGGGATGTGAGGCATTCCGTCAAAATGAGGCAGCGACCTAGGGCTTTCTCTAAGGTCTCCACAGGGGATTCAGACATCCCTTCATGTTGTGAGATGAAAGACGAGCCTGTATTCAAGCCACTGCAAGGAAATCCGGCCTCCTTTCAAGTTAGGGCTTCTCGCTGTATATTCCCCTTGAGGCAGCAAACTCGGGGTCCCTCCCACATACCTATTGCTGAGAGAAGCCTCCTCCTGAGGTGCTTCTGGGAAGTTGGCATACGTCTTGAGCCTAAGCCAGGGAATCAGCTCGCATCTCGAGACGATTTGGGGTACACGGAGCATTCCTCGAGTTGCTGTGCTGAAGTTGGTGTTCCTCTAGACTTGGGACAGTGTTCTCGGGGCATCTCTGGAGTTGCCTGAAGGAAGTCGAGCCACCGGTCGTGTTGAATGGGGAACGGGGAATGGCTCTGGAGTCAATGCAGGGGAATCGGGCCTCATCTCGAGTTGATTTGGGGCACATGGAGCTGCTTTGCGTTGCTGGGGTGACCTCAGGGTCCGTCTAGACTGGTGACAGTGTTCTTGGGGACTGTCTCGAGATCCATTAAGCAAGTCGAAGCTCCTGACTTGTTTGAATGGGATCACGGAATAGCTCTGCATGCACTGCAGGGGAATGGGGCCTCATCTCGCCTCTAGGGGGAAGTCTCATGGTTTTTCTCGAGTTGCGGCGGGGACCTGGGGTATGTTCTCGACTTTCGGCGGGGATGGCCCTTCAAAACACGAGTTTCTGCACTGACGTCAGGACTCCTGTCTAGTAACGAGGGACACCTCAGGAATCTCTTCGAGGCTTGGCAGGGCCAAAGGGACGCTTCTCGAGGTGAGGCAGGGCACCCAAGGACCCTTTCCAGTAGCCACAGGGATTTTGGGATTCCTATCAGTATTCAAGAGGAGTCAGGCATCGTCACCTTTTGAAGCAATGAACTCCGCGTGCCTCTCGAGGTGTCAGCGGGATGTGAGGCATTCCGTCAAAATGAGGCAGGGACCTAGGGCTTTCTCTAAGGTCTCCACAGGGGATTCAGACATCCCTTCATGTTGTGAGATGAAAGACGAGCCTGTATTCAAGCCACTGAAAGGAAATCCGGCCTCCTTTCAAGTTAGGGCTTCTCGCTGTATATTCCCCTTGAGGCAGCAAACTCGGGGTCCCTCCCACATACCTATTGCTGAGAGAAGCCTCCTCCTGAGGTGCTTCTGGGAAGTTGGCATACGTCTTGAGCCTAAGCCAGGGAATCAGCTCGCATCTCGAGACGATTTGGGGTACACGGAGCATTCCTCGAGTTGCTGTGCTGAAGTTGGTGTTCCTCTAGACTTGGGACAGTGTTCTCGTGGCATCTCTGGAGTTGCCTGAAGGAAGTCGAGCCACCGGTCGTGTTGAATGGGGAACGGGGAATGGCTCTGGAGTCAATGCAGGGGAATCGGGCCTCATCTCGAGTTGATTTGGGGCACATGGAGCTGCTTTGCGTTGCTGGGGTGACCTCAGGGTCCGTCTAGACTGGTGACAGTGTTCTTGGGGACTGTCTCGAGATCCATTAAGCAAGTCGAAGCTCCTGACTTGTTTGAATGGGATCACGGAATAGCTCTGCATGCACTGCAGGGGAATGGGGCCTCATCTCGCCTCTAGGGGGAAGTCTCATGGTTTTTCTCGAGTTGCGGCGGGGACCTGGGGTATGTTCTCGACTTACGGCGGGGATGGCCCTTCAAAACACGAGTTTCTTCAGTGACGTCAGGACTCCTGTCTAGTAACGAGGGACACCTCAGGAATCTCTTCGAGGCTTGGCAGGGCCAAAGGGACGCTTCTCGAGGTGAGGCAGGGCACCCAAGGACCCTTTCCAGTAGCCACAGGGATTTTGGCATTCCTATCAGTATTCAAGAGGAGTCAGGCATCGTCACCTTTTGAAGCAATGAACTCCGCGTGCCTCTCGAGGTGTCAGCGGGATGTGAGGCATTCCGTCAAAATGAGGCAGGGAACTAGGGCTTTCTCTAAGGTCTCCACAGGGGATTCAGACATCCCTTCATGTTGTGAGATGAAAGACGAGCCTGTATTCAAGCCACTGCAAGGAAATCCGGCCTCCTTTCAAGTTAGGGCTTCTCGCTGTATATTCCCCTTGAGGCAGCAAACTCGGGGTCCCTCCCACATTCCTATGGCTGAGAGAAGCCTCCTCCTGAGGTGCTTCTGGGAAGTTGGCATACGTCTTGAGCCTAAGCCAGGGAATCAGCTCTCATCTCGAGACGATTTGGGGTACACGGAGCATTCCTCGAGTTGCTGTGCTGAAGTTGGTGTTCCCCTAGACTTGGGACAGTGTTCTCGGGGCATCTCTGGAGTTGCCTGAAGGAAGTCGAGCCACCGGTCGTGTTGAATGGGGAACGGGGAATGGCTCTGGAGTCAATGCAGGGGAATCGGGCCTCATCTCGAGTTGATTTGGGGCACATGGAGCTGCTTTGCGTTGCTGGGGTGACCTCAGGGTCCGTCTAGACTGGTGACAGTGTTCTTGGGGACTGTCTCGAGATCCATTAAGCAAGTCGAAGCTCCTGACTTGTTTGAATGGGATCACGGAATAGCTCTGCATGCACTGCAGGGGAATGGGGCCTCGTCTCGCCTCTAGGGGGAAGTCTCATGGTTTTTCTCGAGTTGCGGCGGGGACCTGGGGTATGTTCTTGACTTACGGCGGGGATGGCCCTTCAAAACACGAGTTTCTTCAGTGACGTCAGGACTCCTGTCTAGTAACGAGGGACACCTCAGGAATCTCTTCGAGGCTTGGCAGGGCCAAAGGGACGCTTCTCGATGTGAGGCAGGGCACCCAAGGACCCTTTCCAGTAGCCACAGGGATTTTGGGATTCCTATCAGTATTCAAGAGGAGTCAGGCATCGTCACCTTTTGAAGCAATGAACTCTGCGTGCCTCTCGAGGTGTCAGCGGGATGTGAGGCATTCCGTCAAAATGAGGCAGCGACCTAGGGCTTTCTCTAAGGTCTCCACAGGGGATTCAGACATCCCTTCATGTTGTGAGATGAAAGACGAGCCTGTATTCAAGCCACTGCAAGGAAATCCGGCCTCCTTTCAAGTTAGGGCTTCTCGCTGTATATTCCCCTTGAGGCAGCAAACTCGGGGTCCCTCCCACATACCTATTGCTGAGAGAAGCCTCCTCCTGAGGTGCTTCTGGGAAGTTGGCATACGTCTTGAGCCTAAGCCAGGGAATCAGCTCTCATCTCGAGACGATTTGGGGTACACGGAGCATTCCTCGAGTTGCTGTGCTGAAGTTGGTGTTCCTCTAGACTTGGGACAGTGTTCTCGGGGCATCTCTGGAGTTGCCTGAAGGAAGTCGAGCCACCGGTCGTGTTGAATGGGGAACGGGGAATGGCTCTGGAGTCAATGCAGGGGAATCGGGCCTCATCTCGAGTTGATTTGGGGCACACGGAGCTGCTTTGCGTTGCTGGGGTGACCTCAGGGTCCGTCTAGACTGGTGACAGTGTTCTTGGGGACTGTCTCGAGATCCATTAAGCAAGTCGAAGCTCCTGACTTGTTTGAATGGGATCACGGAATAGCTCTGCATGCACTGCAGGGGAATGGGGCCTCATCTCGCCTCTAGGGGGAAGTCTCATGGTTTTTCTCGAGTTGCGGCGGGGACCTGGGGTATGTTCTCGACTTACGGCGGGGATGGCCCTTCAAGACACGAGTTTCTTCAGTGACGTCAGGACTCCTGTCTAGTAACGAGGGACACCTCAGGAATCTCTTCGAGGCTTGGCAGGGCCAAAGGGACGCTTCTCGAGGTGAGTCAGGGCACCCAAGGACCCTTTCCAGTAGCCACAGGGATTTTGGGATTCCTATCAGTATTCAAGAGGAGTCAGGCATCGTCACCTTTTGAAGCAATGAACTCTGCGTGCCTCTCGAGGTGTCAGCGGGATGTGAGGCATTCCGTCAAAATGAGGCAGGGACCTAGGGCTTTCTCTAAGGTCTCCACAGGGGATTCAGACATCCCTTCATGTTGTGAGATGAAAGACGAGCCTGTATTCAAGCCACTGCAAGGAAATCCGGCCTCCTTTCAAGTTAGGGCTTCTCGCTGTATATTCCCCTTGAGGCAGCAAACTCGGGGTCCCTCCCACATACCTATTGCTGAGAGAAGCCTCCTCCTGAGGTGCTTCTGGGAAGTTGGCATACGTCTTGAGCCTAAGCCAGGGAATCAGCTCTCATCTCGAGACGATTTGGGGTACACGGAGCATTCCTCGAGTTGCTGTGCTGAAGTTGGTGTTCCTCTAGACTTGGGACAGTGTTCTCGGGGCATCTCTGGAGTTGCCTGAAGGAAGTCGAGCCACCGGTCGTGTTGAATGGGGAACGGGGAATAGCTCTGGAGTCAATGCAGGGGAATCGGGCCTCATCTCGAGTTGATTTGGGGCACATGGAGCTGCTTTGCGTTGCTGGGGTGACCTCAGGGTCCGTCTAGACTGGTGACAGTGTTCTTGGGGACTGTCTCGAGATCCATTAAGCAAGTCGAAGCTCCTGACTTGTTTGAATGGGATCACGGAATAGCTCTGCATGCACTGCAGGGGAATGGGGCCTCATCTCGCCTCTAGGGGGAAGTCTCATGGTTTTTCTCGAGTTGTGGCGGGGACCTGGGGTATGTTCTCGACTTAAGGCGGGGATGGCCCTTCAAGACACGAGTTTCTTCAGTGACGTCAGGACTCCTGTCTAGTAACGAGGGACACCTCAGGAATCTCTTCGAGGCTTGGCAGGGCCAAAGGGACGCTTCTCGAGGTGAGGCAGGGCACACAAGGACCCTTTCCAGTAGCCACAGGGATTTTGGGATTCCTATCAGTATTCAAGAGGAGTCAGGCATCGTCACCTTTTGAAGCAATGAACTCCGCGTGCCTCTCGAGGTGTCAGCGGAATGTGAGGCATTCCGTCAAAATGAGGCAGGGACCTAGGGCTTTCTCTAAGGTCTCCACAGGGGATTCAGACATCCCTTCATGTTGTGAGATGAAAGACGAGCCTGTATTCAAGCCACTGCAAGTAAATCCGGCCTCCTTTCAAGTTAGGGCTTCTCGCTGTATATTCCCTTTGAGGCAGGAAACTCGGGGTCCCTCCCACATACCTATTGCTGAGAGAAGCCTCCTCCTGAGGTGCTTCTGGGAAGTTGGCATACGTCTTGAGCCTAAGCCAGGGAATCAGCTCGCATCTCGAGACGATTTGGGGTACACGGAGCATTCCTCGAGTTGCTGGGCTGAAGTTGGTGTTCCTCTAGACTTGGGACAGTGTTCTCGGGGCATCTCTGGAGTTGCCTGAAGGAAGTCGAGCCACCGGTCGTGTTGAATGGGGAACGGGGAATGGCTCTGGAGTCAATGCAGGGGAAGCGGGCCTCATCTCGAGTTGATTTGGGGCACACGGAGCTGCTTTGCGTTGCTGGGGTGACCTCAGGGTCCGTCTAGACTGGTGACAGTGTTCTTGGGGACTGTCTCGAGATCCATTAAGCAAGCCGAAGCTCCTGACTTGTTTGAATGGGATCACGGAATAGCTCTGCATGCACTGCAGGGGAATGGGGCCTCATCTCGCCTCTAGGGGGAAGTCTCATGGTTTTTCTCGAGTTGCGGCGGGGACCTGGGGTATGTTCTCGACTTACGGCGGGGATGGCCCTTCAAAACACGAGTTTCTTCAGTGACGTCAGGACTCCTGTCTAGTAACGAGGGACACCTCAGGAATCTCTTCGAGGCTTGGCAGGGCCAAAGGGACGCTTCTCGAGGTGAGGCAGGGCACCCAAGGACCCTTTCCAGTAGCCACAGGGATTTTGGGATTCCTATCAGTATTCAAGAGGAGTCAGGCATCGTCACCTTTTGAAGCAATGAACTCCGCGTGCCTCTCGAGGTGTCAGCGGGATGTGAGGCATTCCGTCAAAATGAGGCAGGGACCTAGGGCTTTCTCTAAGGTCTCCACAGGGGATTCAGACATCCCTTCATGTTGTGAGATGAAAGACGAGCCTGTATTCAAGCCACTGCAAGGAAATCCGGCCTCCTTTCAAGTTAGGGCTTCTCGCTGTATATTCCCCTTGAGGCAGCAAACTCGGGGTCCCTCCCACATACCTATTGCTGAGAGAAGCCTCCTCCTGAGGTGCTTCTGGGAAGTTGGCATACGTCTTGAGCCTAAGCCAGGGAATCAGCTCTCATCTCGAGACGATTTGGGGTACACGGAGCATTCCTCGAGTTGCTGTGCTGAAGTTGGTGTTCCTCTAGACTTGGGACAGTGTTCTCGGGGCATCTCTGGAGTTGCCTGAAGGAAGTCGAGCCACCGGTCGTGTTGAATGGGGAACGGGGAATGGCTCTGGAGTCAATGCAGGGGAATCGGGCCTCATCTCGAGTTGATTTGGGGCACATGGAGCTGCTTTGCGTTGCTGGGGTGACCTCAGGGTCCGTCTAGACTGGTGACAGTGTTCTTGGGGACTGCCTCGAGATCCATTAAGCAAGTCGAAGCTCCTGACTTGTTTGAATGGGATCACGGAATAGCTCTGCATGCACTGCAGGGGAATGGGGCCTCATCTCGCCTCTAGGGGGAAGTCTCATGGTTTTTCTCGAGTTGCGGCGGGGACCTGGGGTATGTTCTCGACTTACGGCGGGGATGGCCCTTCAAAACACGAGTTTCTTCAGTGACGTCAGGACTCCTGTCTAGTAACGAGGGACACCTCAGGAATCTCTTCGAGGCTTGGCAGGGCCAAAGGGACGCTTCTCGAGGTGAGGCAGGGCACCCAAGGACCCTTTCCAGTAGCCACAGGGATTTTGGGATTCCTATCAGTATTCAAGAGGAGTCAGGCATCGTCACCTTTTGAAGCAATGAACTCCGCGTGCCTCTCGAGGTGTCAGCGGGATGTGAGGCATTCCGTCAAAATGAGGCAGGGACCTAGGGCTTTCTCTAAGGTCTCCACAGGGGATTCAGACATCCCTTCATGTTGTGAGATGAAAGACGAGCCTGTATTCAAGCCACTGCAAGGAAATCCGGCCTCCTTTCAAGTTAGGGCTTCTCGCTGTATATTCCCCTTGAGGCAGCAAACTCGGGGTCCCTCCCACATTCCTATGGCTGAGAGAAGCCTCCTCCTGAGGTGCTTCTGGGAAGTTGGCATACGTCTTGAGCCTAAGCCAGGGAATCAGCTCTCATCTCGAGACGATTTGGGGTACACGGAGCATTCCTCGAGTTGCTGTGCTGAAGTTGGTGTTCCTCTAGACTTGGGACAGTGTTCTCGGGGCATCTCTGGAGTTGCCTGAAGGAAGTCGAGCCACCGGTCGTGTTGAATGGGGAACGGGGAATGGCTCTGGAGTCAATGCAGGGGAATCGGGCCTCATCTCGAGTTGATTTGGGGCACATGGAGCTGCTTTGCGTTGCTGGGGTGACCTCAGGGTCCGTCTAGACTGGTGACAGTGTTCTTGGGGACTGCCTCGAGATCCATTAAGCAAGTCGAAGCTCCTGACTTGTTTGAATGGGATCACGGAATAGCTCTGCATGCACTGCAGGGGAATGGGGCCTCATCTCGCCTCTAGGGGGAAGTCTCATGGTTTTTCTCGAGTTGCGGCGGGGACCTGGGGTATGTTCTCGACTTACGGCGGGGATGGCCCTTCAAGACACGAGTTTCTTCAGTGACGTCAGGACTCCTGTCTAGTAACGAGGGACACCTCAGGAATCTCTTCGAGGCTTGGCAGGGCCAAAGGGACGCTTCTCGAGGTGAGGCAGGGCACCCAAGGACCCTTTCCAGTAGCCACAGGGATTTTGGGATTCCTATCAGTATTCAAGAGGAGTCAGGCATCGTCACCTTTTGAAGCAATGAACTCCGCGTGCCTCTCGAGGTGTCAGCGGGATGTGAGGCATTCCGTCAAAATGAGGCAGGGACCTAGGGCTTTCTCTAAGGTCTCCACAGGGGATTCAGACATCCCTTCATGTTGTGAGATGAAAGACGAGCCTGTATTCAAGCCACTGCAAGGAAATCCGGCCTCCTTTCAAGTTAGGGCTTCTCGCTGTATATTCCCCTTGAGGCAGCAAACTCGGGGTCCCTCCCACATACCTATTGCTGAGAGAAGCCTCCTCCTGAGGTGCTTCTGGGAAGTTGGCATACGTCTTGAGCCTAAGCCAGGGAATCAGCTCTCATCTCGAGACGATTTGGGGTACACGGAGCATTCCTCGAGTTGCTGTGCTGAAGTTGGTGTTCCTCTAGACTTGGGACAGTGTTCTCGGGGCATCTCTGGAGTTGCCTGAAGGAAGTCGAGCCACCGGTCGTGTTGAATGGGGAACGGGGAATGGCTCTGGAGTCAATGCAGGGGAATCGGGCCTCATCTCGAGTTGATTTGGGGCACATGGAGCTGCTTTGCGTTGCTGGGGTGACCTCAGGGTCCGTCTAGACTGGTGACAGTGTTCTTGGGGACTGTCTCGAGATCCATTAAGCAAGTCGAAGCTCCTGACTTGTTTGAATGGGATCACGGAATAGCTCTGCATGCACTGCAGGGGAATGGGGCCTCATCTCGCCTCTAGGGGGAAGTCTCATGGTTTTTCTCGAGTTGCGGCGGGGACCTGGGGTATGTTCTCGACTTTCGGCGGGGATGGCCCTTCAAAACACGAGTTTCTTCACTGACGTCAGGACTCCTGTCTAGTAACGAGGGACACCTCAGGAATCTCTTCGAGGCTTGGCAGGGCCAAAGGGACGCTTCTCGAGGTGAGGCAGGGCACCCAAGGACCCTTTCCAGTAGCCACAGGGATTTTGGGATTCCTATCAGTATTCAAGAGGAGTCAGGCATCGTCACCTTTTGAAGCAATGAACTCCGCGTGCCTCTCGAGGTGTCAGCGGGATGTGAGGCATTCCTTCAAAATGAGGTAGGGACCTAGGGCTTTCTCTAAGGTCTCCACAGGGGATTCAGACATCCCTTCATGTTGTGAGATGAAAGACGAGCCTGTATTCAATCCACTGAAAGGAAATCCGGCCTCCTTTCAAGTTAGGGCTTCTCGCTGTATATTCCCCTTGAGGCAGCAAACTCGGGGTCCCTCCCACATACCTATTGCTGAGAGAAGCCTCCTCCTGAGGTGCTTCTGGGAAGTTGGCATACGTCTTGAGCCTAAGCCAGGGAATCAGCTCGCATCTCGAGACGATTTGGGGTACACGGAGCATTCCTCGAGTTGCTGTGCTGAAGTTGGTGTTCCTCTAGACTTGGGACAGTGTTCTCGGGGCATCTCTGGAGTTGCCTGAAGGAAGTCGAGCCACCGGTCGTGTTGAATGGGGAACGGGGAATGGCTCTGGAGTCAATGCAGGGGAATCGGGCCTCATCTCGAGTTGATTTGGGGCACATGGAGCTGCTTTGCGTTGCTGGGGTGACCTCAGGGTCCGTCTAGACTGGTGACAGTGTTCTTGGGGACTGTCTCGAGATCCATTAAGCAAGTCGAAGCTCCTGACTTGTTTGAATGGGATCACGGAATAGCTCTGCATGCACTGCAGGGGAATGGGGCCTCATCTCGCCTCTAGGGGGAAGTCTCATGGTTTTTCTCGAGTTGCGGCGGGGACCTGGGGTATGTTCTCGACTTACGGCGGGGATGGCCCTTCAAAACACGAGTTTCTTCAGTGACGTCAGGACTCCTGTCTAGTAACGAGGGACACCTCAGGAATCTCTTCGAGGCTTGGCAGGGCCAAAGGGACGCTTCTCGAGGTGAGGCAGGGCACCCAAGGACCCTTTCCAGTAGCCACAGGGATTTTGGGATTCCTATCAGTATTCAAGAGGAGTCAGGCATCGTCACCTTTTGAAGCAATGAACTCCGCGTGCCTCTCGAGGTGTCAGCGGGATGTGAGGCATTCCGTCAAAATGAGGCAGGGACCTAGGGCTTTCTCTAAGGTCTCCACAGGGGATTCAGACATCCCTTCAGGTTGTGAGATGAAAGACGAGCCTGTATTCAAGCCACTGCAAGGAAATCCGGCCTCCTTTCAAGTTAGGGCTTCTCGCTGTATATTCCCCTTGAGGCAGCAAACTCGGGGTCCCTCCCACATTCCTATGGCTGAGAGAAGCCTCCTCCTGAGGTGCTTCTGGGAAGTTGGCATACGTCTTGAGCCTAAGCCAGGGAATCAGCTCTCATCTCGAGACGATTTGGGGTACACGGAGCATTCCTCGAGTTGCTGTGCTGAAGTTGGTGTTCCTCTAGACTTGGGACAGTGTTCTCGGGGCATCTCTGGAGTTGCCTGAAGGAAGTCGAGCCACCGGTCGTGTTGAATGGGGAACGGGGAATGGCTCTGGAGTCAATGCAGGGGAATCGGGCCTCATCTCGAGTTGATTTGGGGCACATGGAGCTGCTTTGCGTTGCTGGGGTGACCTCAGGGTCCGTCTAGACTGGTGACAGTGTTCTTGGGGACTGTCTCGAGATCCATTAAGCAAGTCGAAGCTCCTGACTTGTTTGAATGGGATCACGGAATAGCTCTGCATGCACTGCAGGGGAATGGGGCCTCATCTCGCCTCTAGGGGGAAGTCTCATGGTTTTTCTCGAGTTGCGGCGGGGACCTGGGGTATGTTCTCGACTTACGGCGGGGATGGCCCTTCAAGACACGAGTTTCTTCAGTGACGTCAGGACTCCTGTCTAGTAACGAGGGACACCTCAGGAATCTCTTCGAGGCTTGGCAGGGCCAAAGGGACGCTTCTCGAGGTGAGGCAGGGCACCCAAGGACCCTTTCCAGTAGCCACAGGGATTTTGGGATTCCTATCAGTATTCAAGAGGAGTCAGGCATCGTCACCTTTTGAAGCAATGAACTCCACGTGCCTCTCGAGGTGTCAGCGGGATGTGAGGCATTCCGTCAAAATGAGGCAGGGACCTAGGGCTTTCTCTAAGGTCTCCACAGGGGATTCAGACATCCCTTCATGTTGTGAGATGAAAGACGAGCCTGTATTCAAGCCACTGCAAGGAAATCCGGCCTCCTTTCAAGTTAGGGCTTCTCGCTGTATATTCCCCTTGAGGCAGCAAACTCGGGGTCCCTCCCACATACCTATTGCTGAGAGAAGCCTCCTCCTGAGGTGCTTCTGGGAAGTTGGCATACGTCTTGAGCCTAAGCCAGGGAATCAGCTCGCATCTCGGGACGATTTGGGGTAGACGGAGCATTCCTCGAGTTGCTGTGCTGAAGTTGGTGTTCCTCTAGACTTGGGACAGTGTTCTCGGGGCATCTCTGGAGTTGCCTGAAGGAAGTCGAGCCACCGGTCGTGTTGAATGGGGAACTGGGAATGGCTCTGGAGTCAATGCAGGGGAATCGGGCCTCATCTCGAGTTGATTTGGGGCACATGGAGCTGCTTTGCGTTGCTGGGGTGACCTCAGGGTCCGTCTAGACTGGTGACAGTGTTCTTGGGGACTGTCTCGAGATCCATTAAGCAAGTCGAAGCTCCTGACTTGTTTGAATGGGATCACGGAATAGCTCTGCATGCACTGCAGGGGAATGGGGCCTCATCTCGCCTCTAGGGGGAAGTCTCATGGTTTTTCTCGAGTTGCGGCGGGGACCTGGGGTATGTTCTCGACTTTCGGCGGGGATGGCCCTTCAAAACACGAGTTTCTTCACTGACGTCAGGACTCCTGTCTAGTAACGAGGGACACCTCAGGAATCTCTTCGAGGCTTGGCAGGGCCAAAGGGACGCTTCTCGAGGTGAGGCAGGGCACCCAAGGACCCTTTCCAGTAGCCACAGGGATTTTGGGATTCCTATCAGTATTCAAGAGGAGTCAGGCATCGTCACCTTTTGAAGCAATGAACTCCGCGTGCCTCTCGAGGTGTCAGCGGGATGTGAGGCATTCCGTCAAAATGAGGCAGGGACCTAGGGCTTTCTCTAAGGTCTCCACAGGGGATTCAGACATCCCTTCATGTTGTGAGATGAAAGACGAGCCTGTATTCAATCCACTGAAAGGAAATCCGGCCTCCTTTCAAGTTAGGGCTTCTCGCTGTATATTCCCCTTGAGGCAGCAAACTCGGGGTCCCTCCCACATTCCTATGGCTGAGAGAAGCCTCCTCCTGAGGTGCTTCTGGGAAGTTGGCATACGTCTTGAGCCTAAGCCAGGGAATCAGCTCGCATCTCGAGACGATTTGGGGTACACGGAGCATTCCTCGAGTTGCTGTGCTGAAGTTGGTGTTCCTCTAGACTTGGGACAGTGTTCTCGGGGCATCTCTGGAGTTGCCTGAAGGAAGTCGAGCCACCGGTCGTGTTGAATGGGGAACGGGGAATGGCTCTGGAGTCAATGCAGGGGAATCGGGCCTCATCTCGAGTTGATTTGGGGCACATGGAGCTGCTTTGCGTTGCTGGGGTGACCTCAGGGTCCGTCTAGACTGGTGACAGTGTTCTTGGGGACTGCCTCGAGATCCATTAAGCAAGTCGAAGCTCCTGACTTGTTTGAATGGGATCACGGAATAGATCTGCATGCACTGCAGGGGAATGGGGCCTCATCTCGCCTCTAGGGGGAAGTCTCATGGTTTTTCTCGAGTTGTGGCGGGGACCTGGGGTATGTTCTCGACTTACGGCGGGGATGGCCCTTCAAGACACGAGTTTCTTCAGTGACGTCAGGACTCCTGTCTAGTAACGAGGGACACCTCAGGAATCTCTTCGAGGCTTGGCAGGGCCAAAGGGACGCTTCTCGAGGTGAGGCAGGGCACCCAAGGACCCTTTCCAGTAGCCACAGGGATTTTGGGATTCCTATCAGTATTCAAGAGGAGTCAGGCATCGTCACCTTTTGAAGCAATGAACTCCGCGTGCCTCTCGAGGTGTCAGCGGGATGTGAGGCATTCCGTCAAAATGAGGCAGGGACCTAGGGCTTTCTCTAAGGTCTCCACAGGGGATTCAGACATCCCTTCATGTTGTGAGATGAAAGACGAGCCTGTATTCAAGCCACTGCAAGGAAATCCGGCCTCCTTTCAAGTTAGGGCTTCTCGCTGTATATTCCCCTTGAGGCAGCAAACTCGGGGTCCCTCCCACATTCCTATGGCTGAGAGAAGCCTCCTCCTGAGGTGCTTCTGGGAAGTTGGCATACGTCTTGAGCCTAAGCCAGGGAATCAGCTCTCATCTCGAGACGATTTGGGGTACACGGAGCATTCCTCGAGTTGCTGTGCTGAAGTTGGTGTTCCTCTAGACTTGGGACAGTGTTCTCGGGGCATCTCTGGAGTTGCCTGAAGGAAGTCGAGCCACCGGTCGTGTTGAATGGGGAACGGGGAATGGCTCTGGAGTCAATGCAGGGGAATCGGGCCTCATCTCGAGTTGATTTGGGGCACATGGAGCTGCTTTGCGTTGCTGGGGTGACCTCAGGGTCCGTCTAGACGGGTGACAGTGTTCTTGGGGACTGTCTCGAGATCCATTAAGCAAGTCGAAGCTCCTGACTTGTTTGAATGGGATCACGGAATAGCTCTGCATGCACTGCAGGGGAATGGGGCCTCATCTCGCCTCTAGCGGGAAGTCTCATGGTTTTTCTCGAGTTGCGGCGGGGACCTGGGGTATGTTCTCGACTTACGGCGGGGATGGCCCTTCAAAACACGAGTTTCTTCAGTGACGTCAGGACTCCTGTCTAGTAACGAGGGACACCTCAGGAATCTCTTCGAGGCTTGGCAGGGCCAAAGGGACGCTTCTCGAGGTGAGGCAGGGCACCCAAGGACCCTTTCCAGTAGCCACAGGGATTTTGGGATTCCTATCAGTATTCAAGAGGAGTCAGGCATCGTCACCTTTTGAAGCAATGAACTCCGCGTGCCTCTCGAGGTGTCAGCGGGATGTGAGGCATTCCGTCAAAATGAGGCAGGGACCTAGGGCTTTCTCTAAGGTCTCCACAGGGGATTCAGACATCCCTTCATGTTGTGAGATGAAAGACGAGCCTGTATTCAAGCCACTGCAAGGAAATCCGGCCTCCTTTCAAGTTAGGGCTTCTCGCTGTATATTCCCCTTGAGGCAGCAAACTCGGGGTCCCTCCCACATACCTATTGCTGAGAGAAGCCTCCTCCTGAGATGCTTCTGGGAAGTTGGCATACGTCTTGAGCCTAAGCCAGGGAATCAGCTCTCATCTCGAGACGATTTGGGGTACACGGAGCATTCCTCGAGTTGCTGTGCTGAAGTTGGTGTTCCTCTAGACTTGGGACAGTGTTCTCGGGGCATCTCTGGAGTTGCCTGAAGGAAGTCGAGCCACCGGTCGTGTTGAATGGGGAACGGGGAATGGCTCTGGAGTCAATGCAGGGGAATCGGGCCTCATCTCGAGTTGATTTGGGGCACATGGAGCTGCTTTGCGTTGCTGGGGTGACCTCAGGGTCCGTCTAGACTGGTGACAGTGTTCTTGGGGACTGTCTCGAGATCCATTAAGCAAGTCGAAGCTCCTGACTTGTTTGAATGGGATCACGGAATAGCTCTGCATGCACTGCAGGGGAATGGGGCCTCATCTCGCCTCTAGGGGGAAGTCTCATGGTTTTTCTCGAGTTGCGGCGGGGACCTGGGGTATGTTCTCGACTTACGGCGGGGATGGCCCTTCAAAACACGAGTTTCTTCAGTGACGTCAGGACTCCTGTCTAGTAACGAGGGACACCTCAGGAATCTCTTCGAGGCTTGGCAGGGCCAAAGGGACGCTTCTCGAGGTGAGGCAGGGCACCCAAGGACCCTTTCCAGTAGCCACAGGGATTTTGGGATTCCTATCAGTATTCAAGAGGAGTCAGGCATCATCACCTTTTGAAGCAATGAACTCCGCGTGCCTCTCGAGGTGTCAGCGGGATGTGAGGCATTCCGTCAAAATGAGGCAGGGACCTAGGGCTTTCTCTAAGGTCTCCACAGGGGATTCAGACATCCCTTCATGTTGTGAGATGAAAGACGAGCCTGTATTCAAGCCACTGCAAGGAAATCCGGCCTCCTTTCAAGTTAGGGCTTCTCGCTGTATATTCCCCTTGAGGCAGCAAACTCGGGGTCCCTCCCACATACCTATTGCTGAGAGAAGCCTCCTCCTGAGGTGCTTCTGGGAAGTTGGCATACGTCTTGAGCCTAAGCCAGGGAATCAGCTCGCATCTCGAGACGATTTGGGGTACATGGAGCATTCCTCGAGTTGCTGTGCTGAAGTTGGTGTTCCTCTAGACTTGGGACAGTGTTCTCGGGGCATCTCTGGAGTTGCCTGAAGGAAGTCGAGCCACCGGTCGTGTTGAATGGGGAACGGGGAATGGCTCTGGAGTCAATGCAGGGGAATCGGGCCTCATCTCGAGTTGATTTGGGGCACATGGAGCTGCTTTGCGTTGCTGGGGTGACCTCAGGGTCCGTCTAGACTGGTGACAGTGTTCTTGGGGACTGCCTCGAGATCCATTAAGCAAGTCGAAGCTCCTGACTTGTTTGAATGGGATCACGGAATAGCTCTGCATGCACTGCAGGGGAATGGGGCCTCATCTCGCCTCTAGGGGGAAGTCTCATGTTTTTTATCGAGTTGTGGCGGGGACCTGGGGTATGTTCTCGACTTACGGCGGGGATGGCCCTTCAAGACACGAGTTTCTTCAGTGACGTCAGGACTCCTGTCTAGTAACGAGGGACACCTCAGGAATCTCTTCGAGGCTTGGCAGGGCCAAAGGGACGCTTCTCGAGGTGAGGCAGGGCACCCAAGGACCCTTTCCAGTAGCCACAGGGATTTTGGGATTCCTATCAGTATTCAAGAGGAGTCAGGCATCGTCACCTTTTGAAGCAATGAACTCCGCGTGCCTCTCGAGGTGTCAGCGGGATGTGAGGCATTCCGTCAAAATGAGGCAGGGACCTAGGGCTTTCTCTAAGGTCTCCACAGGGGATTCAGACATCCCTTCATGTTGTGAGATGAAAGACGAGCCTGTATTCAAGCCACTGCAAGGAAATCCGGCCTCCTTTCAAGTTAGGGCTTCTCGCTGTATATTCCCCTTGAGGCAGCAAACTCGGGGTCCCTCCCACATTCCTATGGCTGAGAGAAGCCTCCTCCTGAGGTGCTTCTGGGAAGTTGGCATACGTCTTGAGCCTAAGCCAGGGAATCAGCTCTCATCTCGAGACGATTTGGGGTACACGGAGCATTCCTCGAGTTGCTGTGCTGAAGTTGGTGTTCCTCTAGACTTGGGACAGTGTTCTCGGGGCATCTCTGGAGTTGCCTGAAGGATGTCGAGCCACCGGTCGTGTTGAATGGGGAACGGGGAATGGCTCTGGAGTCAATGCAGGGGAATCGGGCCTCATCTCGAGTTGATTTGGGGCACATGGAGCTGCTTTGCGTTGCTGGGGTGACCTCAGGGTCCGTCTAGACGGGTGACAGTGTTCTTGGGGACTGTCTCGAGATCCATTAAGCAAGTCAAAGCTCCTGACTTGTTTGAATGGGATCACGGAATAGCTCTGCATGCACTGCAGGGGAATGGGGCCTCATCTCGCCTCTAGCGGGAAGTCTCATGGTTTTTCTCGAGTTGCGGCGGGGACCTGGGGTATGTTCTCGACTTACGGCGGGGATGGCCCTTCAAAACACGAGTTTCTTCAGTGACGTCAGGACTCCTGTCTAGTAACGAGGGACACCTCAGGAATCTCTTCGAGGCTTGGCAGGGCCAAAGGGACGCTTCTCGAGGTGAGGCAGGGCACCCAAGGACCCTTTCCAGTAGCCACAGGGATTTTGGGATTCCTATCAGTATTCAAGAGGAGTCAGGCATCGTCACCTTTTGAAGCAATGAACTCCGCGTGCCTCTCGAGGTGTCAGCGGGATGTGAGGCATTCCGTCAAAATGAGGCAGGGACCTAGGGCTTTCTCTAAGGTCTCCACAGGGGATTCAGACATCCCTTCATGTTGTGAGATGAAAGACGAGACTGTATTCAAGCCACTGCAAGGAAATCCGGCCTCCTTTCAAGTTAGGGCTTCTCGCTGTATATTCCCCTTGAGGCAGCAAACTCGGGGTCCCTCCCACATACCTATTGCTGAGAGAAGCCTCCTCCTGAGGTGCTTCTGGGAAGTTGGCATACGTCTTGAGCCTAAGCCAGGGAATCAGCTCGCATCTCGAGACGATTTGGGGTACACGGAGCATTCCTCGATTTGCTGTGCTGAAGTTGGTGTTCCTCTAGACTTGGGACAGTGTTCTCGGGGCATCTCTGGAGTTGCCTGAAGGAAGTCGAGCCACCGGTCGTGTTGAATGGGGAACGGGGAATGGCTCTGGAGTCAATGCAGGGGAATCGGGCCTCATCTCGAGTTGATTTGGGGCACATGGAGCTGCTTTGCGTTGCTGGGGTGACCTCAGGGTCCGTCTAGACTGGTGACAGTGTTCTTGGGGACTGTCTCGAGATCCATTAAGCAAGTCGAGGCTCCTGACTTGTTTGAATGGGATCACGGAATAGCTCTGCATGCACTGCAGGGGAATGGGGCCTCATCTCGCCTCTAGGGGGAAGTCTCATGGTTTTTCTCGAGTTGCGGCGGGGACCTGGGGTATGTTCTCGACTTACGGCGGGGATGGCCCTTCAAGACACGAGTTTCTTCAGTGACGTCAGGACTCCTGTCTAGTAACGATGGACACCTCAGGAATCTCTTCGAGGCTTGGCAGGGCCAAAGGGACGCTTCTCGAGGTGAGGCAGGGCACCCAAGGACCCTTTCCAGTAGCCACAGGGATTTTGGGATTCCTATCAGTATTCAAGAGGAGTCAGGCATCGTCACCTTTTGAAGCAATGAACTCCGCGTGCCTCTCGAGGTGTCAGCGGGATGTGAGGCATTCCGTCAAAATGAGGCAGGGACCTAGGGCTTTCTCTAAGGTCTCCACAGGGGATTCAGACATCCCTTCATGTTGTGAGATGAAAGACGAGCCTGTATTCAAGCCACTGCAAGGAAATCCGGCCTCCTTTCAAGTTAGGGCTTCTCGCTGTATATTCCCCTTGAGGCAGCAAACTCGGGGTCCCTCCCACATTCCTATGGCTGAGAGAAGCCTCCTCCTGAGGTGCTTCTGGGAAGTTGGCATACGTCTTGAGCCTAAGCCAGGGAATCAGCTCTCATCTCGAGACGATTTGGGGTACACGGAGCATTCCTCGAGTTGCTGTGCTGAAGTTGGTGTTCCTCTAGACTTGGGACAGTGTTCTCGGGGCATCTCTGGAGTTGCCTGAAGGAAGTCGAGCCACCGGTCGTGTTGAATGGGGAACGGGGAATGGCTCTGGAGTCAATGCAGGGGAATCGGGCCTCATCTCGAGTTGATTTGGGGCACATGGAGCGGCTTTGCGTTGCTGGGGTGACCTCAGGGTCCGTCTAGACTGGTGACAGTGTTCTTGGGGACTGTCTCGAGATCCATTAAGCAAGTCGAAGCTCCTGACTTGTTTGAATGGGATCACGGAATAGCTCTGCATGCACTGCAGGGGAATGGGGCCTCATCTCGCCTCTAGGGGGAAGTCTCATGGTTTTTCTCGAGTTGCGGCGGGGACCTGGGGTATGTTCTGGACTTACGGCGGGGATGGCCCTTCAAGACACGAGTTTCTTCAGTGACGTCAGGACTCCTGTCTAGTAACGAGGGACACCTCAGGAATCTCTTCGAGGCTTGGCAGGGCCAAAGGGACGCTTCTCGAGGTGAGGCAGGGCACCCAAGGACCCTTTCCAGTAGCCACAGGGATTTTGGGATTCCTATCAGTATTCAAGAGGAGTCAGGCATCGTCACCTTTTGAAGCAATGAACTCCGCGTGCCTCTCGAGGTGTCAGCGGGATGTGAGGCATTCCGTCAAAATGAGGCAGGGACCTAGGGCTTTCTCTAAGGTCTCCACAGGGGATTCAGACATCCCTTCATGTTGTGAGATGAAAGACGAGCCTGTATTCAAGCCACTGCAAGGAAATCCGGCCTCCTTTCAAGTTAGGGCTTCTTGCTGTATATTCCCCTTGAGGCAGCAAACTCGGGGTCCCTCCCACATACCTATTGCTGAGAGAAGCCTCCTCCTGAGGTGCTTCTGGGAAGTTGGCATACGTCTTGAGCCTAAGCCAGGGAATCAGCTCTCATCTCGAGACGATTTGGGGTACACGGAGCATTCCTCGAGTTGCTGTGCTGAAGTTGGTGTTCCTCTAGACTTGGGACAGTGTTCTCGGGGCATCTCTGGAGTTGCCTGAAGGAAGTCGAGCCACCGGTCGTGTTGAATGGGGAACGGGGAAAGGCTCTGGAGTCAATGCAGGGGAATCGGGCCTCATCTCGAGTTGATTTGGGGCACATGGAGCTGCTTTGCGTTGCTGGGGTGACCTCAGGGTCCGTCTAGACTGGTGACAGTGTTCTTGGGGACTGTCTCGAGATCCATTAAGCAAGTCGAAGCTCCTGACTTGTTTGAATGGGATCACGGAATAGCTCTGCATGCACTGCAGGGGAATGGGGCCTCATCTCGCCTCTAGGGGGAAGTCTCATGGTTTTTCTCGAGTTGCGGCGGGGACCTGGGGTATGTTCTCGACTTACGGCGGGGATGGCCCTTCAAGACACGAGTTTCTTCAGTGACGTCAGGACTCCTGTCTAGTAACGAGGGACACCTCAGGAATCTCTTCGAGGCTTGGCAGGGCCAAAGGGACGCTTCTCGAGGTGAGGCAGGGCACCCAAGGACCCTTTCCAGTAGCCACAGGGATTTTGGGATTCCTATCAGTATTCAAGAGGAGTCAGGCATCGTCACATTTTGAAGCAATGAACTCCGCGTGCCTCTCGAGGTGTCAGCGGGATGTGAGGCATTCCGTCAAAATGAGGCAGGGACCTAGGGCTTTCTCTAAGGTCTCCACAGGGGATTCAGACATCCCTTCATGTTGTGAGATGAAAGACGAGCCTGTATTCAAGCCACTGCAAGGAAATCCGGCCTCCTTTCAAGTTAGGGCTTCTCGCTGTATATTCCCCTTGAGGCAGCAAACTCGGGGTCCCTCCCACATACCTATTGCTGAGAGAAGCCTCCTCCTGAGGTGCTTCTGGGAAGTTGGCATACGTCTTGAGCCTAAGCCAGGGAATCAGCTCGCATCTCGAGACGATTTGGGGTACACGGAGCATTCCTCGAGTTGCTGTGCTGAAGTTGGTGTTCCTCTAGACTTGGGACAGTGTTCTCGGGGCATCTCTGGAGTTGCCTGAAGGAAGTCGAGCCACCGGTCGTGTTGAATGGGGAACGGGGAATGGCTCTGGAGTCAATGCAGGGGAATCGGGCCTCATCTCGAGTTGATTTGGGGCACATGGAGCTGCTTTGCGTTGCTGGGGTGACCTCAGGGTCCGTCTAGACTGGTGACAGTGTTCTTGGGGACTGCCTCGAGATCCATTAAGCAAGTCGAAGCTCCTGACTTGTTTGAATGGGATCACGGAATAGATCTGCATGCACTGCAGGGGAATGGGGCCTCATCTCGCCTCTAGGGGGAAGTCTCATGGTTTTTCTCGAGTTGTGGCGGGGACCTGGGGTATGTTCTCGACTTACGGCGGGGATGGCCCTTCAAGACACGAGTTTCTTCAGTGACGTCAGGACTCCTGTCTAGTAACGAGGGACACCTCAGGAATCTCTTCGAGGCTTGGCAGGGCCAAAGGGACGCTTCTCGAGGTGAGGCAGGGCACCCAAGGACCCTTTCCAGTAGCCACAGGGATTTTGGGATTCCTATCAGTATTCAAGAGGAGTCAGGCATCGTCACCTTTTGAAGCAATGAACTCCGCGTGCCTCTCGAGGTGTCAGCGGGATGTGAGGCATTCCGTCAAAATGAGGCAGGGACCTAGGGCTTTCTCTAAGGTCTCCACAGGGGATTCAGACATCCCTTCATGTTGTGAGATGAAAGACGAGCCTGTATTCAAGCCACTGCAAGGAAATCCGGCCTCCTTTCAAGTTAGGGCTTCTCGCTGTATATTCCCCTTGAGGCAGCAAACTCGGGGTCCCTCCCACATTCCTATGGCTGAGAGAAGCCTCCTCCTGAGGTGCTTCTGGGAAGTTGGCATACGTCTTGAGCCTAAGCCAGGGAATCAGCTCTCATCTCGAGACGATTTGGGGTACACGGAGCATTCCTCGAGTTGCTGTGCTGAAGTTGGTGTTCCTCTAGACTTGGGACAGTGTTCTCGGGGCATCTCTGGAGTTGCCTGAAGGAAGTCGAGCCACCGGTCGTGTTGAATGGGGAACGGGGAATGGCTCTGGAGTCAATGCAGGGGAATCGGGCCTCATCTCGAGTTGATTTGGGGCACATGGAGCTGCTTTGCGTTGCTGGGGTGACCTCAGGGTCCGTCTAGACGGGTGACAGTGTTCTTGGGGACTGTCTCGAGATCCATTAAGCAAGTCGAAGCTCCTGACTTGTTTGAATGGGATCACGGAATAGCTCTGCATGCACTGCAGGGGAATGGGGCCTCATCTCGCCTCTAGCGGGAAGTCTCATGGTTTTTCTCGAGTTGCGGCGGGGACCTGGGGTATGTTCTCGACTTACGGCGGGGATGGCCCTTCAAAACACGAGTTTCTTCAGTGACGTCAGGACTCCTGTCTAGTAACGAGGGACACCTCAGGAATCTCTTCGAGGCTTGGCAGGGCCAAAGGGACGCTTCTCGAGGTGAGGCAGGGCACCCAAGGACCCTTTCCAGTAGCCACAGGAATTTGGGATTCCTATCAGTATTCAAGAGGAGTCAGGCATCGTCACCTTTTGAAGCAATGAACTCCGCGTGCCTCTCGAGGTGTCAGCGGGATGTGAGGCATTCCGTCAAAATGAGGCAGGGACCTAGGGCTTTCTCTAAGGTCTCCACAGGGGATTCAGACATCCCTTCATGTTGTGAGATGAAAGACGAGCCTGTATTCAAGCCACTGCAAGGAAATCCGGCCTCCTTTCAAGTTAGGGCTTCTTGCTGTATATTCCCCTTGAGGCAGCAAACTCGGGGTCCCTCCCACATACCTATTGCTGAGAGAAGCCTCCTCCTGAGGTGCTTCTGGGAAGTTGGCATACGTCTTGAGCCTAAGCCAGGGAATCAGCTCGCATCTCGAGACGATTTGGGGTACACGGAGCATTCCTCGAGTTGCTGTGCTGAAGTTGGTGTTCCTCTAGACTTGGGACAGTGTTCTCGGGGCATCTCTGGAGTTGCCTGAAGGAAGTCGAGCCACCGGTCGTGTTGAATGGGGAACGGGGAATGGCTCTGGAGTCAATGCAGGGGAATCGGGCCTCATCTCGAGTTGATTTGGGGCACATGGAGCTGCTTTGCGTTGCTGGGGTGACCTCAGGGTCCGTCTAGACTGGTGACAGTGTTCTTGGGGACTGTCTCGAGATCCATTAAGCAAGTCGAAGCTCCTGACTTGTTTGAATGGGATCACGGAATAGCTCTGCATGCACTGCAGGGGAATGGGGCCTCATCTCGCCTCTAGGGGGAAGTCTCATGGTTTTTCTCGAGTTGCGGCGGGGACCTGGGGTATGTTCTCGACTTACGGCGGGGATGGCCCTTCAAGACACGAGTTTCTTCAGTGACGTCAGGACTCCTGTCTAGTAACGAGGGACACCTCAGGAATCTCTTCGAGGCTTGGCAGGGCCAAAGGGACGCTTCTCGAGGTGAGGCAGGGCACCCAAGGACCCTTTCCAGTAGCCACAGGGATTTTGGGATTCCTATCAGTATTCAAGAGGAGTCAGGCATCGTCACCTTTTGAAGCAATGAACTCCGCGTGCCTCTCGAGGTGTCAGCGGGATGTGAGGCATTCCGTCAAAATGAGGCAGGGACCTAGGGCTTTCTCTAAGGTCTCCACAGGGGATTCAGACATCCCTTCATGTTGTGAGATGAAAGACGAGCCTGTATTCAAGCCACTGCAAGGAAATCCGGCCTCCTTTCAAGTTAGGGCTTCTCGCTGTATATTCCCCTTGAGGCAGCAAACTCGGGGTCCCTCCCACATACCTATTGCTGAGAGAAGCCTCCTCCTGAGGTGCTTCTGGGAAGTTGGCATACGTCTTGAGCCTAAGCCAGGGAATCAGCTCGCATCTCGAGACGATTTGGGGTACACGGAGCATTACTCGAGTTGCTGTGCTGAAGTTGGTGTTCCTCTAGACTTGGGACAGTGTTCTCGGGGCATCTCTGGAGTTGCCTGAAGGAAGTCGAGCCACCGGTCGTGTTGAATGGGGAACGGGGAATGGCTCTGGAGTCAATGCAGGGGAATCGGGCCTCATCTCGAGTTGATTTGGGGCACATGGAGCTGCTTTGCGTTGCTGGGGTGACCTCAGGGTCCGTCTAGACTGGTGACAGTGTTCTTGGGGACTGCCTCGAGATCCATTAAGCAAGTCGAAGCTCCTGACTTGTTTGAATGGGATCACGGAATAGATCTGCATGCACTGCAGGGGAATGGGGCCTCATCTCGCCTCTAGGGGGAAGTCTCATGGTTTTTCTCGAGTTGTGGCGGGGACCTGGGGTATGTTCTCGACTTACGGCGGGGATGGCCCTTCAAGACACGAGTTTCTTCAGTGACGTCAGGACTCCTGTCTAGTAACGAGGGACACCTCAGGAATCTCTTCGAGGCTTGGCAGGGCCAAAGGGACGCTTCTCGAGGTGAGGCAGGGCACCCAAGGACCCTTTCCAGTAGCCACAGGGATTTTGGGATTCCTATCAGTATTCAAGAGGAGTCAGGCATCGTCACCTTTTGAAGCAATGAACTCCGCGTGCCTCTCGAGGTGTCAGCGGGATGTGAGGCATTCCGTCAAAATGAGGCAGGGACCTAGGGCTTTCTCTAAGGTCTCCACAGGGGATTCAGACATCCCTTCATGTTGTGAGATGAAAGACGAGCCTGTATTCAAGCCACTGCAAGGAAATCCGGCCTCCTTTCAAGTTAGGGCTTCTCGCTGTATATTCCCCTTGAGGCAGCAAACTCGGGGTCCCTCCCACATTCCTATGGCTGAGAGAAGCCTCCTCCTGAGGTGCTTCTGGGAAGTTGGCATACGTCTTGAGCCTAAGCCAGGGAATCAGCTCTCATCTCGAGACGATTTGGGGTACACGGAGCATTCCTCGAGTTGCTGTGCTGAAGTTGGTGTTCCTCTAGACTTGGGACAGTGTTCTCGGGGCATCTCTGGAGTTGCCTGAAGGAAGTCGAGCCACCGGTCGTGTTGAATGGGGAACGGGGAATGGCTCTGGAGTCAATGCAGGGGAATCGGGCCTCATCTCGAGTTGATTTGGGGCACATGGAGCTGCTTTGCGTTGCTGGGGTGACCTCAGGGTCCGTCTAGACGGGTGACAGTGTTCTTGGGGACTGTCTCGAGATCCATTAAGCAAGTCGAAGCTCCTGACTTGTTTGAATGGGATCACGGAATAGCTCTGCATGCACTGCAGGGGAATGGGGCCTCATCTCGCCTCTAGCGGGAAGTCTCATGGTTTTTCTCGAGTTGCGGCGGGGACCTGGGGTATGTTCTCGACTTACGGCGGGGATGGCCCTTCAAAACACGAGTTTCTTCAGTGACGTCAGGACTCCTGTCTAGTAACGAGGGACACTTCAGGAATCTCTTCGAGGCTTGGCAGGGCCAAAGGGACGCTTCTCGAGGTGAGGTAGGGCACCCAAGGACCCTTTCCAGTAGCCACAGGAATTTGGGATTCCTATCAGTATTCAAGAGGAGTCAGGCATCGTCACCTTTTGAAGCAATGAACTCCGCGTGCCTCTCGAGGTGTCAGCGGGATGTGAGGCATTCCGTCAAAATGAGGCAGGGACCTAGGGCTTTCTCTAAGGTCTCCACAGGGGATTCAGACATCCCTTCATGTTGTGAGATGAAAGACGAGCCTGTATTCAAGCCACTGCAAGGAAATCCGGCCTCCTTTCAAGTTAGGGCTTCTCGCTGTATATTCCCCTTGAGGCAGCAAACTCGGGGTCCCTCCCACATACCTATTGCTGAGAGAAGCCTCCTCCTGAGGTGCTTCTGGGAAGTTGGCATACGTCTTGAGCCTAAGCCAGGGAATCAGCTCGCATCTCGAGACGATTTGGGGTACACGGAGCATTCCTCGATTTGCTGTGCTGAAGTTGGTGTTCCTCTAGACTTGGGACAGTGTTCTCGGGGCATCTCTGGAGTTGCCTGAAGGAAGTCGAGCCACCGGTCGTGTTGAATGGGGAACGGGGAATGGCTCTGGAGTCAATGCAGGGGAATCGGGCCTCATCTCGAGTTGATTTGGGGCACATGGAGCTGCTTTGCGTTGCTGGGGTGACCTCAGGGTCCGTCTAGACTGGTGACAGTGTTCTTGGGGACTGTCTCGAGATCCATTAAGCAAGTCGAAGCTCCTGACTTTTTTGAATGGGATCACGGAATAGCTCTGCATGCACTGCAGGGGAATGGGGCCTCATCTCGCCTCTAGGGGGAAGTCTCATGGTTTTTCTCGAGTTGCGGCGGGGACCTGGGGTATGTTCTCGACTTACGGCGGGGATGGCCCTTCAAGACACGAGTTTCTTCAGTGACGTCAGGACTCCTGTCTAGTAACGAGGGACACCTCAGGAATCTCTTCGAGGCTTGGCAGGGCCAAAGGGACGCTTCTCGAGGTGAGGCAGGGCACCCAAGGACCCTTTCCAGTAGCCACAGGGATTTTGGGATTCCTATCAGTATTCAAGAGGAGTCAGGCATCGTCACCTTTTGAAGCAATGAACTCCGCGTGCCTCTCGAGGTGTCAGCGGGATGTGAGGCATTCCGTCAAAATGAGGCAGGGACCTAGGGCTTTCTCTAAGGTCTCCACAGGGGATTCAGACATCCCTTCATGTTGTGAGATGAAAGACGAGCCTGTATTCAAGCCACTGCAAGGAAATCCGGCCTCCTTTCAAGTTAGGGCTTCTCGCTGTATATTCCCCTTGAGGCAGCAAACTCGGGGTCCCTCCCACATACCTATTGCTGAGAGAAGCCTCCTCCTGAGATGCTTCTGGGAAGTTGGCATACGTCTTGAGCCTAAGCCAGGGAATCAGCTCTCATCTCGAGACGATTTGGGGTACACGGAGCATTCCTCGAGTTGCTGTGCTGAAGTTGGTGTTCCTCTAGACTTGGGACAGTGTTCTCGGGGCATCTCTGGAGTTGCCTGAAGGAAGTCGAGCCACCGGTCGTGTTGAATGGGGAACGGGGAATGGCTCTGGAGTCAATGCAGGGGAATCGGGCCTCATCTCGAGTTGATTTGGGGCACATGGAGCTGCTTTGCGTTGCTGGGGTGACCTCAGGGTCCGTCTAGACTGGTGACAGTGTTCTTGGGGACTGTCTCGAGATCCATTAAGCAAGTCGAAGCTCCTGACTTGTTTGAATGGGATCACGGAATAGCTCTGCATGCACTGCAGGGGAATGGGGCCTCATCTCGCCTCTAGGGGGAAGTCTCATGGTTTTTCTCGAGTTGCGGCGGGGACCTGGGGTATGTTCTCGACTTACGGCGGGGATGGCCCTTCAAAACACGAGTTTCTTCAGTGACGTCAGGACTCCTGTCTAGTAACGAGGGACACCTCAGGAATCTCTTCGAGGCTTGGCAGGGCCAAAGGGACGCTTCTCGAGGTGAGGCAGGGCACCCAAGGACCCTTTCCAGTAGCCACAGGGATTTTGGGATTCCTATCAGTATTCAAGAGGAGTCAGGCATCGTCACCTTTTGAAGCAATGAACTCCGCGTGCCTCTCGAGGTGTCAGCGGGATGTGAGGCATTCCGTCAAAATGAGGCAGGGACCTAGGGCTTTCTCTAAGGTCTCCACAGGGGATTCAGACATCCCTTCATGTTGTGAGATGAAAGACGAGCCTGTATTCAAGCCACTGCAAGGAAATCCGGCCTCCTTTCAAGTTAGGGCTTCTCGCTGTATATTCCCCTTGAGGCAGCAAACTCGGGGTCCCTCCCACATACCTATTGCTGAGAGAAGCCTCCTCCTGAGGTGCTTCTGGGAAGTTGGCATACGTCTTGAGCCTAAGCCAGGGAATCAGCTCGCATCTCGAGACGATTTGGGGTACACGGAGCATTACTCGAGTTGCTGTGCTGAAGTTGGTGTTCCTCTAGACTTGGGACAGTGTTCTCGGGGCATCTCTGGAGTTGCCTGAAGGAAGTCGAGCCACCGGTCGTGTTGAATGGGGAACGGGGAATGGCTCTGGAGTCAATGCAGGGGAATCGGGCCTCATCTCGAGTTGATTTGGGGCACATGGAGCTGCTTTGCGTTGCTGGGGTGACCTCAGGGTCCGTCTAGACTGGTGACAGTGTTCTTGGGGACTGCCTCGAGATCCATTAAGCAAGTCGAAGCTCCTGACTTGTTTGAATGGGATCACGGAATAGCTCTGCATGCACTGCAGGGGAATGGGGCCTCATCTCGCCTCTAGGGGGAAGTCTCATGGTTTTTCTCGAGTTGTGGCGGGGACCTGGGGTATGTTCTCGACTTACGGCGGGGATGGCCCTTCAAGACACGAGTTTCTTCAGTGACGTCAGGACTCCTGTCTAGTAACGAGGGACACCTCAGGAATCTCTTCGAGGCTTGGCAGGGCCAAAGGGATGCTTCTCGATGTGAGGCAGGGCACCCAAGGACCCTTTCCAGTAGCCACAGGGATTTTGGGATTCCTATCAGTATTCAAGAGGAGTCAGGCATCGTCACCTTTTGAAGCAATGAACTCCGCGTGCCTCTCGAGGTGTCAGCGGGATGTGAGGCATTCCGTCAAAATGAGGCAGGGACCTAGGGCTTTCTCTAAGGTCTCCACAGGGGATTCAGACATCCCTTCATGTTGTGAGATGAAAGACGAGCCTGTATTCAAGCCACTGCAAGGAAATCCGGCCTCCTTTCAAGTTAGGGCTTCTCGCTGTATATTCCCCTTGAGGCAGCAAACTCGGGGTCCCTCCCACATTCCTATGGCTGAGAGAAGCCTCCTCCTGAGGTGCTTCTGGGAAGTTGGCATACGTCTTGAGCCTAAGCCAGGGAATCAGCTCTCATCTCGAGACGATTTGGGGTACACGGAGCATTCCTCGAGTTGCTGTGCTGAAGTTGGTGTTCCTCTAGACTTGGGACAGTGTTCTCGGGGCATCTCTGGAGTTGCCTGAAGGATGTCGAGCCACCGGTCGTGTTGAATGGGGAACGGGGAATGGCTCTGGAGTCAATGCAGGGGAATCGGGCCTCATCTCGAGTTGATTTGGGGCACATGGAGCTGCTTTGCGTTGCTGGGGTGACCTCAGGGTCCGTCTAGACGGGTGACAGTGTTCTTGGGGACTGTCTCGAGATCCATTAAGCAAGTCGAAGCTCCTGACTTGTTTGAATGGGATCACGGAATAGCTCTGCATGCACTGCAGGGGAATGGGGCCTCATCTCGCCTCTAGCGGGAAGTCTCATGGTTTTTCTCGAGTTGCGGCGGGGACCTGGGGTATGTTCTCGACTTACGGCGGGGATGGCCCTTCAAAACACGAGTTTCTTCAGTGACGTCAGGACTCCTGTCTAGTAACGAGGGACACCTCAGGAATCTCTTCGAGGCTTGGCAGGGCCAAAGGGACGCTTCTCGAGGTGAGGCAGGGCACCCAAGGACCCTTTCCAGTAGCCACAGGGATTTTGGGATTCCTATCAGTATTCAAGAGGAGTCAGGCATCGTCACCTTTTGAAGCAATGAACTCCGCGTGCCTCTCGAGGTGTCAGCGGGATGTGAGGCATTCCGTCAAAATGAGGCAGGGACCTAGGGCTTTCTCTAAGGTCTCCACAGGGGATTCAGACATCCCTTCATGTTGTGAGATGAAAGACGAGACTGTATTCAAGCCACTGAAAGGAAATCCGGCCTCCTTTCAAGTTAGGGCTTCTCGCTGTATATTCCCCTTGAGGCAGCAAACTCGGGGTCCCTCCCACATACCTATTGCTGAGAGAAGCCTCCTCCTGAGGTGCTTCTGGGAAGTTGGCATACGTCTTGAGCCTAAGCCAGGGAATCAGCTCGCATCTCGAGACGATTTGGGGTACACGGAGCATTCCTCGATTTGCTGTGCTGAAGTTGGTGTTCCTCTAGACTTGGGACAGTGTTCTCGGGGCATCTCTGGAGTTGCCTGAAGGAAGTCGAGCCACCGGTCGTGTTGAATGGGGAACGGGGAATGGCTCTGGAGTCAATGCAGGGGAATCGGGCCTCATCTCGAGTTGATTTGGGGCACATGGAGCTGCTTTGCGTTGCTGGGGTGACCTCAGGGTCCGTCTAGACTGGTGACAGTGTTCTTGGGGACTGTCTCGAGATCCATTAAGCAAGTCGAAGCTCCTGACTTGTTTGAATGGGATCACGGAATAGCTCTGCATGCACTGCAGGGGAATGGGGCCTCATCTCGCCTCTAGGGGGAAGTCTCATGGTTTTTCTCGAGTTGCGGCGGGGACCTGGGGTATGTTCTCGACTTACAGCGGGGATGGCCCTTCAAGACACGAGTTTCTTCAGTGACGTCAGGACTCCTGTCTAGTAACGAGGGACACCTCAGGAATCTCTTCGAGGCTTGGCAGGGCCAAAGGGACGCTTCTCGAGGTGAGGCAGGGCACCCAAGGACCCTTTCCAGTAGCCACAGGGATTTTGGGATTCCTATCAGTATTCAAGAGGAGTCAGGCATCGTCACCTTTTGAAGCAATGAACTCCGCGTGCCTCTCGAGGTGTCAGCGGGATGTGAGGCATTCCGTCAAAATGAGGCAGGGACCTAGGGCTTTCTCTAAGGTCTCCACAGGGGATTCAGACATCCCTTCATGTTGTGAGATGAAAGACGAGCCTGTATTCAAGCCACTGCAAGGAAATCCGGCCTCCTTTCAAGTTAGGGCTTCTCGCTGTATATTCCCCTTGAGGCAGCAAACTCGGGGTCCCTCCCACATTCCTATGGCTGAGAGAAGCCTCCTCCTGAGGTGCTTCTGGGAAGTTGGCATACGTCTTGAGCCTAAGCCAGGGAATCAGCTCTCATCTCGAGACGATTTGGGGTACACGGAGCATTCCTCGAGTTGCTGTGCTGAAGTTGGTGTTCCTCTAGACTTGGGACAGTGTTCTCGGGGCATCTCTGGAGTTGCCTGAAGGAAGTCGAGCCACCGGTCGTGTTGAATGGGGAACGGGGAATGGCTCTGGAGTCAATGCAGGGGAATCGGGCCTCATCTCGAGTTGATTTGGGGCACATGGAGCTGCTTTGCGTTGCTGGGGTGACCTCAGGGTCCGTCTAGACGGGTGACAGTGTTCTTGGGGACTGTCTCGAGATCCATTAAGCAAGTCGAAGCTCCTGACTTGTTTGAATGGGATCACGGAATAGCTCTGCATGCACTGCAGGGGAATGGGGCCTCATCTCGCCTCTAGCGGGAAGTCTCATGGTTTTTCTCGAGTTGCGGCGGGGACCTGGGGTATGTTCTCGACTTACGGCGGGGATGGCCCTTCAAAACACGAGTTTCTTCAGTGACGTCAGGACTCCTGTCTAGTAACGAGGGACACCTCAGGAATCTCTTCGAGGCTTGGCAGGGCCAAAGGGACGCTTCTCGAGGTGAGGCAGGGCACCCAAGGACCCTTTCCAGTAGCCACAGGGATTTTGGGATTCCTATCAGTATTCAAGAGGAGTCAGGCATCGTCACCTTTTGAAGCAATGAACTCCGCGTGCCTCTCGAGGTGTCAGCGGGATGTGAGGCATTCCGTCAAAATGAGGCAGGGACCTAGGGCTTTCTCTAAGGTCTCCACAGGGGATTCAGACATCCCTTCATGTTGTGAGATGAAAGACGAGCCTGTATTCAAGCCACTGCAAGGAAATCCGGCCTCCTTTCAAGTTAGGGCTTCTCGCTGTATATTCCCCTTGAGGCAGCAAACTCGGGGTCCCTCCCACATACCTATGGCTGAGAGAAGCCTCCTCCTGAGTTGCTTCTGGGAAGTTGGCATACGTCTTGAGCCTAAGCCAGGGAATCAGCTCGCATCTCGAGACGATTTGGGGTACACGGAGCATTCCTCGATTTGCTGTGCTGAAGTTGGTGTTCCTCTAGACTTGGGACAGTGTTCTCGGGGCATCTCTGGAGTTGCCTGAAGGAAGTCGAGCCACCGGTCGTGTTGAATGGGGAACGGGGAATGGCTCTGGAGTCAATGCAGGGGAATCGGGCCTCATCTCGAGTTGATTTGGGGCACATGGAGCTGCTTTGCGTTGCTGGGGTGACCTCAGGGTCCGTCTAGACTGGTGACAGTGTTCTTGGGGACTGTCTCGAGATCCATTAAGCAAGTCGAAGCTCCTGACTTTTTTGAATGGGATCACGGAATAGCTCTGCATGCACTGCAGGGGAATGGGGCCTCATCTCGCCTCTAGGGGGAAGTCTCATGGTTTTTCTCGAGTTGCGGCGGGGACCTGGGGTATGTTCTCGACTTACGGCGGGGATGGCCCTTCAAAACACGAGTTTCTTCAGTGACGTCAGGACTCCTGTCTAGTAACGAGGGACACCTCAGGAATCTCTTCGAGGCTTGGCAGGGCCAAAGGGACGCTTCTCGAGGTGAGGCAGGGCACCCAAGGACCCTTTCCAGTAGCCACAGGGATTTTGGGATTCCTATCAGTATTCAAGAGGAGTCAGGCATCGTCACCTTTTGAAGCAATGAACTCCGCGTGCCTCTCGAGGTGTCAGCGGGATGTGAGGCATTCCGTCAAAATGAGGCAGGGACCTAGGGCTTTCTCTAAGGTCTCCACAGGGGATTCAGACATCCCTTCATGTTGTGAGATGAAAGACGAGCCTGTATTCAAGCCACTGCAAGGAAATCCGGCCTCCTTTCAAGTTAGGGCTTCTCGCTGTATATTCCCCTTGAGGCAGCAAACTCGGGGTCCCTCCCACATACCTATTGCTGAGAGAAGCCTCCTCCTGAGGTGCTTCTGGGAAGTTGGCATACGTCTTGAGCCTAAGCCAGGGAATCAGCTCGCATCTCGAGACGATTTGGGGTACACGGAGCATTCCTCGAGTTGCTGTGCTGAAGTTGGTGTTCCTCTAGACTTGGGACAGTGTTCTCGGGGCATCTCTGGAGTTGCCTGAAGGAAGTCGAGCCACCGGTCGTGTTGAATGGGGAACGGGGAATGGCTCTGGAGTCAATGCAGGGGAATCGGGCCTCATCTCGAGTTGATTTGGGGCACATGGAGCTGCTTTGCGTTGCTGGGGTGACCTCAGGGTCCGTCTAGACTGGTGACAGTGTTCTTGGGGACTGCCTCGAGATCCATTAAGCAAGTCGAAGCTCCTGACTTGTTTGAATGGGATCACGGAATAGCTCTGCATGCACTGCAGGGGAATGGGGCCTCATCTCGCCTCTAGGGGGAAGTCTCATGGTTTTTCTCGAGTTGTGGCGGGGACCTGGGGTATGTTCTCGACTTACGGCGGGGATGGCCCTTCAAGACACGAGTTTCTTCAGTGACGTCAGGACTCCTGTCTAGTAACGAGGGACACCTCAGGAATCTCTTCGAGGCTTGGCAGGGCCAAAGGGACGCTTCTCGAGGTGAGGCAGGGCACCCAAGGACCCTTTCCAGTAGCCACAGGGATTTTGGGATTCCTATCAGTATTCAAGAGGAGTCAGGCATCGTCACCTTTTGAAGCAATGAACTCCGCGTGCCTCTCGAGGTGTCAGCGGGATGTGAGGCATTCCGTCAAAATGAGGCAGGGACCTAGGGCTTTCTCTAAGGTCTCCACAGGGGATTCAGACATCCCTTCATGTTGTGAGATGAAAGACGAGCCTGTATTCAAGCCACTGCAAGGAAATCCGGCCTCCTTTCAAGTTAGGGCTTCTCGCTGTATATTCCCCTTGAGGCAGCAAACTCGGGGTCCCTCCCACATTCCTATGGCTGAGAGAAGCCTCCTCCTGAGGTGCTTCTGGGAAGTTGGCATACGTCTTGAGCCTAAGCCAGGGAATCAGCTCTCATCTCGAGACGATTTGGGGTACACGGAGCATTCCTCGAGTTGCTGTGCTGAAGTTGGTGTTCCTCTAGACTTGGGACAGTGTTCTCGGGGCATCTCTGGAGTTGCCTGAAGGAAGTCGAGCCATCGGTCGTGTTGAATGGGGAACGGGGAATGGCTCTGGAGTCAATGCAGGGGAATCGGGCCTCATCTCGAGTTGATTTGGGGCACATGGAGCTGCTTTGCGTTGCTGGGGTGACCTCAGGGTCCGTCTAGACGGGTGACAGTGTTCTTGGGGACTGTCTCGAGATCCATTAAGCAAGTCGAAGCTCCTGACTTGTTTGAATGGGATCACGGAATAGCTCTGCATGCACTGCAGGGGAATGGGGCCTCATCTCGCCTCTAGGGGGAAGTCTCATGGTTTTTCTCGAGTTGCGGCGGGGACCTGGGGTATGTTCTCGACTTACGGCGGGGATGGCCCTTCAAAACACGAGTTTCTTCAGTGACGTCAGGACTCCTGTCTAGTAACGAGGGACACCTCAGGAATCTCTTCGAGGCTTGGCAGGGCCAAAGGGACGCTTCTCGAGGTGAGGCAGGGCACCCAAGGACCCTTTCCAGTAGCCACAGGGATTTTGGGATTCCTATCAGTATTCAAGAGGAGTCAGGCATCGTCACCTTTTGAAGCAATGAACTCCGCGTGCCTCTCGAGGTGTCAGCGGGATGTGAGGCATTCCGTCAAAATGAGGCAGGGACCTAGGGCTTTCTCTAAGGTCTCCACAGGGGATTCAGACATCCCTTCATGTTGTGAGATGAAAGACGAGCCTGTATTCAAGCCACTGCAAGGAAATCCGGCCTCCTTTCAAGTTAGGGCTTCTCGCTGTATATTCCCCTTGAGGCAGCAAACTCGGGGTCCCTCCCACATACCTATTGCTGAGAGAAGCCTCCTCCTGAGGTGCTTCTGGGAAGTTGGCATACGTCTTGAGCCTAAGCCAGGGAATCAGCTCGCATCTCGAGACGATTTGGGGTACATGGAGCATTCCTCGAGTTGCTGTGCTGAAGTTGGTGTTCCTCTAGACTTGGGACAGTGTTCTCGGGGCATCTCTGGAGTTGCCTGAAGGAAGTCGAGCCACCGGTCGTGTTGAATGGGGAACGGGGAATGGCTCTGGAGTCAATGCAGGGGAATCGGGCCTCATCTCGAGTTGATTTGGGGCACATGGAGCTGCTTTGCGTTGCTGGGGTGACCTCAGGGTCCGTCTAGACTGGTGACAGTGTTCTTGGGGACTGCCTCGAGATCCATTAAGCAAGTCGAAGCTCCTGACTTGTTTGAATGGGATCACGGAATAGCTCTGCATGCACTGCAGGGGAATGGGGCCTCATCTCGCCTCTAGGGGGAAGTCTCATGGTTTTTCTCGAGTTGTGGCGGGGACCTGGGGTATGTTCTCGACTTACGGCGGGGATGGCCCTTCAAGACACGAGTTTCTTCAGTGACGTCAGGACTCCTGTCTAGTAACGAGGGACACCTCAGGAATCTCTTCGAGGCTTGGCAGGGCCAAAGGGACGCTTCTCGAGGTGAGGCAAGGCACCCAAGGACCCTTTCCAGTAGCCACAGGGATTTTGGGATTCCTATCAGTATTCAAGAGGAGTCAGGCATCGTCACCTTTTGAAGCAATGAACTCCGCGTGCCTCTCGAGGTGTCAGCGGGATGTGAGGCATTCCGTCAAAATGAGGCAGGGACCTAGGGCTTTCTCTAAGGTCTCCACAGGGGATTCAGACATCCCTTCATGTTGTGAGATGAAAGACGAGCCTGTATTCAAGCCACTGCAAGGAAATCCGGCCTCCTTTCAATTTAGGGCTTCTCGCTGTATATTCCCCTTGAGGCAGCAAACTCGGGGTCCCTCCCACATTCCTATGGCTGAGAGAAGCCTCCTCCTGAGGTGCTTCTGGGAAGTTGGCATACGTCTTGAGCCTAAGCCAGGGAATCAGCTCTCATCTCGAGACGATTTGGGGTACACGGAGCATTCCTCGAGTTGCTGTGCTGAAGTTGGTGTTCCTCTAGACTTGGGACAGTGTTCTCGGGGCATCTCTGGAGTTGCCTGAAGGAAGTCGAGCCATCGGTCGTGTTGAATGGGGAACGGGGAATGGCTCTGGAGTCAATGCAGGGGAATCGGGCCTCATCTCGAGTTGATTTGGGGCACATGGAGCTGCTTTGCGTTGCTGGGGTGACCTCAGGGTCCGTCTAGACGGGTGACAGTGTTCTTGGGGACTGTCTCGAGATCCATTAAGCAAGTCGAAGCTCCTGACTTGTTTGAATGGGATCACGGAATAGCTCTGCATGCACTGCAGGGGAATGGGGCCTCATCTCGCCTCTAGGGGGAAGTCTCATGGTTTTTCTCGAGTTGCGGCGGGGACCTGGGGTATGTTCTCGACTTACGGCGGGGATGGCCCTTCAAGACACGAGTTTCTTCAGTGACGTCAGGACTCCTGTCTAGTAATGATGGACACCTCAGGAATCTCTTCGAGGCTTGGCAGGGCCAAAGGGACGCTTCTCGAGGTGAGGCAGGGCACCCAAGGACCCTTTCCAGTAGCCACAGGGATTTTGGGATTCCTATCAGTATTCAAGAGGAGTCAGGCATCGTCACCTTTTGAAGCAATGAACTCCGCGTGCCTCTCGAGGTGTCAGCGGGATGTGAGGCATTCCGTCAAAATGAGGCAGGGACCTAGGGCTTTCTCTAAGGTCTCCACAGGGGATTCAGACATCCCTTCATGTTGTGAGATCAAAGACGAGCCTGTATTCAAGCCACTGCAAGGAAATCCGGCCTCCTTTCAAGTTAGGGCTTCTCGCTGTATATTCCCCTTGAGGCAGCAAACTCGGGGTCCCTCCCACATTCCTATGGCTGAGAGAAGCCTCCTCCTGAGGTGCTTCTGGGAAGTTGGCATACGTCTTGAGCCTAAGCCAGGGAATCAGCTCTCATCTCGAGACGATTTGGGGTACACGGAGCATTCCTCGAGTTGCTGTACTGAAGTTGGTGTTCCTCTAGACTTGGGACAGTGTTCTCGGGGCATCTCTGGAGTTGCCTGAAGGAAGTCGAGCCACCGGTCGTGTTGAATGGGGAACGGGGAATGGCTCTGGAGTCAATGCAGGGGAATCGGGCCTCATCTCGAGTTGATTTGGGGCACATGGAGCTGCTTTGCGTTGCTGGGGTGACCTCAGGGTCCGTCTAGACTGGTGACAGTGTTCTTGGGGACTGTCTCGAGATCCATTAAGCAAGTCGAAGCTCCTGACTTGTTTGAATGGGATCACGGAATAGCTCTGCATGCACTGCAGGGGAATGGGGCCTCATCTCGCCTCTAGGGGGAAGTCTCATGGTTTTTCTCGAGTTGCGGCGGGGACCTGGGGTATGTTCTCGACTTACGGCGGGGATGGCCCTTCAAGACACGAGTTTCTTCAGTGACGTCAGGACTCCTGTCTAGTAACGAGGGACACCTCAGGAATCTCTTCGAGGCTTGGCAGGGCCAAAGGGACGCTTCTCGAGGTGAGGCAGGGCACCCAAGGACCCTTTCCAGTAGCCACAGGGATTTTGGGATTCCTATCAGTATTCAAGAGGAGTCAGGCATCGTCACCTTTTGAAGCAATGAACTCCGCGTGCCTCTCGAGGTGTCAGCGGGATGTGAGGCATTCCGTCAAAATGAGGCAGGGACCTAGGGCTTTCTCTAAGGTCTCCACAGGCGATTCAGACATCCCTTCATGTTGTGAGATGAAAGACGAGCCTGTATTCAAGCCACTGCAAGGAAATCCGGCCTCCTTTCAAGTTAGGGCTTCTCGCTGTATATTCCCCTTGAGGCAGCAAACTCGGGGTCCCTCCCACATACCTATGGCTGAGAGAAGCCTCCTCCTGAGGTGCTTCTGGGAAGTTGGCATACGTCTTGAGCCTAAGCCAGGGAATCAGCTCGCATCTCGAGACGATTTGGGGTACACGGAGCATTCCTCGAGTTGCTGTGCTGAAGTTGGTGTTCCTCTAGAATTGGGACAGTGTTCTCGGGGCATCTCTGGAGTTGCCTGAAGGAAGTCGAGCCACCGGTCGTGTTGAATGGGGAACGGGGAATGGCTCTGGAGTCAATGCAGGGGAATCGGGCCTCATCTCGAGTTGATTTGGGGCACATGGAGCTGCTTTGCGTTGCTGGGTTGACCTCAGGGTCCGTCTAGACTGGTGACAGTGATCTTGGGGACTGTCTCGAGATCCATTAAGCAAGTCGAAGCTCCTGACTTGTTTGAATGGGATCACGGAATAGCTCTGCATGCACTGCAGGGGAATGGGGCCTCATCTCGCCTCTAGGGGGAAGTCTCATGGTTTTTCTCGAGTTGCGGCGGGGACCTGGGGTATGTTCTCGACTTACGGCGGGGATGGCCCTTCAAGACACGAGTTTCTTCAGTGACGTCAGGACTCCTGTCTAGTAACGAGGGACACCTCAGGAATCTCTTCGAGGCTTGGCAGGGCCAAAGGGACGCTTCTCGAGGTGAGGCAGGGCACCCAAGGACCCTTTCCAGTAGCCACAGGGATTTTGGGATTCCTATCAGTATTCAAGAGGAGTCAGGCATCGTCACCTTTTGAAGCAATGAACTCCGCGTGCCTCTCGAGGTGTCAGCGGGATGTGAGGCATTCCGTCAAAATGAGGCAGGGACCTAGGGCTTTCTCTAAGGTCTCCACAGGGGATTCAGACATCCCTTCATGTTGTGAGATCAAAGACGAGCCTGTATTCAAGCCACTGCAAGGAAATCCGGCCTCCTTTCAAGTTAGGGCTTCTCGCTGTATATTCCCCTTGAGGCAGCAAACTCGGGGTCCCTCCCACATTCCTATGGCTGAGAGAAGCCTCCTCCTGAGGTGCTTCTGGGAAGTTGGCATACGTCTTGAGCCTAAGCCAGGGAATCAGCTCTCATCTCGAGACGATTTGGGGTACACGGAGCATTCCTCGAGTTGCTGTACTGAAGTTGGTGTTCCTCTAGACTTGGGACAGTGTTCTCGGGGCATCTCTGGAGTTGCCTGAAGGAAGTCGAGCCACCGGTCGTGTTGAATGGGGAACGGGGAATGGCTCTGGAGTCAATGCAGGGGAATCGGGCCTCATCTCGAGTTGATTTGGGGCACATGGAGCTGCTTTGCGTTGCTGGGGTGACCTCAGGGTCCGTCTAGACTGGTGACAGTGTTCTTGGGGACTGTCTCGAGATCCATTAAGCAAGTCGAAGCTCCTGACTTGTTTGAATGGGATCACGGAATAGCTCTGCATGCACTGCAGGGGAATGGGGCCTCATCTCGCCTCTAGGGGGAAGTCTCATGGTTTTTCTCGAGTTGCGGCGGGGACCTGGGGTATGTTCTCGACTTACGGCGGGGATGGCCCTTCAAGACACGAGTTTCTTCAGTGACGTCAGGACTCCTGTCTAGTAACGAGGGACACCTCAGGAATCTCTTCGAGGCTTGGCAGGGCCAAAGGGACGCTTCTCGAGGTGAGGCAGGGCACCCAAGGACCCTTTCCAGTAGCCACAGGGATTTTGGGATTCCTATCAGTATTCAAGAGGAGTCAGGCATCGTCACCTTTTGAAGCAATGAACTCCACGTGCCTCTCGAGGTGTCAGCGGGATGTGAGGCATTCCGTCAAAATGAGGCAGGGACCTAGGGCTTTCTCTAAGGTCTCCACAGGGGATTCAGACATCCCTTCATGTTGTGAGATGAAAGACGAGCCTGTATTCAAGCCACTGCAAGGAAATCCGGCCTCCTTTCAAGTTAGGGCTTCTCGCTGTATATTCCCCTTGAGGCAGCAAACTCGGGGTCCCTCCCACATTCCTATGGCTGAGAGAAGCCTCCTCCTGAGGTGCTTCTGGGAAGTTGGCATACGTCTTGAGCCTAAGCCAGGGAATCAGCTCTCATCTCGACACGATTTGGGGTACACGGAGCATTCCTCGAGTTGCTGTGCTGAAGTTGGTGTTCCTCTAGACTTGGGACAGTGTTCTCGGGGCATCTCTGGAGTTGCCTGAAGGAAGTCGAGCCACCGGTCGTGTTGAATGGGGAACGGGGAATGGCTCTGGAGTCAATGCAGGGGAATCGGGCCTCATCTCGAGTTGATTTGGGGCACATGGAGCTGCTTTGCGTTGCTGGGGTGACCTCAGGGTCCGTCTAGACTGGTGACAGTGATCTTGGGGACTGTCTCGAGATCCATTAAGCAAGTCGAAGCTCCTGACTTGTTTGAATGGGATCACGGAATAGCTCTGCATGCACTGCAGGGGAATGGGGCCTCATCTCGCCTCTAGGGGGAAGTCTCATGGTTTTTCTCGAGTTGCGGCGGGGACCTGGGGTATGCTCTCGACTTACGGCGGGGATGGCCCTTCAAGACACGAGTTTCTTCAGTGACGTCAGGACTCCTGTCTAGTAACGAGGGACACCTCAGGAATCTCTTCGAGGCTTGGCAGGGCCAAAGGGACGCTTCTCGAGGTGAGGCAGGGCACCCAAGGACCCTTTCCAGTAGCCACAGGGATTTTGGGATTCCTATCAGTATTCAAGAGGAGTCAGGAATCGTCACCTTTTGAAGCAATGAACTCCGCGTGCCTCTCGAGGTGTCAGCGGGATGTGAGGCATTCCGTCAAAATGAGGCAGGGACCTAGGGCTTTCTCTAAGGTCTCCACAGGGGATTCAGACATCCCTTCATGTTGTGAGATGAAAGACGAGCCTGTCTTCAAGCCACTGCAAGGAAATCCGGCCTCCTTTCAAGTTAGGGCTTCTCGCTGTATATTCCCCTTGAGGCAGCAAACTCGGGGTCCCTCCCACATACCTATTGCTGAGAGAAGCCTCCTCCTGAGGTGCTTCTGGGAAGTTGGCATACGTCTTGAGCCTAAGCCAGGGAATCAGCTCTCATCTCGAGACGATTTGGGGTACACGGAGCATTCCTCGAGTTGCTGTGCTGAAGTTGGTGTTCCTCTAGACTTGGGACAGTGTTCTCGGGGCATCTCTGGAGTTGCCTGAAGGAAGTCGAGCCACCGGTCGTGTTGAATGGGGAACGGGGAATGGCTCTGGAGTCAATGCAGGGGAATCGGGCCTCATCTCGAGTTGATTTGGGGCACATGGAGCTGCTTTGCGTTGCTGGGGTGACCTCAGGGTCCGTCTAGACTGGTGACAGTGTTCTTGGGGACTGTCTCGAGATCCATTAAGCAAGTCGAAGCTCCTGACTTGTTTGAATGGGATCACGGAATAGCTCTGCATGCACTGAAGGGGAATGGGGCCTCATCTCGCCTCTAGGGGGAAGTCTCATGGTTTTTCTCGAGTTGCGGCGGGGACCTGGGGTATGTTCTCGACTTACGGCGGGGATGGCCCTTCAAAACACGAGTTTCTTCAGTGACGTCAGGACTCCTGTCTAGTAACGAGGGACACCTCAGGAATCTCTTCGAGGCTTGGCAGGGCCAAAGGGACGCTTCTCGAGGTGAGGCAGGGCACCCAAGCACCCTTTCCAGTAGCCACAGGGATTTTGGGATTCCTATCAGTATTCAAGAGGAGTCAGGCATCGTCACCTTTTGAAGCAATGAACTCCACGTGCCTCTCGAGGTGTCAGCGGGATGTGAGGCATTCCGTCAAAATGAGGCAGGGACCTAGGGCTTTCTCTAAGGTCTCCACAGGGGATTCAGACATCCCTTCATGTTGTGAGATGAAAGACGAGCCTGTATTCAAGCCACTGCAAGGAAATCCGGCCTCCTTTCAAGTTAGGGCTTCTCGCTGTATATTCCCCTTGAGGCAGCAAACTCGGGGTCCCTCCCACATTCCTATGGCTGAGAGAAGCCTCCTCCTGAGGTGCTTCTGGGAAGTTGGCATACGTCTTGAGCCTAAGCCAGGGAATCAGCTCTCATCTCGACACGATTTGGGGTACACGGAGCATTCCTCGAGTTGCTGTGCTGAAGTTGGTGTTCCTCTAGACTTGGGACAGTGTTCTCGGGGCATCTCTGGAGTTGCCTGAAGGAAGTCGAGCCACCGGTCGTGTTGAATGGGGAACGGGGAATGGCTCTGGAGTCAATGCAGGGGAATCGGGCCTCATCTCGAGTTGATTTGGGGCACATGGAGCTGCTTTGCGTTGCTGGGGTGACCTCAGGGTCCGTCTAGACTGGTGACAGTGTTCTTGGGGACTGTCTCGAGATCCATTAAGCAAGTCGAAGCTCCTGACTTGTTTGAATGGGATCACGGAATAGCTCTGCATGCACTGCAGGGGAATGGGGCCTCATCTCGCCTCTAGGGGGAAGTCTCATGGTTTTTCTCGAGTTGCGGCGGGGACCTGGGGTATGCTCTCGACTTACGGCGGGGATGGCCCTTCAAGACACGAGTTTCTTCAGTGACGTCAGGACTCCTGTCTAGTAACGAGGGACACCTCAGGAATCTCTTCGAGGCTTGGCAGGGCCAAAGGGACGCTTCTCGAGGTGAGGCAGGGCACCCAAGGACCCTTTCCAGTAGCCACAGGGATTTTGGGATTCCTATCAGTATTCAAGAGGAGTCAGGAATCGTCACCTTTTGAAGCAATGAACTCCGCGTGCCTCTCGAGGTGTCAGCGGGATGTGAGGCATTCCGTCAAAATGAGGCAGGGACCTAGGGCTTTCTCTAAGGTCTCCACAGGGGATTCAGACATCCCTTCATGTTGTGAGATGAAAGACGAGCCTGTCTTCAAGCCACTGCAAGGAAATCCGGCCTCCTTTCAAGTTAGGGCTTCTCGCTGTATATTCCCCTTGAGGCAGCAAACTCGGGGTCCCTCCCACATACCTATTGCTGAGAGAAGCCTCCTCCTGAGGTGCTTCTGGGAAGTTGGCATACGTCTTGAGCCTAAGCCAGGGAATCAGCTCTCATCTCGAGACGATTTGGGGTACACGGAGCATTCCTCGAGTTGCTGTGCTGAAGTTGGTGTTCCTCTAGACTTGGGACAGTGTTCTCGGGGCATCTCTGGAGTTGCCTGAAGGAAGTCGAGCCACCGGTCGTGTTGAATGGGGAACGGGGAATGGCTCTGGAGTCAATGCAGGGGAATCGGGCCTCATCTCGAGTTGATTTGGGGCACATGGAGCTGCTTTGCGTTGCTGGGGTGACCTCAGGGTCCGTCTAGACTGGTGACAGTGTTCTTGGGGACTGTCTCGAGATCCATTAAGCAAGTCGAAGCTCCTGACTTGTTTGAATGGGATCACGGAATAGCTCTGCATGCACTGAAGGGGAATGGGGCCTCATCTCGCCTCTAGGGGGAAGTCTCATGGTTTTTCTCGAGTTGCGGCGGGGACCTGGGGTATGTTCTCGACTTACGGCGGGGATGGCCCTTCAAAACACGAGTTTCTTCAGTGACGTCAGGACTCCTGTCTAGTAACGAGGGACACCTCAGGAATCTCTTCGAGGCTTGGCAGGGCCAAAGGGACGCTTCTCGAGGTGAGGCAGGGCACCCAAGCACCCTTTCCAGTAGCCACAGGGATTTTGGGATTCCTATCAGTATTCAAGAGGAGTCAGGCATCGTCACCTTTTGAAGCAATGAACTCCACGTGCCTCTCGAGGTGTCAGCGGGATGTGAGGCATTCCGTCAAAATGAGGCAGGGACCTAGGGCTTTCTCTAAGGTCTCCACAGGGGATTCAGACATCCCTTCATGTTGTGAGATGAAAGACGAGCCTGTATTCAAGCCACTGCAAGGAAATCCGGCCTCCTTTCAAGTTAGGGCTTCTCGCTGTATATTCCCCTTGAGGCAGCAAACTCGGGGTCCCTCCCACATTCCTATGGCTGAGAGAAGCCTCCTCCTGAGGTGCTTCTGGGAAGTTGGCATACGTCTTGAGCCTAAGCCAGGGAATCAGCTCTCATCTCGACACGATTTGGGGTACACGGAGCATTCCTCGAGTTGCTGTGCTGAAGTTGGTGTTCCTCTAGACTTGGGACAGTGTTCTCGGGGCATCTCTGGAGTTGCCTGAAGGAAGTCGAGCCACCGGTCGTGTTGAATGGGGAACGGGGAATGGCTCTGGAGTCAATGCAGGGGAATCGGGCCTCATCTCGAGTTGATTTGGGGCACATGGAGCTGCTTTGCGTTGCTGGGGTGACCTCAGGGTCCGTCTAGACTGGTGACAGTGTTCTTGGGGACTGTCTCGAGATCCATTAAGCAAGTCGAAGCTCCTGACTTGTTTGAATGGGATCACGGAATAGCTCTGCATGCACTGCAGGGGAATGGGGCCTCATCTCGCCTCTAGGGGGAAGTCTCATGGTTTTTCTCGAGTTGCGGCGGGGACCTGGGGTATGCTCTCGACTTACGGCGGGGATGGCCCTTCAAGACACGAGTTTCTTCAGTGACGTCAGGACTCCTGTCTAGTAACGAGGGACACCTCAGGAATCTCTTCGAGGCTTGGCAGGGCCAAAGGGACGCTTCTCGAGGTGAGGCAGGGCACCCAAGGACCCTTTCCAGTAGCCACAGGGATTTTGGGATTCCTATCAGTATTCAAGAGGAGTCAGGAATCGTCACCTTTTGAAGCAATGAACTCCGCGTGCCTCTCGAGGTGTCAGCGGGATGTGAGGCATTCCGTCAAAATGAGGCAGGGACCTAGGGCTTTCTCTAAGGTCTCCACAGGGGATTCAGACATCCCTTCATGTTGTGAGATGAAAGACGAGCCTGTATTCAAGCCACTGCAAGGAAATCCGGCCTCCTTTCAAGTTAGGGCTTCTCGCTGTATATTCCCCTTGAGGCAGCAAACTCGGGGTCCCTCCCACATACCTATTGCTGAGAGAAGCCTCCTCCTGAGGTGCTTCTGGGAAGTTGGCATACGTCTTGAGCCTAAGCCAGGGAATCAGCTCGCATCTCGAGACGATTTGGGGTACACGGAGCATTCCTCGAGTTGCTGTGCTGAAGTTGGTGTTCCTCTAGACTTGGGACAGTGTTCTCGGGGCATCTCTGGAGTTGCCTGAAGGAAGTCGAGCCACCGGTCGTGTTGAATGGGGAACGGGGAATGGCTCTGGAGTCAATGCAGGGGAATCGGGCCTCATCTCGAGTTGATTTGGGGCACATGGAGCTACTTTGCGTTGCTGGGGTGACCTCAGGGTCCGTCTAGACTGGTGACAGTGATCTTGGGGACTGTCTCGAGATCCATTAAGCAAGTCGAAGCTCCTGACTTGTTTGAATGGGATCACGGAATAGCTCTGCATGCACTGCAGGGGAATGGGGCCTCATCTCGCCTCTAGGGGGAAGTCTCATGGTTTTTCTCGAGTTGCGGCGGGGACCTGGGGTATGTTCTCGACTTACGGCGGGGATGGCCCTTCAAGACACGAGTTTCTTCAGTGACGTCAGGACTCCTGTCTAGTAACGAGGGACACCTCAGGAATCTCTTCGAGGCTTGGCAGGGCCAAAGGGACGCTTCTCGAGGTGAGGCAGGGCACCCAAGGACCCTTTCCAGTAGCCACAGGGATTTTGGGATTCCTATCAGTATTCAAGAGGAGTCAGGCATCGTCACCTTTTGAAGCAATGAACTCCGCGTGCCTCTCGAGGTGTCAGCGGGATGTGAGGCATTCCGTCAAAATGAAGCAGGGACCTAGGGCTTTCTCTAAGGTCTCCACAGGGGATTCAGACATCCCTTCATGTTGTGAGATGAAAGACGAGCCTGTATTCAAGCCACTGCAAGGAAATCCGGCCTCCTTTCAAGTTAGGGCTTCTCGCTGTATATTCCCCTTGAGGCAGCAAACTCGGGGTCCCTCCCACATACCTATTGCTGAGAGAAGCCTCCTCCTGAGGTGCTTCTGGGAAGTTGGCATACGTCTTGAGCCTAAGCCAGGGAATCAGCTCTCATCTCGAGACGATTTGGGGTACACGGAGCATTCCTCGAGTTGCTGTGCTGAAGTTGGTGTTCCTCTAGACTTGGGACAGTGTTCTCGGGGCATCTCTGGAGTTGCCTGAAGGAAGTCGAGCCACCGGTCGTGTTGAATGGGGAACGGGGAATGGCTCTGGAGTCAATGCAGGGGAATCGGGCCTCATCTCGAGTTGATTTGGGGCACATGGAGCTGCTTTGCGTTGCTGGGGTGACCTCAGGGTCCGTCTAGACTGGTGACAGTGTTCTTGGGGACTGTCTCCAGATCCATTAAGCAAGTCGAAGCTCCTGACTTGTTTGAATGGGATCACGGAATAGCTCTGCATGCACTGCAGGGGAATGGGGCCTCATCTCGCCTCTAGGGGGAAGTCTCATGGTTTTTCTCGAGTTGCGGCGGGGACCTGGGGTATGTTCTCGACTTACGGCGGGGATGGCCCTTCAAGACACGAGTTTCTTCAGTGACGTCAGGACTCCTGTCTAGTAACGAGGGACACCTCAGGAATCTCTTCGAGGCTTGGCAGGGCCAAAGGGACGCTTCTCGAGGTGAGGCAGGGCACCCAAGGACCCTTTCCAGTAGCCACAGGGATTTTGGGATTCCTATCAGTATTCAAGAGGAGTCAGGCATCGTCACCTTTTGAAGCAATGAACTCCGCGTGCCTCTCGAGGTGTCAGCGGGATGTGAGGCATTCCGTCAAAATGAGGCAGATACCTAGGGCTTTCTCTAAGGTCTCCACAGGGGATTCAGACATCCCTTCATGTTGTGAGATGAAAGACGAGCCTGTATTCAAGCCACTGCAAGGAAATCCGGCCTCCTTTCAAGTTAGGGCTTCTCGCTGTATATTCCCCTTGAGGCAGCAAACTCGGGGTCCCTCCCACATTCCTATGGCTGAGAGAAGCCTCCTCCTGAGGTGCTTCTGGGAAGTTGGCATACGTCTTGAGCCTAAGCCAGGGAATCAGCTCTCATCTCGAGACGATTTGGGGTACACGGAGCATTCCTCGAGTTGCTGTGCTGAAGTTGGTGTTCCTCTAGACTTGGGACAGTGTTCTCGGGGCATCTCTGGAGTTGCCTGAAGGAAGTCGAGCCACCGGTCGTGTTGAATGGGGAACGGGGAATGGCTCTGGAGTCAATGCAGGGGAATCGGGCCTCATCTCGAGTTGATTTGGGGCACATGGAGCTGCTTTGCGTTGCTGGGGTGACCTCAGGGTCCGTCTAGACTGGTGACAGTGATCTTGGGGACTGTCTCGAGATCCATTAAGCAAGTCGAAGCTCCTGACTTGTTTGAATGGGATCACGGAATAGCTCTGCATGCACTGCAGGGGAATGGGGCCTCATCTCGCCTCTAGGGGGAAGTCTCATGGTTTTTCTCGAGTTGCGGCGGGGACCTGGGGTATGTTCTCGACTTACGGCGGGGATGGCCCTTCAAGACACGAGTTTCTTCAGTGACGTCAGGACTCCTGTCTAGTAACGAGGGACACCTAAGGAATCTCTTCGAGGCTTGGCAGGGCCAAAGGGACGCTTCTCGAGGTGAGGCAGGGCACCCAAGGACCCTTTCCAGTAGCCACAGGGATTTTGGGATTCCTATCAGTATTCAAGAGGAGTCAGGCATCGTCACCTTTTGAAGCAATGAACTCCGCGTGCCTCTCGAGGTGTCAGCGGGATGTGAGGCATTCCGTCAAAATGAGGCAGGGACCTAGGGCTTTCTCTAAGGTCTCCACAGGGGATTCAGACATCCCTTCATGTTGTGAGATCAAAGACGAGCCTGTATTCAAGCCACTGCAAGGAAATCCGGCCTCCTTTCAAGTTAGGGCTTCTCGCTGTATATTCCCCTTGAGGCAGCAAACTCGGGGTCCCTCCCACATTCCTATGGCTGAGAGAAGCCTCCTCCTGAGGTGCTTCTGGGAAGTTGGCATACGTCTTGAGCCTAAGCCAGGGAATCAGCTCTCATCTCGAGACGATTTGGGGTACACGGAGCATTCCTCGAGTTGCTGTACTGAAGTTGGTGTTCCTCTAGACTTGGGACAGTGTTCTCGGGGCATCTCTGGAGTTGCCTGAAGGAAGTCGAGCCACCGGTCGTGTTGAATGGGGAACGGGGAATGGCTCTGGAGTCAATGCAGGGGAATCGGGCCTCATCTCGAGTTGATTTGGGGCACATGGAGCTGCTTTGCGTTGCTGGGGTGACCTCAGGGTCCGTCTAGACTGGTGACAGTGTTCTTGGGGACTGTCTCGAGATCCATTAAGCAAGTCGAAGCTCCTGACTTGTTTGAATGGGATCACGGAATAGCTCTGCATGCACTGCAGGGGAATGGGGCCTCATCTCGCCTCTAGGGGGAAGTCTCATGGTTTTTCTCGAGTTGCGGCGGGGACCTGGGGTATGTTCTCGACTTACGGCGGGGATGGCCCTTCAAGACACGAGTTTCTTCAGTGACGTCAGGACTCCTGTCTAGTAACGAGGGACACCTCAGGAATCTCTTCGAGGCTTGGCAGGGCCAAAGGGACGCTTCTCGAGGTGAGGCAGGGCACCCAAGGACCCTTTCCAGTAGCCACAGGGATTTTGGGATTCCTATCAGTATTCAAGAGGAGTCAGGCATCGTCACCTTTTGAAGCAATGAACTCCACGTGCCTCTCGAGGTGTCAGCGGGATGTGAGGCATTCCGTCAAAATGAGGCAGGGACCTAGGGCTTTCTCTAAGGTCTCCACAGGGGATTCAGACATCCCTTCATGTTGTGAGATGAAAGACGAGCCTGTATTCAAGCCACTGCAAGGAAATCCGGCCTCCTTTCAAGTTAGGGCTTCTCGCTGTATATTCCCCTTGAGGCAGCAAACTCGGGGTCCCTCCCACATTCCTATGGCTGAGAGAAGCCTCCTCCTGAGGTGCTTCTGGGAAGTTGGCATACGTCTTGAGCCTAAGCCAGGGAATCAGCTCTCATCTCGAGACGATTTGGGGTACACGGAGCATTCCTCGAGTTGCTGTGCTGAAGTTGGTGTTCCTCTAGACTTGGGACAGTGTTCTCGGGGCATCTCTGGAGTTGCCTGAAGGAAGTCGAGCCACCGGTCGTGTTGAATGGGGAACGGGGAATGGCTCTGGAGTCAATGCAGGGGAATCGGGCCTCATCTCGAGTTGATTTGGGGCACATGGAGCTGCTTTGCGTTGCTGGGGTGACCTCAGGGTCCGTCTAGACTGGTGACAGTGATCTTGGGGACTGTCTCGAGATCCATTAAGCAAGTCGAAGCTCCTGACTTGTTTGAATGGGATCACGGAATAGCTCTGCATGCACTGCAGGGGAATGGGGCCTCATCTCGCCTCTAGGGGGAAGTCTCATGGTTTTTCTCGAGTTGCGGCGGGGACCTGGGGTATGTTCTCGACTTACGGCGGGGATGGCCCTTCAAGACACGAGTTTCTTCAGTGACGTCAGGACTCCTGTCTAGTAACGAGGGACACCTCAGGAATCTCTTCGAGGCTTGGCAGGGCCAAAGGGACGCTTCTCGAGGTGAGGCAGGGCACCCAAGGACCCTTTCCAGTAGCCACAGGGATTTTGGGATTCCTATCAGTATTCAAGAGGAGTCAGGCATCGTCACCTTTTGAAGCAATGAACTCCGCGTGCCTCTCGAGGTGTCAGCGGGATGTGAGGCATTCCGTCAAAATGAGGCAGGGACCTAGGGCTTTCTCTAAGGTCTCCACAGGGGATTCAGACATCCCTTCATGTTGTGAGATCAAAGACGAGCCTGTATTCAAGCCACTGCAAGGAAATCCGGCCTCCTTTCAAGTTAGGGCTTCTCGCTGTATATTCCCCTTGAGGCAGCAAACTCGGGGTCCCTCCCACATTCCTATGGCTGAGAGAAGCCTCCTCCTGAGGTGCTTCTGGGAAGTTGGCATACGTCTTGAGCCTAAGCCAGGGAATCAGCTCTCATCTCGAGACGATTTGGGGTACACGGAGCATTCCTCGAGTTGCTGTACTGAAGTTGGTGTTCCTCTAGACTTGGGACAGTGTTCTCGGGGCATCTCTGGAGTTGCCTGAAGGAAGTCGAGCCACCGGTCGTGTTGAATGGGGAACGGGGAATGGCTCTGGAGTCAATGCAGGGGAATCGGGCCTCATCTCGAGTTGATTTGGGGCACATGGAGCTGCTTTGCGTTGCTGGGGTGACCTCAGGGTCCGTCTAGACTGGTGACAGTGTTCTTGGGGACTGTCTCGAGATCCATTAAGCAAGTCGAAGCTCCTGACTTGTTTGAATGGGATCACGGAATAGCTCTGCATGCACTGCAGGGGAATGGGGCCTCATCTCGCCTCTAGGGGGAAGTCTCATGGTTTTTCTCGAGTTGCGGCGGGGACCTGGGGTATGTTCTCGACTTACGGCGGGGATGGCCCTTCAAGACACGAGTTTCTTCAGTGACGTCAGGACTCCTGTCTAGTAACGAGGGACACCTCAGGAATCTCTTCGAGGCTTGGCAGGGCCAAAGGGACGCTTCTCGAGGTGAGGCAGGGCACCCAAGGACCCTTTCCAGTAGCCACAGGGATTTTGGGATTCCTATCAGTATTCAAGAGGAGTCAGGCATCGTCACCTTTTGAAGCAATGAACTCCACGTGCCTCTCGAGGTGTCAGCGGGATGTGAGGCATTCCGTCAAAATGAGGCAGGGACCTAGGGCTTTCTCTAAGGTCTCCACAGGGGATTCAGACATCCCTTCATGTTGTGAGATGAAAGACGAGCCTGTATTCAAGCCACTGCAAGGAAATCCGGCCTCCTTTCAAGTTAGGGCTTCTCGCTGTATATTCCCCTTGAGGCAGCAAACTCGGGGTCCCTCCCACATTCCTATGGCTGAGAGAAGCCTCCTCCTGAGGTGCTTCTGGGAAGTTGGCATACGTCTTGAGCCTAAGCCAGGGAATCAGCTCTCATCTCGACACGATTTGGGGTACACGGAGCATTCCTCGAGTTGCTGTGCTGAAGTTGGTGTTCCTCTAGACTTGGGACAGTGTTCTCGGGGCATCTCTGGAGTTGCCTGAAGGAAGTCGAGCCACCGGTCGTGTTGAATGGGGAACGGGGAATGGCTCTGGAGTCAATGCAGGGGAATCGGGCCTCATCTCGAGTTGATTTGGGGCACATGGAGCTGCTTTGCGTTGCTGGGGTGACCTCAGGGTCCGTCTAGACTGGTGACAGTGATCTTGGGGACTGTCTCGAGATCCATTAAGCAAGTCGAAGCTCCTGACTTGTTTGAATGGGATCACGGAATAGCTCTGCATGCACTGCAGGGGAATGGGGCCTCATCTCGCCTCTAGGGGGAAGTCTCATGGTTTTTCTCGAGTTGCGGCGGGGACCTGGGGTATGCTCTCGACTTACGGCGGGGATGGCCCTTCAAGACACGAGTTTCTTCAGTGACGTCAGGACTCCTGTCTAGTAACGAGGGACACCTCAGGAATCTCTTCGAGGCTTGGCAGGGCCAAAGGGACGCTTCTCGAGGTGAGGCAGGGCACCCAAGGACCCTTTCCAGTAGCCACAGGGATTTTGGGATTCCTATCAGTATTCAAGAGGAGTCAGGAATCGTCACCTTTTGAAGCAATGAACTCCGCGTGCCTCTCGAGGTGTCAGCGGGATGTGAGGCATTCCGTCAAAATGAGGCAGGGACCTAGGGCTTTCTCTAAGGTCTCCACAGGGGATTCAGACATCCCTTCATGTTGTGAGATGAAAGACGAGCCTGTCTTCAAGCCACTGCAAGGAAATCCGGCCTCCTTTCAAGTTAGGGCTTCTCGCTGTATATTCCCCTTGAGGCAGCAAACTCGGGGTCCCTCCCACATACCTATTGCTGAGAGAAGCCTCCTCCTGAGGTGCTTCTGGGAAGTTGGCATACGTCTTGAGCCTAAGCCAGGGAATCAGCTCTCATCTCGAGACGATTTGGGGTACACGGAGCATTCCTCGAGTTGCTGTGCTGAAGTTGGTGTTCCTCTAGACTTGGGACAGTGTTCTCGGGGCATCTCTGGAGTTGCCTGAAGGAAGTCGAGCCACCGGTCGTGTTGAATGGGGAACGGGGAATGGCTCTGGAGTCAATGCAGGGGAATCGGGCCTCATCTCGAGTTGATTTGGGGCACATGGAGCTGCTTTGCGTTGCTGGGGTGACCTCAGGGTCCGTCTAGACTGGTGACAGTGTTCTTGGGGACTGTCTCGAGATCCATTAAGCAAGTCGAAGCTCCTGACTTGTTTGAATGGGATCACGGAATAGCTCTGCATGCACTGAAGGGGAATGGGGCCTCATCTCGCCTCTAGGGGGAAGTCTCATGGTTTTTCTCGAGTTGCGGCGGGGACCTGGGGTATGTTCTCGACTTACGGCGGGGATGGCCCTTCAAAACACGAGTTTCTTCAGTGACGTCAGGACTCCTGTCTAGTAACGAGGGACACCTCAGGAATCTCTTCGAGGCTTGGCAGGGCCAAAGGGACGCTTCTCGAGGTGAGGCAGGGCACCCAAGCACCCTTTCCAGTAGCCACAGGGATTTTGGGATTCCTATCAGTATTCAAGAGGAGTCAGGCATCGTCACCTTTTGAAGCAATGAACTCCACGTGCCTCTCGAGGTGTCAGCGGGATGTGAGGCATTCCGTCAAAATGAGGCAGGGACCTAGGGCTTTCTCTAAGGTCTCCACAGGGGATTCAGACATCCCTTCATGTTGTGAGATGAAAGACGAGCCTGTATTCAAGCCACTGCAAGGAAATCCGGCCTCCTTTCAAGTTAGGGCTTCTCGCTGTATATTCCCCTTGAGGCAGCAAACTCGGGGTCCCTCCCACATTCCTATGGCTGAGAGAAGCCTCCTCCTGAGGTGCTTCTGGGAAGTTGGCATACGTCTTGAGCCTAAGCCAGGGAATCAGCTCTCATCTCGACACGATTTGGGGTACACGGAGCATTCCTCGAGTTGCTGTGCTGAAGTTGGTGTTCCTCTAGACTTGGGACAGTGTTCTCGGGGCATCTCTGGAGTTGCCTGAAGGAAGTCGAGCCACCGGTCGTGTTGAATGGGGAACGGGGAATGGCTCTGGAGTCAATGCAGGGGAATCGGGCCTCATCTCGAGTTGATTTGGGGCACATGGAGCTGCTTTGCGTTGCTGGGGTGACCTCAGGGTCCGTCTAGACTGGTGACAGTGTTCTTGGGGACTGTCTCGAGATCCATTAAGCAAGTCGAAGCTCCTGACTTGTTTGAATGGGATCACGGAATAGCTCTGCATGCACTGCAGGGGAATGGGGCCTCATCTCGCCTCTAGGGGGAAGTCTCATGGTTTTTCTCGAGTTGCGGCGGGGACCTGGGGTATGCTCTCGACTTACGGCGGGGATGGCCCTTCAAGACACGAGTTTCTTCAGTGACGTCAGGACTCCTGTCTAGTAACGAGGGACACCTCAGGAATCTCTTCGAGGCTTGGCAGGGCCAAAGGGACGCTTCTCGAGGTGAGGCAGGGCACCCAAGGACCCTTTCCAGTAGCCACAGGGATTTTGGGATTCCTATCAGTATTCAAGAGGAGTCAGGAATCGTCACCTTTTGAAGCAATGAACTCCGCGTGCCTCTCGAGGTGTCAGCGGGATGTGAGGCATTCCGTCAAAATGAGGCAGGGACCTAGGGCTTTCTCTAAGGTCTCCACAGGGGATTCAGACATCCCTTCATGTTGTGAGATGAAAGACGAGCCTGTCTTCAAGCCACTGCAAGGAAATCCGGCCTCCTTTCAAGTTAGGGCTTCTCGCTGTATATTCCCCTTGAGGCAGCAAACTCGGGGTCCCTCCCACATACCTATTGCTGAGAGAAGCCTCCTCCTGAGGTGCTTCTGGGAAGTTGGCATACGTCTTGAGCCTAAGCCAGGGAATCAGCTCTCATCTCGAGACGATTTGGGGTACACGGAGCATTCCTCGAGTTGCTGTGCTGAAGTTGGTGTTCCTCTAGACTTGGGACAGTGTTCTCGGGGCATCTCTGGAGTTGCCTGAAGGAAGTCGAGCCACCGGTCGTGTTGAATGGGGAACGGGGAATGGCTCTGGAGTCAATGCAGGGGAATCGGGCCTCATCTCGAGTTGATTTGGGGCACATGGAGCTGCTTTGCGTTGCTGGGGTGACCTCAGGGTCCGTCTAGACTGGTGACAGTGTTCTTGGGGACTGTCTCGAGATCCATTAAGCAAGTCGAAGCTCCTGACTTGTTTGAATGGGATCACGGAATAGCTCTGCATGCACTGAAGGGGAATGGGGCCTCATCTCGCCTCTAGGGGGAAGTCTCATGGTTTTTCTCGAGTTGCGGCGGGGACCTGGGGTATGTTCTCGACTTACGGCGGGGATGGCCCTTCAAAACACGAGTTTCTTCAGTGACGTCAGGACTCCTGTCTAGTAACGAGGGACACCTCAGGAATCTCTTCGAGGCTTGGCAGGGCCAAAGGGACGCTTCTCGAGGTGAGGCAGGGCACCCAAGCACCCTTTCCAGTAGCCACAGGGATTTTGGGATTCCTATCAGTATTCAAGAGGAGTCAGGCATCGTCACCTTTTGAAGCAATGAACTCCACGTGCCTCTCGAGGTGTCAGCGGGATGTGAGGCATTCCGTCAAAATGAGGCAGGGACCTAGGGCTTTCTCTAAGGTCTCCACAGGGGATTCAGACATCCCTTCATGTTGTGAGATGAAAGACGAGCCTGTATTCAAGCCACTGCAAGGAAATCCGGCCTCCTTTCAAGTTAGGGCTTCTCGCTGTATATTCCCCTTGAGGCAGCAAACTCGGGGTCCCTCCCACATTCCTATGGCTGAGAGAAGCCTCCTCCTGAGGTGCTTCTGGGAAGTTGGCATACGTCTTGAGCCTAAGCCAGGGAATCAGCTCTCATCTCGAGACGATTTGGGGTACACGGAGCATTCCTCGAGTTGCTGTGCTGAAGTTGGTGTTCCTCTAGACTTGGGACAGTGTTCTCGGGGCATCTCTGGAGTTGCCTGAAGGAAGTCGAGCCACCGGTCGTGTTGAATGGGGAACGGGGAATGGCTCTGGAGTCAATGCAGGGGAATCGGGCCTCATCTCGAGTTGATTTGGGGCACATGGAGCTGCTTTGCGTTGCTGGGGTGACCTCAGGGTCCGTCTAGACTGGTGACAGTGTTCTTGGGGACTGTCTCGAGATCCATTAAGCAAGTCGAAGCTCCTGACTTGTTTGAATGGGATCACGGAATAGCTCTGCATGCACTGCAGGGGAATGGGGCCTCATCTCGCCTCTAGGGGGAAGTCTCATGGTTTTTCTCGAGTTGCGGCGGGGACCTGGGGTATGCTCTCGACTTACGGCGGGGATGGCCCTTCAAGACACGAGTTTCTTCAGTGACGTCAGGACTCCTGTCTAGTAACGAGGGACACCTCAGGAATCTCTTCGAGGCTTGGCAGGGCCAAAGGGACGCTTCTCGAGGTGAGGCAGGGCACCCAAGGACCCTTTCCAGTAGCCACAGGGATTTTGGGATTCCTATCAGTATTCAAGAGGAGTCAGGAATCGTCACCTTTTGAAGCAATGAACTCCGCGTGCCTCTCGAGGTGTCAGCGGGATGTGAGGCATTCCGTCAAAATGAGGCAGGGACCTAGGGCTTTCTCTAAGGTCTCCACAGGGGATTCAGACATCCCTTCATGTTGTGAGATGAAAGACGAGCCTGTATTCAAGCCACTGCAAGGAAATCCGGCCTCCTTTCAAGTTAGGGCTTCTCGCTGTATATTCCCCTTGAGGCAGCAAACTCGGGGTCCCTCCCACATACCTATTGCTGAGAGAAGCCTCCTCCTGAGGTGCTTCTGGGAAGTTGGCATACGTCTTGAGCCTAAGCCAGGGAATCAGCTCGCATCTCGAGACGATTTGGGGTACACGGAGCATTCCTCGAGTTGCTGTGCTGAAGTTGGTGTTCCTCTAGACTTGGGACAGTGTTCTCGGGGCATCTCTGGAGTTGCCTGAAGGAAGTCGAGCCACCGGTCGTGTTGAATGGGGAACGGGGAATGGCTCTGGAGTCAATGCAGGGGAATCGGGCCTCATCTCGAGTTGATTTGGGGCACATGGAGCTACTTTGCGTTGCTGGGGTGACCTCAGGGTCCGTCTAGACTGGTGACAGTGATCTTGGGGACTGTCTCGAGATCCATTAAGCAAGTCGAAGCTCCTGACTTGTTTGAATGGGATCACGGAATAGCTCTGCATGCACTGCAGGGGAATGGGGCCTCATCTCGCCTCTAGGGGGAAGTCTCATGGTTTTTCTCGAGTTGCGGCGGGGACCTGGGGTATGTTCTCGACTTACGGCGGGGATGGCCCTTCAAGACACGAGTTTCTTCAGTGACGTCAGGACTCCTGTCTAGTAACGAGGGACACCTCAGGAATCTCTTCGAGGCTTGGCAGGGCCAAAGGGACGCTTCTCGAGGTGAGGCAGGGCACCCAAGGACCCTTTCCAGTAGCCACAGGGATTTTGGGATTCCTATCAGTATTCAAGAGGAGTCAGGCATCGTCACCTTTTGAAGCAATGAACTCCGCGTGCCTCTCGAGGTGTCAGCGGGATGTGAGGCATTCCGTCAAAATGAAGCAGGGACCTAGGGCTTTCTCTAAGGTCTCCACAGGGGATTCAGACATCCCTTCATGTTGTGAGATGAAAGACGAGCCTGTATTCAAGCCACTGCAAGGAAATCCGGCCTCCTTTCAAGTTAGGGCTTCTCGCTGTATATTCCCCTTGAGGCAGCAAACTCGGGGTCCCTCCCACATACCTATTGCTGAGAGAAGCCTCCTCCTGAGGTGCTTCTGGGAAGTTGGCATACGTCTTGAGCCTAAGCCAGGGAATCAGCTCTCATCTCGAGACGATTTGGGGTACACGGAGCATTCCTCGAGTTGCTGTGCTGAAGTTGGTGTTCCTCTAGACTTGGGACAGTGTTCTCGGGGCATCTCTGGAGTTGCCTGAAGGAAGTCGAGCCACCGGTCGTGTTGAATGGGGAACGGGGAATGGCTCTGGAGTCAATGCAGGGGAATCGGGCCTCATCTCGAGTTGATTTGGGGCACATGGAGCTGCTTTGCGTTGCTGGGGTGACCTCAGGGTCCGTCTAGACTGGTGACAGTGTTCTTGGGGACTGTCTCCAGATCCATTAAGCAAGTCGAAGCTCCTGACTTGTTTGAATGGGATCACGGAATAGCTCTGCATGCACTGCAGGGGAATGGGGCCTCATCTCGCCTCTAGGGGGAAGTCTCATGGTTTTTCTCGAGTTGCGGCGGGGACCTGGGGTATGTTCTCGACTTACGGCGGGGATGGCCCTTCAAGACACGAGTTTCTTCAGTGACGTCAGGACTCCTGTCTAGTAACGAGGGACACCTCAGGAATCTCTTCGAGGCTTGGCAGGGCCAAAGGGACGCTTCTCGAGGTGAGGCAGGGCACCCAAGGACCCTTTCCAGTAGCCACAGGGATTTTGGGATTCCTATCAGTATTCAAGAGGAGTCAGGCATCGTCACCTTTTGAAGCAATGAACTCCGCGTGCCTCTCGAGGTGTCAGCGGGATGTGAGGCATTCCGTCAAAATGAGGCAGATACCTAGGGCTTTCTCTAAGGTCTCCACAGGGGATTCAGACATCCCTTCATGTTGTGAGATGAAAGACGAGCCTGTATTCAAGCCACTGCAAGGAAATCCGGCCTCCTTTCAAGTTAGGGCTTCTCGCTGTATATTCCCCTTGAGGCAGCAAACTCGGGGTCCCTCCCACATTCCTATGGCTGAGAGAAGCCTCCTCCTGAGGTGCTTCTGGGAAGTTGGCATACGTCTTGAGCCTAAGCCAGGGAATCAGCTCTCATCTCGAGACGATTTGGGGTACACGGAGCATTCCTCGAGTTGCTGTGCTGAAGTTGGTGTTCCTCTAGACTTGGGACAGTGTTCTCGGGGCATCTCTGGAGTTGCCTGAAGGAAGTCGAGCCACCGGTCGTGTTGAATGGGGAACGGGGAATGGCTCTGGAGTCAATGCAGGGGAATCGGGCCTCATCTCGAGTTGATTTGGGGCACATGGAGCTGCTTTGCGTTGCTGGGGTGACCTCAGGGTCCGTCTAGACTGGTGACAGTGTTCTTGGGGACTGTCTCCAGATCCATTAAGCAAGTCGAAGCTCCTGACTTGTTTGAATGGGATCACGGAATAGCTCTGCATGCACTGCAGGGGAATGGGGCCTCATCTCGCCTCTAGGGGGAAGTCTCATGGTTTTTCTCGAGTTGCGGCGGGGACCTGGGGTATGCTCTCGACTTACGGCGGGGATGGCCCTTCAAAACACGAGTTTCTTCAGTGACGTCAGGACTCCTGTCTAGTAACGAGGGACACCTCAGGAATCTCTTCGAGGCTTGGCAGGGCCAAAGGGACGCTTCTCGAGGTGAGGCAGGGCACCCAAGGACCCTTTCCAGTAGCCACAGGGATTTTGGGATTCCTATCAGTATTCAAGAGGAGTCAGGAATCGTCACCTTTTGAAGCAATGAACTCCGCGTGCCTCTCGAGGTGTCAGCGGGATGTGAGGCATTCCGTCAAAATGAGGCAGGGACCTAGGGCTTTCTCTAAGGTCTCCACAGGGGATTCAGACATCCCTTCATGTTGTGAGATGAAAGACGAGCCTGTATTCAAGCCACTGCAAGGAAATCCGGCCTCCTTTCAAGTTAGGGCTTCTCGCTGTATATTCCCCTTGAGGCAGCAAACTCGGGGTCCCTCCCACATACCTATTGCTGAGAGAAGCCTCCTCCTGAGGTGCTTCTGGGAAGTTGGCATACGTCTTGAGCCTAAGCCAGGGAATCAGCTCGCATCTCGAGACGATTTGGGGTACACGGAGCATTCCTCGAGTTGCTGTGCTGAAGTTGGTGTTCCTCTAGACTTGGGACAGTGTTCTTGGGGCATCTCTGGAGTTGCCTGAAGGAAGTCGAGCCACCGGTCGTGTTGAATGGGGAACGGGGAATGGCTCTGGAGTCAATGCAGGGGAATCGGGCCTCATCTCGAGTTGATTTGGGGCACATGGAGCTACTTTGCGTTGCTGGGGTGACATCAGGGTCCGTCTAGACTGGTGACAGTGATCTTGGGGACTGTCTCGAGATCCATTAAGCAAGTCGAAGCTCCTGACTTGTTTGAATGGGATCACGGAATAGCTCTGCATGCACTGCAGGGGAATGGGGCCTCATCTCGCCTCTAGGGGGAAGTCTCATGGTTTTTCTCGAGTTGCGGCGGGGACCTGGGGTATGTTCTCGACTTACGGCGGGGATGGCCCTTCAAGACACGAGTTTCTTCAGTGACGTCAGGACTCCTGTCTAGTAACGAGGGACACCTCAGGAATCTCTTCGAGGCTTGGCAGGGCCAAAGGGACGCTTCTCGAGGTGAGGCAGGGCACCCAAGGACCCTTTCCAGTAGCCACAGGGATTTTGGGATTCCTATCAGTATTCAAGAGGAGTCAGGCATCGTCACCTTTTGAAGCAATGAACTCCGCGTGCCTCTCGAGGTGTCAGCGGGATGTGAGGCATTCCGTCAAAATGAGGCAGGGACCTAGGGCTTTCTCTAAGGTCTCCACAGGGGATTCAGACATCCCTTCATGTTGTGAGATGAAAGACGAGCCTGTATTCAAGCCACTGCAAGGAAATCCGGCCTCCTTTCAAGTTAGGGCTTCTCGCTGTATATTCCCCTTGAGGCAGCAAACTCGGGGTCCCTCCCACATTCCTATGGCTGAGAGAAGCCTCCTCCTGAGGTGCTTCTGGGAAGTTGGCATACGTCTTGAGCCTAAGCCAGGGAATCAGCTCTCATCTCGAGACGATTTGGGGTACACGGAGCATTCCTCGAGTTGCTGTGCTGAAGTTGGTGTTCCTCTAGACTTGGGACAGTGTTCTCGGGGCATCTCTGGAGTTGCCTGAAGGAAGTCGAGCCACCGGTCGTGTTGAATGGGGAACGGGGAATGGCTCTGGAGTCAATGCAGGGGAATCGGGCCTCATCTCGAGTTGTTTTGGGGCACATGGAGCTGCTTTGCGTTGCTGGGGTGACCTCAGGGTCCGTCTAGACGAGTGACAGTGTTCTTGGGGACTGTCTCGAGATCCATTAAGCAAGTCGAAGCTCCTGACTTGTTTGAATGGGATCACGGAATAGCTCTGCATGCACTGCAGGGGAATGGGGCCTCATCTCGCCTCTAGCGGGAAGTCTCATGGTTTTTCTCGAGTTGCGGCGGGGACCTGGGGTATGTTCTCGACTTACGGCGGGGATGGCCCTTCAAAACACGAGTTTCTTCAGTGACGTCAGGACTCCTGTCTAGTAACGAGGGACACCTCAAGAATCTCTTCGAGGCTTGGCAGGGCCAAAGGGACGCTTCTCGAGGTGAGGCAGGGCACCCAAGGACCCTTTCCAGTAGCCACAGGGATTTTGGGATTCCTATCAGTATTCAAGAGGAGTCAGGCATCGTCACCTTTTGAAGCAATGAACTCCGCGTGCCTCTCGAGGTGTCAGCGGGATGTGAGGCATTCCGTCAAAATGAGGCAGGGACCTAGGGCTTTCTCTAAGGTCTCCACAGGGGATTCAGACATCCCTTCATGTTGTGAGATGAAAGACGAGCCTGTATTCAAGCCACTGCAAGGAAATCCGGCCTCCTTTCAAGTTAGGGCTTCTCGCTGTATATTCCCCTTGAGGCAGCAAACTCGGGGTCCCTCCCACATTCCTATGGCTGAGAGAAGCCTCCTCCTGAGGTGCTTCTGGGAAGTTGGCATACGTCTTGAGCCTAAGCCAGGGAATCAGCTCTCATCTCGAGACGATTTGGGGTACACGGAGCATTCCTCGAGTTGCTGTGCTGAAGTTGGTGTTCCTCTAGACTTGGGACAGTGTTCTCGGGGCATCTCTGGAGTTGCCTGAAGGAAGTCGAGCCACCGGTCGTGTTGAATGGGGAACGGGGAATGGCTCTGGAGTCAATGCAGGGGAATCGGGCCTCATCTCGAGTTGTTTTGGGGCACATGGAGCTGCTTTGCGTTGCTGGGGTGACCTCAGGGTCCGTCTAGACTAGTGACAGTGTTCTTGGGGACTGTCTCGAGATCCATTAAGCAAGTCGAAGCTCCTGACTTGTTTGAATGGGATCACGGAATAGCTCTGCATGCACTGCAGGGGAATGGGGCCTCATCTCGCCTCTAGCGGGAAGTCTCATGGTTTTTCTCGAGTTGCGGCGGGGACCTGGGGTATGTTCTCGACTTACGGCGGGGATGGCCCTTCAAAACACGAGTTTCTTCAGTGACGTCAGGACTCCTGTCTAGTAACGAGGGACACCTCAAGAATCTCTTCGAGGCTTGGCAGGGCCAAAGGGACGCTTCTCGAGGTGAGGCAGGGCACCCAAGGACCCTTTCCAGTAGCCACAGGGATTTTGGGATTCCTATCAGTATTCAAGAGGAGTCAGGCATCGTCACCTTTTGAAGCAATGAACTCCGCGTGCCTCTCGAGGTGTCAGCGGGATGTGAGGCATTCCGTCAAAATGAGGCAGGGACCTAGGGCTTTCTCTAAGGTCTCCACAGGGGATTCAGACATCCCTTCATGTTGTGAGATGAAAGACGAGCCTGTATTCAAGCCACTGCAAGGAAATCCGGCCTCCTTTCAAGTTAGGGCTTCTCGCTGTATATTCCCCTTGAGGCAGCAAACTCGGGGTCCCTCCCACATACCTATTGCTGAGAGAAGCCTCCTCCTGAGGTGCTTCTGGGAAGTTGGCATACGTCTTGAGCCTAAGCCAGGGAATCAGCTCGCATCTCGAGACGATTTGGGGTACACGGAGCATTCCTCGATTTGCTGTCCTGAAGTTGGTGTTCCTCTAGACTTGGGACAGTGTTCTCGGGGCATCTCTGGAGTTGCCTGAAGGAAGTCGAGCCACCGGTCGTGTTGAATGGGGAACGGGGAATGGCTCTGGAGTCAATGCAGGGGAATCGGGCCTCATCTCGAGTTGATTTGGGGCACACGGAGCTGCTTTGCGTTGCTGGGGTGACCTCAGGGTCCGTCTAGACTGGTGACAGTGTTCTTGGGGACTGTCTCGAGATCCATTAAGCAAGTCGAAGCTCCTGACTTGTTTGAATGGGATCACGGAATAGCTCTGCATGCACTGCAGGGGAATGGGGCCTCATCTCGCCTCTAGGGGGAAGTCTCATGGTTTTTCTCGAGTTGCGGCGGGGACCTGGGGTATGTTCTCGACTTACGGCGGGGATGGCCCTTCAAGACACGAGTTTCTTCAGTGACGTCAGGACTCCTGTCTAGTAACGAGGGACACCTCAGGAATCTCTTCGAGGCTTGGCAGGGCCAAAGGGACGCTTCTCGAGGTGAGGCAGGGCACCCAAGGACCCTTTCCAGTAGCCACAGGGATTTTGGGATTCCTATCAGTATTCAAGAGGAGTCAGGCATCGTCACCTTTTGAAGCAATGAACTCCGCGTGCCTCTCGAGGAGTCAGCGGGATGTGAGGCATTCCGTCAAAATGAGGCAGGGACCTAGGGCTTTCTCTAAGGTCTCCACAGGGGATTCAGACATCCCTTCATGTTGTGAGATGAAAGACGAGCCTGTATTCAAGCCACTGCAAGGAAATCCGGCCTCCTTTCAAGTTAGGGCTTCTCGCTGTATATTCCCCTTGAGGCAGCAAACTCGGGGTCCCTCCCACATACGTATTGCTGAGAGAAGCCTCCTCCTGAGGTGCTTCTGGGAAGTTGGCATACGTCTTGAGCCTAAGCCAGGGAATCAGCTCTCATCTCGAGACGATTTGGGGTACACGGAGCATTCCTCGAGTTGCTGTGCTGAAGTTGGTGTTCCTCTAGACTTGGGACAGTGTTCTCGGGGCATCTCTGGAGTTGCCTGAAGGAAGTCGAGCCACCGGTCGTGTTGAATGGGGAACGGGGAATGGCTCTGGAGTCAATGCAGGGGAATCGGGCCTCATCTCGAGTTGATTTGGGGCACATGGAGCTGCTTTGCGTTGCTGGGGTGACCTCAGGGTCCGTCTAGACTGGTGACAGTGTTCTTGGGGACTGTCTCGAGATCCATTAAGCAAGTCGAAGCTCCTGACTTGTTTGAATGGGATCACGGAATAGCTCTGCATGCACTGCAGGGGAATGGGGCCTCATCTCGCCTCTAGGGGGAAGTCTCATGGTTTTTCTCGAGTTGCGGCGGGGACCTGGGGTATGTTCTCGACTTACGGCGGGGATGGCCCTTCAAAACACGAGTTTCTTCAGTGACGTCAGGACTCCTGTCTAGTAACGAGGGACACCTCAGGAATCTCTTCGAGGCTTGGCAGGGCCAAAGGGACGCTTCTCGAGGTGAGGCAGGGCACCCAAGGACCCTTTCCAGTAGCCACAGGGATTTTGGGATTCCTATCAGTATTCAAGAGGAGTCAGGCATCGTCACCTTTTGAAGCAATGAACTCCGAGTGCCTCTCGAGGTGTCAGCGGGATGTGAGGCATTCCGTCAAAATGAGGCAGGGACCTAGGGCTTTCTCTAAGGTCTCCACAGGGGATTCAGACATCCCTTCATGTTGTGAGATGAAAGACGAGCCTGTATTCAAGCCACTGCAAGGAAATCCGGCCTCCTTTCAAGTTAGGGCTTCTCGCTGTATATTCCCCTTGAGGCAGCAAACTCGGGGTCCCTCCCACATACCTATTGCTGAGAGAAGCCTCCTCCTGAGGTGCTTCTGGGAAGTTGGCATACGTCTTGAGCCTAAGCCAGGGAATCAGCTCGCATCTCGAGACGATTTGGGGTACACGGAGCATTCCTCGAGTTGCTGTGCTGAAGTTGGTGTTCCTCTAGACTTGGGACAGTGTTCTCGGGGCATCTCTGGAGTTGCCTGAAGGAAGTCGAGCCACCGGTCGTGTTGAATGGGGAACGGGGAATGGCTCTGGAGTCAATGCAGGGGAATCGGGCCTCATCTCGAGTTGATTTGGGGCACATGGAGCTGCTTTGCGTTGCTGGGGTGACCTCAGGGTCCGTCTAGACTGGTGACAGTGTTCTTGGGGACTGCCTCGAGATCCATTAAGCAAGTCGAAGCTCCTGCCTTGTTTGAATGGGATCACGGAATAGCTCTGCATGCACTGCAGGGGAATGGGGCCTCATCTCGCCTCTAGGGGGAAGTCTCATGGTTTTTCTCGAGTTGTGGCGGGGACCTGGGGTATGTTCTCGACTTACGGCGGGGATGGCCCTTCAAGACACGAGTTTCTTCAGTGACGTCAGGACTCCTGTCTAGTAACGAGGGACACCTCAGGAATCTCTTCGAGGCTTGGCAGGGCCAAAGGGACGCTTCTCGAGGTGAGGCAGGGCACCCAAGGACCCTTTCCAGTAGCCACAGGGATTTTGGGATTCCTATCAGTATTCAAGAGGAGTCAGGCATCGTCACCTTTTGAAGCAATGAACTCCGCGTGCCTCTCGAGATGTCAGCGGGATGTGAGGCATTCCGTCAAAATGAGGCAGGGACCTAGGGCTTTCTCTAAGGTCTCCACAGGGGATTCAGACATCCCTTCATGTTGTGAGATGAAAGACGAGCCTGTATTCAAGCCACTGCAAGGAAATCCGGCCTCCTTTCAAGTTAGGGCTTCTCGCTGTATATTCCCCTTGAGGCAGCAAACTCGGGGTCCCTCCCACATTCCTATGGCTGAGAGAAGCCTCCTCCTGAGGTGCTTCTGGGAAGTTGGCATACGTCTTGAGCCTAAGCCAGGGAATCAGCTCTCATCTCGAGACGATTTGGGGTACACGGAGCATTCCTCGAGTTGCTGTGCTGAAGTTGGTGTTCCTCTAGACTTGGGACAGTGTTCTCGGGGCATCTCTGGAGTTGCCTGAAGGAAGTCGAGCCACCGGTCGTGTTGAATGGGGAACGGGGAATGGCTCTGGAGTCAATGCAGGGGAATCGGGCCTCATCTCGAGTTGATTTGGGGCACATGGAGCTGCTTTGCGTTGCTGGGGTAACCTCAGGGTCCGTCTAGACGGGTGACAGTGTTCTTGGGGACTGTCTCGAGATCCATTAAGCAAGTCGAAGCTCCTGACTTGTTTGAATGGGATCACGGAATAGCTCTGCATGCACTGCAGGGGAATGGGGCCTCATCTCGCCTCTAGCGGGAAGTCTCATGGTTTTTCTCGAGTTGCGGCGGGGACCTGGGGTATGTTCTCGACTTACGGCGGGGATGGCCCTTCAAAACACGAGTTTCTTCAGTGACGTCAGGACTCCTGTCTAGTAACGAGGGACACCTCAGGAATCTCTTCGAGGCTTGGCAGGGCCAAAGGGACGCTTCTCGAGGTGAGGCAGGGCACCCAAGGACCCTTTCCAGTAGCCACAGGGATTTTGGGATTCCTATCAGTATTCAAGAGGAGTCAGGCATCGTCACCTTTTGAAGCAATGAACTCCGCGTGCCTCTCGAGGTGTCAGCGGGATGTGAGGCATTCCGTCAAAATGAGGCAGGGACCTAGGGCTTTCTCTAAGGTCTCCACAGGGGATTCAGACATCCCTTCATGTTGTGAGATGAAAGACGAGCCTGTATTCAAGCCACTGCAAGGAAATCCGGCCTCCTTTCAAGTTAGGGCTTCTCGCTGTATATTCCCCTTGAGGCAGCAAACTCGGGGTCCCTCCCACATACCTATTGCTGAGAGAAGCCTCCTCCTGAGGTGCTTCTGGGAAGTTGGCATACGTCTTGAGCCTAAGCCAGGGAATCAGCTCGCATCTCGAGACGATTTGGGGTACACGGAGCATTCCTCGATTTGCTGTGCTGAAATTGGTGTTCCTCTAGACTTGGGGCAGTGTTCTCGGGGCATCTCTGGAGTTGCCTGAAGGAAGTCGAGCCACCGGTCGTGTTGAATGGGGAACGGGGAATGGCTCTGGAGTCAATGCAGGGGAATCGGGCCTCATCTCGAGTTGATTTGGGGCACATGGAGCTGCTTTGCGTTGCTGGGGTGACCTCAGGGTCCGTCTAGACTGGTGACAGTGTTCTTGGGGACTGTCTCGAGATCCATTAAGCAAGTCGAAGCTCCTGACTTGTTTGAATGGGATCACGGAATAGCTCTGCATGCACTGCAGGGGAATGGGGCCTCATCTCGCCTCTAGGGGGAAGTCTCATGGTTTTTCTCGAGTTGCGGCGGGGACCTGGGGTATGTTCTCGACTTACGGCGGGGATGGCCCTTCAAGACACGAGTTTCTTCAGTGACGTCAGGACTCCTGTCTAGTAACGAGGGACACCTCAGGAATCTCTTCGAGGCTTGGCAGGGCCAAAGGGACGCTTCTCGAGGTGAGGCAGGGCACCCAAGGACCCTTTCCAGTAGCCACAGGGATTTTGGGATTCCTATCAGTATTCAAGAGGAGTCAGGCATCGTCACCTTTTGAATCAATGAACTCCGCGTGCCTCTCGAGGTGTCAGCGGGATGTGAGGCATTCCGTCAAAATGAGGCAGGGACCTAGGGCTTTCTCTAAGGTCTCCACAGGCGATTCAGACATCCCTTCATGTTGTGAGATGAAAGACGAGCCTGTATTCAAGCCACTGCAAGGAAATCCGGCCTCCTTTCAAGTTAGGGCTTCTCGCTGTATATTCCCCTTGAGGCAGCACACTCGGGGTCCCTCCCACATACCTATGGCTGAGAGAAGCCTCCTCCTGAGGTGCTTCTGGGAAGTTGGCATACGTCTTGAGCCTAAGCCAGGGAATCAGCTCGCATCTCGAGACGATTTGGGGTACACGGAGCATTCCTCGAGTTGCTGTGCTGAAGTTGGTGTTCCTCTAGACTTGGGACAGTGTTCTCGGGGCATCTCTGGAGTTGCCTGAAGGAAGTCGAGCCACCGGTCGTGTTGAATGGGGAACGGGGAATGGCTCTGGAGTCAATGCAGGGGAATCGGGCCTCATCTCGAGTTGATTTGGGGCACATGGAGCTGCTTTGCGTTGCTGGGGTGACCTCAGGGTCCGTCTAGACTGGTGACAGTGATCTTGGGGACTGTCTCGAGATCCATTAAGCAAGTCGAAGCTCCTGACTTGTTTGAATGGGATCACGGAATAGCTCTGCATGCACTGCAGGGGAATGGGGCCTCATCTCGCCTCTAGGGGGAAGTCTCATGGTTTTTCTCGAGTTGCGGCGGGGACCTGGGGTATGTTCTCGACTTACGGCGGGGATGGCCCTTCAAGACACGAGTTTCTTCAGTGACGTCAGGACTCCTGTCTAGTAACGAGGGACACCTCAGGAATCTCTTCGAGGCTTGGCAGGGCCAAAGGGACGCTTCTCGAGGTGAGGCAGGGCACCCAAGGACCCTTTCCAGTAGCCACAGGGATTTTGGGATTCCTATCAGTATTCAAGAGGAGTCAGGCATCGTCACCTTTTGAAGCAATGAACTCTGCGAGCCTCTCGAGGTGTCAGCGGGATGTGAGGCATTCCGTCAAAATGAGGCAGCGACCTAGGGCTTTCTCTAAGGTCTCCACAGGGGATTCAGACATCCCTTCATGTTGTGAGATGAAAGACGAGCCTGTATTCAAGCCACTGCAAGGAAATCCGGCCTCCTTTCAAGTTAGGGCTTCTCGCTGTATATTCCCCTTGAGGCAGCAAACTCGGGGTCCCTCCCACATACCTATTGCTGAGAGAAGCCTCCTCCTGAGATGCTTCTGGGAAGTTGGCATACGTCTTGAGCCTAAGCCAGGGAATCAGCTCTCATCTCGAGACGATTTGGGGTACACGGAGCATTCCTCGAGTTGCTGTGCTGAAGTTGGTGTTCCTCTAGACTTGGGACAGTGTTCTCGGGGCATCTCTGGAGTTGCCTGAAGGAAGTCGAGCCACCGGTCGTGTTGAATGGGGAACGGGGAATGGCTCTGGAGTCAATGCAGGGGAATCGGGCCTCATCTCGAGTTGATTTGGGGCACATGGAGCTGCTTTGCGTTGCTGGGGTGACCTCAGGGTCCGTCTAGACTGGTGACAGTGTTCTTGGGGACTGTCTCGAGATCCATTAAGCAAGTCGAAGCTCCTGACTTGTTTGAATGGGATCACGGAATAGCTCTGCATGCACTGCAGGGGAATGGGGCCTCATCTCGCCTCTAGGGGGAAGTCTCATGGTTTTTCTCGAGTTGCGGCGGGGACCTGGGGTATGTTCTCGACTTACGGCGGGGATGGCCCTTCAAAACACGAGTTTCTTCAGTGACGTCAGGACTCCTGTCTAGTAACGAGGGACACCTCAGGAATCTCTTCGAGGCTTGGCAGGGCCAAAGGGACGCTTCTCGAGGTGAGGCAGGGCACCCAAGGACCCTTTCCAGTAGCCACAGGGATTTTGGGATTCCTATCAGTATTCAAGAGGAGTCAGGCATCGTCACCTTTTGAAGCAATGAACTCCGCGTGCCTCTCGAGGTGTCAGCGGGATGTGAGGCATTCCGTCAAAATGAGGCAGGGACCTAGGGCTTTCTCTAAGGTCTCCACAGGGGATTCAGACATCCCTTCATGTTGTGAGATGAAAGACGAGCCTGTATTCAAGCCACTGCAAGGAAATCCGGCCTCCTTTCAAGTTAGGGCTTCTCGCTGTATATTCCCCTTGAGGCAGCAAACTCGGGGTCCCTCCCACATACCTATTGCTGAGAGAAGCCTCCTCCTGAGGTGCTTCTGGGAAGTTGGCATACGTCTTGAGCCTAAGCCAGGGAATCAGCTCGCATCTCGAGACGATTTGGGGTACACGGAGCATTCCTCGAGTTGCTGTGCTGAAGTTGGTGTTCCTCTAGACTTGGGACAGTGTTCTCGGGGCATCTCTGGAGTTGCCTGAAGGAAGTCGAGCCACCGGTCGTGTTGAATGGGGAACGGGGAATGGCTCTGGAGTCAATGCAGGGGAATCGGGCCTCATCTCGAGTTGATTTGGGGCACATGGAGCTACTTTGCGTTGCTGGGGTGACCTCAGGGTCCGTCTAGACTGGTGACAGTGATCTTGGGGACTGTCTCGAGATCCATTAAGCAAGTCGAAGCTCCTGACTTGTTTGAATGGGATCACGGAATAGCTCTGCATGCACTGCAGGGGAATGGGGCCTCATCTCGCCTCTAGGGGGAAGTCTCATGGTTTTTCTCGAGTTGCGGCGGGGACCTGGGGTATGTTCTCGACTTACGGCGGGGATGGCCCTTCAAGACACGAGTTTCTTCAGTGACGTCAGGACTCCTGTCTAGTAACGAGGGACACCTCAGGAATCTCTTCGAGGCTTGGCAGGGCCAAAGGGACGCTTCTCGAGGTGAGGCAGGGCACCCAAGGACCCTTTCCAGTAGCCACAGGGATTTTGGGATTCCTATCAGTATTCAAGAGGAGTCAGGCATCGTCACCTTTTGAAGCAATGAACTCCGCGTGCCTCTCGAGGTGTCAGCGGGATGTGAGGCATTCCGTCAAAATGAAGCAGGGACCTAGGGCTTTCTCTAAGGTCTCCACAGGGGATTCAGACATCCCTTCATGTTGTGAGATGAAAGACGAGCCTGTATTCAAGCCACTGCAAGGAAATCCGGCCTCCTTTCAAGTTAGGGCTTCTCGCTGTATATTCCCCTTGAGGCAGCAAACTCGGGGTCCCTCCCACATACCTATTGCTGAGAGAAGCCTCCTCCTGAGGTGCTTCTGGGAAGTTGGCATACGTCTTGAGCCTAAGCCAGGGAATCAGCTCTCATCTCGAGACGATTTGGGGTACACGGAGCATTCCTCGAGTTGCTGTGCTGAAGTTGGTGTTCCTTTAGACTTGGGACAGTGTTCTCGGGGCATCTCTGGAGTTGCCTGAAGGAAGTCGAGCCACCGGTCGTGTTGAATGGGGAACGGGGAATGGCTCTGGAGTCAATGCAGGGGAATCGGGCCTCATCTCGAGTTGAATTGGGGCACATGGAGCTGCTTTGCGTTGCTGGGGTGACCTCAGGGTCCGTCTAGACTGGTGACAGTGTTCTTGGGGACTGTCTCGAGATCCATTAAGCAAGTCGAAGCTCCTGACTTGTTTGAATGGGATCACGGAATAGCTCTGCATGCACTGCAGGGGAATGGGGCCTCATCTCGCCTCTAGGGGGAAGTCTCATGGTTTTTCTCGAGTTGCGGCGGGGACCTGGGGTATGTTCTCGACTTACGGCGGGGATGGCCCTTCAAGACACGAGTTTCTTCAGTGACGTCAGGACTCCTGTCTAGTAACGAGGGACACCTCAGGAATCTCTTCGAGGCTTGGCAGGGCCAAAGGGACGCTTCTCGAGGTGAGGCAGGGCACCCAAGGACCCTTTCCAGTAGCCACAGGGATTTTGGGATTCCTATCAGTATTCAAGAGGAGTCAGGCATCGTCACCTTTTGAAGCAATGAACTCCGCGTGCCTCTCGAGGTGTCAGCGGGATGTGAGGCATTCCGTCAAAATGAGGCAGGGACCTAGGGCTTTCTCTAAGGTCTCCACAGGGGATTCAGACATCCCTTCATATTGTGAGATGAAAGACGAGCCTGTATTCAAGCCACTGCAAGGAAATCCGGCCTCCTTTCAAGTTAGGGCTTCTCGCTGTATATTCCCCTTGAGGCAGCAAACTCGGGGTCCCTCCCACATACCTATGGCTGAGAGAAGCCTCCTCCTGAGGTGCTTCTGGGAAGTTGGCATACGTCTTGAGCCTAAGCCAGGGAATCAGCTCGCATCTCGAGACGATTTGGGGTACACGGAGCATTCCTCGAGTTGCTGTGCTGAAGTTGGTGTTCCTCTAGACTTGGGACAGTGTTCTCGGGGCATCTCTGGAGTTGCCTGAAGGAAGTCGAGCCACCGGTCGTGTTGAATGGGGAACGGGGAATGGCTCTGGAGTCAATGCAGGGGAATCGGGCCTCATCTCGAGTTGATTTGGGGCACATGGAGCTGCTTTGTGTTGCTGGGGTGACCTCAGGGTCCGTCTAGACTGGTGACAGTGATCTTGGGGACTGTCTCGAGATCCATTAAGCAAGTCGAAGCTCCTGACTTGTTTGAATGGAATCACGGAATAGCTCTGCATGCACTGCAGGGGAATGGGGCCTCATCTCGCCTCTAGGGGGAAGTCTCATGGTTTTTCTCGAGTTGCGGCGGGGACCTGGGGTATGTTCTCGACTTCCGGCGGGGATGGCCCTTCAAGACACGAGTTTCTTCAGTGACGTCAGGACTCCTGTCTAGTAACGAGGGACACCTCAGGAATCTCTTCGAGGCTTGGCAGGGCCAAAGGGACGCTTCTCGAGGTGAGGCAGGGCACCCAAGGACCCTTTCCAGTAGCCACAGGGATTTTGGGATTCCTATCAGTATTCAAGAGGAGTCAGGCATCGTCACCTTTTGAAGCAATGAACTCCGCGTGCCTCTCGAGGTGTCAGCGGGATGTGAGGCATTCCGTCAAAATGAGGCAGGGACCTAGGGCTTTCTCTACGGTCTCCACAGGGGATTCAGACATCCCTTCATGTTGTGAGATGAAAGACGAGCCTGTATTCAAGCCACTGCAAGGAAATCCGGCCTCCTTTCAAGTTAGGGCTTCTCGCTGTATATTCCCCTTGAGGCAGCAAACTCGGGGTCCCTCCCACATACCTATGGCTGAGAGAAGCCTCCTCCTGAGGTGCTTCTGGGAAGTTGGCATACGTCTTGAGCCTAAGCCAGGGAATCAGCTCGCATCTCGAGACGATTTGGGGTACACGGAGCATTCCTCGAGTTGCTGTGCTGAAGTTGGTGTTCCTCTAGACTTGGGACAGTGTTCTCGGGGCATCTCTGGAGTTGCCTGAAGGAAGTCGAGCCACCGGTCGTGTTGAATGGGGAACGGGGAATGGCTCTGGAGTCAATGCAGGGGAATCGGGCCTCATCTCGAGTTGATTTGGGGCACATGGAGCTGCTTTGCGTTGCTGGGGTGACCTCAGGGTCCGTCTAGACTGGTGACAGTGATCTTGGGGACTGTCTCGAGATCCATTAAGCAAGTCGAAGCTCCCGACTTGTTTAAATGGGATCACGGAATAGCTCTGCATGCACTGCAGGGGAATGGGGCCTCATCTCGCCTCTAGGGGGAAGTCTCATGGTTTTTCTCGAGTTGCGGCGGGGACCTGGGGTATGTTCTCGACTTACGGCGGGGATGGCCCTTCAAGACACGAGTTTCTTCAGTGACGTCAGGACTCCTGTCTAGTAACGAGGGACACCTCAGGAATCTCTTCGAGGCTTGGCAGGGCCAAAGGGACGCTTCTCGAGGTGAGGCAGGGCACCCAAGGACCCTTTCCAGTAGCCACCGGGATTTTGGGATTCCTATCAGTATTCAAGAGGAGTCAGGCATCGTCACCTTTTGAAGCAATGAACTCCGCGTGCCTCTCGAGGTGTCAGCGGGATGTGAGGCATTCCGTCAAAATGAGGCAGGGACCTAGGGCTTTCTCTAAGGTCTCCACAGGGGATTCAGACATCCCTTCATGTTGTGAGATGAAAGACGAGCCTGTATTCAAGCCACTGCAAGGAAATCCGGCCTCCTTTCAAGTTAGGGCTTCTCGCTGTATATTCCCCTTGAGGCAGCAAACTCGGGGTCCCTCCCACATTCCTATGGCTGAGAGAAGCCTCCTCCTGAGGTGCTTCTGGGAAGTTGGCATACGTCTTGAGCCTAAGCCAGGGAATCAGCTCTCATCTCGAGACGATTTGGGGTACACGGAGCATTCCTCGAGTTGCTGTGCTGAAGTTGGTGTTCCTCTAGACTTGGGACAGTGTTCTCGGGGCATCTCTGGAGTTGCCTGAAGGAAGTCGAGCCACCGGTCGTGTTGAATGGGGAACGGGGAATGGCTCTGGAGTCAATGCAGGGGAATCGGGCCTCATCTCGAGTTGATTTGGGGCACATGGAGCTGCTTTGCGTTGCTGGGGTGACCTCAGGGTCCGTCTAGACTGGTGACAGTGTTCTTGGGGACTGTCTCGAGATCCATTAAGCAAGTCGAAGCTCCTGACTTGTTTGAATGGGATCACGGAATAGCTCTGCATGCACTGCAGGGGAATGGGGCCTCATCTCGCCTCTAGGGGGAAGTCTCATGGTTTTTCTCGAGTTGCGGCGGGGACCTGGGGTATGTTCTCGACTTACGGCGGGGATGGCCCTTCAAGACACGAGTTTCTTCAGTGACGTCAGGACTCCTGTCTAGTAACGAGGGACACCTCAGGAATCTCTTCGAGGCTTGGCAGGGCCAAAGGGACGCTTCTCGAGGTGAGGCAGGGCACCCAAGGACCCTTTCCAGTAGCCACAGGGATTTTGGGATTCCTATCAGTATTCAAGAGGAGTCAGGCATCGTCACCTTTTGAAGCAATGAACTCCGCGTGCCTCTCGAGGTGTCAGCGGGATGTGAGGCATTCCGTCAAAATGAGGCAGGGACCTAGGGCTTTCTCTAAGGTCTCCACAGGGGATTCAGACATCCCTTCATGTTGTGAGATGAAAGACGAGCCTGTATTCAAGCCACTGCAAGGAAATCCGGCCTCCTTTCAAGTTAGGGCTTCTCGCTGTATATTCCCCTTGAGGCAGCAAATTCGGGGTCCCTCCCACATACCTATGGCTGAGAGAAGCCTCCTCCTGAGGTGCTTCTGGGAAGTTGGCATACGTCTTGAGCCTAAGCCAGGGAATCAGCTCGCATCTCGAGACGATTTGGGGTACACGGAGCATTCCTCGAGTTGCTGTGCTGAAGTTGGTGTTCCTCTAGACTTGGGACAGTGTTCTCGGGGCATCTCTGGAGTTGCCTGAAGGAAGTCGAGCCACCGGTCGTGTTGAATGGGGAACGGGGAATGGCTCTGGACTCAATGCAGGGGAATCGGGCCTCATCTCGAGTTGATTTGGGGCACATGGAGCTGCTTTGCGTTGCTGGGGTGACCTCAGGGTCCGTCTAGACTGGTGACAGTGTTCTTGGGGACTGTCTCGAGATCCATTAAGCAAGTCGAAGCTCCTGACTTGTTTGAATGGGATCACGGAATAGCTCTGCATGCACTGCAGGGGAATGGGGCCTCATCTCGCCTCTAGGGGGAAGTCTCATGGTTTTTCTCGAGTTGCGGCGGGGACCTGGGGTATGTTCTCGACTTACGGCGGGGATGGCCCTTCAAGACACGAGTTTCTTCAGTGACGTCAGGACTCCTGTCTAGTAACGAGGGACACCTCAGGAATCTCTTCGAGGCTTGGCAGGGCCAAAGGGACGCTTCTCGAGGTGAGGCAGGGCACCCAAGGACCCTTTCCAGTAGCCACAGGGATTTTGGGATTCCTATCAGTATTCAAGAGGAGTCAGGCATCGTCACCTTTTGAAGCAATGAACTCCGCGTGCCTCTCGAGGTGTCAGCGGGATGTGAGGCATTCCGTCAAAATGAGGCAGGGACCTAGGGCTTTCTCTAAGGTCTCCACAGGGGATTCAGACATCCCTTCATGTTGTGAGATGAAAGACGAGCCTGTATTCAAGCCACTGCAAGGAAATCCGGCCTCCTTTCAAGTTAGGGCTTCTCGCTGTATATTCCCCTTGAGGCAGCAAACTCGGGGTCCCTCCCACATACCTATGGCTGAGAGAAGCCTCCTCCTGAGGTGCTTCTGGGAAGTTGGCATACGTCTTGAGCCTAAGCCAGGGAATCAGCTCTCATCTCGAGACGATTTGGGGTACACGGAGCATTCCTCGAGTTGCTGTGCTGAAGTTGGTGTTCCTCTAGACTTGGGACAGTGTTCTCGGGGCATCTCTGGAGTTGCCTGAAGGAAGTCGAGCCACCGGTCGTGTTGAATGGGGAACGGGGAATGGCTCTGGAGTCAATGCAGGGGAATCGGGCCTCATCTCGAGTTGATTTGGGGCACATGGAGCTGCTTTGCGTTGCTGGGGTGACCTCAGGGTCCGTCTAGACTGGTGACAGTGTTCTTGGGGACTGTCTCGAGATCCATTAAGCAAGTCGAAGCTCCTGACTTGTTTGAATGGGATCACGGAATAGCTCTGCATGCACTGCAGGGGAATGGGGCCTCATCTCGCCTCTAGGGGGAAGTCTCATGGTTTTTCTCGAGTTGTGGCGGGGACCTGGGGTATGTTCTCGACTTAAGGCGGGGATGGCCCTTCAAGACACGAGTTTCTTCAGTGACGTCAGGACTCCTGTCTAGTAACGAGGGACACCTCAGGAATCTCTTCGAGGCTTGGCAGGGCCAAAGGGACGCTTCTCGAGGTGAGGCAGGGCACCCAAGGACCCTTTCCAGTAGCCACCGGGATTTTGGGATTCCTATCAGTATTCAAGAGGAGTCAGGCATCGTCACCTTTTGAAGCAATGAACTCCGCGTGCCTCTCGAGGTGTCAGCGGGATGTGAGGCATTCCGTCAAAATGAGGCAGGGACCTAGGGCTTTCTCTAAGGTCTCCACAGGGGATTCAGACATCCCTTCATGTTGTGAGATGAAAGACGAGCCTGTATTCAAGCCACTGCAAGGAAATCCGGCCTCCTTTCAAGTTAGGGCTTCTCGCTGTATATTCCCCTTGAGGCAGCAAACTCGGGGTCCCTCCCACATACCTATGGCTGAGAGAAGCCTCCTCCTGAGGTGCTTCTGGGAAGTTGGCATACGTCTTGAGCGTAAGCCAGGGAATCAGCTCGCATCTCGAGACGATTTGGGGTACACGGAGCATTCCTCGAGTTGCTGTGCTGAAGTTGGTGTTCCTCTAGACTTGGGACAGTGTTCTCGGGGCATCTCTGGAGTTGCCTGAAGGAAGTCGAGCCACCGGTCGTGTTGAATGGGGAACGGGGAATGGCTCTGGACTCAATGCAGGGGAATCGGGCCTCATCTCGAGTTGATTTGGGGCACATGGAGCTGCTTTGCGTTGCTGGGGTGACCTCAGGGTCCGTCTAGACTGGTGACAGTGTTCTTGGGGACTGTCTCGAGATCCATTAAGCAAGTCGAAGCTCCTGACTTGTTTGAATGGGATCACGGAATAGCTCTGCATGCACTGCAGGGGAATGGGGCCTCATCTCGCCTCTAGGGGGAAGTCTCATGGTTTTTCTCGAGTTGCGGCGGGGACCTGGGGTATGTTCTCGACTTACGGCGGGGATGGCCCTTCAAGACACGAGTTTCTTCAGTGACGTCAGGACTCCTGTCTAGTAACGAGGGACACCTCAGGAATCTCTTCGAGGCTTGGCAGGGCCAAAGGGACGCTTCTCGAGGTGAGGCAGGGCACCCAAGGACCCTTTCCAGTAGCCACAGGGATTTTGGGATTCCTATCAGTATTCAAGAGGAGTCAGGCATCGTCACCTTTTGAAGCAATGAACTCCGCGTGCCTCTCGAGGTGTCAGCGGGATGTGAGGCATTCCGTCAAAATGAGGCAGGGACCTAGGGCTTTCTCTACGGTCTCCACAGGGGATTCAGACATCCCTTCATGTTGTGAGATGAAAGACGAGCCTGTATTCAAGCCACTGCAAGGAAATCCGGCCTCCTTTCAAGTTAGGGCTTCTCGCTGTATATTCCCCTTGAGGCAGCAAACTCGGGGTCCCTCCCACATACCTATGGCTGAGAGAAGCCTCCTCCTGAGGTGCTTCTGGGAAGTTGGCATACGTCTTGAGCCTAAGCCAGGGAATCAGCTCTCATCTCGAGACGATTTGGGGTACACGGAGCATTCCTCGAGTTGCTGTGCTGAAGTTGGTGTTCCTCTAGACTTGGGACAGTGTTCTCGGGGCATCTCTGGAGTTGCCTGAAGGAAGTCGAGCCACCGGTCGTGTTGAATGGGGAACGGGGAATGGCTCTGGAGTCAATGCAGCGGAATAGGGCCTCATCTCGAGTTGATTTGGGGCACATGGAGCTGCTTTGCGTTGCTGGGGTGACCTCAGGGTCCGTCTAGACTGGTGACAGTGTTCTTGGGGACTGTCTCGAGATCCATTAAGCAAGTCGAAGCTCCTGACTTGTTTGAATGGGATCACGGAATAGCTCTGCATGCACTGCAGGGGAATGGGGCCTCATCTCGCCTCTAGGGGGAAGTCTCATGGTTTTTCTCGAGTTGCGGCGGGGACCTGGGGTATGTTCTCGACTTACGGCGGGGATGGCCCTTCAAGACACGAGTTTCTTCAGTGACGTCAGGACTCCTGTCTAGTAACGAGGGACACCTCAGGAATCTCTTCGAGGCTTGGCAGGGCCAAAGGGACGCTTCTCGAGGTGAGGCAGGGCACCCAAGGACCCTTTCCAGTAGCCACCGGGATTTTGGGATTCCTATCAGTATTCAAGAGGAGTCAGGCATCGTCACCTTTTGAAGCAATGAACTCCGCGTGCCTCTCGAGGTGTCAGCGGGATGTGAGGCATTCCGTCAAAATGAGGCAGGGACCTAGGGCTTTCTCTAAGGTCTCCACAGGGGATTCAGACATCCCTTCATGTTGTGAGATGAAAGACGAGCCTGTATTCAAGCCACTGCAAGGAAATCCGGCCTCCTTTCAAGTTAGGGCTTCTCGCTGTATATTCCCCTTGAGGCAGCAAACTCGGGGTCCCTCCCACATACCTATGGCTGAGAGAAGCCTCCTCCTGAGGTGCTTCTGGGAAGTTGGCATACGTCTTGAGCGTAAGCCAGGGAATCAGCTCGCATCTCGAGACGATTTGGGGTACACGGAGCATTCCTCGAGTTGCTGTGCTGAAGTTGGTGTTCCTCTAGACTTGGGACAGTGTTCTCGGGGCATCTCTGGAGTTGCCTGAAGGAAGTCGAGCCACCGGTCGTGTTGAATGGGGAACGGGGAATGGCTCTGGACTCAATGCAGGGGAATCGGGCCTCATCTCGAGTTGATTTGGGGCACATGGAGCTGCTTTGCGTTGCTGGGGTGACCTCAGGGTCCGTCTAGACTGGTGACAGTGTTCTTGGGGACTGTCTCGAGATCCATTAAGCAAGTCGAAGCTCCTGACTTGTTTGAATGGGATCACGGAATAGCTCTGCATGCACTGCAGGGGAATGGGGCCTCATCTCGCCTCTAGGGGGAAGTCTCATGGTTTTTCTCGAGTTGCGGCGGGGACCTGGGGTATGTTCTCGACTTACGGCGGGGATGGCCCTTCAAGACACGAGTTTCTTCAGTGACGTCAGGACTCCTGTCTAGTAACGAGGGACACCTCAGGAATCTCTTCGAGGCTTGGCAGGGCCAAAGGGACGCTTCTCGAGGTGAGGCAGGGCACCCAAGGACCCTTTCCAGTAGCCACAGGGATTTTGGGATTCCTATCAGTATTCAAGAGGAGTCAGGCATCGTCACCTTTTGAAGCAATGAACTCCGCGTGCCTCTCGAGGTGTCAGCGGGATGTGAGGCATTCCGTCAAAATGAGGCAGGGACCTAGGGCTTTCTCTAAGGTCTCCACAGGGGATTCAGACATCCCTTCATGTTGTGAGATGAAAGACGAGCCTGTATTCAAGCCACTGCAAGGAAATCCGGCCTCCTTTCAAGTTAGGGCTTCTCGCTGTATATTCCCCTTGAGGCAGCAAACTCGGGGTCCCTCCCACATACCTATGGCTGAGAGAAGCCTCCTCCTGAGGTGCTTCTGGGAAGTTGGCATACGTCTTGAGCCTAAGCCAGGGAATCAGCTCTCATCTCGAGACGATTTGGGGTACACGGAGCATTCCTCGAGTTGCTGTGCTGAAGTTGGTGTTCCTCTAGACTTGGGACAGTGTTCTCGGGGCATCTCTGGAGTTGCCTGAAGGAAGTCGAGCCACCGGTCGTGTTGAATGGGGAACGGGGAATGGCTCTGGACTCAATGCAGGGGAATCGGGCCTCATCTCGAGTTGATTTGGGGCACATGGAGCTGCTTTGCGTTGCTGGGGTGACCTCAGGGTCCGTCTAGACTGGTGACAGTGTTCTTGGGGACTGTCTCGAGATCCATTAAGCAAGTCGAAGCTCCTGACTTGTTTGAATGGGATCACGGAATAGCTCTGCATGCACTGCAGGGGAATGGGGCCTCATCTCGCCTCTAGGGGGAAGTCTCATGGTTTTTCTCGAGTTGCGGCGGGGACCTGGGGTATATTCTCGACTTACGGCGGGGATGGCCCTTCAAGACACGAGTTTCTTCAGTGACGTCAGGACTCCTGTCTAGTAACGAGGGACACCTCAGGAATCTCTTCGAGGCTTGGCAGGGCCAAAGGGACGCTTCTCGAGGTGAGGCAGGGCACCCAAGGACCCTTTCCAGTAGCCACAGGGATTTTGGGATTCCTATCAGTATTCAAGAGGAGTCAGGCATCGTCACCTTTTGAAGCAATGAACTCCGCGTGCCTCTCGTGGTGTCAGCGGGATGTGAGGCATTCCGTCAAAATGAGGCAGGGACCTAGGGCTTTCTCTAAGGTCTCCACAGGGGATTCAGACATCCCTTCATGTTGTGAGATGAAAGACGAGCCTGTATTCAAGCCACTGCAAGGAAATCCGGCCTCCTTTCAAGTTAGGGCTTCTCGCTGTATATTCCCCTTGAGGCAGCAAACTCGGGGTCCCTCCCACATACCTATGGCTGAGAGAAGCCTCCTCCTGAGGTGCTTCTGGGAAGTTGGCATACGTCTTGAGCCTAAGCCAGGGAATCAGCTCGCATCTCGAGACGATTTGGGGTACACGGAGCATTCCTCGAGTTGCTGTGCTGAAGTTGGTGTTCCTCTAGACTTGGGACAGTGTTCTCGGGGCATCTCTGGAGTTGCCTGAAGGAAGTCGAGCCACCGGTCGTGTTGAATGGGGAACGGGGAATGGCTCTGGAGTCAATGCAGGGGAATCGGGCCTCATCTCGAGTTGATTTGGGGCACATGGAGCTGCTTTGCGTTGCTGGGGTGACCTCAGGGTCCGTCTAGACTGGTGACAGTGTTCTTGGGGACTGTCTCGAGATCCATTAAGCAAGTCGAAGCTCCTGACTTGTTTGAATGGGATCACGGAATAGCTCTGCATGCACTGCAGGGGAATGGGGCCTCATCTCGCCTCTAGGGGGAAGTCTCATGGTTTTTCTCGAGTTGCGGCGGGGACCTGGGGTATATTCTCGACTTACGGCGGGGATGGCCCTTCAAGACACGAGTTTCTTCAGTGACGTCAGGACTCCTGTCTAGTAACGAGGGACACCTCAGGAATCTCTTCGAGGCTTGGCAGGGCCAAAGGGACGCTTCTCGAGGTGAGGCAGGGCACCCAAGGACCCTTTCCAGTAGCCACAGGGATTTTGGGATTCCTATCAGTATTCAAGAGGAGTCAGGCATCGTCACCTTTTGAAGCAATGAACTCCGCGTGCCTCTCGTGGTGTCAGCGGGATGTGAGGCATTCCGTCAAAATGAGGCAGGGACCTAGGGCTTTCTCTAAGGTCTCCACAGGGGATTCAGACATCCCTTCATGTTGTGAGATGAAAGACGAGCCTGTATTCAAGCCACTGCAAGGAAATCCGGCCTCCTTTCAAGTTAGGGCTTCTCGCTGTATATTCCCCTTGAGGCAGCAAACTCGGGGTCCCTCCCACATACCTATGGCTGAGAGAAGCCTCCTCCTGAGGTGCTTCTGGGAAGTTGGCATACGTCTTGAGCCTAAGCCAGGGAATCAGCTCGCATCTCGAGACGATTTGGGGTACACGGAGCATTCCTCGAGTTGCTGTGCTGAAGTTGGTGTTCCTCTAGACTTGGGACAGTGTTCTCGGGGCATCTCTGGAGTTGCCTGAAGGAAGTCGAGCCACCGGTCGTGTTGAATGGGGAACGGGGAATGGCTCTGGAGTCAATGCAGGGGAATCGGGCCTCATCTCGAGTTGATTTGGGGCACATGGAGCTGCTTTGCGTTGCTGGGGTGACCTCAGGGTCCGTCTAGACTGGTGACAGTGATCTTGGGGACTGTCTCGAGATCCATTAAGCAAGTCGAAGCTCCTGACTTGTTTGAATGGGATCACGGAATAGCTCTGCATGCACTGCAGGGGAATGGGGCCTCATCTCGCCTCTAGGGGGAAGTCTCATGGTTTTTCTCGAGTTGCGGCGGGGACCTGGGGTATGTTCTCGACTTACGGCGGGGATGGCCCTTCAAGACACGAGTTTCTTCAGTGACGTCAGGACTCCTGTCTAGTAACGAGGGACACCTCAGGAATCTCTTCGAGGCTTGGCAGGGCCAAAGGGACGCTTCTCGAGGTGAGGCAGGGCACCCAAGGACCCTTTCCAGTAGCCACAGGGATTTTGGGATTCCTATCAGTATTCAAGAGGAGTCAGGCATCGTCACCTTTTGAAGCAATGAACTCCGCGTGCCTCTCGAGGTGTCAGCGGGATGTGAGGCATTCCGTCAAAAAGAGGCAGCGACCTAGGGCTTTCTCTAAGGTCTCCACAGAGGATTCAGACATCCCTTCATGTTGTGAGATGAAAGACGAGCCTGTATTCAAGCCACTGCAAGGAAATCCGGCCTCCTTTCAAGTTAGGGCTTCTCGCTGTATATTTCCCTTGAGGCAGCAAACTCGGGGTCCCTCCCACATATCTATTGCTGAGAGAAGCCTCCTCCTGAGGTGCTTCTGGGAAGTTGGCATACGTCTTGAGCCTAAGCCAGGGAATCAGCTCTCATCTCGAGACGATTTGGGGTACACGGAGCATTCCTCGAGTTGCTGTGCTGAAGTTGGTGTTCCTCTAGACTTGGGACAGTGTTCTCGGGGCATCTCTGGAGTTGCCTGAAGGAAGTCGAGCCACCGGTCGTGTTGAATGGGGAACGGGGAATGGCTCTGGAGTCAATGCAGGGGAATCGGGCCTCATCTCGAGTTGATTTGGGGCACATGGAGCTGCTTTGCGTTGCTGGGGTGACCTCAGGGTCCGTCTAGACTGGTGACAGTGTTCTTGGGGACTGTCTCGAGATCCGTTAAGCAAGTCGAAGCTCCTGACTTGTTTGAATGGGATCACGGAATAGCTCTGCATGCACTGCAGGGGAATGGGGCCTCATCTCGCCTCTAGGGGGAAGTCTCATGGTTTTTCTCGAGTTGTGGCGGGGACCTGGGGTATGTTCTCGACTTACGGCGGGGATGGCCCTTCAAGACACGAGTTTCTTCAGTGACGTCAGGACTCCTGTCTAGTAACGAGGGACACCTCAGGAATCTCTTCGAGGCTTGGCAGGGCCAAAGGGACGCTTCTCGAGGTGAGGCAGGGCACCCAAGGACCCTTTCCAGTAGCCACCGGGATTTTGGGATTCCTATCAGTATTCAAGAGGAGTCAGGCATCGTCACCTTTTGAAGCAATGAACTCCGCGTGCCTCTCGAGGTGTCAGCGGGATGTGAGGCATTCCCTCAAAATGAGGCAGGGACCTAGGGCTTTCTCTAAGGTCTCCACAGGGGATTCAGACATCCCTTCATGTTGTGAGATGAAAGACGAGCCTGTATTCAAGCCACTGCAAGGAAATCCGGCCTCCTTTCAAGTTAGGGCTTCTCGCTGTATATTCCCCTTGAGGCAGCAAACTCGGGGTCCCTCCCACATTCCTATGGCTGAGAGAAGCCTCCTCCTGAGGTGCTTCTGGGAAGTTGGCATACGTCTTGAGCCTAAGCCAGGGAATCAGCTCTCATCTCGAGACGATTTGGGGTACACGGAGCATTCCTCGAGTTGCTGTGCTGAAGTTGGTGTTCCTCTAGACTTGGGACAGTGTTCTCGGGGCATCTCTGGAGTTGCCTGAAGGAAGTCGAGCCACCGGTCGTGTTGAATGGGGAACGGGGAATGGCTCTGGGGTCAATGCAGGGGAATCGGGCCTCATCTCGAGTTGATTTGGGGCACATGGAGCTGCTTTGCGTTGCTGGGGTGACCTCAGGGTCCGTCTAGACTGGTGACAGTGTTCTTGGGGACTGTCTCGAGATCCATTAAGCAAGTCGAAGCTCCTGACTTGTTTGAATGGGATCACGGAATAGCTCTGCATGCACTGCAGGGGAATGGGGCCTCATCTCGCCTCTAGGGGGAAGTCTCATGGTTTTTCTCGAGTTGCGGCGGGGACCTGGGGTATGTTCTCGACTTACGGCGGGGATGGCCCTTCAAGACACGAGTTTCTTCAGTGACGTCAGGACTCCTGTCTAGTAACGAGGGACACCTCAGGAATCTCTTCGAGGCTTGGCAGGGCCAAAGGGACGCTTCTCGAGGTGAGGCAGGGCACCCAAGGACCCTTTCCAGTAGCCACAGGGATTTTGGGATTCCTATCAGTATTCAAGAGGAGTCAGGCATCGTCACCTTTTGAAGCAATGAACTCCGCGTGCCTCTCGAGGTGTCAGCGGGATGTGAGGCATTCCGTCAAAATGAGACAGGGACCTAGGGCTTTCTCTAAGGTCTCCACAGGGGATTCAGACATCCCTTCATGTTGTGAGATGAAAGACGAGCCTGTATTCAAGCCACTGCAAGGAAATCCGGCCTCCTTTCAAGTTAGGGCTTCTCGCTGTATATTCCCCTTGAGGCAGCAAACTCGGGGTCCCTCCCACATACCTATTGCTGAGAGAAGCCTCCTCCTGAGGTGCTTCTGGGAAGTTGGCATACGTCTTGAGCCTAAGCCAGGGAATCAGCTCTCATCTCGAGACGATTTGGGGTACACGGAGCATTCCTCGAGTTGCTGTGCTGAAGTTGGTGTTCCTCTAGACTTGGGACAGTGTTCTCGGGGCATCTCTGGAGTTGCCTGAAGGAAGTCGAGCCACCGGTCGTGTTGAATGGGGAACGGGGAATGGCTCTGGAGTCAATGCAGGGGAATCGGGCCTCATCTCGAGTTGATTTGGGGCACATGGAGCTGCTTTGCGTTGCTGGGGTGACCTCAGGGTCCGTCTAGACTGGTGACAGTGATCTTGGGGACTGTCTCGAGATCCATTAAGCAAGTCGAAGCTCCTGACTTGTTTGAATGGGATCACGGAATAGCTCTGCATGCACTGCAGGGGAATGGGGCCTCATCTCGCCTCTAGGGGGAAGTCTCATGGTTTTTCTCGAGTTGCGGCGGGGACCTGGGGTATGTTCTCGACTTAAGGCGGGGATGGCCCTTCAAGACACGAGTTTCTTCAGTGACGTCAGGACTCCTGTCTAGTAACGAGGGACACCTCAGGAATCTCTTCGAGGCTTGGCAGGGCCAAAGGGACGCTTCTCGAGGTGAGGCAGGGCACCCAAGGACCCTTTCCAGTAGCCACAGGGATTTTGGGATTCCTATCAGTATTCAAGAGGAGTCAGGCATCGTCACCTTTTGAAGCAATGAACTCCGCGTGCCTCTCGAGGTGTCAGCGGGATGTGAGGCATTCCGTCAAAATGAGGCAGGGACCTAGGGCTTTCTCTAAGGTCTCCACAGGGGATTCAGACATCCCTTCATGTTGTGAGATGAAAGACGAGCCTGTATTCAAGCCACTGCAAGGAAATCCGGCCTCCTTTCAAGTTAGGGCTTCTCGCTGTATATTCCCCTTGAGGCAGCAAACTCGGGGTCCCTCCCACATTCCTATGGCTGAGAGAAGCCTCCTCCTGAGGTGCTTCTGGGAAGTTGGCATACGTCTTGAGCCTAAGCCAGGGAATCAGCTCTCATCTCGAGACGATTTGGGGTACACGGAGCATTCCTCGAGTTGCTGTGCTGAAGTTGGTGTTCCTCTAGACTTGGGACAGTGTTCTCGGGGCATCTCTGGAGTTGCCTGAAGGAAGTCGAGCCACCGGTCGTGTTGAATGGGGAACGGGGAATGGCTCTGGAGTCAATGCAGGGGAATCGGGCCTCATCTCGAGTTGATTTGGGGCACATGGAGCTGCTTTGCTTTGCTGGGGTGACCTCAGGGTCCGTCTAGACGAGTGACAGTGTTCTTGGGGACTGTCTCGAGATCCATTAAGCAAGTCGAAGCTCCTGACTTGTTTGAATGGGATCACGGAATAGCTCTGCATGCACTGCAGGGGAATGGGGCCTCTTCTCGCCTCTAGCGGGAAGTCTCATGGTTTTTCTCGAGTTGCGGCGGGGACCTGGGGTATGTTCTCGACTTACGGCGGGGATGGCCCTTCAAGACACGAGTTTCTTCAGTGACGTCAGGACTCCTGTCTAGTAACGAGGGACACCTCAAGAATCTCTTCGAGGCTTGGCAGGGCCAAAGGTACGCTTCTCGAGGTGAGGCAGGGCACCCAAGGACCCTTTCCAGTAGCCACAGGGATTTTGGGATTCCTATCAGTATTCAAGAGGAGTCAGGCATCGTCACCTTTTGAAGCAATGAACTCCGCGTGCCTCTCGAGGTGTCAGCGGGATGTGAGGCATTCCGTCAAAATGAGGCAGGGACCTAGGGCTTTCTCTAAGGTCTCCACAGGGGATTCAGACATCCCTTCATGTTGTGAGATGAAAGACGAGCCTGTATTCAAGCCACTGCAAGGAAATCCGGCCTCCTTTCAAGTTAGGGCTTCTCGCTGTATATTCCCCTTGAGGCAGCAAACTCGGGGTCCCTCCCACATACCTATTGCTGAGAGAAGCCTCCTCCTGAGGTGCTTCTGGGAAGTTGGCATACGTCTTGAGCCTAAGCCAGGGAATCAGCTCGCATCTCGAGACGATTTGGGGTACACGGAGCATTCCTCGATTTGCTGTGCTGAAGTTGGTGTTCCTCTAGACTTGGGACAGTGTTCTCGGGGCATCTCTGGAGTTGCCTGAAGGAAGTCGAGCCACCGGTCGTGTTGAATGGGGAACGGGGAATGGCTCTGGAGTCAATGCAGGGGAATCGGGCCTCATCTCGAGTTGATTTGGGGCACACGGAGCTGCTTTGCGTTGCTGGGGTGACCTCAGGGTCCGTCTAGACTGGTGACAGTGTTCTTGGGGACTGTCTCGAGATCCATTAAGCAAGTCGAAGCTCCTGACTTGTTTGAATGGGATCACGGAATAGCTCTGCATGCACTGCAGGGGAATGGGGCCTCATCTCGCCTCTAGGGGGAAGTCTCATGGTTTTTCTCGAGTTGCGGCGGGGACCTGGGGTATGTTCTCGACTTACGGCGGGGATGGCCCTTCAAGACACGAGTTTCTTCAGTGACGTCAGGACTCCTGTCTAGTAACGAGGGACACCTCCGGAATCTCTTCGAGGCTTGGCAGGGCCAAAGGGACGCTTCTCGAGGTGAGGCAGGGCACCCAAGGACCCTTTCCAGTAGCCACAGGGATTTTGGGATTCCTATCAGTATTCAAGAGGAGTCAGGCATCGTCACCTTTTGAAGCAATGAACTCCGCGTGCCTCTCGAGGTGTCAGCGGGATGTGAGGCATTCCGTCAAAATGAGGCAGGGACCTAGGGCTTTCTCTAAGGTCTCCACAGGGGATTCAGACATCCCTTCATGTTGTGAGATGAAAGACGAGCCTGTATTCAAGCCACTGCAAGGAAATCCGGCCTCCTTTCAAGTTAGGGCTTCTCGCTGTATATTCCCCTTGAGGCAGCAAACTCGGGGTCCCTCCCACATTCCTATGGCTGAGAGAAGCCTCCTCCTGAGGTGCTTCTGGGAAGTTGGCATACGTCTTGAGCCTAAGCCAGGGAATCAGCTCGCATCTCGAGACGATTTGGGGTACACGGAGCATTCCTCGATTTGCTGTGCTGAAATTGGTGTTCCTCTAGACTTGGGACAGTGTTCTCGGGGCATCTCTGGAGTTGCCTGAAGGAAGTCGAGCCACCGGTCGTGTTGAATGGGGAACGGGGAATGGCTCTGGAGTCAATGCAGGGGAATCGGGCCTCATCTCGAGTTGATTTGGGGCACATGGAGCTGCTTTGCGTTGCTGGGGTGACCTCAGGGTCCGTCTAGACTGGTGACAGTGTTCTTGGGGACTGTCTCGAGATCCATTAAGCAAGTCGAAGCTCCTGACTTGTTTGAATGGGATCACGGAATAGCTCTGCATGCACTGCAGGGGAATGGGGCCTCATCTCGCCTCTAGGGGGAAGTCTCATGGTTTTTCTCGAGTTGCGGCGGGGACCTGGGGTATGTTCTCGACTTACGGCGGGGATGGCCCTTCAAGACACGAGTTTCTTCAGTGACGTCAGGACTCCTGTCTAGTAACGAGGGACACCTCAGGAATCTCTTCGAGGCTTGGCAGGGCCAAAGGGACGCTTCTCGAGGTGAGGCAGGGCACCCAAGGACCCTTTCCAGTAGCCACAGGGATTTTGGGATTCCTATCAGTATTCAAGAGGAGTCAGGCATCGTCACCTTTTGAAGCAATGAACTCCGCGTGCCTCTCGAGGTGTCAGCGGGATGTGAGGCATTCCGTCAAAATGAGGCAGGGACCTAGGGCTTTCTCTAAGGTCTCCACAGGGGATTCAGACATCCCTTCATGTTGTGAGATGAAAGACGAGCCTGTATTCAAGCCACTGCAAGGAAATCCGGCCTCCTTTCAAGTTAGGGCTTCTCGCTGTATATTCCCCTTGAGGCAGCAAACTCGGGGTCCCTCCCACATTCCTATGGCTGAGAGAAGCCTCCTCCTGAGGTGCTTCTGGGAAGTTGGCATACGTCTTGAGCCTAAGCCAGGGAATCAGCTCTCATCTCGAGACGATTTGGGGTACACGGAGCATTCCTCGAGTTGCTGTGCTGAAGTTGGTGTTCCTCTAGACTTGGGACAGTGTTCTCGGGGCATCTCTGGAGTTGCCTGAAGGAAGTCGAGCCACCGGTCGTGTTGAATGGGGAACGGGGAATGGCTCTGGAGTCAATGCAGGGGAATCGGGCCTCATCTCGAGTTGATTTGGGGCACATGGAGCTGCTTTGCGTTGCTGGGGTGACCTCAGGGTCCGTCTAGACTGGTGACAGTGTTCTTGGGGACTGTCTCGAGATCCATTAAGCAAGTCGAAGCTCCTGACTTGTTTGAATGGGATCACGGAATAGCTCTGCATGCACTGCAGGGGAATGGGGCCTCATCTCGCCTCTAGGGGGAAGTCTCATGGTTTTTCTCGAGTTGCGGCGGGGACCTGGGGTATGCTCTCGACTTACGGCGGGGATGGCCCTTCAAGACACGAGTTTCTTCAGTGACGTCAGGACTCCTGTCTAGTAACGAGGGACACCTCAGGAATCTCTTCGAGGCTTGGCAGGGCCAAAGGGACGCTTCTCGAGGTGAGGCAGGGCACCCAAGGACCCTTTCCAGTAGCCACAGGGATTTTGGGATTCCTATCAGTATTCAAGAGGAGTCAGGCATCGTCACCTTTTGAAGCAATGAACTCCGCGTGCCTCTCGAGGTGTCAGCGGGATGTGAGGCATTCCGTCAAAATGAGGCAGGGACCTAGGGCTTTCTCTAAGGTCTCCACAGGCGATTCAGACATCCCTTCATGTTGTGAGATGAAAGACGAGCCTGTATTCAAGCCACTGCAAGGAAATCCGGCCTCCTTTCAAGTTAGGGCTTCTCGCTGTATATTCCCCTTGAGGCAGCAAACTCGGGGTCCCTCCCACATACCTATGGCTGAGAGAAGCCTCCTCCTGAGGTGCTTCTGGGAAGTTGGCATACGTCTTGAGCCTAAGCCAGGGAATCAGCTCGCATCTCGAGACGATTTGGGGTACACGGAGCATTCCTCGAGTTGCTGTGCTGAAGTTGGTGTTCCTCTAGACTTGGGACAGTGTTCTCGGGGCATCTCTGGAGTTGCCTGAAGGAAGTCGAGCCACCGGTCGTGTTGAATGGGGAACGGGGAATGGCTCTGGAGTCAATGCAGGGGAATCGGGCCTCATCTCGAGTTGATTTGGGGCACATGGAGCTGCTTTGCGTTGCTGGGGTGACCTCAGGGTCCGTCTAGACTGGTGACAGTGATCTTGGGGACTGTCTCGAGATCCATTAAGCAAGTCGAAGCTCCTGACTTGTTTGAATGGGATCACGGAATAGCTCTGCATGCACTGCAGGGGAATGGGGCCTCATCTCGCCTCTAGGGGGAAGTCTCATGGTTTTTCTCGAGTTGCGGCGGGGACCTGGGGTATGTTCTCGACTTACGGCGGGGATGGCCCTTCAAGACACGAGTTTCTTCAGTGACGTCAGGACTCCTGTCTAGTAACGAGGGACACCTCAGGAATCTCTTCGAGGCTTGGCAGGGCCAAAGGGACGCTTCTCGAGGTGAGGCAGGGCACCCAAGGACCCTTTCCAGTAGCCACAGGGATTTTGGGATTCCTTTCAGTATTCAAGAGGAGTCAGGCATCGTCACCTTTTGAAGCAATGAACTCCGCGTGCCTCTCGAGGTGTCAGCGGGATGTGAGGCATTCCGTCAAAATGAAGCAGGGACCTAGGGCTTTCTCTAAGGTCTCCACAGGGGATTCAGACATCCCTTCATGTTGTGAGATGAAAGACGAGCCTGTATTCAAGCCACTGCAAGGAAATCCGGCCTCCTTTCAAGTTAGGGCTTCTCGCTGTATATTCCCCTTGAGGCAGCAAACTCGGGGTCCCTCCCACATACCTATTGCTGAGAGAAGCCTCCTCCTGAGGTGCTTCTGGGAAGTTGGCATACGTCTTGAGCCTAAGCCAGGGAATCAGCTCTCATCTCGAGACGATTTGGGGTACACGGAGCATTCCTCGAGTTGCTGTGCTGAAGTTGGTGTTCCTCTAGACTTGGGACAGTGTTCTCGGGGCATCTCTGGAGTTGCCTGAAGGAAGTCGAGCCACCGGTCGTGTTGAATGGGGAACGGGGAATGGCTCTGGAGTCAATGCAGGGGAATCGGGCCTCATCTCGAGTTGATTTGGGGCACATGGAGCTGCTTTGCATTGCTGGGGTGACCTCAGGGTCCGTCTAGACTGGTGACAGTGTTCTTGGGGACTGTCTCCAGATCCATTAAGCAAGTCGAAGCTCCTGACTTGTTTGAATGGGATCACGGAATAGCTCTGCATGCACTGCAGGGGAATGGGGCCTCATCTCGCCTCTAGGGGGAAGTCTCATGGTTTTTCTCGAGTTGCAGCGGGGACCTGGGGTATGTTCTCGACTTACGGCGGGGATGGCCCTTCAAGACACGAGTTTCTTCAGTGACGTCAGGACTCCTGTCTAGTAACGAGGGACACCTCAGGAATCTCTTCGAGGCTTGGCAGGGCCAAAGGGACGCTTCTCGAGGTGAGGCAGGGCACCCAAGGACCCTTTCCAGTAGCCACAGGGATTTTGGGATTCCTATCAGTATTCAAGAGGAGTCAGGCATCGTCACCTTTTGAAGCAATGAACTCCGCGTGCCTCTCGAGGTGTCAGCGGGATGTGAGGCATTCCGTCAAAATGAGGCAGGGACCTAGGGCTTTCTCTAAGGTCTCCACAGGGGATTCAGACATCCCTTCATGTTGTGAGATGAAAGACGAGCCTGTATTCAAGCCACTGCAAGGAAATCCGGCCTCCTTTCAAGTTAGGGCTTCTCGCTGTATATTCCCCTTGAGGCAGCAAACTCGGGGTCCCTCCCACATACCTATGGCTGAGAGAAGCCTCCTCCTGAGGTGCTTCTGGGAAGTTGGCATACGTCTTGAGCCTAAGCCAGGGAATCAGCTCGCATCTCGAGACGATTTGGGGTACACGGAGCATTCCTCGAGTTGCTGTGCTGAAGTTGGTGTTCCTCTAGACTTGGGACAGTGTTCTCGGGGCATCTCTGGAGTTGCCTGAAGGAAGTCGAGCCACCGGTCGTGTTGAATGGGGAACGGGGAATGGCTCTGGAGTCAATGCAGGGGAATCGGGCCTCATCTCGAGTTGATTTGGGGCACATGGAGCTACTTTGCGTTGCTGGGGTGACCTCAGGGTCCGTCTAGACTGGTGACAGTGATCTTGGGGACTGTCTCGAGATCCATTAAGCAAGTCGAAGCTCCTGACTTGTTTGAATGGGATCACGGAATAGCTCTGCATGCACTGCAGGGGAATGGGGCCTCATCTCGCCTCTAGGGGGAAGTCTCATGGTTTTTCTCGAGTTGCGGCGGGAACCTGGGGTATGTTCTCGACTTACGGCGGGGATGGCCCTTCAAGACACGAGTTTCTTCAGTGACGTCAGGACTCCTGTCTAGTAACGAGGGACACCTCAGGAATCTCTTCGAGGCTTGGCAGGGCCAAAGGGACGCTTCTCGAGGTGAGGCAGGGCACCCAAGGACCCTTTCCAGTAGCCACAGGGATTTTGGGATTCCTATCAGTATTCAAGAGGAGTCAGGCATCGTCACCTTTTGAAGCAATGAACTCCGCGTGCCTCTCGAGGTGTCAGCGGGATGTGAGGCATTCCGTCAAAATGAAGCAGGGACCTAGGGCTTTCTCTAAGGTCTCCACAGGGGATTCAGACATCCCTTCATGTTGTGAGATGAAAGATGAGCCTGTATTCAAGCCACTGCAAGGAAATCCGGCCTCCTTTCAAGTTAGGGCTTCTCGCTGTATATTCCCCTTGAGGCAGCAAACTCGGGGTCCCTCCCACATACCTATTGCTGAGAGAAGCCTCCTCCTGAGGTGCTTCTGGTAAGTTGGCATACGTCTTGAGCCTAAGCCAGGGAATCAGCTCTCATCTCGAGACGATTTGGGGTACACGGAGCATTCCTCGAGTTGCTGTGCTGAAGTTGGTGTTCCTCTAGACTTGGGACAGTGTTGTCGGGGCATCTCTGGAGTTGCCTGAAGGAAGTCGAGCCACCGGTCGTGTTGAATGGGGAACGGGGAATGGCTCTGGAGTCAATGCAGGGGAATCGGGCCTCATCTCGAGTTGAATTGGGGCACATGGAGCTGCTTTGCGTTGCTGGGGTGACCTCAGGGTCCGTCTAGACTGGTGACAGTGTTCTTGGGGACTGTCTCGAGATCCATTAAGCAAGTCGAAGCTCCTGACTTGTTTGAATGGGATCACGGAATAGCTCTGCATGCACTGCAGGGGAATGGGGCCTCATCTCGCCTCTAGGGGGAAGTCTCATGGTTTTTCTCGAGTTGCGGCGGGGACCTGGGGTATGTTCTCGACTTACGGCGGGGATGGCCCTTCAAGACACGAGTTTCTTCAGTGACGTCAGGACTCCTGTCTAGTAACGAGGGACACCTCAGGAATCTCTTCGAGGCTTGGCAGGGCCAAAGGGACGCTTCTCGAGGTGAGGCAGGGCACCCAAGGACCCTTTCCAGTAGCCACAGGGATTTTGGGATTCCTATCAGTATTCAAGAGGAGTCAGGCATCGTCACCTTTTGAAGCAATGAACTCCGCGTGCCTCTCGAGGTGTCAGCGGGATGTGAGGCATTCCGTCAAAATGAGGCAGGGACCTAGGGCTTTCTCTAAGGTATCCACAGGGGATTCAGACATCCCTTCATGTTGTGAGATGAAAGACGAGCCTGTATTCAAGCCACTGCAAGGAAATCCGGCCTCCTTTCAAGTTAGGGCTTCTCGCTGTATATTCCCCTTGAGGCAGCAAACTCGGGGTCCCTCCCACATACCTATGGCTGAGAGAAGCCTCCTCCTGAGGTGCTTCTGGGAAGTTGGCATACGTCTTGAGCCTAAGCCAGGGAATCAGCTCGCATCTCGAGACGATTTGGGGTACACGGAGCATTCCTCGAGTTGCTGTGCTGAAGTTGGTGTTCCTCTAGACTTGGGACAGTGTTCTCGGGGCATCTCTGGAGTTGCCTGAAGGAAGTCGAGCCACCGGTCGTGTTGAATGGGGAACGGGGAATGGCTCTGGAGTCAATGCAGGGGAATCGGGCCTCATCTCGAGTTGATTTGGGGCACATGGAGCTGCTTTGCGTTGCTGGGGTGACCTCAGGGTCCGTCTAGACTGGTGACAGTGTTCTTGGGGACTGTCTCGAGATCCATTAAGCAAGTCGAAGCTCCTGACTTGTTTGAATGGGATCACGGAATAGCTCTGCATGCACTGCAGGGGAATGGGGCCTCATCTCGCCTCTAGGGGGAAGTCTCATGGTTTTTCTCGAGTTGCGGCGGGGACCTGGGGTATGCTCTCGACTTACGGCGGGGATGGCCCTTCAAGACACGAGTTTCTTCAGTGACGTCAGGACTCCTGTCTAGTAACGAGGGACACCTCAGGAATCTCTTCGAGGCTTGGCAGGGCCAAAGGGACGCTTCTCGAGGTGAGGCAGGGCACCCAAGGACCCTTTCCAGTAGCCACAGGGATTTTGGGATTCCTATCAGTATTCAAGAGGAGTCAGGCATCGTCACCTTTTGAAGCAATGAACTCCGCGTGCCTCTCGAGGTGTCAGCGGGATGTGAGGCATTCCGTCAAAATGAGGCAGGGCCTAGGGCTTTCTCTAAGGTCTCCACAGGGGATTCAGACATCCCTTCATGTTGTGAGATGAAAGACGAGCCTGTATTCAAGCCACTGCAAGGAAATCCGGCCTCCTTTAAAGTTAGGGCTTCTCGCTGTATATTCCCCTTGAGGCAGCAAACTCGGGGTCCCTCCCACATACCTATTGCTGAGAGAAGCCTCCTCCTGAGGTGCTTCTGGGAAGTTGGCATACGTCTTGAGCCTAAGCCAGGGAATCAGCTCGCATCTCGAGACGATTTGGGGTACACGGAGCATTCCTCGAGTTGCTGTGCTGAAGTTGGTGTTCCTCTAGACTTGGGACAGTGTTCTCGGGGCATCTCTGGAGTTGCCTGAAGGAAGTCGAGCCACCGGTCGTGTTGAATGGGGAACGGGGAATGGCTCTGGAGTCAATGCAGGGGAATCGGGCCTCATCTCGAGTTGATTTGGGGCACATGGAGCTACTTTGCGTTGCTGGGGTGACCTCAGGGTCCGTCTAGACTGGTGACAGTGATCTTGGGGACTGTCTCGAGATCCATTAAGCAAGTCGAAGCTCCTGACTTGTTTGAATGGGATCACGGAATAGCTCTGCATGCACTGCAGGGGAATGGGGCCTCATCTCGCCTCTAGGGGGAAGTCTCATGGTTTTTCTCGAGTTGCGGCGGGGACCTGGGGTATGTTCTCGACTTACGGCGGGGATGGCCCTTCAAGACACGAGTTTCTTCAGTGACGTCAGGACTCCTGTCTAGTAACGAGGGACACCTCAGGAATCTCTTCGAGGCTTGGCAGGGCCAAAGGGACGCTTCTCGAGGTGAGGCAGGGCACCCAAGGACCCTTTCCAGTAGCCACAGGGATTTTGGGATTCCTATCAGTATTCAAGAGGAGTCAGGCATCGTCACCTTTTGAAGCAATGAACTCCGCGTGCCTCTCGAGGTGTCAGCGGGATGTGAGGCATTCCGTCAAAATGAAGCAGGGACCTAGGGCTTTCTCTAAGGTCTCCACAGGGGATTCAGACATCCCTTCATGTTGTGAGATGAAAGACGAGCCTGTATTCAAGCCACTGCAAGGAAATCCGGCCTCCTTTCAAGTTAGGGCTTCTCGCTGTATATTCCCCTTGAGGCAGCAAACTCGGGGTCCCTCCCACATACCTATTGCTGAGAGAAGCCTCCTCCTGAGGTGCTTCTGGGAAGTTGGCATACGTCTTGAGCCTAAGCCAGGGAATCAGCTCTCATCTCGAGACGATTTGGGGTACACGGAGCATTCCTCGAGTTGCTGTGCTGAAGTTGGTGTTCCTCTAGACTTGGGACAGTGTTCTCGGGGCATCTCTGGAGTTGCCTGAAGGAAGTCGAGCCACCGGTCGTGTTGAATGGGGAACGGGGAATGGCTCTGGACTCAATGCAGGGGAATCGGGCCTCATCTCGAGTTGAATTGGGGCACATGGAGCTGCTTTGCGTTGCTGGGGTGACCTCAGGGTCCGTCTAGACTGGTGACAGTGTTCTTGGGGACTGTCTCGAGATCCATTAAGCAAGTCGAAGCTCCTGACTTGTTTGAATGGGATCACGGAATAGCTCTGCATGCACTGCAGGGGAATGGGGCCTCATCTCGCCTCTAGGGGGAAGTCTCATGGTTTTTCTCGAGTTGCGGCGGGGACCTGGGGTATGTTCTCGACTTACGGCGGGGATGGCCCTTCAAGACACGAGTTTCTTCAGTGACGTCAGGACTCCTGTCTAGTAACGAGGGACACCTCAGGAATCTCTTCGAGGCTTGGCAGGGCCAAAGGGACGCTTCTCGAGGTGAGGCAGGGCACCCAAGGACCCTTTCCAGTAGCCACAGGGATTTTGGGATTCCTATCAGTATTCAAGAGGAGTCAGGCATCGTCACCTTTTGAAGCAATGAACTCCGCGTGCCTCTCGAGGTGTCAGCGGGATGTGAGGCATTCCGTCAAAATGAGGCAGGGACCTAGGGCTTTCTCTAAGGTCTCCACAGGGGATTCAGACATCCCTTCATGTTGTGAGATGAAAGACGAGCCTGTATTCAAGCCACTGCAAGGAAATCCGGCCTCCTTTCAAGTTAGGGCTTCTCGCTGTATATTCCCCTTGAGGCAGCAAACTCGGGGTCCCTCCCACATACCTATGGCTGAGAGAAGCCTCCTCCTGAGGTGCTTCTGGGAAGTTGGCATACGTCTTGAGCCTAAGCCAGGGAATCAGCTCTCATCTCGAGACGATTTGGGGTACACGGAGCATTCCTCGAGTTGCTGTGCTGAAGTTGGTGTTCCTCTAGACTTGGGACAGTGTTCTCGGGGCATCTCTGGAGTTGCCTGAAGGAAGTCGAGCCACCGGTCGTGTTGAATGGGGAACGGGGAATGGCTCTGGAGTCAATGCAGGGGAATCAGGCCTCATCTCGAGTTGATTTGGGGCACATGGAGCTGCTTTGCGTTGCTGGGGTGACCTCAGGGTCCGTCTAGACTGGTGACAGTGTTCTTGGGGACTGTCTCCAGATCCATTAAGCAAGTCGAAGCTCCTGACTTGTTTGAATGGGATCACGGAATAGCTCTGCATGCACTGCAGGGGAATGGGGCCTCATCTCGCCTCTAGGGGGAAGTCTCATGGTTTTTCTCGAGTTGCGGCGGGGACCTGGGGTATGCTCTCGACTTACGGCGGGGATGGCCCTTCAAAACACGAGTTTCTTCAGTGACGTCAGGACTCCTGTCTAGTAACGAGGGACACCTCAGGAATCTCTTCGAGGCTTGGCAGGGCCAAAGGGACGCTTCTCGAGGTGAGGCAGGGCACCCAAGGACCCTTTCCAGTAGCCACAGGGATTTTGGGATTCCTATCAGTATTCAAGAGGAGTCAGGCATCGTCACCTTTGGAAGCAATGAACTCCGCGTGCCTCTCGAGGTGTCAGCGGGATGTGAGGCATTCCGTCAAAATGAGGCAGGGACCTAGGGCTTTCTCTAAGGTCTCCACAGGGGATTCAGACATCCCTTCATGTTGTGAGATGAAAGACGAGCCTGTATTCAAGCCACTGCAAGGAAATCCGGCCTCCTTTCAAGTTAGGGCTTCTCGCTCTATATTCCCCTTGAGACAGCAAACTCGGGGTCCCTCCCACATACCTATTGCTGAGAGAAGCCTCCTCCTGAGGTGCTTCTGGGAAGTTGGCATACGTCTTGAGCCTAAGCCAGGGAATCAGCTCGCATATCGAGACGATTTGGGGTACACGGAGCATTCCTCGAGTTGCTGTGCTGAAGTTGGTGTTCCTCTAGACTTGGGACAGTGTTCTCGGGGCATCTCTGGAGTTGCCTGAAGGAAGTCGAGCCACCGGTCGTGTTGAATGGGGAACGGGGAATGGCTCTGGAGTCAATGCAGGGGAATCGGGCCTCATCTCGAGTTGATTTGGGGCACATGGAGCTACTTTGCGTTGCTGGGGTGACCTCAGGGTCCGTCTAGACTGGTGACAGTGATCTTGGGGACTGTCTCGAGATCCATTAAGCAAGTCGAAGCTCCTGACTTGTTTGAATGGGATCACGGAATAGCTCTGCATGCACTGCAGGGGAATGGGGCCTCATCTCGCCTCTAGGGGGAAGTCTCATGGTTTTTCTCGAGTTGCGGCGGGGACCTGGGGTATGTTCTCGACTTACGGCGGGGATGGCCCTTCAAGACACGAGTTTCTTCAGTGACGTCAGGACTCCTGTCTAGTAACGAGGGACACCTCAGGAATCTCTTCGAGGCTTGGCAGGGCCAAAGGGACGCTTCTCGAGGTGAGGCAGGGCACCCAAGGACCCTTTCCAGTAGCCACAGGGATTTTGGGATTCCTATCAGTATTCAAGAGGAGTCAGGCATCGTCACCTTTTGAAGCAATGAACTCCGCGTGCCTCTCGAGGTGTCAGCGGGATGTGAGGCAATCCGTCAAAATGAAGCAGGGACCTAGGGCTTTCTCTAAGGTCTCCACAGGGGATTCAGACATCCCTTCATGTTGTGAGATGAAAGACGAGCCTGTATTCAAGCCACTGCAAGGAAATCCGGCCTCCTTTCAAGTTAGGGCTTCTCGCTGTATATTCCCCTTGAGGCAGCAAACTCGGGGTCCCTCCCACATACCTATTGCTGAGAGAAGCCTCCTCCTGAGGTGCTTCTGGGAAGTTGGCATACGTCTTGAGCCTAAGCCAGGGAATCAGCTCTCATCTCGAGACGATTTGGGGTACACGGAGCATTCCTCGAGTTGCTGTGCTGAAGTTGGTGTTCCTCTAGACTTGGGACAGTGTTCTCGGGGCATCTCTGGAGTTGCCTGAAGGAAGTCGAGCCACCGGTCGTGTTGAATGGGGAACGGGGAATGGCTCTGGAGTCAATGCAGGGGAATCGGGCCTCATCTCGAGTTGAATTGGGGCACATGGAGCTGCTTTGCGTTGCTGGGGTGACCTCAGGGTCCGTCTAGACTGGTGACAGTGTTCTTGGGGACTGTCTCGAGATCCATTAAGCAAGTCGAAGCTCCTGACTTGTTTGAATGGGATCACGGAATAGCTCTGCATGCACTGCAGGGGAATGGGGCCTCATCTCGCCTCTAGGGGAAAGTCTCATGGTTTTTCTCGAGTTGCGGCGGGGACCTGGGGTATGTTCTCGACTTACGGCGGGGATGGCCCTTCAAGACACGAGTTTCTTCAGTGACGTCAGGACTCCTGTCTAGTAACGAGGGACACCTCAGGAATCTCTTCGAGGCTTGGCAGGGCCAAAGGGACGCTTCTCGAGGTGAGGCAGGGCACCCAAGGACCCTTTCCAGTAGCCACAGGGATTTTGGGATTCCTATCAGTATTCAAGAGGAGTCAGGCATCGTCACCTTTTGAAGCAATGAACTCCGCGTGCCTCTCGAGGTGTCAGCGGGATGTGAGGCATTCCGTCAAAATGAGGCAGGGACCTAGGGCTTTCTCTAAGGTCTCCACAGGGGATTCAGACATCCCTTCATGTTGTGAGATGAAAGACGAGCCTGTATTCAAGCCACTGCAAGGAAATCCGGCCTCCTTTCAAGTTAGGGCTTCTCGCTGTATATTCCCCTTGAGGCAGCAAACTCGGGGTCCCTCCCACATACCTATGGCTGAGAGAAGCCTCCTCCTGAGGTGCTTCTGGGAAGTTGGCATAATTCTTGAGCCTAAGCCAGGGAATCAGCTCGCATCTCGAGACGATTTGGGGTACACGGAGCATTCCTCGAGTTGCTGTGCTGAAGTTGGTGTTCCTCTAGACTTGGGACAGTGTTCTCGGGGCATCTCTGGAGTTGCCTGAAGGAAGTCGAGCCACCGGTCGTGTTGAATGGGGAACGGGGAATGGCTCTGGAGTCAATGCAGGGGAATCGGGCCTCATCTCGAGTTGATTTGGGGCACATGGAGCTGCTTTGTGTTGCTGGGGTGACCTCAGGGTCCGTCTAGACTGGTGACAGTGATCTTGGGGACTGTCTCGAGATCCATTAAGCAAGTCGAAGCTCCTGACTTGTTTGAATGGAATCACGGAATAGCTCTGCATGCACTGCAGGGGAATGGGGCCTCATCTCGCCTCTAGGGGGAAGTCTCATGGTTTTTCTCGAGTTGCGGCGGGGACCTGGGGTATGTTCTCGACTTACGGCGGGGATGGCCCTTCAAGACACGAGTTTCTTCAGTGACGTCAGGACTCCTGTCTAGTAACGAGGGACACCTCAGGAATCTCTTCGAGGCTTGGCAGGGCCAAAGGGACGCTTCTCGAGGTGAGGCAGGGCACCCAAGGACCCTTTCCAGTAGCCACAGGGATTTTGGGATTCCTATCAGTATTCAAGAGGAGTCAGGCATCGTCACCTTTTGAAGCAATGAACTCCGCGTGCCTCTCGAGGTGTCAGCGGGATGTGAGGCATTCCGTCAAAATGATTCAGGGACCTAGGGCTTTCTCTAAGGTCTCCACAGGGGATTCAGACATCCCTTCATGTTGTGAGATGAAAGACGAGCCTGTATTCAAGCCACTGCAAGGAAATCCGGCCTCCTTTCAAGTTAGGGCTTCTCGCTGTATATTCCCCTTGAGGCAGCAAACTCGGGGTCCCTCCCACATACCTATTGCTGAGAGAAGCCTCCTGAGGTGCTTCTGGGAAGTTGGCATACGTCTTGAGCCTAAGCCAGGGAATCAGCTCTCATCTCGAGACGATTTGGGGTACACGGAGCATTCCTCGAGTTGCTGTGCTGAAGTTGGTGTTCCTCTAGACTTGGGACAGTGTTCTCGGGGCATCTCTGGAGTTGCCTGAAGGAAGTCGAGCCACCGGTCGTGTTGAATGGGGAACGGGGAATGGCTCTGGAGTCAATGCAGGGGAATCGGGCCTCATCTCGAGTTGATTTGGGGCACATGGAGCTGCTTTGCGTTGCTGGGGTGACCTCAGGGTCCGTCTAGACTGGTGACAGTGTTCTTGGGGACTGTCTCGAGATCCATTAAGCAAGTCGAAGCTCCTGACTTGTTTGAATGGGATCACGGAATAGCTCTGCATGCACTGCAGGGGAATGGGGCCTCATCTCGCCTCTAGGGGGAAGTCTCATGGTTTTTCTCGAGTTGCGGCGGGGACCTGGGTATGTTCTCGACTTACGGCGGGGATGGCCCTTCAAGACACGAGTTTCTTCAGTGACGTCAGGACTCCTGTCTAGTAACGAGGGACACCTCAGGAATCTCCTCGAGGCTTGGCAGGGCCAAAGGGACGCTTCTCGAGGTGAGGCAGGGCACCCAAGGACCCTTTGCAGTAGCCACAGGGATTTTGGGATTCCTATCAGTATTCAAGAGGAGTCAGGCATCGTCACCTTTTGAAGCAATGAACTCCGCGTGCCTCTCGAGGTGTCAGCGGGATGTGAGGCATTCCGTCAAAATGAGGTAGGGACCTAGGGCTTTCTCTAAGGTCTCCACAGGGGATTCAGACATCCCTTCATGTTGTGAGATGAAAGACGAGCCTGTATTCAAGCCACTGCAAGGAAATCCGGCCTCCTTTCAAGTTAGGGCTTCTCGCTGTATATTCCCCTTGAGGCAGCAAACTCGGGGTCCCTCCCACATACCTATGGCTGAGAGAAGCCTCCTCCTGAGGTGCTTCTGGGAAGTTGGCATACGTCTTGAGCCTAAGCCAGGGAATCAGCTCGCATCTCGAGACGATTTGGGGTACACGGAGCATTCCTCGTGTTGCTGTGCTGAAGTTGGTGTTCCTCTAGACTTGGGACAGTGTTCTCGGGGCATCTCTGGAGTTGCCTGAAGGAAGTCGAGCCACCGGTCGTGTTGAATGGGGAACGGGGAATGGCTCTGGAGTCAATGCAGGGGAATCGGGCCTCATCTCGAGTTGAATTGGGGCACATGGAGCTGCTTTGCGTTGCTGGGGTGACCTCAGGGTCCGTCTAGACTGGTGACAGTGTTCTTGGGGACTGTCTCGAGATCCATTAAGCAAGTCGAAGCTCCTGACTTGTTTGAATGGGATCACGGAATAGCTCTGCATGCACTGCAGGGGAATGGGGCCTCATCTCGCCTCTAGGGGGAAGTCTCATGGTTTTTCTCGAGTTGCGGCGGGGACCTGGGGTATGTTCTCGACTTACGGCGGGGATGGCCCTTCAAGACACGAGTTTCTTCAGTGACGTCAGGACTCCTGTCTAGTAACGAGGGACACCTCAGGAATCTCTTCGAGGCTTGGCAGGGCCAAAGGGACGCTTCTCGAGGTGAGGCAGGGCACCCAAGGACCCTTTCCAGTAGCCACAGGGATTTTGGGATTCCTATCAGTATTCAAGAGGAGTCAGGCATCGTCACCTTTTGAAGCAATGAACTCCGCGTGCCTCTCGAGGTGTCAGCGGGATGTGAGGCATTCCGTCAAAATGATTCAGGGACCTAGGGCTTTCTCTAAGGTCTCCACAGGGGATTCAGACATCCCTTCATGTTGTGAGATGAAAGACGAGCCTGTATTCAAGCCACTGCAAGGAAATCCGGCCTCCTTTCAAGTTAGGGCTTCTCGCTGTATATTCCCCTTGAGGCAGCAAACTCGGGGTCCCTCCCACATTCCTATGGCTGAGAGAAGCCTCCTCCTGAGGTGCTTCTGGGAAGTTGGCATACGTCTTGAGCCTAAGCCAGGGAATCAGCTCTCATCTCGAGACGATTTGGGGTACACGGAGCATTCCTCGAGTTGCTGTGCTGAAGTTGGTGTTCCTCTAGACTTGGGACAGTGTTCTCGGGGCATCTCAGGAGTTGCCTGAAGGAAGTCGAGCCACCGGTCGTGTTGAATGGGGAACGGGGAATGGCTCTGGAGTCAATGCAGGGGAATCGGGCCTCATCTCGAGTTGATTTGGGGCACATGGAGCTGCTTTGCGTTGCTGGGGTGACCTCAGGGTCCGTCTAGACTGGTGACAGTGTTCTTGGGGACTGTCTCGAGATCCATTAAGCAAGTCGAAGCTCCTGACTTGTTTGAATGGGATCACGGAATAGCTCTGCATGCACTGCAGGGGAATGGGGCCTCATCTCGCCTCTAGGGGGAAGTCTCATGGTTTTTCTCGAGTTGCGGCGGGGACCTGGGGTATGTTCTCGACTTACGGCGGGGATGGCCCTTCAAGACACGAGTTTCTTCAGTGACGTCAGGACTCCTGTCTAGTAACGAGGGACACCTCAGGAATCTCTTCGAGGCTTGGCAGGGCCAAAGGGACGATTCTCGAGGTGAGGCAGGGCACCCAAGGACCCTTTCCAGTAGCCACAGGGATTTTGGGATTCCTATCAGTATTCAAGAGGAGTCAGGCATCGTCACCTTTTGAAGCAATGAACTCCGCGTGCCTCTCGAGGTGTCAGCGGGATGTGAGGCATTCCGTCAAAATGAGGCAGGGACCTAGGGCTTTCTCTAAGGTCTCCACAGGGGATTCAGACATCCCTTCATGTTGTGAGATGAAAGACGAGCCTGTATTCAAGCCACTGCAAGGAAATCCGGCCTCCTTTCAAGTTAGGGCTTCTCGCTGTATATTCCCCTTGAGGCAGCAAACTCGGGGTCCCTCCCACATACCTATGGCTGAGAGAAGCCTCCTCCTGAGGTGCTTCTGGGAAGTTGGCATATGTCTTGAGCCTAAGCCAGGGAATCAGCTCGCATCTCGAGACGATTTGGGGTACACGGAGCATTCCTCGAGTTGCTGTGCTGAAGTTGGTGTTCCTCTAGACTTGGGACAGTGTTCTCGGGGCATCTCTGGAGTTGCCTGAAGGAAGTCGAGCCACCGGTCGTGTTGAATGGGGAACGGGGAATGGCTCTGGACTCAATGCAGGGGAATCGGGCCTCATCTCGAGTTGATTTGGGGCACATGGAGCTGCTTTGTGTTGCTGGGGTGACCTCAGGGTCCGTCTAGACTGGTGACAGTGATCTTGGGGACTGTCTCGAGATCCATTAAGCAAGTCGAAGCTCCTGACTTGTTTGAATGGGATCACGGAATAGCTCTGCATGCACTGCAGGGGAATGGGGCCTCATCTCGCCTCTAGGGGGAAGTCTCATGGTTTTTCTCGAGTTGCGGCGGGGACCTGGGGTATGTTCTCGACTTACGGCGGGGATGGCCCTTCAAGACACGAGTTTCTTCAGTGACGTCAGGACTCCTGTCTAGTAACGAGGGACACCTCAGGAATCTCTTCGAGGCTTGGCAGGGCCAAAGGGACGCTTCTCGAGGTGAGGCAGGGCACCCAAGGACCCTTTCCAGTAGCCACAGGGATTTTGGGATTCCTATCAGTATTCAAGAGGAGTCAGGCATCGTCACCTTTTGAAGCAATGAACTCCGCGTGCCTCTCGAGGTGTCAGCGGGATGTGAGGCATTCCGTCAAAATGAGGCAGGGACCTAGGGCTTTCTCTAAGGTCTCCACAGGGGATTCAGACATCCCTTCATGTTGTGAGATGAAAGACGAGCCTGTATTCAAGCCACTGCAAGGAAATCCGGCCTCCTTTCAAGTTAGGGCTTCTCGCTGTATATTCCCCTTGAGGCAGCAAACTCGGGGTCCCTCCCACATACCTATGGCTGAGAGAAGCCTCCTCCTGAGGTGCTTCTGGGAAGTTGGCATACGTCTTGAGCCTAAGCCAGGGAATCAGCTCGCATCTCGAGACGATTTGGGGTACACGGAGCATTCCTCGAGTTGCTGTGCTGAAGTTGGTGTTCCTCTAGACTTGGGACAGTGTTCTCGGGGCATCTCTGGAGTTGCCTGAAGGAAGTCGAGCCACCGGTCGTGTTGAATGGGGAACGGGGAATGGCTCTGGAGTCAATGCAGGGGAATCGGGCCTCATCTCGAGTTGATTTGGGGCACATGGAGCTGCTTTGCGTTGCTGGGGTGACCTCAGGGTCCGTCTAGACTGGTGACAGTGTTCTTGGGGACTGTCTCGAGATCCATTAAGCAAGTCGAAGCTCCTGACTTGTTTGAATGGGATCACGGAATAGCTCTGCATGCACTGCAGGGGAATGGGGCCTCATCTCACCTCTAGGGGGAAGTCTCATGGTTTTTCTCGAGTTGCGGCGGGGACCTGGGGTATGTTCTCGACTTACGGCGGGGATGGCCCTTCAAGACACGAGTTTCTTCAGTGACGTCAGGACTCCTGTCTAGTAACGAGGGACACCTCAGGAATCTCTTCGAGGCTTGGCAGGGCCAAAGGGACGCTTCTCGAGGTGAGGCAGGGCACCCAAGGACCCTTTCCAGTAGCCACCGGGATTTTGGGATTCCTATCAGTATTCAAGAGGAGTCAGGCATCGTCACCTTTTGAAGCAATGAACTCCGCGTGCCTCTCGAGGTGTCAGCGGGATGTGAGGCATTCCGTCAAAATGAGGCAGGGACCTAGGGCTTTCTCTAAGGTCTCCACAGGGGATTCAGACATCCCTTCATGTTGTGAGATGAAAGACGAGCCTGTATTCAAGCCACTGCAAGGAAATCCGGCCTCCTTTCAAGTTAGGGCTTCTCGCTGTATATTCCCCTTGAGGCAGCAAACTCGGGGTCCCTCCCACATTCCTATGGCTGAGAGAAGCCTCCTCCTGAGGTGCTTCTGGGAAGTTGGCATACGTCTTGAGCCTAAGCCAGGGAATCAGCTCTCATCTCGAGACGATTTGGGGTACACGGAGCATTCCTCGAGTTGCTGTGCTGAAGTTGGTGTTCCTCTAGACTTGGGACAGTGTTCTCGGGGCATCTCTGGAGTTGCCTGAAGGAAGTCGAGCCACCGGTCGTGTTGAATGGGGAACGGGGAATGGCTCTGGAGTCAATGCAGGGGAATCGGGCCTCATCTCGAGTTGATTTGGGGCACATGGAGCTGCTTTGCGTTGCTGGGGTGACCTCAGGGTCCGTCTAGACTGGTGACAGTGTTCTTGGGGACTGTCTCGAGATCCATTAAGCAAGTCGAAGCTCCTGACTTGTTTGAATGGGATCACGGAATAGCTCTGCATGCACTGCAGGGGAATGGGGCCTCATCTCGCCTCTAGGGGGAAGTCTCATGGTTTTTCTCGAGTTGCGGCGGGGACCTGGGGTATGTTCTCGACTTACGGCGGGGATGGCCCTTCAAGACACGAGTTTCTTCAGTGACGTCAGGACTCCTGTCTAGTAACGAGGGACACCTCAGGAATCTCTTCGAGGCTTGGCAGGGCCAAAGGGACGCTTCTCGAGGTGAGGCAGGGCACCCAAGGACCCTTTCCAGTAGCCACAGGGATTTTGGGATTCCTATCAGTATTCAAGAGGAGTCAGGCATCGTCACCTTTTGAAGCAATGAACTCTGCGTGCCTCTCGAGGTGTCAGCGGGATGTGAGGCATTCCGTCAAAATGAGGCAGGGACCTAGGGCTTTCTCTAAGGTCTCCACAGGGGATTCAGACATCCCTTCATGTTGTGAGATGAACGACGAGCCTGTATTCAAGCCACTGCAAGGAAATCCGGCCTCCTTTCAAGTTAGGGCTTCTCGCTGTATATTCCCCTTGAGGCAGCAAACTCGGGGTCCCTCCCACATACCTATGGCTGAGAGAAGCCTCCTCCTGAGGTGCTTCTGGGAAGTTGGCATACGTCTTGAGCCTAAGCCAGGGAATCAGCTCGCATCTCGAGACGATTTGGGGTACACGGAGCATTCCTCGAGTTGCTGTGCTGAAGTTGGTGTTCCTCTAGACTTGGGACAGTGTTCTCGGGGCATCTCTGGAGTTGCCTGAAGGAAGTCGAGCCACCGGTCGTGTTGAATGGGGAACGGGGAATGGCTCTGGAGTCAATGCAGGGGAATCGGGCCTCATCTCGAGTTGATTTGGGGCACATGGAGCTGCTTTGCGTTGCTGGGGTGACCTCAGGGTCCGTCTAGACTGGTGACAGTGTTCTTGGGGACTGTCTCGAGATCCATTAAGCAAGTCGAAGCTCCTGACTTGTTTGAATGGGATCACGGAATAGCTCTGCATGCACTGCAGGGGAATGGGGCCTCATCTCGCCTCTAGGGGGAAGTCTCATGGTTTTTCTCGAGTTGCGGCGGGGACCTGGGGTATGTTCTCGACTTACGGCGGGGATGGCCCTTCAAGACACGAGTTTCTTCAGTGACGTCAGGACTCCTGTCTAGTAACGAGGGACACCTCAGGAATCTCTTCGAGGCTTGGCAGGGCCAAAGGGACGCTTCTCGAGGTGAGGCAGGGCACCCAAGGACCCTTTCCAGTAGCCACAGGGATTTTGGGATTCCTATCAGTATTCAAGAGGAGTCAGGCATCGTCACCTTTTGAAGCAATGAACTCCGCGTGCCTCTCGAGGTGTCAGCGGGATGTGAGGCATTCCGTCAAAATGAGGCAGGGACCTAGGGCTTTCTCTAAGGTCTCCACAGGGGATTCAGACATCCCTTCATGTTGTGAGATGAAAGACGAGCCTGTATTCAAGCCACTGCAAGGAAATCTGGCCTCCTTTCAAGTTAGGGCTTCTCGCTGTATATTCCCCTTGAGGCAGCAAACTCGGGGTCCCTCCCACATACCTATGGCTGAGAGAAGCCTCCTCCTGAGGTGCTTCTGGGAAGTTGGCATACGTCTTGAGCCTAAGCCAGGGAATCAGCTCGCATCTCGAGACGATTTGGGGTACACGGAGCATTCCTCGAGTTGCTGTGCTGAAGTTGGTGTTCCTCTAGACTTGGGACAGTGTTCTCGGGGCATCTCTGGAGTTGCCTGAAGGAAGTCGAGCCACCGGTCGTGTTGAATGGGGAACGGGGAATGGCTCTGGAGTCAATGCAGGGGAATCGGGCCTCATCTCGAGTTGATTTGGGGCACATGGAGCTGCTTTGCGTTGCTGGGGTGACCTCAGGGTCCGTCTAGACTGGTGACAGTGTTCTTGGGGACTGTCTCGAGATCCATTAAGCAAGTCGAAGCTCCTGACTTGTTTGAATGGGATCACGGAATAGCTCTGCATGCACTGCAGGGGAATGGGGCCTCATCTCGCCTCTAGGGGGAAGTCTCATGGTTTTTCTCGAGTTGCGGCGGGGACCTGGGGTATGTTCTCGACTTACGGCGGGGATGGCCCTTCAAGACACGAGTTTCTTCAGTGACGTCAGGACTCCTGTCTAGTAACGAGGGACACCTCAGGAATCTCTTCGAGGCTTGGCAGGGCCAAAGGGACGCTTCTCGAGGTGAGGCAGGGCACCCAAGGACCCTTTCCAGTAGCCACAGGGATTTTGGGATTCCTATCAGTATTCAAGAGGAGTCAGGCATCGTCACCTTTTGAAGCAATGAACTCCGCGTGCCTCTCGAGGTGTCAGCGGGATGTGAGGCATTCCGTCAAAATGAGGCAGGGACCTAGGGCTTTCTCTACGGTCTCCACAGGGGATTCAGACATCCCTTCATGTTGTGAGATGAAAGACGAGCCTGTATTCAAGCCACTGCAAGGAAATCCGGCCTCCTTTCAAGTTAGGGCTTCTCGCTGTATATTCCCCTTGAGGCAGCAAACTCGGGGTCCCTCCCACATACCTATGGCTGAGAGAAGCCTCCTCCTGAGGTGCTTCTGGGAAGTTGGCATACGTCTTGAGCCTAAGCCAGGGAATCAGCTCGCATCTCGAGACGATTTGGGGTACACGGAGCATTCCTCGAGTTGCTGTGCTGAAGTTGGTGTTCCTCTAGACTTGGGACAGTGTTCTCGGGGCATCTCTGGAGTTGCCTGAAGGAAGTCGAGCCACCGGTCGTGTTGAATGGGGAACGGGGAATGGCTCTGGAGTCAATGCAGGGGAATCGGGCCTCATCTCGAGTTGATTTGGGGCACATGGAGCTGCTTTGCGTTGCTGGGGTGACCTCAGGGTCCGTCTAGACTGGTGACAGTGTTCTTGGGGACTGTCTCGAGATCCATTAAGCAAGTCGAAGCTCCTGACTTGTTTGAATGGGATCACGGAATAGCTCTGCATGCACTGCAGGGGAATGGGGCCTCATCTCGCCTCTAGGGGGAAGTCTCATGGTTTTTCTCGAGTTGCGGCGGGGACCTGGGGTATGTTCTCGACTTACGGCGGGGATGGCCCTTCAAGACACGAGTTTCTTCAGTGACGTCAGGACTCCTGTCTAGTAACGAGGGACACCTCAGGAATCTCTTCGAGGCTTGGCAGGGCCAAAGGGACGCTTCTCGAGGTGAGGCAGGGCACCCAAGGACCCTTTCCAGTAGCCACAGGGATTTTGGGATTCCTATCAGTATTCAAGAGGAGTCAGGCATCGTCACCTTTTGAAGCAATGAACTCCGCGTGCCTCTCGAGGTGTCAGCGGGATGTGAGGCATTCCGTCAAAATGAGGCAGGGACCTAGGGCTTTCTCTAAGGTCTCCACAGGGGATTCAGACATCCCTTCATGTTGTGAGATGAAAGACGAGCCTGTATTCAAGCCACTGCAAGGAAATCCGGCCTCCTTTCAAGTTAGGGCTTCTCGCTGTATATTCCCCTTGAGGCAGCAAACTCGGGGTCCCTCCCACATACCTATGGCTGAGAGAAGCCTCCTCCTGAGGTGCTTCTGGGAAGTTGGCATACGTCTTGAGCCTAAGCCAGGGAATCAGCTCTCATCTCGAGACGATTTGGGGTACACGGAGCATTCCTCGAGTTGCTGTGCTGAAGTTGGTGTTCCTCTAGACTTGGGACAGTGTTCTCGGGGCATCTCTGGAGTTGCCTGAAGGAAGTCGAGCCATCGGTCGTGTTGAATGGGGAACGGGGAATGGCTCTGGAGTCAATGCAGGGGAATCGGGCCTCATCTCGAGTTGATTTGGGGCACATGGAGCTGCTTTGCGTTGCTGGGGTGACCTCAGGGTCCGTCTAGACTGGTGACAGTGTTCTTGGGGACTGTCTCGAGATCCATTAAGCAAGTCGAAGCTCCTGACTTGTTTGAATGGGATCACGGAATAGCTCTGCATGCACTGCAGGGGAATGGGGCCTCATCTCGCCTCTAGGGGGAAGTCTCATGGTTTTTCTCGAGTTGCGGCGGGGACCTGGGGTATGTTCTCGACTTACGGCGGGGATGGCCCTTCAAGACACGAGTTTCTTCAGTGACGTCAGGACTCCTGTCTAGTAACGAGGGACACCTCAGGAATCTCTTCGAGGCTTGGCAGGGCCAAAGGGACGCTTCTCGAGGTGAGGCAGGGCACCCAAGGACCCTTTCCAGTAGCCACCGGGATTTTGGGATTCCTATCAGTATTCAAGAGGAGTCAGGCATCGTCACCTTTGGAAGCAATGAACTCCGCGTGCCTCTCGAGGTGTCAGCGGGATGTGAGGCATTCCGTCAAAATGAGGCAGGGACCTAGGGCTTTCTCTAAGGTCTCCACAGGGGATTCAGACATCCCTTCATGTTGTGAGATGAAAGACGAGCCTGTATTCAAGCCACTGCAAGGAAATCCGGCCTCCTTTCAAGTTAGGGCTTCTCGCTGTATATTCCCCTTGAGGCAGCAAACTCGGGGTCCCTCCCACATACCGATGGCTGAGAGAAGCCTCCTCCTGAGGTGCTTCTGGGAAGTTGGCATACGTCTTGAGCGTAAGCCAGGGAATCAGCTCGATTCTCGAGACGATTTGGGGTACACGGAGCATTCCTCGAGTTGCTGTGCTGAAGTTGGTGTTCCTCTAGACTTGGGACAGTGTTCTCGGGGCATCTCTGGAGTTGCCTGAAGGAAGTCGAGCCACCGGTCGTGTTGAATGGGGAACGGGGAATGGCTCTGGACTCAATGCAGGGGAATCGGGCCTCATCTCGAGTTGATTTGGGGCACATGGAGCTGCTTTGCGTTGCTGGGGTGACCTCAGGGTCCGTCTAGACTGGTGACAGTGTTCTTGGGGACTGTCTCGAGATCCATTAAGCAAGTCGAAGCTCCTGACTTGTTTGAATGGGATCACGGAATAGCTCTGCATGCACTGCAGGGGAATGGGGCCTCATCTCGCCTCTAGGGGGAAGTCTCATGGTTTTTCTCGAGTTGCGGCGGGGACCTGGGGTATGTTCTCGACTTACGGCGGGGATGGCCCTTCAAGACACGAGTTTCTTCAGTGACGTCAGGACTCCTGTCTAGTAACGAGGGACACCTCAGGAATCTCTTCGAGGCTTGGCAGGGCCAAAGGGACGCTTCTCGAGGTGAGGCAGGGCACCCAAGGACCCTTTCCAGTAGCCACAGGGATTTTGGGATTCCTATCAGTATTCAAGAGGAGTCAGGCATCGTCACCTTTTGAAGCAATGAACTCCGCGTGCCTCTCGAGGTGTCAGCGGGATGTGAGGCATTCCGTCAAAATGAGGCAGGGACCTAGGGCTTTCTCTAAGGTCTCCACAGGGGATTCAGACATCCCTTCATGTTGTGAGATGAAAGAGGAGCCTGTATTCAAGCCACTGCAAGGAAATCCTGCCTCCTTTCAAGTTAGGGCTTCTCGCTGTATATTCCCCTTGAGGCAGCAAACTCGGGGTCCCTCCCACATACCGATGGCTGAGAGAAGCCTCCTCCTGAGGTGCTTCTGGGAAGTTGGCATACGTCTTGAGCCTCAGCCAGGGAATCAGCTCGCATCTCGAGACGATTTGGGGTACACGGAGCATTCCTCGAGTTGCTGTGCTGAAGTTGGTGTTCCTCTAGACTTGGGACAGTGTTCTCGGGGCATCTCTGGAGTTGCCTGAAGGAAGTCGAGCCACCGGTCGTGTTGAATGGGGAACGGGGAATGGCTCTGGAGTCAATGCAGGGGAATCGGGCCTCATCTCGAGTTGATTTGGGGCACATGGAGCTGCTTTGCGTTGCTGGGGTGACCTCAGGGTCCGTCTAGACTGGTGACAGTGTTCTTGGGGACTGTCTCGAGATCCATTAAGCAAGTCGAAGCTCCTGACTTGTTTGAATGGGATCACGGAATAGCTCTGCATGCACTGCAGGGGAATGGGGCCTCATCTCGCCTCTAGGGGGAAGTCTCATGGTTTTTCTCGAGTTGCAGCGGGGACCTGGGGTATGTTCTCGACTTACGGCGGGGATGGCCCTTCAAGACACGAGTTTCTTCAGTGACGTCAGGACTCCTGTCTAGTAACGAGGGACACCTCAGGAATCTCTTCGAGGCTTGGCAGGGCCAAAGGGACGCTTCTCGAGGTGAGGCAGGGCACCCAAGGACCCTTTCCAGTAGCCACAGGGATTTTGGGATTCCTATCAGTATTCAAGAGGAGTCAGGCATCGTCACCTTTTGAAGCAATGAACTCCGCGTGCCTCTCGAGGTGTCAGCGGGATGTGAGGCATTCCGTCAAAAAGAGGCAGCGACCTAGGGCTTTCTCTAAGGTCTCCACAGAGGATTCAGACATCCCTTCATGTTGTGAGATGAAAGACGAGCCTGTATTCAAGCCACTGCAAGGAAATCCGGCCTCCTTTCAAGTTAGGGCTTCTCGCTGTATATTTCCCTTGAGGCAGCAAACTCGGGGTCCCTCCCACATACCTATTGCTGAGAGAAGCCTCCTCCTGAGGTGCTTCTGGGAAGTTGGCATACGTCTTGAGCCTAAGCCAGGGAATCAGCTCTCATCTCGAGACGATTTGGGGTACACGGAGCATTCCTCGAGTTGCTGTGCTGAAGTTGCTGTTCCTCTAGACTTGGGACAGTGTTCTCGGGGCATCTCTGGAGTTGCCTGAAGGAAGTCGAGCCATCGGTCGTGTTGAATGGGGAACGGGGAATGGCTCTGGAGTCAATGCAGGGGAATCGGGCCTCATCTCGAGTTGATTTGGGGCACATGGAGCTGCTTTGCGTTGCTGGGGTGACCTCAGGGTCCGTCTAGACTGGTGACAGTGTTCTTGGGGACTGTCTCGAGATCCATTAAGCAAGTCGAAGCTCCTGACTTGTTTGAATGGGATCACGGAATAGCTCTGCATGCACTGCAGGGGAATGGGGCCTCATCTCGCCTCTAGGGGGAAGTCTCATGGTTTTTCTCGAGTTGTGGCGGGGACCTGGGGTATGTTCTCGACTTACGGCGGGGATGGCCCTTCAAGACACGAGTTTCTTCAGTGACGTCAGGACTCCTGTCTAGTAACGAGGGACACCTCAGGAATCTCTTCGAGGCTTGGCAGGGCCAAAGGGACGCTTCTCGAGGTGAGGCAGGGCACCCAAGGACCCTTTCCAGTAGCCACCGGGATTTTGGGATTCCTATCAGTATTCAAGAGGAGTCAGGCATCGTCACCTTTGGAAGCAATGAACTCCGCGTGCCTCTCGAGGTGTCAGCGGGATGTGAGGCATTCCGTCAAAATGAGGCAGGGACCTAGGGCTTTCTCTAAGGTCTCCACAGGGGATTCAGACATCCCTTCATGTTGTGAGATGAAAGACGAGCCTGTATTCAAGCCACTGCAAGGAAATCCGGCCTCCTTTCAAGTTAGGGCTTCTCGCTGTATATTCCCCTTGAGGCAGCAAACTCGGGGTCCCTCCCACATACCTATGGCTGAGAGAAGCCTCCTCCTGAGGTGCTTCTGGGAAGTTGGCATACGTCTTGAGCGTAAGCCAGGGATTCAGCTCGCATCTCGAGACGATTTGGGGTACACGGAGCATTCCTCGAGTTGCTGTGCTGAAGTTGGTGTTCCTCTAGACTTGGGACAGTGTTCTCGGGGCATCTCTGGAGTTGCCTGAAGGAAGTCGAGCCACCGGTCGTGTTGAATGGGGAACGGGGAATGGCTCTGGACTCAATGCAGGGGAATCGGGCCTCATCTCGAGTTGATTTGGGGCACATGGAGCTGCTTTGCGTTGCTGGGGTGACCTCAGGGTCCGTCTAGACTGGTGACAGTGTTCTTGGGGACTGTCTCGAGATCCATTAAGCAAGTCGAAGCTCCTGACTTGTTTGAATGGGATCACGGAATAGCTCTGCATGCACTGCAGGGGAATGGGGCCTCATCTCGCCTCTAGGGGGAAGTCTCATGGTTTTTCTCGAGTTGCGGCGGGGACCTGGGGTATGTTCTCGACTTACGGCGGGGATGGCCCTTCAAGACACGAGTTTCTTCAGTGACGTCAGGACTCCTGTCTAGTAACGAGGGACACCTCAGGAATCTCTTCGAGGCTTGGCAGGGCCAAAGGGACGCTTCTCGAGGTGAGGCAGGGCACCCAAGGACCCTTTCCAGTAGCCACAGGGATTTTGGGATTCCTATCAGTATTCAAGAGGAGTCAGGCATCGTCACCTTTTGAAGCAATGAACTCCGCGTGCCTCTCGAGGTGTCAGCGGGATGTGAGGCATTCCGTCAAAATGAGGCAGGGACCTAGGGCTTTCTCTAAGGTCTCCACAGGGGATTCAGACATCCCTTCATGTTGTGAGATGAAAGACGAGCCTGTATTCAAGCCACTGCAAGGAAATCCGGCCTCCTTTCAAGTTAGGGCTTCTCGCTGTATATTCCCCTTGAGGCAGCAAACTCGGGGTCCCTCCCACATACCGATGGCTGAGAGAAGCCTCCTCCTGAGGTGCTTCTGGGAAGTTGGCATACGTCTTGAGCCTAAGCCAGGGAATCAGCTCGCATCTCGAGACGATTTGGGGTACACGGAGCATTCCTCGAGTTGCTGTGCTGAAGTTGGTGTTCCTCTAGACTTGGGACAGTGTTCTCGGGGCATCTCTGGAGTTGCCTGAAGGAAGTCGAGCCACCGGTCGTGTTGAATGGGGAACGGGGAATGGCTCTGGAGTCAATGCAGGGGAATCGGGCCTCATCTCGAGTTGATTTGGGGCACATGGAGCTGCTTTGCGTTGCTGGGGTGACCTCAGGGTCCGTCTAGACTGGTGACAGTGTTCTTGGGGACTGTCTCGAGATCCATTAAGCAAGTCGAAGCTCCTGACTTGTTTGAATGGGATCACGGAATAGCTCTGCATGCACTGCAGGGGAATGGGGCCTCATCTCGCCTCTAGGGGGAAGTCTCATGGTTTTTCTCGAGTTGCGGCGGGGACCTGGGGTATGTTCTCGACTTACGGCGGGGATGGCCCTTCAAGACACAAGTTTCTTCAGTGACGTCAGGACTCCTGTCTAGTAACGAGGGACACCTCAGGAATCTCTTCGAGGCTTGGCAGGGCCAAAGGGACGCTTCTCGAGGTGAGGCAGGGCACCCAAGGACCCTTTCCAGTAGCCACAGGGATTTTGGGATTCCTATCAGTATTCAAGAGGAGTCAGGCATCGTCACCTTTTGAAGCAATGAACTCCGCGTGCCTCTCGAGGTGTCAGCGGGATGTGAGGCATTCCGTCGAATGAGGCAGCGACCTAGGGCTTCCTCTAAGGTCTCCACAGGGGATTCAGACATCCCTTCATGTTGTGAGATGAAAGATGAGCCTGTATTCAAGCCACTGCAAGGAAATCCGGCCTCCTTTCAAGTTAGGGCTTCTCGCTGTATATTCCCCTTGAGGCAGCAAACTCGGGGTCCCTCCCACATTCCTATGGCTGAGAGAAGCCTCCTCCTGAGGTGCTTCTGGGAAGTTGGCATACGTCTTGAGCCTAAGCCAGGGAATCAGCTCTAATCTCGAGACGATTTGGGGTACACGGAGCATTCCTCTAGTTGCTGTGCTGAAGTTGGTGTTCCTCTAGACTTGGGACAGTGTTCTCGGGGCATCTCTGGAGTTGCCTGAAGGAAGTCGAGCCACCGGTCGTGTTGAATGGGGAACGGGGAATGGCTCTGGAGTCAATGCAGGGGAATCGGGCCTCATCTCGAGTTGATTTGGGGCACATGGAGCTGCTTTGCGTTGCTGGGGTGACTTCAGGGTCCGTCTAGACTGGTGACAGTGTTCTTGGGGACTGTCTCGAGATCCATTAAGCAAGTCGAAGCTCCTGACTTGTTTGAATGGGATCACGGAATAGCTCTGCATGCACTGCAGGGGAATGGGGCCTCATCTCGCCTCTAGGGGGAAGTCTCATGGTTTTTCTCGAGTTGCGGCGGGGACCTGGGGTATGTTCTCGACTTACGGCGGGGATGGCCCTTCAAGACACGAGTTTCTTCAGTGACGTCAGGACTCCTGTCTAGTAACGAGGGACACCTCAGGAATCTCTTCGAGGCTTGGCAGGGCCAAAGGGACGCTTCTCGAGGTGAGGCAGGGCACCCAAGGACCCTTTCCAGTAGCCACAGGGATTTTGGGATTCCTATCAGTATTCAAGAGGAGTCAGGCATCGTCACCTTTTGAAGCAATGAACTCCACGTGCCTCTCGAGGTGTCAGCGGGATGTGAGGCATTCCGTCAAAATGAGGCAGGGACCTAGGGCTTTCTCTAAGGTCTCCACAGGGGATTCAGACATCCCTTCATGTTGTGAGATGAAAGACGAGCCTGTATTCAAGCCACTGTAAGGAAATCCGGCCTCCTTTCAAGTTAGGGCTTCTCGCTGTATATTCCCCTTGAGGCAGCAAACTCGGGGTCCCTCCCACATACCGATGGCTGAGAGAAGCCTCCTCCTGAGGTGCTTCTGGGAAGTTGGCATACGTCTTGAGCCTAAGCCAGGGAATCAGCTCGCATCTCGAGACGATTTGGGGTACACGGAGCATTCCTCGAGTTGCTGTGCTGAAGTTGGTGTTCCTCTAGACTTGGGACAGTGTTCTCGGGGCATCTCTGGAGTTGCCTGAAGGAAGTCGAGCCACCGGTCGTGTTGAATGGGGAACGGGGAATGGCTCTGGAGTCAATGCAGGGGAATCGGGCCTCATCTCGAGTTGATTTGGGGCACATGGAGCTGCTTTGCGTTGCTGGGGTGACCTCAGGGTCCGTCTAGACTGGTGACAGTGTTCTTGGGGACTGTCTCGAGATCCATTAAGCAAGTCGAAGCTCCTGACTTGTTTGAATGGGATCACGGAATAGCTCTGCATGCACTGCAGGGGAATGGGGCCTCATCTCGCCTCTAGGGGGAAGTCTCATGGTTTTTCTCGAGTTGCGGCGGGGACCTGGGGTATGTTCTCGACTTACGGCGGGGATGGCCCTTCAAGACACGAGTTTCTTCAGTGACGTCAGGACTCCTGTCTAGTAACGAGGGACACCTCAGGAATCTCTTCGAGGCTTGGCAGGGCCAAAGGGACGCTTCTCGAGGTGAGGCAGGGCACCCAAGGACCCTTTCCAGTAGCCACAGGGATTTTGGGATTCCTATCAGTATTCAAGAGGAGTCAGGCATCGTCACCTTTTGAAGCAATGAACTCCGCATGCCTCTCGAGGTGTCAGCGGGATGTGAGGCATTCCGTCGAATGAGGCAGCGACCTAGGGCTTTCTCTAAGGTCTCCACAGGGGATTCAGACATCCCTTCATGTTGTGAGATGAAAGATGAGCCTGTATTCAAGCCACTGCAAGGAAATCCGGCCTCCTTTCAAGTTAGGGCTTCTCGCTGTATATTCCCCTTGAGGCAGCAAACTCGGGGTCCCTCCCACATTCCTATGCCTGAGAGAAGCCTCCTCCTGAGGTGCTTCTGGGAAGTTGGCATACGTCTTGAGCCTAAGCCAGGGAATCAGCTCTAATCTCGAGACGATTTGGGGTACACGGAGCATTCCTCTAGTTGCTGTGCTGAAGTTGGTGTTCCTCTAGACTTGGGACAGTGTTCTCGGGGCATCTCTGGAGTTGCCTGAAGGAAGTCGAGCCACCGGTCGTGTTGAATGGGGAACGGGGAATGGCTCTGGAGTCAATGCAGGGGAATCGGGCCTCATCTCGAGTTGATTTGGGGCACATGGAGCTGCTTTGCGTTGCTGGGGTGACCTCAGGGTCCGTCTAGACTGGTGACAGTGTTCTTGGGGACTGTCTCGAGATCCATTAAGCAAGTCGAAGCTCCTGACTTGTTTGAATGGGATCACGGAATAGCTCTGCATGCACTGCAGGGGAATGGGGCCTCATCTCGCCTCTAGGGGGAAGTCTCATGGTTTTTCTCGAGTTGCGGCGGGGACCTGGGGTATGTTCTCGACTTACGGCGGGGATGGCCCTTCAAGACACGAGTTTCTTCAGTGATGTCAGGACTCCTGTCTAGTAACGAGGGACACCTCAGGAATCTCTTCGAGGCTTGGCAGGGCCAAAGGGACGCTTCTCGAGGTGAGGCAGGGCACCCAAGGACCCTTTCCAGTAGCCACAGGGATTTTGGGATTCCTATCAGTATTCAAGAGGAGTCAGGCATCGTCACCTTTTGAAGCAATGAACTCCGCGTGCCTCTCGAGGTGTCAGCGGGATGTGAGGCATTCCGTCAAAATGAGGCAGGGACCTAGGGCTTTCTCTAAGGTCTCCACAGGGGATTCAGACATCCCTTCATGTTGTGAGATGAAAGACGAGCCTGTATTCAAGCCACTGCAAGGAAATCCGGCCTCCTTTCAAGTTAGGGCTTCTCGCTGTATATTCCCCTTGAGGCAGCAAACTCGGGGTCCCTCCCACATACCTATTGCTGAGAGAAGCCTCCTCCTGAGGTGCTTCTGGGAAGTTGACATACGTCTTGAGCCTAAGCCAGGGAATCAGCTCTCATCTCGAGACGATTTGGGGTAGACGGAGCATTCCTCGAGTTGCTGTGCTGAAGTTGGTGTTCCTCTAGACTTGGGACAGTGTTCTCGGGGCATCTCTGGAGTTGCCTGAAGGAAGTCGAGCCACCGGTCGTGTTGAATGGGGAACGGGGAATGGCTCTGGAGTCAATGCAGGGGAATCGGGCCTCATCTCGAGTTGATTTGGGGCACATGGAGCTGCTTTGCGTTGCTGGGGTGACCTCAGGGTCCGTCTAGACTGGTGACAGTGATCTTGGGGACTGTCTCGAGATCCATTAAGCAAGTCGAAGCTCCTGACTTGTTTGAATGGGATCACGGAATAGCTCTGCATGCACTGTAGGGGAATGGGGCCTCATCTCGCCTCTAGGGGGAAGTCTCATGGTTTTTCTCGAGTTGCGGCGGGGACCTGGGGTATGTTCTCGACTTACGGCGGGGATGGCCCTTCAAGACACGAGTTTCTTCAGTGACGTCAGGACTCCTGTCTAGTAACGAGGGACACCTCAGGAATCTCTTCGAGGCTTGGCAGGGCCAAAGGGACGCTTCTCGAGGTGAGGCAGGGCACCCAAGGACCCTTTCCAGTAGCCACAGGGATTTTGGGATTCCTATCAGTATTCAAGAGGAGTCAGGCATCGTCACCTTTTGAAGCAATGAACTCCGCGTGCCTCTCGAGGTGTCAGCGGGATGTGAGGCATTCCGTCAAAATGAGGCAGCGACCTAGGGCTTTCTCTAAGGTCTCCACAGGGGATTCAGACATCCCTTCATGTTGTGAGATGAAAGACGAGCCTGTATTCAAGCCACTGCAAGGACATCCGGCCTCCTTTCAAGTTAGGGCTTCTCGCTGTATATTCCCCTTGAGGCAGCAAACTCGGGGTCCCTCCCACATACCTATTGCTGAGAGAAGCCTCCTCCTGAGGTGCTTCTGGGAAGTTGGCATACGTCTTGAGCCTAAGCCAGGGAATCAGCTCGCATCTCGAGACGATTTGGGGTACACGGAGCATTCCTCGAGTTGCTGTGCTGAAGTTGGTGTTCCTCTAGACTTGGGACAGTGTTCTCGGGGCATCTCTGTAGTTGCCTGAAGGAAGTCGAGCCACCGGTCGTGTTGAATGGGGAACGGGGAATGGCTCTGGAGTCAATGCAGGGGAATCGGGCCTCATCTCGAGTTGATTTGGGGCACATGGAGCTGCTTTGCGTTGCTGGGGTGACCTCAGGGTCCGTCTAGACTGGTGACAGTGTTCTTGGGGACTGTCTCGAGATCCATTAAGCAAGTCGAAGCTCCTGACTTGTTTGAATGGGATCACGGAATAGCTCTGCATGCACTGCAGGGGAATGGGGCCTCATCTCGCCTCTAGGGGGAAGTCTCATGGTTTTTCTCGAGTTGCGGCGGGGACCTGGGGTATGTTCTCGACTTACGGCGGGGATGGCCCTTCAAGACACGAGTTTCTTCAGTGACGTCAGGACTCCTGTCTAGTAACGAGGGACACCTCAGGAATCTCTTCGAGGCTTGGCAGGGCCAAAGGGACGCTTCTCGAGGTGAGGCAGGGCACCCAAGGACCCTTTCCAGTAGCCACAGGGATTTTGGGATTCCTATCAGTATTCAAGAGGAGTCAGGCATCGTCACCTTTTGAAGCAATGAACTCCGCGTGCCTCTCGAGGTGTCAGCGGGATGTGAGGCATTCCGTCGAATGAGGCAGCGACCTAGGGCTTTCTCTAAGGTCTCCACAGGGGATTCAGACATCCCTTCATGTTGTGAGATGAAAGATGAGCCTGTATTCAAGCCACTGCAAGGAAATCCGGCCTCCTTTCAAGTTAGGGCTTCTCGCTGTATATTCCCCTTGAGGCAGCAAACTCGGGGTCCCTCCCACATTCCTATGCCTGAGAGAAGCCTCCTCCTGAGGTGCTTCTGGGAAGTTGGCATACGTCTTGAGCCTAAGCCAGGGAATCAGCTCTAATCTCGAGACGATTTGGGGTACACGGAGCATTCCTCTAGTTGCTGTGCTGAAGTTGGTGTTCCTCTAGACTTGGGACAGTGTTCTCGGGGCATCTCTGGAGTTGCCTGAAGGAAGTCGAGCCACCGGTCGTGTTGAATGGGGAACGGGGAATGGCTCTGGAGTCAATGCAGGGGAATCGGGCCTCATCTCGAGTTGATTTGGGGCACATGGAGCTGCTTTGCGTTGCTGGGGTGACCTCAGGGTCCGTCTAGACTGGTGACAGTGTTCTTGGGGACTGTCTCGAGATCCATTAAGCAAGTCGAAGCTCCTGACTTGTTTGAATGGGATCACGGAATAGCTCTGCATGCACTGCAGGGGAATGGGGCCTCATCTCGCCTCTAGGGGGAAGTCTCATGGTTTTTCTCGAGTTGCGGCGGGGACCTGGGGTATGTTCTCGACTTACGGCGGGGATGGCCCTTCAAGACACGAGTTTCTTCAGTGACGTCAGGACTCCTGTCTAGTAACGAGGGACACCTCAGGAATCTCTTCGAGGCTTGGCAGGGCCAAAGGGACGCTTCTCGAGGTGAGGCAGGGCACCCAAGGACCCTTTCCAGTAGCCACAGGGATTTTGGGATTCCTATCAGTATTCAAGAGGAGTCAGGCATCGTCACCTTTTGAAGCAATGAACTCCGCGTGCCTCTCGAGGTGTCAGCGGGATGTGAGGCATTCCGTCAAAATGAGGCAGGGACCTAGGGCTTTCTCTAAGGTCTCCACAGGGGATTCAGACATCCCTTCATGTTGTGAGATGAAAGACGAGCCTGTATTCAAGCCACTGCAAGGAAATCCGGCCTCCTTTCAAGTTAGGGCTTCTCGCTGTATATTCCCCTTGAGGCAGCAAACTCGGGGTCCCTCCCACATACCTATGGCTGAGAGAAGCCTCCTCCTGAGGTGCTTCTGGGAAGTTGGCATACGTCTTGAGCCTAAGCCAGGGAATCAGCTCGCATCTCGAGACGATTTGGGGTACACGGAGCATTCCTCGAGTTGCTGTGCTGAAGTTGGTGTTCCTCTAGACTTGGGACAGTGTTCTCGGGGCATCTCAGGAGTTGCCTGAAGGAAGTCGAGCCACCGGTCGTGTTGAATGGGGAACGGGGAATGGCTCTGGAGTCAATGCAGGGGAATCGGGCCTCATCTCGAGTTGATTTGGGGCACATGGAGCTGCTTTGCGTTGCTGGGGTGACCTCAGGGTCCGTCTAGACTGGTGACAGTGATCTTGGGGAGTGTCTCGAGATCCATTAAGCAAGTCGAAGCTCCTGACTTGTTTGAATGGGATCACGGAATAGCTCTGCATGCACTGCAGGGGAATGGGGCCTCATCTCGCCTCTAGGGGGAAGTCTCATGGTTTTTCTCGAGTTGCGGCGGGGACCTGGGGTATGTTCTCGACTTACGGCGGGGATGGCCCTTCAAGACACGAGTTTCTTCAGTGACGTCAGGACTCCTGTCTAGTAACGAGGGACACCTCAGGAATCTCTTCGAGGCTTGGCAGGGCCAAAGGGACGCTTCTCGAGGTGAGGCAGGGCACCCAAGGACCCTTTCCAGTAGCCACAGGGATTTTGGGATTCCTATCAGTATTCAAGAGGAGTCAGGCATCGTCACCTTTTGAAGCAATGAACTCCGCGTGCCTCTCGAGGTGTCAGCGGGATGTGAGGCATTCCGTCAAAATGAGGCAGGGACCTAGGGCTTTCTCTAAGGTCTCCACAGGGGATTCAGACATCCCTTCATGTTGTGAGATGAAAGACGAGCCTGTATTCAAGCCACTGCAAGGAAATCCGGCCTCCTTTCAAGTTAGGGCTTCTCGCTGTATATTCCCCTTGAGGCAGCAAACTCGGGGTCCCTCACACATACCTATTGCTGAGAGAAGCCTCCTCCTGAGGTGCTTCTGGGAAGTTGGCATACGTCTTGAGCCTAAGCCAGGGAATCAGCTCTCATCTCGAGACGATTTGGGGTACACGGAGCATTCCTCGAGTTGCTGTGCTGAAGTTGGTGTTCCTCTAGACTTGGGACAGTGTTCTCGGGGCATCTCTGGAGTTGCCTGAAGGAAGTCGAGCCACCGGTCGTGTTGAATGGGGAACGGGGAATGGCTCTGGAGTCAATGCAGGGGAATCGGGCCTCATCTCGAGTTGAATTGGGGCACATGGAGCTGCTTTGTGTTGCTGGGGTGACCTCAGGGTCCGTCTAGACTGGTGACAGTGTTCTTGGGGACTGTCTCGAGATCCATTAAGCAAGTCGAAGCTCCTGACTTGTTTGAATGGGATCACGGAATAGCTCTGCATGCACTGCAGGGGAATGGGGCCTCATCTCGCCTCTAGGGGGAAGTCTCATGGTTTTTCTCGAGTTGCGGCGGGGACCTGGGGTATGTTCTCGACTTATGGCGGGGATGGCCCTTCAAAACACGAGTTTCTTCAGTGACGTCAGGACTCCTGTCTAGTAACGAGGGACACCTCAGGAATCTCTTCGAGGCTTGGCAGGGCCAAAGGGACGCTTCTCGAGGTGAGGCAGGGCACCCAAGGACCCTTTCCAGTAGCCACAGGGATTTTGGGATTCCTATCAGTATTCAAGAGGAGTCAGGCATCGTCACCTTTTGAAGCAATGAACTCCGCGTGCCTCTCGAGGTGTCAGCGGGATGTGAGGCATTCCGTCAAAATGAGGCAGGGACCTAGGGCTTTCTCTAAGGTCTCCACAGGGGATTCAGACATCCCTTCATGTTGTGAGATGAAAGACGAGCCTATATTCAAGCCACTGCAAGGAAATCCGGCCTCCTTTCAAGTTAGGGCTTCTCGCTGTATATTCCCCTTGAGGCAGCAAACTCGGGGTCCCTCCCACATACCTATGGCTGAGAGAAGCCTCCTCCTGAGGTGCTTCTGGGAAGTTGGCATACGTCTTGAGCCTAAGCCAGGGAATCAGCTCGCATCTCGAGACGATTTGGGGTACACGGAGCATTCCTCGAGTTGCTGTGCTGAAGTTGGTGTTCCTCTAGACTTGGGACAGTGTTCTCGGGGCATCTCTGGAGTTGCCTGAAGGAAGTCGAGCCACCGGTCGTGTTGAATGGGGAAAGGGGAATGGCTCTGGAGTCAATGCAGGGGAATCGGGCCTCATCTCGAGTTGATTTGGGGCACATGGAGCTACTTTGCGTTGCTGGGGTGACCTCAGGGTCCGTCTAGACTGGTGACAGTGATCTTGGGGACTGTCTCGAGATCCATTAAGCAAGTCGAAGCTCCTGACTTGTTTGAATGGGATCACGGAATAGCTCTGCATGCACTGCAGGGGAATGGGGCCTCATCTCGCCTCTAGGGGGAAGTCTCATGGTTTTTCTCGAGTTGCGGCGGGGACCTGGGGTATGTTCTCGACTTACGGCGGGGATGGCCCTTCAAGACACGAGTTTCTTCAGTGACGTCAGGACTCCTGTCTAGTAACGAGGGACACCTCAGGAATCTCTTCGAGGCTTGGCAGGGCCAAAGGGACGCTTCTCGAGGTGAGGCAGGGCACCCAAGGACCCTTTCCAGTAGCCACAGGGATTTTGGGATTCCTATCAGTATTCAAGAGGAGTCAGGCATCGTCACCTTTTGAAGCAATGAACTCCGCGTGCCTCTCGAGGTGTCAGCGGGATGTGAGGCATTCCGTCAAAATGAAGCAGGGACCTAGGGCTTTCTCTAAGGTCTCCACAGGGGATTCAGACATCCCTTCATGTTGTGAGATGAAAGACGAGCCTGTATTCAAGCCACTGCAAGGAAATCCGGCCTCCTTTCAAGTTAGGGCTTCTCGCTGTATATTCCCCTTGAGGCAGCAAACTCGGGGTCCCTCCCACATACCTATTGCTGAGAGAAGCCTCCTCCTGAGGTGCTTCTGGGAAGTTGGCATACGTCTTGAGCCTAAGCCAGGGAATCAGCTCTCATCTCGAGACGATTTGGGGTACACGGAGCATTCCTCGAGTTGCTGTGCTGAAGTTGGTGTTCCTCTAGACTTGGGACAGTGTTCTCGGGGCATCTCTGGAGTTGCCTGAAGGAAGTCGAGCCACCGGTCGTGTTGAATGGGGAACGGGGAATGGCTCTGGAGTCAATGCAGGGGAATCGGGCCTCATCTCGAGTTGAATTGGGGCACATGGAGCTGCTTTGCGTTGCTGGGGTGACCTCAGGGTCCGTCTAGACTGGTGACAGTGTTCTTGGGGACTGTCTCGAGATCCATTAAGCAAGTCGAAGCTCCTGACTTGTTTGAATGGGATCACGGAATAGCTCTGCATGCACTGCAGGGGAATGGGGCCTCATCTCGCCTCTAGGGGGAAGTCTCATGGTTTTTCTCGAGTTGCGGCGGGGACCTGGGGTATGTTCTCGACTTACGGCGGGGATGGCCCTTCAAGACACGAGTTTCTTCAGTGACGTCAGGACTCCTGTCTAGTAACGAGGGACACCTCAGGAATCTCTTCGAGGCTTGGCAGGGCCAAAGGGACGCTTCTCGAGGTGAGGCAGGGCACCCAAGGACCCTTTCCAGTAGCCACAGGGATTTTGGGATTCCTATCAGTATTCAAGAGGAGTCAGGCATCGTCACCTTTTGAAGCAATGAACTCCGCGTGCCTCTCGAGGTGTCAGCGGGATGTGAGGCATTCCGTCAAAATGAGGCAGGGACCTAGGGCTTTCTCTAAGGTCTCCACAGGGGATTCAGACATCCCTTCATGTTGTGAGATGAAAGACGAGCCTGTATTCAAGCCACTGCAAGGAAATCCGGCCTCCTTTCAAGTTAGGGCTTCTCGCTGTATATTCCACTTGAGGCAGCAAACTCGGGGTCCCTCCCACATACCTATGGCTGAGAGAAGCCTCCTCCTGAGGTGCTTCTGGGAAGTTGGCATACGTCTTGAGCCTAAGCCAGGGAATCAGCTCGCATCTCGAGACGATTTGGGGTACACGGAGCATTCCTCGAGTTGCTGTGCTGAAGTTGGTGTTCCTCTAGACTTGGGACAGTGTTCTCGGGGCATCTCTGGAGTTGCCTGAAGGAAGTCGAGCCACCGGTCGTGTTGAATGGGGAACGGGGAATGGCTCTGGAGTCAATGCAGGGGAATCGGGCCTCATCTCGAGTTGATTTGGGGCACATGGAGCTGCTTTGTGTTGCTGGGGTGACCTCAGGGTCCGTCTAGACTGGTGACAGTGATCTTGGGGACTGTCTCGAGATCCATTAAGCAAGTCGAAGCTCCTGACTTGTTTGAATGGAATCACGGAATAGCTCTGCATGCACTGCAGGGGAATGGGGCCTCATCTCGCCTCTAGGGGGAAGTCTCATGGTTTTTCTCGAGTTGCGGCGGGGACCTGGGGTATGTTCTCGACTTCCGGCGGGGATGGCCCTTCAAGACACGAGTTTCTTCAGTGACGTCAGGACTCCTGTCTAGTAACGAGGGACACCTCAGGAATCTCTTCGAGGCTTGGCAGGGCCAAAGGGACGCTTCTCGAGGTGAGGCAGGGCACCCAAGGACCCTTTCCAGTAGCCACAGGGATTTTGGGATTCCTATCAGTATTCAAGAGGAGTCAGGCATCGTCACCTTTTGAAGCAATGAACTCCGCGTGCCTCTCGAGGTGTCAGCGGGATGTGAGGCATTCCGTCAAAATGAGGCAGGGACCTAGGGCTTTCTCTACGGTCTCCACAGGGGATTCAGACATCCCTTCATGTTGTGAGATGAAAGACGAGCCTGTATTCAAGCCACTGCAAGGAAATCCGGCCTCCTTTCAAGTTAGGGCTTCTCGCTGTATATTCCCCTTGAGGCAGCAAACTCGGGGTCCCTCCCACATACCTATGGCTGAGAGAAGCCTCCTCCTGAGGTGCTTCTGGGAAGTTGGCATACGTCTTGAGCGTAAGCCAGGGAATCAGCTCGCATCTCGAGACGATTTGGGGTACACGGAGCATTCCTCGAGTTGCTGTGCTGAAGTTGGTGTTCCTCTAGACTTGGGACAGTGTTCTCGGGGCATCTCTGGAGTTGCCTGAAGGAAGTCGAGCCACCGGTCGTGTTGAATGGGGAACGGGGAATGGCTCTGGAGTCAATGCAGGGGAATCGGGCCTCATCTCGAGTTGATTTGGGGCACATGGAGCTGCTTTGCGTTGCTGGGGTGACCTCAGGGTCCGTCTAGACTGGTGACAGTGATCTTGGGGACTGTCTCGAGATCCATTAAGCAAGTCGAAGCTCCTGACTTGTTTAAATGGGATCACGGAATAGCTCTGAATGCACTGCAGGGGAATGGGTCCTCATCTCGCCTCTAGGGGGAAGTCTCATGGTTTTTCTCGAGTTGCGGCGGGGACCTGGGGTATGTTCTCGACTTACGGCGGGGATGGCCCTTCAAGACACGAGTTTCTTCAGTGACGTCAGGACTCCTGTCTAGTAACGAGGGACACCTCAGGAATCTCTTCGAGGCTTGGCAGGGCCAAAGGGACGCTTCTCGAGGTGAGGCAGGGCACCCAAGGACCCTTTCCAGTAGCCACAGGGATTTTGGGATTCCTATCAGTATTCAAGAGGAGTCAGGCATCGTCACCTTTTGAAGCAATGAACTCAGCGTGCCTCTCGAGGTGTCAGCGGGATGTGAGGCATTCCGTCAAAATGAGGCAGCGACTTAGGGCTTTCTCTAAGGTCTCCACAGGGGATTCAGACATCCCTTCATGTTGTGAGATGAAAGACGAGCCTGTATTCAAGCCACTGCAAGGAAATCCGGCCTCCTTTCAAGTTAGGGCTTCTCGCTGTATATTCCCCTTGAGGCAGCAAACTCGGGGTCCCTCCCACATACCTATTGCTGAGAGAAGCCTCCTCCTGAGGTGCTTCTGGGAAGTTGGCATACGTCTTGAGCCTAAGCCAGGGAATCAGCTCTCATCTCGAGACGATTTGGGGTACACGGAGCATTCCTCGAGTTGCTGTGCTGAAGTTGGTGTTCCTCTAGACTTGGGACAGTGTTCTCGGGGCATCTCTGGAGTTGCCTGAAGGAAGTCGAGCCACCGGTCGTGTTGAATGGGGAACGGGGAATGGCTCTGGAGTCAATGCAGGGGAATCGGGCCTCATCTCGAGTTGATTTGGGGCACATGGAGCTACTTTGCGTTGCTGGGGTGACCTCAGGGTCCGTCTAGACTGGTGACAGTGTTCTTGGGGACTGTCTCGAGATCCATTAAGCAAGTCGAAGCTCCTGACTTGTTTGAATGGGATCACGGAATAGCTCTGCATGCACTGCAGGGGAATGGGGCCTCATCTCGCCTCTAGGGGGAAGTCTCATGGTTTTTCTCGAGTTGTGGCGGGGACCTGGGGTATGTTCTCGACTTACGGCGGGGATGGCCCTTCAAGACACGAGTTTCTTCAGTGACGTCAGGACTCCTGTCTAGTAACGAGGGACACCTCAGGAATCTCTTCGAGGCTTGGCAGGGCCAAAGGGACGCTTCTCGAGGTGAGGCAGGGCACCCAAGGACCCTTTCCAGTAGCCACCGGGATTTTGGGATTCCTATCAGTATTCAAGAGGAGTCAGGCATCGTCACCTTTTGAAGCAATGAACTCCGCGTGCCTCTCGAGGTGTCAGCGGGATGTGAGGCATTCCGTCAAAATGAGGCAGGGACCTAGGGCTTTCTCTAAGGTCTCCACAGGGGATTCAGACATCCCTTCATGTTGTGAGATGAAAGACGAGCCTGTATTCAAGCCACTGCAAGGAAATCCGGCCTCCTTTCAAGTTAGGGCTTCTCGCTGTATATTCCCCTTGAGGCAGCAAACTCGGGGTCCCTCCCACATACCTATGGCTGAGAGAAGCCTCCTCCTGAGGTGCTTCTGGGAAGTTGGCATACGTCTTGAGCCTAAGCCAGGGAATCAGCTCGCATCTCGAGACGATTTGGGGTACACGGAGCATTCCTCGAGTTGCTGTGCTGAAGTTGGTGTTCCTCTAGACTTGGGACAGTGTTCTCGGGGCATCTCTGGAGTTGCCTGAAGGAAGTCGAGCCACCGGTCGTGTTGAATGGGGAACGGGGAATGGCTCTGGACTCAATGCAGGGGAATCGGGCCTCATCTCGAGTTGATTTGGGGCACATGGAGCTGCTTTGCGTTGCTGGGGTGACCTCAGGGTCCGTCTAGACTGGTGACAGTGTTCTTGGGGACTGTCTCGAGATCCATTAAGCAAGTCGAAGCTCCTGACTTGTTTGAATGGGATCACGGAATAGCTCTGCATGCACTGCAGGGGAATGGGGCCTCATCTCGCCTCTAGGGGGAAGTCTCATGGTTTTTCTCGAGTTGCGGCGGGGACCTGGGGTATGTTCTCGACTTACGGCGGGGATGGCCCTTCAAGACACGAGTTTCTTCAGTGACGTCAGGACTCCTGTCTAGTAACGAGGGACACCTCAGGAATCTCTTCGAGGCTTGGCAGGGCCAAAGGGACGCTTCTCGAGGTGAGGCAGGGCACCCAAGGACCCTTTCCAGTAGCCACAGGGATTTTGGGATTCCTATCAGTATTCAAGAGGAGTCAGGCATCGTCACCTTTTGAAGCAATGAACTCCGCGTGCCTCTCGAGGTGTCAGCGGGATGTGAGGCATTCCGTCAAAATGAGGCAGGGACCTAGGGCTTTCTCTAAGGTCTCCACAGGGGATTCAGACATCCCTTCATGTTGTGAGATGAAAGACGAGCCTGTATTCAAGCCACTGCAAGGAAATCCGGCCTCCTTTCAAGTTAGGGCTTCTCGCTGTATATTCCCCTTGAGGCAGCAAACTCGGGGTCCCTCCCACATACCTATGGCTGAGAGAAGCCTCCTCCTGAGGTGCTTCTGGGAAGTTGGCATACGTCTTGAGCCTAAGCCAGGGAATCAGCTCTCATCTCGAGACGATTTGGGGTACACGGAGCATTCCTCGAGTTGCTGTGCTGAAGTTGGTGTTCCTCTAGACTTGGGACAGTGTTCTCGGGGCATCTCTGGAGTTGCCTGAAGGAAGTCGAGCCACCGGTCGTGTTGAATGGGGAACGGGGAATGGCTCTGGAGTCAATGCAGGGGAATCGGGCCTCATCTCGAGTTGATTTGGGGCACATGGAGCTGCTTTGCGTTGCTGGGGTGACCTCAGGGTCCGTCTAGACTGGTGACAGTGTTCTTGGGGACTGTCTCGAGATCCATTAAGCAAGTCGAAGCTCCTGACTTGTTTGAATGGGATCACGGAATAGCTCTGCATGCACTGCAGGGGAATGGGGCCTCATCTCGCCTCTAGGGGGAAGTCTCATGGTTTTTCTCGAGTTGTGGCGGGGACCTGGGGTATGTTCTCGACTTCCGGCGGGGATGGCCCTTCAAGACACGAGTTTCTTCAGTGACGTCAGGACTCCTGTCTAGTAACGAGGGACACCTCAGGAATCTCTTCGAGGCTTGGCAGGGCCAAAGGGACGCTTCTCGAGGTGAGGCAGGGCACCCAAGGACCCTTTCCAGTAGCCACCGGGATTTTGGGATTCCTATCAGTATTCAAGAGGAGTCAGGCATCGTCACCTTTTGAAGCAATGAACTCCGCGTGCCTCTCGAGGTGTCAGCGGGATGTGAGGCATTCCGTCAAAATGAGGCAGGGACCTAGGGCTTTCTCTAAGGTCTCCACAGGGGATTCAGACATCCCTTCATGTTGTGAGATGAAAGACGAGCCTGTATTCAAGCCACTGCAAGGAAATCCGGCCTCCTTTCAAGTTAGGGCTTCTCGCTGTATATTCCCCTTGAGGCAGCAAACTCGGGGTCCCTCCCACATACCTATGGCTGAGAGAAGCCTCCTCCTGAGGTGCTTCTGGGAAGTTGGCATACGTCTTGAGCGTAAGCCAGGGAATCAGCTCGCATCTCGAGACGATTTGGGGTACACGGAGCATTCCTCGAGTTGCTGTGCTGAAGTTGGTGTTCCTCTAGACTTGGGACAGTGTTCTCGGGGCATCTCTGGAGTTGCCTGAAGGAAGTCGAGCCACCGGTCGTGTTGAATGGGGAACGGGGAATGGCTCTGGACTCAATGCAGGGGAATCGGGCCTCATCTCGAGTTGATTTGGGGCACATGGAGCTGCTTTGCGTTGCTGGGGTGACCTCAGGGTCCGTCTAGACTGGTGACAGTGTTCTTGGGGACTGTCTCGAGATCCATTAAGCAAGTCGAAGCTCCTGACTTGTTTGAATGGGATCACGGAATAGCTCTGCATGCACTGCAGGGGAATGGGGCCTCATCTCGCCTCTAGGGGGAAGTCTCATGGTTTTTCTCGAGTTGCGGCGGGGACCTGGGGTATGTTCTCGACTTACGGCGGGGATGGCCCTTCAAGACACGAGTTTCTTCAGTGACGTCAGGACTCCTGTCTAGTAACGAGGGACACCTCAGGAATCTCTTCGACGCTTGGCAGGGCCAAAGGGACGCTTCTCGAGGTGAGGCAGGGCACCCAAGGACCCTTTCCAGTAGCCACAGGGATTTTGGGATTCCTATCAGTATTCAAGAGGAGTCAGGCATCGTCACCTTTTGAAGCAATGAACTCCGCGTGCCTCTCGAGGTGTCAGCGGGATGTGAGGCATTCCGTCAAAATGAGGCAGGGACCTAGGGCTTTCTCTACGGTCTCCACAGGGGATTCAGACATCCCTTCATGTTGTGAGATGAAAGACGAGCCTGTATTCAAGCCACTGCAAGGAAATCCGGCCTCCTTTCAAGTTAGGGCTTCTCGCTGTATATTCCCCTTGAGGCAGCAAACTCGGGGTCCCTCCCACATACCTATGGCTGAGAGAAGCCTCCTCCTGAGGTGCTTCTGGGAAGTTGGCATACGTCTTGAGCCTAAGCCAGGGAATCAGCTCGCATCTCGAGACGATTTGGGGTACACGGAGCATTCCTCGAGTTGCTGTGCTGAAGTTGGTGTTCCTCTAGACTTGGGACAGTGTTCTCGGGGCATCTCTGGAGTTGCCTGAAGGAAGTCGAGCCACCGGTCGTGTTGAATGGGGAACGGGGAATGGCTCTGGAGTCAATGCAGGGGAATCGGGCCTCATCTCGAGTTGATTTGGGGCACATGGAGCTGCTTTGCGTTGCTGGGGTGACCTCAGGGTCCGTCTAGACTGGTGACAGTGATCTTGGGGACTGTCTCGAGATCCATTAAGCAAGTCGAAGCTCCTGACTTGTTTAAATGGGATCACGGAATAGCTCTGCATGCACTGCAGGGGAATGGGGCCTCATCTCGCCTCTAGGGGGAAGTCTCATGGTTTTTCTCGAGTTGCGGCGGGGACCTGGGGTATGTTCTCGACTTACGGCGGGGATGGCCCTTCAAGACACGAGTTTCTTCAGTGACGTCAGGACTCCTGTCTAGTAACGAGGGACACCTCAGGAATCTCTTCGAGGCTTGGCAGGGCCAAAGGGACGCTTCTCGAGGTGAGGCAGGGCACCCAAGGACCCTTTCCAGTAGCCACCGGGATTTTGGGATTCCTATCAGTATTCAAGAGGAGTCAGGCATCGTCACCTTTTGAAGCAATGAACTCCGCGTGCCTCTCGAGGTGTCAGCGGGATGTGAGGCATTCCGTCAAAATGAGGCAGGGACCTAGGGCTTTCTCTAAGGTCTCCACAGGGGATTCAGACATCCCTTCATGTTGTGAGATGAAAGACGAGCCTGTATTCAAGCCACTGCAAGGAAATCCGGCCTCCTTTCAAGTTAGGGCTTCTCGCTGTATATTCCCCTTGAGGCAGCAAACTCGGGGTCCCTCCCACATACCTATTGCTGAGAGAAGCCTCCTCCTGAGGTGCTTCTGGGAAGTTGGCATACGTCTTGAGCCTAAGCCAGGGAATCAGCTCTCATCTCGAGACGATTTGGGGTACACGGAGCATTCCTCGAGTTGCTGTGCTGAAGTTGGTGTTCCTCTAGACTTGGGACAGTGTTCTCGGGGCATCTCTGGAGTTGCCTGAAGGAAGTCGAGCCACCGGTCGTGTTGAATGGGGAACGGGGAATGGCTCTGGAGTCAATGCAGGGGAATCGGGCCTCATCTCGAGTTGATTTGGGGCACATGGAGCTACTTTGCGTTGCTGGGGTGACCTCAGGGTCCGTCTAGACTGGTGACAGTGTTCTTGGGGACTGTCTCGAGATCCATTAAGCAAGTCGAAGCTCCTGACTTGTTTGAATGGGATCACGGAATAGCTCTGCATGCACTGCAGGGGAATGGGGCCTCATCTCGCCTCTAGGGGGAAGTCTCATGGTTTTTCTCGAGTTGTGGCGGGGACCTGGGGTATGTTCTCGACTTACGGCGGGGATGGCCCTTCAAGACACGAGTTTCTTCAGTGACGTCAGGACTCCTGTCTAGTAACGAGGGACACCTCAGGAATCTCTTCGAGGCTTGGCAGGGCCAAAGGGACGCTTCTCGAGGTGAGGCAGGGCACCCAAGGACCCTTTCCAGTAGCCACCGGGATTTTGGGATTCCTATCAGTATTCAAGAGGAGTCAGGCATCGTCACCTTTTGAAGCAATGAACTCCGCGTGCCTCTCGAGGTGTCAGCGGGATGTGAGGCATTCCGTCAAAATGAGGCAGGGACCTAGGGCTTTCTCTAAGGTCTCCACAGGGGATTCAGACATCCCTTCATGTTGTGAGATGAAAGACGAGCCTGTATTCAAGCCACTGCAAGGAAATCCGGCCTCCTTTCAAGTTAGGGCTTCTCGCTGTATATTCCCCTTGAGGCAGCAAACTCGGGGTCCCTCCCACATACCTATTGCTGAGAGAAGCCTCCTCCTGAGGTGCTTCTGGGAAGTTGGCATACGTCTTGAGCCTAAGCCAGGGAATCAGCTCTCATCTCGAGACGATTTGGGGTACACGGAGCATTCCTCGAGTTGCTGTGCTGAAGTTGGTGTTCCTCTAGACTTGGGACAGTGTTCTCGGGGCATCTCTGGAGTTGCCTGAAGGAAGTCGAGCCACCGGTCGTGTTGAATGGGGAACGGGGAATGGCTCTGGAGTCAATGCAGGGGAATCGGGCCTCATCTCGAGTTGATTTGGGGCACATGGAGCTACTTTGCGTTGCTGGGGTGACCTCAGGGTCCGTCTAGACTGGTGACAGTGTTCTTGGGGACTGTCTCGAGATCCATTAAGCAAGTCGAAGCTCCTGACTTGTTTGAATGGGATCACGGAATAGCTCTGCATGCACTGCAGGGGAATGGGGCCTCATCTCGCCTCTAGGGGGAAGTCTCATGGTTTTTCTCGAGTTGTGGCGGGGACCTGGGGTATGTTCTCGACTTACGGCGGGGATGGCCCTTCAAGACACGAGTTTCTTCAGTGACGTCAGGACTCCTGTCTAGTAACGAGGGACACCTCAGGAATCTCTTCGAGGCTTGGCAGGGCCAAAGGGACGCTTCTCGAGGTGAGGCAGGGCACCCAAGGACCCTTTCCAGTAGCCACCGGGATTTTGGGATTCCTATCAGTATTCAAGAGGAGTCAGGCATCGTCACCTTTTGAAGCAATGAACTCCGCGTGCCTCTCGAGGTGTCAGCGGGATGTGAGGCATTCCGTCAAAATGAGGCAGGGACCTAGGGCTTTCTCTAAGGTCTCCACAGGGGATTCAGACATCCCTTCATGTTGTGAGATGAAAGACGAGCCTGTATTCAAGCCACTGCAAGGAAATCCGGCCTCCTTTCAAGTTAGGGCTTCTCGCTGTATATTCCCCTTGAGGCAGCAAACTCGGGGTCCCTCCCACATTCCTATGGCTGAGAGAAGCCTCCTCCTGAGGTGCTTCTGGGAAGTTGGCATACGTCTTGAGCCTAAGCCAGGGAATCAGCTCTCATCTCGAGACGATTTGGGGTACACGGAGCATTCCTCGAGTTGCTGTGCTGAAGTTGGTGTTCCTCTAGACTTGGGACAGTGTTCTCGGGGCATCTCTGGAGTTGCCTGAAGGAAGTCGAGCCACCGGTCGTGTTGAATGGGGAACGGGGAATGGCTCTGGAGTCAATGCAGGGGAATCGGGCCTCATCTCGAGTTGATTTGGGGCACATGGAGCTGCTTTGCGTTGCTGGGGTGACCTCAGGGTCCGTCTAGACTGGTGACAGTGTTCTTGGGGACTGTCTCGAGATCCATTAAGCAAGTCGAAGCTCCTGACTTGTTTGAATGGGATCACGGAATAGCTCTGCATGCACTGCAGGGGAATGGGGCCTCATCTCGCCTCTAGGGGGAAGTCTCATGGTTTTTCTCGAGTTGCGGCGGGGACCTGGGGTATGTTCTCGACTTACGGCGGGGATGGCCCTTCAAGACACGAGTTTCTTCAGTGACGTCAGGACTCCTGTCTAGTAACGAGGGACAACTCAGGAATCTCTTCGAGGCTTGGCAGGGCCAAAGGGACGCTTCTCGAGGTGAGGCAGGGCACCCAAGGACCCTTTCCAGTAGCCACAGGGATTTTGGGATTCCTATCAGTATTCAAGAGGAGTCAGGCATCGTCACCTTTTGAAGCAATGAACTCCGCGTGCCTCTCGAGGTGTCAGCGGGATGTGAGGCATTCCGTCAAAATGAGGCAGGGACCTAGGGCTTTCTCTAAGGTCTCCACAGGGGATTCAGACATCCCTTCATGTTGTGAGATGAAAGACGAGCCTGTATTCAAGCCACTGCAAGGAAATCCGGCCTCCTTTCAAGTTAGGGCTTCTCGCTGTATATTCCCCTTGAGGCAGCAAACTCGGGGTCCCTCCCACATACCTATGGCTGAGAGAAGCCTCCTCCTGAGGTGCTTCTGGGAAGTTGGCATACGTCTTGAGCGTAAGCCAGGGAATCAGCTCGCATCTCGAGACGATTTGGGGTACACGGAGCATTCCTCGAGTTGCTGTGCTGAAGTTGGTGTTCCTCTAGACTTGGGACAGTGTTCTCGGGGCATCTCTGGAGTTGCCTGAAGGAAGTCGAGCCACCGGTCGTGTTGAATGGGGAACGGGGAATGGCTCTGGAGTCAATGCAGGGGAATCGGGCCTCATCTCGAGTTGATTTGGGGCACATGGAGCTGCTTTGCGTTGCTGGGGTGACCTCAGGGTCCGTCTAGACTGGTGACAGTGATCTTGGGGACTGTCTCGAGATCCATTAAGAAAGTCGAAGCTCCTGACTTGTTTAAATGGGATCACGGAATAGCTCTGCATGCACTGCAGGGGAATGGGGCCTCATCTCGCCTCTAGGGGGAAGTCTCATGGTTTTTCTCGAGTTGCGGCGGGGACCTGGGGTATGTTCTCGACTTACGGCGGGGATGGCCCTTCAAGACACGAGTTTCTTCAGTGACGTCAGGACTCCTGTCTAGTAACGAGGGACACCTCAGGAATCTCTTCGAGGCTTGGCAGGGCCAAAGGGACGCTTCTCGAGGTGAGGCAGGGCACCCAAGGACCCTTTCCAGTAGCCACAGGGATTTTGGGATTCCTATCAGTATTCAAGAGGAGTCAGGCATCGTCACCTTTTGAAGCAATGAACTCCGCGTGCCTCTCGAGGTGTCAGCGGGATGTGAGGCATTCCGTCAAAAAGAGGCAGCGACCTAGGGCTTTCTCTAAGGTCTCCACAGAGGATTCAGACATCCCTTCATGTTGTGAGATGAAAGACGAGCCTGTATTCAAGCCACTGCAAGGAAATCCGGCCTCCTTTCAAGTTAGGGCTTCTCGCTGTATATTTCCCTTGAGGCAGCAAACTCGGGGTCCCTCCCACATACCTATTGCTGAGAGAAGCCTCCTCCTGAGGTGCTTCTGGGAAGTTGGCATACGTCTTGAGCCTAAGCCAGGGAATCAGCTCTCATCTCGAGACGATTTGGTGTACACGGAGCATTCCTCGAGTTGCTGTGCTGAAGTTGGTGTTCCTCTAGACTTGGGACAGTGTTCTCGGGGCATCTCTGGAGTTGCCTGAAGGAAGTCGAGCCACCGGTCGTGTTGAATGGGGAACGGGGAATGGCTCTGGAGTCAATGCAGGGGAATCGGGCCTCATCTCGAGTTGATTTGGGGCACATGGAGCTGCTTTGCGTTGCTGGGGTGACCTCAGGGTCCGTCTAGACTGGTGACAGTGTTCTTGGGGACTGTCTCGAGATCCATTAAGCAAGTCGAAGCTCCTGACTTGTTTGAATGGGATCACGGAATAGCTCTGCATGCACTGCAGGGGAATGGGGCCTCATCTCGCCTCTAGGGGGAAGTCTCATGGTTTTTCTCGAGTTGTGGCGGGGACCTGGGGTATGTTCTCGACTTACGGCGGGGATGGCCCTTCAAGACACGAGTTTCTTCAGTGACGTCAGGACTCCTGTCTAGTAACGAGGGACACCTCAGGAATCTCTTCGAGGCTTGGCAGGGCCAAAGGGACGCTTCTCGAGGTGAGGCAGGGCACCCAAGGACCCTTTCCAGTAGCCACCGGGATTTTGGGATTCCTATCAGTATTCAAGAGGAGTCAGGCATCGTCACCTTTTGAAGCAATGAACTCCGCGTGCCTCTCGAGGTGTCAGCGGGATGTGAGGCATTCCGTCAAAATGAGGCAGGGACCTAGGGCTTTCTCTAAGGTCTCCACAGGGGATTCAGACATCCCTTCATGTTGTGAGATGAAAGACGAGCCTGTATTCAAGCCACTGCAAGGAAATCCGGCCTCCTTTCAAGTTAGGGCTTCTCGCTGTATATTCCCCTTGAGGCAGCAAACTCGGGGTCCCTCCCACATTCCTATGGCTGAGAGAAGCCTCCTCCTGAGGTGCTTCTGGGAAGTTGGCATACGTCTTGAGCCTAAGCCAGGGAATCAGCTCTCATCTCGAGACGATTTGGGGTACACGGAGCATTCCTCGAGTTGCTGTGCTGAAGTTGGTGTTCCTCTAGACTTGGGACAGTGTTCTCGGGGCATCTCTGGAGTTGCCTGAAGGAAGTCGAGCCACCGGTCGTGTTGAATGGGGAACGGGGAATGGCTCTGGGGTCAATGCAGGGGAATCGGGCCTCATCTCGAGTTGATTTGGGGCACATGGAGCTGCTTTGCGTTGCTGGGGTGACCTCAGGGTCCGTCTAGACTGGTGACAGTGTTCTTGGGGACTGTCTCGAGATCCATTAAGCAAGTCGAACCTCCTGACTTGTTTGAATGGGATCACGGAATAGCTCTGCATGCACTGCAGGGGAATGGGGCCTCATCTCGCCTCTAGGGGGAAGTCTCATGGTTTTTCTCGAGTTGCGGCGGGGACCTGGGGTATGTTCTCGACTTACGGCGGGGATGGCCCTTCAAAACACGAGTTTCTTCAGTGACGTCAGGACTCCTGTCTAGTAACGAGGGACACCTCAAGAATCTCTTCGAGGCTTGGCAGGGCCAAAGGGACGCTTCTCGAGGTGAGGCAGGGCACCCAAGGACCCTTTCCAGTAGCCACAGGGATTTTGGGATTCCTATCAGTATTCAAGAGGAGTCAGGCATCGTCACCTTTTGAAGCAATGAACTCCGCGTGCCTCTCGAGGTGTCAGCGGGATGTGAGGCATTCCGTCAAAATGAGGCAGGGACCTAGGGCTTTCTCTAAGGTCTCCACAGGGGATTCAGACATCCCTTCATGTTGTGAGATGAAAGACGAGCCTGTATTCAAGCCACTGCAAGGAAATCCGGCCTCCTTTCAAGTTAGGGCTTCTCGCTGTATATTCCCCTTGAGGCAGCAAACTCGGGGTCCCTCCCACATACCTATGGCTGAGAGAAGCCTCCTCCTGAGGTGCTTCTGGGAAGTTGGCATACGTCTTGAGCCTAAGCCAGGGAATCAGCTCGCATCTCGAGACGATTTGGGGTACACGGAGCATTCCTCGATTTGCTGTGCTGAAGTTGGTGTTCCTCTAGACTTGGGACAGTGTTCTCGGGGCATCTCTGGAGTTGCCTGAAGGAAGTCGAGCCACCGGTCGTGTTGAATGGGGAACGGGGAATGGCTCTGGAGTCAATGCAGGGGAATCGGGCCTCATCTCGAGTTGATTTGGGGCACATGGAGCTACTTTGCGTTGCTGGGGTGACCTCAGGGTCCGTCTAGACTGGTGACAGTGATCTTGGGGACTGTCTCGAGATCCATTAAGCAAGTCGAAGCTCCTGACTTGTTTGAATGGGATCACGGAATAGCTCTGCATGCACTGCAGGGGAATGGGGCCTCATCTCGCCTCTAGGGGGAAGTCTCATGGTTTTTCTCGAGTTGCGGCGGGGACCTGGGGTATGTTCTCAACTTACGGCGGGGATGGCCCTTCAAGACACGAGTTTCTTCAGTGACGTCAGGACTCCTGTCTAGTAACGAGGGACACCTCAGGAATCTCTTCGAGGCTTGGCAGGGCCAAAGGGACGCTTCTCGAGGTGAGGCAGGGCACCCAAGGACCCTTTCCAGTAGCCACAGGGATTTTGGGATTCCTATCAGTATTCAAGAGGAGTCAGGCATCGTCACCTTTTGAAGCAATGAACTCCGCGTGCCTCTCGAGGTGTCAGCGGGATGTGAGGCATTCCGTCAAAATGAGGCAGGGACCTAGGGCTTTCTCTAAGGTCTCCACAGGGGATTCAGACATCCCTTCATGTTGTGAGATGAAAGACGAGCCTGTATTCAAGCCACTGCAAGGAAATCCGGCCTCCTTTCAAGTTAGGGCTTCTCGCTGTATATTCCCCTTGAGGCAGCAAACTCGGGGTCCCTCCCACATTCCTATGGCTGAGAGAAGCCTCCTCCTGAGGTGCTTCTGGGAAGTTGGCATACGTCTTGAGCCTAAGCCAGGGAATCAGCTCTCATCTCGAGACGATTTGGGGTACACGGAGCATTCCTCGAGTTGCTGTGCTGAAGTTGGTGTTCCTCTAGACTTGGGACAGTGTTCTCGGGGCATCTCTGGAGTTGCCTGAAGGAAGTCGAGCCACCGGTCGTGTTGAATGGGGAACGGGGAATGGCTCTGGAGTCAATGCAGGGGAATCGGGCCTCATCTCGAGTTGATTTGGGGCACATGGAGCTGCTTTGCGTTGCTGGGGTGACCTCAGGGTCCATCTAGACGAGTGACAGTGTTCTTGGGGACTGTCTCGAGATCCATTAAGCAAGTCGAAGCTCCTGACTTGTTTGAATGGGATCACGGAATAGCTCTGCATGCACTGCAGGGGAATGGGGCCTCATCTCGCCTCTAGGGGGAAGTCTCATGGTTTTTCTCGAGTTGCGGCGGGGACCTGGGGTATGTTCTCGACTTACGGCGGGGATGGCCCTTCAAAACACGAGTTTCTTCAGTGACGTCAGGACTCCTGTCTAGTAACGAGGGACACCTCAAGAATCTCTTCGAGGCTTGGCAGGGCCAAAGGGACGCTTCTCGAGGTGAGGCAGGGCACCCAAGGACCCTTTCCAGTAGCCACAGGGATTTTGGGATTCCTATCAGTATTCAAGAGGAGTCAGGCATCGTCACCTTTTGAAGCAATGAACTCCGCGTGCCTCTCGAGGTGTCAGCGGGATGTGAGGCATTCCGTCAAAATGAGGCAGGGACCTAGGGCTTTCTCTAAGGTCTCCACAGGGGATTCAGACATCCCTTCATGTTGTGAGATGAAAGACGAGCCTGTATTCAAGCCACTGCAAGGAAATCCGGCCTCCTTTCAAGTTAGGGCTTCTCGCTGTATATTCCCCTTGAGGCAGCAAACTCGGGGTCCCTCCCACATACCTATTGCTGAGAGAAGCCTCCTCCTGAGGTGCTTCTGGGAAGTTGGCATACGTCTTGAGCCTAAGCCAGGGAATCAGCTCGCATCTCGAGACGATTTGGGGTACACGGAGCATTCCTCGATTTGCTGTGCTGAAGTTGGTGTTCCTCTAGACTTGGGACAGTGTTCTCGGGGCATCTCTGGAGTTGCCTGAAGGAAGTCGAGCCACCGGTCGTGTTGAATGGGGAACGGGGAATGGCTCTGGAGTCAATGCAGGGGAATCGGGCCTCATCTCGAGTTGATTTGGGGCACACGGAGCTGCTTTGCATTGCTGGGGTGACCTCAGGGTCCGTCTAGACTGGTGACAGTGTTCTTGGGGACTGTCTCGAGATCCATTAAGCAAGTCGAAGCTCCTGACTTGTTTGAATGGGATCACGGAATAGCTCTGCATGCACTGCAGGGGAATGGGGCCTCATCTCGCCTCTAGGGGGAAGTCTCATGGTTTTTCTCGAGTTGCGGCGGGGACCTGGGGTATGTTCTCGACTTACGGCGGGGATGGCCCTTCAAGACACGAGTTTCTTCAGTGACGTCAGGACTCCTGTCTAGTAACGAGGGACACCTCAGGAATCTCTTCGAGGCTTGGCAGGGCCAAAGGGACGCTTCTCGAGGTGAGGCAGGGCACCCAAGGACCCTTTCCAGTAGCCACAGGGATTTTGGGATTCCTATCAGTATTCAAGAGGAGTCAGGCATCGTCACCTTTTGAAGCAATGAACTCCGCGTGCCTCTCGAGGTGTCAGCGGGATGTGAGGCATTCCGTCACAATGAGGCAGGGACCTAGGGCTTTCTCTAAGGTCTCCACAGGGGATTCAGACATCCCTTCATGTTGTGAGATGAAAGACGAGCCTGTATTCAAGCCACTGCAAGGAAATCCGGCCTCCTTTCAAGTTAGGGCTTCTCGCTGTATATTCCCCTTGAGGCAGCAAACTCGGTGTCCCTCCCACATACCTATTGCTGAGAGAAGCCTCCTCCTGAGGTGCTTCTGGGAAGTTGGCATACGTCTTGAGCCTAAGCCAGGGAATCAGCTCTCATCTCGAGACGATTTGGGGTACACGGAGCATTCCTCGAGTTGCTGTGCTGAAGTTGGTGTTCCTCTAGACTTGGGACAGTGTTCTCGGGGCATCTCTGGAGTTGCCTGAAGGAAGTCGAGCCACCGGTCGTGTTGAATGGGGAACGGGGAATGGCTCTGGAGTCAATGCAGGGGAATCGGGCCTCATCTCGAGTTGATTTGGGGCACATGGAGCTGCTTTGCGTTGCTGGGGTGACCTCAGGGTCCGTCTAGACTGGTGACAGTGTTCTTGGGGACTGTCTCGAAATCCATTAAGCAAGTCGAAGCTCCTGACTTGTTTGAATGGGATCACGGAATAGCTCTGCATGCACTGCAGGGGAATGGGGCCTCATCTCGCCTCTAGGGGGAAGTCTCATGGTTTTTCTCGAGTTGCGGCGGGGACCTGGGGTATGTTCTCGACTTACGGCGGGGATGGCCCTTCAAAACACGAGTTTCTTCAGTGACGTCAGGACTCCTGTCTAGTAACGAGGGACACCTCAGGAATCTCTTCGAGGCTTGGCAGGGCCAAAGGGACGCTTCTCGAGGTGAGGCAGGGCACCCAAGGACCCTTTCCAGTAGCCACAGGGATTTTGGGATTCCTATCAGTATTCAAGAGGAGTCAGGCATCGTCACCTTTTGAAGCAATGAACTCCGCGTGCCTCTCGAGGTGTCAGCGGGATGTGAGGCATTCCGTCAAAATGAGGCAGGGACCTAGGGCTTTCTCTAAGGTCTCCACAGGGGATTCAGACATCCCTTCATGTTGTGAGATGAAAGAGGAGCCTGTATTCAAGCCACTGCAAGGAAATCCGGCCTCCTTTCAAGTTAGGGCTTCTCGCTGTATATTCCCCTTGAGGCAGCAAACTCGGGGTCCCTCCCACATACCTATTGCTGAGAGAAGCCTCCTCCTGAGGTGCTTCTGGGAAGTTGGCATACGTCTTGAGCCTAAGCCAGGGAATCAGCTCGCATCTCGAGACGATTTGGGGTACACGGAGCATTCCTCGAGTTGCTGTGCTGAAGTTGGTGTTCCTCTAGACTTGGGACAGTGTTCTCGGGGCATCTCTGGAGTTGCCTGAAGGAAGTCGAGCCACCGGTCGTGTTGAATGGGGAACGGGGAATGGCTCTGGAATCAATGCAGGGGAATCGGGCCTCATCTCGAGTTGATTAGGGGCACATGGAGCTGCTTTGCGTTGCTGGGGTGACCTCAGGGTCCGTCTAGACTGGTGACAGTGTTCTTGGGGACTGCCTCGAGATCCATTAAGCAAGTCGAAGCTCCTGACTTGTTTGAATGGGATCACGGAATAGCTCTGCATGCACTGCAGGGGAATGGGGCCTCATCTCGCCTCTAGGGGGAAGTCTCATGGTTTTTCTCGAGTTGCGGCGGGGACCTGGGGTATGTTCTCGACTTACGGCGGGGATGGCCCTTCAAGACACGAGTTTCTTCAGTGACGTCAGGACTCCTGTCTAGTAACGAGGGACACCTCAGGAATCTCTTCGAGGCTTGGCAGGGCCAAAGGGACGCTTCTCGAGGTGAGGCAGGGTACCCAAGGACCCTTTCCAGTAGCCACAGGGATTTTGGGATTCCTATCAGTATTCAAGAGGAGTCAGGCATCGTCACCTTTTGAAGCAATGAACTCCGCGTGCCTCTCGAGGTGTCAGCGGGATGTGAGGCATTCCGTCAAAATGAGGCAGGGACCTAGGGCTTTCTCTAAGGTCTCCACAGGGGATTCAGACATCCCTTCATGTTGTGAGATGAAAGACGAGCCTGTATTCAAGCCACTGCAAGGAAATCCGGCCTCCTTTCAAGTTAGGGCTTCTCGCTGTATATTCCCCTTGAGGCAGCAAACTCGGGGTCCCTCCCACATTCCTATGGCTGAGAGAAGCCTCCTCCTGAGGTGCTTCTGGGAAGTTGGCATACGTCTTGAGCCTAAGCCAGGGAATCAGCTCTCATCTCGAGACGATTTGGGGTACACGGAGCATTCCTCGAGTTGCTGTGCTGAAGTTGGTGTTCCTCTAGACTTGGGACAGTGTTCTCGGGGCATCTCTGGAGTTGCCTGAAGGAAGTCGAGCCACCGGTCGTTTTGAATGGGGAACGGGGAATGGCTCTGGAGTCAATGCAGGGGAATCGGGCCTCATCTCGAGTTGATTTGGGGCACATGGAGCTGCTTTGCGTTGCTGGGGTGACCTCAGGGTCCGTCTAGACGGGTGACAGTGTTCTTGGGGACTGTCTCGAGATCCATTAAGCAAGTCGAAGCTCCTGACTTGTTTAAATGGGATCACGGAATAGCTCTGCATGCACTGCAGGGGAATGGGGCCTCATCTCGCCTCTAGCGGGAAGTCTCATGGTTTTTCTCGAGTTGCGGCGGGGACCTGGGGTATGTTCTCGACTTACGGCGGGGATGGCCCTTCAAAACACGAGTTTCTTCAGTGACGTCAGGACTCCTGTCTAGTAACGAGGGACACCTCAGGAATCTCTTCGAGGCTTGGCAGGGCCAAAGGGACGCTTCTCGAGGTGAGGCAGGGCACCCAAGGACCCTTTCCAGTAGCCACAGGGATTTTGGGATTCCTATCAGTATTCAAGAGGAGTCAGGCATCGTCACCTTTTGAAGCAATGAACTCCGCGTGCCTCTCGAGGTGTCAGCGGGATGTGAGGCATTCCGTCAAAATGAGGCAGGGACCTAGGGCTTTCTCTAAGGTCTCCACAGGGGATTCAGACATCCCTTCATGTTGTGAGATGAAAGACGAGCCTGTATTCAAGCCACTGCAAGGAAATCCGGCCTCCTTTCAAGTTAGGGCTTCTCGCTGTATATTCCCCTTGAGGCAGCAAACTCGGGGTCCCTCCCACATACCTATTGCTGAGAGAAGCCTCCTCCTGAGGTGCTTCTGGGAAGTTGGCATACGTCTTGAGCCTAAGCCAGGGAATCAGCTCGCATCTCGAGACGATTTGGGGTACACGGAGCATTCCTCGATTTCCTGTGCTGAAATTGGTGTTCCTCTAGACTTGGGACAGTGTTCTCGGGGCATCTCTGGAGTTGCCTGAAGGAAGTTGAGCCACCGGTCGTGTTGAATGGGGAACGGGGAATGGCTCTGGAGTCAATGCAGGGGAATCGGGCCTCATCTCGAGTTGATTTGGGGCACATGGAGCTGCTTTGCGTTGCTGGGGTGACCTCAGGGTCCGTCTAGACTGGTGACAGTGTTCTTGGGGACTGTCTCGAGATCCATTAAGCAAGTCGAAGCTCCTGACTTGTTTGAATGGGATCACGGAATAGCTCTGCATGCACTGCAGGGGAATGGGGCCTCATCTCGCCTCTAGGGGGAAGTCTCATGGTTTTTCTCGAGTTGCGGCGGGGACCTGGGGTATGTTCTCGACTTACGGCGGGGATGGCCCTTCAAGACACGAGTTTCTTCAGTGACGTCAGGACTCCTGTCTAGTAACGAGGGACACCTCAGGAATCTCTTCGAGGCTTGGCAGGGCCAAAGGGACGCTTCTCGAGGTGAGGCAGGGCACCCAAGGACCCTTTCCAGTAGCCACAGGGATTTTGGGATTCCTATCAGTATTCAAGAGGAGTCAGGCATCGTCACCTTTTGAAGCAATGAACTCCGCGTGCCTCTCGAGGTGTCAGCGGGATGTGAGGCATTCCGTCAAAATGAGGCAGGGACCTAGGGCTTTCTCTAAGGTCTCCACAGGGGATTCAGACATCCCTTCATGTTGTGAGATGAAAGACGAGCCTGTATTCAAGCCACTGCAAGGAAATCCGGCCTCCTTTCAAGTTAGGGCTTCTCGCTGTATATTCCCCTTGAGGCAGCAAACTCGGGGTCCCTCCCACATTCCTATGGCTGAGAGAAGCCTCCTCCTGAGGTGCTTCTGGGAAGTTGGCATACGTCTTGAGCCTAAGCCAGGGAATCAGCTCTCATCTCGAGACGATTTGGGGTACACGGAGCATTCCTCGAGTTGCTGTGCTGAAGTTGGTGTTCCTCTAGACTTGGGACAGTGTTCTCGGGGCATCTCTGGAGTTGCCTGAAGGAAGTCGAGCCACCGGTCGTGTTGAATGGGGAACGGGGAATGGCTCTGGACTCAATGCAGGGGAATCGGGCCTCATCTCGAGTTGATTTGGGGCACATGGAGCTGCTTTGCGTTGCTGGGGTGACCTCAGGGTCCGTCTAGACTGGTGACAGTGTTCTTGGGGACTGTCTCGAGATCCATTAAGCAAGTCGAAGCTCCTGACTTGTTTGAATGGGATCACGGAATAGCTCTGCATGCACTGCAGGGGAATGGGGCCTCATCTCGCCTCTAGGGGGAAGTCTCATGGTTTTTCTCGAGTTGCGGCGGGGACCTCGGGTATGTTCTCGACTTACGGCGGGGATGGCCCTTCAAGACACGAGTTTCTTCAGTGACGTCAGGACTCCTGTCTAGTAACGAGGGACACCTCAGGAATCTCTTCGAGGCTTGGCAGGGCCAAAGGGACGCTTCTCGAGGTGAGGCAGGGCACCCAAGGACCCTTTCCAGTAGCCACAGGGATTTTGGGATTCCTATCAGTATTCAAGAGGAGTCAGGCATCGTCACCTTTTGAAGCAATGAACTCCGCGTGCCTCTCGAGGTGTCAGCGGGATGTGAGGCATTCCGTCAAAATGAGGCAGCGACCTAGGGCTTTCTCTAAGGTCTCCACAGGGGATTCAGACATCCCTTCATGTTGTGAGATGAAAGACGAGCCTGTATTCAAGCCACCGCAAGGAAATCCGGCCTCCTTTCAAGTTAGGGCTTCTCGCTGTATATTCCCCTTGAGGCAGCAAACTCGGGGTCCCTCCCACATACCTATTGCTGAGAGAAGCCTCCTCCTGAGATGCTTCTGGGAAGTTGGCATACGTCTTGAGCCTAAGCCAGGGAATCAGCTCTCATCTCGAGACGATTTGGGGTACACGGAGCATTCCTCGAGTTGCTGTGCTGAAGTTGGTGTTCCTCTAGACTTGGGACAGTGTTCTCGGGGCATCTCTGGAGTTGCCTGAAGGAAGTCGAGCCACCGGTCGTGTTGAATGGGGAACGGGGAATGGCTCTGGAGTCAATGCAGGGGAATCGGGCCTCATCTCGAGTTGATTTGGGGCACATGGAGCTGCTTTGCGTTGCTGGGGTGACCTCAGGGTCCGTCTAGACTGGTGACAGTGTTCTTGGGGACTGTCTCGAGATCCATTAAGCAAGTCGAAGCTCCTGACTTGTTTGAATGGGATCACGGAATAGCTCTGCATGCACTGCAGGGGAATGGGGCCTCATCTCGCCTCTAGGGGGAAGTCTCATGGTTTTTCTCGAGTTGCGGCGGGGACCTGGGGTATGTTCTCGACTTACGGCGGGGATGGCCCTTCAAGACACGAGTTTCTTCAGTGACGTCAGGACTCCTGTCTAGTAACGAGGGACACCTCAGGAATCTCTTCGAGGCTTGGCAGGGCCAAAGGGACGCTTCTCGAGGTGAGGCAGGGCACCCAAGGACCCTTTCCAGTAGCCACAGGGATTTTGGGATTCCTATCAGTATTCAAGAGGAGTCAGGCATCGTCACCTTTTGAAGCAATGAACTCCGCGTGCCTCTCGAGGTGTCAGCGGGATGTGAGGCATTCCGTCAAAATGAGGCAGGGACCTAGGGCTTTCTCTAAGGTCTCCACAGGGGATTCAGACATCCCTTCATGTTGTGAGATGAAAGACGAGCCTGTATTCAAGCCACTGCAAGGAAATCCGGCCTCCTTTCAAGTTAGGGCTTCTCGCTGTATATTCCCCTTGAGGCAGCAAACTCGGGGTCCCTCCCACATACCTATGGCTGAGAGAAGCCTCCTCCTGAGGTGCTTCTGGGAAGTTGGCATACGTCTTGAGCCTAAGCCAGGGAATCAGCTCGCATCTCGAGACGATTTGGGGTACACGGAGCATTCCTCGAGTTGCTGGGCTAAAGTTGGTGTTCCTCTAGACTTGGGACAGTGTTCTCGGGGCATCTCTGGAGTTGCCTGAAGGAAGTCGAGCCACCGGTCGTGTTGAATGGGGAACGGGGAATGGCTCTGGAGTCAATGCAGGGGAATCGGGCCTATTCTCGAGTTGATTTGGGGCACATGGAGCTGCTTTGCGTTGCTGGGGTGACCTCAGGGTCCGTCTAGACTGGTGACAGTGTTCTTGGGGACTGTCTCCAGATCCATTAAGCAAGTCGAAGCTCCTGACTTGTTTGAATGGGATCACGGAATAGCTCTGCATGCACTGCAGGGGAATGGGGCCTCATCTCGCCTCTAGGGGGAAGTCTCATGGTTTTTCTCGAGTTGCGGCGGGGACCTGGGGTATGTTCTCGACTTACGGCGGGGATGGCCCTTCAAAACACGAGTTTCTTCAGTGACGTCAGGACTCCTGTCTAGTAACGAGGGACACCTCAGGAATCTCTTCGAGGCTTGGCAGGGCCAAAGGGACGCTTCTCGAGGTGAGGCAGGGCACCCAAGGACCCTTTCCAGTAGCCACAGGGATTTTGGGATTCCTATCAGTATTCAAGAGGAGTCAGGCATCGTCACCTTTTGAAGCAATGAACTCCGCGTGCCTCTCGAGGTGTCAGCGGGATGTGAGGCATTCCGTCAAAATGAGGCAGGGACCTAGGGCTTTCTCTAAGGTCTCCACAGGGGATTCAGACATCCCTTCATGTTGTGAGATGAAAGACGAGCCTGTATTCAAGCCACTGCAAGGAAATCCGGCCTCCTTTCAAGTTAGGGCTTCTCGCTGTATATTCCCCTTGAGGCAGCAAACTCGGGGTCCCTCCCACATTCCTATGGCTGAGAGAAGCCTCCTCCTGAGGTGCTTCTGGGAAGTTGGCATACGTCTTGAGCCTAAGCCAGGGAATCAGCTCTCATCTCGAGACGATTTGGGGTACACGGAGCATTCCTCGAGTTGCTGTGCTGAAGTTGGTGTTCCTCTAGACTTGGGACAGTGTTCTCGGGGCATCTCTGGAGTTGCCTGAAGGAAGTCGAGCCACCGGTCGTGTTGAATGGGGAACGGGGAATGGCTCTGGAGTCAATGCAGGGGAATCGGGCCTCATCTCGAGTTGATTTGGGGCACATGGAGCTGCTTTGCGTTGCTGGGGTGACCTCAGGGTCCGTCTAGACTGGTGACAGTGTTCTTGGGGACTGTCTCGAGATCCATTAAGCAAGTCGAAGCTCCTGACTTGTTTGAATGGGATCACGGAATAGCTCTGCATGCACTGCAGGGGAATGGGGCCTCATCTCGCCTCTAGGGGGAAGTCTCATGGTTTTTCTCGAGTTGCGGCGGGGACCTGGGGTATGTTCTCGACTTACGGCGGGGATGGCCCTTCAAGACACGAGTTTCTTCAGTGACGTCAGGACTCCTGTCTAGTAACGAGGGACACCTCAGGAATCTCTTCGAGGCTTGGCAGGGCCAAAGGGACGCTTCTCGAGGTGAGGCAGGGCACCCAAGGACCCTTTCCAGTAGCCACAGGGATTTTGGGATTCCTATCAGTATTCAAGAGGAGTCAGGCATCGTCACCTTTTGAAGCAATGAACTCCGCGTGCCTCTCGAGGTGTCAGCGGGATGTGAGGCATTCCGTCAAAATGAGGCAGGGACCTAGGGCTTTCTCTAAGGTCTCCACAGGGGATTCAGACATCCCTTCATGTTGTGAGATGAAAGACGAGCCTGTATTCAAGCCACTGCAAGGAAATCCGGCCTCCTTTCAAGTTAGGGCTTCTCGCTGTATATTCCCCTTGAGGCAGCAAACTCGGGGTCCCTCCCACATAACTATGGCTGAGAGAAGCCTCCTCCTGAGGTGCTTCTGGGAAGTTGGCATACGTCTTGAGCCTAAGCCAGGGAATCAGCTCGCATCTCGAGACGATTTGGGGTACACGGAGCATTCCTCGAGTTGCTGTGCTGAAGTTGGTGTTCCTCTAGACTTGGGACAGTGTTCTCGGGGCATCTCTGGAGTTGCCTGAAGGAAGTCGAGCCACCGGTCGTGTTGAATGGGGAACGGGGAATGGCTCTGGAGTCAATGCAGGGGAATCGGGCCTCATCTCGAGTTGATTTGGGGCACATGGAGCTGCTTTGCGTTGCTGGGGTGACCTCAGGGTCCGTCTAGACTGGTGACAGTGTTCTTGGGGACTGTCTCCAGATCCATTAAGCAAGTCGAAGCTCCTGACTTGTTTGAATGGGATCACGGAATAGCTCTGCATGCACTGCAGGGGAATGGGGCCTCATCTCGCCTCTAGGGGGAAGTCTCATGGTTTTTCTCGAGTTGCGGCGGGGACCTGGGGTATGTTCTCGACTTACGGCGGGGATGGCCCTTCAAAACACGAGTTTCTTCAGTGACGTCAGGACTCCTGTCTAGTAACGAGGGACACCTCAGGAATCTCTTCGAGGCTTGGCAGGGCCAAAGGGACGCTTCTCGAGGTGAGGCAGGGCACCCAAGGACCCTTTCCAGTAGCCACAGGGATTTTGGGATTCCTATCAGTATTCAAGAGGAGTCAGGCATCGTCACCTTTTGAAGCAATGAACTCCGCGTGCCTCTCGAGGTGTCAGCGGGATGTGAGGCATTCCGTCAAAATGAGGCAGGGACCTAGGGCTTTCTCTAAGGTCTCCACAGGGGATTCAGACATCCCTTCATGTTGTGAGATGAAAGACGAGCCTGTATTCAAGCCACTGCAAGGAAATCCGGCCTCCTTTCAAGTTAGGGCTTCTCGCTGTATATTCCCCTTGAGGCAGCAAACTCGGGGTCCCTCCCACATTCCTATGGCTGAGAGAAGCCTCCTCCTAAGGTGCTTCTGGGAAGTTGGCATACGTCTTGAGCCTAAGCCAGGGAATCAGCTCTCATCTCGAGACGATTTGGGGTACACGGAGCATTCCTCGAGTTGCTGTGCTGAAGTTGGTGTTCCTCTAGACTTGGGACAGTGTTCTCGGGGCATCTCTGGAGTTGCCTGAAGGAAGTCGAGCCACCGGTCGTGTTGAATGGGGAACGGGGAATGGCTCTGGAGTCAATGCAGGGGAATCGGGCCTCATCTCGAGTTGATTTGGGGCACATGGAGCTGCTTTGCGTTGCTGGGGTGACCTCAGGGTCCGTCTAGACTGGTGACAGTGTTCTTGGGGACTGTCTCGAGATCCATTAAGCAAGTCGAAGCTCCTAACTTGTTTGAATGGGATCACGGAATAGCTCTGCATGCACTGCAGGGGAATGGGGCCTCATCTCGCCTCTAGGGGGAAGTCTCATGGTTTTTCTCGAGTTGCGGCGGGTACCTGGGGTATGCTCTCGACTTACGGCGGGGATGGCCCTTCAAGACACGAGTTTCTTCAGTGACGTCAGGACTCCTGTCTAGTAACGAGGGACACCTCAGGAATCTCTTCGAGGCTTGGCAGGGCCAAAGGGACGCTTCTCGAGGTGAGGCAGGGCACCCAAGGACCCTTTCCAGTAGCCACAGGGATTTTGGGATTCCTATCAGTATTCAAGAGGAGTCAGGCATCGTCACCTTTTGAAGCAATGAACTCCGCGTGCCTCTCGAGGTGTCAGCGGGATGTGAGGCATTCCGTCAAAATGAGGCAGGGACCTAGGGCTTTCTCTAAGGTCTCCACAGGGGATTCAGACATCCCTTCATGTTGTGAGATGAAAGACGAGCCTGTATTCAAGCCACTGCAAGGAAATCCGGCCTCCTTTCAAGTTAGGGCTTCACGCTCTATATTCCCCTTGAGGCAGCAAACTCGGGGTCCCTCCCACATACCTATTGCTGAGAGAAGCCTCCTCCTGAGGTGCTTCTGGGAAGTTGGCATACGTCTTGAGCCTAAGCCAGGGAATCAGCTCGCATCTCGAGACAATTTGGGGTACACGGAGCATTCCTCGAGTTGCTGTGCTGAAGTTGGTGTTCCTCTAGACTTGGGACAGTGTTCTCGGGGCATCTCTGGAGTTGCCTGAAGGAAGTCGAGCCACCGGTCGTGTTGAATGGGGAACGGGGAATGGCTCTGGAGTCAATGCAGGGGAATCGGGCCTCATCTCGAGTTGATTTGGGGCACATGGAGCTACTTTGCGTTGCTGGGGTGACCTCAGGGTCCGTCTAGACTGGTGACAGTGATCTTGGGGACTGTCTCGAGATCCATTAAGCAAGTCGAAGCTCCTGACTTGTTTGAATGGGATCACGGAATAGCTCTGCATGCACTGCAGGGGAATGGGGCCTCATCTCGCCTCTAGGGGGAAGTCTCATGGTTTTTCTCGAGTTGCGGCGGGGACCTGGGGTATGTTCTCGACTTACGGCGGGGATGGCCCTTCAAGACACGAGTTTCTTCAGTGACGTCAGGACTCCTGTCTAGTAACGAGGGACACCTCAGGAATCTCTTCGAGGCTTGGCAGGGCCAAAGGGACGCTTCTCGAGGTGAGGCAGGGCACCCAAGGACCCTTTCCAGTAGCCACAGGGATTTTGGGATTCCTATCAGTATTCAAGAGGAGTCAGGCATCGTCACCTTTTGAAGCAATGAACTCCGCGTGCCTCTCGAGGTGTCAGCGGGATGTGAGGCATTCCGTCAAAATGAAGCAGGGACCTAGGGCTTTCTCTAAGGTCTCCACAGGGGATTCAGACATCCCTTCATGTTGTGAGATGAAAGACGAGCCTGTATTCAAGCCACTGCAAGGAAATCCGGCCTCCTTTCAAGTTAGGGCTTCTCGCTGTATATTCCCCTTGAGGCAGCAAACTCGGGGTCCCTCCCACATACCTATGGCTGAGAGAAGCCTCCTCCTGAGGTGCTTCTGGGAAGTTGGCATACGTCTTGAGCCTAAGCCAGGGAATCAGCTCGCATCTCGAGACGATTTGGGGTACACGGAGCATTCCTCGAGTTGCTGTGCTGAAGTTGGTGTTCCTCTAGACTTGGGACAGTGTTCTCGGGGCATCTCTGGAGTTGCCTGAAGGAAGTCGAGCCACCGGTCGTGTTGAATGGGGAACGGGGAATGGCTCTGGAGTCAATGCAGGGGAATCGGGCCTCATCTCGAGTTGATTTGGGGCACATGGAGCTGCTTTGCGTTGCTGGGGTGACCTCAGGGTCCGTCTAGACTGGTGACAGTGTTCTTGGGGACTGTCTCCAGATCCATTAAGCAAGTCGAAGCTCCTGACTTGTTTGAATGGGATCACGGAATAGCTCTGCATGCACTGCAGGGGAATGGGGCCTCATCTCGCCTCTAGGGGGAAGTCTCATGGTTTTTCTCGAGTTGCGGCGGGGACCTGGGGTATGTTCTCGACTTACGGCGGGGATGGCCCTTCAAAACACGAGTTTCTTCAGTGACGTCAGGACTCCTGTCTAGTAACGAGGGACACCTCAGGAATCTCTTCGAGGCTTGGCAGGGCCAAAGGGACGCTTCTCGAGGTGAGGCAGGGCACCCAAGGACCCTTTCCAGTAGCCACAGGGATTTTGGGATTCCTATCAGTATTCAAGAGGAGTCAGGCATCGTCACCTTTTGAAGCAATGAACTCCGCGTGCCTCTCGAGGTGTCAGCGGGATGTGAGGCATTCCGTCAAAATGAGGCAGGGACCTAGGGCTTTCTCTAAGGTCTCCACAGGGGATTCAGACATCCCTTCATGTTGTGAGATGAAAGACGAGCCTGTATTCAAGCCACTGCAAGGAAATCCGGCCTCCTTTCAAGTTAGGGCTTCTCGCTGTATATTCCCCTTGAGGCAGCAAACTCGGGGTCCCTCCCACATTCCTATGGCTGAGAGAAGCCTCCTCCTAAGGTGCTTCTGGGAAGTTGGCATACGTCTTGAGCCTAAGCCAGGGAATCAGCTCGCATCTCGAGACGATTTGGGGTACACGGAGCATTCCTCGAGTTGCTGTGCTGAAGTTGGTGTTCCTCTAGACTTGGGACAGTGTTCTCGGGGCATCTCTGGAGTTGCCTGAAGGAAGTCGAGCCACCGGTCGTGTTGAATGGGGAACGGGGAATGGCTCTGGAGTCAATGCAGGGGAATCGGGCCTCATCTCGAGTTGATTTGGGGCACATGGAGCTGCTTTGCGTTGCTGGGGTGACCTCAGGGTCCGTCTAGACTGGTGACAGTGTTCTTGGGGACTGTCTCGAGATCCATTAAGCAAGTCGAAGCTCCTAACTTGTTTGAATGGGATCACGGAATAGCTCTGCATGCACTGCAGGGGAATGGGGCCTCATCTCGCCTCTAGGGGGAAGTCTCATGGTTTTTCTCGAGTTGCGGCGGGTACCTGGGGTATGCTCTCGACTTACGGCGGGGATGGCCCTTCAAGACACGAGTTTCTTCAGTGACGTCAGGACTCCTGTCTAGTAACGAGGGACACCTCAGGAATCTCTTCGAGGCTTGGCAGGGCCAAAGGGACGCTTCTCGAGGTGAGGCAGGGCACCCAAGGACCCTTTCCAGTAGCCACAGGGATTTTGGGATTCCTATCAGTATTCAAGAGGAGTCAGGCATCGTCACCTTTTGAAGCAATGAACTCCGCGTGCCTCTCGAGGTGTCAGCGGGATGTGAGGCATTCCGTCAAAATGAGGCAGGGACCTAGGGCTTTCTCTAAGGTCTCCACAGGGGATTCAGACATCCCTTCATGTTGTGAGATGAAAGACGAGCCTGTATTCAAGCCACTGCAAGGAAATCCGGCCTCCTTTCAAGTTAGGGCTTCACGCTCTATATTCCCCTTGAGGCAGCAAACTCGGGGTCCCTCCCACATACCTATTGCTGAGAGAAGCCTCCTCCTGAGGTGCTTCTGGGAAGTTGGCATACGTCTTGAGCCTAAGCCAGGGAATCAGCTCGCATCTCGAGACAATTTGGGGTACACGGAGCATTCCTCGAGTTGCTGTGCTGAAGTTGGTGTTCCTCTAGACTTGGGACAGTGTTCTCGGGGCATCTCTGGAGTTGCCTGAAGGAAGTCGAGCCACCGGTCGTGTTGAATGGGGAACGGGGAATGGCTCTGGAGTCAATGCAGGGGAATCGGGCCTCATCTCGAGTTGATTTGGGGCACATGGAGCTACTTTGCGTTGCTGGGGTGACCTCAGGGTCCGTCTAGACTGGTGACAGTGATCTTGGGGACTGTCTCGAGATCCATTAAGCAAGTCGAAGCTCCTGACTTGTTTGAATGGGATCACGGAATAGCTCTGCATGCACTGCAGGGGAATGGGGCCTCATCTCGCCTCTAGGGGGAAGTCTCATGGTTTTTCTCGAGTTGCGGCGGGGACCTGGGGTATGTTCTCGACTTACGGCGGGGATGGCCCTTCAAGACACGAGTTTCTTCAGTGACGTCAGGACTCCTGTCTAGTAACGAGGGACACCTCAGGAATCTCTTCGAGGCTTGGCAGGGCCAAAGGGACGCTTCTCGAGGTGAGGCAGGGCACCCAAGGACCCTTTCCAGTAGCCACAGGGATTTTGGGATTCCTATCAGTATTCAAGAGGAGTCAGGCATCGTCACCTTTTGAAGCAATGAACTCCGCGTGCCTCTCGAGGTGTCAGCGGGATGTGAGGCATTCCGTCAAAATGAAGCAGGGACCTAGGGCTTTCTCTAAGGTCTCCACAGGGGATTCAGACATCCCTTCATGTTGTGAGATGAAAGACGAGCCTGTATTCAAGCCACTGCAAGGAAATCCGGCCTCCTTTCAAGTTAGGGCTTCTCGCTGTATATTCCCCTTGAGGCAGCAAACTCGGGGTCCCTCCCACATACCTATTGCTGAGAGAAGCCTCCTCCTGAGGTGCTTCTGGGAAGTTGGCATACGTCTTGAGCCTAAGCCAGGGAATCAGCTCGCATCTCGAGACGATTTGGGGTACACGGAGCATTCCTCGAGTTGCTGTGCTGAAGTTGGTGTTCCTCTAGACTTGGGACAGTGTTCTCGTGGCATCTCTGGAGTTGCCTGAAGGAAGTCGAGCCACCGGTCGTGTTGAATGGGGAACGGGGAATGGCTCTGGAGTCAATGCAGGGGAATCGGGCCTCATCTCGAGTTGATTTGGGGCACATGGAGCTGCTTTGTGTTGCTGGGGTGACCTCAGGGTCCGTCTAGACTGGTGACAGTGATCTTGGGGACTGTCTCGAGATCCATTAAGCAAGTCGAAGCTCCTGACTTGTTTGAATGGAATCACGGAATAGCTCTGCATGCACTGCAGGGGAATGGGGCCTCATCTCGCCTCTAGGGGGAAGTCTCATGGTTTTTCTCGAGTTGCGGCGGGGACCTGGGGTATGTTCTCGACTTACGGCGGGGATGACCCTTCAAGACACGAGTTTCTTCAGTGACGTCAGGACTCCTGTCTAGTAACGAGGGACACCTCAGGAATCTCTTCGAGGCTTGGCAGGGCCAAAGGGACGCTTCTCGAGGTGAGGCAGGGCACCCAAGGACCCTTTCCAGTAGCCACAGGGATTTTGGGATTCCTATCAGTATTCAAGAGGAGTCAGGCATCGTCACCTTTTGAAGCAATGAACTCCGCGTGCCTCTCGAGGTGTCAGCGGGATGTGAGGCATTCCGTCAAAATGATTCAGGGACCTAGGGCTTTCTCTAAGGTCTCCACAGGGGATTCAGACATCCCTTCATGTTGTGAGATGAAAGACGAGCCTGTATTCAAGCCACTGCAAGGAAATCCGGCCTCCTTTCAAGTTAGGGCTTCTCGCTGTATATTCCCCTTGAGGCAGCAAACTCGGGGTCCCTCCCACATACCTATTGCTGAGAGAAGCCTCCTCCTGAGGTGCTTCTGGGAAGTTGGCATACGTCTTGAGCCTAAGCCAGGGAATCAGCTCGCATCTCGAGACGATTTGGGGTACACGGAGCATTCCTCGAGTTGCTGTGCTGAAGTTGGTGTTCCTCTAGACTTGGGACAGTGTTCTCGGGGCATCTCTGGAGTTGCCTGAAGGAAGTCGAGCCACCGGTCGTTTTGAATGGGGAACGGGGAATGGCTCTGGAGTCAATGCAGGGGAATCGGGCCTCATCTCGAGTTGATTTGGGGCACATGGAGCTGCTTTGCGTTGCTGGGGTGACCTCAGGGTCCGTCTAGACTGGTGACAGTGTTCTTGGGGACTGTCTCCAGATCCATTAAGCAAGTCGAAGCTCCTGACTTGTTTGAATGGGATCACGGAATAGCTCTGCATGCACTGCAGGGGAATGGGGCCTCATCTCGCCTCTAGGGGGAAGTCTCATGGTTTTTCTCGAGTTGCGGCGGGGACCTGGGGTATGTTCTCGACTTACGGCGGGGATGGCCCTTCAAGACACGAGTTTCTTCAGTGACGTCAGGACTCCTGTCTAGTAACGAGGGACACCTCAGGAATCTCTTCGAGGCTTGGCAGGGCCAAAGGGACGCTTCTCGAGGTGAGGCAGGGCACCCAAGGACCCTTTCCAGTAGCCACAGGGATTTTGGGATTCCTATCAGTATTCAAGAGGAGTCAGGCATCGTCACCTTTTGAAGCAATGAACTCCGCGTGCCTCTCGAGGTGTCAGCGGGATGTGAGGCATTCCGTCAAAATGAGGCAGGGACCTAGGGCTTTCTCTACGGTCTCCACAGGGGATTCAGACATCCCTTCATGTTGTGAGATGAAAGACGAGCCTGTATTCAAGCCACTGCAAGGAAATCCGGCCTCCTTTCAAGTTAGGGCTTCTCGCTGTATATTCCCCTTGAGGCAGCAAACTCGGAGTCCCTCCCACATACCTATGGCTGAGAGAAGCCTCCTCCTGAGGTGCTTCTGGGAAGTTGGCATACGTCTTGAGCCTAAGCCAGGGAATCAGCTCGCATCTCGAGACGATTTGGGGTACACGGAGCATTCCTCGAGTTGCTGTGCTGAAGTTGGTGTTCCTCTAGACTTGGGACAGTGTTCTCGGGGCATCTCTGGAGTTGCCTGAAGGAAGTCGAGCCACCGGTCGTGTTGAATGGGGAACGGGGAATGGCTCTGGAGTCAATGCAGGGGAATCGGGCCTCATCTCGAGTTGATTTGGGGCACATGGAGCTGCTTTGCGTTGCTGGGGTGACCTCAGGGTCCGTCTAGACTGGTGACAGTGATCTTGGGGACTGTCTCGAGATCCATTAAGCAAGTCGAAGCTCCTGACTTGTTTAAATGGGATCACGGAATAGCTCTGCATGCACTGCAGGGGAATGGGGCCTCATCTCGCCTCTAGGGGGAAGTCTCATGGTTTTTCTCGAGTTGCGGCGGGGACCTGGGGTATGTTCTCGACTTACGGCGGGGATGGCCCTTCAAGACACGAGTTTCTTCAGTGACGTCAGGACTCCTGTCTAGTAACGAGGGACACCTCAGGAATCTCTTCGAGGCTTGGCAGGGCCAAAGGGACGCTTCTCGAGGTGAGGCAGGGCACCCAAGGACCCTTTCCAGTAGCCACAGGGATTTTGGGATTCCTATCAGTATTCAAGAGGAGTCAGGCATCGTCATCTTTTGAAGCAATGAACTCAGCGTGCCTCTCGAGGTGTCAGCGGGATGTGAGGCATTCCATCAAAATGAGGCAGCGACCTAGGGCTTTCTCTAAGGTCTCCACAGGGGATTCAGACATCCCTTCATGTTGTGAGATGAAAGACGAGCCTGTATTCAAGCCACTGCAAGGAAATCCGGCCTCCTTTCAAGTTAGGGCTTCTCGCTGTATATTCCCCTTGAGGCAGCAAACTCGGGGTCCCTCCCACATACCTATTGCTGAGAGAAGCCTCCTCCTGAGGTGCTTCTGGGAAGTTGGCATACGTCTTGAGCCTAAGCCAGGGAATCAGCTCTCATCTCGAGACGATTTGGGGTACACGGAGCATTCCTCGAGTTGCTGTGCTGAAGTTGGTGTTCCTCTAGACTTGGGACAGTGTTCTCGGGGCATCTCTGGAGTTGCCTGAAGGAAGTCGAGCCACCGGTCGTGTTGAATGGGGAACAGGGAATGGCTCTTGGGTCAATGCAGGGGAATCGGGCCTCATCTCGAGTTGATTTGGGGCACATGGAGCTACTTTGCGTTGCTGGGGTGACCTCAGGGTCCGTCTAGACTGGTGACAGTGTTCTTGGGGACTGTCTCGAGATCCATTAAGCAAGTCGAAGCTCCTGACTTGTTTGAATGGGATCACGGAATAGCTCTGCATGCACTGCAGGGGAATGGGGCCTCATCTCGCCTCTAGGGGGAAGTCTCATGGTTTTTCTCGAGTTGGGGCGGGGACCTGGGGTATGTTCTCGACTTACGGCGGGGATGGCCCTTCAAGACACGACTTTCTTCAGTGACGTCAGGACTCCTGTCTAGTAACGAGGGACACCTCAGGAATCTCTTCGAGGCTTGGCAGGGCCAAAGGGACGCTTCTCGAGGTGAGGCAGGGCACCCAAGGACCCTTTCCAGTAGCCACCGGGATTTTGGGATTCCTATCAGTATTCAAGAGGAGTCAGGCATCGTCACCTTTTGAAGCAATGAACTCCGCGTGCCTCTCGAGGTGTCAGCGGGATGTGAGGCATTCCGTCAAAATGAGGCAGGGACCTAGGGCTTTCTCTAAGGTCTCCACAGGGGATTCAGACATCCCTTCATGTTGTGAGATGAAAGACGAGCCTGTATTCAAGCCACTGCAAGGAAATCCGGCCTCCTTTCAAGTTAGGGCTTCTCGCTGTATATTCCCCTTGAGGCAGCAAACTCGGGGTCCCTCCCACATTCCTATGGCTGAGAGAAGCCTCCTCCTGAGGTGCTTCTGGGAAGTTGGCATACGTCTTGAGCCTAAGCCAGGGAATCAGCTCTCATCTCGAGACGATTTGGGGTACACGGAGCATTCCTCGAGTTGCTGTGCTGAAGTTGGTGTTCCTCTAGACTTGGGACAGTGTTCTCGGGGCATCTCTGGAGTTGCCTGAAGGAAGTCGAGCCACCGGTCGTGTTGAATGGGGAACGGGGAATGGCTCTGGAGTCAATGCAGGGGAATCGGGCCTCATCTCGAGTTGATTTGGGGCACATGGAGCTGCTTTGCGTTGCTGGGGTGACCTCAGGGTCCGTCTAGACTGGTGACAGTGTTCTTGGGGACTGTCTCGAGATCCATTAAGCAAGTCGAAGCTCCTGACTTGTTTGAATGGGATCACGGAATAGCTCTGCATGCACTGCAGGGGAATGGGGCCTCATCTCGCCTCTAGGGGGAAGTCTCATGGTTTTTCTCGAGTTGTGGCGGGGACCTGGGGTATGTTCTCGACTTACGGCGGGGATGGCCCTTCAAGACACGAGTTTCTTCAGTGACGTCAGGACTCCTGTCTAGTAACGAGGGACACCTCAGGAATCTCTTCGAGGCTTGGCAGGGCCAAAGGGACGCTTCTCGAGGTGAGGCAGGGCACCCAAGGACCCTTTCCAGTAGCCACAGGGATTTTGGGATTCCTATCAGTATTCAAGAGGAGTCAGGCATCGTCACCTTTTGAAGCAATGAACTCCGCGTGCCTCTCGAGGTGTCAGCGGGATGTGAGGCATTCCGTCAAAATGAGGCAGGGACCTAGGGCTTTCTCTAAGGTCTCCACAGGGGATTCAGACATCCCTTCATGTTGTGAGATGAAAGACGAGCCTGTATTCAAGCCACTGCAAGGAAATCCGGCCTCCTTTCAAGTTAGGGCTTCTCGCTGTATATTCCCCTTGAGGCAGCAAACTCGGGGTCCCTCCCACATACCTATGGCTGAGAGAAGCCTCCTCCTGAGGTGCTTCTGGGAAGTTGGCATACGTCTTGAGCGTAAGCCAGGGAATCAGCTCGCATCTCGAGACGATTTGGGGTACACGGAGCATTCCTCGAGTTGCTGTGCTGAAGTTGGTGTTCCTCTAGACTTGGGACAGTGTTCTCGGGGCATCTCTGGTGTTGCCTGAAGGAAGTCGAGCCACCGGTCGTGTTGAATGGGGAACGGGGAATGGCTCTGGACTCAATGCAGGGGAATCGGGCCTCATCTCGAGTTGATTTGGGGCACATGGAGCTGCTTTGCGTTGCTGGGGTGACCTCAGGGTCCGTCTAGACTGGTGACAGTGTTCTTGGGGACTGTCTCGAGATCCATTAAGCAAGTCGAAGCTCCTGACTTGTTTGAATGGGATCACGGAATAGCTCTGCATGCACTGCAGGGGAATGGGGCCTCATCTCGCCTCTAGGGGGAAGTCTCATGGTTTTTCTCGAGTTGCGGCGGGGACCTGGGGTATGTTCTCGACTTACGGCGGGGATGGCCCTTCAAGACACGAGTTTCTTCAGTGACGTCAGGACTCCTGTCTAGTAACGAGGGACACCTCAGGAATCTCTTCGAGGCTTGGCAGGGCCAAAGGGACGCTTCTCGAGGTGAGGCAGGGCACCCAAGGACCCTTTCCAGTAGCCACAGGGATTTTGGGATTCCTATCAGTATTCAAGAGGAGTCAGGCATCGTCACCTTTTGAAGCAATGAACTCCGCGTGCCTCTCGAGGTGTCAGCGGGATGTGAGGCATTCCGTCAAAATGAGGCAGGGACCTAGGGCTTTCTCTACGGTCTCCACAGGGGATTCAGACATCCCTTCATGTTGTGAGATGAAAGACGAGCCTGTATTCAAGCCACTGCAAGGAAATCCGGCCTCCTTTCAAGTTAGGGCTTCTCGCTGTATATTCCCCTTGAGGCAGCAAACTCGGAGTCCCTCCCACATACCTATGGCTGAGAGAAGCCTCCTCCTGAGGTGCTTCTGGGAAGTTGGCATACGTCTTGAGCCTAAGCCAGGGAATCAGCTCGCATCTCGAGACGATTTGGGGTACACGGAGCATTCCTCGAGTTGCTGTGCTGAAGTTGGTGTTCCTCTAGACTTGGGACAGTGTTCTCGGGGCATCTCTGGAGTTGCCTGAAGGAAGTCGAGCCACCGGTCGTGTTGAATGGGGAACGGGGAATGGCTCTGGAGTCAATGCAGGGGAATCGGGCCTCATCTCGAGTTGATTTGGGGCACATGGAGCTGCTTTGCGTTGCTGGGGTGACCTCAGGGTCCGTCTAGACTGGTGACAGTGATCTTGGGGACTGTCTCGAGATCCATTAAGCAAGTCGAAGCTCCTGACTTGTTTAAATGGGATCACGGAATACCTCTGCATGCACTGCAGGGGAATGGGGCCTCATCTCGCCTCTAGGGGGAAGTCTCATGGTTTTTCTCGAGTTGCGGCGGGGACCTGGGGTATGTTCTCGACTTACGGCGGGGATGGCCCTTCAAGACACGAGTTTCTTCAGTGACGTCAGGACTCCTGTCTAGTAACGAGGGACACCTCAGGAATCTCTTCGAGGCTTGGCAGGGCCAAAGGGACGCTTCTCGAGGTGAGGCAGGGCACCCAAGGACCCTTTCCAGTAGCCACAGGGATTTTGGGATTCCTATCAGTATTCAAGAGGAGTCAGGCATCGTCATCTTTTGAAGCAATGAACTCAGCGTGCCTCTCGAGGTGTCAGCGGGATGTGAGGCATTCCATCAAAATGAGGCAGCGACCTAGGGCTTTCTCTAAGGTCTCCACAGGGGATTCAGACATCCCTTCATGTTGTGAGATGAAAGACGAGCCTGTATTCAAGCCACTGCAAGGAAATCCGGCCTCCTTTCAAGTTAGGGCTTCTCGCTGTATATTCCCCTTGAGGCAGCAAACTCGGGGTCCCTCCCACATACCTATTGCTGAGAGAAGCCTCCTCCTGAGGTGCTTCTGGGAAGTTGGCATACGTCTTGAGCCTAAGCCAGGGAATCAGCTCTCATCTCGAGACGATTTGGGGTACACGGAGCATTCCTCGAGTTGCTGTGCTGAAGTTGGTGTTCCTCTAGACTTGGGACAGTGTTCTCGGGGCATCTCTGGAGTTGCCTGAAGGAAGTCGAGCCACCGGTCGTGTTGAATGGGGAACAGGGAATGGCTCTTGCGTCAATGCAGGGGAATCGGGCCTCATCTCGAGTTGATTTGGGGCACATGGAGCTACTTTGCGTTGCTGGGGTGACCTCAGGGTCCGTCTAGACTGGTGACAGTGTTCTTGGGGACTGTCTCGAGATCCATTAAGCAAGTCGAAGCTCCTGACTTGTTTGAATGGGATCACGGAATAGCTCTGCATGCACTGCAGGGGAATGGGGCCTCATCTCGCCTCTAGGGGGAAGTCTCATGGTTTTTCTCGAGTTGCGGCGGGGACCTGGGGTATGTTCTCGACTTACGGCGGGGATGGCCCTTCAAGACACGAGTTTCTTCAGTGACGTCAGGACTCCTGTCTAGTAACGAGGGACACCTCAGGAATCTCTTCGAGGCTTGGCAGGGCCAAAGGGACGCTTCTCGAGGTGAGGCAGGGCACCCAAGGACCCTTTCCAGTAGCCACAGGGATTTTGGGATTCCTATCAGTATTCAAGAGGAGTCAGGCATCGTCACCTTTTGAAGCAATGAACTCCGCGTGCCTCTCGAGGTGTCAGCGGGATGTGAGGCATTCCGTCAAAATGAGGCAGGGACCTAGGGCTTTCTCTACGGTCTCCACAGGGGATTCAGACATCCCTTCATGTTGTGAGATGAAAGACGAGCCTGTATTCAAGCCACTGCAAGGAAATCCGAGCTCCTTTCAAGTTAGGGCTTCTCGCTGTATATTCCCCTTGAGGCAGCAAACTCGGGGTTCCTCCCACATACCTATGGCTGAGAGAAGCCTCCTCCTGAGGTGCTTCTGGGAAGTTGGCATACGTCTTGAGCCTAAGCCAGGGAATCAGCTCGCATCTCGAGACGATTTGGGGTACACGGAGCATTCCTCGAGTTGCTGTGCTGAAGTTGGTGTTCCTCTAGACTTGGGACAGTGTTCTCGGGGCATCTCTGGAGTTGCCTGAAGGAAGTCGAGCCACCGGTCGTGTTGAATGGGGAACGGGGAATGGCTCTGGAGTCAATGCAGGGGAATCGGGCCTCATCTCGAGTTGATTTGGGGCACATGGAGCTGCTTTGCGTTGCTGGGGTGACCTCAGGGTCCGTCTAGACTGGTGACAGTGATCTTGGGGACTGTCTCGAGATCCATTAAGCAAGTCGAAGCTCCTGACTTGTTTAAATGGGATCACGGAATAGCTCTGCATGCACTGCAGGGGAATGGGGCCTCATCTCGCCTCTAGGGGGAAGTCTCATGGTTTTTCTCGAGTTGCGGCGGGGACCTGGGGTATGTTCTCGACTTACGGCGGGGATGGCCCTTCAAGACACGAGTTTCTTCAGTGACGTCAGGACTCCTGTCTAGTAACGAGGGACACCTCAGGAATCTCTTCGAGGCTTGGCAGGGCCAAAGGGACGCTTCTCGAGGTGAGGCAGGGCACCCAAGGACCCTTTCCAGTAGCCACAGGGATTTTGGGATTCCTATCAGTATTCAAGAGGAGTCAGGCATCGTCACCTTTTGAAGCAATGAACTCAGCGTGCCTCTCGAGGTGTCAGCGGGATGTGAGGCATTCCATCAAAATGAGGCAGCGACCTAGGGCTTTCTCTAAGGTCTCCACAGGGGATTCAGACATCCCTTCATGTTGTGAGATGAAAGACGAGCCTGTATTCAAGCCACTGCAAGGAAATCCGGCCTCCTTTCAAGTTAGGGCTTCTCGCTGTATATTCCCCTTGAGGCAGCAAACTCGGGGTCCCTCCCACATACCTATTGCTGAGAGAAGCCTCCTCCTGAGGTGCTTCTGGGAAGTTGGCATACGTCTTGAGCCTAAGCCAGGGAATCAGCTCTCATCTCGAGACAATTTGGGGTACACGGAGCATTCCTCGAGTTGCTGTGCTGAAGTTGGTGTTCCTCTAGACTTGGGACAGTGTTCTCGGGGCATCTCTGGAGTTGCCTGAAGGAAGTCGAGCCACCGGTCGTGTTGAATGGGGAACAGGGAATGGCTCTGGAGTCAATGCAGGGGAATCGGGCCTCATCTCGAGTTGATTTGGGGCACATGGAGCAACTTTGCGTTGCTGGGGTGACCTCAGGGTCCGTCTAGACTGGTGACAGTGTTCTTGGGGACTGTCTCGAGATCCATTAAGCAAGTCGAAGCTCCTGACTTGTTTGAATGGGATCACGGAATAGCTCTGCATGCACTGCAGGGGAATGGGGCCTCATCTCGCCTCTAGGGGGAAGTCTCATGGTTTTTCTCGAGTTGTGGCGGGGACCTGGGGTATGTTCTCGACTTACGGCGGGGATGGCCCTTCAAGACACGAGTTTCTTCAGTGACGTCAGGACTCCTGTCTAGTAACGAGGGACACCTCAGGAATCTCTTCGAGGCTTGGCAGGGCCAAAGGGACGCTTCTCGAGGTGAGGCAGGGCACCCAAGGACCCTTTCCAGTAGCCACCGGGATTTTGGGATTCCTATCAGTATTCAAGAGGAGTCAGGCATCGTCACCTTTTGAAGCAATGAACTCCGCGTGCCTCTCGAGGTGTCAGCGGGATGTGAGGCATTCCGTCAAAATGAGGCAGGGACCTAGGGCTTTCTCTAAGGTCTCCACAGGGGATTCAGACATCCCTTCATGTTGTGAGATGAAAGACGAGCCTGTATTCAAGCCACTGCAAGGAAATCCGGCCTCCTTTCAAGTTAGGGCTTCTCGCTGTATATTCCCCTTGAGGCAGCAAACTCGGGGTCCCTCCCACATTCCTATGGCTGAGAGAAGCCTCCTCCTGAGGTGCTTCTGGGAAGTTGGCATACGTCTTGAGCCTAAGCCAGGGAATCAGCTCTCATCTCGAGACGATTTGGGGTACACGGAGCATTCCTCGAGTTGCTGTGCTGAAGTTGGTGTTCCTCTAGACTTGGGACAGTGTTCTCGGGGCATCTCTGGAGTTGCCTGAAGGAAGTCGAGCCACCGGTCGTGTTGAATGGGGAACGGGGAATGGCTCTGGAGTCAATGCAGGGGAATCGGGCCTCATCTCGAGTTGATTTGGGGCACATGGAGCTGCTTTGCGTTGCTGGGGTGACCTCAGGGTCCGTCTAGACTGGTGACAGTGTTCTTGGGGACTGTCTCGAGATCCATTAAGCAAGTCGAAGCTCCTGACTTGTTTGAATGGGATCACGGAATAGCTCTGCATGCACTGCAGGGGAATGGGGCCTCATCTCGCCTCTAGGGGGAAGTCTCATGGTTTTTCTCGAGTTGCGGCGGGGACCTGGGGTATGTTCTCGACTTACGGCGGGGATGGCCCTTCAAGACACGAGTTTCTTCAGTGACGTCAGGACTCCTGTCTAGTAACGAGGGACACCTCAGGAATCTCTTCGAGGCTTGGCAGGGCCAAAGGGACGCTTCTCGAGGTGAGGCAGGGCACCCAAGGACCCTTTCCAGTAGCCACAGGGATTTTGGGATTCCTATCAGTATTCAAGAGGAGTCAGGCATCGTCACCTTTTGAAGCAATGAACTCCGCGTGCCTCTCGAGGTGTCAGCGGGATGTGAGGCATTCCGTCAAAATGAGGCAGGGACCTAGGGCTTTCTCTAAGGTCTCCACAGGGGATTCAGACATCCCTTCATGTTGTGAGATGAAAGACGAGCCTGTATTCAAGCCACTGCAAGGAAATCCGGCCTCCTTTCAAGTTAGGGCTTCTCGCTGTATATTCCCCTTGAGGCAGCAAACTCGGGGTCCCTCCCACATACCTATGGCTGTGAGAAGCCTCCTCCTGAGGTGCTTCTGGGAAGTTGGCATACGTCTTGAGCGTAAACCAGGGAATCAGCTCGCATCTCGAGACGATTTGGGGTACACGGAGCATTCCTCGAGTTGCTGTGCTGAAGTTGGTGTTCCTCTAGACTTGGGACAGTGTTCTCGGGGCATCTCTGGAGTTGCCTGAAGGAAGTCGAGCCACCGGTCGTGTTGAATGGGGAACGGGGAATGGCTCTGGACTCAATGCAGGGGAATCGGGCCTCATCTCGAGTTGATTTGGGGCACATGGAGCTGCTTTGCGTTGCTGGGGAGACCTCAGGGTCCGTCTAGACTGGTGACAGTGTTCTTGGGGACTGTCTCGAGATCCATTAAGCAAGTCGAAGCTCCTGACTTGTTTGAATGGGATCACGGAATAGCTCTGCATGCACTGCAGGGGAATGGGGCCTCATCTCGCCTCTAGGGGGAAGTCTCATGGTTTTTCTCGAGTTGCGGCGGGGACCTGGGGTATGTTCTCGACTTACGGCGGGGATGGCCCTTCAAGACACGAGTTTCTTCAGTGACGTCAGGACTCCTGTCTAGTAACGAGGGACACCTCAGGAATCTCTTCGAGGCTTGGCAGGGCCAAAGGGACGCTTCTCGAGGTGAGGCAGGGCACCCAAGGACCCTTTCCAGTAGCCACAGGGATTTTGGGATTCCTATCAGTATTCAAGAGGAGTCAGGCATCGTCACCTTTTGAAGCAATGAACTCCGCGTGCCTCTCGAGGTGTCAGCGGGATGTGAGGCATTCCGTCAAAATGAGGCAGGGACCTAGGGCTTTCTCTAAGGTCTCCACAGGGGATTCAGACATCCCTTCATGTTGTGAGATGAAAGACGAGCCTGTATTCAAGCCACTGCAAGGAAATCCGGCCTCCTTTCAAGTTAGGGCTTCTCGCTGTATATTCCCCTTGAGGCAGCAAACTCGGGGTCCCTCCCACATACCTATGGCTGAGAGAAGCCTCCTCCTGAGGTGCTTCTGGGAAGTTGGCATACGTCTTGAGCCTAAGCCAGGGAATCAGCTCTCATCTCGAGACGATTTGGGGTACACGGAGCATTCCTCGAGTTGCTGTGCTGAAGTTGGTGTTCCTCTAGACTTGGGACAGTGTTCTCGGGGCATCTCTGGAGTTGCCTGAAGGAAGTCGAGCCACCGGTCGTGTTGAATGGGGAACGGGGAATGGCTCTGGAGTCAATGCAGGGGAATCGGGCCTCATCTCGAGTTGATTTGGGGCACATGGAGCTGCTTTGCGTTGCTGGGGTGACCTCAGGGTCCGTCTAGACTGGTGACAGTGATCTTGGGGACTGTCTCGAGATCCATTAAGCAAGTCGAAGCTCCTGACTTGTTTAAATGGGATCACGGAATAGCTCTGCATGCACTGCAGGGGAATGGGGCCTCATCTCGCCTCTAGGGGGAAGTCTCATGGTTTTTCTCGAGTTGCGGCGGGGACCTGGGGTATGTTCTCGACTTACGGCGGGGATGGCCCTTCAAGACACGAGTTTCTTCAGTGACTTCAGGACTCCTGTCTAGTAACGAGGGACACCTCAGGAATCTCTTCGAGGCTTGGCAGGGCCAAAGGGACGCTTCTCGAGGTGAGGCAGGGCACCCAAGGACCCTTTCCAGTAGCCACAGGGATTTTGGGATTCCTATCAGTATTCAAGAGGAGTCAGGCATCGTCACCTTTTGAAGCAATGAACTCCACGTGCCTCTCGAGGTGTCAGCGGGATGTGAGGCATTCCGTCAAAAAGAGGCAGCGACCTAGGGCTTTCTCTAAGGTCTCCACAGAGGATTCAGACATCCCTTCATGTTGTGAGATGAAAGACGAGCCTGTATTCAAGCCACTGCAAGGAAATCCGGCCTCCTTTCAAGTTAGGGCTTCTCGCTGTATATTTCCCTTGAGGCAGCAAACTCGGGGTCCCTCCCACATACCTATTGCTGAGAGAAGCCTCCTCCTGAGGTGCTTCTGGGAAGTTGGCATACGTCTTTAGCCTAAGCCAGGGAATCAGCTCTCATCTCGAGACGATTTGGGGTACACGGAGCATTCCTCGAGTTGCTGTGCTGAAGTTGGTGTTCCTCTAGACTTGGGACAGTGTTCTCGGGGCATCTCTGGAGTTGCATGAAGGAAGTCGAGCCACCGGTCGTGTTGAATGGGGAACGGGGAATGGCTCTGGAGTCAATGCAGGGGAATCGGGCCTCATCTCGAGTTGATTTGGGGCACATGGAGCTGCTTTGCGTTGCTGGGGTGACCTCAGGGTCCGTCTAGACTGGTGACAGTGTTCTTGGGGACTGTCTCGAGATCCATTAAGCAAGTCGAAGCTCCTGACTTGTTTGAATGGGATCACGGAATAGCTCTGCATGCACTGCAGGGGAATGGGGCCTCATCTCGCCTCTAGGGGGAAGTCTCATGGTTTTTCTCGAGTTGTGGCGGGGACCTGGGGTATGTTCTCGACTTACGGCGGGGATGGCCCTTCAAGACACGAGTTTCTTCAGTGACGTCAGGACTCCTGTCTAGTAACGAGGGACACCTCAGGAATCTCTTCGAGGCTTGGCAGGGCCAAAGGGACGCTTCTCGAGGTGAGGCAGGGCACCCAAGGACCCTTTCCAGTAGCCACCGGGATTTTGGGATTCCTATCAGTATTCAAGAGGAGTCAGGCATCGTCACCTTTTGAAGCAATGAACTCCGCGTGCCTCTCGAGGTGTCAGCGGGATGTGAGGCATTCCGTCAAAATGAGGCAGGGACCTAGGGCTTTCTCTAAGGTCTCCACAGGGGATTCAGACATCCCTTCATGTTGTGAGATGAAAGACGAGCCTGTATTCAAGCCACTGCAAGGAAATCCGGCCTCCTTTCAAGTTAGGGCTTCTCGCTGTATATTCCCCTTGAGGCAGCAAACTCGGGGTCCCTCCCACATACCTATGGCTGAGAGAAGCCTCCTCCTGAGGTGCTTCTGGGAAGTTGGCATACGTCTTGAGCCTAAGCCAGGGAATCAGCTCGCATCTCGAGACGATTTGGGGTACACGGAGCATTCCTCGAGTTGCTGTGCTGAAGTTGGTGTTCCTCTAGACTTGGGACAGTGTTCTCGGGGCATCTCTGGAGTTGCCTGAAGGAAGTCGAGCCACCGGTCGAGTTGAATGGGGAACGGGGAATGGCTCTGGAGTCAATGCAGGGGAATCGGGCCTCATCTCGAGTTGATTTGGGGCACTTGGAGCTGCTTTGCGTTGCTGGGGTGACCTCAGGGTCCGTCTAGACTGGTGACAGTGTTCTTGGGGACTGTCTCGAGATCCATTAAGCAAGTCGAAGCTCCTGACTTGTTTGAATGGGATCACGGAATAGCTCTGCATGCACTGCAGGGGAATGGGGCCTCATCTCGCCTCTAGGGGGAAGTCTCATGGTTTTTCTCGAGTTGCGGCGGGGACCTGGGGTATGTTCTCAACTTACGGCGGGGATGGCCCTTCAAGACACGAGTTTCTTCAGTGACGTCAGGACTCCTGTCTAGTAACGAGGGACACCTCAGGAATCTCTTCAAGGCTTGGCAGGGCCAAAGGGACGCTTCTCGAGGTGAGGCAGGGCACCCAAGGACCCTTTCCAGTAGCCACAGGGATTTTGGGATTCCTATCAGTATTCAAGAGGAGTCAGGCATCGTCACCTTTTGAAGCAATGAACTCCGCGTGCCTCTCGAGGTGTCAGCGGGATGTGAGGCATTCCGTCAAAATGAGGCAGGGACCTAGGGCTTTCTCTAAGGTCTCCACAGGGGATTCAGACATCCCTTCATGTTGTGAGATGAAAGACGAGCCTGTATTCAAGCCACTGCAAGGAAATCCGGCCTCCTTTCAAGTTAGGGCTTCTCGCTGTATATTCCCCTTGAGGCAGCAAACTCGGGGTCCCTCCCACATACCTATGGCTGAGAGAAGCCTCCTCCTGAGGTGCTTCTGGGAAGTTGGCATACGTCTTGAGCCTAAGCCAGGGAATCAGCTCTCATCTCGAGACGATTTGGGGTACACGGAGCATTCCTCGAGTTGCTGTGCTGAAGTTGGTGTTCCTCTAGACTTGGGACAGTGTTCTCGGGGCATCTCTGGAGTTGCCTGAAGGAAGTCGAGCCACCGGTCGTGTTGAATGGGGAACGGGGAATGGCTCTGGAGTCAATGCAGGGGAATCGGGCCTCATCTCGAGTTGATTTGGGGCACATGGAGCTGCTTTGCGTTGCTGGGGTGACCTCAGGGTCCGTCTAGACTGGTGACAGTGATCTTGGGGACTGTCTCGAGATCCATTAAGCAAGTCGAAGCTCCTGACTTGTTTAAATGGGATCACGGAATAGCTCTGCATGCACTGCAGGGGAATGGGGCCTCATCTCGCCTCTAGGGGGAAGTCTCATGGTTTTTCTCGAGTTGCGGCGGGGACCTGGGGTATGTTCTCGACTTACGGCGGGGATGGCCCTTCAAGACACGAGTTTCTTCAGTGACTTCAGGACTCCTGTCTAGTAACGAGGGACACCTCAGGAATCTCTTCGAGGCTTGGCAGGGCCAAAGGGACGCTTCTCGAGGTGAGGCAGGGCACCCAAGGACCCTTTCCAGTAGCCACAGGGATTTTGGGATTCCTATCAGTATTCAAGAGGAGTCAGGCATCGTCACCTTTTGAAGCAATGAACTCCACGTGCCTCTCGAGGTGTCAGCGGGATGTGAGGCATTCCGTCAAAAAGAGGCAGCGACCTAGGGCTTTCTCTAAGGTCTCCACAGAGGATTCAGACATCCCTTCATGTTGTGAGATGAAAGACGAGCCTGTATTCAAGCCACTGCAAGGAAATCCGGCCTCCTTTCAAGTTAGGGCTTCTCGCTGTATATTTCCCTTGAGGCAGCAAACTCGGGGTCCCTCCCACATACCTATTGCTGAGAGAAGCCTCCTCCTGAGGTGCTTCTGGGAAGTTGGCATACGTCTTTAGCCTAAGCCAGGGAATCAGCTCTCATCTCGAGACGATTTGGGGTACACGGAGCATTCCTCGAGTTGCTGTGCTGAAGTTGGTGTTCCTCTAGACTTGGGACAGTGTTCTCGGGGCATCTCTGGAGTTGCATGAAGGAAGTCGAGCCACCGGTCGTGTTGAATGGGGAACGGGGAATGGCTCTGGAGTCAATGCAGGGGAATCGGGCCTCATCTCGAGTTGATTTGGGGCACATGGAGCTGCTTTGCGTTGCTGGGGTGACCTCAGGGTCCGTCTAGACTGGTGACAGTGTTCTTGGGGACTGTCTCGAGATCCATTAAGCAAGTCGAAGCTCCTGACTTGTTTGAATGGGATCACGGAATAGCTCTGCATGCACTGCAGGGGAATGGGGCCTCATCTCGCCTCTAGGGGGAAGTCTCATGGTTTTTCTCGAGTTGTGGCGGGGACCTGGGGTATGTTCTCGACTTACGGCGGGGATGGCCCTTCAAGACACGAGTTTCTTCAGTGACGTCAGGACTCCTGTCTAGTAACGAGGGACACCTCAGGAATCTCTTCGAGGCTTGGCAGGGCCAAAGGGACGCTTCTCGAGGTGAGGCAGGGCACCCAAGGACCCTTTCCAGTAGCCACCGGGATTTTGGGATTCCTATCAGTATTCAAGAGGAGTCAGGCATCGTCACCTTTTGAAGCAATGAACTCCGCGTGCCTCTCGAGGTGTCAGCGGGATGTGAGGCATTCCGTCAAAATGAGGCAGGGACCTAGGGCTTTCTCTAAGGTCTCCACAGGGGATTCAGACATCCCTTCATGTTGTGAGATGAAAGACGAGCCTGTATTCAAGCCACTGCAAGGAAATCCGGCCTCCTTTCAAGTTAGGGCTTCTCGCTGTATATTCCCCTTGAGGCAGCAAACTCGGGGTCCCTCCCACATACCTATGGCTGAGAGAAGCCTCCTCCTGAGGTGCTTCTGGGAAGTTGGCATACGTCTTGAGCCTAAGCCAGGGAATCAGCTCGCATCTCGAGACGATTTGGGGTACACGGAGCATTCCTCGAGTTGCTGTGCTGAAGTTGGTGTTCCTCTAGACTTGGGACAGTGTTCTCGGGGCATCTCTGGAGTTGCCTGAAGGAAGTCGAGCCACCGGTCGAGTTGAATGGGGAACGGGGAATGGCTCTGGAGTCAATGCAGGGGAATCGGGCCTCATCTCGAGTTGATTTGGGGCACATGGAGCTGCTTTGCGTTGCTGGGGTGACCTCAGGGTCCGTCTAGACTGGTGACAGTGTTCTTGGGGACTGTCTCGAGATCCATTAAGCAAGTCGAAGCTCCTGACTTGTTTGAATGGGATCACGGAATAGCTCTGCATGCACTGCAGGGGAATGGGGCCTCATCTCGCCTCTAGGGGGAAGTCTCATGGTTTTTCTCGAGTTGCGGCGGGGACCTGGGGTATGTTCTCAACTTACGGCGGGGATGGCCCTTCAAGACACGAGTTTCTTCAGTGACGTCAGGACTCCTGTCTAGTAACGAGGGACACCTCAGGAATCTCTTCAAGGCTTGGCAGGGCCAAAGGGACGCTTCTCGAGGTGAGGCAGGGCACCCAAGGACCCTTTCCAGTAGCCACAGGGATTTTGGGATTCCTATCAGTATTCAAGAGGAGTCAGGCATCGTCACCTTTTGAAGCAATGAACTCCGCGTGCCTCTCGAGGTGTCAGCGGGATGTGAGGCATTCCGTCAAAATGAGGCAGGGACCTAGGGCTTTCTCTAAGGTCTCCACAGGGGATTCAGACATCCCTTCATGTTGTGAGATGAAAGACGAGCCTGTATTCAAGCCACTGCAAGGAAATCCGGCCTCCTTTCAAGTTAGGGCTTCTCGCTGTATATTCCCCTTGAGGCAGCAAACTCGGGGTCCCTCCCACATACCTATTGCTGAGAGAAGCCTCCTCCTGAGGTGCTTCTGGGAAGTTGGCATACGTCTTGAGCCTAACCCAGGGAATCAGCTCGCATCTCGAGACGATTTGGGGTACACGGAGCATTCCTCGATTTGCTGTGCTGAAGTTGGTGTTCCTCTAGACTTGGGACAGTGTTCTCGGGGCATCTCTGGAGTTGCCTGAAGGAAGTCGAGCCACCGGTCGTGTTGAATGGGGAACGGGGAATGGCTCTGGAGTCAATGCAGGGGAATCGGGCCTCATCTCGAGTTGATTTGGGGCACATGGAGCTGCTTTGCGTTGCTGGGGTGACCTCAGGGTCCGTCTAGACTGGTGACAGTGTTCTTGGGGACTGTCTCGAGATCCATTAAGCAAGTCGAAGCTCCTGACTTGTTTGAATGGGATCACGGAATAGCTCTGCATGCACTGCAGGGGAATGGGGCCTCATCTCGCCTCTAGGGGGAAGTCTCATGGTTTTTCTCGAGTTGCGGCGGGGACCTGGGGTATGTTCTCGACTTACGGCGGGGATGGCCCTTCAAGACACGAGTTTCTTCAGTGACGTCAGGACTCCTGTCTAGTAACGAGGGACACCTCAGGAATCTCTTCGAGGCTTGGCAGGGCCAAAGGGACGCTTCTCGAGGTGAGGCAGGGCACCCAAGGACCCTTTCCAGTAGCCACAGGGATTTTGGGATTCCTATCAGTATTCAAGAGGAGTCAGGCATCGTCACCTTTTGAAGCAATGAACTCCGCGTGCCTCTCGAGGTGTCAGCGGGATGTGAGGCATTCCGTCAAAATGAGGCAGGGACCTAGGGCTTTCTCTAAGGTCTCCACAGGGGATTCAGACATCCCTTCATGTTGTGAGATGAAAGACGAGCCTGTATTCAAGCCACTGCAAGGAAATCCGGCCTCCTTTCAAGTTAGGGCTTCTCGCTGTATATTCCCCTTGAGGCAGCAAACTCGGGGTCCCTCCCACATACCGATGGCTGAGAGAAGCCTCCTCCTGAGGTGCTTCTGGGAAGTTGGCATATGTCTTGAGCCTAAGCCAGGGAATCAGCTCGCATCTCGAGACGATTTGGGGTACACGGAGCATTCCTCGAGTTGCTGTGCTGAAGTTGGTGTTCCTCTAGACTTGGGACAGTGTTCTCGGGGCATCTCTGGAGTTGCCTGAAGGAAGTCGAGCCACCGGTCGTGTTGAATGGGGAACGGGGAATGGCTCTGGAGTCAATGCAGGGGAATCGGGCCTCATCTCGAGTTGATTTGGGGCACATGGAGCTGCTTTGCGTTGCTGGGGTGACCTCAGGGTCCGTCTAGACTGGTGACAGTGTTCTTGGGGACTGTCTCGAGATCCATTAAGCAAGTCGAAGCTCCTGACTTGTTTGAATGGGATCACGGAATAGCTCTGCATGCACTGCAGGGGAATGGGGCCTCATCTCGCCTCTAGGGGGAAGTCTCATGGTTTTTCTCGAGTTGCGGCGGGGACCTGGGGTATGTTCTCGACTTACGGCGGGGATGGCCCTTCAAGACACGAGTTTCTTCAGTGACGTCAGGACTCCTGTCTAGTAACGAGGGACACCTCAGGAATCTCTTCGAGGCTTGGCAGGGCCAAAGGGACGCTTCTCGAGGTGAGGCAGGGCACCCAAGGACCCTTTCCAGTAGCCACAGGGATTTTGGGATTCCTATCAGTATTCAAGAGGAGTCAGGCATCGTCACCTTTTGAAGCAATGAACTCCGCGTGCCTCTCGAGGTGTCAGCGGGATGTGAGGCATTCCGTCGAATGAGTCAGCGACCTAGGGCTTTCTCTAAGGTCTCCACAGGGGATTCAGACATCCCTTCATGTTGTGAGATGAAAGACGAGCCTGTATTCAAGCCACTGCAAGGAAATCCGGCCTCCTTTCAAGTTAGGGCTTCTCGCTGTATATTCCCCTTGAGGCAGCAAACTCGGGGTCCCTCCCACATACCTATTGCTGAGAGAAGCCTCCTCCTGAGGTGCTTCTGGGAAGTTGGCATACGTCTTGAGCCTAAGCCAGGGAATCAGCTCTCATCTCGAGACGATTTGGGGTACACGGAGCATTCCTCGAGTTGCTGTGCTGAAGTTGGTGTTCCTCTAGACTTGGGACAGTGTTCTCGGGGCATCTCTGGAGTTGCCTGAAGGAAGTCGAGCCACCGGTCGTGTTGAATGGGGAACAGGGAATGGCTCTGGAGTCAATGCAGGGGAATCGGGCCTCATCTCGAGTTGATTTGGGGCACATGGAGCTACTTTGCGTTGCTGGGGTGACCTCAGGGTCCGTCTAGACTGGTGACAGTGTTCTTGGGGACTGTCTCGAGATCCATTAAGCAAGTCGAAGCTCCTGACTTGTTTGAATGGAATCACGGAATAGCTCTGCATGCACTGCAGGGGAATGGGGCCTCATCTCGCCTCTAGGGGGAAGTCTCATGGTTTTTCTCGAGTTCTGGCGGGGACCTGGGGTATGTTCTCGACTTACGGCGGGGATGGCCCTTCAAGACACGAGTTTCTTCAGTGACGTCAGGACTCCTGTCTAGTAACGAGGGACACCTCAGGAATCTCTTCGAGGCTTGGCAGGGCCAAAGGGACGCTTCTCGAGGTGAGGCAGGGCACCCAAGGACCCTTTCCAGTAGCCACCGGGATTTTGGGATTCCTATCAGTATTCAAGAGGAGTCAGGCATCGTCACCTTTTGAAGCAATGAACTCCGCGTGCCTCTCGAGGTGTCAGCGTGATGTGAGGCATTCCGTCAAAATGAGGCAGGGACCTAGGGCTTTCTCTAAGGTCTCCACAGGGGATTCAGACATCCCTTCATGTTGTGAGATGAAAGACGAGCCTGTATTCAAGCCACTGCAAGGAAATCCGGCCTCCTTTCAAGTTAGGGCTTCTCGCTGTATATTCCCCTTGAGGCAGCAAACTCGGGGTCCCTCCCACATTCCTATGGCTGAGAGAAGCCTCCTCCTGAGGTGCTTCTGGGAAGTTGGCATACGTCTTGAGCCTAAGCCAGGGAATCAGCTCTCATCTCGAGACGATTTGGGGTACACGGAGCATTCCTCGAGTTGCTGTGCTGAAGTTGGTGTTCCTCTAGACTTGGGACAGTGTTCTCGGGGCATCTCTGGAGTTGCCTGAAGGAAGTCGAGCCACCGGTCGTGTTGAATGGGGAACGGGGAATGGCTCTGGAGTCAATGCAGGGGAATCGGGCCTCATCTCGAGTTGATTTGGGGCACATGGAGCTGCTTTGCGTTGCTGGGGTGACCTCAGGGTCCGTCTAGACTGGTGACAGTGTTCTTGGGGACTGTCTCGAGATCCATTAAGCAAGTCGAAGCTCCTGACTTGTTTGAATGGGATCACGGAATAGCTCTGCATGCACTGCAGGGGAATGGGGCCTCATCTCGCCTCTAGGGGGAAGTCTCATGGTTTTTCTCGAGTTGCGGCGGGGACCTGGGGTATGTTCTCGACTTACGGCGGGGATGGCCCTTCAAGACACGAGTTTCTTCAGTGACGTCAGGACTCCTGTCTAGTAACGAGGGACACCTCAGGAATCTCTTCGAGGCTTGGCAGGGCCAAAGGGACGCTTCTCGAGGTGAGGCAGGGCACCCAAGGACCCTTTCCAGTAGCCACAGGGATTTTGGGATTCCTATCAGTATTCAAGAGGAGTCAGGCATCGTCACCTTTTGAAGCAATGAACTCCGCGTGCCTCTCGAGGTGTCAGCGGGATGTGAGGCATTCCGTCAAAATGAGGCAGGGACCTAGGGCTTTCTCTAAGGTCTCCACAGGGGATTCAGACATCCCTTCATGTTGTGAGATGAAAGACGAGCCTGTATTCAAGCCACTGCAAGGAAATCCGGCCTCCTTTCAAGTTAGGGCTTCTCGCTGTATATTCCCCTTGAGGCAGCAAACTCGGGGTCCCTCCCACATACCTATGGCTGTGAGAAGCCTCCTCCTGAGGTGCTTCTGGGAAGTTGGCATACGTCTTGAGCGTAAACCAGGGAATCAGCTCGCATCTCGAGACGATTTGGGGTACACGGAGCATTCCTCGAGTTGCTGTGCTGAAGTTGGTGTTCCTCTAGACTTGGGACAGTGTTCTCGGGGCATCTCTGGAGTTGCCTGAAGGAAGTCGAGCCACCGGTCGTGTTGAATGGGGAACGGGGAATGGCTCTGGACTCAATGCAGGGGAATCGGGCCTCATCTCGAGTTGATTTGGGGCACATGGAGCTGCTTTGCGTTGCTGGGGAGACCTCAGGGTCCGTCTAGACTGGTGACAGTGTTCTTGGGGACTGTCTCGAGATCCATTAAGCAAGTCGAAGCTCCTGACTTGTTTGAATGGGATCACGGAATAGCTCTGCATGCACTGCAGGGGAATGGGGCCTCATCTCGCCTCTAGGGGGAAGTCTCATGGTTTTTCTCGAGTTGCGGCGGGGACCTGGGGTATGTTCTCGACTTACGGCGGGGATGGCCCTTCAAGACACGAGTTTCTTCAGTGACGTCAGGACTCCTGTCTAGTAACGAGGGACACCTCAGGAATCTCTTCGAGGCTTGGCAGGGCCAAAGGGACGCTTCTCGAGGTGAGGCAGGGCACCCAAGGACCCTTTCCAGTAGCCACAGGGATTTTGGGATTCCTATCAGTATTCAAGAGGAGTCAGGCATCGTCACCTTTTGAAGCAATGAACTCCGCGTGCCTCTCGAGGTGTCAGCGGGATGTGAGGCATTCCGTCAAAATGAGGCAGGGACCTAGGGCTTTCTCTAAGGTCTCCACAGGGGATTCAGACATCCCTTCATGTTGTGAGATGAAAGACGAGCCTGTATTCAAGCCACTGCAAGGAAATCCGGCCTCCTTTCAAGTTAGGGCTTCTCGCTGTATATTCCCCTTGAGGCAGCAAACTCGGGGTCCCTCCCACATACCTATGGCTGAGAGAAGCCTCCTCCTGAGGTGCTTCTGGGAAGTTGGCATACGTCTTGAGCCTAAGCCAGGGAATCAGCTCTCATCTCGAGACGATTTGGGGTACACGGAGCATTCCTCGAGTTGCTGTGCTGAAGTTGGTGTTCCTCTAGACTTGGGACAGTGTTCTCGGGGCATCTCTGGAGTTGCCTGAAGGAAGTCGAGCCACCGGTCGTGTTGAATGGGGAACGGGGAATGGCTCTGGAGTCAATGCAGGGGAATCGGGCCTCATCTCGAGTTGATTTGGGGCACATGGAGCTGCTTTGCGTTGCTGGGGTGACCTCAGGGTCCGTCTAGACTGGTGACAGTGATCTTGGGGACTGTCTCGAGATCCATTAAGCAAGTCGAAGCTCCTGACTTGTTTAAATGGGATCACGGAATAGCTCTGCATGCACTGCAGGGGAATGGGGCCTCATCTCGCCTCTAGGGGGAAGTCTCATGGTTTTTCTCGAGTTGCGGCGGGGACCTGGGGTATGTTCTCGACTTACGGCGGGGATGGCCCTTCAAGACACGAGTTTCTTCAGTGACTTCAGGACTCCTGTCTAGTAACGAGGGACACCTCAGGAATCTCTTCGAGGCTTGGCAGGGCCAAAGGGACGCTTCTCGAGGTGAGGCAGGGCACCCAAGGACCCTTTCCAGTAGCCACAGGGATTTTGGGATTCCTATCAGTATTCAAGAGGAGTCAGGCATCGTCACCTTTTGAAGCAATGAACTCCACGTGCCTCTCGAGGTGTCAGCGGGATGTGAGGCATTCCGTCAAAAAGAGGCAGCGACCTAGGGCTTTCTCTAAGGTCTCCACAGAGGATTCAGACATCCCTTCATGTTGTGAGATGAAAGACGAGCCTGTATTCAAGCCACTGCAAGGAAATCCGGCCTCCTTTCAAGTTAGGGCTTCTCGCTGTATATTTCCCTTGAGGCAGCAAACTCGGGGTCCCTCCCACATACCTATTGCTGAGAGAAGCCTCCTCCTGAGGTGCTTCTGGGAAGTTGGCATACGTCTTTAGCCTAAGCCAGGGAATCAGCTCTCATCTCGAGACGATTTGGGGTACACGGAGCATTCCTCGAGTTGCTGTGCTGAAGTTGGTGTTCCTCTAGACTTGGGACAGTGTTCTCGGGGCATCTCTGGAGTTGCATGAAGGAAGTCGAGCCACCGGTCGTGTTGAATGGGGAACGGGGAATGGCTCTGGAGTCAATGCAGGGGAATCGGGCCTCATCTCGAGTTGATTTGGGGCACATGGAGCTGCTTTGCGTTGCTGGGGTGACCTCAGGGTCCGTCTAGACTGGTGACAGTGTTCTTGGGGACTGTCTCGAGATCCATTAAGCAAGTCGAAGCTCCTGACTTGTTTGAATGGGATCACGGAATAGCTCTGCATGCACTGCAGGGGAATGGGGCCTCATCTCGCCTCTAGGGGGAAGTCTCATGGTTTTTCTCGAGTTGTGGCGGGGACCTGGGGTATGTTCTCGACTTACGGCGGGGATGGCCCTTCAAGACACGAGTTTCTTCAGTGACGTCAGGACTCCTGTCTAGTAACGAGGGACACCTCAGGAATCTCTTCGAGGCTTGGCAGGGCCAAAGGGACGCTTCTCGAGGTGAGGCAGGGCACCCAAGGACCCTTTCCAGTAGCCACCGGGATTTTGGGATTCCTATCAGTATTCAAGAGGAGTCAGGCATCGTCACCTTTTGAAGCAATGAACTCCGCGTGCCTCTCGAGGTGTCAGCGGGATGTGAGGCATTCCGTCAAAATGAGGCAGGGACCTAGGGCTTTCTCTAAGGTCTCCACAGGGGATTCAGACATCCCTTCATGTTGTGAGATGAAAGACGAGCCTGTATTCAAGCCACTGCAAGGAAATCCGGCCTCCTTTCAAGTTAGGGCTTCTCGCTGTATATTCCCCTTGAGGCAGCAAACTCGGGGTCCCTCCCACATACCTATGGCTGAGAGAAGCCTCCTCCTGAGGTGCTTCTGGGAAGTTGGCATACGTCTTGAGCCTAAGCCAGGGAATCAGCTCGCATCTCGAGACGATTTGGGGTACACGGAGCATTCCTCGAGTTGCTGTGCTGAAGTTGGTGTTCCTCTAGACTTGGGACAGTGTTCTCGGGGCATCTCTGGAGTTGCCTGAAGGAAGTCGAGCCACCGGTCGTGTTGAATGGGGAACGGGGAATGGCTCTGGAGTCAATGCAGGGGAATCGGGCCTCATCTCGAGTTGATTTGGGGCACATGGAGCTGCTTTGCGTTGCTGGGGTGACCTCAGGGTCCGTCTAGACTGGTGACAGTGTTCTTGGGGACTGTCTCGAGATCCATTAAGCAAGTCGAAGCTCCTGACTTGTTTGAATGGGATCACGGAATAGCTCTGCATGCACTGCAGGGGAATGGGGCCTCATCTCGCCTCTAGGGGGAAGTCTCATGGTTTTTCTCGAGTTGCGGCGGGGGACCTGGGGTATGTTCTCAACTTACGGCGGGGATGGCCCTTCAAGACACGAGTTTCTTCAGTGACGTCAGGACTCCTGTCTAGTAACGAGGGACACCTCAGGAATCTCTTCAAGGCTTGGCAGGGCCAAAGGGACGCTTCTCGAGGTGAGGCAGGGCACCCAAGGACCCTTTCCAGTAGCCACCGGGATTTTGGGATTCCTATCAGTATTCAAGAGGAGTCAGGCATCGTCACCTTTTGAAGCAATGAACTCCGCGTGCCTCTCGAGGTGTCAGCGGGATGTGAGGCATTCCGTCAAAATGAGGCAGGGACCTAGGGCTTTCTCTAAGGTCTCCACAGGGGATTCTGACATCCCTTCATGTTGTGAGATGAAAGACGAGCCTGTATTCAAGCCACTGCAAGGAAATCCGGCCTCCTTTCAAGTTAGGGCTTCTCGCTGTATATTCCCCCTTGAGGCAGCAAACTCGGGGTCCCTCCCACATACCTATTGCTGAGAGAAGCCTCCTCCTGAGGTGCTTCTGGGAAGTTGGCATACGTCCTTGAGCCTAACCCAGGGAAATCAGCTCGCATCTCGAGACGATTTGGGGTACACGGAGCATTCCTCGATTTGCTGTGCTGAAGTTGGTGTTCCTCTAGACTTGGGACAGTGTTCTCGGGGCATCTCTGGAGTTGCCTGAAGGAAGTCGAGCCACCGGTCGTGTTGAATGGGGAACGGGGAATGGCTCTGGAGTCAATGCAGGGGAATCGGGCCTCATCTCGAGTTGATTTGGGGCACATGGAGCTGCTTTGCGTTGCTGGGGTGACCTCAGGGTCCGTCTAGACTGGTGACAGTGTTCTTGGGGACTGTCTCGAGATCCATTAAGCAAGTCGAAGCTCCTGACTTGTTTGAATGGGATCACGGAATAGCTCTGCATGCACTGCAGGGGGAATGGGGCCTCATCTCGCCTCTAGGGGGAAGTCTCATGGTTTTTCTCGAGTTGCGGCGGGGACCTGGGGTATGTTCTCGACTTACGGCGGGGATGGCCCTTCAAGACACGAGTTTCTTCAGTGACGTCAGGACTCCTGTCTAGTAACGAGGGACACCTCAGGAATCTCTTCGAGGCTTGGCAGGGCCAAAGGGGACGCTTCTCGAGGTGAGGCAGGGCACCCAAGGACCCTTTCCAGTAGCCACAGGGATTTTGGGATTCCTATCAGTATTCAAGAGGAGTCAGGCATCGTCACCTTTTGAAGCAATGAACTCCGCGTGCCTCTCGAGGTGTCAGCGGGATGTGAGGCATTCCGTCAAAATGAGGCAGGGACCTAGGGCTTTCTCTAAGGTCTCCACAGGGGATTCAGACATCCCTTCATGTTGTGAGATGAAAGACGAGCCTGTATTCAAGCCACTGCAAGGAAATCCGGCCTCCTTTCAAGTTAGGGCTTCTCGCTGTATATTCCCCTTGAGGCAGCAAACTCGGGGTCCCTCCCACATACCGATGGCTGAGAGAAGCCTCCTCCTGAGGTGCTTCTGGGAAGTTGGCATACGTCTTGAGCCTAAGCCAGGGAATCAGCTCGCATCTCGAGACGATTTGGGGGTACACGGAGCATTCCTCGAGTTGCTGTGCTGAAGTTGGTGTTCCTCTAGACTTGGGACAGTGTTCTCGGGGCATCTCTGGAGTTGCCTGAAGGAAGTCGAGCCACCGGTCGTGTTGAATGGGGAACGGGGAATGGCTCTGGAGTCAATGCAGGGGAATCGGGCCTCATCTCGAGTTGATTTGGGGCACATGGAGCTGCTTTGCGTTGCTGGGGTGACCTCAGGGTCCGTCTAGACTGGTGACAGTGTTCTTGGGGACTGTCTCGAGATCCATTAAGCAAGTCGAAGCTCCTGACTTGTTTGAATGGGATCACGGAATAGCTCTGCATGCACTGCAGGGGAATGGGGCCTCATCTCGCCTCTAGGGGGAAGTCTCATGGTTTTTCTCGAGTTGCGGCGGGGACCTGGGGTATGTTCTCGACTTACGGCGGGGGATGGCCCTTCAAGACACGAGTTTCTTCAGTGACGTCAGGACTCCTGTCTAGTAACGAGGGACACCTCAGGAATCTCTTCGAGGCTTGGCAGGGCCAAAGGGACGCTTCTCGAGGTGAGGCAGGGCACCCAAGGACCCTTTCCAGTAGCCACAGGGATTTTGGGATTCCTATCAGTATTCAAGAGGAGTCAGGCATCGTCACCTTTTGAAGCAATGAACTCCGCGTGAGGTGTCAGCGGGATGTGAGGCATTCCGTCGAATGAGTCAGCGACCTAGGGCTTTCTCTAAGGTCTCCACAGGGGATTCAGACATCCCTTCATGTTGTGAGATGAAAGATGAGCCTGTATTCAAGCCACTGCAAGGAAATCCGGCCTCCTTTCAAGTTAGGGCTTCTCGCTGTATATTCCCCTTGAGGCAGCAAACTCGGGGTCCCTCCCACATTCCTATGGCTGAGAGAAGCCTCCTCCTGAGGTGCTTCTGGGAAGTTGGCATACGTCTTGAGCCTAAGCCAGGGAATCAGCTCTCATCTCGAGACGATTTGGGGTACACGGAGCATTCCTCTAGTTGCTGTGCTGAAGTTGGTGTTCCTCTAGACTTGGGACAGTGTTCTCGGGGCATCTCTGGAGTTGCCTGAAGGAAGTCGAGCCACCGGTCGTGTTGAATGGGGAACGGGGAATGGCTCTGGAGTCAATGCAGGGGAATCGGGCCTCATCTCGAGTTGATTTGGGGCACATGGAGCTGCTTTGCGTTGCTGGGGTGACCTCAGGGTCCGTCTAGACTGGTGACAGTGTTCTTGGGGACTGTCTCGAGATCCATTAAGCAAGTCGAAGCTCCTGACTTGTTTGAATGGGATCACGGAATAGCTCTGCATGCACTGCAGGGGAATGGGGCCTCATCTCGCCTCTAGGGGGAAGTCTCATGGTTTTTCTCGAGTTGCGGCGGGGACCTGGGGTATGTTCTCGACTTACGGCGGGGATGGCCCTTCAAGACACGAGTTTCTTCAGTGACGTCAGGACTCCTGTCTAGTAACGAGGGACACCTCAGGAATCTCTTCGAGGCTTGGCAGGGCCAAAGGGACGCTTCTCGAGGTGAGGCAGGGCACCCAAGGACCCTTTCCAGTAGCCACAGGGATTTTGGGATTCCTATCAGTATTCAAGAGGAGTCAGGCATCGTCACCTTTTGAAGCAATGAACTCCGCGTGCCTCTCGAGGTGTCAGCGGGATGTGAGGCATTCCGTCAAAATGAGGCAGGGACCTAGGGCTTTCTCTAAGGTCTCCACAGGGGATTCAGACATCCCTTCATGTTGTGAGATGAAAGACGAGCCTGTATTCAAGCCACTGCAAGGAAATCCGGCCTCCTTTCAAGTTAGGGCTTCTCGCTGTATATTCCCCTTGAGGCAGCAAACTCGGGGTCCCTCCCACATACCTATTGCTGAGAGAAGCCTCCTCCTGAGGTGCTTCTGGGAAGTTGACATACGTCTTGAGCCTAAGCCAGGGAATCAGCTCTCATCTCGAGACGATTTGGGGTAGACGGAGCATTCCTCGAGTTGCTGTGCTGAAGTTGGTGTTCCTCTAGACTTGGGAGAGTGTTCTCGGGGCATCTCTGGAGTTGCCTGAAGGAAGTCGAGCCACCGGTCGTGTTGAATGGGGAACGGGGAATGGCTCTGGAGTCAATGCAGGGGAATCGGGCCTCATCTCGAGTTGATTTGGGGCACATGGAGCTGCTTTGCGTTGCTGGGGTGACCTCAGGGTCCGTCTAGACTGGTGACAGTGATCTTGGGGACTGTCTCGAGATCCATTAAGCAAGTCGAAGCTCCTGACTTGTTTGAATGGGATCACGGAATAGCTCTGCATGCACTGTAGGGGAATGGGGCCTCATCTCGCCTCTAGGGGGAAGTCTCATGGTTTTTCTCGAGTTGCGGCGGGGACCTGGGGTATGTTCTCGACTTACGGCGGGGATGGCCCTTCAAGACACGAGTTTCTTCAGTGACGTCAGGACTCCTGTCTAGTAACGAGGGACACCTCAGGAATCTCTTCGAGGCTTGGCAGGGCCAAAGGGACGCTTCTCGAGGTGAGGCAGGGCACCCAAGGACCCTTTCCAGTAGCCACAGGGATTTTGGGATTCCTATCAGTATTCAAGAGGAGTCAGGCATCGTCACCTTTTGAAGCAATGAACTCCGCGTGCCTCTCGAGGTGTCAGCGGGATGTGAGGCATTCCGTCAAAATGAGGCAGCGACCTAGGGCTTTCTCTAAGGTCTCCACAGGGGATTCAGACATCCCTTCATGTTGTGAGATGAAAGACGAGCCTGTATTCAAGCCACTGCAAGGAAATCCGGCCTCCTTTCAAGTTAGGGCTTCTCGCTGTATATTCCCCTTGAGGCAGCAAACTCGGGGTCCCTCCCACATACCTATTGCTGAGAGAAGCCTCCTCCTGAGGTGCTTCTGGGAAGTTGGCATACGTCTTGAGCCTAAGCCAGGGAATCAGCTCGCATCTCGAGACGATTTGGGGTACACGGAGCATTCCTCGAGTTGCTGTGCTGAAGTTGGTGTTCCTCTAGACTTGGGACAGTGTTCTCGGGGCATCTCTGGAGTTGCCTGAAGGAAGTCGAGCCACCGGTCGTGTTGAATGGGGAACGGGGAATGGCTCTGGAGTCAATGCAGGGGAATCGGGCCTCATCTCGAGTTGATTTGGGGCACATGGAGCTGCTTTGCGTTGCTGGGGTGACCTCAGGGTCCGTCTAGACTGGTGACAGTGTTCTTGGGGACTGTCTCGAGATCCATTAAGCAAGTCGAAGCTCCTGATTTGTTTGAATGGGATCACGGAATAGCTCTGCATGCACTGCAGGGGAATGGGGCCTCATCTCGCCTCTAGGGGGAAGTCTCATGGTTTTTCTCGAGTTGCGGCGGGGACCTGGGGTATGTTCTCGACTTTCGGCGGGGATGGCCCTTCAAAACACGAGTTTCTTCAGTGACGTCAGGACTCCTGTCTAGTAACGAGGGACACCTCAGGAATCTCTTCGAGGCTTGGCAGGGCCAAAGGGACGCTTCTCGAGGTGAGGCAGGGCACCCAAGGACCCTTTCCAGTAGCCACAGGGATTTTGGGATTCCTATCAGTATTCAAGAGGAGTCAGGCATCGTCACCTTTTGAAGCAATGAACTCCGCGTGCCTCTCGAGGTGTCAGCGCGATGTGAGGCATTCCGTCAAAATGAGGCAGGGACCTATGGCTTTCTCTAAGGTCTCCACAGGGGATTCAGACATCCCTTCATGTTGTGAGATGAAAGACGAGCCTGTATTCAAGCCACTGCAAGGAAATCCGGCCTCCTTTCAAGTTAGGGCTTCTCGCTGTATATTCCCCTTGAGGCAGCAAACTCGGGGTCCCTCCCACATTCCTATGGCTGAGAGAAGCCTCCTCCTGAGGTGCTTCTGGGAAGTTGGCATACGTCTTGAGCCTAAGCCAGGGAATCAGCTCTCATCTCGAGACGATTTGGGGTACACGGAGCATTCCTCTAGTTGCTGTGCTGAAGTTGGTGTTCCTCTAGACTTGGGACAGTGTTCTCGGGGCATCTCTGGAGTTGCCTGAAGGAAGTCGAGCCACCGGTCGTGTTGAATGGGGAACGGGGAATGGCTCTGGAGTCAATGCAGGGGAATCGGGCCTCATCTCGAGTTGATTTGGGGCACATGGAGCTGCTTTGCGTTGCTGGGGTGACCTCAGGGTCCGTCTAGACTGGTGACAGTGTTCTTGGGGACTGTCTCGAGATCCATTAAGCAAGTCGAAGCTCCTGACTTGTTTGAATGGGATCACGGAATAGCTCTGCATGCACTGCAGGGGAATGGGGCCTCATCTCGCCTCTAGGGGGAAGTCTCATGGTTTTTCTCGAGTTGCGGCGGGGACCTGGGGTATGCTCTCGACTTACGGGGGGGATGGCCCTTCAAAACACGAGTTTCTTCAGTGACGTCAGGACTCCTGTCTAGTAACGAGGGACACCTCAGGAATCTCTTCGAGGCTTGGCAGGGCCAAAGGGACGCTTTTCGAGGTGAGGCAGGGCACCCAAGGACCCTTTCCAGTAGCCACAGGGATTTTGGGATTCCTATCAGTATTCAAGAGGAGTCAGGCATCGTCACCTTTTGAAGCAATGAACTCCGCGTGCCTCTCGAGGTGTCAGCGGGATGTGAGGCATTCCGTCAAAATGAGGCAGGGACCTAGGGCTTTCTCTAAGGTCTCCACAGGGGATTCAGACATCCCTTCATGTTGTGAGATGAAAGACGAGCCTGTATTCAAGCCACTGCAAGGAAATCCGGCCTCCTTTCAAGTTAGGGCTTCTCGCTGTATATTCCCCTTGAGGCAGCAAACTCGGGGTCCCTCCCACATACCTATGGCTGAGAGAAGCCTCCTCCTGAGGTGCTTCTGGGAAGTTGGCATACGTCTTGAGCCTAAGCCAGGGAATCAGCTCGCATCTCGAGACGATTTGGGGTACACGGAGCATTCCTCGAGTTGCTGTGCTGAAGTTGGTGTTCCTCTAGACTTGGGACAGTGTTCTCGGGGCATCTCAGGAGTTGCCTGAAGGAAGTCGAGCCACCGGTCGTGTTGAATGGGGAACGGGGAATGGCTCTGGAGTCAATGCAGGGGAATCGGGCCTCATCTCGAGTTGATTTGGGGCACATGGAGCTGCTTTGCGTTGCTGGGGTGACCTCAGGGTCCGTCTAGACTGGTGACAGTGATCTTGGGGAGTGTCTCGAGATCCATTAAGCAAGTCGAAGCTCCTGACTTGTTTGAATGGGATCACGGAATAGCTCTGCATGCACTGCAGGGGAATGGGGCCTCATCTCGCCTCTAGGGGGAAGTCTCATGGTTTTTCTCGAGTTGCGGCGGGGACCTGGGGTATGTTCTCGACTTACGGCGGGGATGGCCCTTCAAGACACGAGTTTCTTCAGTGACGTCAGGACTCCTGTCTAGTAACGAGGGACACCTCAGGAATCTCTTCGAGGCTTGGCAGGGCCAAAGGGACGCTTCTCGAGGTGAGGCAGGGCACCCAAGGACCCTTTCCAGTAGCCACAGGGATTTTGGGATTCCTATCAGTATTCAAGAGGAGTCAGGCATCGTCACCTTTTGAAGCAATGAACTCCGCGTGCCTCTCGAGGTGTCAGCGGGATGTGAGGCATTCCGTCAAAATGAAGCAGGGACCTAGGGCTTTCTCTAAGGTCTCCACAGGGGATTCAGACATCGCTTCATGTTGTGAGATGAAAGACGAGCCTGTATTCAAGCCACTGCAAGGAAATCCGGCCTCCTTTCAAGTTAGGGCTTCTCGCTGTATATTCCCCTTGAGGCAGCAAACTCGGGGTCCCTCCCACATACCTATTGCTGAGAGAAGCCTCCTCCTGAGGTGCTTCTGGGAAGTTGGCATACGTCTTGAGCCTAAGCCAGGGAATCAGCTCTCATCTCGAGACGATTTGGGGTACACGGAGCATTCCTCGAGTTGCTGTGCTGAAGTTGGTGTTCCTCTAGACTTGGGACAGTGTTCTCGGGGCATCTCTGGAGTTGCCTGAAGGAAGTCGAGCCACCGGTCGTGTTGAATGGGGAACGGGGAATGGCTCTGGAGTCAATGCAGGGGAATCGGGCCTCATCTCGAGTTGATTTGGGGCACATGGAGCTGCTTTGCGTTGCTGGGGTGACCTCAGGGTCCGTCTAGACTGGTGACAGTGTTCTTGGGGACTGTCTCGAGATCCATTAAGCAAGTCGAAGCTCCTGACTTGTTTGAATGGGATCACGGAATAGCTCTGCATGCACTGCAGGGGAATGGGGCCTCATCTCGCCTCTAGGGGGAAGTCTCATGGTTTTTCTCGAGTTGCGGCGGGGACCTGGGGTATGTTCTCGACTTACGGCGGGGATGGCCCTTCAAAACACGAGTTTCTTCAGTGACGTCAGGACTCCTGTCTAGTAACGAGGGACACCTCAGGAATCTCTTCGAGGCTTGGCAGGGCCAAAGGGACGCTTCTCGAGGTGAGGCAGGGCACCCAAGGAACCTTTCCAGTAGCCACAGGGATTTTGGGATTCCTATCAGTATTCAAGAGGAGTCAGGCATCGTCACCTTTTGAAGCAATGAACTCCGCGTGCCTCTCGAGGTGTCAGCGGGATGTGAGGCATTCCGTCAAAATGAAGCAGGGACCTAGGGCTTTCTCTAAGGTCTCCACAGGGGATTCAGACATCCCTTCATGTTGTGAGATGAAAGACGAGCCTGTATTCAAGCCACTGCAAGGAAATCCGGCCTCCTTTCAAGTTAGGGCTTCTCGCTGTATATTCCCCTTGAGGCAGCAAACTCGGGGTCCCTCACACATACCTATTGCTGAGAGAAGCCTCCTCCTGAGGTGCTTCTGGGAAGTTGGCATACGTCTTGAGCCTAAGCCAGGGAATCAGCTCTCATCTCGAGACGATTTGGGGTACACGGAGCATTCCTCGAGTTGCTGTGCTGAAGTTGGTGTTCCTCTAGACTTGGGACAGTGTTCTCGGGGCATCTCTGGAGTTGCCTGAAGGAAGTCGAGCCACCGGTCGTGTTGAATGGGGAACGGGGAATGGCTCTGGAGTCAATGCAGGGGAATCGGGCCTCATCTCGAGTTGAATTGGGGCACATGGAGCTGCTTTGCGTTGCTGGGGTGACCTCAGGGTCCGTCTAGACTGGTGACAGTGTTCTTGGGGACTGTCTCGAGATCCATTAAGCAAGTCGAAGCTCCTGACTTGTTTGAATGGGATCACGGAATAGCTCTGCATGCACTGCAGGGGAATGGGGCCTCATCTCGCCTCTAGGGGGAAGTCTCATGGTTTTTCTCGAGTTGCGGCGGGGACCTGGGGTATGTTCTCGACTTACGGCGGGGATGGCCCTTCAAAACACGAGTTTCTTCAGTGACGTCAGGACTCCTGTCTAGTAACGAGGGACACCTCAGGAATCTCTTCGAGGCTTGGCAGGGCCAAAGGGACGCTTCTCGAGGTGAGGCAGGGCACCCAAGGACCCTTTCCAGTAGCCACAGGGATTTTGGGATTCCTATCAGTATTCAAGAGGAGTCAGGCATCGTCACCTTTTGAAGCAATGAACTCCGCGTGCCTCTCGAGGTGTCAGCGGGATGTGAGGCATTCCGTCAAAATGAGGCAGGGACCTAGGGCTTTCTCTAAGGTCTCCACAGGGGATTCAGACATCCCTTCATGTTGTGAGATGAAAGACGAGCCTATATTCAAGCCACTGCAAGGAAATCCGGCCTCCTTTCAAGTTAGGGCTTCTCGCTGTATATTCCCCTTGAGGCAGCAAACTCGGGGTCCCTCCCACATACCTATTGCTGAGAGAAGCCTCCTCCTGAGGTGCTTCTGGGAAGTTGGCATACGTCTTGAGCCTAAGCCAGGGAATCAGCTCGCATCTCGAGACGATTTGGGGTACACGGAGCATTCATCGAGTTGCTGTGCTGAAGTTGGTGTTCCTCTAGACTTGGGACAGTGTTCTCGGGGCATCTCTGGAGTTGCCTGAAGGAAGTCGAGCCACCGGTCGTGTTGAATGGGGAACGGGGAATGGCTCTGGAGTCAATGCAGGGGAATCGGGCCTCATCTCGAGTTGATTTGGGGCACATGGAGCTGCTTTGCGTTGCTGGGGTGACCTCAGGGTCCGTCTAGACTGGTGACAGTGTTCTTGGGGACTGTCTCGAGATCCATTAAGCAAGTCGAAGCTCCTGACTTGTTTGAATGGGATCACGGAATAGCTCTGCATGCACTGCAGGGGAATGGGGCCTCATCTCGCCTCTAGGGGGAAGTCTCATGTTTATTCTCGAGTTGCGGCGGGGACCTGGGGTATGTTCTCGACTTACGGCGGGGATGGCCCTTCAAAACACGAGTTTCTTCAGTGACGTCAGGACTCCTGTCTAGTAACGAGGGACACCTCAGGAATCTCTTCGAGGCTTGGCAGGGCCAAAGGGACGCTTCTCGAGGTGAGGCAGGGCACCCAAGGACCCTTTCCAGTAGCCACAGGGATTTTGGGATTCCTATCAGTATTCAAGAGGAGTCAGGCATCGTCACCTTTTGAAGCAATGAACTCCGCGTGCCTCTCGAGGTGTCAGCGGGATGTGAGGCATTCCGTCAAAATGAGGCAGGGACCTAGGGCTTTCTCTAAGGTCTCCACAGGGGATTCAGACATCCCTTCATGTTGTGAGATGAAAGACGAGCCTGTATTCAAGCCACTGCAAGGAAATCCGGCCTCCTTTCAAGTTAGGGCTTCTCGCTGTATATTCCCCTTGAGGCAGCAAACTCGGGGTCCCTCCCACATACCTATGGCTGAGAGAGGCCTCCTCCTGAGGTGCTTCTGGGAAGTTGGCATACGTCTTGAGCCTAAGCCAGGGAATCAGCTCGCATCTCGAGACGATTTGGGGTACACGGAGCATTCCTCGAGTTGCTGTGCTGAAGTTGGTGTTCCTCTAGACTTGGGACAGTGTTCTCGGGGCATCTCTGGAGTTGCCTGAAGGAAGTCGAGCCACCGGTCGTGTTGAATGGGGAACGGGGAATGGCTCTGGAGTCAATGCAGGGGAATCGGGCCTCATCTCGAGTTGATTTGGGGCACATGGAACTGCTTTGCGTTGCTGGGGTGACCTCAGGGTCCGTCTAGACTGGTGACAGTGATCTTGGGGACTGTCTCGAGATCCATTAAGCAAGTCGAAGCTCCTGACTTGTTTGAATGGGATCACGGAATAGCTCTGCATGCACTGCAGGGGAATGGGGCCTCATCTCGCCTCTAGGGGGAAGTCTCATGGTTTTTCTCGAGTTGCGGCGGGGACCTGGGGTATGTTCTCGACTTACGGCGGGGATGGCCCTTCAAGACACGAGTTTCTTCAGTGACGTCAGGACTCCTGTCTAGTAACGAGGGACACCTCAGGAATCTCTTCGAGGCTTGGCAGGGCCAAAGGGACGCTTCTCGAGGTGAGGCAGGGCACCCAAGGACCCTTTCCAGTAGCCACAGGGATTTTGGGATTCCTATCAGTATTCAAGAGGAGTCAGGCATCGTCACCTTTTGAAGCAATGAACTCCGCGTGCCTCTCGAGGTGTCAGCGGGATGTGAGGCATTCCGTCAAAATGAGGCAGGGACCTAGGGCTTTCTCTAAGGTCTCCACAGGGGATTCAGACATCCCTTCATGTTGTGAGATGAAAGACGAGCCTGTATTCAAGCCACTGCAAGGAAATCCGGCCTCCTTTCAAGTTAGGGCTTCTCGCTGTATATTCCCCTTGAGGCAGCAAACTCGGGGTCCCTCCCACATACCTATTGCTGAGAGAAGCCTCCTCCTGAGGTGCTTCTGGGAAGTTGGCATACGTCTTGAGCCTAAGCCAGGGAATCAGCTCGCATCTCGAGACGATTTGGGGTACACGGAGCATTCCTCGAGTTGCTGTGCTGAAGTTGGTGTTCCTCTAGACTTGGGACAGTGTTCTCGGGGCATCTCTGGAGTTGCCTGAAGGAAGTCGAGACACCGGTCGTGTTGAATGGGGAACGGGGAATGGCTCTGGAGTCAATGCAGGGGAATCGGGCCTCATCTCGAGTTGATTTGGGGCACATGGAGCTGCTTTGCGTTGCTGGGGTGACCTCAGGGTCCGTCTAGACTGGTGACAGTGTTCTTGGGGACTGTCTCGAGATCCATTAAGCAAGTCGAAGCTCCTGACTTGTTTGAATGGGATCACGGAATAGCTCTGCATGCACTGCAGGGGAATGGGGCCTCATCTCGCCTCTAGGGGGAAGTCTCATGGTTTTTCTCGAGTTGCGGCGGGGACCTGGGGTATGTTCTCGACTTACGGCGGGGATGGCCCTTCAAAACACGAGTTTCTTCAGTGACGTCAGGACTCCTGTCTAGTAACGAGGGACACCTCAGGAATCTCTTCGAGGTTTGGCAGGGCAAAAGGGACGCTTCTCGAGGTGAGGCAGGGCACCCAAGGACCCTTTCCAGTAGCCACAGGGATTTTGGGATTCCTATCAGTATTCAAGAGGAGTCAGGCATCGTCACCTTTTGAAGCAATGAACTCCGCGTGCCTCTCGAGGTGTCAGCGCGATGTGAGGCATTCCGTCAAAATGAGGCAGGGACCTAGGGCTTTCTCTAAGGTCTCCACAGGGGATTCAGACATCCCTTCATGTTGTGAGATGAAAGACGAGCCTGTATTCAAGCCACTGCAAGGAAATCCGGCCTCCTTTCAAGTTAGGGCTTCTCGCTGTATATTCCCCTTGAGGCAGCAAACTCGGGGTCCCTCCCACATACCTATTGCTGAGAGAAGCCTCCTCCTGAGGTGCTTCTGGGAAGTTGGCATACGTCTTGAGCCTAAGCCAGGGAATCAGCTCTCATCTCGAGACGATTTGGGGTACACGGAGCATTCCTCGAGTTGCTGTGCTGAAGTTGGTGTTCCTCTAGACTTGGGACAGTGTTCTCGGGGCATCTCTGGAGTTGCCTGAAGGAAGTCGAGCCACCGGTCGTGTTGAATGGGTAACGGGGAATGGCTCTGGAGTCAATGCAGGGGAATCGGGCCTCATCTCGAGTTGATTTGGGGCACATGGAGCTGCTTTGCGTTGCTGGGGTGACCTCAGGGTCCGTCTAGACTGGTGACAGTGTTCTTGGGGACTGTCTCGAGATCCATTAAGCAAGTCGAAGCTCCTGACTTGTTTGAATGGGATCACGGAATAGCTCTGCATGCACTGCAGGGGAATGGGGCCTCATCTCGCCTCTAGGGGGAAGTCTCATGGTTTTTCTCGAGTTGCGGCGGGGACCTGGGGTATGTTCTCGACTTACGGCGGGGATGGCCCTTCAAGACACGAGTTTCTTCAGTGACGTCAGGACTCCTGTCTAGTAACGAGGGACACCTCAGGAATCTCTTCGAGGCTTGGCAGGGCCAAAGGGACGCTTCTCGAGGTGAGGCAGGGCACCCAAGGACCCTTTCCAGTAGCCACAGGGATTTTGGGATTCCTATCAGTATTCAAGAGGAGTCAGGCATCGTCACCTTTTGAAGCAATGAACTCCGCGTGCCTCTCGAGGTGTCAGCGGGATGTGAGGCATTCCGTCAAAATGAGGCAGGGACCTAGGGCTTTCTCTAAGGTCTCCACAGGGGATTCAGACATCCCTTCATGTTGTGAGATGAAAGACGAGCCTGTATTCAAGCCACTGCAAGGAAATCCGGCCTCCTTTCAAGTTAGGGCTTCTCGCTGTATATTCCCCTTGAGGCAGCAAACTCGGGGTCCCTCCCACATACCTATGGCTGAGAGAAGCCTCCTCCTGAGGTGCTTCTGGGAAGTTGGCATACGTCTTGAGCCTAAGCCAGGGAATCAGTTCGCATCTCGAGACGATTTGGGGTACACGGAGCATTCCTCGAGTTGCTGTGCTGAAGTTGGTGTTCCTCTAGACTTGGGACAGTGTTCTCGGGGCATCTCTGGAGTTGCCTGAAGGAAGTCGAGCCACCGGTCGTGTTGAATGGGGAACGGGGAATGGCTCTGGAGTCAATGCAGGGGAATCGGGCCTCATCTCGAGTTGATTTGGGGCACATGGAGCTGCTTTGCGTTGCTGGGGTGACCTCAGGGTCCGTCTAGACTGGTGACAGTGATCTTGGGGACTGTCTCGAGATCCATTAAGCAAGTCGAAGCTCCTGACTTGTTTGAATGGGATCACGGAATAGCTCTGCATGCACTGCAGGGGAATGGGGCCTCATCTCGCCTCTAGGGGGAAGTCTCATGGTTTTTCTCGAGTTGCGGCGGGGACCTGGGGTATGTTCTCGACTTACGGCGGGGATGGCCCTTCAAGACACGAGTTTCTTCAGTGACGTCAGGACTCCTGTCTAGTAACGAGGGACACCTCAGGAATCTCTTCGAGGCTTGGCAGGGCCAAAGGGACGCTTCTCGAGGTGAGGCAGGGCACCCAAGGACCCTTTCCAGTAGCCACAGGGATTTTGGGATTCCTATCAGTATTCAAGAGGAGTCAGGCATCGTCACCTTTTGAAGCAATGAACTCCGCGTGCCTCTCGAGGTGTCAGCGGGATGTGAGGCATTCCGTCAAAATGAGGCAGCGACCTAGGGCTTTCTCTAAGGTCTCCACAGGGGATTCAGACATCCCTTCATGTTGTGAGATGAAAGACGAGCCTGTATTCAAGCCACTGCAAGGAAATCCGGCCTCCTTTCAAGTTAGGGCTTCTCGCTGTATATTCCCCTTGAGGCAGCAAACTCGGGGTCCCTCCCACATACCTATTGCTGAGAGAAGCCTCCTCCTGAGGTGCTTCTGGGAAGTTGGCATACGTCTTGAGCCTAAGCCAGGGAATCAGCTCTCATCTCGAGACGATTTGGGGTACACGGAGCATTCCTCGAGTTGCTGTGCTGAAGTTGGTGTTCCTCTAGACTTGGGACAGTGTTCTCGGGGCATCTCTGGAGTTGCCTGAAGGAAGTCGAGCCACCGGTCGTGTTGAATGGGGAACGGGGAATGGCTCTGGAGTCAATGCAGGGGAATCGGGCCTCATCTCGAGTTGATTTGGGGCACATGGAGCTGCTTTGCGTTGCTGGGGTGACCTCAGGGTCCGTCTAGACTGGTGACAGTGTTCTTGGGGACTGTCTCGAGATCCATTAAGCAAGTCGAAGCTCCTGACTTGTTTGAATGGGATCACGGAATAGCTCTGCATGCACTGCAGGGGAATGGGGCCTCATCTCGCCTCTAGGGGGAAGTCTCATGGTTTTTCTCGAGTTGCGGCGGGGACCTGGGGTATGTTCTCGACTTACGGCGGGGATGGCCCTTCAAGACACGAGTTTCTTCAGTGACGTCAGGACTCCTGTCTAGTAACGAGGGACACCTCAGGAAACTCTTCGAGGCTTGGCAGGGCCAAAGGGACGCTTCTCGAGGTGAGGCAGGGCACCCAAGGACCCTTTCCAGTAGCCACCGGGATTTTGGGATTCCTATCAGTATTCAAGAGGAGTCAGGCATCGTCACCTTTTGAAGCAATGAACTCCGCGTGCCTCTCGAGGTGTCAGCGGGATGTGAGGCATTCCGTCAAAATGAGGCAGGGACCTAGGGCTTTCTCTAAGGTCTCCACAGGGGATTCAGACATCCCTTCATGTTGTGAGATGAAAGACGAGCCTGTATTCAAGCCACTGCAAGGAAATCCGGCCTCCTTTCAAGTTAGGGCTTCTCGCTGTATATTCCCCTTGAGGCAGCAAACTCGGGGTCCCTCCCACATTCCTATGGCTGAGAGAAGCCTCCTCCTGAGGTGCTTCTGGGAAGTTGGCATACGTCTTGAGCCTAAGCCAGGGAATCAGCTCTCATCTCGAGACGATTTGTGGTACACGGAGCATTCCTCGAGTTGCTGTGCTGAAGTTGGTGTTCCTCTAGACTTGGGACAGTGTTCTCGGGGCATCTCTGGAGTTGCCTGAAGGAAGTCGAGCCACCGGTCGTGTTGAATGGGGAACGGGGAATGGCTCTGGAGTCAATGCAGGGGAATCGGGCCTCATCTCGAGTTGATTTGGGGCACATGGAGCTGCTTTGCGTTGCTGGGGTGACCTCAGGGTCCGTCTAGACTGGTGACAGTGTTCTTGGGGACTGTCTCGAGATCCATTAAGCAAGTCGAAGCTCCTGACTTGTTTGAATGGGATCACGGAATAGCTCTGCATGCACTGCAGGGGAATGGGGCCTCATCTCGCCTCTAGGGGGAAGTCTCATGGTTTTTCTCGAGTTGCGGCGGGGACCTGGGGTATGTTCTCGACTTACGGCGGGGATGGCCCTTCAAGACACGAGTTTCTTCAGTGACGTCAGGACTCCTGTCTAGTAACGAGGGACACCTCAGGAATCTCTTCGAGGCTTGGCAGGGCCAAAGGGACGCTTCTCGAGGTGAGGCAGGGCACCCAAGGACCCTTTCCCGTAGCCACAGGGATTTTGGGATTCCTATCAGTATTCAAGAGGAGTCAGGCATCGTCACCTTTTGAAGCAATGAACTCCGCGTGCCTCTCGAGGTGTCAGCGGGATGTGAGGCATTCCGTCAAAATGAGGCAGGGACCTAGGGCTTTCTCTACGGTCTCCACAGGGGATTCAGACATCCCTTCATGTTGTGAGATGAAAGACGAGCCTGTATTCAAGCCACTGCAAGGAAATCCGGCCTCCTTTCAAGTTAGGGCTTCTCGCTGTATATTCCCCTTGAGGCAGCAAACTCGGGGTCCCTCCCACATACCTATTGCTGAGAGAAGCCTCCTCCTGAGGTGCTTCTGGGAAGTTGGCATACGTCTTGAGCCTAAGCCAGCGAATCAGCTCTCATCTCGAGACGATTTGGGGTACACGGAGCATTCCTCGAGTTGCTGTGCTGAAGTTGGTGTTCCTCTAGACTTGGGACAGTGTTCTCGGGGCATCTCTGGAGTTGCCTGAAGGAAGTCGAGCCACCGGTCGTGTTGAATGGGGAACGGGGAATGGCTCTGGAGTCAATGCAGGGGAATCGGGCCTCATCTCGAGTTGATTTGGGGCACATGGAGCTGCTTTGCGTTGCTGGGGTGACCTCAGGGTCCGTCTAGATGGTGACAGTGTTCTTGGGGACTGCCTCGAGATCCATTAAGCAAGTCGAAGCTCCTGACTTGTTTGAACGGGATCACGGAATAGCTCTGCATGCACTGCAGGGGAATGGGGCCTCATCTCGCCTCTAGGGGGAAGTCTCATGGTTTTTCTCGAGTTGTGGCGGGGACCTGGGGTATGTTCTCGACTTACGGCGGGGATGGCCCTTCAAAACACGAGTTTCTTCAGTGACGTCAGGACTCCTGTCTAGTAACGAGGGACACCTCAGGAATCTCTTCGAGGCTTGGCAGGGCCAAAGGGACGCTTCTCGAGGTGAGGCAGGGCACCCAAGGACCCTTTCCAGTAGCCACAGGGATTTTGGGATTCCTATCAGTATTCAAGAGGAGTCAGGCATCGTCACCTTTTGAAGCAATGAACTCCGCGTGCCTCTCGAGGTGTCAGCGGGATGTGAGGCATTCCGTCAAAATGAGGCAGGGACCTAGGGCTTTCTCTAAGGTCTCCACAGGGGATTCAGACATCCCTTCATGTTGTGAGATGAAAGACGAGCCTGTATTCAAGCCACTGCAAGGAAATCCGGCCTCCTTTCAAGTTAGGGCTTCTCGCTGTATATTCCCCTTGAGGCAGCAAACTCGGGGTCCCTCCCACATACCTATTGCTGAGAGAAGCCTCCTCCTGAGGTGCTTCTGGGAAGTTGGCATACGTCTTGAGCCTAAGCCAGGGAATCAGCTCTCATCTCGAGACGATTTGGGGTACACGGAGCATTCCTCGAGTTGCTGTGCTGAAGTTGGTGTTCCTCTAGACTTGGGACAGTGTTCTCGGGGCATCTCTGGAGTTGCCTGAAGGAAGTCGAGCCACCGGTCGTGTTGAATGGGGAACGGGGAATGGCTCTGGAGTCAATGCAGGGGAATCGGGCCTCATCTCGAGTTGATTTGGGGCACATGGAGCTGCTTTGCGTTGCTGGGGTGACCTCAGGGTCCGTCTAGACTGGTGACAGTGTTCTTGGGGACTGCCTCGAGATCCATTAAGCAAGTCGAAGCTCCTGACTTGTTTGAATGGGATCACGGAATAGCTCTGCATGCACTGCAGGGGAATGGGGCCTCATCTCGCCTCTAGGGGGAAGTCTCATGGTTTTTCTCGAGTTGTGGCGGGGACCTGGGGTATGTTCTCGACTTACGGCGGGGATGGCCCTTCAAGACACGAGTTTCTTCAGTGACGTCAGGACTCCTGTCTAGTAACGAGGGACACCTCAGGAATCTCTTCGAGGCTTGGCAGGGCCAAAGGGACGCTTCTCGAGGTGAGGCAGGGCACCCAAGGACCCTTTCCAGTAGCCACAGGGATTTTGGGATTCCTATCAGTATTCAAGAGGAGTCAGGCATCGTCACCTTTTGAAGCAATGAACTCCGCGTGCCTCTCGAGGTGTCAGCGGGATGTGAGGCATTCCGTCAAAATGAGGCAGGGACCTAGGGCTTTCTCTAAGGTCTCCACAGGGGATTCAGACATCCCTTCATGTTGTGAGATGAAAGACGAGCCTGTATTCAAGCCACTACAAGGAAATCCGGCCTCCTTTCAAGTTAGGGCTTCTCGCTGTATATTCCCCTTGAGGCAGCAAACTCGGGGTCCCTCCCACATACCTATTGCTGAGAGAAGCCTCCTCCTGAGGTGCTTCTGGGAAGTTGGCATACGTCTTGAGCCTAAGCCAGGGAATCAGCTCGCATCTCGAGACGATTTGGGGTACACGGAGCATTCCTCGAGTTGCTGTGCTGAAGTTGGTGTTCCTCTAGACTTGGGACAGTGTTCTCGGGGCATCTCTGGAGTTGCCTGAAGGAAGTCGAGCCACCGGTCGTGTTGAATGGGGAACGGGGAATGGCTCTGGAGTCAATGCAGGGGAATCGGGCCTCATCTCGAGTTGATTTGGGGCACATGGAGCTGCTTTGCGTTGCTGGGGTGACCTCAGGGTCCGTCTAGACTGGTGACAGTGTTCTTGGGGACTGCCTCGAGATCCATTAAGCAAGTCGAAGCTCCTGACTTGTTTGAATGGGATCACGGAATAGCTCTGCATGCACTGCAGGGGAATGGGGCCTCATCTCGCCTCTAGGGGGAAGTCTCATGGTTTTTCTCAAGTTGTGGCGGGGACCTGGGATATGTTCTCGACTTACGGCGGGGATGGCCCTTCAAGACACGAGTTTCTTCAGTGACGTCAGGACTCCTGTCTAGTAACGAGGGACACCTCAGGAATCTCTTCGAGGCTTGGCAGGGCCAAAGGGACGCTTCTCGAGGTGAGGCAGGGCACCCAAGGACCCTTTCCAGTAGCCACAGGGATTTTGGGATTCCTATCAGTATTCAAGAGGAGTCAGGCATCGTCACCTTTTGAAGCAATGAACTCCGCGTGCCTCTCGAGGTGTCAGCGGGATGTGAGGCATTCCGTCAAAATGAGGCAGGGACCTAGGGCTTTCTCTAAGGTCTCCACAGGGGATTCAGACATCCCTTCATGTTGTGAGATGAAAGACGAGCCTGTATTCAAGCCACTGCAAGGAAATCCGGCCTCCTTTCAAGTTAGGGCTTCTCGCTGTATATTCCCCTTGAGGCAGCAAACTCGGGGTCCCTCCCACATACCTATTGCTGAGAGAAGCCTCCTCCTGAGGTGCTTCTGGGAAGTTGGCATACGTCTTGGGCCTAAGCCAGGGAATCAGCTCGCATCTCGAGACGATTTGGGGTACACGGAGCATTCCTCGAGTTGCTGTGCTGAAGTTGGTGTTCCTCTAGACTTGGGACAGTGTTCTCAGGGCATCTCTGGAGTTGCCTGAAGGAAGTCGAGCCACCGGTCGTGTTGAATGGGGAACGGGGAATGGCTCTGGAGTCAATGCAGGGGAATCGGGCCTCATCTCGAGTTGATTTGGGGCACATGGAGCTGTTTGCGTTGCTGGGGTGACCTCAGGGTCCGTCTAGACTGGTGACAGTGTTCTTGGGGACTGTCTCGAGATCCATTAAGCAAGTCGAAGCTCCTGAGTTGTTTGAATGGGATCACGGAATAGCTCTGCATGCACTGCAGGGGAATGGGGCCTCATCTCGCCTCTAGGGGGAAGTCTCATGGTTTTTCTCGAGTTGTGGCGGGGACCTGGGGTATGTTCTCGACTTACGGCGGGGATGGCCCTTCAAGACACGAGTTTCTTCAGTGACGTCAGGACTCCTGTCTAGTAACGAGGGACACCTCAGGAAACTCTTCGAGGCTTGGCAGGGCCAAAGGGACGCTTCTCGAGGTGAGGCAGGGCACCCAAGGACCCTTTCCAGTAGCCACCGGGATTTTGGGATTCCTATCAGTATTCAAGAGGAGTCAGGCATCGTCACCTTTTGAAGCAATGAACTCCGCGTGCCTCTCGAGGTGTCAGCGGGATGTGAGGCATTCCGTCAAAATGAGGCAGGGACCTAGGGCTTTCTCTAAGGTCTCCACAGGGGATTCAGACATCCCTTCATGTTGTGAGATGAAAGACGAGCCTGTATTCAAGCCACTGCAAGGAAATCCGGCCTCCTTTCAAGTTAGGGCTTCTCGCTGTATATTCCCCTTGAGGCAGCAAACTCGGGGTCCCTCCCACATTCCTATGGCTGAGAGAAGCCTCCTCCTGAGGTGCTTCTGGGACGTTGGCATACGTCTTGAGCCTAAGCCAGGGAATCAGCTCTCATCTCGACACGATTTGGGGTACACGGAGCATTCCTCGAGTTGCTGTGCTGAAGTTGGTGTTCCTCTAGACTTGGGACAGTGTTCTCGGGGCATCTCTGGAGTTGCCTGAAGGAAGTCGAGCCACCGGTCGTGTTGAATGGGGAACGGGGAATGGCTCTGGAGTCAATGCAGGGGAATCGGGCCTCATCTCGAGTTGATTTGGGGCACATGGAGCTGCTTTGCGTTGCTGGGGTGACCTCAGGGTCCGTCTAGACTGGTGACAGTGTTCTTGGGGACTGTCACGAGATCCATTAAGCAAGTCGAAGCTCCTGACTTGTTTGAACGGGATCACGGAATAGCTCTGCATGCACTGCAGGGGAATGGGGCCTCATCTCGCCTCTAGGGGGAAGTCTCATGGTTTTTCTCGAGTTGTGGCGGGGACCTGGGGTATGTTCTCGACTTACGGCGGGGATGGCCCTTCAAGACACGAGTTTCTTCAGTGACGTCAGGACTCCTGTCTAGTAACGAGGGACACCTCAGGAATCTCTTCGAGGCTTGGCAGGGCCAAAGGGACGCTTCTCGAGGTGAGGCAGGGCACCCAAGGACCCTTTCCAGTAGCCACAGGGATTTTGGGATTCCTATCAGTATTCAAGAGGAGTCAGGCATCGTCACCTTTTGAAGCAATGAACTCCGCGTGCCTCTCGAGGTGTCAGCGGGATGTGAGGCATTCCGTCAAAATGAGGCAGGGACCTAGGGCTTTCTCTAAGGTCTCCACAGGGGATTCAGACATCCCTTCATGTTGTGAGATGAAAGACGAGCCTGTATTCAAGCCACTGCAAGGAAATCCGGCCTCCTTTCAAGTTAGGGCTTCTCGCTGTATATTCCCCTTGAGGCAGCAAACTCGGGGTCCCTCCCACATACCTATTGCTGAGAGAAGCCTCCTCCTGAGGTGCTTCTGGGAAGTTGGCATACGTCTTGAGCCTAAGCCAGGGAATCAGCTCGCATCTCGAGACGATTTGGGGTACACGGAGCATTCCTCGAGTTGCTGTGCTGAAGTTGGTGTTCCTCTAGACTTGGGACAGTGTTCTCGGGGCATCTCTGGAGTTGCCTGAAGGAAGTCGAGCCACCGGTCGTGTTGAATGGGGAACGGGGAATGGCTCTGGAGTCAATGCAGGGGAATCGGGCCTCATCTCGAGTTGATTTGGGGCACATGGAGATGCTTTGCGTTGCTGGGGTGATCTCAGGGTCCGTCTAGACTGGTGACAGTGTTCTTGGGGACTGCCTCGAGATCCATTAAGCAAGTCGAAGCTCCTGACTTGTTTGAATGGGATCACGGAATAGCTCTGCATGCACTGCAGGGGAATGGGGCCTCATCTCGCCTCTAGGGGGAAGTCTCATGGTTTTTCTCGAGTTGTGGCGGGGACCTGGGGTATGTTCTCGACTTACGGCGGGGATGGCCCTTCAAGACACGAGTTTCTTCAGTGACGTCAGGACTCCTGTCTAGTAACGAGGGACACCTCAGGAAACTCTTCGAGGCTTGGCAGGGCCAAAGGGACGCTTCTCGAGGTGAGGCAGGGCACCCAAGGACCCTTTCCAGTAGCCACCGGGATTTTGGGATTCCTATCAGTATTCAAGAGGAGTCAGGCATCGTCACCTTTTGAAGCAATGAACTCCGCGTGCCTCTCGAGGTGTCAGCGGGATGTGAGGCATTCCGTCAAAATGAGGCAGGGACCTAGGGCTTTCTCTAAGGTCTCCACAGGGGATTCAGACATCCCTTCATGTTGTGAGATGAAAGACGAGCCTGTATTCAAGCCACTGCAAGGAAATCCGGCCTCCTTTCAAGTTAGGGCTTCTCGCTGTATATTCCCCTTGAGGCAGCAAACTCGGGGTCCCTCCCACATTCCTATGGCTGAGAGAAGCCTCCTCCTGAGGTGCTTCTGGGACGTTGGCATACGTCTTGAGCCTAAGCCAGGGAATCAGCTCTCATCTCGACACGATTTGGGGTACACGGAGCATTCCTCGAGTTGCTGTGCTGAAGTTGGTGTTCCTCTAGACTTGGGACAGTGTTCTCGGGGCATCTCTGGAGTTGCCTGAAGGAAGTCGAGCCACCGGTCGTGTTGAATGGGGAACGGGGAATGGCTCTGGAGTCAATGCAGGGGAATCGGGCCTCATCTCGAGTTGATTTGGGGCACATGGAGCTGCTTTGCGTTGCTGGGGTGACCTCAGGGTCCGTCTAGACTGGTGACAGTGTTCTTGGGGACTGTCACGAGATCCATTAAGCAAGTCGAAGCTCCTGACTTGTTTGAACGGGATCACGGAATAGCTCTGCATGCACTGCAGGGGAATGGGGCCTCATCTCGCCTCTAGGGGGAAGTCTCATGGTTTTTCTCGAGTTGTGGCGGGGACCTGGGGTATGTTCTCGACTTACGGCGGGGATGACCCTTCAAGACACGAGTTTCTTCAGTGACGTCAGGACTCCTGTCTAGTAACGAGGGACACCTCAGGAATCTCTTCGAGGCTTGGCAGGGCCAAAGGGACGCTTCTCGAGGTGAGGCAGGGCACCCAAGGACCCTTTCCAGTAGCCACAGGGATTTTGGGATTCCTATCAGTATTCAAGAGGAGTCAGGCATCGTCACCTTTTGAAGCAATGAACTCCGCGTGCCTCTCGAGGTGTCAGCGGGATGTGAGGCATTCCGTCAAAATGAGGCAGGGACCTAGGGCTTTCTCTAAGGTCTCCACAGGGGATTCAGACATCCCTTCATGTTGTGAGATGAAAGACGAGCCTGTATTCAAGCCACTGCAAGGAAATCCGGCCTCCTTTCAAGTTAGGGCTTCTCGCTGTATATTCCCCTTGAGGCAGCAAACTCGGGGTCCCTCCCACATACCTATTGCTGAGAGAAGCCTCCTCCTGAGGTGCTTCTGGGAAGTTGGCATACGTCTTGAGCCTAAGCCAGGGAATCAGCTCGCATCTCGAGACGATTTGGGGTACACGGAGCATTCCTCGAGTTGCTGTGCTGAAGTTGGTGTTCCTCTAGACTTGGGACAGTGTTCTCGGGGCATCTCTGGAGTTGCCTGAAGGAAGTCGAGCCACCGGTCGTGTTGAATGGGGAACGGGGAATGGCTCTGGAGTCAATGCAGGGGAATCGGGCCTCATCTCGAGTTGATTTGGGGCACATGGAGATGCTTTGCGTTGCTGGGGTGATCTCAGGGTCCGTCTAGACTGGTGACAGTGTTCTTGGGGACTGCCTCGAGATCCATTAAGCAAGTCGAAGCTCCTGACTTGTTTGAATGGGATCACGGAATAGCTCTGCATGCACTGCAGGGGAATGGGGCCTCATCTCGCCTCTAGGGGGAAGTCTCATGGTTTTTCTCGAGTTGTGGCGGGGACCTGGGGTATGTTCTCGACTTACGGCGGGGATGGCCCTTCAAGACACGAGTTTCTTCAGTGACGTCAGGACTCCTGTCTAGTAACGAGGGACACCTCAGGAAACTCTTCGAGGCTTGGCAGGGCCAAAGGGACGCTTCTCGAGGTGAGGCAGGGCACCCAAGGACCCTTTCCAGTAGCCACCGGGATTTTGGGATTCCTATCAGTATTCAAGAGGAGTCAGGCATCGTCACCTTTTGAAGCAATGAACTCCGCGTGCCTCTCGAGGTGTCAGCGGGATGTGAGGAATTCCGTCAAAATGAGGCAGGGACCTAGGGCTTTCTCTAAGGTCTCCACAGGGGATTCAGACATCCCTTCATGTTGTGAGATGAAAGACGAGCCTGTATTCAAGCCACTGCAAGGAAATCCGGCCTCCTTTCAAGTTAGGGCTTCTCGCTGTATATTCCCTTTGAGGCAGCAAACTCGGGGTCCCTCCCACATTCCTATGGCTGAGAGAAGCCTCCTCCTGAGGTGCTTCTGGGAAGTTGGCATACGTCTTGAGCCTAAGCCAGGGAATCAGCTCTCATCTCGAGACGATTTGGGGTACACGGTGCATTCCTCGAGTTGCTGTGCTGAAGTTGGTGTTCCTCTAGACTTGGGACAGTGTTCTCGGGGCATCTCTGGAGTTGCCTGAAGCAAGTCGAGCCACCGGTCGTGTTGAATGGGGAACGGGGAATGGCTCTGGAGTCAATGCAGGGGAATCGGGCCTCATCTCGAGTTGATTTGGGGCACATGGAGCTGCTTTGCGTTGCTGGGGTGACCTCAGGGTCCGTCTAGACTGGTGACAGTGTTCTTGGGGACTGTCTCGAGATCCATTAAGCAAGTCGAAGCTCCTGACTTGTTTGAATGGGATCACGGAATAGCTCTGCATGCACTGCAGGGGAATGGGGCCTCATCTCGCCTCTAGGGGGAAGTCTCATGGTTTTTCTCGAGTTGCGGCGGGGACCTGGGGTATGTTCTCGACTTACGGCGGGGATGGCCCTTCAAGACACGAGTTTCTTCAGTGACGTCAGGACTCCTGTCTAGTAACGAGGGACACCTCAGGAATCTCTTCGAGGCTTGGCAGGGCCAAAGGGACGCTTCTCGAGGTGAGGCAGGGCACCCAAGGACCCTTTCCAGTAGCCACAGGGATTTTGGGATTCCTATCAGTATTCAAGAGGAGTCAGGCATCGTCACCTTTTGAAGCAATGAACTCCGCGTGCCTCTCGAGGTGTCAGCGGGATGTGAGGCATTCCGTCAAAATGAGGCAGGGACCTAGGGCTTTCTCTAAGGTCTCCACAGGGGATTCAGACATCCCTTCATGTTGTGAGATGAAAGACGAGCCTGTATTCAAGCCACTGCAAGGAAATCCGGCCTCCTTTCAAGTTAGGGCTTCTCGCTGTATATTCCCCTTGAGGCAGCAAACTCGGGGTCCCTCCCACATACCTATTGCTGAGAGAAGCCTCCTCCTGAGGTGCTTCTGGGAAGTTGGCATACGTCTTGAGCCTAAGCCAGGGAATCAGCTCTCATCTCGAGACGATTTGGGGTAGACGGAGCATTCCTCGAGTTGCTGTGCTGAAGTTGGTGTTCCTCTAGACTTCGGACAGTGTTCTCGGGGCATCTCTGGAGTTGCCTGAAGGAAGTCGAGCCACCGGTCGTGTTGAATGGGGAACGGGGAATGGCTCTGGAGTCAATGCAGGGGAATCGGGCCTCATCTCGAGTTGATTTGGGGCACATGGAGCTGCTTTGCGTTGCTGGGGTGACCTCAGGGTCCGTCTAGACTGGTGACAGTGTTCTTGGGGACTGCCTCGAGATCCATTAAGCAAGTCAAAGCTCCTGACTTGTTTGAATGGGATCACGGAATAGCTCTGCATGCACTGCAGGGGAATGGGGCCTCATCTCGCCTCTAGGGGGAAGTCTCATGGTTTTTCTCGAGTTGTGGCGGGGACCTGGGGTATGTTCTCGACTTACGGCGGGGATGGCCCTTCAAGACACGAGTTTCTTCAGTGACGTCAGGACTCCTGTCTAGTAACGAGGGACACCTCAGGAATCTCTTCGAGGCTTGGCAGGGCCAAAGGGACGCTTCTCGAGGTGAGGCAGGGCACCCAAGGACCCTTTCCAGTAGCCACAGGGATTTTGGGATTCCTATCAGTATTCAAGAGGAGTCAGGCATCGTCACCTTTTGAAGCAATGAACTCCGCGTGCCTCTCGAGGTGTCAGCGGGATGTGAGGCATTCCGTCAAAATGAGGCAGGGACCTAGGGCTTTCTCTAAGGTCTCCACAGGGGATTCAGACATCCCTTCATGTTGTGAGATGAAAGACGAGCCTGTATTCAAGCCACTGCAAGGAAATCCGGCCTCCTTTCAAGTTAGGGCTTCTCGCTGTATATTCCCCTTGAGGCAGCAAACTCGGGGTCCCTCCCACATACCTATTGCTGAGAGAAGCCTCCTCCTGAGGTGCTTCTGGGAAGTTGGCATACGTCTTGAGCCTAAGCCAGGGAATCAGCTCGCATCTCGAGACGATTTGGGGTACACGGAGCATTCCTCGAGTTGCTGTGCTGAAGTTGGTGTTCCTCTAGACTTGGGACAGTGTTCTCGGGGCATCTCTGGAGTTGCCTGAAGGAAGTCGAGCCACCGGTCGTGTTGAATGGGGAACGGGGAATGGCTCTGGAGTCAATGCAGGGGAATCGGGCCTCATCTCGAGTTGATTTGGGGCACATGGAGCTGCTTTGCGTTGCTGGGGTGACCTCAGGGTCCGTCTAGACTGGTGACAGTGTTCTTGGGGACTGTCTCGAGATCCATTAAGCAAGTCGAAGCTCCTGACTTGTTTGAATGGGATCACGGAATAGCTCTGCATGCACTGCAGGGGAATGGGGCCTCATCTCGCCTCTAGGGGGAAGTCTCATGGTTTTTCTCGAGTTGCGGCGGGGACCTGGGGTATGTTCTCGACTTACGGCGGGGATGGCCCTTCAAAACACGAGTTTCTTCAGTGACGTCAGGACTCCTGTCTAGTAACGAGGGACACCTCAGGAATCTCTTCGAGGCTTGGCAGGGCCAAAGGGACGCTTCTCGAGGTGAGGCAGGGCACCCAAGGACCCTTTCCAGTAGCCACAGGGATTTTGGGATTCCTATCAGTATTCAAGAGGAGTCAGGCATCGTCACCTTTTGAAGCAATGAACTCCGCGTGCCTCTCGAGGTGTCAGCGGGATGTGAGGCATTCCGTCAAAATGAGGCAGGGACCTAGGGCTTTCTCTAAGGTCTCCACAGGGGATTCAGACATCCCTTCATGTTGTGAGATGAAAGACGAGCCTGTATTCAAGCCACTGCAAGGAAATCCGGCCTCCTTTCAAGTTAGGGCTTCTCGCTGTATATTCCCCTTGAGGCAGCAAACTCGGGGTCCCTCCCACATAACTATGGCTGAGAGAAGCCTCCTCCTGAGGTGCTTCTGGGAAGTTGGCATACGTCTTGAGCCTAAGCCAGGGAATCAGCTCTCATCTCGAGACGATTTGGGGTACACGGAGCATTCCTCGAGTTGCTGTGCTGAAGTTGGTGTTCCTCTAGACTTGGGACAGTGTTCTCGGGGCATCTCTGGAGTTGCCTGAAGGAAGTCGAGCCACCGGTCGTGTTGAATGGGGAACGGGGAATGGCTCTGGAGTCAATGCAGGGGAATCGGGCCTCATCTCGAGTTGATTTGGGGCACACGGAGCTGCTTTGCGTTGCTGGGGTGACCTCAGGGTCCGTCTAGACTGGTGACAGTGATCTTGGGGACTGTCTCGAGATCCATTAAGCAAGTCGAAGCTCCTGACTTGTTTGAATGGGATCACGGAATAGCTCTGCATGCACTGCAGGGGAATGGGGCCTCATCTCGCCTCTAGGGGGAAGTCTCATGGTTTTTCTCGAGTTGCGGCGGGGACCTGGAGTATGTTCTCGACTTACGGCGGGGATGGCCCTTCAAGACACGAGTTTCTTCAGTGACGTCAGGACTCCTGTCTAGTAACGAGGGACACCTCAGGAATCTCTTCGAGGCTTGGCAGGGCCAAAGGGACGCTTCTCGAGGTGAGGCAGGGCACCCAAGGACCCTTTCCAGTAGCCACAGGGATTTTGGGATTCCTATCAGTATTCAAGAGGAGTCAGGCATCGTCACCTTTTGAAGCAATGAACTCCGCGTGCCTCTCGAGGTGTCAGCGGGATGTGAGGCATTCCGTCAAAATGAGGCAGCGACCTAGGGCTTTCTCTAAGGTCTCCACAGGGGATTCAGACATCCCTTCATGTTGTGAGATGAAAGACGAGCCTGTATTCAAGCCACTGCAAGGAAATCCGGCCTCCTTTCAAGTTAGGGCTTCTCGCTGTATATTCCCCTTGAGGCAGCAAACTCGGGGTCCCTCCCACATACCTATTGCTGAGAGAAGCCTCCTCCTGAGGTGCTTCTGGGAAGTTGGCATACGTCTTGAGCCTAAGCCAGGGAATCAGCTCGCATCTCGAGACGATTTGGGGTACACGGAGCATTCCTCGAGTTGCTGTGCTGAAGTTGGTGTTCCTCTAGACTTGGGACAGTGTTCTCGGGGCATCTCTGGAGTTGCCTGAAGGAAGTCGAGCCACCGGTCGTGTTGAATGGGGAACGGGGAATGGCTCTGGAGTCAATGCAGGGGAATCGGGCCTCATCTCGAGTTGATTTGGGGCACATGGAGCTGCTTTGCGTTGCTGGGGTGACCTCAGGGTCCGTCTAGACTGGTGACAGTGTTCTTGGGGACTGTCTCGAGATCCATTAAGCAAGTCGAAGCTCCTGACTTGTTTGAATGGGATCACGGAATAGCTCTGCATGCACTGCAGGGGAATGGGGCCTCATCTCGCCTCTAGGGGGAAGTCTCATGGTTTTTCTCGAGTTGCGGCGGGGACCTGGGGTATGTTCTCGACTTACGGCGGGGATGGCCCTTCAAGACACGAGTTTCTTCAGTGACGTCAGGACTCCTGTCTAGTAACGAGGGACACCTCAGGAATCTCTTCGAGGCTTGGCAGGGCCAAAGGGACGCTTCTCGAGGTGAGGCAGGGCACCCAAGGACCCTTTCCAGTAGCCACAGGGATTTTGGGATTCCTATCAGTATTCAAGAGGAGTCAGGCATCGTCACCTTTTGAAGCAATGAACTCCGCGTGCCTCTCGAGGTGTCAGCGGGATGTGAGGCATTCCGTCAAAATGAGGCAGGGACCTAGGGCTTTCTCTAAGGTCTCCACAGGGGATTCAGACATCCCTTCATGTTGTGAGATGAAAGACGAGCCTGTATTCAAGCCACTGCAAGGAAATCCGGCCTCCTTTCAAGTTAGGGCTTCTCGCTGTATATTCCCCTTGAGGCAGCAAACTCGGGGTCCCTCCCACATACCTATGGCTGAGAGAAGCCTCCTCCTGAGGTGCTTCTGGGAAGTTGGCATACGTCTTGAGCCTAAGCCAGGGAATCAGCTCTCATCTCGAGACGATTTGGGGTACACGGAGCATTCCTCGAGTTGCTGTGCTGAAGTTGGTGTTCCTCTAGACTTGGGACAGTGTTCTCGGGGCATCTCTGGAGTTGCCTGAAGGAAGTCGAGCCACCGGTCGTGTTGAATGGGGAACGGGGAATGGCTCTGGAGTCAATGCAGGGGAATCGGGCCTCATCTCGAGTTGATTTGGGGCACACGGAGCTGCTTTGCGTTGCTGGGGTGACCTCAGGGTCCGTCTAGACTGGTGACAGTGATCTTGGGGACTGTCTCGAGATTCATTAAGCAAGTCGAAGCTCCTGACTTGTTTGAATGGGATCACGGAATAGCTCTGCATGCACTGCAGGGGAATGGGGCCTCATCTCGCCTCTAGGGGGAAGTCTCATGGTTTTTCTCGAGTTGCGGCGGGGACCTGGGGTATGTTCTCGACTTACGGCGGGGATGGCCCTTCAAGACACGAGTTTCTTCAGTGACGTCAGGACTCCTGTCTAGTAACGAGGGACACCTCAGGAATCTCTTCGAGGCTTGGCAGGGCCAAAGGGACGCTTCTCGAGGTGAGGCAGGGCACCCAAGGACCCTTTCCAGTAGCCACAGGGATTTTGGGATTCCTATCAGTATTCAAGAGGAGTCAGGCATCGTCACCTTTTGAAGCAATGAACTCCGCGTGCCTCTCGAGGTGTCAGCGGGATGTGAGGCATTCCGTCAAAATGAGGCAGCGACCTAGGGCTTTCTCTAAGGTCTCCACAGGGGATTCAGACATCCCTTCATGTTGTGAGATGAAAGACGAGCCTGTATTCAAGCCACTGCAAGGAAATCCGGCCTCCTTTCAAGTTAGGGCTTCTCGCTGTATATTCCCCTTGAGGCAGCAAACTCGGGGTCCCTCCCACATACCTATTGCTGAGAGAAGCCTCCTCCTGAGGTGCTTCTGGGAAGTTGGCATACGTCTTGAGCCTAAGCCAGGGAATCAGCTCGCATCTCGAGACGATTTGGGGTACACGGAGCATTCCTCGAGTTGCTGTGCTGAAGTTGGTGTTCCTCTAGACTTGGGACAGTGTTCTCGGGGCATCTCTGGAGTTGCCTGAAGGAAGTCGAGCCACCGGTCGTGTTGAATGGGGAACGGGGAATGGCTCTGGAGTCAATGCAGGGGAATCGGGCCTCATCTCGAGTTGATTTGGGGCAAATGGAGCTGCTTTGCGTTGCTGGGGTGACCTCAGGGTCCGTCTAGACTGGTGACAGTGTTCTTGGGGACTGTCTCGAGATCCATTAAGCAAGTCGAAGCTCCTGACTTGTTTGAATGGGATCACGGAATAGCTCTGCATGCACTGCAGGGGAATGGGGCCTCATCTCGCCTCTAGGGGGAAGTCTCATGGTTTTTCTCGAGTTGCGGCGGGGACCTGGGGTATGTTCTCGACTTACGGCGGGGATGGCCCTTCAAGACACGAGTTTCTTCAGTGACGTCAGGACTCCTGTCTAGTAACGAGGGACACCTCAGGAATCTCTTCGAGGCTTGGCAGGGCCAAAGGGACGCTTCTCGAGGTGAGGCAGGGCACCCAAGGACCCTTTCCAGTAGCCACAGGGATTTTGGGATTCCTATCAGTATTCAAGAGGAGTCAGGCATCGTCACCTTTTGAAGCAATGAACTCCGCGTGCCTCTCGAGGTGTCAGCGGGATGTGAGGCATTCCGTCAAAATGAGGCAGGGACCTAGGGCTTTCTCTAAGGTCTCCACAGGGGATTCAGACATCCCTTCATGTTGTGAGATGAAAGACGAGCCTGTATTCAAGCCACTGCAAGGAAATCCGGCCTCCTTTCAAGTTAGGGCTTCTCGCTGTATATTCCCCTTGAGGCAGCAAACTCGGGGTCCCTCCCACATACCTATGGCTGAGAGAAGCCTCCTCCTGAGGTGCTTCTGGGAAGTTGGCATACGTCTTGAGCCTAAGCCAGGGAATCAGCTCTCATCTCGAGACGATTTGGGGTACACGGAGCATTCCTCGAGTTGCTGTGCTGAAGTTGGTGTTCCTCTAGACTTGGGACAGTGTTCTCGGGGCATCTCTGGAGTTGCCTGAAGGAAGTCGAGCCACCGGTCGTGTTGAATGGGGAACGGGGAATGGCTCTGGAGTCAATGCAGGGGAATCGGGCCTCATCTCGAGTTGATTTGGGGCACATGGAGCTGCTTTGCGTTGCTGGGGTGACCTCAGGGTCCGTCTAGACTGGTGACAGTGATCTTGGGGACTGTCTCGAGATTCATTAAGCAAGTCGAAGCTCCTGACTTGTTTGAATGGGATCACGGAATAGCTCTGCATGCACTGCAGGGGAATGGGGCCTCATCTCGCCTCTAGGGGGAAGTCTCATGGTTTTTCTCGAGTTGCGGCGGGGACCTGGGGTATGTTCTCGACTTACGGCGGGGATGGCCCTTCAAGACACGAGTTTCTTCAGTGACGTCAGGACTCCTGTCTAGTAACGAGGGACACCTCAGGAATCTCTTCGAGGCTTGGCAGGGCCAAAGGGACGCTTCTCGAGGTGAGGCAGGGCACCCAAGGACCCTTTCCAGTAGCCACCGGGATTTTGGGATTCCTATCAGTATTCAAGAGGAGTCAGGCATCGTCACCTTTTGAAGCAATGAACTCCGCGTGCCTCTCGAGGTGTCAGCGGGATGTGAGGCATTCCGTCAAAATGAGGCAGCGACCTAGGGCTTTCTCTAAGGTCTCCACAGGGGATTCAGACATCCCTTCATGTTGTGAGATGAAAGACGAGCCTGTATTCAAGCCACTGCAAGGAAATCCGGCCTCCTTTCAAGTTAGGGCTTCTCGCTGTATATTCCCCTTGAGGCAGCAAACTCGGGGTCCCTCCCACATACCTATTGCTGAGAGAAGCCTCCTCCTGAGGTGCTTCTGGGAAGTTGGCATACGTCTTGAGCCTAAGCCAGGGAATCAGCTCGCATCTCGAGACGATTTGGGGTACACGGAGCATTCCTCGAGTTGCTGTGCTGAAGTTGGTGTTCCTCTAGACTTGGGACAGTGTTCTCGGGGCATCTCTGGAGTTGCCTGAAGGAAGTCGAGCCACCGGTCGTGTTGAATGGGGAACGGGGAATGGCTCTGGAGTCAATGCAGGGGAATCGGGCCTCATCTCGAGTTGATTTGGGGCACATGGAGCTGCTTTGCGTTGCTGGGGTGACCTCAGGGTCCGTCTAGACTGGTGACAGTGTTCTTGGGGACTGTCTCGAGATCCATTAAGCAAGTCGAAGCTCCTGACTTGTTTGAATGGGATCACGGAATAGCTCTGCATGCACTGCAGGGGAATGGGGCCTCATCTCGCTTCTAGGGGGAAGTCTCATGGTTTTTCTCGAGTTGCGGCGGGGACCTGGGGTATGTTCTCGACTTACGGCGGGGATGGCCCTTCAAAACACGAGTTTCTTCAGTGACGTCAGGACTCCTGTCTAGTAACGAGGGACACCTCAGGAATCTCTTCGAGGCTTGGCAGGGCCAAAGGGAAGCTTCTCGAGGTGAGGCAGGGCACCCAAGGACCCTTTCCAGTAGCCACAGGGATTTTGGGATTCCTATCAGTATTCAAGAGGAGTCAGGCATCGTCACCTTTTGAAGCAATGAACTCCGCGAGCCTCTCGAGGTGTCAGCGGGATGTGAGGCATTCCGTCAAAATGAGGCAGGGACCTAGGGCTTTCTCTAAGGTCTCCACAGGGGATTCAGACATCCCTTCATGTTGTGAGATGAAAGACGAGCCTGTATTCAAGCCACTGCAAGGAAATCCGGCCTCCTTTCAAGTCAGGGCTTCTCGCTGTATATTCCCCTTGAGGCAGCAAACTCGGGGTCCCTCCCACATACCTATTGCTGAGAGAAGCCTCCTCCTGAGGTGCTTCTTTGAAGTTGGCATACGTCTTGAGCCTAAGCCAGGGAATCAGCTCTCATCTCGAGACGATTTGGGGTACACGGAGCATTCCTCGAGTTGCTGTGCTGAAGTTGGTGTTCCTCTAGACTTGGGACAGTGTTCTCGGGGCATCTCTGGAGTTGCCTGAAGGAAGTCGAGCCACCGGTCGTGTTGAATGGGGAACGGGGAATGGCTCTGGAGTCAATGCAGGGGAATCGGGCCTCATCTCGAGTTGATTTGGGGCACATGGAGCTGCTTTGCGTTGCTGGGGTGACCTCAGGGTCCGTCTAGACTGGAGACAGTGTTCTTGGGGACTGTCTCGAGATCCATTAAGCAAGTCGAAGCTCCTGACTTGTTTGAATGGGATCACGGAATAGCTCTGCATGCACTGCAGGGGAATGGGGCCTCATCTCGCCTCTAGGGGGAAGTCTCATGGTTTTTCTCGAGTTGCGGCGGGGACCTGGGGTATGTTCTCGACTTACGGCGGGGATGGCCCTTCAAAACACGAGTTTCTTCAGTGACGTCAGGACTCCTGTCTAGTAACGAGGGACACCTCAGGAATCTCTTCGAGGCTTGGCAGGGCCAAAGGGACGCTTCTCGAGGTGAGGCAGGGCACCCAAGGACCCTTTCCAGTAGCCACCGGGATTTTGGGATTCCTATCAGTATTCAAGAGGAGTCAGGCATCGTCACCTTTTGAAGCAATGAACTCCGCGTGCCTCTCGAGGTGTCAGCGCGATGTGAGGCATTCCGTCAAAATGAGGCAGGGACCTAGGGCTTTCTCTAAGGTCTCCACAGGGGATTCAGACATCCCTTCATGTTGTGAGATGAAAGACGAGCCTGTATTCAAGCCACTGCAAGGAAATCCGGCCTCCTTTCAAGTCAGGGCTTCTCGCTGTATATTCCCCTTGAGGCAGCAAACTCGGGGTCCCTCCCACATACCTATTGCTGAGAGAAGCCTCCTCCTGAGGTGCTTCTGGGAAGTTGGCATACGTCTTGAGCCTAAGCCAGGGAATCAGCTCGCATCTCGAGACGATTTGGGGTACACGGAGCATTCCTCGAGTTGCTGTGCTGAAGTTGGTGTTCCTCTAGACTTGCGACAGTGTTCTCGGGGCATCTCTGGAGTTGCCTGAAGGAAGTCGAGCCACCGGTCGTATTGAATGGGGAACGGGGAATGGCTCTGGAGTCAATGCAGGGGAATCGGGCCTCATCTCGAGTTGATTTGGGGCACACGGAGCTGCTTTGGGTTGCTGGGGTGACCTCAGGGTCCGTCTAGACTGGTGACAGTGTTCTTGGGGACTGTCTCGAGATCCATTAAGCAAGTCGAAGCTCCTGACTTGTTTGAATGGGATCACGGAATAGCTCTGCATGCACTGCAGGGGAATGGGGCCTCATCTCGCCTCTAGGGGGAAGTCTCATGGTTTTTCTCGAGTTGCGGCGGGGACCTGGGGTATGTTCTCGACTTACGGCAGGGATGACCCTTCAAGACACGAGTTTCTTCAGTGACGTCAGGACTCCTGTCTAGTAACGAGGGACACCTCAGGAATCTCTTCGAGGCTTGGCAGGGCCAAAGGGACGCCTCTCGAGGTGAGGCAGGGCACCCAAGGACCCTTTCCAGTAGCCACAGGGATTTTGGGATTCCTATCAGTATTCAAGAGGAGTCAGGCATCGTCACCTTTTGAAGCAATGAACTCCGCGTGCCTCTCGAGGTGTCAGCGGGATGTGAGGCATTCCGTCAAAATGAGGCAGGGACCTAGGGCTTTCTCTAAGGTCTCCACAGGGGATTCAGACATCCCTTCATGTTGTGAGATGAAAGACGAGCCTGTATTCAAGCCACTGCAAGGAAATCCGGCCTCCTTTCAAGTCAGGGCTTCTCGCTGTATATTCCCCTTGAGGCAGCAAACTCGGGGTCCCTCCCACATACCTATTGCTGAGAGAAGCCTCCTCCTGAGGTGCTTCTGGGAAGTTGGCATACGTCTTGAGCCTAAGCCAGGGAATCAGCTCTCATCTCGAGACGATTTGGGGTACACGGAGCATTCCTCGAGTTGCTGTGCTGAAGTTGGTGTTCCTCTAGACTTGGGACAGTGTTCTCGGGGCATCTCTGGAGTTGCCTGAAGGAAGTCGAGCCACCGGTCGTGTTGAATGGGGAACGGGGAATGGCTCTGGAGTCAATGCAGGGGAATCGGGCCTCATCTCGAGTTGATTTGGGGCACATGGAGCTGCTTTGCGTTGCTGGGGTGACCTCAGGGTCCTTCTAGACTGGTGACAGTGTTCTTGGGGACTGTCTCGAGATCCATTAAGCAAGTCGAAGCTCCTGACTTGTTTGAACGGGATCACGGAATAGCTCTGCATGCACTGCAGGGGAATGGGGCCTCATCTCGCCTCTAGGGGGAAGTCTCATGGTTTTTCTCGAGTTGCGGCGGGGACCTGGGGTATGTTCTCGACTTACGGCGGGGATGGCCCTTCAAGACACGAGTTTCTTCAGTGACGTCAGGACTCCTGTCTAGTAACGAGGGACACCTCAGGAATCTCTTCTAGGCTTGGCAGGGCCAAAGGGACGCTTCTCGAGGTGAGACAGGGCACCCAAGGACCCTTTCCAGTAGCCACCGGGATTTTGGGATTCCTATCAGTATTCAAGAGGAGTCAGGCATCGTCACCTTTTGAAGCAATGAACTCCGCGTGCCTCTCGAGGTGTCAGCGGGATGTGAGGCATTCCGTCAAAATGAGGCAGGGACCTAGGGCTTTCTCTAAGGTCTCCACAGGGGATTCAGACATCCCTTCATGTTGTGAGATGAAAGACGATCCTGTATTCAAGCCACTGCAAGGAAATCCGGCCTCCTTTCAAGTCAGGGCTTCTCGCTGTATATTCCCCTTGAGGCAGCAAACTCGGGGTCCCTCCCACATTCCTATGGCTGAGAGAAGCCTCCTCCTGAGGTGCTTCTGGGAAGTTGGCATACGTCTTGAGCCTAAGCCAGGGAATCAGCTCTCATCTCGAGACGATTTGGGGTACACGGAGCATTCCTCGAGTTGCTGTGCTGAAGTTGGTGTTCCTCTAGACTTGGGACAGTGTTCTCGGGGCATCTCTGGAGTTGCCTGAAGGAAGTCGAGCCACCGGTCGTGTTGAATGGGGAACGGGGAATGGCTCTGGAGTCAATGCAGGGGAATCGGGCCTCATCTCGAGTTGATTTGGGGCACATGGAGCTGCTTTGCGTTGCTGGGGTGACCTCAGGGTCCGTCTAGACTGGTGACAGTGTTCTTGGGGACTGTCTCGAGATCCATTAAGCAAGTCGAAGCTCCTGACTTGTTTGAACGGGATCACGGAATAGCTCTGCATGCACTGCAGGGGAATGGGGCCTCATCTCGCCTCTAGGGGGAAGTCTCATGGTTTTTCTCGAGTTGCGGCGGGGACCTGGGTTATGTTCTCGACTTACGGCGGGGATGGCCCTTCAAGACACGAGTTTCTTCAGTGACGTCAGGACTCCTGTCTAGTAACGAGGGACACCTCAGGAATCTCTTCGAGGCTTGGCAGGGCCAAAGGGACGCTTCTCGAGGTGAGGCAGGGCACCCAAGGACCCTTTCCAGTAGCCACCGGGATTTTGGGATTCCTATCAGTATTCAAGAGGAGTCAGGCATCGTCACCTTTTGAAGCAATGAACTCCGCGTGCCTCTCGAGGTGTCAGCGGGATGTGAGGCATTCCGTCAAAATGAGGCAGGGACCTAGGGCTTTCTCTAAGGTCTCCACAGGGGATTCAGACATCCCTTCATGTTGTGAGATGAAAGACGATCCTGTATTCAAGCCACTGCAAGGAAATCCGGCCTCCTTTCAAGTTAGGGCTTCTCGCTGTATATTCCCCTTGAGGCAGCAAACTCGGGGTCCCTCCCACATACCTATTGCTGAGAGAAGCCTCCTCCTGAGGTGCTTCTGGGAAGTTGGCATACGTCTTGAGCCTAAGCCAGGGAATCAGCTCGCATCTCGAGACGATTTGGGGTACACGGAGCATTCCTCGAGTTGCTGTGCTGAAGTTGGTGTTCCTCTAGACTTGGGACAGTGTTCTCGGGGCATCTCTGGAGTTGCCTGAAGGAAGTCGAGCCACCGGTCGTGTTGAATGGGGAACGGGGAATGGCTCTGGAGTCAATGCAGGGGAATCGGGCCTCATCTCGAGTTGATTTGGGGCACATGGAGCTGCTTTGCGTTGCTGGGGTGACCTCAGGGTCCGTCTAGACTGGTGACAGTGTTCTTGGGGACTGTCTCGAGATCCATTAAGCAAGTCGAAGCTCCTGACTTGTTTGAATGGGATCACGGAATAGCTCTGCATGCACTGCAGGGGAATGGGGCCTCATCTCGCCTCTAGGGGGAAGTCTCATGGTTTTTCTCGAGTTGCGGCGGGGACCTGGGGTATGTTCTCGACTTACGGCGGGGATGGCCCTTCAAAACACGAGTTTCTTCAGTGACGTCAGGACTCCTGTCTAGTAACGAGGGACACCTCAGGAATCTCTTCGAGGCTTGGCAGGGCCAAAGGGACGCTTCTCGAGGTGAGGCAGGGCACCCAAGGACCCTTTCCAGTAGCCACAGGGATTTTGGGATTCCTATCAGTATTCAAGAGGAGTCAGGCATCGTCACCTTTTGAAGCAATGAACTCCGCGTGCCTCTCGAGGTGTCAGCGGGATGTGAGGCATTCCGTCAAAATGAGGCAGGGACCTAGGGCTTTCTCTAAGGTCTCCACAGGGGATTCAGACATCCCTTCATGTTGTGAGATGAAAGACGAGCCTGTATTCAAGCCACTGCAAGGAAATCCGGCCTCCTTTCAAGTTAGGGCTTCTCGCTGTATATTCCCCTTGAGGCAGCAAACTCGGGGTCCCTCCCACATACCTATTGCTGAGAGAAGCCTCCTCCTGAGGTGCTTCTGGGAAGTTGGCATACGTCTTGAGCCTAAGCCAGGGAATCAGCTCTCATCTCGAGACGATTTGGGGTACACGGAGCATTCCTCGAGTTGCTGTGCTGAAGTTGGTGTTCCTCTAGACTTGGGACAGTGTTCTCGGGGCATCTCTGGAGTTGCCTGAAGGAAGTCGAGCCACCGGTCGTGTTGAATGGGGAACGGGGAATGGCTCTGGAGTCAATGCAGGGGAATCGGGCCTCATCTCGAGTTGATTTGGGGCACATGGAGCTGCTTTGCGTTGCTGGGGTGACCTCAGGGTCCGTCTAGACTGGTGACAGTGTTCTTGGGGACTGCCTCGAGATCCATTAAGCAAGTCGAAGCTCCTGACTTGTTTGAACGGGATCACGGAATAGCTCTGCATGCACTGCAGGGGAATGGGGCCTCATCTCGCCTCTAGGGGGAAGTCTCATGGTTTTTCTCGAGTTGCGGCGGGGACCTGGGGTATGTTCTCGACTTACGGCGGGGATGGCCCTTCAAGACACGAGTTTCTTCAGTGACGTCAGGACTCCTGTCTAGTAACGAGGGACACCTCAGGAATCTCTTCGAGGCTTGGCAGGGCCAAAGGGACGCTTCTCGAGGTGAGGCAGGGCACCCAAGGACCCTTTCCAGTAGCCACAGGGATTTTGGGATTCCTATCAGTATTCAAGAGGAGTCAGGCATCGTCAGCTTTTGAAGCAATGAACTCCGCGTGCCTCTCGAGGTGTCAGCGGGATGTGAGGCATTCCGTCAAAATGAAGCAGGGACCTAGGGCTTTCTCTAAGGTCTCCACAGGGGATTCAGACATCCCTTCATGTTGTGAGATGAAAGACGAGCCTGTATTCAAGCCACTGCAAGGAAATCCGGCCTCCTTTCAAGTTAGGGCTTCTCGCTGTATATTCCCCTTGAGGCAGCAAACTCGGGGTCCCTCCCACATACCTATTGCTGAGAGAAGCCTCCTCCTGAGGTGCTTCTGGGAAGTTGGCATACGTCTTGAGCCTAAGCCAGGGAATCAGCTCGCATCTCGAGACGATTTGGGGTACACGGAGCATTCCTCGAGTTGCTGTGCTGAAGTTGGTGTTCCTCTAGACTTGGGACAGTGTTCTCGGGGCATCTCTGGAGTTGCCTGAAGGAAGTCGAGCCACCGGTCGTATTGAATGGGGAACGGGGAATGGCTCTGGAGTCAATGCAGGGGAATCGGGCCTCATCTCGAGTTGATTTGGGGCACACGGAGCTGCTTTGGGTTGCTGGGGTGACCTCAGGGTCCGTCTAGACTGGTGACAGTGTTCTTGGGGAGTGTCTCGAGATCCATTAAGCAAGTCGAAGCTCCTGACTTGTTTGAACGGGATCACGGAATAGCTCTGCATGCACTGCAGGGGAATGGGGCCTCATCTCGCCTCTAGGGGGAAGTCTCATGGTTTTTCTCGAGTTGCGGCGGGGACCTGGGGTATGTTCTCGACTTACGGCAGGGATGGCCCTTCAAAACACGAGTTTCTTCAGTGACGTCAGGACTCCTGTCTAGTAACGAGGGACACCTCAGGAATCTCTTCGAGGCTTGGCAGGGCCAAAGGGACGCTTCTCGAGGTGAGGCAGGGCACCCAAGGACCCTTTCCAGTAGCCACAGGGATTTTGGGATTCCTATCAGTATTCAAGAGGAGTCAGGCATCGTCACCTTTTGAAGCAATGAACTCCGCGTGCCTCTCGAGGTGTCAGCGCGATGTGAGGCATTCCGTCAAAATGAGGCAGGGACCTAGGGCTTTCTCTAAGGTCTCCACAGGGGATTCAGACATCCCTTCATGTTGTGAGATGAAAGACGAGCCTGTATTCAAGCCACTGCAAGGAAATCCGGCCTCCTTTCAAGTCAGGGCTTCTCGCTGTATATTCCCCTTGAGGCAGCAAACTCGGGGTCCCTCCCACATACCTATTGCTGAGAGAAGCCTCCTCCTGAGGTGCTTCTGGGAAGTTGGCATACGTCTTGAGCCTAAGCCAGGGAATCAGCTCGCATCTCGAGACGATTTGGGGTACACGGAGCATTCCTCGAGTTGCTGTGCTGAAGTTGGTGTTCCTCTAGACTTGCGACAGTGTTCTCGGGGCATCTCTGGAGTTGCCTGAAGGAAGTCGAGCCACCGGTCGTATTGAATGGGGAACGGGGAATGGCTCTGGAGTCAATGCAGGGGAATCGGGCCTCATCTCGAGTTGATTTGGGGCACACGGAGCTGCTTTGGGTTGCTGGGGTGACCTCAGGGTCCGTCTAGACTGGTGACAGTGTTCTTGGGGACTGTCTCGAGATCCATTAAGCAAGTCGAAGCTCCTGACTTGTTTGAATGGGATCACGGAATAGCTCTGCATGCACTGCAGGGGAATGGGGCCTCATCTCGCCTCTAGGGGGAAGTCTCATGGTTTTTCTCGAGTTGCGGCGGGGACCTGGGGTATGTTCTCGACTTACGGCAGGGATGACCCTTCAAGACACGAGTTTCTTCAGTGACGTCAGGACTCCTGTCTAGTAACGAGGGACACCTCAGGAATCTCTTCGAGGCTTGGCAGGGCCAAAGGGACGCCTCTCGAGGTGAGGCAGGGCACCCAAGGACCCTTTCCAGTAGCCACAGGGATTTTGGGATTCCTATCAGTATTCAAGAGGAGTCAGGCATCGTCACCTTTTGAAGCAATGAACTCCGCGTGCCTCTCGAGGTGTCAGCGGGATGTGAGGCATTCCGTCAAAATGAGGCAGGGACCTAGGGCTTTCTCTAAGGTCTCCACAGGGGATTCAGACATCCCTTCATGTTGTGAGATGAAAGACGAGCCTGTATTCAAGCCACTGCAAGGAAATCCGGCCTCCTTTCAAGTCAGGGCTTCTCGCTGTATATTCCCCTTGAGGCAGCAAACTCGGGGTCCCTCCCACATACCTATTGCTGAGAGAAGCCTCCTCCTGAGGTGCTTCTGGGAAGTTGGCATACGTCTTGAGCCTAAGCCAGGGAATCAGCTCTCATCTCGAGACGATTTGGGGTACACGGAGCATTCCTCGAGTTGCTGTGCTGAAGTTGGTGTTCCTCTAGACTTGGGACAGTGTTCTCGGGGCATCTCTGGAGTTGCCTGAAGGAAGTCGAGCCACCGGTCGTGTTGAATGGGGAACGGGGAATGGCTCTGGAGTCAATGCAGGGGAATCGGGCCTCATCTCGAGTTGATTTGGGGCACATGGAGCTGCTTTGCGTTGCTGGGGTGACCTCAGGGTCCTTCTAGACTGGTGACAGTGTTCTTGGGGACTGTCTCGAGATCCATTAAGCAAGTCGAAGCTCCTGACTTGTTTGAACGGGATCACGGAATAGCTCTGCATGCACTGCAGGGGAATGGGGCCTCATCTCGCCTCTAGGGGGAAGTCTCATGGTTTTTCTCGAGTTGCGGCGGGGACCTGGGGTATGTTCTCGACTTACGGCGGGGATGGCCCTTCAAGACACGAGTTTCTTCAGTGACGTCAGGACTCCTGTCTAGTAACGAGGGACACCTCAGGAATCTCTTCTAGGCTTGGCAGGGCCAAAGGGACGCTTCTCGAGGTGAGGCAGGGCACCCAAGGACCCTTTCCAGTAGCCACCGGGATTTTGGGATTCCTATCAGTATTCAAGAGGAGTCAGGCATCGTCACCTTTTGAAGCAATGAACTCCGCGTGCCTCTCGAGGTGTCAGCGGGATGTGAGGCATTCCGTCAAAATGAGGCAGGGACCTAGGGCTTTCTCTAAGGTCTCCACAGGGGATTCAGACATCCCTTCATGTTGTGAGATGAAAGACGATCCTGTATTCAAGCCACTGCAAGGAAATCCGGCCTCCTTTCAAGTCAGGGCTTCTCGCTGTATATTCCCCTTGAGGCAGCAAACTCGGGGTCCCTCCCACATTCCTATGGCTGAGAGAAGCCTCCTCCTGAGGTGCTTCTGGGAAGTTGGCATACGTCTTGAGCCTAAGCCAGGGAATCAGCTCTCATCTCGAGACGATTTGGGGTACACGGAGCATTCCTCGAGTTGCTGTGCTGAAGTTGGTGTTCCTCTAGACTTGGGACAGTGTTCTCGGGGCATCTCTGGAGTTGCCTGAAGGAAGTCGAGCCACCGGTCGTGTTGAATGGGGAACGGGGAATGGCTCTGGAGTCAATGCAGGGGAATCGGGCCTCATCTCGAGTTGATTTGGGGCACATGGAGCTGCTTTGCGTTGCTGGGGTGACCTCAGGGTCCGTCTAGACTGGTGACAGTGTTCTTGGGGACTGTCTCGAGATCCATTAAGCAAGTCGAAGCTCCTGACTTGTTTGAACGGGATCACGGAATAGCTCTGCATGCACTGCAGGGGAATGGGGCCTCATCTCGCCTCTAGGGGGAAGTCTCATGGTTTTTCTCGAGTTGCGGCGGGGACCTGGGTTATGTTCTCGACTTACGGCGGGGATGGCCCTTCAAGACACGAGTTTCTTCAGTGACGTCAGGACTCCTGTCTAGTAACGAGGGACACCTCAGGAATCTCTTCGAGGCTTGGCAGGGCCAAAGGGACGCTTCTCGAGGTGAGGCAGGGCACCCAAGGACCCTTTCCAGTAGCCACCGGGATTTTGGGATTCCTATCAGTATTCAAGAGGAGTCAGGCATCGTCACCTTTTGAAGCAATGAACTCCGCGTGCCTCTCGAGGTGTCAGCGGGATGTGAGGCATTCCGTCAAAATGAGGCAGGGACCTAGGGCTTTCTCTAAGGTCTCCACAGGGGATTCAGACATCCCTTCATGTTGTGAGATGAAAGACGATCCTGTATTCAAGCCACTGCAAGGAAATCCGGCCTCCTTTCAAGTTAGGGCTTCTCGCTGTATATTCCCCTTGAGGCAGCAAACTCGGGGTCCCTCCCACATACCTATTGCTGAGAGAAGCCTCCTCCTGAGGTGCTTCTGGGAAGTTGGCATACGTCTTGAGCCTAAGCCAGGGAATCAGCTCGCATCTCGAGACGATTTGGGGTACACGGAGCATTCCTCGAGTTGCTGTGCTGAAGTTGGTGTTCCTCTAGACTTGGGACAGTGTTCTCGGGGCATCTCTGGAGTTGCCTGAAGGAAGTCGAGCCACCGGTCGTGTTGAATGGGGAACGGGGAATGGCTCTGGAGTCAATGCAGGGGAATCGGGCCTCATCTCGAGTTGATTTGGGGCACATGGAGCTGCTTTGCGTTGCTGGGGTGACCTCAGGGTCCGTCTAGACTGGTGACAGTGTTCTTGGGGACTGTCTCGAGATCCATTAAGCAAGTCGAAGCTCCTGACTTGTTTGAATGGGATCACGGAATAGCTCTGCATGCACTGCAGGGGAATGGGGCCTCATCTCGCCTCTAGGGGGAAGTCTCATGGTTTTTCTCGAGTTGCGGCGGGGACCTGGGGTATGTTCTCGACTTACGGCGGGGATGGCCCTTCAAAACACGAGTTTCTTCAGTGACGTCAGGACTCCTGTCTAGTAACGAGGGACACCTCAGGAATCTCTTCGAGGCTTGGCAGGGCCAAAGGGACGCTTCTCGAGGTGAGGCAGGGCACCCAAGGACCCTTTCCAGTAGCCACAGGGATTTTGGGATTCCTATCAGTATTCAAGAGGAGTCAGGCATCGTCACCTTTTGAAGCAATGAACTCCGCGTGCCTCTCGAGGTGTCAGCGGGATGTGAGGCATTCCGTCAAAATGAGGCAGGGACCTAGGGCTTTCTCTAAGGTCTCCACAGGGGATTCAGACATCCCTTCATGTTGTGAGATGAAAGACGAGCCTGTATTCAAGCCACTGCAAGGAAATCCGGCCTCCTTTCAAGTTAGGGCTTCTCGCTGTATATTCCCCTTGAGGCAGCAAACTCGGGGTCCCTCCCACATACCTATTGCTGAGAGAAGCCTCCTCCTGAGGTGCTTCTGGGAAGTTGGCATACGTCTTGAGCCTAAGCCAGGGAATCAGCTCTCATCTCGAGACGATTTGGGGTACACGGAGCATTCCTCGAGTTGCTGTGCTGAAGTTGGTGTTCCTCTAGACTTGGGACAGTGTTCTCGGGGCATCTCTGGAGTTGCCTGAAGGAAGTCGAGCCACCGGTCGTGTTGAATGGGGAACGGGGAATGGCTCTGGAGTCAATGCAGGGGAATCGGGCCTCATCTCGAGTTGATTTGGGGCACATGGAGCTGCTTTGCGTTGCTGGGGTGACCTCAGGGTCCGTCTAGACTGGTGACAGTGTTCTTGGGGACTGCCTCGAGATCCATTAAGCAAGTCGAAGCTCCTGACTTGTTTGAACGGGATCACGGAATAGCTCTGCATGCACTGCAGGGGAATGGGGCCTCATCTCGCCTCTAGGGGGAAGTCTCATGGTTTTTCTCGAGTTGCGGCGGGGACCTGGGGTATGTTCTCGACTTACGGCGGGGATGGCCCTTCAAGACACGAGTTTCTTCAGTGACGTCAGGACTCCTGTCTAGTAACGAGGGACACCTCAGGAATCTCTTCGAGGCTTGGCAGGGCCAAAGGGACGCTTCTCGAGGTGAGGCAGGGCACCCAAGGACCCTTTCCAGTAGCCACAGGGATTTTGGGATTCCTATCAGTATTCAAGAGGAGTCAGGCATCGTCAGCTTTTGAAGCAATGAACTCCGCGTGCCTCTCGAGGTGTCAGCGGGATGTGAGGCATTCCGTCAAAATGAAGCAGGGACCTAGGGCTTTCTCTAAGGTCTCCACAGGGGATTCAGACATCCCTTCATGTTGTGAGATGAAAGACGAGCCTGTATTCAAGCCACTGCAAGGAAATCCGGCCTCCTTTCAAGTTAGGGCTTCTCGCTGTATATTCCCCTTGAGGCAGCAAACTCGGGGTCCCTCCCACATACCTATTGCTGAGAGAAGCCTCCTCCTGAGGTGCTTCTGGGAAGTTGGCATACGTCTTGAGCCTAAGCCAGGGAATCAGCTCGCATCTCGAGACGATTTGGGGTACACGGAGCATTCCTCGAGTTGCTGTGCTGAAGTTGGTGTTCCTCTAGACTTGGGACAGTGTTCTCGGGGCATCTCTGGAGTTGCCTGAAGGAAGTCGAGCCACCGGTCGTATTGAATGGGGAACGGGGTATGGCTCTGGAGTCAATGCAGGGGAATCGGGCCTCATCTCGAGTTGATTTGGGGCACACGGAGCTGCTTTGGGTTGCTGGGGTGACCTCAGGGTCCGTCTAGACTGGTGACAGTGTTCTTGGGGAGTGTCTCGAGATCCATTAAGCAAGTCGAAGCTCCTGACTTGTTTGAACGGGATCACGGAATAGCTCTGCATGCACTGCAGGGGAATGGGGCCTCATCTCGCCTCTAGGGGGAAGTCTCATGGTTTTTCTCGAGTTGCGGCGGGGACCTGGGGTATGTTCTCGACTTACGGCAGGGATGGCCCTTCAAAACACGAGTTTCTTCAGTGACGACAGGACTCCTGTCTAGTAACGAGGGACACCTCAGGAATCTCTTCGAGGCTTGGCAGGGCCAAAGGGACGCTCCTCGAGGTGAGGCAGGGCACCCAAGGACCCTTTCCAGTAGCCACAGGGATTTTGGGATTCCTATCAGTATTCAAGAGGAGTCAGGCATCGTCAGCTTTTGAAGCAATGAACTCCGCGTGCCTCTCGAGGTGTCAGCGGGATGTGAGGCATTCCGTCAAAATGAGGCAGGGACCTAGGGCTTTCTCTAAGGTCTCCACAGGGGATTCAGACATCCCTTCATGTTGTGAGATGAAAGACGAGCCTGTATTCAAGCCACTGCAAGGAAATCCGGCCTCCTTTCAAGTTAGGGCTTCTCGCTGTATATTCCCCTTGAGGCAGCAAACTCGGGGTCCCTCCCACATACCTATTGCTGAGAGAAGCCTCCTCCTGAGGTGCTTCTGGGAAGTTGGCATACGTCTTGAGCCTAAGCCAGGGAATCAGCTCGCATCTCGAGACGATTTGGGGTACACGGAGCATTCCTCGAGTTGCTGTGCTGAAGTTGGTGTTCCTCTAGACTTGGGACAGTGTTCTCGGGGCATCTCTGGAGTTGCCTGAAGGAAGTCGAGCCACCGGTCGTGTTGAATGGGGAACGGGGAATGGCTCTGGAGTCAATGCAGGGGAATCGGGCCTCATCTCGAGTTGATTTGGGGCACATGGAGCTGCTTTGCGTTGCTGGGGTGACCTCAGGGTCCGTCTAGACTGGTGACAGTGTTCTTGGGGACTGCCTCGAGATCCATTAAGCAAGTCGAAGCTCCTGACTTGTTTGAATGGGATCACGGAATAGCTCTGCATGCACTGCAGGGGAATGGGGCCTCATCTCGCCTCTAGGGGGAAGTCTCATGGTTTTTCTCGAGTTGTGGCGGGGACCTGGGGTGTGTTCTCGACTTACGTCGGGGATGGCCCTTCAAGACACGAGTTTCTTCAGTGACGTCAGGACTCCTGTCTAGTAACGAGGGACACCTCAGGAATCTCTTCGAGGCTTGGCAGGGCCAAAGGGACGCTTCTCGAGGTGAGGCAGGGCACCCAAGGACCCTTTCCAGTAGCCACAGGGATTTTGGGATTCCTATCAGTATTCAAGAGGAGTCAGGCATCGTCACCTTTTGAAGCAATGAACTCCGCGTGCCTCTCGATGTGTCAGCGCGATGTGAGGCATTCCGTCAAAATGAGGCAGGGACCTAGGGCTTTCTCTAAGGTCTCCACAGGGGATTCAGACATCCCTTCATGTTGTGAGATGAAAGACGAGCCTGTATTCAAGCCACTGCAAGGAAATCCGGCCTCCTTTCAAGTTAGGGCTTCTCGCTGTATATTCCCCTTGAGGCAGCAAACTCGGGGTCCCTCCCACATACCTATTGCTGAGAGAAGCCTCCTCCTGAGGTGCTTCTGGGAAGTTGGCATACGTCTTGAGCCTAAGCCAGGGAATCAGCTCGCATCTCGAGACGATTTGGGGTACACGGAGCATTCCTCGAGTTGCTGTGCTGAAGTTGGTGTTCCTCTAGACTTGGGACAGTGTTCTCGGGGCATCTCTGGAGTTGCCTGAAGGAAGTCGAGCCACCGGTCGTGTTGAATGGGGAACGGGGAATGGCTCTGGAGTCAATGCAGGGGAATCGGGCCTCATCTCGAGTTGATTTGGGGCACACGGAGCTGCTTTGGGTTGCTGGGGTGACCTCAGGGTCCGTCTAGACTGGTGACAGTGTTCTTGGGGACTGTCTCGAGATCCATTAAGCAAGTCGAAGCTCCTGACTTGTTTGAATGGGATCACGGAATAGCTCTGCATGCACTGCAGGGGAATGGGGCCTCATCTCGCCTCTAGGGGGAAGTCTCATGGTTTTTCTCGAGTTGCGGCGGGGACCTGGGGTATGTTCTCGACTTACGGCGGGGATGGCCCTTCAAAACACGAGTTTCTTCAGTGACGTCAGGACTCCTGTCTAGTAACGAGGGACACCTCAGGAATCTCTTCGAGGCTTGGCAGGGCCAAAGGGACGCTTCTCGAGGTGAGGCAGGGCACCCAAGGACCCTTTCCAGTAGCCACAGGGATTTTGGGATTCCTATCAGTATTCAAGAGGAGTCAGGCATCGTCACCTTTTGAAGCAATGAACTCCGCGTGCCTCTCGAGGTGTCAGCGGGATGTGAGGCATTCCGTCAAAATGAGGCAGGGACCTAGGGCTTTCTCTAAGGTCTCCACAGGGGATTCAGACATCCCTTCATGTTGTGAGATGAAAGACGAGCCTGTATTCAAGCCACTGCAAGGAAATCCGGCCTCCTTTCAAGTTAGGGCTTCTCGCTGTATATTCCCCTTGAGGCAGCAAACTCGGGGTCCCTCCCACATACCTATTGCTGAGAGAAGCCTCCTCCTGAGGTGCTTCTGGAAGTTGGCATACGTCTTGAGCCTAAGCCAGGGAATCAGCTCTCATCTCGAGACGATTTGGGCTACACGGAGCATTCCTCGAGTTGCTGTGCTGAAGTTGGTGTTCCTCTAGACTTGGGACAGTGTTCTCGGGGCATCTCTGGAGTTGCCTGAAGGAAGTCGACCCACCGGTCGTGTTGAATGGGGAACGGGGTATGGCTCTGGAGTCAAGGCAGGGGAATCGGGCCTCATCTCGAGTTGATTTGGGGCACATGGAGCTGCTTTGCGTTGCTGGGGTGACCTCAGGGTCCGTCTAGACTGGTGACAGTGTTCTTGGGGACTGCCTCGAGATCCATTAAGCAAGTCGAAGCTCCTGACTTGTTTGAATGGGATCACGGAATAGCTCTGCATGCACTGCAGGGGAATGGGGCCTCATCTCGCCTCTAGGGGGAAGTCTCATGGTTTTTCTCGAGTTGCGGCGGGGACCTGGGGTATGTTCTCGACTTACGGCGGGGATGGCCCTTCAAGACACGAGTTTCTTCAGTGACGTCAGGACTCCTGTCTAGTAACGAGGGACACCTCAGGAATCTCTTCGAGGCTTGGCAGGGCCAAAGGGACGCTTCTCGAGGTGAGGCAGGGCACCCAAGGACCCTTTCCAGTAGCCACAGGGATTTTGGGATTCCTATCAGTATTCAAGAGGAGTCAGGCATCGTCACCTTTTGAAGCAATGAACTCCGCGTGCCTCTCGAGGTGTCAGCGGGATGTGAGGCATTCCGTCAAAATGAGGCAGGGACCTAGGGCTTTCTCTAAGGTCTCCACAGGGGATTCAGACATCCCTTCATGTTGTGAGATGAAAGACGAGCCTGTATTGAAGCCACTGCAAGGAAATCCGGCCTCCTTTCAAGTTAGGGCTTCTCGCTGTATATTCCCCTTGAGGCAGCAAACTCGGGGTCCCTCCCACATACCTATTGCTGAGAGAAGCCTCCTCCTGAGGTGCTTCTGGGAAGTTGGCATACGTCTTGAGCCTAAGCCAGGGAATCAGCTCTCATCTCGAGACGATTTGGGGTACACGGAGCATTCCTCGAGTTGCTGTGCTGAAGTTGGTGTTCCTCTAGACTTGGGACAGTGTTCTCGGGGCATCTCTGGAGTTGCCTGAAGGAAGTCGAGCCACCGGTCGTGTTGAATGGGGAACGGGAAATGGCTCTGGAGTCAATGCACGGGAATCGGGCCTCATCTCGAGTTGATTTGGGGCACACGGAGCTGCTTTGGGTTGCTGGGGTGACCTCAGGGTCCGTCTAGACTGGTGACAGTGTTCTTGGGGACTGTCTCGAGATCCATTAAGCAAGTCGAAGCTCCTGACTTGTTTGAATGGGATCACGGAATAGCTCTGCATGCACTGCAGGGGAATGGGGCCTCATCTCGCCTCTAGGGGGAAGTCTCATGGTTTTTCTCGAGTTGCGGCGGGGACCTGGGGTATGTTCTCGACTTACGGCGGGGATGGCCCTTCAAAACACGAGTTTCTTCAGTGACGTCAGGACTCCTGTCTAGTAACGAGGGACACCTCAGGAATCTCTTCGAGGCTTGGCAGGGCCAAAGGGACGCTTCTCGAGGTGAGGCAGGGCACCCAAGGACCCTTTCCAGTAGCCACAGGGATTTTGGGATTCCTATCAGTATTCAAGAGGAGTCAGGCATCGTCACCTTTTGAAGCAATGAACTCCGCGTGCCTCTCGAGGTGTCAGCGGGATGTGAGGCATTCCGTCAAAATGAGGCAGGGACCTAGGGCTTTCTCTAAGGTCTCCACAGGGGATTCAGACATCCCTTCATGTTGTGAGATGAAAGACGAGCCTGTATTCAAGCCACTGCAAGGAAATCCGGCCTCCTTTCAAGTTAGGGCTTCTCGCTGTATATTCCCCTTGAGGCAGCAAACTCGGGGTCCCTCCCACATACCTATTGCTGAGAGAAGCCTCCTCCTGAGGTGCTTCTGGGAAGTTGGCATACGTCTTGAGCCTAAGCCAGGGAATCAGCTCTCATCTCGAGACGATTTGGGGTACACGGAGCATTCCTCGAGTTGCTGTGCTGAAGTTGGTGTTCCTCTAGACTTGGGACAGTGTTCTCGGGGCATCTCTGGAGTTGCCTGAAGGAAGTCGAGCCACCGGTCGTGTTGAATGGGGAACGGGGAATGGCTCTGGAGTCAATGCAGGGGAATCGGGCCTCATCTCGAGTTGATTTGGGGCACATGGAGCTGCTTTGCGTTGCTGGGGTGACCTCAGGGTCCGTCTAGACTGGTGACAGTGTTCTTGGGGACTGCCTCGAGATCCATTAAGCAAGTCGAAGCTCCTGACTTGTTTGAATGGGATCACGGAATAGCTCTGCATGCACTGCAGGGGAATGGGGCCTCATCTCGCCTCTAGGGGGAAGTCTCATGGTTTTTCTCGAGTTGCGGCGGGGACCTGGGGTATGTTCTCGACTTACGGCGGGGATGGCCCTTCAAGACACGAGTTTCTTCAGTGACGTCAGGACTCCTGTCTAGTAACGAGGGACACCTCAGGAATCTCTTCGAGGCTTGGCAGGGCCAAAGGGACGCTTCTCGAGGTGAGGCAGGGCACCCAAGGACCCTTTCCAGTAGCCACAGGGATTTTGGGATTCCTATCAGTATTCAAGAGGAGTCAGGCATCGTCACCTTTTGAAGCAATGAACTCCGCGTGCCTCTCGAGGTGTCAGCGGGATGTGAGGCATTCCGTCAAAATGAGGCAGGGACCTAGGGCTTTCTCTAAGGTCTCCACAGGGGATTCAGACATCCCTTCATGTTGTGAGATGAAAGACGAGCCTGTATTCAAGCCACTGCAAGGAAATCCGGCCTCCTTTCAAGTTAGGGCTTCTCGCTGTATATTCCCCTTGAGGCAGCAAACTCGGGGTCCCTCCCACATACCGATGGCTGAGAGAAGCCTCCTCCTGAGGTGCTTCTGGGAAGTTGGCATACGTCTTGAGCCTAAGCCAGGGAATCAGCTCGCATCTCGAGACGATTTGGGGTACACGGAGCATTCCTCGAGTTGCTGTGCTGAAGTTGGTGTTCCTCTAGACTTGGGACAGTGTTCTCGGGGCATCTCTGGAGTTGCCTGAAGGAAGTCGAGCCACCGGTCGTGTTGAATGGGGAACGGGGAATGGCTCTGGAGTCAATGCAGGGGAATCGGGCCTCATCTCGAGTTGATTTGGGGCACACGGAGCTGCTTTGCGTTGCTGGGGTGACCTCAGGGTCCGTCTAGACTGGTGACAGTGTTCTTGGGGACTGTCTCGAGATCCATTAAGCAAGTCGAAGCTCCTGACTTGTTTGAATGGGATCACGGAATAGCTCTGCATGCACTGCAGGGGAATGGGGCCTCATCTCGCCTCTAGGGGGAAGTCTCATGGTTTTTCTCGAGTTGCGGCGGGGACCTGGGGTATGTTCTCGACTTACGGCGGGGATGGCCCTTCAAAACACGAGTTTCTTCAGTGACGTCAGGACTCCTGTCTAGTAACGAGGGACACCTCAGGAATCTCTTCGAGGCTTGGCAGGGCCAAAGGGACGCTTCTCGAGGTGAGGCAGGGCACCCAAGGACCCTTTCCAGTAGCCACAGGGATTTTGGGATTACTATCAGTATTCAAGAGGAGTCAGGCATCGTCACCTTTTGAAGCAATGAACTCCGCGTGCCTCTCGAGGTGTCAGCGGGATGTGAGGCATTCCGTCAAAATGAGGCAGGGACCTAGGGCTTTCTCTAAGGTCTCCACAGGGGATTCAGACATCCCTTCATGTTGTGAGATGAAAGACGAACCTGTATTCAAGCCACTGCAAGGAAATCCGGCCTCCTTTCAAGTTAGGGCTTCTCGCTGTATATTCCCCTTGAGGCAGCAAACTCGGGGTCCCTCCCACATACCTATTGCTGAGAGAAGCCTCCTCCTGAGGTGCTTCTGGGAAGTTGGCATACGTCTTGAGCCTAAGCCAGGGAATCAGCTCGCATCTCGAGACGATTTGGGGTACACGGAGCATTCCTCGAGTTGCTGTGCTGAAGTTGGTGTTCCTCTAGACTTGGGACAGTGTTCTCGGGGCATCTCTGGAGTTGCCTGAAGGAAGGCGAGCCACCGGTCGTGTTGAATGGGGAACGGGGAATGGCTCTGGAGTCAATGCAGGGGAATCGGGCCTCATCTCGAGTTGATTTGGGGCACATGGAGCTGCTTTGCGTTGCTGGGGTGACCTCAGGGTCCGTCTAGACTGGTGACAGTGTTCTTGGGGACTGTCTCGAGATCCATTAAGCAAGTCGAAGCTCCTGACTTGTTTGAATGGGATCACGGAATAGCTCTGCATGCACTGCAGGGGAATGGGGCCTCATCTCGCCTCTAGGGGGAAGTCTCATGGTTTTTCTCGAGTTGCGGCGGGGACCTGGGGTATGTTCTCGACTTACGGCGGGGATGGCCCTTCAAGACACGAGTTTCTTCAGTGACGTCAGGACTCCTGTCTAGTAACGAGGGACACCTCAGGAATCTCTTCGAGGCTTGGCAGGGCCAAAGGGACGCTTCTCCAGGTGAGGCAGGGCACCCAAGGACCCTTTCCAGTAGCCACAGGGATTTTGGGATTCCTATCAGTATTCAAGAGGAGTCAGGCATCGTCACCTTTTGAAGCAATGAACTCCGCGTGCCTCTCGAGGTGTCAGCGGGATGTGAGGCATTCCGTCAAAATGAGGCAGGGACCTAGGGCTTTCTCTAAGGTCTCCACAGGGGATTCAGACATCCCTTCATGTTGTGAGATGAAAGACGAACCTGTATTCACGCCACTGCAAGGAAATCCGGCCTCCTTTCAAGTTAGGGCTTCTCGCTGTATATTCCCCTTGAGGCAGCAAACTCGGGGTCCCTCCCACATACCTATTGCTGAGAGAAGCCTCCTCCTGAGGTGCTTCTGGGAAGTTGGCATACGTCTTGAGCCTAAGCCAGGGAATCAGCTCGCATCTCGAGACGATTTGGGGTACACGGAGCATTCCTCGAGTTGCTGTGCTGAAGTTGGTGTTCCTCTAGACTTGGGACAGTGTTCTCGGGGCATCTCTGGAGTTGCCTGAAGGAAGTCGAGCCACCGGTCGTGTTGAATGGGGAACGGGGAATGGCTCTGGAGTCAATGCAGGGGAATCGGGCCTCATCTCGAGTTGATTTGGGGCACATGGAGCTGCTTTGCGTTGCTGGGGTGACCTCAGGGTCCGTCTAGACTGGTGAGAGTGATCTTGGGGAGTGTCTCGAGATCCATTAAGCAAGTCGAAGCTCCTGACTTGTTTGAATGGGATCACGGAATAGCTCTGCATGCACTGCAGGGGAATGGGGCCTCATCTCGCCTCTAGGGGTAAGTCTCATGGTTTTTCTCGAGTTGCGGCGGGGACCTGGGGTATGTTCTCGACTTACGGCGGGGATGACCCTTCAAAACACGAGTTTCTTCAGTGACGTCAGGACTCCTGTCTAGTAACGAGGGACACCTCAGGAATCTCTTCGAGGCTTGGCAGGGCCAAAGGGACGCTTCTCGAGGTGAGGCAGGGCACCCAAGGACCCTTTCCAGTAGCCACAGGGATTTTGGGATTCCTATCAGTATTCAAGAGGAGTCAGGCATCGTCACCTTTTGAAGCAATGAACTCCGCGTGCCTCTCGAGGTGTCAGCGCGATGTGAGGCATTCCGTCAAAATGAGGCAGGGACCTAGGGCTTTCTCTAAGGTCTCCACAGGGGATTCAGACATCCCTTCATGTTGTGAGATGAAAGACGAGCCTGTATTCAAGCCACTGCAAGGAAATCCGGCTTCCTTTCAAGTTAGGGCTTCTCGCTGTATATTCCCCTTGAGGCAGCAAACTCGGGGTCCCTCCCACATACCTATTGCTGAGAGAAGCCTCCTCCTGAGGTGCTTCTGGGAAGTTGGCATACGTCTTGAGCCTAAGCCAGGGAATCAGCTCGCATCTCGAGACGATTTGGGGTACACGGAGCATTCCTCGAGTTGCTGTGCTGAAGTTGGTGTTCCTCTAGACTTGGGACAGTGTTCTCGGGGCATCTCTGGAGTTGCCTGAAGGAAGTCGAGCCACCGGTCGTGTTGAATGGGGAACGGGGAATGGCTCTGGAGTCAATGCAGGGGAATCGGGCCTCATCTCGAGTTGATTTGGGGCACATGGAGCTGCTTTGCGTTGCTGGGGTGACCTCAGGGTCCGTCTAGACTGGTGACAGTGTTCTTGGGGACTGTCTCGAGATCCATTAAGCAAGTCGAAGCTCCTGACTTGTTTGAATGGGATCACGGAATAGCTCTGCATGCACTGCAGGGGAATGGGGCCTCATCTCGCCTCTAGGGGGAAGTCTCATGGTTTTTCTCGAGTTGCGGCGGGGACCTGGGGTATGTTCTCGACTTACGGCGGGGATGGCCCTTCAAGACACGAGTTTCTTCAGTGACGTCAGGACTCCTGTCTAGTAACGAGGGACACCTCAGGAATCTCTTCGAGGCTTGGCAGGGCCAAAGGGACGCTTCTCGAGGTGAGGCAGGGCACCCAAGGACCCTTTCCAGTAGCCACAGGGATTTTGGGATTCCTATCAGTATTCAAGAGGAGTCAGGCATCGTCACCTTTTGAAGCAATGAACTCCGCGTGCCTCTCGAGGTGTCAGCGGGATGTGAGGCATTCCGTCAAAATGAGGCAGGGACCTAGGGCTTTCTCTAAGGTCTCCACAGGGGATTCAGACATCCCTTCATGTTGTGAGATGAAAGACGAGCCTGTATTCAAGCCACTGCAAGGAAATCCGGCCTCCTTTCAAGTTAGGGCTTCTCGCTGTATATTCCCCTTGAGGCAGCAAACTCGGGGTCCCTCCCACATACCTATTGCTGAGAGAAGCCTCCTCCTGAGGTGCTTCTGGGAAGTTGGCATACGTCTTGAGCCTAAGCCAGGGAATCAGCTCGCATCTCGAGACGATTTGGGGTACACGGAGCATTCCTCGAGTTGCTGTGCTGAAGTTGGTGTTCCTCTAGACTTGGGACAGTGTTCTCGGGGCATCTCTGGAGTTGCCTGAAGGAAGTCGAGCCACCGGTCGTGTTGAATGGGGAACGGGGAATGGCTCTGGAGTCAATGCAGGGGAATCGGGCCTCATCTCGAGTTGATTTGGGGCACATGGAGCTGCTTTGCGTTGCTGGGGTGACCTCAGGGTCCGTCTAGACTGGTGACAGTGTTCTTGGGGACTGTCTCGAGATCCATTAAGCAAGTCGAAGCTCCTGACTTGTTTGAATGGGATCACGGAATAGCTCTGCATGCACTGCAGGGGAATGGGGCCTCATCTCGCCTCTAGGGGGAAGTCTCATGGTTTTTCTCGAGTTGCGGCGGGGACCTGGGGTATGTTCTCGACTTACGGCGGGGATGGCCCTTCAAGACACGAGTTTCTTCAGTGACGTCAGGACTCCTGTCTAGTAACGAGGGACACCTCAGGAATCTCTTCGAGGCTTGGCAGGGCCAAAGGGACGCTTCTCGAGGTGAGGCAGGGCACCCAAGGACCCTTTCCAGTAGCCACAGGGATTTTGGGATTCCTATCAGTATTCAAGAGGAGTCAGGCATCGTCACCTTTTGAAGCAATGAACTCCGCGTGCCTCTCGAGGTGTCAGCGGGATGTGAGGCATTCCGTCAAAATGAGGCAGGGACCTAGGGCTTTCTCTAAGGTCTCCACAGGGGATTCAGACATCCCTTCATGTTGTGAGATGAAAGACGAGCCTGTATTCAAGCCACTGCAAGGAAATCCGGCCTCCTTTCAAGTTAGGGCTTCTCGCTGTATATTCCCCTTGAGGCAGCAAACTCGGGGTCCCTCCCACATACCTATTGCTGAGAGAAGCCTCCTCCTGAGGTGCTTCTGGGAAGTTGGCATACGTCTTGAGCCTAAGCCAGGGAATCAGCTCGCATCTCGAGACGATTTGGGGTACACGGAGCATTCCTCGAGTTGCTGTGCTGAAGTTGGTGTTCCTCTAGACTTGGGACAGTGTTCTCGGGGCATCTCTGGAGTTGCCTGAAGGAAGTCGAGCCACCGGTCGTGTTGAATGGGGAACGGGGAATGGCTCTGGAGTCAATGCAGGGGAATCGGGCCTCATCTCGAGTTGATTTGGGGCACATGGAGCTGCTTTGCGTTGCTGGGGTGACCTCAGGGTCCGTCTAGACTGGTGACAGTGTTCTTGGGGACTGTCTCGAGATCCATTAAGCAAGTCGAAGCTCCTGACTTGTTTGAATGGGATCACGGAATAGCTCTGCATGCACTGCAGGGGAATGGGGCCTCATCTCGCCTCTAGGGGGAAGTCTCATGGTTTTTCTCGAGTTGCGGCGGGGACCTGGGGTATGTTCTCGACTTACGGCGGGGATGGCCCTTCAAGACACGAGTTTCTTCAGTGACGTCAGGACTCCTGTCTAGTAACGAGGGACACCTCAGGAATCTCTTCGAGGCTTGGCAGGGCCAAAGGGACGCTTCTCGAGGTGAGGCAGGGCACCCAAGGACCCTTTCCAGTAGCCACAGGGATTTTGGGATTCCTATCAGTATTCAAGAGGAGTCAGGCATCGTCAGCTTTTGAAGCAATGAACTCCGCGTGCCTCTCGAGGTGTCAGCGGGATGTGAGGCATTCCGTCAAAATGAGGCAGGGACCTAGGGCTTTCTCTAAGGTCTCCACAGGGGATTCAGACATCCCTTCATGTTGTGAGATGAAAGACGAGCCTGTATTCAAGCCACTGCAAGGAAATCCGGCCTCCTTTCAAGTTAGGGCTTCTCGCTGTATATTCCCCTTGAGGCAGCAAACTCGGGGTCCCTCCCACATACCTATTGCTGAGAGAAGCCTCCTCCTGAGGTGCTTCTGGGAAGTTGGCATACGTCTTGAGCCTAAGCCAGGGAATCAGCTCGCATCTCGAGACGATTTGGGGTACACGGAGCATTCCTCGAGTTGCTGTGCTGAAGTTGGTGTTCCTCTAGACTTGGGACAGTGTTCTCGGGGCATCTCTGGAGTTGCCTGAAGGAAGTCGAGCCACCGGTCGTGTTGAATGGGGAACGGGGAATGGCTCTGGAGTCAATGCAGGGGAATCGGGCCTCATCTCGAGTTGATTTGGGGCACATGGAGCTGCTTTGCGTTGCTGGGGTGACCTCAGGGTCCGTCTAGACTGGTGACAGTGTTCTTGGGGACTGTCTCGAGATCCATTAAGCAAGTCGAAGCTCCTGACTTGTTTGAATGGGATCACGGAATAGCTCTGCATGCACTGCAGGGGAATGGGGCCTCATCTCGCCTCTAGGGGGAAGTCTCATGGTTTTTCTCGAGTTGCGGCGGGGACCTGGGGTGTGTTCTCGACTTACGGCGGGGATGGCCCTTCAAGACACGAGTTTCTTCAGTGACGTCAGGACTCCTGTCTAGTAACGAGGGACACCTCAGGAATCTCTTCGAGGCTTGGCAGGGCCAAAGGGACGCTTCTCGAGGTGAGGCAGGGCACCCAAGGACCCTTTCCAGTAGCCACAGGGATTTTGGGATTCCTATCAGTATTCAAGAGGAGTCAGGCATCGTCACCTTTTGAAGCAATGAACTCCGCGTGCCTCTCGATGTGTCAGCGCGATGTGAGGCATTCCGTCAAAATGAGGCAGGGACCTAGGGCTTTCTCTAAGGTCTCCACAGGGGATTCAGACATCCCTTCATGTTGTGAGATGAAAGACGAGCCTGTATTCAAGCCACTGCAAGGAAATCCGGCCTCCTTTCAAGTTAGGGCTTCTCACTGTATATTCCCCTTGAGGCAGCAAACTCGGGGTCCCTCCCACATACCTATTGCTGAGAGAAGCCTCCTCCTGAGGTGCTTCTGGGAAGTTGGCATACGTCTTGAGCCTAAGCCAGGGAATCAGCTCGCATCTCGAGACGATTTGGGGTACACGGAGCATTCCTCGAGTTGCTGTGCTGAAGTTGGTGTTCCTCTAGACTTGGGACAGTGTTCTCGGGGCATCTCTGGAGTTGCCTGAAGGAAGTCGAGCCACCGGTCGTGTTGAATGGGGAACGGGGAATGGCTCTGGAGTCAATGCAGGGGAATCGGGCCTCATCTCGAGTTGATTTGGGGCACACGGAGCTGCTTTGGGTTGCTGGGGTGACCTCAGGGTCCGTCTAGACTGGTGACAGTGTTCTTGGGGACTGTCTCGAGATCCATTAAGCAAGTCGAAGCTCCTGACTTGTTTGAATGGGATCACGGAATAGCTCTGCATGCACTGCAGGGGAATGGGGCCTCATCTCGCCTCTAGGGGGAAGTCTCATGGTTTTTCTCGAGTTGCGGCGGGGACCTGGGGTATGTTCTCGACTTACGGCGGGGATGGCCCTTCAAAACCCGAGTTTCTTCAGTGAAGTCAGGACTCCTGTCTAGTAACGAGGGACACCTCAGGAATCTCTTCGAGGCTTGGCAGGGCCAAAGGGACGCTTCTCGAGGTGAGGCAGGGCACCCAAGGACCCTTTCCAGTAGCCACAGGGATTTTGGGATTCCTATCAGTATTCAAGAGGAGTCAGGCATCGTCACCTTTTGAAGCAATGAACTCCGCGTGCCTCTCGAGGTGTCAGCGGGATGTGAGGCATTCCGTCAAAATGAGGCAGGGACCTAGGGCTTTCTCTAAGGTCTCCACAGGGGATTCAGACATCCCTTCATGTTGTGAGATGAAAGACGAGCCTGTATTCAAGCCACTGCAAGGAAATCCGGCCTCCTTTCAAGTTAGGGCTTCTCGCTGTATATTCCCCTTGAGGCAGCAAACTCGGGGTCCCTCCCACATACCTATTGCTGAGAGAAGCCTCCTCCTGAGGTGCTTCTGGGAAGTTGGCATACGTCTTGAGCCTAAGCCAGGGAATCAGCTCGCATCTCGAGACGATTTGGGGTACACGGAGCATTCCTCGAGTTGCTGTGCTGAAGTTGGTGTTCCTCTAGACTTGGGACAGTGTTCTCGGGGCATCTCTGGAGTTGCCTGAAGGAAGTCGAGCCACCGGTCGTGTTGAATGGGGAACGGGGAATGGCTCTGGAGTCAATGCAGGGGAATCGGGCCTCATCTCGAGTTGATTTGGGGCACATGGAGCTGCTTTGCGTTGCTGGGGTGACCTCAGGGTCCGTCTAGACTGGTGACAGTGTTCTTGGGGACTGCCTCGAGATCCATTAAGCAAGTCGAAGCTCCTGACTTGTTTGAATGGGATCACGGAATAGCTCTGCATGCACTGCAGGGGAATGGGGCCTCATCTCGCCTCTAGGGGGAAGTCTCATGGTTTTTCTCGAGTTGTGGCGGGGACCTGGGGTATGTTCTCGACTTACGGCGGGGATGGCCCTTCAAGACACGAGTTTCTTCAGTGACGTCAGGACTCCTGTCTAGTAACGAGGGACACCTCAGGAATCTCTTCGAGGCTTGGCAGGGCCAAAGGGACGCTTCTCGAGGTGAGGCAGGGCACCCAAGGACCCTTTCCAGTAGCCACAGGGATTTTGGGATTCCTATCAGTATTCAAGAGGAGTCAGGCATCGTCAACTTTTGAAGCAATGAACTCCGCGTGCCTCTCGAGGTGTCAGCGGGATGTGAGGCATTCCGTCAAAATGAGGCAGGGACCTAGGGCTTTCTCTAAGGTCTCCACAGGGGATTCAGACATCCCTTCATGTTGTGAGATGAAAGACGAGCCTGTATTCAAGCCACTGCAAGGAAATCCGGCCTCCTTTCAAGTTAGGGCTTCTCGCTGTATATTCCCCTTGAGGCAGCAAACTCGGGGTCCCTCCCACATACCTATTGCTGAGAGAAGCCTCCTCCTGAGGTGCTTCTGGGAAGTTGGCATACGTCTTGAGCCTAAGCCAGGGAATCAGCTCTCATCTCGAGACGATTTGGGGTACACGGAGCATTCCTCGAGTTGCTGTGCTGAAGTTGGTGTTCCTCTAGACTTGGGACAGTGTTCTCGGGGCATCTCTGGAGTTGCCTGAAGGAAGGCGAGCCACCGGTCGTGTTGAATGGGGAACGGGGAATGGCTCTGGAGTCAATGCAGGGGAATCGGGCCTCATCTCGAGTTGATTTGGGGCACATGGAGCTGCTTTGCGTTGCTGGGGTGACCTCAGGGTCCGTCTAGACTGGTGACAGTGTTCTTGGGGACTGTCTCGAGATCCATTAAGCAAGTCGAAGCTCCTGACTTGTTTGAATGGGATCACGGAATAGCTCTGCATGCACTGCAGGGGAATGGGGCCTCATCTCGCCTCTAGGGGGAAGTCTCATGGTTTTTCTCGAGTTGCGGCGGGGACCTGGGGTATGTTCTCGACTTACGGCGGGGATGGCCCTTCAAAACACGAGTTTCTTCAGTGACGTCAGGACTCCTGTCTAGTAACGAGGGACACCTCAGGAATCTCTTCGAGGCTTGGCAGGGCCAAAGGGACGCTTCTCGAGGTGAGGCAGGGCACCCAAGGACCCTTTCCAGTAGCCACAGGGATTTTGGGATTCCTATCAGTATTCAAGAGGAGTCAGGCATCGTCACCTTTTGAAGCAATGAACTCCGCGTGCCTCTCGAGGTGTCAGCCGGATGTGAGGCATTCCGTCAAAATGAGGCAGGGACCTAGGGCTTTCTCTAAGGTCTCCACAGGGGATTCAGACATCCCTTCATGTTGTGAGATGAAAGACGAACCTGTATTCAAGCCACTGCAAGGAAATCCGGCCTCCTTTCAAGTTAGGGCTTCTCGCTGTATATTCCCCTTGAGGCAGCAAACTCGGGGTCCCTCCCACATACCTATTGCTGAGAGAAGCCTCCTCCTGAGGTGCTTCTGGGAAGTTGGCATACGTCTTGAGCCTAAGCCAGGGAATCAGCTCTCATCTCGAGACGATTTGGGGTACACGGAGCATTCCTCGAGTTGCTGTGCTGAAGTTGGTGTTCCTCTAGACTTGGGACAGTGTTCTCGGGGCATCTCTGGAGTTGCCTGAAGGAAGTCGAGCCACCGGTCGTGTTGAATGGGGAACGGGGAATCGCTCTGGAGTCAATGCAGGGGAATCGGGCCTCATCTCGAGTTGATTTGGGGCACATGGAGCTGCTTTGCGTTGCTGGGGTGACCTCAGGGTCCGTCTAGACTGGTGAGAGTGATCTTGGGGAGTGTCTCGAGATCCATTAAGCAAGTCGAAGCTCCTGACTTGTTTGAATGGGATCACGGAATAGCTCTGCATGCACTGCAGGGGAATGGGGCCTCATCTCGCCTCTAGGGGGAAGTCTCATGGTTTTTCTCGAGTTGCGGCGGGGACCTGGGGTATGTTCTCGACTTACGGCGGGGATGACCCTTCAAAACACGAGTTTCTTCAGTGACGTCAGGACTCCTGTCTAGTAACGAGGGACACCTCAGGAATCTCTTCGAGGCTTGGCAGGGCCAAAGGGACGCTTCTCGAGGTGAGGCAGGGCACCCAAGGACCCTTTCCAGTAGCCACAGGGATTTTGGGATTCCTATCAGTATTCAAGAGGAGTCAGGCATCGTCACCTTTTGAAGCAATGAACTCCGCGTGCCTCTCGAGGTGTCAGCGCGATGTGAGGCATTCCGTCAAAATGAGGCAGGGACTTAGGGCTTTCTCTAAGGTCTCCACAGGGGATTCAGACATCCCTTCATGTTGTGAGATGAAAGACGAGCCTGTATTCAAGCCACTGCAAGGAAATCCGGCCTCCTTTCAAGTTAGGGCTTCTCGCTGTATATTCCCCTTGAGGCAGCAAACTCGGGGTCCCTCCCACATACCTATTGCTGAGAGAAGCCTCCTCCTGAGGTGCTTCTGGGAAGTTGGCATACGTCTTGAGCCTAAGCCAGGGAATCAGCTCGCATCTCGAGACGATTTGGGGTACACGGAGCATTCCTCGAGTTGCTGTGCTGAAGTTGGTGTTCCTCTAGACTTGGGACAGTGTTCTCGGGGCATCTCTGGAGTTGCCTGAAGGAAGTCGAGCCACCGGTCGTGTTGAATGGGGAACGGGGAATGGCTCTGGAGTCAATGCAGGGGAATCGGGCCTCATCTCGAGTTGATTTGGGGCACATGGAGCTGCTTTGCGTTGCTGGGGTGACCTCAGGGTCCGTCTAGACTGGTGACAGTGTTCTTGGGGACTGTCTCGAGATCCATTAAGCAAGTCGAAGCTCCTGACTTGTTTGAATGGGATCACGGAATAGCTCTGCATGCACTGCAGGGGAATGGGGCCTCATCTCGCCTCTAGGGGGAAGTCTCATGGTTTTTCTCGAGTTGCGGCGGGGACCTGGGGTATGTTCTCGACTTACGGCGGGGATGGCCCTTCAAGACACGAGTTTCTTCAGTGACGTCAGGACTCCTGTCTAGTAACGAGGGACACCTCAGGAATCTCTTCGAGGCTTGGCAGGGCCAAAGGGACGCTTCTCGAGGTGAGGCAGGGCACCCAAGGACCCTTTCCAGTAGCCACAGGGATTTTGGGATTCCTATCAGTATTCAAGAGGAGTCAGGCATCGTCACCTTTTGAAGCAATGAACTCCGCGTGCCTCTCGAGGTGTCAGCGGGATGTGAGGCATTCCGTCAAAATGAGGCAGGGACCTAGGGCTTTCTCTAAGGTCTCCACAGGGGATTCAGACATCCCTTCATGTTGTGAGATGAAAGACGAGCCTGTATTCAAGCCACTGCAAGGAAATCCGGCCTCCTTTCAAGTTAGGGCTTCTCGCTGTATATTCCCCTTGAGGCAGCAAACTCGGGGTCCCTCCCACATACCTATTGCTGAGAGAAGCCTCCTCCTGAGGTGCTTCTGGGAAGTTGGCATACGTCTTGAGCCTAAGCCAGGGAATCAGCTCGCATCTCGAGACGATTTGGGGTACACGGAGCATTCCTCGAGTTGCTGTGCTGAAGTTGGTGTTCCTCTAGACTTGGGACAGTGTTCTCGGGGCATCTCTGGAGTTGCCTGAAGGAAGTCGAGCCACCGGTCGTGTTGAATGGGGAACGGGGAATGGCTCTGGAGTCAATGCAGGGGAATCGGGCCTCATCTCGAGTTGATTTGGGGCACATGGAGCTGCTTTGCGTTGCTGGGGTGACCTCAGGGTCCGTCTAGACTGGTGACAGTGTTCTTGGGGACTGTCTCGAGATCCATTAAGCAAGTCGAAGCTCCTGACTTGTTTGAATGGGATCACGGAATAGCTCTGCATGCACTGCAGGGGAATGGGGCCTCATCTCGCCTCTAGGGGGAAGTCTCATGGTTTTTCTCGAGTTGCGGCGGGGACCTGGGGTATGTTCTCGACTTACGGCGGGGATGGCCCTTCAAAACACGAGTTTCTTCAGTGACGTCAGGACTCCTGTCTAGTAACGAGGGACACCTCAGGAATCTCTTCGAGGCTTGGCAGGGCCAAAGGGACGCTTCTCGAGGTGAGGCAGGGCACCCAAGGACCCTTTCCAGTAGCCACAGGGATTTTGGGATTCCTATCAGTATTCAAGAGGAGTCAGACATCGTCACCTTTTGAAGCAATGAACTCCGCGTGCCTCTCGAGGTGTCAGCGGGATGTGAGGCATTCCGTCAAAATGAGGCATTGACCTAGGGCTTTCTCTAAGGTCTCCACAGGGGATTCAGACATCCCTTCATGTTGTGAGATGAAAGACGAGCCTGTATTCAAGCCACTGCAAGGAAATCCGGCCTCCTTTCAAGTTAGGGCTTCTCGCTGTATATTCCCCTTGAGGCAGCAAACTCGGGGTCCCTCCCACATTCCTATGGCTGAGAGAAGCCTCCTCCTGAGGTGCTTCTGGGAAGTTGGCATACGTCTTGAGCCTAAGCCAGGGAATCAGCTCTCATCTCGAGACGATTTGGGGTACACGGAGCATTCCTCGAGTTGCTGTGCTGAAGTTGGTGTTCCTCTAGACTTGGGACAGTGTTCTCGGGGCATCTCTGGAGTTGCCTGAAGGAAGTCGAGCCACCGGTCGTGTTGAATGGGGAACGGGGAATGGCTCTGGAGTCAATGCAGGGGAATCGGGCCTCATCTCGAGTTGATTTGGGGCACATGGAGCTGCTTTGCGTTGCTGGGGTGACCTCAGGGTCCGTCTAGACTGGTGACAGTGTTCTTGGGGACTGTCTCGAGATCCATTAAACAAGTCGAAGCTCCTGACTTGTTTGAATGGGATCACGGAATAGCTCTGCATGCACTGCAGGGGAATGGGGCCTCATCTCGCCTCTAGGGGGAAGTCTCATGGTTTTTCTCGAGTTGCGGCGGGGACCTGGGGTATGTTCTCGACTTACGGCGGGGATGGCCCTTCAAGACACGAGTTTCTTCAGTGACGTCAGGACTCCTGTCTAGTAACGAGGGACACCTCAGGAATCTCTTCGAGGCTTGGCAGGGCCAAAGGGACGCTTCTCGAGGTGAGGCAGGGCACCCAAGGACCCTTTCCAGTAGCCACAGGGATTTTGGGATTCCTATCAGTATTCAAGAGGAGTCAGGCATCGTCACCTTTTGAAGCAATGAACTCCGCGTGCCTCTTGAGGTGTCAGCGCGATGTGAGGCATTCCGTCAAAATGAGGCAGGGACCTAGGGCTTTCTCTAAGGTCTCCACAGGGGATTCAGACATCCCTTCATGTTGTGAGATGAAAGACGAGCCTGTATTCAAGCCACTGCAAGGAAATCCGGCCTCCTTTCAAGTTAGGGCTTCTCGCTGTATATTCCCCTTGAGGCAGCAAACTCGGGGTCCCTCCCACATACCTATTGCTGAGAGAAGCCTCCTCCTGAGGTGCTTCTGGGAAGTTGGCATACGTCTTGAGCCTAAGCCAGGGAATCAGCTCGCATCTCGAGACGATTTGGGGTACACGGAGCATTCCTCGAGTTGCTGTGCTGAAGTTGGTGTTCCTCTAGACTTGGGACAGTGTTCTCGGGGCATCTCTGGAGTTGCCTGAAGGAAGTCGAGCCACCGGTCGTGTTGAATGGGGAACGGGGAATGGCTCTGGAGTCAATGCAGGGGAATCGGGCCTCATCTCGAGTTGATTTGGGGCACATGGAGCTGCTTTGCGTTGCTGGGGTGACCTCAGGGTCCGTCTAGACTGGTGACAGTGTTCTTGGGGACTGTCTCGATATCCATTAAGCAAGTCGAAGCTCCTGACTTGTTTGAATGGGATCACGGAATAGCTCTGCATGCACTGCAGGGGAATGGGGCCTCATCTCGCCTCTAGGGGGAAGTCTCATGGTTTTTCTCGAGTTGCGGCGGGGACCTGGGGTATGTTCTCGACTTACGGCGGGGATGGCCCTTCAAGACACGAGTTTCTTCAGTGACGTCAGGACTCCTGTCTAGTAACGAGGGACACCTCAGGAATCTCTTCGAGGCTTGGCAGGGCCAAAGGAACGCTTCTCGAGGTGAGGCAGGGCACCCAAGGACCCTTTCCAGTAGCCACAGGGATTTTGGGATTCCTATCAGTATTCAAGAGGAGTCAGGCATCGTCACCTTTTGAAGCAATGAACTCCGCGTGCCTCTCGAGGTGTCAGCGGGATGTGAGGCATTCCGTCAAAATGAGGCATTGACCTAGGGCTTTCTCTAAGGTCTCCACAGGGGATTCAGACATCCCTTCATGTTGTGAGATGAAAGACGAGCCTGTATTCAAGCCACTGCAAGGAAATCCGGCCTCCTTTCAAGTTAGGGCTTCTCGCTGTATATTCCCCTTGAGGCAGCAAACTCGGGGTCCCTCCCACATTCCTATGGCTGAGAGAAGCCTCCTCCTGAGGTGCTTCTGGGAAGTTGGCATACGTCTTGAGCCTAAGCCAGGGAATCAGCTCTCATCTCGAGACGATTTGGGGTACACGGAGCATTCCTCGAGTTGCTGTGCTGAAGTTGGTGTTCCTCTAGACTTGGGACAGTGTTCTCGGGGCATCTCTGGAGTTGCCTGAAGGAAGTCGAGCCACCGGTCGTGTTGAATGGGGAACGGGGAATGGCTCTGGAGTCAATGCAGGGGAATCGGGCCTCATCTCGAGTTGATTTGGGGCACATGGAGCTGCTTTGCGTTGCTGGGGTGACCTCAGGGTCCGTCTAGACTGGTGACAGTGTTCTTGGGGACTGTCTCGAGATCCATTAAACAAGTCGAAGCTCCTGACTTGTTTGAATGGGATCACGGAATAGCTCTGCATGCACTGCAGGGGAATGGGGCCTCATCTCGCCTCTAGGGGGAAGTCTCATGGTTTTTCTCGAGTTGCGGCGGGGACCTGGGGTGTGTTCTCGACTTACGGCGGGGATGGCCCTTCAAGACACGAGTTTCTTCAGTGACGTCAGGACTCCTGTCTAGTAACGAGGGACACCTCAGGAATCTCTTCGAGGCTTGGCAGGGCCAAAGGGACGCTTCTCGAGGTGAGGCAGGGCACCCAAGGACCCTTTCCAGTAGCCACAGGGATTTTGGGATTCCTATCAGTATTCAAGAGGAGTCAGGCATCGTCACCTTTTGAAGCAATGAACTCCGCGTGCCTCTTGAGGTGTCAGCGCGATGTGAGGCATTCCGTCAAAATGAGGCAGGGACCTAGGGCTTTCTCTAAGGTCTCCACAGGGGATTCAGACATCCCTTCATGTTGTGAGATGAAAGACGAGCCTGTATTCAAGCCACTGCAAGGAAATCCGGCCTCCTTTCAAGTTAGGGCTTCTCGCTGTATATTCCCCTTGAGGCAGCAAACTCGGGGTCCCTCCCACATACCTATTGCTGAGAGAAGCCTCCTCCTGAGGTGCTTCTGGGAAGTTGGCATACGTCTTGAGCCTAAGCCAGGGAATCAGCTCGCATCTCGAGACGATTTGGGGTACACGGAGCATTCCTCGAGTTGCTGTGCTGAAGTTGGTGTTCCTCTAGACTTGGGACAGTGTTCTCGGGGCATCTCTGGAGTTGCCTGAAGGAAGTCGAGCCACCGGTCGTGTTGAATGGGGAACGGGGAATGGCTCTGGAGTCAATGCAGGGGAATCGGGCCTCATCTCGAGTTGATTTGGGGCACATGGAGCTGCTTTGCGTTGCTGGGGTGACCTCAGGGTCCGTCTAGACTGGTGACAGTGTTCTTGGGGACTGTCTCGAGATCCATTAAGCAAGTCGAAGCTCCTGACTTGTTTGAATGGGATCACGGAATAGCTCTGCATGCACTGCAGGGGAATGGGGCCTCATCTCGCCTCTAGGGGGAAGTCTCATGGTTTTTCTCGAGTTGCGGCGGGACCTGGGGTATGTTCTCGACATACGGCGGGGATGGCCCTTCAAGACACGAGTTTCTTCAGTGACGTCAGGACTCCTGTCTAGTAACGAGGGACACCTCAGGAATCTCTTCGAGGCTTGGCAGGGCCAAAGGAACGCTTCTCGAGGTGAGGCAGGGCACCCAAGGACCCTTTCCAGTAGCCACAGGGATTTTGGGATTCCTATCAGTATTCAAGAGGAGTCAGGCATCGTCACCTTTTGAAGCAATGAACTCCGCGTGCCTCTCGAGGTGTCAGCGGGATGTGAGGCATTCCGTCAAAATGAGGCAGGGACCTAGGGCTTTCTCTAAGGTCTCCACAGGGGATTCAGACATCCCTTCATGTTGTGAGATGAAAGACGAGCCTGTATTCAAGCCACTGCAAGGAAATCCGGCCTCCTTTCAAGTTAGGGCTTCTCGCTGTATATTCCCCTTGAGGCAGCAAACTCGGGGTCCCTCCCACATACCTATTGCTGAGAGAAGCCTCCTCCTGAGGTGCTTCTGGGAAGTTGGCATACGTCTTGAGCCTAAGCCAGGGAATCAGCTCGCATCTCGAGACGATTTGGGGTACACGGAGCATTCCTCGAGTTGCTGTGCTGAAGTTGGTGTTCCTCTAGACTTGGGACAGTGTTCTCGGGGCATCTCTGGAGTTGCCTGAAGGAAGTCGAGCCACCGGTCGTGTTGAATGGGGAACGGGGAATGGCTCTGGAGTCAATGCAGGGGAATCGGGCCTCATCTCGAGTTGATTTGGGGCACATGGAGCTGCTTTGCGTTGCTGGGGTGACCTCAGGGTCCGTCTAGACTGGTGACAGTGTTCTTGGGGACTGTCTCGAGATCCATTAAGCAAGTCGAAGCTCCTGACTTGTTTGAATGGGATCACGGAATAGCTCTGCATGCACTGCAGGGGAATGGGGCCTCATCTCGCCTCTAGGGGGAAGTCTCATGGTTTTTCTCGAGTTGCGGCGGGGACCTGGGGTATGTTCTCGACTTACGGCGGGGATGGCCCTTCAAGACACGAGTTTCTTCAGTGACGTCAGGACTCCTGTCTAGTAACGAGGGACACCTCAGGAATCTCTTCGAGGCTTGGCAGGGCCAAAGGGACGCTTCTCGAGGTGAGGCAGGGCACCCAAGGACCCTTTCCAGTAGCCACAGGGATTTTGGGATTCCTATCAGTATTCAAGAGGAGTCAGGCATCGTCACCTTTTGAAGCAATGAACTCCGCGTGCCTCTCGAGGTGTCAGCGGGATGTGAGGCATTCCGTCAAAATGAGGCAGGGACCTAGGGCTTTCTCTAAGGTCTCCACAGGGGATTCAGACATCCCTTCATGTTGTGAGATGAAAGACGAGCCTGTATTCAAGCCACTGCAAGGAAATCCGGCCTCCTTTCAAGTTAGGGCTTCTCGCTGTATATTCCCCTTGAGGCAGCAAACTCGGGGTCCCTCCCACATACCTATTGCTGAGAGAAGCCTCCTCCTGAGGTGCTTCTGGGAAGTTGGCATACGTCTTGAGCCTAAGCCAGGGAATCAGCTCGCATCTCGAGACAATTTGGGGTACACGGAGCATTCCTCGAGTTGCTGTGCTGAAGTTGGTGTTCCTCTAGACTTGGGACAGTGTTCTCGGGGCATCTCTGGAGTTGCCTGAAGGAAGTCGAGCCACCGGTCGTGTTGAATGGGGAACGGGGAATGGCTCTGGAGTCAATGCAGGGGAATCGGGCCTCATCTCGAGTTGATTTGGGGCACATGGAGCTGCTTTGCGTTGCTGGGGTGACCTCAGTGTCCGTCTAGACTGGTGACAGTGTTCTTGGGGACTGTCTCGAGATCCATTAAGCAAGTCGAAGCTCCTGACTTGTTTGAATGGGATCACGGAATAGCTCTGCATGCACTGCAGGGGAATGGGGCCTCATCTCGCCTCTAGGGGGAAGTCTCATGGTTTTTCTCGAGTTGCGGCGGGGACCTGGGGTATGTTCTCGACTTACGGCGGGGATGGCCCTTCAAAACACGAGTTTCTTCAGTGACGTCAGGACTCCTGTCTAGTAACGAGGGACACCTCAGGAATCTCTTCGAGGCTTGGCAGGGCCAAAGGGACGCTTCTCGAGGTGAGGCAGGGCACCCAAGGACCCTTTCCAGTAGCCACAGGGATTTTGGGATTCCTATCAGTATTCAAGAGGAGTCAGGCATCGTCACCTTTTGAAGCAATGAACTCCGCGTGCCTCTCGAGGTGTCAGCGGGATGTGAGGCATTCCGTCAAAATGAGGCAGGGACCTAGGGCTTTCTCTAAGGTCTCCACAGGGGATTCAGACATCCCTTCATGTTGTGAGATGAAAGACGAGCCTGTATTCAAGCCACTGCAAGGAAATCCGGCCTCCTTTCAAGTTAGGGCTTCTCGCTGTATATTCCCCTTGAGGCAGCAAACTCGGGGTCCCTCCCACATACCTATTGCTGAGAGAAGCCTCCTCCTGAGGTGCTTCTGGGAAGTTGGCATACGTCTTGAGCCTAAGCCAGGGAATCAGCTCGCATCTCGAGACGATTTGGGGTACACGGAGCATTCCTCGAGTTGCTGTGCTGAAGTTGGTGTTCCTCTAGACTTGGGACAGTGTTCTCGGGGCATCTCTGGAGTTGCCTGAAGGAAGTCGAGCCACCGGTCGTGTTGAATGGGGAACGGGGAATGGCTCTGGAGTCAATGCAGGGGAATCGGGCCTCATCTCGAGTTGATTTGGGGCACATGGAGCTGCTTTGCGTTGCTGGGGTGACCTCAGGGTCCGTCTAGACTGGTGACAGTGTTCTTGGGGACTGTCTCGAGATCCATTAAGCAAGTCGAAGCTCCTGACTTGTTTGAATGGGATCACGGAATAGCTCTGCATGCACTGCAGGGGAATGGGGCCTCATCTCGCCTCTAGGGGGAAGTCTCATGGTTTTTCTCGAGTTGCGGCGGGGACCTGGGGTATGTTCTCGACTTACGGCGGGGATGGCCCTTCAAGACACGAGTTTCTTCAGTGACGTCAGGACTCCTGTCTAGTAACGAGGGACACCTCAGGAATCTCTTCGAGGCTTGGCAGGGCCAAAGGGACGCTTCTCGAGGTGAGGCAGGGCACCCAAGGACCCTTTCCAGTAGCCACAGGGATTTTGGGATTCCTATCAGTATTCAAGAGGAGTCAGGCATCGTCACCTTTTGAAGCAATGAACTCCGCGTGCCTCTCGAGGTGTCAGCGGGATGTGAGGCATTCCGTCAAAATGAGGCATTGACCTAGGGCTTTCTCTAAGGTCTCCACAGGGGATTCAGACATCCCTTCATGTTGTGAGATGAAAGACGAGCCTGTATTCAAGCCACTGCAAGGAAATCCGGCCTCCTTTCAAGTTAGGGCTTCTCGCTGTATATTCCCCTTGAGGCAGCAAACTCGGGGTCCCTCCCACATTCCTATGGCTGAGAGAAGCCTCCTCCTGAGGTGCTTCTGGGAAGTTGGCATACGTCTTGAGCCTAAGCCAGGGAATCAGCTCTCATCTCGAGACGATTTGGGGTACACGGAGCATTCCTCGAGTTGCTGTGCTGAAGTTGGTGTTCCTCTAGACTTGGGACAGTGTTCTCGGGGCATCTCTGGAGTTGCCTGAAGGAAGTCGAGCCACCGGTCGTGTTGAATGGGGAACGGGGAATGGCTCTGGAGTCAATGCAGGGGAATCGGGCCTCATCTCGAGTTGATTTGGGGCACATGGAGCTGCTTTGCGTTGCTGGGGTGACCTCAGGGTCCGTCTAGACTGGTGACAGTGTTCTTGGGGACTGTCTCGAGATCCATTAAACAAGTCGAAGCTCCTGACTTGTTTGAATGGGATCACGGAATAGCTCTGCATGCACTGCAGGGGAATGGGGCCTCATCTCGCCTCTAGGGGGAAGTCTCATGGTTTTTCTCGAGTTGCGGCGGGGACCTGGGGTATGTTCTCGACTTACGGCGGGGATGGCCCTTCAAGACACGAGTTTCTTCAGTGACGTCAGGACTCCTGTCTAGTAACGAGGGACACCTCAGGAATCTCTTCGAGGCTTGGCAGGGCCAAAGGGACGCTTCTCGAGGTGAGGCAGGGCACCCAAGGACCCTTTCCAGTAGCCACAGGGATTTTGGGATTCCTATCAGTATTCAAGAGGAGTCAGGCATCGTCACCTTTTGAAGCAATGAACTCCGCGTGCCTCTTGAGGTGTCAGCGCGATGTGAGGCATTCCGTCAAAATGAGGCAGGGACCTAGGGCTTTCTCTAAGGTCTCCACAGGGGATTCAGACATCCCTTCATGTTGTGAGATGAAAGACGAGCCTGTATTCAAGCCACTGCAAGGAAATCCGGCCTCCTTTCAAGTTAGGGCTTCTCGCTGTATATTCCCCTTGAGGCAGCAAACTCGGGGTCCCTCCCACATACCTATTGCTGAGAGAAGCCTCCTCCTGAGGTGCTTCTGGGAAGTTGGCATACGTCTTGAGCCTAAGCCAGGGAATCAGCTCGCATCTCGAGACGATTTGGGGTACACGGAGCATTCCTCGAGTTGCTGTGCTGAAGTTGGTGTTCCTCTAGACTTGGGACAGTGTTCTCGGGGCATCTCTGGAGTTGCCTGAAGGAAGTCGAGCCACCGGTCGTGTTGAATGGGGAACGGGGAATGGCTCTGGAGTCAATGCAGGGGAATCGGGCCTCATCTCGAGTTGATTTGGGGCACATGGAGCTGCTTTGCGTTGCTGGGGTGACCTCAGGGTCCGTCTAGACTGGTGACAGTGTTCTTGGGGACTGTCTCGAGATCCATTAAGCAAGTCGAAGCTCCTGACTTGTTTGAATGGGATCACGGAATAGCTCTGCATGCACTGCAGGGGAATGGGGCCTCATCTCGCCTCTAGGGGGAAGTCTCATGGTTTTTCTCGAGTTGCGGCGGGGACCTGGGGTATGTTCTCGACTTACGGCGGGGATGGCCCTTCAAGACACGAGTTTCTTCAGTGACGTCAGGACTCCTGTCTAGTAACGAGGGACACCTCAGGAGTCTCTTCGAGGCTTGGCAGGGCCAAAGGAACGCTTCTCGAGGTGAGGCAGGGCACCCAAGGACCCTTTCCAGTAGCCACAGGGATTTTGGGATTCCTATCAGTATTCAAGAGGAGTCAGGCATCGTCACCTTTTGAAGCAATGAACTCCGCGTGCCTCTCGAGGTGTCAGCGGGATGTGAGGCATTCCGTCAAAATGAGGCAGGGACCTAGGGCTTTCTCTAAGGTCTCCACAGGGGATTCAGACATCCCTTCATGTTGTGAGATGAAAGACGAGCCTGTATTCAAGCCACTGCAAGGAAATCCGGCCTCCTTTCAAGTTAGGGCTTCTCGCTGTATATTCCCCTTGAGGCAGCAAACTCGGGGTCCCTCCCACATACCTATTGCTGAGAGAAGCCTCCTCCTGAGGTGCTTCTGGGAAGTTGGCATACGTCTTGAGCCTAAGCCAGGGAATCAGCTCGCATCTCGAGACGATTTGGGGTACACGGAGCATTCCTCGAGTTGCTGTGCTGAAGTTGGTGTTCCTCTAGACTTGGGACAGTGTTCTCGGGGCATCTCTGGAGTTGCCTGAAGGAAGTCGAGCCACCGGTCGTGTTGAATGGGGAACGGGGAATGGCTCTGGAGTCAATGCAGGGGAATCGGGCCTCATCTCGAGTTGATTTGGGGCACATGGAGCTGCTTTGCGTTGCTGGGGTGACCTCAGGGTCCGTCTAGACTGGTGACAGTGTTCTTGGGGACTGTCTCGAGATCCATTAAGCAAGTCGAAGCTCCTGACTTGTTTGAATGGGATCACGGAATAGCTCTGCATGCACTGCAGGGGAATGGGGCCTCATCTCGCCTCTAGGGGGAAGTCTCATGGTTTTTCTCGAGTTGCGTCGGGGACCTGGGGTATGTTCTCGACTTACGGCGGGGATGGCCCTTCAAAACACGAGTTTCTTAAGTGACGTCAGGACTCCTGTCTAGTAACGAGGGACACCTCAGGAATCTCTTCGAGGCTTGGCAGGGCCAAAGGGACGCTTCTCGAGGTGAGGCAGGGCACCCAAGGACCCTTTCCAGTAGCCACAGGGATTTTGGGATTCCTATCAGTATTCAAGAGGAGTCAGACATCGTCACCTTTTGAAGCAATGAACTCCGCGTGCCTCTCGAGGTGTCAGCGGGATGTGAGGCATTCCGTCAAAATGAGGCATTGACCTAGGGCTTTCTCTAAGGTCTCCACAGGGGATTCAGACATCCCTTCATGTTGTGAGATGAAAGACGAGCCTGTATTCAAGCCACTGCAAGGAAATCCGGCCTCCTTTCAAGTTAGGGCTTCTCGCTGTATATTCCCCTTGAGGCAGCAAACTCGGGGTCCCTCCCACATTCCTATGGCTGAGAGAAGCCTCCTCCTGAGGTGCTTCTGGGAAGTTGGCATACGTCTTGAGCCTAAGCCAGGGAATCAGCTCTCATCTCGAGACGATTTGGGGTACACGGAGCATTCCTCGAGTTGCTGTGCTGAAGTTGGTGTTCCTCTAGACTTGGGACAGTGTTCTCGGGGCATCTCTGGAGTTGCCTGAAGGAAGTCGAGCCACCGGTCGTGTTGAATGGGGAACGGGGAATGGCTCTGGAGTCAATGCAGGGGAATCGGGCCTCATCTCGAGTTGATTTGGGGCACATGGAGCTGCTTTGCGTTGCTGGGGTGACCTCAGGGTCCGTCTAGACTGGTGACAGTGTTCTTGGGGACTGTCTCGAGATCCATTAAACAAGTCGAAGCTCCTGACTTGTTTGAATGGGATCACGGAATAGCTCTGCATGCACTGCAGGGGAATGGGGCCTCATCTCGCCTCTAGGGGGAAGTCTCATGGTTTTTCTCGAGTTGCGGCGGGGACCTGGGGTATGTTCTCGACTTACGGCGGGGATGGCCCTTCAAGACACGAGTTTCTTCAGTGACGTCAGGACTCCTGTCTAGTAACGAGGGACACCTCAGGAATCTCTTCGAGGCTTGGCAGGGCCAAAGGGACGCTTCTCGAGGTGAGGCAGGGCACCCAAGGACCCTTTCCAGTAGCCACAGGGATTTTGGGATTCCTATCAGTATTCAAGAGGAGTCAGGCATCGTCACCTTTTGAAGCAATGAACTCCGCGTGCCTCTTGAGGTGTCAGCGCGATGTGAGGCATTCCGTCAAAATGAGGCAGGGACCTAGGGCTTTCTCTAAGGTCTCCACAGGGGATTCAGACATCCCTTCATGTTGTGAGATGAAAGACGAGCCTGTATTCAAGCCACTGCAAGGAAATCCGGCCTCCTTTCAAGTTAGGGCTTCTCGCTGTATATTCCCCTTGAGGCAGCAAACTCGGGGTCCCTCCCACATACCTATTGCTGAGAGAAGCCTCCTACTGAGGTGCTTCTGGGAAGTTGGCATACGTCTTGAGCCTAAGCCAGGGAATCAGCTCGCATCTCGAGACGATTTGGGGTACACGGAGCATTCCTCGAGTTGCTGTGCTGAAGTTGGTGTTCCTCTAGACTTGGGACAGTGTTCTCGGGGCATCTCTGGAGTTGCCTGAAGGAAGTCGAGCCACCGGTCGTGTTGAATGGGGAACGGGGAATGGCTCTGGAGTCAATGCAGGGGAATCGGGCCTCATCTCGAGTTGATTTGGGGCACATGGAGCTGCTTTGCGTTGCTGGGGTGACCTCAGGGTCCGTCTAGACTGGTGACAGTGTTCTTGGGGACTGTCTCGAGATCCATTAAGCAAGTCGAAGCTCCTGACTTGTTTGAATGGGATCACGGAATAGCTCTGCATGCACTGCAGGGGAATGGGGCCTCATCTCGCCTCTAGGGGGAAGTCTCATGGTTTTTCTCGAGTTGCGGCGGGGACCTGGGGTATGTTCTCGACTTACGGCGGGGATGGCCCTTCAAGACACGAGTTTCTTCAGTGACGTCAGGACTCCTGTCTAGTAACGAGGGACACCTCAGGAGTCTCTTCGAGGCTTGGCAGGGCCAAAGGAACGCTTCTCGAGGTGAGGCAGGGCACCCAAGGACCCTTTCCAGTAGCCACAGGGATTTTGGGATTCCTATCAGTATTCAAGAGGAGTCAGGCATCGTCACCTTTTGAAGCAATGAACTCCGCGTGCCTCTCGAGGTGTCAGCGGGATGTGAGGCATTCCGTCAAAATGAGGCAGGGACCTAGGGCTTTCTCTAAGGTCTCCACAGGGGATTCAGACATCCCTTCATGTTGTGAGATGAAAGACGAGCCTGTATTCAAGCCACTGCAAGGAAATCCGGCCTCCTTTCAAGTTAGGGCTTCTCGCTGTATATTCCCCTTGAGGCAGCAAACTCGGGGTCCCTCCCACATACCTATTGCTGAGAGAAGCCTCCTCCTGAGGTGCTTCTGGGAAGTTGGCATACGTCTTGAGCCTAAGCCAGGGAATCAGCTCGCATCTCGAGACGATTTGGGGTACACGGAGCATTCCTCGAGTTGCTGTGCTGAAGTTGGTGTTCCTCTAGACTTGGGACAGTGTTCTCGGGGCATCTCTGGAGTTGCCTGAAGGAAGTCGAGCCACCGGTCGTGTTGAATGGGGAACGGGGAATGGCTCTGGAGTCAATGCAGGGGAATCGGGCCTCATCTCGAGTTGATTTGGGGCACATGGAGCTGCTTTGCGTTGCTGGGGTGACCTCAGGGTCCGTCTAGACTGGTGACAGTGTTCTTGGGGACTGTCTCGAGATCCATTAAGCAAGTCGAAGCTCCTGACTTGTTTGAATGGGATCACGGAATAGCTCTGCATGCACTGCAGGGGAATGGGGCCTCATCTCGCCTCTAGGGGGAAGTCTCATGGTTTTTCTCGAGTTGCGGCGGGGACCTGGGGTATGTTCTCGACTTACGGCGGGGATGGCCCTTCAAGACACGAGTTTCTTCAGTGACGTCAGGACTCCTGTCTAGTAACGAGGGACACCTCAGGAATCTCTTCGAGGCTTGGCAGGGCCAAAGGGACGCTTCTCGAGGTGAGGCAGGGCACCCAAGGACCCTTTCCAGTAGCCACAGGGATTTTGGGATTCCTATCAGTATTCAAGAGGAGTCAGGCATCGTCACCTTTTGAAGCAATGAACTCCGCGTGCCTCTCGAGGTGTCAGCGGGATGTGAGGCATTCCGTCAAAATGAGGCAGGGACCTAGGGCTTTCTCTAAGGTCTCCACAGGGGATTCAGACATCCCTTCATGTTGTGAGATGAAAGACGAGCCTGTATTCAAGCCACTGCAAGGAAATCCGGCCTCCTTTCAAGTTAGGGCTTCTCGCTGTATATTCCCCTTGAGGCAGCAAACTCGGGGTCCCTCCCACATACCTATTGCTGAGAGAAGCCTCCTCCTGAGGTGCTTCTGGGTAGTTGGCATACGTCTTGAGCCTAAGCCAGGGAATCAGCTCGCATCTCGAGACAATTTGGGGTACACGGAGCATTCCTCGAGTTGCTGTGCTGAAGTTGGTGTTCCTCTAGACTTGGGACAGTGTTCTCGGGGCATCTCTGGAGTTGCCTGAAGGAAGTCGAGCCACCGGTCGTGTTGAATGGGGAACGGGGAATGGCTCTGGAGTCAATGCAGGGGAATCGGGCCTCATCTCGAGTTGATTTGGGGCACATGGAGCTGCTTTGCGTTGCTGGGGTGACCTCAGGGTCCGTCTAGACTGGTGACAGTGTTCTTGGGGACTGTCTCGAGATCCATTAAGCAAGTCGAAGCTCCTGACTTGTTTGAATGGGGTCACGGAATAGCTCTGCATGCACTGCAGGGGAATGGGGCCTCATCTCGCCTCTAGGGGGAAGTCTCATGGTTTTTCTCGAGTTGCGGCGGGGACCTGGGGTATGTTCTCGACTTACGGCGGGGATGGCCCTTCAAAACACGAGTTTCTTCAGTGACGTCAGGACTCCTGTCTAGTAACGAGGGACACCTCAGGAATCTCTTCGAGGCTTGGCAGGGCCAAAGGGACGCTTCTCGAGGTGAGGCAGGGCACCCAAGGACCCTTTCCAGTAGCCACAGGGATTTTGGGATTCCTATCAGTATTCAAGAGGAGTCAGACATCGTCACCTTTTGAAGCAATGAACTCCGCGTGCCTCTCGAGGTGTCAGCGGGATGTGAGGCATTCCGTCAAAATGAGGCATTGACCTAGGGCTTTCTCTAAGGTCTCCACAGGGGATTCAGACATCCCTTCATGTTGTGAGATGAAAGACGAGCCTGTATTCAAGCCACTGCAAGGAAATCCGGCCTCCTTTCAAGTTAGGGCTTCTCGCTGTATATTCCCCTTGAGGCAGCAAACTCGGGGTCCCTCCCACATTCCTATGGCTGAGAGAAGCCTCCTCCTGAGGTGCTTCTGGGAAGTTGGCATACGTCTTGAGCCTAAGCCAGGGAATCAGCTCTCATCTCGAGACGATTTGGGGTACACGGAGCATTCCTCGAGTTGCTGTGCTGAAGTTGGTGTTCCTCTAGACTTCGGACAGTGTTCTCGGGGCATCTCTGGAGTTGCCTGAAGGAAGTCGAGCCACCGGTCGTGTTGAATGGGGAACGGGGAATGGCTCTGGAGTCAATGCAGGGGAATCGGGCCTCATCTCGAGTTGATTTGGGGCACATGGAGCTGCTTTGCGTTGCTGGGGTGACCTCAGGGTCCGTCTAGACTGGTGACAGTGTTCTTGGGGACTGTCTCGAGATCCATTAAGCAAGTCGAAGCTCCTGACTTGTTTGAATGGGATCACGGAATAGCTCTGCATGCACTGCAGGGGAATGGGGCCTCATCTCGCCTCTAGGGGGAAGTCTCATGGTTTTTCTCGAGTTGCGGCGGGGACCTGGGGTATGTTCTCGACTTACGGCGGGGATGGCCCTTCAAAACACGAGTTTCTTCAGTGACGTCAGGACTCCTGTCTAGTAACGAGGGACACCTCAGGAATCTCTTCGAGGCTTGGCAGGGCCAAAGGGACGCTTCTCGAGGTGAGGCAGGGCACCCAAGGACCCTTTCCAGTAGCCACAGGGATTTTGGGATTCCTATCAGTATTCAAGAGGAGTCAGACATCGTCACCTTTTGAAGCAATGAACTCCGCGTGCCTCTCGAGGTGTCAGCGGAATGTGAGGCATTCCGTCAAAATGAGGCAGGGACCTAGGGCTTTCTCTAAGGTCTCCACAGGGGATTCAGACATCCCTTCATGTTGTGAGATGAAAGACGAGCCTGTATTCAAGCCACTGCAAGGAAATCCGGCCTCCTTTCAAGTTAGGGCTTCTCGCTGTATATTCCCCTTGAGGCAGCAAACTCGGGGTCCCTCCCACATTCCTATGGCTGAGAGAAGCCTCCTCCTGAGGTGCTTCTGGGAAGTTGGCATACGTCTTGAGCCTAAGCCAGGGAATCAGCTCTCATCTCGAGAGGATTTGGGGTACACGGAGCATTCCTCGAGTTGCTGTGCTGAAGTTGGTGTTCCTCTAGACTTGGGACAGTGTTCTCGGGGCATCTCTGGAGTTGCCTGAAGGAAGTCGAGCCACCGGTCGTGTTGAATGGGGAACGGGGAATGGCTCTGGAGTCAATGCAGGGGAATCGGGCCTCATCTCGAGTTGATTTGGGGCACATGGAGCTGCTTTGCGTTGCTGGGGTGACCTCAGGGTCCGTCTAGACTGGTGACAGTGTTCTTGGGGACTGTCTCGAGATCCATTAAGCAAGTCGAAGCTCCTGACTTGTTTGAATGGGATCACGGAATAGCTCTGCATGCACTGCAGGGGAATGGGGCCTCATCTCGCCTCTAGGGGGAAGTCTCATGGTTTTTCTCGAGTTGCGGCGGGGACCTGGGGTATGTTCTCGACTTACGGCGGGGATGGCCCTTCAAAACACGAGTTTCTTCAGTGACGTCAGGACTCCTGTCTAGTAACGAGGGACACCTCAGGAATCTCTTCGAGGCTTGGCAGGGCTAAAGGGACGCTTCTCGAGGTGAGGCAGGGCACCCAAGGACCCTTTCCAGTAGCCACAGGGATTTTGGGATTCCTATCAGTATTCAAGAGGAGTCAGGCATCGTCACCTTTTGAAGCAATGAACTCCGCGTGCCTCTCGAGGTGTCAGCGGGATGTGAGGCATTCCGTTAAAATGAGGCAGGGACCTAGGGCTTTCTCTAAGGTCTCCACAGGGGATTCAGACATCCCTTCATGTTGTGAGATGAAAGACGAGCCTGTATTCAAGCCACTGCAAGGAAATCCGGCCTCCTTTCAAGTTAGGGCTTCTCGCTGTATATTCCCCTTGAGGCAGCAAACTCGGGGTCCCTCCCACATACCTATGGCTGAGAGAAGCCTCCTCCTGAGGTGCTTCTGGGAAGTTGGCATACGTCTTGAGCCTAAGCCAGGGAATCAGCTCTCATCTCGAGACGATTTGGGGTACACGGAGCATTCCTCGAGTTGCTGTGCTGAAGTTGGTGTTCCTCTAGACTTGGGACAGTGTTCTCGGGGCATCTCTGGAGTTTCCTGAAGGAAGTCGAGCCACCGGTCGTGTTGAATGGGGAACGGGGAATGGCTCTGGAGTCAATGCAGGGGAATCGGGCCTCATCTCGAGTTGATTTGGGGCACATGGAGCTGCTTTGCGTTGCTGGGGTGACCTCAGGGTCCGTCTAGACTGGTGACAGTGATCTTGGGGACTGTCTCGAGATCCATTAAGCAAGTCGAAGCTCCTGACTTGTTTGAATGGGATCACGGAATAGCTCTGCATGCACTGCAGGGGAATGGGGCCTCATCTCGCCTCTAGGGGGAAGTCTCATGGTTTTTCTCGAGTTGCGGCGGGGACCTGGGGTATGTTCTCGACTTACGGCGGGGATGGCCCTTCAAGACACGAGTTTCTTCAGTGACGTCAGGACTCCTGTCTAGTAACGAGGGACACCTCAGGAATCTCTTCGAGGCTTGGCAGGGCCAAAGGGACGCTTCTCGAGGTGAGGCAGGGCACCCAAGGACCCTTTCCAGTAGCCACAGGGATTTTGGGATTCCTATCAGTATTCAAGAGGAGTCAGGCATCGTCACCTTTTGAAGCAATGAACTCCGCGTGCCTCTCGAGGTGTCAGCGGGATGTGAGGCATTCCGTCAAAATGAGGCAGGGACCTAGGGCTTTCTCTAAGGTCTCCACAGGGGATTCAGACATCCCTTCATGTTGTGAGATGAAAGACGAGCCTGTATTCAAGCCACTGCAAGGAAATCCGGCCTCCTTTCAAGTTAGGGCTTCTCGCTGTATATTCCCCTTGAGGCAGCAAACTCGGGGTCCCTCCCACATTCCTATGGCTGAGAGAAGCCTCCTCCTGAGGTGCTTCTGGGAAGTTGGCATACGTCTTGAGCCTAAGCCAGGGAATCAGCTCGCATCTCGAGACGATTTGGGGTACACGGAGCATTCCTCGAGTTGCTGTGCTGAAGTTGGTGTTCCTCTAGACTTGGGACAGTGTTCTCGGGGCATCTCTGGAGTTGCCTGAAGGAAGTCGAGCCACCGGTCGTGTTGAATGTGGAACGGGGAATGGCTCTGGAGTCAATGCAGGGGAATCGGGCCTCATCTCGAGTTGATTTGGGGCACATGGAGCTGCTTTGCGTTGCTGGGGTGACCTCAGGGTCCGTCTAGACTGGTGACAGTGTTCTTGGGGACTGTCTCGAGATCCATTAAGCAAGTCGAAGCTCCTGACTTGTTTGAATGGGATCACGGAATAGCTCTGCATGCACTGCAGGGGAATGGGGCCTCATCTCGCCTCTAGGGGGAAGTCTCATGGTTTTTCTCGAGTTGCGGCGGGGACCTGGGGTATGTTCTCGACTTACGGCGGGGATGGCCCTTCAAAACACGAGTTTCTTCAGTGACGTCAGGACTCCTGTCTAGTAACGAGGGACACCTCAGGAATCTCTTCGAGGCTTGGCAGGGCTAAAGGGACGCTTTTCGAGGTGAGGCAGGGCACCCAAGGACCCTTTCCAGTAGCCACAGGGATTTTGGGATTCCTATCAGTATTCAAGAGGAGTCAGGCATCGTCACCTTTTGAAGCAATGAACTCCGCGTGCCTCTCGAGGTGTCAGCGGGATGTGAGGCATTCCGTTAAAATGAGGCAGGGACCTAGGGCTTTCTCTAAGGTCTCCACAGGGGATTCAGACATCCCTTCATGTTGTGAGATGAAAGACGAGCCTGTATTCAAGCCACTGCAAGGAAATCCGGCCTCCTTTCAAGTTAGGGCTTCTCGCTGTATATTCCCCTTGAGGCAGCAAACTCCGGGTCCCTCCCACATACCTATGGCTGAGAGAAGCCTCCTCCTGAGGTGCTTCTGGGAAGTTGGCATACGTCTTGAGCCTAAGCCAGGGAATCAGCTCTCATCTCGAGACGATTTGGGGTACACGGAGCATTCCTCGAGTTGCTGTGCTGAAGTTGGTGTTCCTCTAGACTTGGGACAGTGTTCTCGGGGCATCTCTGGAGTTTCCTGAAGGAAGTCGAGCCACCGGTCGTGTTGAATGGGGAACGGGGAATGGCTCTGGAGTCAATGCAGGGGAATCGGGCCTCATCTCGAGTTGATTTGGGGCACATGGAGCTGCTTTGCGTTGCTGGGGTGACCTCAGGGTCTGTCTAGACTGGTGACAGTGTTCTTGGGGACTGTCTCGAGATCCATTAAGCAAGTCGAAGCTCCTGACTTGTTTGAAAGGGATCACGGAATAGCTCTGCATGCACTGCAGGGGAATGGGGCCTCATCTCGCCTCTAGGGGGAAGTCTCATGGTTTTTCTCGAGTTGCGGCGGGGACCTGGGGTATGTTCTCGACTTACAGCGGGGATGGCCCTTCAAAACACGAGTTTCTTCAGTGACGTCAGGACTCCTGTCTAGTAACGAGGGACACCTCAGGAATCTCTTTGAGGCTTGGCAGGGCCAAAGGGACGCTTCTCGAGGTGAGGCAGGGCACCCAAGGACCCTTTCCAGTAGCCACAGGGATTTTGGGATTCCTATCAGTATTCAAGAGGAGTCAGGCATCGTCACCTTTTGAAGCAATGAACTCCGCGTGCCTCTCGAGGTGTCAGCGGGATGTGAGGCATTCCGTCAAAATGAGGCAGGGACCTAGGGCTTTCTCTAAGGTCTCCACAGGGGATTCAGACATCCCTTCATGTTGTGAGATGAAAGACGAGCCTGTATTCAAGCCACTGCAAGGAAATCCGGCCTCCTTCTAAGTTAGGGCTTCTCGCTGTATATTCCCCTTGAGGCAGCAAACTCGGGGTCCCTCCCACATACCTATGGCTGAGAGAAGCCTCCTCCTGAGGTGCTTCTGGGAAGTTGGCATACGTCTTGAGCCTAAGCCAGGGAATCAGCTCGCATCTCGAGACGATTTGGGGTACACGGAGCATTCCTCGAGTTGCTGTGCTGAAGTTGGTGTTCCTCTAGACTTGGGACAGTGTTCTCGGGGCATCTCTGGAGTTGCCTGAAGGAAGTCGAGCCACCGGTCGTGTTGAATGGGGAACGGGGAATGGCTCTGGAGTCAATGCAGGGGAATCGGGCCTCATCTCGAGTTGATTTGGGGCACATGGAGCTGCTTTGCGTTGCTGGGGTGACCTCAGGGTCCGTCTAGACTGGTGACAGTGATCTTGGGGACTGTCTCGAGATCCATTAAGCAAGTCGAAGCTCCTGACTTGTTTGAATGGGATCACGGAATAGCTCTGCATGCACTGCAGGGGAATGGGGCCTCATCTCGCCTCTAGGGGGAAGTCTCATGGTTTTTCTCGAGTTGCGGCGGGGACCTGGGGTATGTTCTCGACTTACGGCGGGGATATCCCTTCAAGACACGAGTTTCTTCAGTGACGTCAGGACTCCTGTCTAGTAACGAGGGACACCTCAGGAATCTCTTCGAGGCTTGGCAGGGCCAAAGGGACGCTTCTCGAGGTGAGGCAGGGCACCCAAGGACCCTTTCCAGTAGCCACAGGGATTTTGGGATTCCTATCAGTATTCAAGAGGAGTCAGGCATCGTCACCTTTTGAAGCAATGAACTCCGCGTGCCTCTCGAGGTGTAAGCGCGATGTGAGGCATTCCGTCAAAATGAGGCAGGGACCTAGGGCTTTCTCTAAGGTCTCCACAGGGGATTCAGACATCCCTTCATGTTGTGAGATGAAAGACGAGCCTGTATTCAAGCCACTGCAAGGAAATCCGGCCTCCTTTCAAGTTAGGGCTTCTCGCTGTATATTCCCCTTGAGGCAGCAAACTCGGGGTCCCTCCCACATACCTATGGCTGAGAGAAGCCTCCTCCTGAGGTGCTTCTGGGAAGTTGGCATACGTCTTGAGCCTAAGCCAGGGAATCAGCTCGCATCTCGAGACGATTTGGGGTACACGGAGCATTCCTCGAGTTGCTGTGCTGAAGTTGGTGTTCCTCTAGACTTGGGACAGTGTTCTCGGGGCATCTCTGGAGTTGCCTGAAGGAAGTCGAGCCACCGGTCGTGTTGAATGGGGAACGGGGAATGGCTCTGGAGTCAATGCAGGGGAATCGGGCCTCATCTCGAGTTGATTTGGGGCACATGGAGCTGCTTTGCGTTGCTGGGGTGACCTCAGGGTCCGTCTAGACTGGTGACAGTGTTCTTGGGGACTGTCTCGAGATCCATTAAGCAAGTCGAAGCTCCTGACTTGTTTGAATGGGATCACGGAATAGCTCTGCATGCACTGCAGGGGAATGGGGCCTCATCTCGCCTCTAGGGGGAAGTCTCATGGTTTTTCTCGAGTTGCGGCGGGGACCTGGGGTATGTTCTCGACTTACGGCGGGGATGGCCCTTCAAGACACGAGTTTCTTCAGTGACGTCAGGACTCCTGTCTAGTAACGAGGGACACCTCAGGAATCTCTTCGAGGCTTGGCAGGGCCAAAGGGACGCTTCTCGAGGTGAGGCAGGGCACCCAAGGACCCTTTCCAGTAGCCACAGGGATTTTGGGATTCCTATCAGTATTCAAGAGGAGTCAGGCATCGTCACCTTTTGAAGCAATGAACTCCGCGTGCCTCTCGAGGTGTCAGCGGGATGTGAGGCATTCCGTCAAAATGAGGCAGGGACCTAGGGCTTTCTCTAAGGTCTCCACAGGGGATTCAGACATCCCTTCATGTTGTGAGATGAAAGACGAGCCTGTATTCAAGCCACTGCAAGGAAATCCGGCCTCCTTTCAAGTTAGGGCTTCTCGCTGTATATTCCCCTTGAGGCAGCAAACTCGGGGTCCCTCCCACATACCTATTGCTGAGAGAAGCCTCCTCCTGAGGTGCTTCTGGGAAGTTGGCATACGTCTTGAGCCTAAGCCAGGGAATCAGCTCTCATCTCGAGACGATTTGGGGTACACGGAGCATTCCTCGAGTTGCTGTGCTGAAGTTGGTGTTCCTCTAGACTTGGGACAGTGTTCTCGGGGCATCTCTGGAGTTGCCTGAAGGAAGTCGAGCCACCGGTCGTGTTGAATGGGGAACGGGGAATGGCTCTGGAGTCAATGCAGGGGAATCGGGCCTCATCTCGAGTTGATTTGGGGCACATGGAGCTGCTTTGCGTTGCTGGGGTGACCTCAGGGTCCGTCTAGACTGGTGACAGTGTTCTTGGGGACTGTCTCGAGATCCATTAAGCAAGTCGAAGCTCCTGACTTGTTTGAATGGGATCACGGAATAGCTCTGCATGCACTGCAGGGGAATGGGGCCTCATCTCGCCTCTAGGGGGAAGTCTCATGGTTTTTCTCGAGTTGCGGCGGGGACCTGGGGTATGTTCTCGACTTACGGCGGGGATGGCCCTTCAAGACACGAGTTTCTTCAGTGACGTCAGGACTCCTGTCTAGTAACGAGGGACACCTCAGGAATCTCTTCGAGGCTTGGCAGGGCCAAAGGGACGCTTCTCGAGGTGAGGCAGGGCACCCAAGGACCCTTTCCAGTAGCCACAGGGATTTTGGGATTCCTATCAGTATTCAAGAGGAGTCAGGCATCGTCACCTTTTGAAACAATGAACTCCGCGTGCCTCTCGAGGTGTCAGCGGGATGTGAGGCATTCCGTCAAAATGAGGCAGGGACCTAGGGCTTTCTCTAAGGTCTCCACAGGGGATTCAGACATCCCTTCATGTTGTGAGATGAAAGACGAGCCTGTATTCAAGCCACTGCAAGGAAATCCGGCCTCCTTTCAAGTTAGGGCTTCTCGCTGTATATTCCCCTTGAGGCAGCAAACTCGGGGTCCCTCCCACATACCTATTGCTGAGAGAAGCCTCCTCCTGAGGTGCTTCTGGGAAGTTGGCATACGTCTTGAGCCTAAGCCAGGGAATCAGCTCTCATCTCGAGACGATTTGGGGTACACGGAGCATTCCTCGAGTTGCTGTGCTGAAGTTGGTGTTCCTCTAGACTTGGGACAGTGTTCTCGGGGCATCTCTGGAGTTGCCTGAAGGAAGTCGAGCCACCGGTCGTGTTGAATGGGGAACGGGGAATGGCTCTGGAGTCAATGCAGGGGAATCGGGCCTCATCTCGAGTTGATTTGGGGCACATGGAGCTGCTTTGCGTTGCTGGGGTGACCTCAGGGTCCGTCTAGACTGGTGACAGTGTTCTTGGGGACTGTCTCGAGATCCATTAAGCAAGTCGAAGCTCCTGACTTGTTTGAATGGGATCACGGAATAGCTCTGCATGCACTGCAGGGGAATGGGGCCTCATCTCGCCTCTAGGGGGAAGTCTCATGGTTTTTCTCGAGTTGCGGCGGGGACCTGGGGTATGTTCTCGACTTACGGCGGGGATGGCCCTTCAAGACACGAGTTTCTTCAGTGACGTCAGGACTCCTGTCTAGTAACGAGGGACACCTCAGGAATCTCTTCGAGGCTTGGCAGGGCCAAAGGGACGCTTCTCGAGGTGAGGCAGGGCACCCAAGGACCCTTTCCAGTAGCCACAGGGATTTTGGGATTCCTATCAGTATTCAAGAGGAGTCAGGCATCGTCACCTTTTGAAGCAATGAACTCCGCGTGCCTCTCGAGGTGTCAGCGGGATGTGAGGCATTCCGTCAAAATGAGGCAGGGACCTAGGGCTTTCTCTAAGGTCTCCACAGGGGATTCAGACATCCCTTCATGTTGTGAGATGAAAGACGAGCCTGTATTCCAGCCACTGCAAGGAAATCCGGCCTCCTTTCAAGTTAGGGCTTCTCGCTGTATATTCCCCTTGAGGCAGCAAACTCGGGGTCCCTCCCACATACCTATTGCTGAGAGAAGCCTCCTCCTGAGGTGCTTCTGGGAAGTTGGCATACGTCTTGAGCCTAAGCCAGGGAATCAGCTCTCATCTCGAGACGATTTGGGGTACACGGAGCATTCCTCGAGTTGCTGTGCTGAAGTTGGTGTTCCTCTAGACTTGGGACAGTGTTCTCGGGGCATCTCTGGAGTTGCCTGAAGGAAGTCGAGCCACCGGTCGTGTTGAATGGGGAACGGGGAATGGCTCTGGAGTCAATGCAGGGGAATCGGGCCTCATCTCGAGTTGATTTGGGGCACATGGAGCTGCTTTGCGTTGCTGGGGTGACCTCAGGGTCCGTCTAGACTGGTGACAGTGTTCTTGGGGACTGTCTCGAGATCCATTAAGCAAGTCGAAGCTCCTGACTTGTTTGAATGGGATCACGGAATAGCTCTGCATGCACTGCAGGGGAATGGGGCCTCATCTCGCCTCTAGGGGGAAGTCTCATGGTTTTTCTCGAGTTGCGGCGGGGACCTGGGGTATGTTCTCGACTTACGGCGGGGATGGCCCTTCAAAACACGAGTTTCTTCAGTGACGTCAGGACTCCTGTCTAGTAACGAGGGACACCTCAGGAATCTCTTCGAGGCTTGGCAGGGCCAAAGGGACGCTTCTCGAGGTGAGGCAGGGCACCCAAGGACCCTTTCCAGTAGCCACAGGGATTTTGGGATTCCTATCAGTATTCAAGAGGAGTCAGACATCGTCACCTTTTGAAGCAATGAACTCCGCGTGCCTCTCGAGGTGTCAGCGGGATGTGAGGCATTCCGTCAAAATGAGGCATTGACCTAGGGCTTTCTCTAAGGTCTCCACAGGGGATTCAGACGTCCCTTCATGTTGTGAGATGAAAGACGAGCCTGTATTAAAGCCACTGCAAGGAAATCCGGCCTCCTTTCAAGTTAGGGCTTCTCGCTGTATATTCCCCTTGAGGCAGCAAACTCGGGGTCCCTCCCACATTCCTATGGCTGAGAGAAGCCTCCTCCTGAGGTGCTTCTGGGAAGTTGGCATACGTCTTGAGCCTAAGCCAGGGAATCAGCTCTCATCTCGAGACGATTTGGGGTACACGGAGCATTCCTCGAGTTGCTGTGCTGAAGTTGGTGTTCCTCTAGACTTGGGACAGTGTTCTCGGGGCATCTCTGGAGTTGCCTGAAGGAAGTCGAGCCACCGGTCGTGTTGAATGGGGAACGGGGAATGGCTCTGGAGTCAATGCAGGGGAATCGGGCCTCATCTCGAGTTGATTTGGGGCACATGGAGCTGCTTTGCGTTGCTGGGGTGACCTCAGGGTCCGTCTAGACTGGTGACAGTGTTCTTGGGGACTGTCTCGAGATCCATTAAGCAAGTCAAAGCTCCTGACTTGTTTGAATGGGATCACGGAATAGCTCTGCATGCACTGCAGGGGAATGTGGCCTCATCTCGCCTCTAGGGGGAAGTCTCATGGTTTTTCTCGAGTTGCGGCGGGGACCTGGGGTATGTTCTCGACTTACGGCGGGGATGGCCCTTCAAAACACGAGTTTCTTCAGTGACGTCAGGACTCCTGTCTAGTAACGAGGGACACCTCAGGAATCTCTTCGAGGCTTGGCAGGGCCAAAGGGACGCTTCTCGAGGTGAGGCAGGGCACCCAAGGACCCTTTCCAGTAGCCACAGGGATTTTGGGATTCCTATCAGTATTCAAGAGGAGTCAGACATCGTCACCTTTTGAAGCAATGAACTCCGCGTGCCTCTCGAGGTGTCAGCGGGATGTGAGGCATTCCGTCAAAATGAGGCAGGGACCTAGGGCTTTCTCTAAGGTCTCCACAGGGGATTCAGACATCCCTTCATGTTGTGAGATGAAAGACGAGCCTGTATTCAAGCCACTGCAAGGAAATCCGGCCTCCTTTCAAGTTAGGGCTTCTCGCTGTATATTCCCCTTGAGGCAGCAAACTCGGGGTCCCTCCCACATTCCTATGGCTGAGAGAAGCCTCCTCCTGAGGTGCTTCTGGGAAGTTGGCATACGTCTTGAGCCTAAGCCAGGGAATCAGCTCTCATCTCGAGACGATTTGGGGTACACGGAGCATTCCTCGAGTTGCTGTGCTGAAGTTGGTGTTCCTCTAGACTTGGGACAGTGTTCTCGGGGCATCTCTGGAGTTGCCTGAAGGAAGTCGAGCCACCGGTCGTGTTGAATGGGGAACGGGGAATGGCTCTGGAGTCAATGCAGGGGAATCGGGCCTCATCTCGAGTTGATTTGGGGCACATGGAGCTGCTTTGCGTTGCTGGGGTGACCTCAGGGTCCGTCTAGACTGGTGACAGTGTTCTTGGGGACTGTCTCGAGATCCATTAAGCAAGTCGAAGCTCCTGACTTGTTTGAATGGGATCACGGAATAGCTCTGCATGCACTGCAGGGGAATGGGGCCTCATCTCGCCTCTAGGGGGAAGTCTCATGGTTTTTCTCGAGTTGCGGCGGGGACCTGGGGTATGTTCTCGACTTACGGCGGGGATGGCCCTTCAAAACACGAGTTTCTTCAGTGACGTCAGGACTCCTGTCTAGTAACGAGGGACACCTCAGGAATCTCTTTGAGGCTTGGCAGGGCCAAAGGGACGCTTCTCGAGGTGAGGCAGGGCACCCAAGGACCCTTTCCAGTAGCCACAGGGATTTTGGGATTCCTATCAGTATTCAAGAGGAGTCAGGCATCGTCACCTTTTGAAGCAATGAACTCCGCGTGCCTCTCGAGGTGTCAGCGGGATGTGAGGCATTCCGTCAAAATGAGGCAGGGACCTAGGGCTTTCTCTAAGGTCTCCACAGGGGATTCAGACATCCCTTCATGTTGTGAGATGAAAGACGAGCCTGTATTCAAGCCACTGCAAGGAAATCCGGCCTCCTTTCAAGTTAGGGCTTCTCGCTGTATATTCCCCTTGAGGCAGCAAACTCGGGGTCCCTCCCACATACCTATGGCTGAGAGAAGCCTCCTCCTGAGGTGCTTCTGGGAAGTTGGCATACGTCTTGAGCCTAAGCCAGGGAATCAGCTCGCATCTCGAGACGATTTGGGGTACACGGAGCATTCCTCGAGTTGCTGTGCTGAAGTTGGTGTTCCTCTAGACTTGGGACAGTGTTCTCGGGGCATCTCTGGAGTTGCCTGAAGGAAGTCGAGCCACCGGTCGTGTTGAATGGGGAACGGGGAATGGCTCTGGAGTCAATGCAGGGGAATCGGGCCTCATCTCGAGTTGATTTGGGGCACATGGAGCTGCTTTGCGTTGCTGGGGTGACCTCAGGGTCCGTCTAGACTGGTGACAGTGATCTTGGGGACTGTCTCGAGATCCATTAAGCAAGTCGAAGCTCCTGACTTGTTTGAATGGGATCACGGAATAGCTCTGCATGCACTGCAGGGGAATGGGGCCTCATCTCGCCTCTAGGGGGAAGTCTCATGGTTTTTCTCGAGTTGCGGCGGGGACCTGGGGTATGTTCTCGACTTACGGCGGGGATGGCCCTTCAAGACACGAGTTTCTTCAGTGACGTCAGGACTCCTGTCTAGTAACGAGGGACACCTCAGGAATCTCTTCGAGGCTTGGCAGGGCCAAAGGGACGCTTCTCGAGGTGAGGCAGGGCACCCAAGGACCCTTTCCAGTAGCCACAGGGATTTTGGGATTCCTATCAGTATTCAAGAGGAGTCAGGCATCGTCACCTTTTGAAGCAATGAACTCCGCGTGCCTCTCGAGGTGTCAGCGGGATGTGAGGCATTCCGTCAAAATGAGGCAGGGACCTAGGGCTTTCTCTAAGGTCTCCACAGGGGATTCAGACATCCCTTCATGTTGTGAGATGAAAGACGAGCCTGTATTCAAGCCACTGCAAGGAAATCCGGCCTCCTTTCAAGTTAGGGCTTCTCGCTGTATATTCCCCTTGAGGCAGCAAACTCGGGGTCCCTCCCACATACCTATTGCTGAGAGAAGCCTCCTCCTGAGGTGCTTCTGGGAAGTTGGCATACGTCTTGAGCCTAAGCCAGGGAATCAGCTCTCATCTCGAGACGATTTGGGGTACACGGAGCATTCCTCGAGTTGCTGTGCTGAAGTTGGTGTTCCTCTAGACTTGGGACAGTGTTCTCGGGGCATCTCTGGAGTTGCCTGAAGGAAGTCGAGCCACCGGTCGTGTTGAATGGGGAACGGGGAATGGCTCTGGAGTCAATGCAGGGGAATCGGGCCTCATCTCGAGTTGATTTGGGGCACATGGAGCTGCTTTGCGTTGCTGGGGTGACCTCAGGGTCCGTCTAGACTGGTGACAGTGTTCTTGGGGACTGTCTCGAGATCCATTAAGCAAGTCGAAGCTCCTGACTTGTTTGAATGGGATCACGGAATAGCTCTGCATGCACTGCAGGGGAATGGGGCCTCATCTCGCCTCTAGGGGGAAGTCTCATGGTTTTTCTCGAGTTGCGGCGGGGACCTGGGGTATGTTCTCGACTTACGGCGGGGATGGCCCTTCAAGACACGAGTTTCTTCAGTGACGTCAGGACTCCTGTCTAGTAACGAGGGACACCTCAGGAATCTCTTCGAGGCTTGGCAGGGCCAAAGGGACGCTTCTCGAGGTGAGGCAGGGCACCCAAGGACCCTTTCCAGTAGCCACAGGGATTTTGGGTTTCCTATCAGTATTCAAGAGGAGTCAGGCATCGTCACCTTTTGAAGCAATGAACTCCGCGTGCCTCTCGAGGTGTAAGCGCGATGTGAGGCATTCCGTCAAAATGAGGCAGGGACCTAGGGCTTTCTCTAAGGTCTCCACAGGGGATTCAGACATCCCTTCATGTTGTGAGATGAAAGACGAGCCTGTATTCAAGCCACTGCAAGGAAATCCGGCCTCCTTTCAAGTTAGGGCTTCTCGCTGTATATTCCCCTTGAGGCAGCAAACTCGGGGTCCCTCCCACATACCTATGGCTGAGAGAAGCCTCCTCCTGAGGTGCTTCTGGGAAGTTGGCATACGTCTTGAGCCTAAGCCAGGGAATCAGCTCGCATCTCGAGACGATTTGGGGTACACGGAGCATTCCTCGAGTTGCTGTGCTGAAGTTGGTGTTCCTCTAGACTTGGGACAGTGTTCTCGGGGCATCTCTGGAGTTGCCTGAAGGAAGTCGAGCCACCGGTCGTGTTGAATGGGGAACGGGGAATGGCTCTGGAGTCAATGCAGGGGAATCGGGCCTCATCTCGAGTTGATTTGGGGCACATGGAGCTGCTTTGCGTTGCTGGGGTGACCTCAGGGTCCGTCTAGACTGGTGACAGTGTTCTTGGGGACTGTCTCGAGATCCATTAAGCAAGTCGAAGCTCCTGACTTGTTTGAATGGGATCACGGAATAGCTCTGCATGCACTGCAGGGGAATGGGGCCTCATCTCGCCTCTAGGGGGAAGTCTCATGGTTTTTCTCGAGTTGCGGCGGGGACCTGGGGTATGTTCTCGACTTACGGCGGGGATGGCCCTTCAAAACACGAGTTTCTTCAGTGACGTCAGGACTCCTGTCTAGTAACGAGGGACACCTCAGGAATCTCTTCGAGGCTTGGCAGGGCCAAAGGGACGCTTCTCGAGGTGAGGCAGGGCACCCAAGGACCCTTTCCAGTAGCCACAGGGATTTTGGGATTCCTATCAGTATTCAAGAGGAGTCAGACATCGTCACCTTTTGAAGCAATGAACTCCGCGTGCCTCTCGAGGTGTCAGCGGGATGTGAGGCATTCCGTCAAAATGAGGCAGGGACCTAGGGCTTTCTCTAAGGTCTCCACAGGGGATTCAGACATCCCTTCATGTTGTGAGATGAAAGACGAGCCTGTATTCAAGCCACTGCAAGGAAATCCGGCCTCCTTTCAAGTTAGGGCTTCTCGCTGTATATTCCCCTTGAGGCAGCAAACTCGGGGTCCCTCCCACATTCCTATGGCTGAGAGAAGCCTCCTCCTGAGGTGCTTCTGGGAAGTTGGCATACGTCTTGAGCCTAAGCCAGGGAATCAGCTCTCATCTCGAGACGATTTGGGGTACACGGAGCATTCCTCGAGTTGCTGTGCTGAAGTTGGTGTTCCTCTAGACTTGGGACAGTGTTCTCGTGGCATCTCTGGAGTTGCCTGAAGGAAGTCGAGCCACCGGTCGTGTTGAATGGGGAACGGGGAATGGCTCTGGAGTCAATGCAGGGGAATCGGGCCTCATCTCGAGTTGATTTGGGGCACATGGAGCTGCTTTGCGTTGCTGGGGTGACCTCAGGGTCCGTCTAGACTGGTGACAGTGTTCTTGGGGACTGTCTCGAGATCCATTAAGCAAGTCGAAGCTCCTGACTTGTTTGAATGGGATCACGGAATAGCTCTGCATGCACTGCAGGGGAATGGGGCCTCATCTCGCCTCTAGGGGGAAGTCTCATGGTTTTTCTCGAGTTGCGGCGGGGACCTGGGGTATGTTCTCGACTTACGGCGGGGATGGCCCTTCAAAACACGAGTTTCTTCAGTGACGTCAGGACTCCTGTCTAGTAACGAGGGACACCTCAGGAATCTCTTCGAGGCTTGGCAGGGCTAAAGGGACGCTTCTCGAGGTGAGGCAGGGCACCCAAGGACCCTTTCCAGTAGCCACAGGGATTTTGGGATTCCTATCAGTATTCAAGAGGAGTCAGGCATCGTCACCTTTTGAAGCAATGAACTCCGCGTGCCTCTCGAGGTGTCAGCGGGATGTGAGGCATTCCGTCAAAATGAGGCAGGGACCTAGGGCTTTCTCTAAGGTCTCCACAGGGGATTCAGACATCCCTTCATGTTGTGAGATGAAAGACGAGCCTGTATTCAAGCCACTGCAAGGAAATCCGGCCTCCTTTCAAGTTAGGGCTTCTCGCTGTATATTCCCCTTGAGGCAGCAAACTCGGGGTCCCTCCCACATACCTATGGCTGAGAGAAGCCTCCTCCTGAGGTGCTTCTGGGAAGTTGGCATACGTCTTGAGCCTAAGCCAGGGAATCAGCTCTCATCTCGAGACGATTTGGGGTACACGGAGCATTCCTCGAGTTGCTGTGCTGAAGTTGGTGTTCCTCTAGACTTGGGACAGTGTTCTCGGGGCATCTCTGGAGTTTCCTGAAGGAAGTCGAGCCACCGGTCGTGTTGAATGTGGAACGGGGAATGGCTCTGGAGTCAATGCAGGGGAATCGGGCCTCATCTCGAGTTGATTTGGGGCACATGGAGCTGCTTTGCGTTGCTGGGGTGACCTCAGGGTCCGTCTAGACTGGTGACAGTGTTCTTGGGGACTGTCTCGAGATCCATTAAGCAAGTCGAAGCTCCTGACTTGTTTGAAAGGGATCACGGAATAGCTCTGCATGCACTGCAGGGGAATGGGGCCTCATCTCGCCTCTAGGGGGAAGTCTCATGGTTTTTCTCGAGTTGCGGCGGGGACCTGGGGTATGTTCTCGACTTACGGCGGGGATGGCCCTTCAAAACACGAGTTTCTTCAGTGACGTCAGGACTCCTGTCTAGTAACGAGGGACACCTCAGGAATCTCTTTGAGGCTTGGCAGGGCCAAAGGGACGCTTCTCGAGGTGAGGCAGGGCACCCAAGGACCCTTTCCAGTAGCCACAGGGATTTTGGGATTCCTATCAGTATTCAAGAGGAGTCAGGCATCGTCACCTTTTGAAGCAATGAACTCCGCGTGCCTCTCGAGGTGTCAGCGGGATGTGAGGCATTCCGTCAAAATGAGGCAGGGACCTAGGGCTTTCTCTAAGGTCTCCACAGGGGATTCAGACATCCCTTCATGTTGTGAGATGAAAGACGAGCCTGTATTCAAGCCACTGCAAGGAAATCCGGCCTCCTTTCAAGTTAGGGCTTCTCGCTGTATATTCCCCTTGAGGCAGCAAACTCGGGGTCCCTCCCACATACCTATGGCTGAGAGAAGCCTCCTCCTGAGGTGCTTCTGGGAAGTTGGCATACGTCTTGAGCCTAAGCCAGGGAATCAGCTCGCATCTCGAGACGATTTGGGGTACACGGAGCATTCCTCGAGTTGCTGTGCTGAAGTTGGTGTTCCTCTAGACTTGGGACAGTGTTCTCGGGGCATCTCTGGAGTTGCCTGAAGGAAGTCGAGCCACCGGTCGTGTTGAATGGGGAACGGGGAATGGCTCTGGAGTCAATGCAGGGGAATCGGGCCTCATCTCGAGTTGATTTGGGGCACATGGAGCTGCTTTGCGTTGCTGGGGTGACCTCAGGGTCCGTCTAGACTGGTGACAGTGATCTTGGGGACTGTCTCGAGATCCATTAAGCAAGTCGAAGCTCCTGACTTGTTTGAATGGGATCACGGAATAGCTCTGCATGCACTGCAGGGGAATGGGGCCTCATCTCGCCTCTAGGGGGAAGTCTCATGGTTTTTCTCGAGTTGCGGCGGGGACCTGGGGTATGTTCTCGACTTACGGCGGGGATGGCCCTTCAAGACACGAGTTTCTTCAGTGACGTCAGGACTCCTGTCTAGTAACGAGGGACACCTCAGGAATCTCTTCGAGGCTTGGCAGGGCCAAAGGGACGCTTCTCGAGGTGAGGCAGGGCACCCAAGGACCCTTTCCAGTAGCCACAGGGATTTTGGGATTCCTATCAGTATTCAAGAGGAGTCAGGCATCGTCACCTTTTGAAGCAATGAACTCCGCGTGCCTCTCGAGGTGTCAGCGGGATGTGAGGCATTCCGTCAAAATGAGGCAGGGACCTAGGGCTTTCTCTAAGGTCTCCACAGGGGATTCAGACATCCCTTCATGTTGTGAGATGAAAGACGAGCCTGTATTCAAGCCACTGCAAGGAAATCCGGCCTCCTTTCAAGTTAGGGCTTCTCGCTGTATATTCCCCTTGAGGCAGCAAACTCGGGGTCCCTCCCACATACCTATTGCTGAGAGAAGCCTCCTCCTGAGGTGCTTCTGGGAAGTTGGCATACGTCTTGAGCCTAAGCCAGGGAATCAGCTCTCATCTCGAGACGATTTGGGGTACACGGAGCATTCCTCGAGTTGCTGTGCTGAAGTTGGTGTTCCTCTAGACTTGGGACAGTGTTCTCGGGGCATCTCTGGAGTTGCCTGAAGGAAGTCGAGCCACCGGTCGTGTTGAATGGGGAACGGGGAATGGCTCTGGAGTCAATGCAGGGAAATCGGGCCTCATCTCGAGTTGATTTGGGGCACATGGAGCTGCTTTGCGTTGCTGGGGTGACCTCAGGGTCCGTCTAGACTGGTGACAGTGTTCTTGGGGACTGTCTCGAGATCCATTAAGCAAGTCGAAGCTCCTGACTTGTTTGAATGGGATCACGGAATAGCTCTGCATGCACTGCAGGGGAATGGGGCCTCATCTCGCCTCTAGGGGGAAGTCTCATGGTTTTTCTCGAGTTGCGGCGGGGACCTGGGGTATGTTCTCGACTTACGGCGGGGATGGCCCTTCAAGACACGAGTTTCTTCAGTGACGTCAGGACTCCTGTCTAGTAACGAGGGACACCTCAGGAATCTCTTCGAGGCTTGGCAGGGCCAAAGGGACGCTTCTCGAGGTGAGGCAGGGCACCCAAGGACCCTTTCCAGTAGCCACAGGGATTTTGGGTTTCCTATCAGTATTCAAGAGGAGTCAGGCATCGTCACCTTTTGAAGCAATGAACTCCGCGTGCCTCTCGAGGTGTAAGCGCGATGTGAGGCATTCCGTCAAAATGAGGCAGGGACCTAGGGCTTTCTCTAAGGTCTCCACAGGGGATTCAGACATCCCTTCATGTTGTGAGATGAAAGACGAGCCTGTATTCAAGCCACTGCAAGGAAATCCGGCCTCCTTTCAAGTTAGGGCTTCTCGCTGTATATTCCCCTTGAGGCAGCAAACTCGGGGTCCCTCCCACATACCTATGGCTGAGAGAAGCCTCCTCCTGAGGTGCTTCTGGGAAGTTGGCATACGTCTTGAGCCTAAGCCAGGGAATCAGCTCTCATCTCGAGACGATTTGGGGTACACGGAGCATTCCTCGAGTTGCTGTGCTGAAGTTGGTGTTCCTCTAGTCTTGGGACAGTGTTCTCGGGGCATCTCTGGAGTTGCCTGAAGGAAGTCGAGCCACCGGTCGTGTTGAATGGGGAACGGGGAATGGCTCTGGAGTCAATGCAGGGGAATCGGGCCTCATCTCGAGTTGATTTGGGGCACATGGAGCTGCTTTGCGTTGCTGGGGTGACCTCAGGGTCCGTCTAGACTGGTGACAGTGTTCTTGGGGACTGTCTCGAGATCCATTAAGCAAGTCGAAGCTCCTGACTTGTTTGAATGGGATCACGGAATAGCTCTGCATGCACTGCAGGGGAATGGGGCCTCATCTCGCCTCTAGGGGGAAGTCTCATGGTTTTTCTCGAGTTGCGGCGGGGACCTGGGGTATGTTCTCGACTTACGGCGGGGATGGCCCTTCAAGACACGAGTTTCTTCAGTGACGTCAGGACTCCTGTCTAGTAACGAGGGACACCTCAGGAATCTCTTCGAGGCTTGGCAGGGCCAAAGGGACGCTTCTCGAGGTGAGGCAGGGCACCCAAGGACCCTTTCCAGTAGCCACAGGGATTTTGGGATTCCTATCAGTATTCAAGAGGAGTCAGGCATCGTCACCTTTTGAAGCAATGAACTCCGCGTGCCTCTCGAGGTGTCAGCGGGATGTGAGGCATTCCGTCAAAATGAGGCAGGGACCTAGGGCTTTCTCTAAGGTCTCCACAGGGGATTCAGACATCCCTTCATGTTGTGAGATGAAAGACGAGCCTGTATTCAAGCCACTGCAAGGAAATCCGGCCTCCTTTCAAGTTAGGGCTTCTCGCTGTATATTCCCCTTGAGGCAGCAAACTCGGGGTCCCTCCCACATACCTATTGCTGAGAGAAGCCTCCTCCTGAGGTGCTTCTGGGAAGTTGGCATACGTCTTGAGCCTAAGCCAGGGAATCAGCTCTCATCTCGAGACGATTTGGGGTACACGGAGCATTCCTCGAGTTGCTGTGCTGAAGTTGGTGTTCCTCTAGACTTGGGACAGTGTTCTCGGGGCATCTCTGGAGTTGCCTGAAGGAAGTCGAGCCACCGGTCGTGTTGAATGGGGAACGGGGAATGGCTCTGGAGTCAATGCAGGGGAATCGGGCCTCATCTCGAGTTGATTTGGGGCACATGGAGCTGCTTTGCGTTGCTGGGGTGACCTCAGGGTCCGTCTAGACTGGTGACAGTGTTCTTGGGGACTGTCTCGAGATCCATTAAGCAAGTCGAAGCTCCTGACTTGTTTGAATGGGATCACGGAATAGCTCTGCATGCACTGCAGGGGAATGGGGCCTCATCTCGCCTCTAGGGGGAAGTCTCATGGTTTTTCTCGAGTTGCGGCGGGGACCTGGGGTATGTTCTCGACTTACGGCGGGGATGGCCCTTCAAGACACGAGTTTCTTCAGTGACGTCAGGACTCCTGTCTAGTAACGAGGGACACCTCAGGAATCTCTTCGAGGCTTGGCAGGGCCAAAGGGACGCTTCTCGAGGTGAGGCAGGGCACCCAAGGACCCTTTCCAGTAGCCACAGGGATTTTGGGATTCCTATCAGTATTCAAGAGGAGTCAGGCATCGTTACCTTTTGAAGCAATGAACTCCGCGTGCCTCTCGAGGTGTCAGCGGGATGTGAGGCATTCCGTCAAAATGAGGCAGGGACCTAGGGCTTTCTCTAAGGTCTCCACAGGGGATTCAGACATCCCTTCATGTTGTGAGATGAAAGACGAGCCTGTATTCAAGCCACTGCAAGGAAATCCGGCCTCCTTTCAAGTTAGGGCTTCTCGCTGTATATTCCCCTTGAGGCAGCAAACTCGGGGTCCCTCCCACATACCTATTGCTGAGAGAAGCCTCCTCCTGAGGTGCTTCTGGGAAGTTGGCATACGTCTTGAGCCTAAGCCAGGGAATCAGCTCTCATCTCGAGACGATTTGGGGTACACGGAGCATTCCTCGAGTTGCTGTGCTGAAGTTGGTGTTCCTCTAGACTTGGGACAGTGTTCTCGGGGCATCTCTGGAGTTGCCTGAAGGAAGTCGAGCCACCGGTCGTGTTGAATGGGGAACGGGGAATGGCTCTGGAGTCAATGCAGGGGAATCGGGCCTCATCTCGAGTTGATTTGGGGCACATGGAGCTGCTTTGCGTTGCTGGGGTGACCTCAGGGTCCGTCTAGACTGGTGACAGTGTTCTTGGGGACTGTCTCGAGATCCAATAAGCAAGTCGAAGCTCCTGACTTGTTTGAATGGGATCACGGAATAGCTCTGCATGCACTGCAGGGGAATGGGGCCTCATCTCGCCTCTAGGGGGAAGTCTCATGGTTTTTCTCGAGTTGCGGCGGGGACCTGGGGTATGTTCTCGACTTACGGCGGGGATGGCCCTTCAAGACACGAGTTTCTTCAGTGACGTCAGGACTCCTGTCTAGTAACGAGGGACACCTCAGGAATCTCTTCGAGGCTTGGCAGGGCCAAAGGGACGCTTCTCGAGGTGAGGCAGGGCACCCAAGGACCCTTTCCAGTAGCCACAGGGATTTTGGGATTCCTATCAGTATTCAAGAGGAGTCAGGCATCGTCACCTTTTGAAGCAATGAACTCCGCGTGCCTCTCGAGGTGTCAGCGGGATGTGAGTCATTCCGTCAAAATGAGGCAGGGACCTAGGGCTTTCTCTAAGGTCTCCACAGGGGATTCAGACATCCCTTCATGTTGTGAGATGAAAGACGAGCCTGTATTCAAGCCACTGCAAGGAAATCCGGCCTCCTTTCAAGTTAGGGCTTCTCGCTGTATATTCCCCTTGAGGCAGCAAACTCGGGGTCCCTCCCACATACCTATTGCTGAGAGAAGCCTCCTCCTGAGGTGCTTCTGGGAAGTTGGCATACGTCTTGAGCCTAAGCCAGGGAATCAGCTCTCATCTCGAGACGATTTGGGGTACACGGAGCATTCCTCGAGTTGCTGTGCTGAAGTTGGTGTTCCTCTAGACTTGGGACAGTGTTCTCGGGGCATCTCTGGAGTTGCCTGAAGGAAGTCGAGCCACCGGTCGTGTTGAATGGGGAACGGGGAATGGCTCTGGAGTCAATGCAGCGGAATAGGGCCTCATCTCGAGTTGATTTGGGGCACATGGAGCTGCTTTGCGTTGCTGGGGTGACCTCAGGGTCCGTCTAGACTGGTGACAGTGTTCTTGGGGACTGTCTCGAGATCCATTAAGCAAGTCGAAGCTCCTGACTTGTTTGAATGGGATCACGGAATAGCTCTGCATGCACTGCAGGGGAATGGGGCCTCATCTCGCCTCTAGGGGGAAGTCTCATGGTTTTTCTCGAGTTGCGGCGGGGACCTGGGGTATGTTCTCGACTTACGGCGGGGATGGCCCTTCAAGACACGAGTTTCTTCAGTGACGTCAGGACTCCTGTCTAGTAACGAGGGACACCTCAGGAATCTCTTCGAGGCTTGGCAGGGCCAAAGGGACGCTTCTCGAGGTGAGGCAGGGCACCCAAGGACCCTTTCCAGTAGCCACAGGGATTTTGGGATTCCTATCAGTATTCAAGAGGAGTCAGGCATCGTCACCTTTTGAAGCAATGAACTCCGCGTGCCTCTCGAGGTGTCAGCGGGATGTGAGGCATTCCGTCAAAATGAGGCAGGGACCTAGGGCTTTCTCTAAGGTCTCCACAGGGGATTCAGACATCCCTTCATGTTGTGAGATGAAAGACGAGCCTGTATTCAAGCCACTGCAAGGAAATCCGGCCTCCTTTCAAGTTAGGGCTTCTCGCTGTATATTCCCCTTGAGGCAGCAAACTCGGGGTCCCTCCCACATTCCTATGGCTGAGAGAAGCCTCCTCCTGAGGTGCTTCTGGGAAGTTGGCATACGTCTTGAGCCTAAGCCAGGGAATCAGCTCTCATCTCGAGACGATTTGGGGTACACGGAGCATTCCTCGAGTTGCTGTGCTGAAGTTGGTGTTCCTCTAGACTTGGGACAGTGTTCTCGGGGCATCTCTGGAGTTGCCTGAAGGAAGTCGAGCCACCGGTCGTGTTGAATGGGGAACGGGGAATGGCTCTGGAGTCAATGCAGGGGAATCGGGCCTCATCTCGAGTTGATTTGGGGCACATGGAGCTGCTTTGCGTTGCTGGGGTGACCTCAGGGTCCGTCTAGACTGGTGACAGTGTTCTTGGGGACTGTCTCGAGATCCATTAAGCAAGTCGAAGCTCCTGACTTGTTTGAATGGGATCACGGAATAGCTCTGCATGCACTGCAGGGGAATGGGGCCTCATCTCGCCTCTAGGGGGAAGTCTCATGGTTTTTCTCGAGTTGCGGCGGGGACCTGGGGTATGTTCTCGACTTACGGCGGGGATGGCCCTTCAAAACACGAGTTTCTTCAGTGACGTCAGGACTCCTGTCTAGTAACGAGGGACACCTCAGGAATCTCTTCGAGGCTTGGCAGGGCCAAAGGGACGCTTCTCGAGGTGAGGCAGGGCACCCAAGGACCCTTTCCAGTAGCCACAGGGATTTTGGGATTCCTATCAGTATTCAAGAGGAGTCAGGCATCGTCACCTTTTGAAGCAATGAACTCCGCGTGCCTCTCGAGGTGTCAGCGGGATGTGAGGCATTCCGTCAAAATGAGGCAGGGACCTAGGGCTTTCTCTAAGGTCTCCACAGGGGATTCAGACATCCCTTCATGTTGTGAGATGAAAGACGAGCCTGTATTCAAGCCACTGCAAGGAAATCCGGCCTCCTTTCAAGTTAGGGCTTCTCGCTGTATATTGCCCTTGAGGCAGCAAACTCGGGGTCCCTCCCACATACCTATGGCTGAGAGAAGCCTCCTCCTGAGGTGCTTCTGGGAAGTTGGCATACGTCTTGAGCCTAAGCCAGGGAATCAGCTCGCATCTCGAGACGATTTGGGGTACACGGAGCATTCCTCGAGTTGCTGTGCTGAAGTTGGTGTTCCTCTAGACTTGGGACAGTGTTCTCGGGGCATCTCTGGAGTTGCCTGAAGGAAGTCGAGCCACCGGTCGTGTTGAATGGGGAACGGGGAATGGCTCTGGAGTCAATGCAGGGGAATCGGGCCTCATCTCGAGTTGATTTGGGGCACATGGAGCTGCTTTGCGTTGCTGGGGTGACCTCAGGGTCCGTCTAGACTGGTGACAGTGTTCTTGGGGACTGTCTCGAGATCCATTAAGCAAGTCGAAGCTCCTGACTTGTTTGAATGGGATCACGGAATAGCTCTGCATGCACTGCAGGGGAATGTGGCCTCATCTCGCCTCTAGGGGGAAGTCTCATGGTTTTTCTCGAGTTGCGGCGGGGACCTGGGGTATGTTCTCGACTTACGGCGGGGATGGCCCTTCAAAACACGAGTTTCTTCAGTGACGTCAGGACTCCTGTCTAGTAACGAGGGACACCTCAGGAATCTCTTCGAGGCTTGGCAGGGCCAAAGGGACGCTTCTCGAGGTGAGGCAGGGCACCCAAGGACCCTTTCCAGTAGCCACAGGGATTTTGGGATTCCTATCAGTATTCAAGAGGAGTCAGACATCGTCACCTTTTGAAGCAATGAACTCCGCGTGCCTCTCGAGGTGTCAGCGGGATGTGAGGCATTCCGTCAAAATGAGGCAGGGACCTAGGGCTTTCTCTAAGGTCTCCACAGGGGATTCAGACATCCCTTCATGTTGTGAGATGAAAGACGAGCCTGTATTCAAGCCACTGCAAGGAAATCCGGCCTCCTTTCAAGTTAGGGCTTCTCGCTGTATATTCCCCTTGAGGCAGCAAACTCGGGGTCCCTCCCACATTCCTATGGCTGAGAGAAGCCTCCTCCTGAGGTGCTTCTGGGAAGTTGGCATACGTCTTGAGCCTAAGCCAGGGAATCAGCTCTCATCTCGAGACGATTTGGGGTACACGGAGCATTCCTCGAGTTGCTGTGCTGAAGTTGGTGTTCCTCTAGACTTGGGACAGTGTTCTCGGGGCATCTCTGGAGTTGCCTGAAGGAAGTCGAGCCACCGGTCGTGTTGAATGGGGAACGGGGAATGGCTCTGGAGTCAGTGCAGGGGAATCGGGCCTCATCTCGAGTTGATTTGGGGCACATGGAGCTGCTTTGCGTTGCTGGGGTGACCTCAGGGTCCGTCTAGACTGGTGACAGTGTTCTTGGGGACTGTCTCGAGATCCATTAAGCAAGTCGAAGCTCCTGACTTGTTTGAATGGGATCACGGAATAGCTCTGCATGCACTGCAGGGGAATGGGGCCTCATCTCGCCTCTAGGGGGAAGTCTCATGGTTTTTCTCGAGTTGCGGCGGGGACCTGGGGTATGTTCTCGACTTACGGCGGGGATGGCCCTTCAAAACACGAGTTTCTTCAGTGACGTCAGGACTCCTGTCTAGTAACGAGGGACACCTCAGGAATCTCTTCGAGGCTTGGCAGGGCCAAAGGGACGCTTCTCGAGGTGAGGCAGGGCACCCAAGGACCCTTTCCAGTAGCCACAGGGATTTTGGGATTCCTATCAGTATTCAAGAGGAGTCAGGCATCGTCACCTTTTGAAGCAATGAACTCCGCGTGCCTCTCGAGGTGTCAGCGGGATGTGAGGCATTCCGTCAAAATGAGGCAGGGACCTAGGGCTTTCTCTAAGGTCTCCACAGGGGATTCAGACATCCCTTCATGTTGTGAGATGAAAGACGAGCCTGTATTCAAGCCACTGCAAGGAAATCCGGCCTCCTTTCAAGTTAGGGCTTCTCGCTGTATATTCCCCTTGAGGCAGCAAACTCGGGGTCCCTCCCACATACCTATGGCTGAGAGAAGCCTCCTCCTGAGGTGCTTCTGGGAAGTTGGCATACGTCTTGAGCCTAAGCCAGGGAATCAGCTCGCATCTCGAGACGATTTGGGGTACACGGAGCATTCCTCGAGTTGCTGTGCTGAAGTTGGTGTTCCTCTAGACTTGGGACAGTGTTCTCGGGGCATCTCTGGAGTTGCCTGAAGGAAGTCGAGCCACCGGTCGTGTTGAATGGGGAACGGGGAATGGCTCTGGAGTCAATGCAGGGGAATCGGGCCTCATCTCGAGTTGATTTGGGGCACATGGAGCTGCTTTGCGTTGCTGGGGTGACCTCAGGGTCCGTCTAGACTGGTGACAGTGTTCTTGGGGACTGTCTCGAGATCCATTAAGCAAGTCGAAGCTCCTGACTTGTTTGAATGGGATCACGGAATAGCTCTGCATGCACTGCAGGGGAATGGGGCCTCATCTCGCCTCTAGGGGGAAGTCTCATGGTTTTTCTCGAGTTGCGGCGGGGACCTGGGGTATGTTCTCGACTTACGGCGGGGATGGCCCTTCAAAACACGAGTTTCTTCAGTGACGTCAGGACTCCTGTCTAGTAACGAGGGACACCTCAGGAATCTCTTCGAGGCTTGGCAGGGCCAAAGGGACGCTTCTCGAGGTGAGGCAGGGCACCCAAGGACCCTTTCCAGTAGCCACAGGGATTTTTGGATTCCTATCAGTATTCAAGAGGAGTCAGGCATCGTCACCTTTTGAAGCAATGAACTCCGCGTGCCTCTCGAGGTGTCAGCGGGATGTGAGGCATTCCGTCAAAATGAGGCAGGGACCTAGGGCTTTCTCTAAGGTCTCCACAGGGGATTCAGACATCCCTTCATGTTGTGAGATGAAAGACGAGCCTGTATTCAAGCCACTGCAAGGAAATCCGGCCTCCTTTCAAGTTAGGGCTTCTCGCTGTATATTCCCCTTGAGGCAGCAAACTCGGGGTCCCTCCCACATACCTATTGCTGAGAGAAGCCTCCTCCTGAGGTGCTTCTGGGAAGTTGGCATACGTCTTGAGCCTAAGCCAGGGAATCAGCTCGCATCTCGAGACGATTTGGGGTACACGGAGCATTCCTCGAGTTGCTGTGCTGAAGTTGGTGTTCCTCTGGACTTGGGACAGTGTTCTCGGGGCATCTCTGGAGTTGCCTGAAGGAAGTCGAGCCACCGGTCGTGTTGAATGGGGAACGGGGAATGGCTCTGGAGTCAATGCAGGGGAATCGGGCCTCATCTCGAGTTGATTTGGGGCACATGGAGCTGCTTTGCGTTGCTGGGGTGACCTCAGGGTCCGTCTAGACTGGTGACAGTGTTCTTGGGGACTGTCTCGAGATCCATTAAGCAAGTCGAAGCTCCTGACTTGTTTGAATGGGATCATGGAATAGCTCTGCATGCACTGCAGGGGAATGGGGCCTCATCTCGCCTCTAGGGGGAAGTCTCATGGTTTTTCTCGAGTTGCGGCGGGGACCTGGGGTATGTTCTCGACTTACGGCGGGGATGGCCCTTCAAGACACGAGTTTCTTCAGTGACGTCAGGACTCCTGTCTAGTAACGAGGGACACCTCAGGAATCTCTTCGAGGCTTGGCAGGGCCAAAGGGACGCTTCTCGAGGTGAGGCAGGGCACCCAAGGACCCTTTCCAGTAGCCACAGGGATTTTGGGATTCCTATCAGTATTCAAGAGGAGTCAGGCATCGTCACCTTTTGAAGCAATGAACTCCGCGTGCCTCTCGAGGTGTCAGCGGGATGTGAGGCATTCCGTCAAAATGAGGCAGGGACCTAGGGCTTTCTCTAAGGTCTCCACAGGGGGTTCAGACATCCCTTCATGTTGTGAGATGAAAGACGAGCCTGTATTCAAGCCACTGCAAGGAAATCCAGCCTCCTTTCAAGTTAGGGCTTCTCGCTGTATATTCCCCTTGAGGCAGCAAACTCGGGGTCCCTCCCACATACCTATTGCTGAGAGAAGCCTCCTCCTGAGGTGCTTCTGGGAAGTTGGCATACGTCTTGACCCTAAGCCAGGGAATCAGCTCGCATCTCGAGACGATTTGGGGTACACGGAGCATTCCTCGAGTTGCTGTGCTGAAGTTGGTGTTCCTCTAGACTTGGGACAGTGTTCTCGGGGCATCTCTGGAGTTGCCTAAAGGAAGTCGAGCCACCGGTCGTGTTGAATGGGGAACGGGGAATGGCTCTGGAGTCAATGCAGGGGAATCGGGCCTCATCTCGAGTTGATTTGGGGCACATGGAGCTGCTTTGCGTTGCTGGGGTGACCTCAGGGTCCGTCTAGACTGGTGACAGTGTTCTTGGGGACTGTCTCGAGATCCATTAAGCAAGTCGAAGCTCCTGACTTGTTTGAATGGGATCACGGAATAGCTCTGCATGCACTGCAGGGGAATGGGGCCTCATCTCGCCTCTAGGGGGAAGTCTCATGTTTTTTCTCGAGTTGCGGCGGGGACCTAGGGTATGTTCTCGACTTACGGCGGGGATGGCCCTTCAAAACACGAGTTTCTTCAGTGACGTCAGGACTCCTGTCTAGTAACGAGGGACACCTCAGGAATCTCTTCGAGGCTTGGCAGGGCCAAAGGGACGCTTCTCGAGGTGAGGCAGGGCACCCAAGGACCCTTTCCAGTAGCCACAGGGATTTTGGGATTCCTATCAGTATTCAAGAGGAGTCAGGCATCGTCACCTTTTGAAGCAATGAACTCTGCGTGCCTCTCGAGGTGTCAGCGCGATGTGAGGCATTCCGTCAAAATGAGGCAGGGACCTAGGGCTTTCTCTAAGGTCTCCACAGGGGATTCAGACATCCCTTCATGTTGTGAGATGAAAGACGAGCCTGTATTCAAGCCACTGCAAGGAAATCCGGCCTCCTTTCAAGTTAGGGCTTCTCGCTGTATATTCCCCTTGAGGCAGCAAACTCGGGGTCCCTCCCACATACCTATTGCTGAGAGAAGCCTCCTCCTGAGGTGCTTCTGGGAAGTTGGCATACGTCTTGAGCCTAAGCCAGGGAATCAGCTCTCATCTCGAGACGATTTGGGGTACACGGAGCATTCCTCGAGTTGCTGTGCTGAAGTTGGTGTTCCTCTAGACTTGGGACAGTGTTCTCGGGGCATCTCTGGAGTTGCCTGAAGGAAGTCGAGCCACCGGTCGTGTTGAATGGGGAACGGGGAATGGCTCTGGAGTCAATGCAGGGGAATCGGGCCTCATCTCGAGTTGATTTGGGGCACATGGAGCTGCTTTGCGTTGCTGGGGTGACCTCAGGGTCCGTCTAGACTGGTGACAGTGTTCTTGGGGACTGTCTCGAGATCCATTAAGCAAGTCGAAGCTCCTGACTTGTTTGAATGGGATCACGGAATAGCTCTGCATGCACTGCAGGGGAATGGGGCCTCATCTCGCCTCTAGGGGGAAGTCTCATGTTTTTTCTCGAGTTGCGGCGGGGACCTAGGGTATGTTCTCGACTTACGGCGGGGATGGCCCTTCAAAACACGAGTTTCTTCAGTGACGTCAGGACTCCTGTCTAGTAACGAGGGACACCTCAGGAATCTCTTCGAGGCTTGGCAGGGCCAAAGGGACGCTTCTCGAGGTGAGGCAGGGCACCCAAGGACCCTTTCCAGTAGCCACAGGGATTTTGGGATTCCTATCAGTATTCAAGAGGAGTCAGGCATCATCACCTTTTGAAGCAATGAACTCTGCGTGCCTCTCGAGGTGTCAGCGCGATGTGAGGCATTCCGTCAAAATGAGGCAGGGACCTAGGGCTTTCTCTAAGGTCTCCACAGGGGATTCAGACATCCCTTCATGTTGTGAGATGAAAGACGAGCCTGTATTCAAGCCACTGCAAGGAAATCCGGCCTCCTTTCAAGTTAGGGCTTCTCGCTGTATATTCCCCTTGAGGCAGCAAACTCGGGGTCCCTCCCACATACCTATTGCTGAGAGAAGCCTCCTCCTGAGGTGCTTCTGGGAAGTTGGCATACGTCTTGAGCCTAAGCCAGGGAATCAGCTCGCATCTCGAGACGATTTGGGGTACACGGAGCATTCCTCGAGTTGCTGTGCTGAAGTTGGTGTTCCTCTAGACTTGGGACAGTGTTCTCGGGGCATCTCTGGAGTTGCCTGAAGGAAGTCGAGCCACCGGTCGTGTTGAATGGGGAACGGGGAATGGCTCTGGAGTCAATGCAGGGGAATCGGGCCTCATCTCGAGTTGATTTGGGGCACATGGAGCTGCTTTGCGTTGCTGGGGTGACCTCAGGGTCCGTCTAGACTGGTGACAGTGTTCTTGGGGACTGTCTCGAGATCCATTAAGCAAGTCGAAGCTCCTGACTTGTTTGAATGGGATCATGGAATAGCTCTGCATGCACTGCAGGGGAATGGGGCCTCATCTCGCCTCTAGGGGGAAGTCTCATGGTTTTTCTCGAGTTGCGGCGGGGACCTGGGGTATGTTCTCGACTTACGGCGGGGATGGCCCTTCAAGACACGAGTTTCTTCAGTGACGTCAGGACTCCTGTCTAGTAACGAGGGACACCTCAGGAATCTCTTCGAGGCTTGGCAGGGCCAAAGGGACGCTTCTCGAGGTGAGGCAGGGCACCCAAGGACCCTTTCCAGTAGCCACAGGGATTTTGGGATTCCTATCAGTATTCAAGAGGAGTCAGGCATCGTCACCTTTTGAAGCAATGAACTCCGCGTGCCTCTCGAGGTGTCAGCGGGATGTGAGGCATTCCGTCAAAATGAGGCAGGGACCTAGGGCTTTCTCTAAGGTCTCCACAGGGGATTCAGACATCCCTTCATGTTGTGAGATGAAAGACGAGCCTGTATTCAAGCCACTGCAAGGAAATCCGGCCTCCTTTCAAGTTAGGGCTTCTCGCTGTATATTCCCCTTGAGGCAGCAAACTCGGGGTCCCTCCCACATACCTATTGCTGAGAGAAGCCTCCTCCTGAGGTGCTTCTGGGAAGTTGGCATACGTCTTGAGCCTAAGCCAGGGAATCAGCTCGCATCTCGAGACGATTTGGGGTACACGGAGCATTCCTCGAGTTGCTGTGCTGAAGTTGGTGTTCCTCTAGACTTGGGACAGTGTTCTCGGGGCATCTCTGGAGTTGCCTAAAGGAAGTCGAGCCACCGGTCGTGTTGAATGGGGAACGGGGAATGGCTCTGGAGTCAATGCAGGGGAATCGGGCCTCATCTCGAGTTGATTTGGGGCACATGGAGCTGCTTTGCGTTGCTGGGGTGACCTCAGGGTCCGTCTAGACTGGTGACAGTGTTCTTGGGGACTGTCTCGAGATCCATTAAGCAAGTCGAAGCTCCTGACTTGTTTGAATGGGATCACGGAATAGCTCTGCATGCACTGCAGGGGAATGGGGCCTCATCTCGCCTCTAGGGGGAAGTCTCATGGTTTTTCTCGAGTTGCGGCGGGGACCTGGGGTATGTTCTCGACTTACGGCGGGGATGGCCCTTCAAAACACGAGTTTCTTCAGTGACGTCAGGACTCCTGTCTAGTAACGAGGGACACCTCAGGAATCTCTTCGAGGCTTGGCAGGGCCAAAGGGACGCTTCTCGAGGTGAGGCAGGGCACCCAAGGACCCTTTCCAGTAGCCACAGGGATTTTGGGATTCCTATCAGTATTCAAGAGGAGTCAGGCATCGTCACCTTTTGAAGCAATGAACTCCGCGTGCCTCTCGAGGTGTCAGCGGGATGTGAGGCATTCCGTCAAAATGAGGCAGGGACCTAGGGCTTTCTCTAAGGTCTCCACAGGGGATTCAGACATCCCTTCATGTTGTGAGATGAAAGACGAGCCTGTATTCAAGCCACTGCAAGAAATCCGGCCTCCTTTCAAGTTAGGGCTTCTCGCTGTATATTCCCCTTGAGGCAGCAAACTCGGGGTCCCTCCCACATACCTATTGCTGAGAGAAGCCTCCTCCTGAGGTGCTTCTGGGAAGTTGGCATACGTCTTGAGCCTAAGCCAGGGAATCAGCTCTCATCTCGAGACGATTTGGGGTACACGGAGCATTCCTCGAGTTGCTGTGCTGAAGTTGGTGTTCCTCTAGACTTGGGACAGTGTTCTCGGGGCATCTCTGGAGTTGCCTGAAGGAAGTCGAGGCACCGGTCGTGTTGAATGGGGAACGGGGAATGGCTCTGGAGTCAATGCAGGGGAATCGGGCCTCATCTCGAGTTGATTTGGGGCACATGGAGCTGCTTTGCGTTGCTGGGGTGACCTCAGGGTCCGTCTAGACTGGTGACAGTGTTCTTGGGGACTGTCTCGAGATCCATTAAGCAAGTCGAAGCTCCTGACTTGTTTGAAAGGGATCACGGAATAGCTCTGCATGCACTGCAGGGGAATGGGGCCTCATCTCGCCTCTAGGGGGAAGTCTCATGGTTTTTCTCGAGTTGCGGCGGGGACCTGGGGTATGTTCTCGACTTGCGGCGGGGATGGCCCTTCAAAACACGAGTTTCTTCAGTGACGTCAGGACTCCTGTCTAGTAACGAGGGACACTTCAGGAATCTCTTCGAGGCTTGGCAGGGCCAAAGGGACGCTTCTCGAGGTGAGGCAGGGCACCCAAGGACCCTTTCCAGTAGCCACAGGGATTTTGGGATTCCTATCAGTATTCAAGAGGAGTCAGACATCGTCACCTTTTGAAGCAATGAACTCCGCGTGCCTCTCGAGGTGTCAGCGGGATGTGAGGCATTCCGTCAAAATGAGGCAGGGACCTAGGGCTTTCTCTAAGGTCTCCACAGGGGATTCAGACATCCCTTCATGTTGTGAGATGAAAGACGAGCCTGTATTCAAGCCACTGCAAGGAAATCCGGCCTCCTTTCAAGTTAGGGCTTCTCGCTGTATATTCCCCTTGAGGCAGCAAACTCGGGGTCCCTCCCACATTCCTATGGCTGAGAGAAGCCTCCTCCTGAGGTGCTTCTGGGAAGTTGGCATACGTCTTGAGCCTAAGCCAGGGAATCAGCTCTCATCTCGAGACGATTTGGGGTACACGGAGCATTCCTCGAGTTGCTGTGCTGAAGTTGGTGTTCCTCTAGACCTGGGACAGTGTTCTCGGGGCATCTCTGGAGTTTCCTGAAGGAAGTCGAGCCACCGGTCGTGTTGAATGGGGAACGGGGAATGGCTCTGGAGTCAATGCAGGGGAATCGGGCCTCATCTCGAGTTGATTTGGGGCACATGGAGCTGCTTTGCGTTGCTGGGGTGACCTCAGGGTCCGTCTAGACTGGTGACAGTGTTCTTGGGGACTGTCTCGAGATCCATTAAGCAAGTCGAAGCTCCTGACTTGTTTGAAAGGGATCACGGAATAGCTCTGCATGCACTGCAGGGGAATGGGGCCTCATCTCGCCTCTAGGGGGAAGTCTCATGGTTTTTCTCGAGTTGCGGCGGGGACCTGGGGTATGTTCTCGACTTACGGCGGGGATGGCCCTTCAAAACACGAGTTTCTTCAGTGACGTCAGGACTCCTGTCTAGTAACGAGGGACACCTCAGGAATCTCTTCGAGGCTTGGCAGGGCCAAAGGGACGCTTCTCGAGGTGAGGCAGGGCACCCAAGGACCCTTTCCAGTAGCCACAGGGATTTTGGGATTCCTATCAGTATTCAAGAGGAGTCAGGCATCGTCACCTTTTGAAGCAATGAACTCCGCGTGCCTCTCGAGGTGTCAGCGGGATGTGAGGCATTCCGTCAAAATGAGGCAGGGACCTAGGGCTTTCTCTAAGGTCTCCACAGGGGATTCAGACATCCCTTCATGTTGTGAGATGAAAGACGAGCCTGTATTCAAGCCACTGCAAGGAAATCCGGCCTCCTTTCAAGTTAGGGCTTCTCGCTGTATATTCCCCTTGAGGCAGCAAACTCGGGGTCCCTCCCACATACCTATGGCTGAGAGAAGCCTCCTCCTGAGGTGCTTCTGGGAAGTTGGCATACGTCTTGAGCCTAAGCCAGGGAATCAGCTCGCATCTCGAGACGATTTGGGGTACACGGAGCATTCCTCGAGTTGCTGTGCTGAAGTTGGTGTTCCTCTAGACTTGGGACAGTGTTCTCGGGGCATCTCTGGAGTTGCCTGAAGGAAGTCAAGCCACCGGTCGTGTTGAATGGGGAACGGGGAATGGCTCTGGAGTCAATGCAGGGGAATCGGGCCTCATCTCGAGTTGATTTGGGGCACATGGAGCTGCTTTGCGTTGCTGGGGTGACCTCAGGGTCCGTCTAGACTGGTGACAGTGTTCTTGGGGACTGTCTCGAGATCCATTAAGCAAGTCGAAGCTCCTGACTTGTTTGAATGGGATCACGGAATAGCTCTGCATGCACTGCAGGGGAATGGGGCCTCATCTCGCCTCTAGGGGGAAGTCTCATGGTTTTTCTCGAGTTGCGGCGGGGACCTGGGGTATGTTCTCGACTTAAGGCGGGGATGGCCCTTCAAGACACGAGTTTCTTCAGTGACGTCCGGACTCCTGTCTAGTAACGAGGGACACCTCAGGAATCTCTTCGAGGCTTGGCAGGGCCAAAGGGACGCTTCTCGAGGTGAGGCAGGGCACCCAAGGACCCTTTCCAGTAGCCACAGGGATTTTGGGATTCCTATCAGTATTCAAGAGGAGTCAGGCATCGTCACCTTTTGAAGCAATGAACTCCGCGTGCCTCTCGAGGTGTCAGCGGGATGTGAGGCATTCCGTCAAAATGAGGCAGGGACCTAGGGCTTTCTCTAAGGTCTCCACAGGGGATTCAGACATCCCTTCATGTTGTGAGATGAAAGACGAGCCTGTATTCAAGCCACTGCAAGGAAATCCGGCCTCCTTTCAAGTTAGGGCTTCTCGCTGTATATTCCCCTTGAGGCAGCAAACTCGGGGTCCCTCCCACATACCTATTGCTGAGAGAAGCCTCCTCCTGAGGTGCTTCTGGGAAGTTGGCATACGTCTTGAGCCTAAGCCAGGGAATCAGCTCTCATCTCGAGACGATTTGGGGTACACGGAGCATTCCTCGAGTTGCTGTGCTGAAGTTGGTGTTCCTCTAGACTTGGGACAGTGTTCTCGGGGCATCTCTGGAGTTGCCTGAAGGAAGTCGAGCCACCGGTCGTGTTGAATGGGGAACGGGGAATGGCTCTGGAGTCAATGCAGGGGAATCGGGCCTCATCTCGAGTTGATTTGGGGCACATGGAGCTGCTTTGCGTTGCTGGGGTGACCTCAGGGTCCGTCTAGACTGGTGACAGTGTTCTTGGGGACTGTCTCGAGATCCATTAAGCAAGTCGAAGCTCCTGACTTGTTTGAATGGGATCACGGAATAGCTCTGCATGCACTGCAGGGGAATGGGGCCTCATCTCGCCTCTAGGGGGAAGTCTCATGGTTTTTCTCGAGTTGCGGCGGGGACCTGGGGTATGTTCTCGACTTATGGCGGGGATGGCCCTTCAAAACACGAGTTTCTTCAGTGACGTCAGGACTCCTGTCTAGTAACGAGGGACACCTCAGGAATCTCTTCGAGGCTTGGCAGGGCCAAAGGGACGCTTCTCGAGGTGAGGCAGGGCACCCAAGGACCCTTTCCAGTAGCCACAGGGATTTTGGGATTCCTATCAGTATTCAAGAGGAGTCAGGCATCGTCACCTTTTGAAGCAATGAACTCCGCGTGCCTCTCGAGTTGTCAGCGCAATGTGAGGCATTCCGTCAAAATGAGGCAGGGACCTAGGGCTTTCTCTAAGGTCTACACAGGGGATTCAGACATCCCTTCATGTTGTGAGATGAAAGACGAGCCTGTATTCAAGCCACTGCAAGAAATCCGGCCTCCTTTCAAGTTAGGGCTTCTCGCTGTATATTCCCCTTGAGGCAGCAAACTCGGGGTCCCTCCCACATACCTATTGCTGAGAGAAGCCTCCTCCTGAGGTGCTTCTGGGAAGTTGGCATACGTCTTGAGCCTAAGCCAGGGAATCAGCTCTCATCTCGAGACGATTTGGGGTACACGGAGCATTCCTCGAGTTGCTGTGCTGAAGTTGGTGTTCCTCTAGACTTGGGACAGTGTTCTCGGGGCATCTCTGGAGTTGCCTGAAGGAAGTCGAGCCACAGGGCGTGTTGAATGGGGAACGGGGAATGGCTCTGGAGTCAATGCAGGGGAATCGGGCCTCATCTCGAGTTGATTTGGGGCACATGGAGCTGCTTTGCGTTGCTGGGGTGACCTCAGGGTCCGTCTAGACTGGTGACAGTGTTCTTGGGGACTGTCTCGAGATCCATTAAGCAAGTCGAAGCTCCTGACTTGTTTGAATGGGATCACGGAATAGCTCTGCATGCACTGCAGGGGAATGGGGCCTCATCTCGCCTCTAGGGGGAAGTCTCATGGTTTTTCTCGAGTTGCGGCGGGGACCTGGGGTATGTTCTCGACTTACGGCGGGGATGGCCCTTCAAAACACGAGTTTCTTCAGTGACGTCAGGACTCCTGTCTAGTAACGAGGGACACCTCAGGAATCTCTTCGAGGCTTGGCAGGGCCAAAGGGACGCTTCTCGAGGTGAGGCAGGGCACCCAAGGACCCTTTCCAGTAGCCACAGGGATTTTGGGATTCCTATCAGTATTCAAGAGGAGTCAGACATCGTCACCTTTTGAAGCAATGAACTCCGCGTGCCTCTCGAGGTGTCAGCGGGATGTGAGACATTCCGTCAAAATGAGGCAGGGACCTAGGGCTTTCTCTAAGGTCTCCACAGGGGATTCAGACATCCCTTCATGTTGTGAGATGAAAGACGAGCCTGTATTCAAGCCACTGCAAGGAAATCCGGCCTCCTTTCAAGTTAGGGCTTCTCGCTGTATATTCCCCTTGAGGCAGCAAACTCGGGGTCCCTCCCACATTCCTATGGCTGAGAGAAGCCTCCTCCTGAGGTGCTTCTGGGAAGTTGGCATACGTCTTGAGCCTAAGCCAGGGAATCAGCTCTCATCTCGAGACGATTTGGGGTACACGGAGCATTCCTCGAGTTGCTGTGCTGAAGTTGGTGTTCCTCTAGACTTGGGACACTGTTCTCGGGGCATCTCTGGAGTTGCCTGAAGGAAGTCGAGCCACCGGGCGTGTTGAATGGGGAACGGGGAATGGTTCTGGAGTCAATGCAGGGAATCGGGCCTCATCTCGAGTTGATTTGGGGCACATGGAGCTGCTTTGCGTTGCTGGGGTGACCTCAGGGTCCGTCTAGACTGGTGACAGTGTTCTTGGGGACTGTCTCGAGATCCATTAAGCAAGTCGAAGCTCCTGACTTGTTTGAATGGGATCACGGAATAGCTCTGCATGCACTGCAGGGGAATGGGGCCTCATCTCGCCTCTAGGGGGAAGTCTCATGGTTTTTCTCGAGTTGCGGCGGGGACCTGGGGTATGTTCTCGACTTACGGCGGGGATGGCCCTTCAAAACACGAGTTTCTTCAGTGACGTCAGGACTCCTGTCTAGTAACGAGGGACACCTCAGGAATCTCTTCGAGGCTTGGCAGGGCCAAAGGGACGCTTCTCGAGGTGAGGCAGGGCACCCAAGGACCCTTTCCAGTAGCCACAGGGATTTTGGGATTCCTATCAGTATTCAAGAGGAGTCAGACATCGTCACCTTTTGAAGCAATGAACTCCGCGTGCCTCTCGAGGTGTCAGCGGGATGTGAGGCATTCCGTCAAAATGAGGCAGGGACCTAGGGCTTTCTCTAAGGTCTCCACAGGGGATTCAGACATCCCTTCATGTTGTGAGATGAAAGACGAGCCTGTATTCAAGCCACTGCAAGGAAATCCGGCCTCCTTTCAAGTTAGGGCTTCTCGCTGTATATTCCCCTTGAGGCAGCAAACTCGGGGTCCCTCCCACATTCCTATGGCTGAGAGAAGCCTCCTCCTGAGGTGCTTCTGGGAAGTTGGCATACGTCTTGAGCCTAAGCCAGGGAATCAGCTCTCATCTCGAGACGATTTGGGGTACACGGAGCATTCCTCGAGTTGCTGTGCTGAAGTTGGTGTTCCTCTAGACTTGGGACAGTGTTCTCGGGGCATCTCTGGAGTTGCCTGAAGGAAGTCGAGCCACCGGTCGTGTTGAATGGGGAACGGGGAATGGCTCTGGAGTCAATGCAGGGGAATCGGGCCTCATCTCGAGTTGATTTGGGGCACATGGAGCGGCTTTGCGTTGCTGGGGTGACCTCAGGGTCCGTCTAGACTGGTGACAGTGTTCTTGGGGACTGTCTCGAGATCCATTAAGCAAGTCGAAGCTCCTGACTTGTTTGAATGGGATCACGGAATAGCTCTGCATGCACTGCAGGGGAATGGGGCCTCATCTCGCCTCTAGGGGGAAATCTCATGGTTTTTCTCGAGTTGCGGCGGGGACCTGGGGTATGTTCTCGACTTACGGCGGGGATGGCCCTTCAAGACACGAGTTTCTTCAGTGACGTCAGGACTCCTGTCTAGTAACGAGGGACACCTCAGGAATCTCTTCGAGGCTTGGCAGGGCCAAAGGGACGCTTCTCGAGTTGAGGCAGGGCACCCAAGGACCCTTTCCAGTAGCCACAGGGATTTTGGGATTCCTATCAGTATTCAAGAGGAGTCAGGCATCGTCACCTTTTGAAGCAATGAACTCCGCGTGCCTCTCGAGGTGTCAGCGGGATGTGAGGCATTCCGTCAAAATGAGGCAGGGACCTAGGGCTTTCTCTAAGGTCTCCACAGGGGATTCAGACATCCCTTCATGTTGTGAGATGAAAGACGAGCCTGTATTCAAGCCACTGCAAGGAAATCCGGCCTCCTTTCAAGTTAGGGCTTCTCGCTGTATATTCCCCTTGAGGCAGCAAACTCGGGGTCCCTCCCACATACCTATGGCTGAGAGAATCCTCCTCCTGAGGTGCTTCTGGGAAGTTGGCATACGTCTTGAGCCTAAGCCAGGGAATCAGCTCGCATCTCGAGACGATTTGGGGTACACGGAGCATTCCTCGAGTTGCTGTGCTGAAGTTGGTGTTCCTCTAGACTTGGGACAGTGTTCTCGGGGCATCTCTGGAGTTGCCTGAAGGAAGTCGAGCCACCGGTCGTGTTGAATGGGGAACGGGGAATGGCTCTGGAGTCAATGCAGGGGAATCGGGCCTCATCTCGAGTTGATTTGGGGCACATGGAGCTGCTTTGCGTTGCTGGGGTGACCTCAGGGTCCGTCTAGACTGGTGACAGTGTTCTTGGGGACTGTCTCGAGATCCATTAAGCAAGTCGAAGCTCCTGACTTGTTTGAATGGGATCACTGAATAGCTCTGCATGCACTGCAGGGGAATGGGGCCTCATCTCGCCTCTAGGGGGAAGTCTCATGGTTTTTCTCGAGTTGCGGCGGGGACCTGGGGTATGTTCTCGACTTACGGCGGGGATGGCCCTTCAAAACACGAGTTTCTTCAGTGACGTCAGGACTCCTGTCTAGTAACGAGGGACACCTCAGGAATCTCTTCGAGGCTTGGCAGGGCCAAAGGGACGCTTCTCGAGGTGAGGCAGGGCACCCAAGGACCCTTTCCAGTAGCCACAGGGATTTTGGGATTCCTATCAGTATTCAAGAGGAGTCAGGCATCGTCACCTTTTGAAGCAATGAACTCCGCGTGCCTCTCGAGGTGTCAGCGGGATGTGAGGCATTCCGTCAAAATGAGGCAGGGACCTAGGGCTTTCTCTAAGGTCTCCACAGGGGATTCAGACATCCCTTCATGTTGTGAGATGAAAGACGAGCCTGTATTCAAGCCACTGCAAGGAAATCCGGCCTCCTTTCAAGTTAGGGCTTCTCGCTGTATATTCCCCTTGAGGCAGAAAACTCGGGGTCCCTCCCACATAACTATGGCTGAGAGAAGCCTCCTCCTGAGGTGCTTCTGGGAAGTTGGCATACGTCTTGAGCCTAAGCCAGGGAATCAGCTCTCATCTCGAGACGATTTGGGGTACACGGAGCATTCCTCGAGTTGCTGTGCTGAAGTTGGTGTTCCTCTAGACTTGGGACAGTGTTCTCGGGGCATCTCTGGAGTTGCCTGAAGGAAGTCGAGCCACCGGTCGTGTTGAATGGGGAACGGGGAATGGCTCTGGAGTCAATGCAGGGGAATCGGGCCTCATCTCGAGTTGATTTGGGGCACATGGAGCTGCTTTGCGTTGCTGGGGTGACCTCAGGGTCCGTCTAGACTGGTGACAGTGTTCTTGGGGACTGTCTCGAGATCCATTAAGCAAGTCGAAGCTCCTGACTTGTTTGAATGGGATCACGGAATAGCTCTGCATGCACTGCAGGGGAATGGGGCCTCATCTCGCCTCTAGGGGGAAGTCTCATGGTTTTTCTCGAGTTGCGGCGGGGACCTGGGGTATGTTCTCGACTTACGGCGGGGATGGCCCTTCAAAACACGAGTTTCTTCAGTGACGTCAGGACTCCTGTCTAGTAACGAGGGACACCTCAGGAATCTCTTCGAGGCTTGGCAGGGCCAAAGGGACGCTTCTCGAGGTGAGGCAGGGCACCCAAGGACCCTTTCCAGTAGCCACAGGGATTTTGGGATTCCTATCAGTATTCAAGAGGAGTCAGACATCGTCACCTTTTGAAGCAATGAACTCCGCGTGCCTCTCGAGGTGTCAGCGGGATGTGAGGCATTCCGTCAAAATGAGGCAGGGACCTAGGGCTTTCTCTAAGGTCTCCACAGGGGATTCAGACATCCCTTCATGTTGTGAGATGAAAGACGAGCCTGTATTCAAGCCACTGCAAGGAAATCCGGCCTCCTTTCAAGTTAGGGCTTCTCGCTGTATATTCCCCTTGAGGCAGCAAACTCGGGGTCCCTCCCACATTCCTATGGCTGAGAGAAGCCTCCTCCTGAGGTGCTTCTGGGAAGTTGGCATACGTCTTGAGCCTAAGCCAGGGAATCAGCTCTCATCTCGAGACGATTTGGGGTACACGGAGCATTCCTCGAGTTGCTGTGCTGAAGTTGGTGTTCCTCTAGACTTGGGACAGTGTTCTCGGGGCATCTCTGGAGTTGCCTGAAGGAAGTCGAGCCACCGGTCGTGTTGAATGGGGAACGGGGAATGGCTCTGGAGTCAATGCAGGGGAATCGGGCCTCATCTCGAGTTGATTTGGGGCACATGGAGCGGCTTTGCGTTGCTGGGGTGACCTCAGGGTCCGTCTAGACTGGTGACAGTGTTCTTGGGGACTGTCTCGAGATCCATTAAGCAAGTCGAAGCTCCTGACTTGTTTGAATGGGATCACGGAATAGCTCTGCATGCACTGCAGGGGAATGGGGCCTCATCTCGCCTCTAGGGGGAAATCTCATGGTTTTTCTCGAGTTGCGGCGGGGACCTGGGGTATGTTCTCGACTTACGGCGGGGATGGCCCTTCAAGACACGAGTTTCTTCAGTGACGTCAGGACTCCTGTCTAGTAACGAGGGACACCTCAGGAATCTCTTCGAGGCTTGGCAGGGCCAAAGGGACGCTTCTCGAGTTGAGGCAGGGCACCCAAGGACCCTTTCCAGTAGCCACAGGGATTTTGGGATTCCTATCAGTATTCAAGAGGAGTCAGGCATCGTCACCTTTTGAAGCAATGAACTCCGCGTGCCTCTCGAGGTGTCAGCGGGATGTGAGGCATTCCGTCAAAATGAGGCAGGGACCTAGGGCTTTCTCTAAGGTCTCCACAGGGGATTCAGACATCCCTTCATGTTGTGAGATGAAAGACGAGCCTGTATTCAAGCCACTGCAAGGAAATCCGGCCTCCTTTCAAGTTAGGGCTTCTCGCTGTATATTCCCCTTGAGGCAGCAAACTCGGGGTCCCTCCCACATACCTATGGCTGAGAGAATCCTCCTCCTGAGGTGCTTCTGGGAAGTTGGCATACGTCTTGAGCCTAAGCCAGGGAATCAGCTCGCATCTCGAGACGATTTGGGGTACACGGAGCATTCCTCGAGTTGCTGTGCTGAAGTTGGTGTTCCTCTAGACTTGGGACAGTGTTCTCGGGGCATCTCTGGAGTTGCCTGAAGGAAGTCGAGCCACCGGTCGTGTTGAATGGGGAACGGGGAATGGCTCTGGAGTCAATGCAGGGGAATCGGGCCTCATCTCGAGTTGATTTGGGGCACATGGAGCTGCTTTGCGTTGCTGGGGTGACCTCAGGGTCCGTCTAGACTGGTGACAGTGTTCTTGGGGACTGTCTCGAGATCCATTAAGCAAGTCGAAGCTCCTGACTTGTTTGAATGGGATCACTGAATAGCTCTGCATGCACTGCAGGGGAATGGGGCCTCATCTCGCCTCTAGGGGGAAGTCTCATGGTTTTTCTCGAGTTGCGGCGGGGACCTGGGGTATGTTCTCGACTTACGGCGGGGATGGCCCTTCAAGACACGAGTTTCTTCAGTGACGTCAGGACTCCTGTCTAGTAACGAGGGACACCTCAGGAATCTCTTCGAGGCTTGGCAGGGCCAAAGGGACGCTTCTCGAGGTGAGGCAGGGCACCCAAGGACCCTTTCCAGTAGCCACAGGGATTTTGGGATTCCTATCAGTATTCAAGAGGAGTCAGGCATCGTCACCTTTTGAAGCAATGAACTCCGCGTGCCTCTCGAGGTGTCAGCGCGATGTGAGGCATTCCGTCAAAATGAGGCAGGGACCTAGGGCTTTCTCTAAGGTCTCCACAGGGGATTCAGACATCCCTTCATGTTGTGAGATGAAAGACGAGCCTGTATTCAAGCCACTGCAAGGAAATCCGGCCTCCTTTCAAGTTAGGGCTTCTCGCTGTATATTCCCCTTGAGGCAGCAAACTCGGGGTCCCTCCCACATACCTATTGCTGAGAGAACCTTCCCCTGAGGTGCTTCTGGGAAGTTGGCATACGTCTTGAGCCTAAGCCAGGGAATCAGCTCGCATCTCGAGACGATTTGGGGTACACGGAGCATTCCTCGAGTTGCTGTGCTGAAGTTGGTGTTCCTCTAGACTTGGGACAGTGTTCTCGGGGCATCTCTGGAGTTGCCTGAAGGAAGTCGAGCCACCGGTCGTGTTGAATGGGGAACGGGGAATGGCTCTGGAGTCAATGCAGGGGAATCGGGCCTCATCTCGAGTTGATTTGGGGCACATGGAGCTGCTTTGCGTTGCTGGGGTGACCTCAGGGTCCGTCTAGACTGGTGACAGTGTTCTTGGGGACTGTCTCGAGATCCATTAAGCAAGTCGAAGCTCCTGACTTGTTTGAATGGGATCACGGAATAGCTCTGCATGCACTGCAGGGGAATGGGGCCTCATCTCGCCTCTAGGGGGAAGTCTCATGGTTTTTCTCGAGTTGCGGCGGGGACCTGGGGTATGTTCTCGACTTACGGCGGGGATGGCCCTTCAAAACACGAGTTTCTTCAGTGACGTCAGGACTCCTGTCTAGTAACGAGGGACACCTCAGGAATCTCTTCGAGGCTTGGCAGGGCCAAAGGGACGCTTCTCGAGGTGAGGCAGGGCACCCAAGGACCCTTTCCAGTAGCCACAGGGATTTTGGGATTCCTATCAGTATTCAAGAGGAGTCAGGCATCGTCACCTTTTGAAGCAATGAACTCCGCGTGCCTCTCGAGGTGTCAGCGGGATGTGAGGCATTCCGTCAAAATGAGGCAGGGACCTAGGGCTTTCTCTAAAGTCTCCACAGGGGATTCAGACATCCCTTCATGTTGTGAGATGAAAGACGAGCCTGTATTCAAGCCACTGCAAGGAAATCCGGCCTCCTTTCAAGTTAGGGCTTCTCGCTGTATATTCCCCTTGAGGCAGCAAACTCGGGGTCCCTCCCACATAACTATTGCTGAGAGAAGCCTCCTCCTGAGGTGCTTCTGGGAAGTTGGCATACGTCTTGAGCCTAAGCCAGGGAATCAGCTCGCATCTCGAGACGATTTGGGGTACACGGAGCATTCCTCGAGTTGCTGGGCTGAAGTTGGTGTTCCTCTAGACTTGGGACAGTGTTCTCGGGGCATCTCTGGAGTTGCCTGAAGGAAGTCGAGCCACCGGTCGTGTTGAATGGGGAACCGGGAATGGCTCTGGAGTCAATGCAGGGGAATCGGGCCTCATCTCGAGTTGATTTGGGGCACATGGAGCTGCTTTGCGTTGCTGGGGTGACCTCAGGGTCCGTCTAGACTGGTGACAGTGTTCTTGGGGACTGTCTCGAGATCCATTAAGCAAGTCGAAGCTCCTGACTTGTTTGAATGGGATCACGGAATAGCTCTGCATGCACTGCAGGGGAATGGGGCCTCATCTCGCCTCTAGGGGGAAGTCTCATGGTTTTTCTCGAGTTGCGGCGGGGACCAGGGGTATGTTCTCGACTTACGGCGGGGATGGCCCTTCAAAACACGAGTTTCTTCAGTGACGTCAGGACTCCTGTCTAGTAACGAGGGACACCTCAGGAATCTCTTCGAGGCTTGGCAGGGCCAAAGGGACGCTTCTCGAGGTGAGGCAGGGCACCCAAGGACCCTTTCCAGTAGCCACAGGGATTTTGGGATTCCTATCAGTATTCAAGAGGAGTCAGGCATCGTCACCTTTTGAAGCAATGAACTCCGCGTGCCTCTCGAGGTGTCAGCGGGATGTGAGGCATTCCGTCAAAATGAGGCAGGGACCTAGGGCTTTCTCTAAGGTCTCCACAGGGGATTCAGACATCCCTTCATGTTGTGAGATGAAAGACGAGCCTGTATTCAAGCCACTGCAAGGAAATTCGGCCTCCTTTCAAGTTAGGGCTTCTCGCTGTATATTGCCCTTGAGGCAGCAAACTCGGGGTCCCTCCCACATACCTATTGCTGAGAGAAGCCCCCTCCTGAGGTGCTTCTGGGAAGTTGGCATACGTCTTGAGCCTAAGCCAGGGAATCAGCTCGCATCTCGAGACGATTTGGGGTACACGGAGCATTCCTCGAGTTGCTGTGCTGAAGTTGGTGTTCCTCTAGACTTGGGACAGTGTTCTCGGGGCATCTCTGGAGTTGCCTGAAGGAAGTCGATCCACCGGTCGTGTTGAATGGGGAACGGGGAATGGCTCTGGAGTCAATGCAGGGGAATCGGGCCTCATCTCGAGTTGATTTGGGGCACATGGAGCTGCTTTGCGTTGCTGGGGTGACCTCAGGGTCCGTCTAGACTGGTGACAGTGTTCCTGGGGACTGTCTCGAGATCCATTAAGCAAGTCGAAGCTCCTGACTTGTTTGAATGGGATCACGGAATAGCTCTGCATGCACTGCAGGGGAATGGGGCCTCATCTCGCCTCTAGGGGGAAGTCTCATGGTTTTTCTCGAGTTGCGGCGGGGACCTGGGGTATGTTCTCGACTTACGGCGGGGATGGCCCTTCAAAACACGAGTTTCTTCAGTGACGTCAGGACTCCTGTCTAGTAACGAGGGACACCTCAGGAATCTCTTCGAGGCTTGGCAGGGCCAAAGGGACGCTTCTCGAGGTGAGGCAGGGCACCCAAGGACCCTTTCCAGTAGCCACAGGGATTTTGGGATTCCTATCAGTATTCAAGAGGAGTCAGGCATCGTCACCTTTTGAAGCAATGAACTCCGCGTGACTCTCGAGGTGTCAGCGGGATGTGAGGCATTCCGTCAAAATGAGGCAGGGACCTAGGGCTTTCTCTAAGGTCTCCACAGGGGATTCAGACATCCCTTCATGTTGTGAGATGAAAGACGAGCCTGTATTCAAGCCACTGCAAGGAAATCCGGCCTCCTTTCAAGTTAGGGCTTCTGGCTCTATATTCCCCTTGAGGCAGCAAACTCGGGGTCCCTCCCACATACCTATTGCTGAGAGAAGCCTCCTCCTGAGGTGCTTCTGGGAAGTTGGCATACGTCTTGAGCCTAAGCCAGGGAATCAGCTCTCATCTCGAGACGATTTGGGGTACACGGAGCATTCCTCGAGTTGCTGTGCTGAAGTTGGTGTTCCTCTAGACTTGGGACAGTGTTCTCGGGGCATCTCTGGAGTTGCCTGAAGGAAGTCGAGCCACCGGTCGTGTTGAATGGGGAACGGGGAATGGCTCTGGAGTCAATGCAGGGGAATCGGGCCTCATCTCGAGTTGATTTGGGGCACATGGAGCTGCTTTGCGTTGCTGGGGTGACCTCAGGGTCCGTCTAGACTGGTGACAGTGTTCTTGGGGACTGTCTCGAGATCCATTAAGCAAGTCGAAGCTCCTGACTTGTTTGAATGGGGTCACGGAATAGCTCTGCATGCACTGCAGGGGAATGGGGCCTCATCTCGCCTCTAGGGGGAAGTCTCATGGTTTTTCTCGAGTTGCGGCGGGGACCTGGGGTATGTTCTCGACTTACGGCGGGGAGGGCCCTTCAAAACACGAGTTTCTTAAGTGACATCAGGACTCCTGTCTAGTAACGAGGGACACCTCAGGAATCTCTTCGAGGCTTGGCAGGGCCAAAGGGACGCTTCTCGAGGTGAGGCAGGGCACCCAAGGACCCTTTCCAGTAGCCACAGGGATTTTGGGATTCCTATCAGTATTCAAGAGGAGTCAGGCATCGTCACCTTTTGAAGCAATGAACTCCGCGTGCCTCTCGAGGTGTCAGCGGGATGTGAGGCATTCCGTCAAAATGAGGCAGGGACCTAGGGCTTTCTCTAAGGTCTCCACAGGGGATTCAGACACCCCTTCATGTTGTGAGATGAAAGACGATCCTGTATTCAAGCCACTGCAAGGAAATCCGGCCTCCTTTCTAGTTAGGGCTTCTCGCTGTATATTCCCCTTGAGGCAGCAAACTCGGGGTCCCTCCCACATACCTATTGCTGAGAGAAGCCTCCTCCTGAGGTGCTTCTGGGAAGTTGGCATACGTCTTGAGCCTAAGCCAGGGAATCAGCTCGCATCTCGAGACGACTTGGGGTACACGGAGCATTCCTCGAGTTGCTGTGCTGAAGTTGGTGTTCCTCTAGACTTGGGACAGTGTTCTCGGGGCATCTCTGGAGTTGCCTGAAGGAAGTCGAGACACCGGTCGTGTTGAATGGGGAACGGGGAATGGCTCTGGAGTCAATGCAGGGGAATCGGGCCTCATCTCGAGTTGATTTGGGGCACATGGATCTGCTTTGCGTTGCTGGGGTGACCTCAGGGTCCGTCTAGACTGGTGACAGTGTTCTTGGGGACTGTCTCGAGATCCATTAAGCAAGTCGAAGCTCCTGACTTGTTTGAATGGGGTCACGGAATAGCTCTGCATGCACTGCAGGGGAATGGGGCCTCATCTCGCCTCTAGGGGGAAGTCTCATGGTTTTTCTCGAGTTGCGGCGGGGACCTGGGGTATGTTCTCGACTTACGGCGGGGATGGCCCTTCAAAACACGAGTTTCTTCAGTGACGTCAGGACTCCTGTCTAGTAACGAGGGACACCTCAGGAATCTCTTCGAGGCTTGGCAGGGCCAAAGGGACGCTTCTCGAGGTGAGGCAGGGCACCCAAGGACCCTTTCCAGTAGCCACAGGGATTTTGGGATTCCTATCAGTATTCAAGAGGAGTCAGGCATCGTCACCTTTTGAAGCAATGAACTCCGCGTGCCTCTCGAGGTGTCAGCGGGATGTGAGGCATTCCGTCAAAATGAGGCAGGGACCTAGGGCTTTCTCTAAGGTCTCCACAGGGGATTCAGACATCCCTTCATGTTGTGAGATGAAAGACGAGCCTGTATTCAAGCCACTGCAAGGAAATCCGGCCTCCTTTCAAGTTAGGGCTTCTCGCTGTATATTCCCCTTGAGGCAGCAAACTCGGGGTCCCTCCCACATACCTATTGCTGAGAGAAGCCTCCTCCTGAGGTGCTTCTGGGAAGTTGGCATACGTCTTGAGCCTAAGCCAGGGAATCAGCTCGCATCTCGAGACGATTTGGGGTACACGGAGCATTCCTCGAGTTGCTGGGCTGAAGTTGGTGTTCCTCTAGACTTGGGACACTGTTCTCGGGGCATCTCTGGAGTTGCCTGAAGGAAGTCGTGCCACCGGTCGTGTTGAATGGGGAACGGGGAATGGCTCTGGAGTCAGTGCAGGGGAATCGGGCCTCATCTCGAGTTGATTTGGGGCACATGGAGCTGCTTTGCGTTGCTGGGGTGACCTCAGGGTCCGTCTAGACTGGTGACAGTGTTCTTGGGGACTGTCTCGAGATCCATTAAGCAAGTCGAAGCTCCTGACTTGTTTGAATGGGGTCACGGAATAGCTCTGCATGCACTGCAGGGGAATGGGGCCTCATCTCGCCTCTAGGGGGAAGTCTCATGGTTTTTCTCGAGTTGCGGCGGGGACCTGGGGTATGTTCTCGACTTACGGCGGGGATGGCCCTTCAAAACACGAGTTTCTTCAGTGACGTCAGGACTCCTGTCTAGTAACGAGGGACACCTCAGGAATCTCTTCGAGGCTTGGCAGGGCCAAAGGGACGCTTCTCGAGGTGAGGCAGGGCACCCAAGGACCCTTTCCAGTAGCCACAGGGATTTTGGGATTCCTATCAGTATTCAAGAGGAGTCAGGCATCGTCACCTTTTGAAGCAATGAACTCCGCGTGCCTCTCGAGGTGTCAGCGGGATGTGAGGCATTCCGTCAAAATGAGGCAGGGACCTAGGGCTTTCTCTAAGGTCTCCACAGGGGATTCAGACATCCCTTCATGTTGTGAGATGAAAGACGAGCCTGTATTCAAGCCACTGCAAGGAAATCCGGCCTCCTTTCAAGTTAGGGCTTCTCGCTGTATATTCCCCTTGAGGCAGCAAACTCGGGGTCCCTCCCACATACCTATTGCTGAGAGAAGCCTCCTCCTGAGGTGCTTCTGGGAAGTTGGCATACGTCTTGAGCCTAAGCCAGGGAATCAGCTCGCATCTCGAGACGATTTGGGGTACACGGAGCATTCCTCGAGTTGCTGGGCTGAAGTTGGTGTTCCTCTAGACTTGGGACACTGTTCTCGGGGCATCTCTGGAGTTGCCTGAAGGAAGTCGAGCCACCGGTCGTGTTGAATGGGGAACGGGGAATGGCTCTGGAGTCAGTGCAGGGGAATCGGGCCTCATCTCGAGTTGATTTGGGGCACATGGAGCTGCTTTGCGTTGCTGGGGTGACCTCAGGGTCCGTCTAGACTGGTGACAGTGTTCTTGGGGACTGTCTCGAGATCCATTAAGCAAGTCGAAGCTCCTGACTTGTTTGAATGGGGTCACGGAATAGCTCTGCATGCACTGCAGGGGAATGGGGCCTCATCTCGCCTCTAGGGGGAAGTCTCATGGTTTTTCTCGAGTTGCGGCGGGGACCTGGGGTATGTTCTCGACTTACGGCGGGGATGGCCCTTCAAAACACGAGTTTCTTCAGTGACGTCAGGACTCCTGTCTAGTAACGAGGGACACCTCAGGAATCTCTTCGAGGCTTGGCAGGGCCAAAGGGACGCTTCTCGAGGTGAGGCAGGGCACCCAAGGACCCTTTCCAGTAGCCACAGGGATTTTGGGATTCCTATCAGTATTCAAGAGGAGTCAGGCATCGTCACCTTTTGAAGCAATGAACTCCGCGTGACTCTCGAGGTGTCAGCGGGATGTGAGGCATTCCGTCAAAATGAGGCAGGGACCTAGGGCTTTCTCTAAGGTCTCCACAGGGGATTCAGACATCCCTTCATGTTGTGAGATGAAAGACGAGCCTGTATTCAAGCCACTGCAAGGAAATCCGGCCTCCTTTCAAGTTAGGGCTTCTCGCTGTATATTGCCCTTGAGGCAGCAAACTCGGGGTCCCTCCCACATACCTATTGCTGAGAGAAGCCTCCTCCTGAGGTGCTTCTGGGAAGTTGGCATACGTCTTGAGCCTAAGCCAGGGAATCAGCTCGCATCTCGAGACGATTTGGGGTACACGGAGCATTCCTCGAGTTGCTGGGCTGAAGTTGGTGTTCCTCTAGACTTGGGACAGTGTTCTCGGGGCATCTCTGGAGTTGCCTGAAGGAAGTCGAGCCACCGGTCGTGTTGAATGGGGAACGGGGAATGGCTCTGGAGTCAATGCAGGGGAATCGGGCCTCATCTCGAGTTGATTTGGGGCACATGGAGCTGCTTTGCGTTGCTGGGGTGACCTCAGGGTCCGTCTAGACTGGTGACAGTGTTCTTGGGGACTGTCTCGAGATCCATTAAGCAAGTCGAAGCTCCTGACTTGTTTGAATGGGATCACGGAATAGCTCTGCATGCACTGCAGGGGAATGGGGCCTCATCTCGCCTCTAGGGGGAAGTCTCATGGTTTTTCTCGAGTTGCGGCGGGGACCTGGGGTATGTTCTCGACTTACGGCGGGGATGGCCCTTCAAAACACGAGTTTCTTCAGTGACGTCAGGACTCCTGTCTAGTAACGAGGGACACGTCAGGAATCTCTTCGAGGCTTGGCAGGGTCAAAGGGACGCTTCTCGAGGTGAGGCAGGGCACCCAAGGACCCTTTCCAGTAGCCACAGGGATTTTGGGATTCCTATCAGTATTCAAGAGGAGTCAGGCATCCTCACCTTTTGAAGCAATGAACTCCGCGTGCCTCTCGAGGTGTCAGCGGGATGTGAGGCATTCCGTCAAAATGAGGCAGGGACCTAGGGCTTTCTCTAAGGTCTCCACAGGGGATTCAGACATCCCTTCATGTTGTGAGATGAAAAACGAGCCTGTATTCAAGCCACTGCAAGGAAATCCAGCCTCCTTTCAAGTTAGGGCTTCTCGCTGTATATTCCCCTTGAGGCAGCAAACTCGGGGTCCCTCCCACATAACTATTGCTGAGAGAAGCCTCCTCCTGAGGTGCTTCTGGGAAGTTGGCATACGTCTTGAGCCTAAGCCAGGGAATCAGCTCGCATCTCGAGACGACTTGGGGTACACGGAGCATTCCTCGAGTTGCTGTGCTGAAGTTGGTGTTCCTCTATACTTGGGACAGTGTTCTCGGGGCATCTCTGGAGTTGCCTGAAGGAAGTCGAGCCACCGGTCGTGTTGAATGGGGAACGGGGAATGGCTCTGGAGTCAATGCAGGGGAATCGGGCCTCATCTCGAGTTGATTTGGGGCACATGGAGCTGCTTTGCGTTGCTGGGGTGACCTCAGGGTCCGTCTAGACTGGTGACAGTGTTCTTGGGGACTGTCTCGAGATCCATTAAGCAAGTCGAAGCTCCTGACTTGTTTGAATGGGATCACGGAATAGCTCTGCATGCACTGCAGTGGAATGGGGCCTCATCTCGCCTCTAGGGGGAAGTCTCATGGTTTTTCTCGAGTTGCGGCGGGGACCTGGGGTATGTTCTCGACTTACGGCGGGGATGGCCCTTCAAAACACGAGTTTCTTCAGTGACGTCAGGACTCCTGTCTAGTAACGAGGGACACCTCAGGAATCTCTTCGAGGCTTGGCAGGGCCAAAGGGACGCTTCTCGAGGTGAGGCAGGGCACCCAAGGACCCTTTCCAGTAGCCACAGGGATTTTGGGATTCCTATCAGTATTCAAGAGGAGTCAGGCATCGTCACCTTTTGAAGCAATGAACTCCGCGTGACTCTCGAGGTGTCAGCGGGATGTGAGGCATTCCGTCAAAATGAGGCAGGGACCTAGGGCTTTCTCTAAGGTCTCCACAGGGGATTCAGACATCCCTTCATGTTGTGAGATGAAAGACGAGCCTGTATTCAAGCCACTGCAAGGAAATCCGGCCTCCTTTCAAGTTAGGGCTTCTCGCTGTATATTGCCCTTGAGGCAGCAAACTCGGGGTCCCTCCCACATACCTATTGCTGAGAGAAGCCTCCTCCTGAGGTGCTTCTGGGAAGTTGGCATACGTCTTGAGCCTAAGCCAGGGAATCAGCTCGCATCTCGAGACGATTTGGGGTACACGGAGCATTCCTCGAGTTGCTGTGCTGAAGTTGGTGTTCCTCTAGACTTGGGACAGTGTTCTCGGGGCATCTCTGGAGTTGCCTGAAGGAAGTCGAGCCACCGGTCGTGTTGAATGGGGAACGGGGAATGGCTCTGGAGTCAATGCAGGGGAATCGGGCCTCATCTCGAGTTGATTTGGGGCACATGGAGCTGCTTTGCGTTGCTGGGGTGACCTCAGGGTCCGTCTAGACTGGTGACAGTGTTCTTGGGGACTGTCTCGAGATCCATTAAGCAAGTCGAAGCTCCTGACTTGTTTGAATGGGATCACGGAATAGCTCTGCATGCACTGCAGTGGAATGGGGCCTCATCTCGCCTCTAGGGGGAAGTCTCATGGTTTTTCTCGAGTTGCGGCGGGGACCTGGGGTATGTTCTCGACTTACGGCGGGGATGGCCCTTCAAAACACGAGTTTCTTCAGTGACGTCAGGACTCCTGTCTAGTAACGAGGGACACCTCAGGAATCTCTTCGAGGCTTGGCAGGGCCAAAGGGACGCTTCTCGAGGTGAGGCAGGGCACCCAAGGACCCTTTCCAGTAGCCACAGGGATTTTGGGATTCCTATCAGTATTCAAGAGGAGTCAGGCATCGTCACCTTTTGAAGCAATGAACTCCGCGTGCCTCTCGAGGTGTCAGCGGGATGTGAGGCATTCCGTCAAAATGAGGCAGGGACCTAGGGCTTTCTCTAAGGTCTCCACAGGGGATTCAGACATCCCTTCATGTTGTGAGATGAAAGACGAGCCTGTATTCAAGCCACTGCAAGGAAATCCGGCCTCCTTTCAAGTTAGGGCTTCTCGCTGTATATTCCCCTTGAGGCAGCAAACTCGGGGTCCCTCCCACATACCTATTGCTGAGAGAAGCCTCCTCCTGAGGTGCTTCTGGGAAGTTGGCATACGTCTTGAGCCTAAGCCAGGGAATCAGCTCGCATCTCGAGACGATTTGGGGTACACGGAGCATTCCTCGAGTTGCTGGGCTGAAGTTGGTGTTCCTCTAGACTTGGGACACTGTTCTCGGGGCATCTCTGGAGTTGCCTGAAGGAAGTCGTGCCACCGGTCGTGTTGAATGGGGAACGGGGAATGGCTCTGGAGTCAGTGCAGGGGAATCGGGCCTCATCTCGAGTTGATTTGGGGCACATGGAGCTGCTTTGCGTTGCTGGGGTGACCTCAGGGTCCGTCTAGACTGGTGACAGTGTTCTTGGGGACTGTCTCGAGATCCATTAAGCAAGTCGAAGCTCCTGACTTGTTTGAATGGGGTCACGGAATAGCTCTGCATGCACTGCAGGGGAATGGGGCCTCATCTCGCCTCTAGGGGGAAGTCTCATGGTTTTTCTCGAGTTGCGGCGGGGACCTGGGGTATGTTCTCGACTTACGGCGGGGATGGCCCTTCAAAACACGAGTTTCTTCAGTGACGTCAGGACTCCTGTCTAGTAACGAGGGACACCTCAGGAATCTCTTCGAGGCTTGGCAGGGCCAAAGGGACGCTTCTCGAGGTGAGGCAGGGCACCCAAGGACCCTTTCCAGTAGCCACAGGGATTTTGGGATTCCTATCAGTATTCAAGAGGAGTCAGGCATCGTCACCTTTTGAAGCAATGAACTCCGCGTGCCTCTCGAGGTGTCAGCGGGATGTGAGGCATTCCGTCAAAATGAGGCAGGGACCTAGGGCTTTCTCTAAGGTCTCCACAGGGGATTCAGACATCCCTTCATGTTGTGAGATGAAAGACGAGCCTGTATTCAAGCCACTGCAAGGAAATCCGGCCTCCTTTCAAGTTAGGGCTTCTCGCTGTATATTCCCCTTGAGGCAGCAAACTCGGGGTCCCTCCCACATACCTATTGCTGAGAGAAGCCTCCTCCTGAGGTGCTTCTGGGAAGTTGGCATACGTCTTGAGCCTAAGCCAGGGAATCAGCTCGCATCTCGAGACGATTTGGGGAACACGGAGCATTCCTCGAGTTGCTGTGCTGAAGTTGGTGTTCCTCTAGACTTGGGACAGTGTTCTCGGGGCATCTCTGGAGTTGCCTGAAGGAAGTCGAGCCACCGGTCGTGTTGAATGGGGAACGGGGAATGGCTCTGGAGTCAATGCAGGGGAATCGGGCCTCATCTCGTGTTGATTTGGGGCACATGGAGCTGCTTTGCGTTGCTGGGGTGACCTCAGGGTCCGTCTAGACTGGTGACAGTGTTCTTGGGGACTGTCTCGAGATCCATTAAGCAAGTCGAATCTCCTGACTTGTTTGAATGGGATCACGGAATAGCTCTGCATGCACTGCAGTGGAATGGGGCCTCATCTCGCCTCTAGGGGGAAGTCTCATGGTTTTTCTCGAGTTGCGGCGGGGACCTGGGGTATGTTCTCGACTTACGGCGGGGATGGCCCTTCAAAACACGAGTTTCTTCAGTGACGTCAGGACTCCTGTCTAGTAACGAGGGACACCTCAGGAATCTCTTCGAGGCTTGGCAGGGCCAAAGGGACGCTTCTCGAGGTGAGGCAGGGCACCCAAGGACCCTTTCCAGTAGCCACAGGGATTTTGGGATTCCTATCAGTATTCAAGAGGAGTCAGGCATCGTCACCTTTTGAAGCAATGAACTCCGCGTGCCTCTCGAGGTGTCAGCGGGATGTGAGGCATTCCGTCAAAATGAGGCAGGGACCTAGGGCTTTCTCTAAGGTCTCCACAGGGGATTCAGACATCCCTTCATGTTGTGAGATGAAAGACGAGCCTGTATTCAAGCCACTGCAAGGAAATTCGGCCTCCTTTCAAGTTAGGGCTTCTCGCTGTATATTGCCCTTGAGGCAGCAAACTCGGGGTCCCTCCCACATACCTATTGCTGAGAGAAGCCCCCTCCTGAGGTGCTTCTGGGAAGTTGGCATACGTCTTGAGCCTAAGCCAGGGAATCAGCTCGCATCTCGAGACGATTTGGGGTACACGGAGCATTCCTCGAGTTGCTGTGCTGAAGTTGGTGTTCCTCTAGACTTGGGACAGTGTTCTCGGGGCATCTCTGGAGTTGCCTGAAGGAAGTCGAGCCACCGGTCGTGTTGAATGGGGAACGGGGAATGGCTCTGGAGTCAATGCAGGGGAATCGGGCCTCATCTCGAGTTGATTTGGGGCACATGGAGCTGCTTTGCGTTGCTGGGGTGACCTCAGGGTCCGTCTAGACTGGTGACAGTGTTCCTGGGGACTGTCTCGAGATCCATTAAGCAAGTCGAAGCTCCTGACTTGTTTGAATGGGATCACGGAATAGCTCTGCATGCACTGCAGGGGAATGGGGCCTCATCTCGCCTCTAGGGGGAAGTCTCATGGTTTTTCTCGAGTTGCGGCGGGGACCTGGGGTATGTTCTCGACTTACGGCCGGGATGGCCCTTCAAAACACGAGTTTCTTCAGTGACGTCAGGACTCCTGTCTAGTAACGAGGGACACCTCAGGAATCTCTTCGAGGCTTGGCAGGGCCAAAGGGACGCTTCTCGAGGTGAGGCAGGGCACCCAAGGACCCTTTCCAGTAGCCACAGGGATTTTGGGATTCCTATCAGTATTCAAGAGGAGTCAGGCATCGTCACCTTTTGAAGCAATGAACTCCGCGTGCCTCTCGAGGTGTCAGCGGGATGTGAGGCATTCCGTCAAAATGAGGCAGGGACCTAGGGCTTTCTCTAAGGTCTCCACAGGGGATTCAGACATCCCTTCATGTTGTGAGATGAAAGACGAGCCTGTATTCAAGCCACTGCAAGGAAATCCGGCCTCCTTTCAAGTTAGGGCTTCTGGCTCTATATTCCCCTTGAGGCAGCAAACTCGGGGTCCCTCCCACATACCTATTGCTGAGAGAAGCCTCCTCCTGAGGTGCTTCTGGGAAGTTGGCATACGTCTTGAGCCTAAGCCAGGGAATCAGCTCGCATCTCGAGACGATTTGGGGTACACGGAGCATTCCTCGAGTTGCTGTGCTGAAGTTGGTGTTCCTCTAGACTTGGGACAGTGTTCTCGGGGCATCTCTGGAGTTGCCTGAAGGAAGTCGAGCCACCGGTCGTGTTGAATGGGGAACGGGGAATGGCTCTGGAGTCAGTGCAGGGGAATCGGGCCTCATCTCGAGTTGATTTGGGGCACATGGAGCTGCTTTGCGTTGCTGGGGTGACCTCAGGGTCCGTCTAGACTGGTGACAGTGTTCTTGGGGACTGTCTCGAGATCCATTAAGCAAGTCGAAGCTCCTGACTTGTTTGAATGGGGTCACGGAATAGCTCTGCATGCACTGCAGGGGAATGGGGCCTCATCTCGCCTCTAGGGGGAAGTCTCATGGTTTTTCTCGAGTTGCGGCGGGGACCTGGGGTATGTTCTCGACTTACGGCGGGGATGGCCCTTCAAAACACGAGTTTCTTCAGTGACGTCAGGACTCCTGTCTAGTAACGAGGGACACCTCAGGAATCTCTTCGAGGCTTGGCAGGGCCAAAGGGACGCTTCTCGAGGTGAGGCAGGGCACCCAAGGACCCTTTCCAGTAGCCACAGGGATTTTGGGATTCCTATCAGTATTCAAGAGGAGTCAGGCATCGTCACCTTTTGAAGCAATGAACTCCGCGTGCCTCTCGAGGTGTCAGCGGGATGTGAGGCATTCCGTCAAAATGAGGCAGGGACCTAGGGCTTTCTCTAAGGTCTCCACAGGGGATTCAGACACCCCTTCATGTTGTGAGATGAAAGACGAGCCTGTATTCAAGCCACTGCAAGGAAATCCGGCCTCCTTTCAAGTTAGGGCTTCTCGCTGTATATTCCCCTTGAGGCAGCAAACTCGGGGTCCCTCCCACATACCTATTGCTGAGAGAAGCCTCCTCCTGAGGTGCTTCTGGGAAGTTGGCATACGTCTTGAGCCTAAGCCAGGGAATCAGCTCGCATCTCGAGACGATTTGGGGTACACGGAGCATTCCTCGAGTTGCTGGGCTGAAGTTGGTGTTCCTCTAGACTTGGGACACTGTTCTCGGGGCATCTCTGGAGTTGCCTGAAGGAAGTCGTGCCACCGGTCGTGTTGAATGGGGAACGGGGAATGGCTCTGGAGTCAGTGCAGGGGAATCGGGCCTCATCTCGAGTTGATTTGGGGCACATGGAGCTGCTTTGCGTTGCTGGGGTGACCTCAGGGTCCGTCTAGACTGGTGACAGTGTTCTTGGGGACTGTCTCGAGATCCATTAAGCAAGTCGAAGCTCCTGACTTGTTTGAATGGGGTCACGGAATAGCTCTGCATGCACTGCAGGGGAATGGGGCCTCATCTCGCCTCTAGGGGGAAGTCTCATGGTTTTTCTCGAGTTGCGGCGGGGACCTGGGGTATGTTCTCGACTTACGGCGGGGATGGCCCTTCAAAACACGAGTTTCTTCAGTGACGTCAGGACTCCTGTCTAGTAACGAGGGACACCTCAGGAATCTCTTCGAGGCTTGGCAGGGCCAAAGGGACGCTTCTCGAGGTGAGGCAGGGCACCCAAGGACCCTTTCCAGTAGCCACAGGGATTTTGGGATTCCTATCAGTATTCAAGAGGAGTCAGGCATCGTCACCTTTTGAAGCAATGAACTCCGCGTGCCTCTCGAGGTGTCAGCGGGATGTGAGGCATTCCGTCAAAATGAGGCAGGGACCTAGGGCTTTCTCTAAGGTCTCCACAGGGGATTCAGACATCCCTTCATGTTGTGAGATGAAAGACGAGCCTGTATTCAAGCCACTGCAAGGAAATCCGGCCTCCTTTCAAGTTAGGGCTTCTCGCTGTATATTCCCCTTGAGGCAGCAAACTCGGGGTCCCTCCCACATACCTATTGCTGAGAGAAGCCTCCTCCTGAGGTGCTTCTGGGAAGTTGGCATACGTCTTGAGCCTAAGCCAGGGAATCAGCTCGCATCTCGAGACGATTTGGGGTACACGGAGCATTCCTCGAGTTGCTGGGCTGAAGTTGGTGTTCCTCTAGACTTGGGACACTGTTCTCGGGGCATCTCTGGAGTTGCCTGAAGGAAGTCGAGCCACCGGTCGTGTTGAATGGGGAACGGGGAATGGCTCTGGAGTCAGTGCAGGGGAATCGGGCCTCATCTCGAGTTGATTTGGGGCACATGGAGCTGCTTTGCGTTGCTGGGGTGACCTCAGGGTCCGTCTAGACTGGTGACAGTGTTCTTGGGGACTGTCTCGAGATCCATTAAGCAAGTCGAAGCTCCTGACTTGTTTGAATGGGGTCACGGAATAGCTCTGCATGCACTGCAGGGGAATGGGGCCTCATCTCGCCTCTAGGGGGAAGTCTCATGGTTTTTCTCGAGTTGCGGCGGGGACCTGGGGTATGTTCTCGACTTACGGCGGGGATGGCCCTTCAAAACACGAGTTTCTTCAGTGACGTCAGGACTCCTGTCTAGTAACGAGGGACACCTCAGGAATCTCTTCGAGGCTTGGCAGGGCCAAAGGGACGCTTCTCGAGGTGAGGCAGGGCACCCAAGGACCCTTTCCAGTAGCCACAGGGATTTTGGGATTCCTATCAGTATTCAAGAGGAGTCAGGCATCGTCACCTTTTGAAGCAATGAACTCCGCGTGCCTCTCGAGGTGTCAGCGGGATGTGAGGCATTCCGTCAAAATGAGGCAGGGACCTAGGGCTTTCTCTAAGGTCTCCACAGGGGATTCAGACATCCCTTCATGTTGTGAGATGAAAGACGAGCCTGTATTCAAGCCACTGCAAGGAAATCCGGCCTCCTTTCAAGTTAGGGCTTCTCGCTGTATATTCCCCTTGAGGCAGCAAACTCGGGGTCCCTCCCACATACCTATTGCTGAGAGAAGCCTCCTCCTGAGGTGCTTCTGGGAAGTTGGCATACGTCTTGAGCCTAAGCCAGGGAATCAGCTCGCATCTCGAGACGATTTGGGGAACACGGAGCATTCCTCGAGTTGCTGTGCTGAAGTTGGTGTTCCTCTAGACTTGGGACAGTGTTCTCGGGGCATCTCTGGAGTTGCCTGAAGGAAGTCGAGCCACCGGTCGTGTTGAATGGGGAACGGGGAATGGCTCTGGAGTCAATGCAGGGGAATCGGGCCTCATCTCGTGTTGATTTGGGGCACATGGAGCTGCTTTGCGTTGCTGGGGTGACCTCAGGGTCCGTCTAGACTGGTGACAGTGTTCTTGGGGACTGTCTCGAGATCCATTAAGCAAGTCGAATCTCCTGACTTGTTTGAATGGGATCACGGAATAGCTCTGCATGCACTGCAGTGGAATGGGGCCTCATCTCGCCTCTAGGGGGAAGTCTCATGGTTTTTCTCGAGTTGCGGCGGGGACCTGGGGTATGTTCTCGACTTACGGCGGGGATGGCCCTTCAAAACACGAGTTTCTTCAGTGACGTCAGGACTCCTGTCTAGTAACGAGGGACACCTCAGGAATCTCTTCGAGGCTTGGCAGGGCCAAAGGGACGCTTCTCGAGGTGAGGCAGGGCACCCAAGGACCCTTTCCAGTAGCCACAGGGATTTTGGGATTCCTATCAGTATTCAAGAGGAGTCAGGCATCGTCACCTTTTGAAGCAATGAACTCCGCGTGCCTCTCGAGGTGTCAGCGGGATGTGAGGCATTCCGTCAAAATGAGGCAGGGACCTAGGGCTTTCTCTAAGGTCTCCACAGGGGATTCAGACATCCCTTCATGTTGTGAGATGAAAGACGAGCCTGTATTCAAGCCACTGCAAGGAAATTCGGCCTCCTTTCAAGTTAGGGCTTCTCGCTGTATATTGCCCTTGAGGCAGCAAACTCGGGGTCCCTCCCACATACCTATTGCTGAGAGAAGCCCCCTCCTGAGGTGCTTCTGGGAAGTTGGCATACGTCTTGAGCCTAAGCCAGGGAATCAGCTCGCATCTCGAGACGATTTGGGGTACACGGAGCATTCCTCGAGTTGCTGTGCTGAAGTTGGTGTTCCTCTAGACTTGGGACAGTGTTCTCGGGGCATCTCTGGAGTTGCCTGAAGGAAGTCGAGCCACCGGTCGTGTTGAATGGGGAACGGGGAATGGCTCTGGAGTCAATGCAGGGGAATCGGGCCTCATCTCGAGTTGATTTGGGGCACATGGAGCTGCTTTGCGTTGCTGGGGTGACCTCAGGGTCCGTCTAGACTGGTGACAGTGTTCCTGGGGACTGTCTCGAGATCCATTAAGCAAGTCGAAGCTCCTGACTTGTTTGAATGGGATCACGGAATAGCTCTGCATGCACTGCAGGGGAATGGGGCCTCATCTCGCCTCTAGGGGGAAGTCTCATGGTTTTTCTCGAGTTGCGGCGGGGACCTGGGGTATGTTCTCGACTTACGGCCGGGATGGCCCTTCAAAACACGAGTTTCTTCAGTGACGTCAGGACTCCTGTCTAGTAACGAGGGACACCTCAGGAATCTCTTCGAGGCTTGGCAGGGCCAAAGGGACGCTTCTCGAGGTGAGGCAGGGCACCCAAGGACCCTTTCCAGTAGCCACAGGGATTTTGGGATTCCTATCAGTATTCAAGAGGAGTCAGGCATCGTCACCTTTTGAAGCAATGAACTCCGCGTGCCTCTCGAGGTGTCAGCGGGATGTGAGGCATTCCGTCAAAATGAGGCAGGGACCTAGGGCTTTCTCTAAGGTCTCCACAGGGGATTCAGACATCCCTTCATGTTGTGAGATGAAAGACGAGCCTGTATTCAAGCCACTGCAAGGAAATCCGGCCTCCTTTCAAGTTAGGGCTTCTGGCTCTATATTCCCCTTGAGGCAGCAAACTCGGGGTCCCTCCCACATACCTATTGCTGAGAGAAGCCTCCTCCTGAGGTGCTTCTGGGAAGTTGGCATACGTCTTGAGCCTAAGCCAGGGAATCAGCTCGCATCTCGAGACGATTTGGGGTACACGGAGCATTCCTCGAGTTGCTGTGCTGAAGTTGGTGTTCCTCTAGACTTGGGACAGTGTTCTCGGGGCATCTCTGGAGTTGCCTGAAGGAAGTCGAGCCACCGGTCGTGTTGAATGGGGAACGGGGAATGGCTCTGGAGTCAGTGCAGGGGAATCGGGCCTCATCTCGAGTTGATTTGGGGCACATGGAGCTGCTTTGCGTTGCTGGGGTGACCTCAGGGTCCGTCTAGACTGGTGACAGTGTTCTTGGGGACTGTCTCGAGATCCATTAAGCAAGTCGAAGCTCCTGACTTGTTTGAATGGGGTCACGGAATAGCTCTGCATGCACTGCAGGGGAATGGGGCCTCATCTCGCCTCTAGGGGGAAGTCTCATGGTTTTTCTCGAGTTGCGGCGGGGACCTGGGGTATGTTCTCGACTTACGGCGGGGATGGCCCTTCAAAACACGAGTTTCTTCAGTGACGTCAGGACTCCTGTCTAGTAACGAGGGACACCTCAGGAATCTCTTCGAGGCTTGGCAGGGCCAAAGGGACGCTTCTCGAGGTGAGGCAGGGCACCCAAGGACCCTTTCCAGTAGCCACAGGGATTTTGGGATTCCTATCAGTATTCAAGAGGAGTCAGGCATCGTCACCTTTTGAAGCAATGAACTCCGCGTGCCTCTCGAGGTGTCAGCGGGATGTGAGGCATTCCGTCAAAATGAGGCAGGGACCTAGGGCTTTCTCTAAGGTCTCCACAGGGGATTCAGACACCCCTTCATGTTGTGAGATGAAAGACGAGCCTGTATTCAAGCCACTGCAAGGAAATCCGGCCTCCTTTCAAGTTAGGGCTTCTCGCTGTATATTCCCCTTGAGGCAGCAAACTCGGGGTCCCTCCCACATACCTATTGCTGAGAGAAGCCTCCTCCTGAGGTGCTTCTGGGAAGTTGGCATACGTCTTGAGCCTAAGCCAGGGAATCAGCTCGCATCTCGAGACGATTTGGGGTACACGGAGCATTCCTCGAGTTGCTGGGCTGAAGTTGGTGTTCCTCTAGACTTGGGACACTGTTCTCGGGGCATCTCTGGAGTTGCCTGAAGGAAGTCGTGCCACCGGTCGTGTTGAATGGGGAACGGGGAATGGCTCTGGAGTCAGTGCAGGGGAATCGGGCCTCATCTCGAGTTGATTTGGGGCACATGGAGCTGCTTTGCGTTGCTGGGGTGACCTCAGGGTCCGTCTAGACTGGTGACAGTGTTCTTGGGGACTGTCTCGAGATCCATTAAGCAAGTCGAAGCTCCTGACTTGTTTGAATGGGGTCACGGAATAGCTCTGCATGCACTGCAGGGGAATGGGGCCTCATCTCGCCTCTAGGGGGAAGTCTCATGGTTTTTCTCGAGTTGCGGCGGGGACCTGGGGTATGTTCTCGACTTACGGCGGGGATGGCCCTTCAAAACACGAGTTTCTTCAGTGACGTCAGGACTCCTGTCTAGTAACGAGGGACACCTCAGGAATCTCTTCGAGGCTTGGCAGGGCCAAAGGGACGCTTCTCGAGGTGAGGCAGGGCACCCAAGGACCCTTTCCAGTAGCCACAGGGATTTTGGGATTCCTATCAGTATTCAAGAGGAGTCAGGCATCGTCACCTTTTGAAGCAATGAACTCCGCGTGCCTCTCGAGGTGTCAGCGGGATGTGAGGCATTCCGTCAAAATGAGGCAGGGACCTAGGGCTTTCTCTAAGGTCTCCACAGGGGATTCAGACATCCCTTCATGTTGTGAGATGAAAGACGAGCCTGTATTCAAGCCACTGCAAGGAAATCCGGCCTCCTTTCAAGTTAGGGCTTCTCGCTGTATATTCCCCTTGAGGCAGCAAACTCGGGGTCCCTCCCACATACCTATTGCTGAGAGAAGCCTCCTCCTGAGGTGCTTCTGGGAAGTTGGCATACGTCTTGAGCCTAAGCCAGGGAATCAGCTCGCATCTCGAGACGATTTGGGGTACACGGAGCATTCCTCGAGTTGCTGGGCTGAAGTTGGTGTTCCTCTAGACTTGGGACACTGTTCTCGGGGCATCTCTGGAGTTGCCTGAAGGAAGTCGAGCCACCGGTCGTGTTGAATGGGGAACGGGGAATGGCTCTGGAGTCAGTGCAGGGGAATCGGGCCTCATCTCGAGTTGATTTGGGGCACATGGAGCTGCTTTGCGTTGCTGGGGTGACCTCAGGGTCCGTCTAGACTGGTGACAGTGTTCTTGGGGACTGTCTCGAGATCCATTAAGCAAGTCGAAGCTCCTGACTTGTTTGAATGGGGTCACGGAATAGCTCTGCATGCACTGCAGGGGAATGGGGCCTCATCTCGCCTCTAGGGGGAAGTCTCATGGTTTTTCTCGAGTTGCGGCGGGGACCTGGGGTATGTTCTCGACTTACGGCGGGGATGGCCCTTCAAAACACGAGTTTCTTCAGTGACGTCAGGACTCCTGTCTAGTAACGAGGGACACCTCAGGAATCTCTTCGAGGCTTGGCAGGGCCAAAGGGACGCTTCTCGAGGTGAGGCAGGGCACCCAAGGACCCTTTCCAGTAGCCACAGGGATTTTGGGATTCCTATCAGTATTCAAGAGGAGTCAGGCATCGTCACCTTTTGAAGCAATGAACTCCGCGTGACTCTCGAGGTGTCAGCGGGATGTGAGGCATTCCGTCAAAATGAGGCAGGGACCTAGGGCTTTCTCTAAGGTCTCCACAGGGGATTCAGACATCCCTTCATGTTGTGAGATGAAAGACGAGCCTGTATTCAAGCCACTGCAAGGAAATCCGGCCTCCTTTCAAGTTAGGGCTTCTCGCTGTATATTGCCCTTGAGGCAGCAAACTCGGGGTCCCTCCCACATACCTATTGCTGAGAGAAGCCTCCTCCTGAGGTGCTTCTGGGAAGTTGGCATACGTCTTGAGCCTAAGCCAGGGAATCAGCTCGCATCTCGAGACGATTTGGGGTACACGGAGCATTCCTCGAGTTGCTGGGCTGAAGTTGGTGTTCCTCTAGACTTGGGACAGTGTTCTCGGGGCATCTCTGGAGTTGCCTGAAGGAAGTCGAGCCACCGGTCGTGTTGAATGGGGAACGGGGAATGGCTCTGGAGTCAATGCAGGGGAATCGGGCCTCATCTCGAGTTGATTTGGGGCACATGGAGCTGCTTTGCGTTGCTGGGGTGACCTCAGGGTCCGTCTAGACTGGTGACAGTGTTCTTGGGGACTGTCTCGAGATCCATTAAGCAAGTCGAAGCTCCTGACTTGTTTGAATGGGATCACGGAATAGCTCTGCATGCACTGCAGGGGAATGGGGCCTCATCTCGCCTCTAGGGGGAAGTCTCATGGTTTTTCTCGAGTTGCGGCGGGGACCTGGGGTATGTTCTCGACTTACGGCGGGGATGGCCCTTCAAAACACGAGTTTCTTCAGTGACGTCAGGACTCCTGTCTAGTAACGAGGGACACGTCAGGAATCTCTTCGAGGCTTGGCAGGGTCAAAGGGACGCTTCTCGAGGTGAGGCAGGGCACCCAAGGACCCTTTCCAGTAGCCACAGGGATTTTGGGATTCCTATCAGTATTCAAGAGGAGTCAGGCATCCTCACCTTTTGAAGCAATGAACTCCGCGTGCCTCTCGAGGTGTCAGCGGGATGTGAGGCATTCCGTCAAAATGAGGCAGGGACCTAGGGCTTTCTCTAAGGTCTCCACAGGGGATTCAGACATCCCTTCATGTTGTGAGATGAAAAACGAGCCTGTATTCAAGCCACTGCAAGGAAATCCAGCCTCCTTTCAAGTTAGGGCTTCTCGCTGTATATTCCCCTTGAGGCAGCAAACTCGGGGTCCCTCCCACATAACTATTGCTGAGAGAAGCCTCCTCCTGAGGTGCTTCTGGGAAGTTGGCATACGTCTTGAGCCTAAGCCAGGGAATCAGCTCGCATCTCGAGACGACTTGGGGTACACGGAGCATTCCTCGAGTTGCTGTGCTGAAGTTGGTGTTCCTCTATACTTGGGACAGTGTTCTCGGGGCATCTCTGGAGTTGCCTGAAGGAAGTCGAGCCACCGGTCGTGTTGAATGGGGAACGGGGAATGGCTCTGGAGTCAATGCAGGGGAATCGGGCCTCATCTCGAGTTGATTTGGGGCACATGGAGCTGCTTTGCGTTGCTGGGGTGACCTCAGGGTCCGTCTAGACTGGTGACAGTGTTCTTGGGGACTGTCTCGAGATCCATTAAGCAAGTCGAAGCTCCTGACTTGTTTGAATGGGATCACGGAATAGCTCTGCATGCACTGCAGTGGAATGGGGCCTCATCTCGCCTCTAGGGGGAAGTCTCATGGTTTTTCTCGAGTTGCGGCGGGGACCTGGGGTATGTTCTCGACTTACGGCGGGGATGGCCCTTCAAAACACGAGTTTCTTCAGTGACGTCAGGACTCCTGTCTAGTAACGAGGGACACCTCAGGAATCTCTTCGAGGCTTGGCAGGGCCAAAGGGACGCTTCTCGAGGTGAGGCAGGGCACCCAAGGACCCTTTCCAGTAGCCACAGGGATTTTGGGATTCCTATCAGTATTCAAGAGGAGTCAGGCATCGTCACCTTTTGAAGCAATGAACTCCGCGTGACTCTCGAGGTGTCAGCGGGATGTGAGGCATTCCGTCAAAATGAGGCAGGGACCTAGGGCTTTCTCTAAGGTCTCCACAGGGGATTCAGACATCCCTTCATGTTGTGAGATGAAAGACGAGCCTGTATTCAAGCCACTGCAAGGAAATCCGGCCTCCTTTCAAGTTAGGGCTTCTCGCTGTATATTGCCCTTGAGGCAGCAAACTCGGGGTCCCTCCCACATACCTATTGCTGAGAGAAGCCTCCTCCTGAGGTGCTTCTGGGAAGTTGGCATACGTCTTGAGCCTAAGCCAGGGAATCAGCTCGCATCTCGAGACGATTTGGGGTACACGGAGCATTCCTCGAGTTGCTGTGCTGAAGTTGGTGTTCCTCTAGACTTGGGACAGTGTTCTCGGGGCATCTCTGGAGTTGCCTGAAGGAAGTCGAGCCACCGGTCGTGTTGAATGGGGAACGGGGAATGGCTCTGGAGTCAATGCAGGGGAATCGGGCCTCATCTCGAGTTGATTTGGGGCACATGGAGCTGCTTTGCGTTGCTGGGGTGACCTCAGGGTCCGTCTAGACTGGTGACAGTGTTCTTGGGGACTGTCTCGAGATCCATTAAGCAAGTCGAAGCTCCTGACTTGTTTGAATGGGATCACGGAATAGCTCTGCATGCACTGCAGTGGAATGGGGCCTCATCTCGCCTCTAGGGGGAAGTCTCATGGTTTTTCTCGAGTTGCGGCGGGGACCTGGGGTATGTTCTCGACTTACGGCGGGGATGGCCCTTCAAAACACGAGTTTCTTCAGTGACGTCAGGACTCCTGTCTAGTAACGAGGGACACCTCAGGAATCTCTTCGAGGCTTGGCAGGGCCAAAGGGACGCTTCTCGAGGTGAGGCAGGGCACCCAAGGACCCTTTCCAGTAGCCACAGGGATTTTGGGATTCCTATCAGTATTCAAGAGGAGTCAGGCATCGTCACCTTTTGAAGCAATGAACTCCGCGTGCCTCTCGAGGTGTCAGCGGGATGTGAGGCATTCCGTCAAAATGAGGCAGGGACCTAGGGCTTTCTCTAAGGTCTCCACAGGGGATTCAGACATCCCTTCATGTTGTGAGATGAAAGACGAGCCTGTATTCAAGCCACTGCAAGGAAATCCGGCCTCCTTTCAAGTTAGGGCTTCTCGCTGTATATTCCCCTTGAGGCAGCAAACTCGGGGTCCCTCCCACATACCTATTGCTGAGAGAAGCCTCCTCCTGAGGTGCTTCTGGGAAGTTGGCATACGTCTTGAGCCTAAGCCAGGGAATCAGCTCGCATCTCGAGACGATTTGGGGTACACGGAGCATTCCTCGAGTTGCTGGGCTGAAGTTGGTGTTCCTCTAGACTTGGGACACTGTTCTCGGGGCATCTCTGGAGTTGCCTGAAGGAAGTCGTGCCACCGGTCGTGTTGAATGGGGAACGGGGAATGGCTCTGGAGTCAGTGCAGGGGAATCGGGCCTCATCTCGAGTTGATTTGGGGCACATGGAGCTGCTTTGCGTTGCTGGGGTGACCTCAGGGTCCGTCTAGACTGGTGACAGTGTTCTTGGGGACTGTCTCGAGATCCATTAAGCAAGTCGAAGCTCCTGACTTGTTTGAATGGGGTCACGGAATAGCTCTGCATGCACTGCAGGGGAATGGGGCCTCATCTCGCCTCTAGGGGGAAGTCTCATGGTTTTTCTCGAGTTGCGGCGGGGACCTGGGGTATGTTCTCGACTTACGGCGGGGATGGCCCTTCAAAACACGAGTTTCTTCAGTGACGTCAGGACTCCTGTCTAGTAACGAGGGACACCTCAGGAATCTCTTCGAGGCTTGGCAGGGCCAAAGGGACGCTTCTCGAGGTGAGGCAGGGCACCCAAGGACCCTTTCCAGTAGCCACAGGGATTTTGGGATTCCTATCAGTATTCAAGAGGAGTCAGGCATCGTCACCTTTTGAAGCAATGAACTCCGCGTGCCTCTCGAGGTGTCAGCGGGATGTGAGGCATTCCGTCAAAATGAGGCAGGGACCTAGGGCTTTCTCTAAGGTCTCCACAGGGGATTCAGACATCCCTTCATGTTGTGAGATGAAAGACGAGCCTGTATTCAAGCCACTGCAAGGAAATCCGGCCTCCTTTCAAGTTAGGGCTTCTCGCTGTATATTCCCCTTGAGGCAGCAAACTCGGGGTCCCTCCCACATACCTATTGCTGAGAGAAGCCTCCTCCTGAGGTGCTTCTGGGAAGTTGGCATACGTCTTGAGCCTAAGCCAGGGAATCAGCTCGCATCTCGAGACGATTTGGGGAACACGGAGCATTCCTCGAGTTGCTGTGCTGAAGTTGGTGTTCCTCTAGACTTGGGACAGTGTTCTCGGGGCATCTCTGGAGTTGCCTGAAGGAAGTCGAGCCACCGGTCGTGTTGAATGGGGAACGGGGAATGGCTCTGGAGTCAATGCAGGGGAATCGGGCCTCATCTCGTGTTTATTTGGGGCACATGGAGCTGCTTTGCGTTGCTGGGGTGACCTCAGGGTCCGTCTAGACTGGTGACAGTGTTCTTGGGGACTGTCTCGAGATCCATTAAGCAAGTCGAATCTCCTGACTTGTTTGAATGGGATCACGGAATAGCTCTGCATGCACTGCAGTGGAATGGGGCCTCATCTCGCCTCTAGGGGGAAGTCTCATGGTTTTTCTCGAGTTGCGGCGGGGACCTGGGGTATGTTCTCGACTTACGGCGGGGATGGCCCTTCAAAACACGAGTTTCTTCAGTGACGTCAGGACTCCTGTCTAGTAACGAGGGACACCTCAGGAATCTCTTCGAGGCTTGGCAGGGCCAAAGGGACGCTTCTCGAGGTGAGGCAGGGCACCCAAGGACCCTTTCCAGTAGCCACAGGGATTTTGGGATTCCTATCAGTATTCAAGAGGAGTCAGGCATCGTCACCTTTTGAAGCAATGAACTCCGCGTGCCTCTCGAGGTGTCAGCGGGATGTGAGGCATTCCGTCAAAATGAGGCAGGGACCTAGGGCTTTCTCTAAGGTCTCCACAGGGGATTCAGACATCCCTTCATGTTGTGAGATGAAAGACGAGCCTGTATTCAAGCCACTGCAAGGAAATTCGGCCTCCTTTCAAGTTAGGGCTTCTCGCTGTATATTGCCCTTGAGGCAGCAAACTCGGGGTCCCTCCCACATACCTATTGCTGAGAGAAGCCCCCTCCTGAGGTGCTTCTGGGAAGTTGGCATACGTCTTGAGCCTAAGCCAGGGAATCAGCTCGCATCTCGAGACGATTTGGGGTACACGGAGCATTCCTCGAGTTGCTGTGCTGAAGTTGGTGTTCCTCTAGACTTGGGACAGTGTTCTCGGGGCATCTCTGGAGTTGCCTGAAGGAAGTCGAGCCACCGGTCGTGTTGAATGGGGAACGGGGAATGGCTCTGGAGTCAATGCAGGGGAATCGGGCCTCATCTCGAGTTGATTTGGGGCACATGGAGCTGCTTTGCGTTGCTGGGGTGACCTCAGGGTCCGTCTAGACTGGTGACAGTGTTCCTGGGGACTGTCTCGAGATCCATTAAGCAAGTCGAAGCTCCTGACTTGTTTGAATGGGATCACGGAATAGCTCTGCATGCACTGCAGGGGAATGGGGCCTCATCTCGCCTCTAGGGGGAAGTCTCATGGTTTTTCTCGAGTTGCGGCGGGGACCTGGGGTATGTTCTCGACTTACGGCCGGGATGGCCCTTCAAAACACGAGTTTCTTCAGTGACGTCAGGACTCCTGTCTAGTAACGAGGGACACCTCAGGAATCTCTTCGAGGCTTGGCAGGGCCAAAGGGACGCTTCTCGAGGTGAGGCAGGGCACCCAAGGACCCTTTCCAGTAGCCACAGGGATTTTGGGATTCCTATCAGTATTCAAGAGGAGTCAGGCATCGTCACCTTTTGAAGCAATGAACTCCGCGTGCCTCTCGAGGTGTCAGCGGGATGTGAGGCATTCCGTCAAAATGAGGCAGGGACCTAGGGCTTTCTCTAAGGTCTCCACAGGGGATTCAGACATCCCTTCATGTTGTGAGATGAAAGACGAGCCTGTATTCAAGCCACTGCAAGGAAATCCGGCCTCCTTTCAAGTTAGGGCTTCTGGCTCTATATTCCCCTTGAGGCAGCAAACTCGGGGTCCCTCCCACATACCTATTGCTGAGAGAAGCCTCCTCCTGAGGTGCTTCTGGGAAGTTGGCATACGTCTTGAGCCTAAGCCAGGGAATCAGCTCGCATCTCGAGACGATTTGGGGTACACGGAGCATTCCTCGAGTTGCTGTGCTGAAGTTGGTGTTCCTCTAGACTTGGGACAGTGTTCTCGGGGCATCTCTGGAGTTGCCTGAAGGAAGTCGAGCCACCGGTCGTGTTGAATGGGGAACGGGGAATGGCTCTGGAGTCAGTGCAGGGGAATCGGGCCTCATCTCGAGTTGATTTGGGGCACATGGAGCTGCTTTGCGTTGCTGGGGTGACCTCAGGGTCCGTCTAGACTGGTGACAGTGTTCTTGGGGACTGTCTCGAGATCCATTAAGCAAGTCGAAGCTCCTGACTTGTTTGAATGGGGTCACGGAATAGCTCTGCATGCACTGCAGGGGAATGGGGCCTCATCTCGCCTCTAGGGGGAAGTCTCATGGTTTTTCTCGAGTTGCGGCGGGGACCTGGGGTATGTTCTCGACTTACGGCGGGGATGGCCCTTCAAAACACGAGTTTCTTCAGTGACGTCAGGACTCCTGTCTAGTAACGAGGGACACCTCAGGAATCTCTTCGAGGCTTGGCAGGGCCAAAGGGACGCTTCTCGAGGTGAGGCAGGGCACCCAAGGACCCTTTCCAGTAGCCACAGGGATTTTGGGATTCCTATCAGTATTCAAGAGGAGTCAGGCATCGTCACCTTTTGAAGCAATGAACTCCGCGTGCCTCTCGAGGTGTCAGCGGGATGTGAGGCATTCCGTCAAAATGAGGCAGGGACCTAGGGCTTTCTCTAAGGTCTCCACAGGGGATTCAGACACCCCTTCATGTTGTGAGATGAAAGACGAGCCTGTATTCAAGCCACTGCAAGGAAATCCGGCCTCCTTTCAAGTTAGGGCTTCTCGCTGTATATTCCCCTTGAGGCAGCAAACTCGGGGTCCCTCCCACATACCTATTGCTGAGAGAAGCCTCCTCCTGAGGTGCTTCTGGGAAGTTGGCATACGTCTTGAGCCTAAGCCAGGGAATCAGCTCGCATCTCGAGACGATTTGGGGTACACGGAGCATTCCTCGAGTTGCTGGGCTGAAGTTGGTGTTCCTCTAGACTTGGGACACTGTTCTCGGGGCATCTCTGGAGTTGCCTGAAGGAAGTCGTGCCACCGGTCGTGTTGAATGGGGAACGGGGAATGGCTCTGGAGTCAGTGCAGGGGAATCGGGCCTCATCTCGAGTTGATTTGGGGCACATGGAGCTGCTTTGCGTTGCTGGGGTGACCTCAGGGTCCGTCTAGACTGGTGACAGTGTTCTTGGGGACTGTCTCGAGATCCATTAAGCAAGTCGAAGCTCCTGACTTGTTTGAATGGGGTCACGGAATAGCTCTGCATGCACTGCAGGGGAATGGGGCCTCATCTCGCCTCTAGGGGGAAGTCTCATGGTTTTTCTCGAGTTGCGGCGGGGACCTGGGGTATGTTCTCGACTTACGGCGGGGATGGCCCTTCAAAACACGAGTTTCTTCAGTGACGTCAGGACTCCTGTCTAGTAACGAGGGACACCTCAGGAATCTCTTCGAGGCTTGGCAGGGCCAAAGGGACGCTTCTCGAGGTGAGGCAGGGCACCCAAGGACCCTTTCCAGTAGCCACAGGGATTTTGGGATTCCTATCAGTATTCAAGAGGAGTCAGGCATCGTCACCTTTTGAAGCAATGAACTCCGCGTGCCTCTCGAGGTGTCAGCCGGATGTGAGGCATTCCGTCAAAATGAGGCAGGGACCTAGGGCTTTCTCTAAGGTCTCCACAGGGGATTCAGACATCCCTTCATGTTGTGAGATGAAAGACGAGCCTGTATTCAAGCCACTGCAAGGAAATCCGGCCTCCTTTCAAGTTAGGGCTTCTCGCTGTATATTCCCCTTGAGGCAGCAAACTCGGGGTCCCTCCCACATACCTATTGCTGAGAGAAGCCTCCTCCTGAGGTGCTTCTGGGAAGTTGGCATACGTCTTGAGCCTAAGCCAGGGAATCAGCTCGCATCTCGAGACGATTTGGGGTACACGGAGCATTCCTCGAGTTGCTGGGCTAAAGTTGGTGTTCCTCTAGACTTGGGACACTGTTCTCGGGGCATCTCTGGAGTTGCCTGAAGGAAGTCGAGCCACCGGTCGTGTTGAATGGGGAACGGGGAATGGCTCTGGAGTCAGTGCAGGGGAATCGGGCCTCATCTCGAGTTGATTTGGGGCACATGGAGCTGCTTTGCGTTGCTGGGGTGACCTCAGGGTCCGTCTAGACTGGTGACAGTGTTCTTGGGGACTGTCTCGAGATCCATTAAGCAAGTCGAAGCTCCTGACTTGTTTGAATGGGGTCACGGAATAGCTCTGCATGCACTGCAGGGGAATGGGGCCTCATCTCGCCTCTAGGGGGAAGTCTCATGGTTTTTCTCGAGTTGTGGCGGGGACCTGGGGTATGTTCTCGACTTACGGCGGGGATGGCCCTTCAAAACACGAGTTTCTTCAGTGACGTCAGGACTCCTGTCTAGTAACGAGGGACACCTCAGGAATCTCTTCGAGGCTTGGCAGGGCCAAAGGGACGCTTCTCGAGGTGAGGCAGGGCACCCAAGGACCCTTTCCAGTAGCCACAGGGATTTTGGGATTCCTATCAGTATTCAAGAGGAGTCAGGCATCGTCACCTTTTGAAGCAATGAACTCCGCGTGACTCTCGAGGTGTCAGCGGGATGTGAGGCATTCCGTCAAAATGAGGCAGGGACCTAGGGCTTTCTCTAAGGTCTCCACAGGGGATTCAGACATCCCTTCATGTTGTGAGATGAAAGACGAGCCTGTATTCAAGCCACTGCAAGGAAATCCGGCCTCCTTTCAAGTTAGGGCTTCTCGCTGTATATTGCCCTTGAGGCAGCAAACTCGGGGTCCCTCCCACATACCTATTGCTGAGAGAAGCCTCCTCCTGAGGTGCTTCTGGGAAGTTGGCATACGTCTTGAGCCTAAGCCAGGGAATCAGCTCGCATCTCGAGACGATTTGGGGTACACGGAGCATTCCTCGAGTTGCTGGGCTGAAGTTGGTGTTCCTCTAGACTTGGGACAGTGTTCTCGGGGCATCTCTGGAGTTGCCTGAAGGAAGTCGAGCCACCGGTCGTGTTGAATGGGGAACGGGGAATGGCTCTGGAGTCAATGCAGGGGAATCGGGCCTCATCTCGAGTTGATTTGGGGCACATGGAGCTGCTTTGCGTTGCTGGGGTGACCTCAGGGTCCGTCTAGACTGGTGACAGTGTTCTTGGGGACTGTCTCGAGATCCATTAAGCAAGTCGAAGCTCCTGACTTGTTTGAATGGGATCACGGAATAGCTCTGCATGCACTGCAGGGGAATGGGGCCTCATCTCGCCTCTAGGGGGAAGTCTCATGGTTTTTCTCGAGTTGCGGCGGGGACCTGGGGTATGTTCTCGACTTACGGCGGGGATGGCCCTTCAAAACACGAGTTTCTTCAGTGACGTCAGGACTCCTGTCTAGTAACGAGGGACACGTCAGGAATCTCTTCGAGGCTTGGCAGGGCCAAAGGGACGCTTCTCGAGGTGAGGCAGGGCACCCAAGGACCCTTTCCAGTAGCCACAGGGATTTTGGGATTCCTATCAGTATTCAAGAGGAGTCAGGCATCCTCACCTTTTGAAGCAATGAACTCCGCGTGCCTCTCGAGGTGTCAGCGGGATGTGAGGCATTCCGTCAAAATGAGGCAGGGACCTAGGGCTTTCTCTAAGGTCTCCACAGGGGATTCAGACATCCCTTCATGTTGTGAGATGAAAGACGAGCCTGTATTCAAGCCACTGCAAGGAAATCCAGCCTCCTTTCAAGTTAGGGCTTCTCGCTGTATATTCCCCTTGAGGCAGCAAACTCGGGGTCCCTCCCACATAACTATTGCTGAGAGAAGCCTCCTCCTGAGGTGCTTCTGGGAAGTTGGCATACGTCTTGAGCCTAAGCCAGGGAATCAGCTCGCATCTCGAGACGACTTGGGGTACACGGAGCATTCCTCGAGTTGCTGTGCTGAAGTTGGTGTTCCTCTATACTTGGGACAGTGTTCTCGGGGCATCTCTGGAGTTGCCTGAAGGAAGTCGAGCCACCGGTCGTGTTGAATGGGGAACGGGGAATGGCTCTGGAGTCAATGCAGGGGAATCGGGCCTCATCTCGAGTTGATTTGGGGCACATGGAGCTGCTTTGCGTTGCTGGGGTGACCTCAGGGTCCGTCTAGACTGGTGACAGTGTTCTTGGGGACTGTCTCGAGATCCATTAAGCAAGTCGAAGCTCCTGACTTGTTTGAATGGGATCACGGAATAGCTCTGCATGCACTGCAGGGGAATGGGGCCTCATCTCGCCTCTAGGGGGAAGTCTCATGGTTTTTCTCGAGTTGCGGCGGGGACCTGGGGTATGTTCTCGACTTACGGCGGGGATGGCCCTTCAAAACACGAGTTTCTTCAGTGACGTCAGGACTCCTGTCTAGTAACGAGGGACACCTCAGGAATCTCTTCGAGGCTTGGCAGGGCCAAAGGGACGCTTCTCGAGGTGAGGCAGGGCACCCAAGGACCCTTTCCAGTAGCCACAGGGATTTTGGGATTCCTATCAGTATTCAAGAGGAGTCAGGCATCGTCACCTTTTGAAGCAATGAACTCCGCGTGCCTCTCGAGGTGTCAGCGGGATGTGAGGCATTCCGTCAAAATGAGGCAGGGACCTAGGGCTTTCTCTAAGGTCTCCACAGGGGATTCAGACATCCCTTCATGTTGTGAGATGAAAGACGAGCCTGTATTCAAGCCACTGCAAGGAAATCCGGCCTCCTTTCAAGTTAGGGCTTCTCGCTGTATATTCCCCTTGAGGCAGCAAACTCGGGGTCCCTCCCACATACCTATTGCTGAGAGAAGCCTCCTCCTGAGGTGCTTCTGGGAAGTTGGCATACGTCTTGAGCCTAAGCCAGGGAATCAGCTCGCATCTCGAGACGATTTGGGGTACACGGAGCATTCCTCGAGTTGCTGGGCTGAAGTTGGTGTTCCTCTAGACTTGGGACACTGTTCTCGGGGCATCTCTGGAGTTGCCTGAAGGAAGTCGTGCCACCGGTCGTGTTGAATGGGGAACGGGGAATGGCTCTGGAGTCAGTGCAGGGGAATCGGGCCTCATCTCGAGTTGATTTGGGGCACATGGAGCTGCTTTGCGTTGCTGGGGTGACCTCAGGGTCCGTCTAGACTGGTGACAGTGTTCTTGGGGACTGTCTCGAGATCCATTAAGCAAGTCGAAGCTCCTGACTTGTTTGAATGGGGTCACGGAATAGCTCTGCATGCACTGCAGGGGAATGGGGCCTCATCTCGCCTCTAGGGGGAAGTCTCATGGTTTTTCTCGAGTTGCGGCGGGGACCTGGGGTATGTTCTCGACTTACGGCGGGGATGGCCCTTCAAAACACGAGTTTCTTCAGTGACGTCAGGACTCCTGTCTAGTAACGAGGGACACCTCAGGAATCTCTTCGAGGCTTGGCAGGGCCAAAGGGACGCTTCTCGAGGTGAGGCAGGGCACCCAAGGACCCTTTCCAGTAGCCACAGGGATTTTGGGATTCCTATCAGTATTCAAGAGGAGTCAGGCATCGTCACCTTTTGAAGCAATGAACTCCGCGTGCCTCTCGAGGTGTCAGCGGGATGTGAGGCATTCCGTCAAAATGAGGCAGGGACCTAGGGCTTTCTCTAAGGTCTCCACAGGGGATTCAGACATCCCTTCATGTTGTGAGATGAAAGACGAGCCTGTATTCAAGCCACTGCAAGGAAATCCGGCCTCCTTTCAAGTTAGGGCTTCTCGCTGTATATTCCCCTTGAGGCAGCAAACTCGGGGTCCCTCCCACATACCTATTGCTGAGAGAAGCCTCCTCCTGAGGTGCTTCTGGGAAGTTGGCATACGTCTTGAGCCTAAGCCAGGGAATCAGCTCGCATCTCGAGACGATTTGGGGTACACGGAGCATTCCTCGAGTTGCTGTGCTGAAGTTGGTGTTCCTCTAGACTTGGGACAGTGTTCTCGGGGCATCTCTGGAGTTGCCTGAAGGAAGTCGAGCCACCGGTCGTGTTGAATGGGGAACGGGGAATGGCTCTGGAGTCAGTGCAGGGGAATCGGGCCTCATCTCGAGTTGATTTGGGGCACATGGAGCTGCTTTGCGTTGCTGGGGTGACCTCAGGGTCCGTCTAGACTGGTGACAGTGTTCTTGGGGACTGTCTCGAGATCCATTAAGCAAGTCGAAGCTCCTGACTTGTTTGAATGGGGTCACGGAATAGCTCTGCATGCACTGCAGGGGAATGGGGCCTCATCTCGCCTCTAGGGGGAAGTCTCATGGTTTTTCTCGAGTTGCGGCGGGGACCTGGGGTATGTTCTCGACTTACGGCGGGGATGGCCCTTCAAAAGACGAGTTTCTTCAGTGACGTCAGGACTCCTGTCTAGTAACGAGGGACACCTCAGGAATCTCTTCGAGGCTTGGCAGGGCCAAAGGGACGCTTCTCGAGGTGAGGCAGGGCACCCAAGGACCCTTTCCAGTAGCCACAGGGATTTTGGGATTCCTATCAGTATTCAAGAGGAGTCAGGCATCGTCACCTTTTGAAGCAATGAACTCCGCGTGACTCTCGAGGTGTCAGCGGGATGTGAGGCATTCCGTCAAAATGAGGCAGGGACCTAGGGCTTTCTCTAAGGTCTCCACAGGGGATTCAGACATCCCTTCATGTTGTGAGATGAAAGACGAGCCTGTATTCAAGCCACTGCAAGGAAATCCGGCCTCCTTTCCAGTTAGGGCTTCTCGCTGTATATTCCCCTTGAGGCAGCAAACTCGGGGTCCCTCCCACATACCTATTGCTGAGAGAAGCCTCCTCCTGAGGTGCTTCTGGGAAGTTGGCCTATGTCTTGAGCCTAAGCCAGGGAATCAGCTCGCATCTCGAGACGATTTGGGGTACACGGAGCATTCCTCGAGTTGCTGGGCTGAAGTTGGTGTTCCTCTAGACTTGGGACACTGTTCTCGGGGCATCTCTGGAGTTGCCTGAAGGAAGTCGTGCCACCGGTCGTGTTGAATGGGGAACGGGGAATGGCTCTGGAGTCAGTGCAGGGGAATCGGGCCTCATCTCGAGTTGATTTGGGGCACATGGAGCTGCTTTGCGTTGCTGGGGTTACCTCAGGGTCCGTCTAGACTGGTGACAGTGTTCTTGGGGACTGTCTCGAGATCCATTAAGCAAGTCGAAGCTCCTGACTTGTTTGAATGGGGTCACGGAATAGCTCTGCATGCACTGCAGGGGAATGGGGCCTCATCTCGCCTCTAGGGGGAAGTCTCATGTTTTTTCTCGAGTTGCGGCGGGGACCTGGGGTATGTTCTCGACTTACGGCGGGGATGGCCCTTCAAAACACGAGTTTCTTCAGTGACGTCAGGACTCCTGTCTAGTAACGAGGGACACCTCAGGAATCTCTTCGAGGCTTGGCAGGGCCAAAGGGACGCTTCTCGAGGTGAGGCAGGGCACCCAAGGACCCTTTCCAGTAGCCACAGGGATTTTGGGATTCCTATCAGTATTCAAGAGGAGTCAGGCATCGTCACCTTTTGAAGCAATGAACTCCGCGTGCCTCTCGAGGTGTCAGCGGGATGTGAGGCATTCCGTCAAAATGAGGCAGGGACCTAGGGCTTTCTCTAAGGTCTCCACAGGGGATTCAGACATCCCTTCATGTTGTGAGATGAAAGACGAGCCTGTATTCAAGCCACTGCAAGGAAATCCGGCCTCCTTTCAAGTTAGGGCTTCTCGCTGTATATTGCCCTTGAGGCAGCAAACTCGGGGTCCCTCCCACATACCTATTGCTGAGAGAAGCCTCCTCCTGAGGTGCTTCTGGGAAGTTGGCATACGTCTTGAGCCTAAGCCAGGGAATCAGCTCGCATCTCGAGACGATTTGGGGTACACGGAACATTCCTCGAGTTGCTGTGCTGAAGTTGGTGTTCCTCTAGACTTGGGACAGTGTTCTCGGGGCATCTCTGGAGTTGCCTGAAGGAAGTCGAGCCACCGGTCGTGTTGAATGGGGAACGGGGAATGGCTCTGGAGTCAATGCAGGGGAATCGGGCCTCATCTCGAGTTGATTTGGGGCACATGGAGCTGCTTTGCGTTGCTGGGGTGACCTCAGGGTCCGTCTAGACTGGTGACAGTGTTCTTGGGGACTGTCTCGAGATCCATTAAGCAAGTCGAAGCTCCTGACTTGTTTGAATGGGATCACGGAATAGCTCTGCATGCACTGCAGGGGAATGGGGCCTCATCTCGCCTCTAGGGGGAAGTCTCATGGTTTTTCTCGAGTTGCGGCGGGGACCTGGGGTATGTTCTCGACTTACGGCGGGGATGGCCCTTCAAAACACGAGTTTCTTCAGTGACGTCAGGACTCCTGTCTAGTAACGAGGGACACCTCAGGAATCTCTTCGAGGCTTGGCAGGGCCAAAGGGACGCTTCTCGAGGTGAGGCAGGGCACCCAAGGACCCTTTCCAGTAGCCACAGGGATTTTGGGATTCCTATCAGTATTCAAGAGGAGTCAGGCATCGTCACCTTTTGAAGCAATGAACTCCGCGTGCCTCTCGAGGTGTCAGCGGGATGTGAGGCATTCCGTCAAAATGAGGCAGGGACCTAGGGCTTTCTCTAAGGTCTCCACAGGGGATTCAGACATCCCTTCATGTTGTGAGATGAAAGACGAGCCTGTATTCAAGCCACTGCAAGGAAATCCGGCCTCCTTTCAAGTTAGGGCTTCTCGCTGTATATTCCCCTTGAGTCAGCAAACTCGGGGTCCCTCCCACATACCTATTGCTGAGAGAAGCCTCCTCCTGAGGTGCTTCTGGGAAGTTGGCATACGTCTTGAGCCTAAGCCAGGGAATCAGCTCGCATCTCGAGACGATTTGGGGTACACGGAGCATTCCTCGAGTTGCTGGGCTGAAGTTGGTGTTCCTCTAGACTTGGGACACTGTTCTCGGGGCATCTCTGGAGTTGCCTGAAGGAAGTCGTGCCACCGGTCGTGTTGAATGGGGAACGGGGAATGGCTCTGGAGTCAGTGCAGGGGAATCGGGCCTCATCTCGAGTTGATTTGGGGCACATGGAGCTGCTTTGCGTTGCTGGGGTGACCTCAGGGTCCGTCTAGACTGGTGACAGTGTTCTTGGGGACTGTCTCGAGATCCATTAAGCAAGTCGAAGCTCCTGACTTGTTTGAATGGGGTCACGGAATAGCTCTGCATGCACTGCAGGGGAATGGGGCCTCATCTCGCCTCTAGGGGGAAGTCTCATGGTTTTTCTCGAGTTGCGGCGGGGACCTGGGGTATGTTCTCGACTTACGGCGGGGATGGCCCTTCAAAACACGAGTTTCTTCAGTGACGTCAGGACTCCTGTCTAGTAACGAGGGACACCTCAGGAATCTCTTCGAGGCTTGGCAGGGCCAAAGGGACGCTTCTCGAGGTGAGGCAGGGCACCCAAGGACCCTTTCCAGTAGCCACAGGGATTTTGGGATTCCTATCAGTATTCAAGAGGAGTCAGGCATCGTCACCTTTTGAAGCAATGAACTCCGCGTGACTCTCGAGGTGTCAGCGGGATGTGAGGCATTCCGTCAAAATGAGGCAGGGACCTAGGGCTTTCTCTAAGGTCTCCACAGGGGATTCAGACATCCCTTCATGTTGTGAGATGAAAGACGAGCCTGTATTCAAGCCACTGCAAGGAAATCCGGCCTCCTTTCCAGTTAGGGCTTCTCGCTGTATATTCCCCTTGAGGCAGCAAACTCGGGGTCCCTCCCACATACCTATTGCTGAGAGAAGCCTCCTCCTGAGGTGCTTCTGGGAAGTTGGCATACTTCTTGAGCCTAAGCCAGGGAATCAGCTCGCATCTCGAGACGATTTGGGGTACACGGAGCATTCCTCGAGTTGCTGGGCTGAAGTTGGTGTTCCTCTAGACTTGGGACACTGTTCTCGGGGCATCTCTGGAGTTGCCTGAAGGAAGTCGTGCCACCGGTCGTGTTGAATGGGGAACGGGGAATGGCTCTGGAGTCAGTGCAGGGGAATCGGGCCTCATCTCGAGTTGATTTGGGGCACATGGAGCTGCTTTGCGTTGCTGGGGTTACCTCAGGGTCCGTCTAGACTGGTGACAGTGTTCTTGGGGACTGTCTCGAGATCCATTAAGCAAGTCGAAGCTCCTGACTTGTTTGAATGGGGTCACGGAATAGCTCTGCATGCACTGCAGGGGAATGGGGCCTCATCTCGCCTCTAGGGGGAAGTCTCATGTTTTTTCTCGAGTTGCGGCGGGGACCTGGGGTATGTTCTCGACTTACGGCGGGGATGGCCCTTCAAAACACGAGTTTCTTCAGTGACGTCAGGACTCCTGTCTAGTAACGAGGGACACCTCAGGAATCTCTTCGAGGCTTGGCAGGGCCAAAGGGACGCTTCTCGAGGTGAGGCAGGGCACCCAAGGACCCTTTCCAGTAGCCACAGGGATTTTGGGATTCCTATCAGTATTCAAGAGGAGTCAGGCATCGTCACCTTTTGAAGCAATGAACTCCGCGTGCCTCTCGAGGTGTCAGCGGGATGTGAGGCATTCCGTCAAAATGAGGCAGGGACCTAGGGCTTTCTCTAAGGTCTCCACAGGGGATTCAGACATCCCTTCATGTTGTGAGATGAAAGACGAGCCTGTATTCAAGCCACTGCAAGGAAATCCGGCCTCCTTTCAAGTTAGGGCTTCTCGCTGTATATTCCCCTTGAGGCAGCAAACTCGGGGTCCCTCCCACATACCTATTGCTGAGAGAAGCCTCCTCCTGAGGTGCTTCTGGGAAGTTGGCATACGTCTTGAGCCTAAGCCAGGGAATCAGCTCGCATCTCGAGACGATTTGGGGTACACGGAGCATTCCTCGAGTTGCTGTGCTGAAGTTGGTGTTCCTCTAGACTTGGGACAGTGTTCTCGGGGCATCTCTGGAGTTGCCTGAAGGAAGTCGAGCCACCGGTCGTGTTGAATGGGGAACGGGGAATGGCTCTGGAGTCAGTGCAGGGGAATCGGGCCTCATCTCGAGTTGATTTGGGGCACATGGAGCTGCTTTGCGTTGCTGGGGTGACCTCAGGGTCCGTCTAGACTGGTGACAGTGTTCTTGGGGACTGTCTCGAGATCCATTAAGCAAGTCGAAGCTCCTGACTTGTTTGAATGGGGTCACGGAATAGCTCTGCATGCACTGCAGGGGAATGGGGCCTCATCTCGCCTCTAGGGGGAAGTCTCATGGTTTTTCTCGAGTTGCGGCGGGGACCTGGGGTATGTTCTCGACTTACGGCGGGGATGGCCCTTCAAAACACGAGTTTCTTCAGTGACGTCAGGACTCCTGTCTAGTAACGAGGGACACCTCAGGAATCTCTTCGAGGCTTGGCAGGGCCAAAGGGACGCTTCTCGAGGTGAGGCAGGGCACCCAAGGACCCTTTCCAGTAGCCACAGGGATTTTGGGATTCCTATCAGTATTCAAGAGGAGTCAGGCATCGTCACCTTTTGAAGCAATGAACTCCGCGTGCCTCTCGAGGTGTCAGCGGGATGTGAGGCATTCCGTCAAAATGAGGCAGGGACCTAGGGCTTTCTCTAAGGTCTCCACAGGGGATTCAGACATCCCTTCATGTTGTGAGATGAAAGACGAGCCTGTATTCAAGCCACTGCAAGGAAATCCGGCCTCCTTTCAAGTTAGGGCTTCTCGCTGTATATTGCCCTTGAGGCAGCAAACTCGGGGTCCCTCCCACATACCTATTGCTGAGAGAAGCCTCCTCCTGAGGTGCTTCTGGGAAGTTGGCATACGTCTTGAGCCTAAGCCAGGGAATCAGCTCGCATCTCGAGACGATTTGGGGTACACGGAGCATTCCTCGAGTTGCTGGGCTGAAGTTGGTGTTCCTCTAGACTTGGGACAGTGTTCTCGGGGCATCTCTGGAGTTGCCTGAAGGAAGTCGAGCCACCGGTCGTGTTGAATGGGGAACGGGGAATGGCTCTGGAGTCAATGCAGGGGAATCGGGCCTCATCTCGAGTTGATTTGGGGCACATGGAGCTGCTTTGCGTTGCTGGGGTGACCTCAGGGTCCGTCGAGACTGGTGACAGTGTTCTTGGGGACTGTCTCGAGATCCATTAAGCAAGTCGAAGCTCCTGACTTGTTTGAATGGGATCACGGAATAGCTCTGCATGCACTGCAGGGGAATGGGGCCTCATCTCGCCTCTAGGGGGAAGTCTCATGGTTTTTCTCGAGTTGCGGCGGGGACCTGGGGTATGTTCTCGACTTACGGCGGGGATGGCCCTTCAAAACACGAGTTTCTTCAGTGACGTCAGGACTCCTGTCTAGTAACGAGGGACACGTCAGGAATCTCTTCGAGGCTTGGCAGGGCCAAAGGGACGCTTCTCGAGGTGAGGCAGGGCACCCAAGGACCCTTTCCAGTAGCCACAGGGATTTTGGGATTCCTATCAGTATTCAAGAGGAGTCAGGCATCCTCACCTTTTGAAGCAATGAACTCCGCGTGCCTCTCGAGGTGTCAGCGGGATGTGAGGCATTCCGTCAAAATGAGGCAGGGACCTAGGGCTTTCTCTAAGGTCTCCACAGGGGATTCAGACATCCCTTCATGTTGTGAGATGAAAGACGAGCCTGTATTCAAGCCACTGCAAGGAAATCCAGCCTCCTTTCAAGTTAGGGCTTCTCGCTGTATATTCCCCTTGAGGCAGCAAACTCGGGGTCCCTCCCACATAACTATTGCTGAGAGAAGCCTCCTCCTGAGGTGCTTCTGGGAAGTTGGCATACGTCTTGAGCCTAAGCCAGGGAATCAGCTCGCATCTCGAGACGACTTGGGGTACACGGAGCATTCCTCGAGTTGCTGTGCTGAAGTTGGTGTTCCTCTATACTTGGGACAGTGTTCTCGGGGCATCTCTGGAGTTGCCTGAAGGAAGTCGAGCCACCGGTCGTGTTGAATGGGGAACGGGGAATGGCTCTGGAGTCAATGCAGGGGAATCGGGCCTCATCTCGAGTTGATTTGGGGCACATGGAGCTGCTTTGCGTTGCTGGGGTGACCTCAGGGTCCGTCTAGACTGGTGACAGTGTTCTTGGGGACTGTCTCGAGATCCATTAAGCAAGTCGAAGCTCCTGACTTGTTTGAATGGGATCACGGAATAGCTCTGCATGCACTGCAGTGGAATGGGGCCTCATCTCGCCTCTAGGGGGAAGTCTCATGGTTTTTCTCGAGTTGCGGCGGGGACCTGGGGTATGTTCTCGACTTACGGCGGGGATGGCCCTTCAAAACACGAGTTTCTTCAGTGACGTCAGGACTCCTGTCTAGTAACGAGGGACACCTCAGGAATCTCTTCGAGGCTTGGCAGGGCCAAAGGGACGCTTCTCGAGGTGAGGCAGGGCACCCAAGGACCCTTTCCAGTAGCCACAGGGATTTTGGGATTCCTATCAGTATTCAAGAGGAGTCAGGCATCGTCACCTTTTGAAGCAATGAACTCCGCGTGACTCTCGAGGTGTCAGCGGGATGTGAGGCATTCCGTCAAAATGAGGCAGGGACCTAGGGCTTTCTCTAAGGTCTCCACAGGGGATTCAGACATCCCTTCATGTTGTGAGATGAAAGACGAGCCTGTATTCAAGCCACTGCAAGGAAATCCGGCCTCCTTTCAAGTTAGGGCTTCTCGCTGTATATTGCCCTTGAGGCAGCAAACTCGGGGTCCCTCCCACATACCTATTGCTGAGAGAAGCCTCCTCCTGAGGTGCTTCTGGGAAGTTGGCATACGTCTTGAGCCTAAGCCAGGGAATCAGCTCGCATCTCGAGACGATTTGGGGTACACGGAGCATTCCTCGAGTTGCTGTGCTGAAGTTGGTGTTCCTCTAGACTTGGGACAGTGTTCTCGGGGCATCTCTGGAGTTGCCTGAAGGAAGTCGAGCCACCGGTCGTGTTGAATGGGGAACGGGGAATGGCTCTGGAGTCAATGCAGGGGAATCGGGCCTCATCTCGAGTTGATTTGGGGCACATGGAGCTGCTTTGCGTTGCTGGGGTGACCTCAGGGTCCGTCTAGACTGGTGACAGTGTTCTTGGGGACTGTCTCGAGATCCATTAAGCAAGTCGAAGCTCCTGACTTGTTTGAATGGGATCACGGAATAGCTCTGCATGCACTGCAGTGGAATGGGGCCTCATCTCGCCTCTAGGGGGAAGTCTCATGGTTTTTCTCGAGTTGCGGCGGGGACCTGGGGTATGTTCTCGACTTACGGCGGGGATGGCCCTTCAAAACACGAGTTTCTTCAGTGACGTCAGGACTCCTGTCTAGTAACGAGGGACACCTCAGGAATCTCTTCGAGGCTTGGCAGGGCCAAAGGGACGCTTCTCGAGGTGAGGCAGGGCACCCAAGGACCCTTTCCAGTAGCCACAGGGATTTTGGGATTCCTATCAGTATTCAAGAGGAGTCAGGCATCGTCACCTTTTGAAGCAATGAACTCCGCGTGCCTCTCGAGGTGTCAGCGGGATGTGAGGCATTCCGTCAAAATGAGGCAGGGACCTAGGGCTTTCTCTAAGGTCTCCACAGGGGATTCAGACATCCCTTCATGTTGTGAGATGAAAGACGAGCCTGTATTCAAGCCACTGCAAGGAAATCCGGCCTCCTTTCAAGTTAGGGCTTCTCGCTGTATATTCCCCTTGAGGCAGCAAACTCGGGGTCCCTCCCACATACCTATTGCTGAGAGAAGCCTCCTCCTGAGGTGCTTCTGGGAAGTTGGCATACGTCTTGAGCCTAAGCCAGGGAATCAGCTCGCATCTCGAGACGATTTGGGGTACACGGAGCATTCCTCGAGTTGCTGGGCTGAAGTTGGTGTTCCTCTAGACTTGGGACACTGTTCTCGGGGCATCTCTGGAGTTGCCTGAAGGAAGTCGTGCCACCGGTCGTGTTGAATGGGGAACGGGGAATGGCTCTGGAGTCAGTGCAGGGGAATCGGGCCTCATCTCGAGTTGATTTGGGGCACATGGAGCTGCTTTGCGTTGCTGGGGTGACCTCAGGGTCCGTCTAGACTGGTGACAGTGTTCTTGGGGACTGTCTCGAGATCCATTAGGCAAGTCGAAGCTCCTGACTTGTTTGAATGGGGTCACGGAATAGCTCTGCATGCACTGCAGGGGAATGGGGCCTCATCTCGCCTCTAGGGGGAAGTCTCATGGTTTTTCTCGAGTTGCGGCGGGGACCTGGGGTATGTTCTCGACTTACGGCGGGGATGGCCCTTCAAAACACGAGTTTCTTCAGTGACGTCAGGACTCCTGTCTAGTAACGAGGGACACCTCAGGAATCTCTTCGAGGCTTGGCAGGGCCAAAGGGACGCTTCTCGAGGTGAGGCAGGGCACCCAAGGACCCTTTCCAGTAGCCACAGGGATTTTGGGATTCCTATCAGTATTCAAGAGGAGTCAGGCATCGTCACCTTTTGAAGCAATGAACTCCGCGTGCCTCTCGAGGTGTCAGCGGGATGTGAGGCATTCCGTCAAAATGAGGCAGGGACCTAGGGCTTTCTCTAAGGTCTCCACAGGGGATTCAGACATCCCTTCATGTTGTGAGATGAAAGACGAGCCTGTATTCAAGCCACTGCAAGGAAATCCGGCCTCCTTTCAAGTTAGGGCTTCTCGCTGTATATTCCCCTTGAGGCAGCAAACTCGGGGTCCCTCCCACATACCTATTGCTGAGAGAAGCCTCCTCCTGAGGTGCTTCTGGGAAGTTGGCATACGTCTTGAGCCTAAGCCAGGGAATCAGCTCGCATCTCGAGACGATTTGGGGTACACGGAGCATTCCTCGAGTTGCTGTGCTGAAGTTGGTGTTCCTCTAGACTTGGGACAGTGTTCTCGGGGCATCTCTGGAGTTGCCTGAAGGAAGTCGAGCCACCGGTCGTGTTGAATGGGGAACGGGGAATGGCTCTGGAGTCAGTTCAGGGGAATCGGGCCTCATCTCGAGTTGATTTGGGGCACATGGAGCTGCTTTGCGTTGCTGGGGTGACCTCAGGGTCCGTCTAGACTGGTGACAGTGTTCTTGGGGACTGTCTCGAGATCCATTAAGCAAGTCGAAGCTCCTGACTTGTTTGAATGGGGTCACGGAATAGCTCTGCATGCACTGCAGGGGAATGGGGCCTCATCTCGCCTCTAGGGGGAAGTCTCATGGTTTTTCTCGAGTTGCGGCGGGGACCTGGGGTATGTTCTCGACTTACGGCGGGGATGGCCCTTCAAAACACGAGTTTCTTCAGTGACGTCAGGACTCCTGTCTAGTAACGAGGGACACCTCAGGAATCTCTTCGAGGCTTGGCAGGGCCAAAGGGACGCTTCTCGAGGTGAGGCAGGGCACCCAAGGACCCTTTCCAGTAGCCACAGGGATTTTGGGATTCCTATCAGTATTCAAGAGGAGTCAGGCATCGTCACCTTTTGAAGCAATGAACTCCGCGTGACTCTCGAGGTGTCAGCGGGATGTGAGGCATTCCGTCAAAATGAGGCAGGGACCTAGGGCTTTCTCTAAGGTCTCCACAGGGGATTCAGACATCCCTTCATGTTGTGAGATGAAAGACGAGCCTGTATTCAAGCCACTGCAAGGAAATCCGGCCTCCTTTCCAGTTAGGGCTTCTCGCTGTATATTCCCCTTGAGGCAGCAAACTCGGGGTCCCTCCCACATACCTATTGCTGAGAGAAGCCTCCTCCTGAGGTGCTTCTGGGAAGTTGGCATACGTCTTGAGCCTAAGCCAGGGAATCAGCTCGCATCTCGAGACGATTTGGGGTACACGGAGCATTCCTCGAGTTGCTGGGCTGAAGTTGGTGTTCCTCTAGACTTGGGACAGTGTTCTCGGGGCATCTCTGGAGTTGCCTGAAGGAAGTCGAGCCACCGGTCGTGTTGAATGGGGAACGGGGAATGGCTCTGGAGTCAATGCAGGGGAATCGGGCCTCATCTCGAGTTGATTTGGGGCACATGGAGCTGCTTTGCGTTGCTGGGGTGACCTCAGGGTCCGTCTAGACTGGTGACAGTGTTCTTGGGGACTGTCTCGAGATCCATTAAGCAAGTCGAAGCTCCTGACTTGTTTGAATGGGATCACGGAATAGCTCTGCATGCACTGCAGGGGAATGGGGCCTCATCTCGCCTCTAGGGGGAAGTCTCATGGTTTTTCTCGAGTTGCGGCGGGGACCTGGGGTATGTTCTCGACTTACGGCGGGGATGGCCCTTCAAAACACGAGTTTCTTCAGTGACGTCAGGACTCCTGTCTAGTAACGAGGGACACGTCAGGAATCTCTTCGAGGCTTGGCAGGGCCAAAGGGACGCTTCTCGAGGTGAGGCAGGGCACCCAAGGACCCTTTCCAGTAGCCACAGGGATTTTGGGATTCCTATCAGTATTCAAGAGGAGTCAGGCATCCTCACCTTTTGAAGCAATGAACTCCGCGTGCCTCTCGAGGTGTCAGCGGGATGTGAGGCATTCCGTCAAAATGAGGCAGGGACCTAGGGCTTTCTCTAAGGTCTCCACAGGGGATTCAGACATCCCTTCATGTTGTGAGATGAAAGACGAGCCTGTATTCAAGCCACTGCAAGGAAATCCAGCCTCCTTTCAAGTTAGGGCTTCTCGCTGTATATTCCCCTTGAGGCAGCAAACTCGGGGTCCCTCCCACATAACTATTGCTGAGAGAAGCCTCCTCCTGAGGTGCTTCTGGGAAGTTGGCATACGTCTTGAGCCTAAGCCAGGGAATCAGCTCGCATCTCGAGACGACTTGGGGTACACGGAGCATTCCTCGAGTTGCTGTGCTGAAGTTGGTGTTCCTCTATACTTGGGACAGTGTTCTCGGGGCATCTCTGGAGTTGCCTGAAGGAAGTCGAGCCACCGGTCGTGTTGAATGGGGAACGGGGAATGGCTCTGGAGTCAATGCAGGGGAATCGGGCCTCATCTCGAGTTGATTTGGGGCACATGGAGCTGCTTTGCGTTGCTGGGGTGACCTCAGGGTCCGTCTAGACTGGTGACAGTGTTCTTGGGGACTGTCTCGAGATCCATTAAGCAAGTCGAAGCTCCTGACTTGTTTGAATGGGATCACGGAATAGCTCTGCATGCACTGCAGTGGAATGGGGCCTCATCTCGCCTCTAGGGGGAAGTCTCATGGTTTTTCTCGAGTTGCGGCGGGGACCTGGGGTATGTTCTCGACTTACGGCGGGGATGGCCCTTCCAAACACGAGTTTCTTCAGTGACGTCAGGACTCCTGTCTAGTAACGAGGGACACCTCAGGAATCTCTTCGAGGCTTGGCAGGGCCAAAGGGACGCTTCTCGAGGTGAGGCAGGGCACCCAAGGACCCTTTCCAGTAGCCACAGGGATTTTGGGATTCCTATCAGTATTCAAGAGGAGTCAGGCATCGTCACCTTTTGAAGCAATGAACTCCGCGTGACTCTCGAGGTGTCAGCGGGATGTGAGGCATTCCGTCAAAATGAGGCAGGGACCTAGGGCTTTCTCTAAGGTCTCCACAGGGGATTCAGACATCCCTTCATGTTGTGAGATGAAAGACGAGCCTGTATTCAAGCCACTGCAAGGAAATCCGGCCTCCTTTCAAGTTAGGGCTTCTCGCTGTATATTGCCCTTGAGGCAGCAAACTCGGGGTCCCTCCCACATACCTATTGCTGAGAGAAGCCTCCTCCTGAGGTGCTTCTGGGAAGTTGGCATACGTCTTGAGCCTAAGCCAGGGAATCAGCTCGCATCTCGAGACGATTTGGGGTACACGGAGCATTCCTCGAGTTGCTGTGCTGAAGTTGGTGTTCCTCTAGACTTGGGACAGTGTTCTCGGGGCATCTCTGGAGTTGCCTGAAGGAAGTCGAGCCACCGGTCGTGTTGAATGGGGAACGGGGAATGGCTCTGGAGTCAATGCAGGGGAATCGGGCCTCATCTCGAGTTGATTTGGGGCACATGGAGCTGCTTTGCGTTGCTGGGGTGACCTCAGGGTCCGTCTAGACTGGTGACAGTGTTCTTGGGGACTGTCTCGAGATCCATTAAGCAAGTCGAAGCTCCTGACTTGTTTGAATGGGATCACGGAATAGCTCTGCATGCACTGCAGTGGAATGGGGCCTCATCTCGCCTCTAGGGGGAAGTCTCATGGTTTTTCTCGAGTTGCGGCGGGGACCTGGGGTATGTTCTCGACTTACGGCGGGGATGGCCCTTCAAAACACGAGTTTCTTCAGTGACGTCAGGACTCCTGTCTAGTAACGAGGGACACCTCAGGAATCTCTTCGAGGCTTGGCAGGGCCAAAGGGACGCTTCTCGAGGTGAGGCAGGGCACCCAAGGACCCTTTCCAGTAGCCACAGGGATTTTGGGATTCCTATCAGTATTCAAGAGGAGTCAGGCATCGTCACCTTTTGAAGCAATGAACTCCGCGTGACTCTCGAGGTGTCAGCGGGATGTGAGGCATTCCGTCAAAATGAGGCAGGGACCTAGGGCTTTCTCTAAGGTCTCCACAGGGGATTCAGACATCCCTTCATGTTGTGAGATGAAAGACGAGCCTGTATTCAAGCCACTGCAAGGAAATCCGGCCTCCTTTCAAGTTAGGGCTTCTGGCTCTATATTCCCCTTGAGGCAGCAAACTCGGGGTCCCTCCCACATACCTATTGCTGAGAGAAGCCTCCTCCTGAGGTGCTTCTGGGAAGTTGGCATACGTCTTGAGCCTAAGCCAGGGAATCTGCTCGCATCTCGAGACGATTTGGGGTACACGGAGCATTCCTCGAGTTGCTGTGCTGAAGTTGGTGTTCCTCTAGACTTGGGACAGTGTTCTCGGGGCATCTCTGGAGTTGCCTGAAGGAAGTCGAGCCACCGGTCGTGTTGAATGGGGAACGGGGAATGGCTCTGGAGTCAATGCAGGGGAATCGGGCCTCATCTCGAGTTGATTTGGCGCACATGGAGCTGCTTTGCGTTGCTGGGGTGACCTCAGGGTCCGTCTAGACTGGTGACAGTGTTCTTGGGGACTGTCTCAAGATCCATTAAGCAAGTCGAAGCTCCTGACTTGTTTGAATGGGGTCACGGAATAGCTCTGCATGCACTGCAGGGGAATGGGGCCTCATCTCGCCTCTAGGGGGAAGTCTCATGGTTTTTCTCGAGTTGCGGCGGGGACCTGGGGTATGTTCTCGACTTACGGCGGGGATGGCCCTTCAAAACACGAGTTTCTTCAGTGACGTCAGGACTCCTGTCTAGTAACGAGGGACACCTCAGGAATCTCTTCGAGGCTTGGCAGGGCCAAAGGGACGCTTCTCGAGGTGAGGCAGGGCACCCAAGGACCCTTTCCAGTAGCCACAGGGATTTTGGGATTCCTATCAGTATTCAAGAGGAGTCAGGCATCGTCACCTTTTGAAGCAATGAACTCCGCGTGCCTCTCGAGGTGTCAGCGGGATGTGAGGCATTCCGTCAAAATGAGGCAGGGACCTAGGGCTTTCTCTAAGGTCTCCACAGGGGATTCAGACATCCCTTCATGTTGTGAGATGAAAGACGAGCCTGTATTCAAGCCACTGCAAGGAAATCCGGCCTCCTTTCAAGTTAGGGCTTCTCGCTGTATATTCCCCTTGAGGCAGCAAACTCGGGGTCCCTCCCACATACCTATTGCTGAGAGAAGCCTCCTCCTGAGGTGCTTCTGGGAAGTTGGCATACGTCTTGAGCCTAAGCCAGGGAATCTGCTCGCATCTCGAGACGACTTGGGGTACACGGAGCATTCCTCGAGTTGCTGTGCTGAAGTTGGTGTTCCTCTAGACTTGGGACAGTGTTCTCGGGGCATCTCTGGAGTTGCCTGAAGGAAGTCGAGCCACCGGTCGTGTTGAATGGGGAACGGGGAATGGCTCTGGAGTCAATGCAGAGGAATCGGGCCTCATCTCGAGTTGATTTGGGGCACATGGAGCTGCTTTGCGTTGCTGGGGTGACCTCAGGGTCCGTCTAGACTGGTGACAGTGTTCTTGGGGACTGTCTCGAGATCCATTAAGCAAGTCGAAGCTCCTGACTTGTTTGAATGAGGTCACGGAATAGCTCTGCATGCACTGCAGGGGAATGGGGCCTCATCTCGCCTCTAGGGGGAAGTCTCATGGTTTTTCTCGAGTTGCGGCGGGGACCTGGGGTATGTTCTCGACTTACGGCGGGGATGGCCCTTCAAAACACGAGTTTCTTCAGTGACGTCAGGACTCCTGTCTAGTAACGAGGGACACCTCAGGAATCTCTTCGAGGCTTGGCAGGGCCAAAGGGACGCTTCTCGAGGTGAGGCAGGGCACCCAAGGACCCCTTCCAGTAGCCACAGGGATTTTGGGATTCCTATCATTATTCAAGAGGAGTCAGGCATCGTCACCTTTTGAAGCAATGAACTCCGCGTGCCTCTCGAGTTGTCAGCGGGATGTGAGGCATTCCGTCAAAATGAGGCAGGGACCTAGGGCTTTCTCTAAGGTCTCCACAGGGGATTCAGACATCCCTTCATGTTGTGAGATGAAAGACGAGCCTGTATTCAAGCCACTGCAAGGAAATCCGGCCTCCTTTCAAGTTAGGGCTTCTCGCTGTATATTCCCCTTGAGGCAGCAAACTCGGGGTCCCTCCCACATAACTATTGCTGAGAGAAGCCTCCTCCTGAGGTGCTTCTGGGAAGTTGGCATACGTCTTGAGCCTAAGCCAGGGAATCAGCTCGCATCCCGAGACGACTTGGGGTACACGGAGCATTCCTCGAGTTGCTGTGCTGAAGTTGGTGTTCCTCTAGACTTGGGACAGTGTTCTCGGGGTATCTCTGGAGTTGCCTGAAGGAAGTCGAGCCACCGGTCGTGTTGAATGGGGAACGGGGAATGGCTCTGGAGTCAATGCAGGGGAATCGGGCCTCATCTCGAGTTGATTTGGGGCACATGGAGCTGCTTTGCGTTGCTGGGGTGACCTCAGGGTCCGTCTAGACTGGTGACAGTGTTCTTGGGGACTGTCTCGAGATCCATTAAGCAAGTCGAAGCTCCTGACTTGTTTGAATGGGATCACGGAATAGCTCTGCATGCACTGCAGTGGAATGGGGCCTCATCTCGCCTCTAGGGGGAAGTCTCATGGTTTTTCTCGAGTTGCGGCGGGGACCTGGGGTATGTTCTCGACTTACGGCGGGGATGGCCCTTCAAAACACGAGTTTCTTCAGTGACGTCAGGACTCCTGTCTAGTAACGAGGGACACCTCAGGAATCTCTTCGAGGCTTGGCAGGGCCAAAGGGACGCTTCTCGAGGTGAGGCAGGGCACCCAAGGACCCTTTCCAGTAGCCACAGGGATTTTGGGATTCCTATCAGTATTCAAGAGGAGTCAGGCATCGTCACCTTTTGAAGCAATGAACTCCGCGTGACTCTCGAGGTGTCAGCGGGATGTGAGGCATTCCGTCAAAATGAGGCAGGGACCTAGGGCTTTCTCTAAGGTCTCCACAGGGGATTCAGACATCCCTTCATGTTGTGAGATGAAAGACGAG